GTGTTATGTAATCGTTTGTTTTCTTGCTTTGCAAGACTTTTTGTGGCTTTTGTTCCTGTTGTGTTACTATGGACAAGAGTCTTAGAATATATCGCTGATCGAAAGAAATAACATTATTCCGTGCTGGTCGACGAAAGATACATTAAACGATTATTTAATATAGGATACAACCCACGCAAGAATTCTGCCCACGTTTTGCGTTAAATAGTTTAAGGTGTCGAGGTTATGGGGGCAGTATTCCCTATGAATAGTTAAACTATAGGCAACACTGAAATAACTAGGTCTTGCCATTCCAATAACAACGTCACGGCTGCACGGATGTGAGGCTAAAGGCCAAGCAATCAAATACTCGCGTCATCTCTTGGCTCTGACGTAATCATCAGAAATTTTTAATTAAGTGTTGTCCTCATTGACTTGTGTTAAGACTACTAAACGATGTAAATTGAGTTTTAAAATTTTATAACAATGTCCCATTCAGTACAAATATTTATTGTTCTATCATTAAATTATTTCCTCTTATAGTTATATGTTCAATCAAAACTTCGATAAAATGAAATTAAACTCATTCCTTTCACTATTTCTGTCTGTCTATTTATTGCATCAACCTAACATTGAATTAGATAAAGATCATATCATAAATGCTTTATAACGGGTGTAGTTTATACCTATGGTTATTATATTGCCTCAGAGTGTTTATCAAAGTGGTTGCTATAACATAGTTTACCAAATGAAGATGATATTCTGTGTTTGTTACTCTTTATAAAGAACTATATATGAATTATAATAAAAGCTTTTTCATGTTTTTGTAAATGAAGTTAAATGAATGCCACAAATATGCATTATGGTTTGTTTTCCTAAATGTTTGTGCAGAATTAAAGATATATTTAGCAACAAGTTTCCTTCTTAACGACACATTTAGGCTCTAAGCCATTATACACTGAAAGAGGAAATTGGACCAAAATGTCATTCCACTTCAAAACAAACGAATTCTCTCTATAGTTCTTTAATGAAATCATCCGTGTCAAAAAGAATGGTTTTCTATAGCTCCAAAGAAGGCATTTTACCCCCCTACAAGGCATTCATGTTGTTAATATGGAGATGACAAGTGTTTAAATTGGCGCATGTGTGTAGCTTTAGACGTATTTATGAAATCTCGTGAAAGCAAGCACAAGTCTGGAAAAAATAGAACTAAGAGTTCCTTAAGACATTCAATCTGAGTCAGGTAATATTTGTTACAAGAAATGCTTTTTCTAACTTTTGAGGGAAAATATAGAAGTGAGGAGACGGCAGTTTCTTTGTTGTCAATTAATCTAATATGACTCCCTGATTTTAATTACATTCAATCGATTGATTTTTACCCGGGTCGTAAATTAGTGATAGCACAAGCTCATTATCTATAAGTATGTTATGACCTAATGAGTCTAACATTGATTAATTAGGTTAATATTATGATTATTGTCTGGAACAATGTGTAGGTTAAGAGGAGAGATGAAAGTGTTCAACCCATAATAGTTTGGGGGGTGTAAATATATGAGTAAATTGATATTTTTGTAATAAAGGTGCCATTGCAATGCTGTCACCAATGATGGAAAGGTTAATTCTTTAGTGGATCATGTACGGACTTTTCGATGTAACTCATCAATGTTAAGATCAGTCCTTCGTAAGCTCCACCGGGAGGTCTGAAAGTTCAAGATTTATTTCAATAAAAAAAGACATTTAGAGTGATTCACTTCATAATTTTTACGCCCTTAAATAAGCTTAACCTCATGTCTGAACTATAATAAACGTCTGTGAACTTGAGTTGCAGACACTCGCCCGATTATTGCAACCATCAGCACCTTGAAATCGTGTCAATATGATTCATTGCATGTTCTAGATTGCCGTCTTATCGCGCTGGTTTTCCTGTATACTGCGATCTATTGTTCTTTTCAGGATTAAAAGTCTAATTTAATAAGTTTTTGTTGGTTTTTCTCACAAAACAAAACGATTAACAGCCTTAAGGTTAATCTTCAAATAAAACCGTTGTTTATAGAACAGTGCATATAGTCATCGTTTAAAATAACAATATCATAAGAAATAACAAGTTTATGACGTGTGTTACACCGTCAACACTGATGAAAATCCGTTGACAAGTTCTCAAAATATTGTGCGAAGCCAAGTGCGAAAATTATTAGAATAAATCTCAATTTCCTGTCTACCTATGGTTAATCTATCGTTAGATTTAATTTGATATAAAATAAGACTCCTCCATATATAAGAGCAAACGATAATTATCACTCAACTGCAGATATATATCTAACAATTTTAGCTTTTCTCCATTTGTCATGCAATAATATATATACATTAACAAATTATACTAAGATGTGTATTAAAATAACCCGGCCTTGACCTCTGGTGTTTCTCGTTCTGGTGTCTAGATTCTGGTTCTGTGTGTTCTGGTTCTGGTGTTTATCTCTAGTTTTGAGGTTGACATGACTTGCACTTGGTCATTACATCGTAGTTGTTTCTGTCACCAGGACTTGTCTGTTACGTAATTTAACAATCGCAACGTGCTTATGTGTCTAGATGTGTGTGTTTTGTGTAATACTGTAGCTGCATGTTAAATACGGGAGAGTTGCCTCGCATGGGTCTAAAGGTCCCGTTCGCACTCTTGCCGCTTGGGTATTGTTATCCAATAAAGTTGTAAAATTAAAATTGAAATTGAAATTAATTGTCTCTACTGACCTCTTGGAAAGGTGTCGTCTGGATAGACACAACACACGCTCGTCTTCACTGCCACAAACTCTTTTTAAAATTGTAGAACGTCCAGTCACTATAGTTTCCATGTGTTCATTCGCAATCGTGAAAAACAAAACACTTCAAATGAAAGACAATCTCGTTTCCTGGAAATTGTTTCGATTAGTTTCATGGATGCTAAAGGCATTCTTTGTATAAGTTGTGACAAACAAAAGGAATTTTCTTTCCGGCATTGACCTTTGAAAGGAAGCTACATGTCACATGAAACGTAAGCCTAACATTGCTTTCTGAAATAATTAATTACCGTTTCCTAAAGGCAATTTCCTTTTCGTTTGTGCGACCCACTTGGAGCAATTATCATCATCGCTGCTAAGACTTTCAGGACGCAAAAATATCACATTCTTATTGCCTCAGTGATATTTGTATATTCAGACAGGTATATACATTCGTCCGCTGTAGTTCTATACCATATATAAAGATCATTTTAGTTATAACTAGTCCTTGTGGACTTGTGGTTATACATGCAGTCTAGTGCAGTCTGAGCTGACTACAGAAAAGGATGATATATGTTGACGTAATTTCAATAAAGCAGGTGCTTTATCAAGATCTTTTCTTTTTTCCACACCTTCAAAAGACGTATATGTACATTCTTTCTTAACGTTCAGCTGCCAGGTAAATCTGGGGTATCTCAGATCCAGACTGCATGGCCAGGCTGCCCATATCTAGTGTTTAAACATTAATCTGTGATAAGAAACATTGAACAAATTCCCTCATCATGTGCTATAGTAACGCTTCAGAGCAATATTTGCAAAGTTTATTACGCTCTATATTATATTTAGAAAGTAAGCATCTTTATACAGTTAGTTGTAAAAAAATGTCTTTGAATACTTTCTCTACTCTTTCATATCCATTGCTGGGTCGCAAAATACAGATGCTTTAAGCATGATAATTACAAATTACGTATCTTTAGGGAAATTGGTACCACACATAGAGAGAGGAAGGTTAAAAAAAACTTGCAGAATAAATCATTAAAGGTAGAATATAAATTAGATTATTATATCTACAGTACCATATAGCCTGGTCATCATGCACACTAGTCTGACATTCGTGTAATAATACCATAACCTGCTGTCATTCACGAGGACTGAACTACATACTGATAACATTGGCAGTACTATAACTATTATTGCTGTATGTACTGAAATAAAAAAGATATATTGAGCAGTCTCAGGTTGTTGGAAAATGCTTGACTTTTACTGTGGTCCGAATGCGAAGTAACCAAGTTAATTATTAAGTTCACAATACTAGTTTCCTGCCCGTTCAATATTTTAAAAATATTTCTCATACGATCACCACTTCATGACGGAACATTATGATATGAAGCACTCCAGTCGACCTATATTCTCTTAGCAATATAAATAAACGTATTTTGGAGTGTTTTGTTTTGAGATGTTTTCAATTTTCCTAATCAACAGATTTTTCAACTCTGTCGTCAAAATCAAAATTATGGCGTGACTGGCCGAGCAATAATTGTTGCATAACGAAGCTGGGGATGAAACTAATCTTGTTTATGTCTTTCAAATGCCGTTTGATTACTTTAAGAGTTTTTGTTGATTTATTTTAGCTTTTTCTTCCTGTTCCCACAATCTTTAATTCTGACCTTCAGTCTTTTAAAATATCAACTTGTTTTTTCACGATTAAGAGTAATTAAAACAAGTGTGTTCTTCCAGTCCATCAAAATTGAATGCACGCCAAACATTTTTAGTGCATGCAGAGAGAAAGGCATCATGTCTTGTGATCAACTTTGACTATTATATCTTAAAGAAATCTTTAACACAACTTAAATCGTTGGCAAACTATTTATACGAATGGACTAGGACCAAAATAGAGTATTAACAAATATTTCCATGGCGAGAAAAGTGGTGACTGAAACGGTTATACAACACCAAATAAGGCAGTTTTCTTTCCATTATATTGAGTTTTACACAGTAGCTAACTAACACCAATTGAAATTAAAAACACTTTTTTGCAATTAATGTAATTATATTGATCAATTGAAAGTTATTTCATGGTGGAGGCGTTAAATACCACAGTCCCTGTGTGATTGACAGTGTAAATTGAGCTAAATATGAGATTAAGCTTCTTATTTGTATTTTGTACTTGGTATTTCTGTTAACTACAAGTGGGTTATATTGTCACTATCATCTTGTGGTGAGAGCTGTCATCATATAAATCAGCTCATTTCTTATTTGTGTTCATTATAGAATACAGAACCAGCGAGATTCAACAACGACTTGGTCTTAATATATTTGGAGTACTAAAGGTTATACCGAAGTTTACGATTGACTACATATAAAGGTAGGACCTCCATGAACTATGGCAGGGGTATATGTAAAAATATTCTACAGTGCCGTTTTAACATGTAGCTATTGTAGTCATTGTACAACTCACCTAAGTGTACTCTTATTGTGGGATGGCAAAAAATACAAGAAAAGCCAGAACTTTTCAAGCAAAGCCGGTTCGCAGTTTGAAAGTTAATGCAGGCATTTTGATAAATCCTTTCATGCCTAGGCTACCTACCGTGAATCACGAAAACTTAAATTCAGCTTTTGTTCGCATTTTGAACTGCCTAGCAGCGGTATAACAATGTCAAGGACCAAGCCATAAAAATGTTTTTACAAGTTATATTTGAACACTTTAACATTTAAACCACTTCAATTAAGCGCTGATTATGGGGTATTATTGATTGTGTATATAACCATGCAGGGCATGTCCATATATATTTTATCAATGAAAACTCTTATACAGTCATAGTCTGCGAGCCCGGCCAATACATTGAACAATATTAGTTCTGCCTGCAGCGTTTTGTACAAACAGAAAATCGTGTGGGCTTCAATCATATATGGATTCTGTGCAGTGTTAACATAAAAAGAGCTTGCGGGATCAGCGATATTCAGTGATTTGAGCCGTGAACGAAGGAGGACCTTCTACTGAATCTTCTTTCATCTTCTGTCTTTTCTTAGCGAGCTCTTGCAAATCCTCCACGCTTGTTTTTTCAGCAAAGCTTGTCTATTTTTAGTTTTGTTTGTTCTGCACATTCCTTCATTTTTAAACATGTTGCGAAAATTAATTGTTTAAGAAAATATTTTCTTAACGTTCCAAGGTATATGTATCGTGTATCAATTGCAGTATGGCATTAAGAGCAAAGTGACTTCCGACGCAGCTATTCTTTGCTCTTAATGCCGGGATACTTCGCGTATATATTGGCTGCGATAAACTCAAGTGTTGTTGGATGTTCTTCAGAAATCCTCCCCAAATTTTACAATGAGTTTATACCATATATTACATAACACTTTAATGCCTTAGTTACTATGGCAAAATTCAAAGGGTAACGCGCAAGATGAAGGAGTTTGTTTTTCAATGCTGTTGCCGCTTCTTTTTAGCATGTGATGAAATTCATTTGAACTAAAAGCCACCACTCGAGTTTTAAGCACTTCAAAAGCTGAACAATGAAACGATAAGTTGTTAAATTTAGACACTTATGATCACCCTGGGAGAGCACGCATTTGGGCGCTGAGAAGTATTTTATTTTCCACGTGCATACTTTCGTAAATCCCTAGTTTGAACAAGATATTAACACAGCTCAAAATTCCTTCATTTTGTTCACAACGACTCTTAGCATAGGGCACAAGAGCATGAGTACATAATATAACATTCTTAGGGGGTACTTTTAGTGATATTGAGGTTATATATGTATCTAGTCTTTGTAAAAGTAAAGTAATGCAATATTTTACAGAGCAATATAGGAAGTCTAGTTAGGCGAATACAAGAGGCTTTTAAATTGTCCAATTTTACGGTTATTTGACATGCTTCCCAATCGTACCTGTGTCTCGCATGCGCACATCGTCTCATTGAAAACACTTTTGTCAACAGAAAACTAGTCACAATTTGTAGTATAGATTTCACGTGATTTTGACGAGGTTTGCTGGAAAAAGGCTGGTAAATTTGTAACCAAGTAACTATAAGTTATCGTCGAGTGTTAGTCAGAGGCTAGAGTATATAAGATTGTCATACACTCATAAATCACATCACCTGGCCTAATGAGCTGGGAATTACATAACGATATAGGGGAATCAAGCAGTTCTTTCAAACTTTGTGTGGTCAATAATCTTGTTAACTGAACCTCACATCACCTCACGTCTCAAAAGAAAAATACTGTATCGATTATATTTCTATTCCGTTCTACCCGAGTCCTAGGAGTCTTGCTCACACATCACGAAAGACTGCATGGTCTAGTTAATATCATTGAATATAGAAGAAGAATTTACCTGCGCGCGTCATCAAAATTATGGCGCCGTTATGATGTAATATGCTCGTCTACAGGAAGTACGTGGCCACCCACAGAGAGAGGGGTGGGGATAAAGAAAGAATCTCGAGTGTTTCGAACCCAGAACAAGCACAAATATTTTGCAGTGTGGGTTGGAATTTGATTTATAATGGCCTTGTTTTTGTCGCAGGTTTGCATGTTTGTGTAGTTTCTATTTGCAGTTTCCTACCCGAGTAAAAAAGGAATGGAAACTAGTCGAGGCTTGTTTCATCATCCAAGCCACTCAGACTCAACTTGCTTGTAAAATCCCAAACGAAAATAAAATCAATGCCTCTACAATACTATGTTAATTGAACAGATGTAGAGGGTCTAAGCTCACTAAGTACCCGTAGAACTAGTAGAACTTAAGGCTTAACACTGTCATGGGATGAAGATGATCGAATATTGAGAATAACTTCAAGGAAGAAAGAGAAATTTTCTTCAGCCTCCTTTTAACAAAATCGTGCAATTGATCAGCATTCAAATATCTCACGTGTTTTAATGGTATTAGCAATGATCAACTAACGAAATTAGTTTCTAAAATTGGATGGGAAAAGTGTTTCCTATACTACTAAGAATGTAGAATTGAACAATGTGGCAAAGTAAAATTTCAGTGCGAACGGCTGTTACTTCCGTATTATTTTCGCGGGATTACAATGTAAAGGGTTGGAGATAGGATATTGTACAACGTGGCCAACTATCTTGTAATATTACTTTGCGGTATGCAGTCATCCAGGAAATGTTCACGAAAACACTTGAAGTTTCCACGTAAATCCGGATCATATATTACATGTTTTTGTTTCAATATTGGCTTACGACGCTCAATAACTTCATAATGTTCCCGTCTCTTTTTACTTCATGCAAATTTGAAGTCCTAGTGCCCGATGTGGCGGAGATTCCGCCTTGAGGTGATCAGCTGTTTGACCTCCAGGCGATGTGTGTTGTCTTGGAACATGGAGATGTGGAGAGCTGTTAGGATGGAAGGTCGTTGTTGGGGGACAATATATAAGGTGGAGAGACAATCCATACGTGGGGAAATATGAGAGAAGCTAGTTATAGGTTTGGGTGAAGAGGTGTCAGGGTGACAAGATGTGAGGGTTGTTCGGTGGGTGAAAGATGTGATGATGATGTGAAGGTATAAGATGGGTGATAGATGTGAGGGTAATAAGGTATAAAATGGGTGAAATTAAAGATGTAAGGGTGATAAGGTATAAAATGGGTGAATTATGTGACTTGTGAGGGTGACAAGGTGTAGGATGTAGTGAGGCCACTTCAAGTGAAGACATTCAATTCATAAATAAACGCTACACTTTGTTGAAAGAAAAACAATTAATAAACTCTCAATGACTCATTCATTGAACTTCTTTCTCCCGTTATCTTTGAAAATGCGTGCTTATGGAGGCTGGAGCCAATGTGACTCAACTTAATATTATGCGCGGGCCCAACGTCTCTACCGAGGCTTGTAATTTGCAAATGGAATGTTGATAATGGGGTGTTACCATTGCTATATACTATGGTTTTGGAACGATTTAATAGTTATATATTGTCTTATTCGTCTTCTGTAAGCATTCTTATTTAAATATACATAACTTTACAACATGCAATTTGTCTATGATTATTGATAAGAATTGCAGTAAAGAGCATTGATGACAATTATTTTCATTCCTGTGGTTTTGTTTGCAAATATATACGCTATCGTGAGAATACTTGGCAGTTCACCAAATCACGCAATAACCTGTTTTCTTGCTCAGAATATTCTGGTTTAAATAACAAAAATAGATCTCATTTTTTAATATAAATTCCATGGTATAATGTCTCGTATAATAATGTTACATTGAATGAACTGCAATAATTTCACTTGCATGTTGTTTTTGAGTCAAAGGAATCGATTTCATGTTTTTATTTCATCTATAAGTGCCCTTGAATAGCTTCACATGTGACAAAGACTTGCTCTTACTAATCAATCAAGAATCATGTTAACGATAAAATATTTGCATTCATAAAATATCATGAACATTGTTGCATATCAATAATTAAGGAAAATAAAGGATCTTTGCGGAAGTGTAGCAATCGTGTTGTTTTAACTATCAAACAATGGTGGTAAGATTAAGATCGACTGTATTGTGTTCCCACGAGAAGTCACGTCCACACTGTTGCTCGAGGGATTTTGATCGTCGTATAAAACTGTAAGTTCTTTTCTATGCTTGTGTCTATAAAGTAAGATCATTAGTGGGAGTTCGATTGTTTTATTCACTATTATCGATTACTTTTCCAAAATCAGCCGTGCCTGTTTCACCAGCGTATTTCGTTGAATTAACTGTTACATAATGTACTTCAATCTGTGAGAATATATGAGTTCTGCGATGTCACTCAACACTTGTGCTTTCTTGAGAATACTATGAAATATCATTTTAAAATTACGCATAATGATAGCATTTTAATCTGCGTGCAATTGGTCTACTGCATGATCACCGACACCACTGTTAAATTTATTAGCGTGAAATACATTTATTGCTGATGCAATTACAGGTAACTTTCTAATAGTTTCCCAAGAGGAACATATTGTTAATTCTTAATGTAGATTAATGCATAGGGAAAACTTGCTTGCATCGGTGGTAGTTTTAACTTTTAAAGGTTTGTTTCCTCAAGCACTTTTTGTAGTGAAGATTAAAACATTTTGTCAAGCATTTCTCTAACATTGGCTCCCTTTTTACGTAGCTATATATCGCGTGTTTATAAACTGATAACTTGAAGTAATATTGAGTGACATGAACGTCAACGTCAGCAGAACCGAGGGTAGTCTTCGTAACATGTTATTGTGATGGTGCTACTGTGAGACTGTGAGTTACCAACCGGACAGACTGAAGGGATTAGCTTGACCACGCCGCTGGGAAGGTAATTTATCAGCTTACCCAGTTGGTAACTGAGAGTAGCATCACCACAATAATCACAATATCAAAGTTAATCTACCTGAGTGATACATGCATGCAGGCTATCACTATTTCCGTAACACGTTATTCATAAGGAATTTTACGTAATATTCGCGTTTGTTCCGCAAGAATCTAGGATTCCCAATGTCTTTGCTCAATAGGGTATAAATGGAAGATTCCAGTTGCAGACTGATCTAGTCTTGCGACAAGAAATACGCTGACGGAAAAAAGTTATTTTCGCATTGAAATATAAGATATGTAAATATGTAAAAAATGAACCAAATCAGTTTGCAGGTTCCTTCTTTCTAGGACGCACTTTTAAGCTGTAATAACTGGATCTTCCATTGTTTTCACCGCGCTGGAAAATATAAAGCGATTATCGTTCTCTCAAGCGTCAATAAGTAGCTAAGGATTAGATTATTTAGCTTTGATCAATATTTATACAATAACAATTTGAGAGATCTTCAGAGATGTCCAATCACTCCTATGATCCGCTAAAAATGATGAAAATCTGAAAAAAATTTCATTAATTATTAAAAGTTCTTCAGTTTTCAGAGATTTCAAAGCTTCGACTGGGAAACGTTTCTAATGATAAAGACGTTACTAACTTATTGTCATGTAACACATATTTGTCAACTTTTTTTTGGCTTGTTTAAAGGACATTTCTTCCTAAACGATTTAATTGTGCTTCCTGTTTGACGTAGAACGAAATGATTCAGAGCCTGATCAATACCTACCGTTGGAATTTTGCCAAAATGTTCTAAATCTGTGTAATTTTTCAGAGTTTTAAGTTTTGCATGTTTTCATCACAATTACCTTTCCATCGTATTTTGCATAGGATGTAGGTTAGCAGATTTTATAAGTCATTTTTTTAAATCATCAAGTCTTTTAAGATTTGTTACTTTCTGTTTACTTGCATTGTTCAACCATCATAATCGTTTACGCCAAGGACCGAAGAATTTGTCAAAATCGCGAACTTTGCGTGTGGCAAAGTTTTACATTCCAAGAGGAATAGACAGCCGTTGATTACCTAAAATATGGTGCTTGAAATTTGGCATTGTTGTGGCTTTATTAGATTTGTTGGTTTCTAGACATATCATACAGGAAAACCGCATAAAAACACTAAAAAATACTCCGCAAGTTTCGATGTCTCGTTTTCAGTGAAATAAACGATGGAATTTGACTTAAAACCTGCATGCAGTATATCTAAAAGTTTAATGTAATTAATTCTGTAACCCCTCGAACGGTAGCAATGGTATATTTTACCCTCAATACCTTAAAGTGATGGAAAAATTGATTCAAAAATGCAATGTTCAACTTCATCTTATCAAAGTGCTGAATGTGTTGATCGCCAGTACAATGACTGTTGCTTGATTGCAATGCTAATGGCCTTCGTAGCTAAATTCCTGGTCTATTAATGGTAACAATTATAATAATGCGTTGAATTGGTCACAAATTATAGCACAAATTGCAACTTTTTGTTCGTGCAATTTGATTGTTATATTCGCAACACCTGTGGTGTGATTGCCTTCGGGTAGAGATACACTCTCTACGATAATGGAATGTGTTTGAATTGCGATATTTTTTTAATGAATTAGTTCACTGGGAGGGGTATTAGGTGAAAACTTTAAGTATTATTTACGTGCTGTTTGTATTAATATATTTACCCCCCAGATTAGTTCAATTAAAGGTGATAAAAGACGCTGTAAGACACAGAGTTTTCATGCACTCAAGGTTGGTAGGGTATATAAAGCGAGCTTGACACACTACGGTTAGTACGAGACTAAGATATTCGAGATTGTAACAGTTGTAGTTTGCAAAAAGAGAAAGGCGTTGTTATTGTTGAATCATATGGTTTGGAATCTACTTTTTGGTACGTTTTTCACCTCAATGTATTGTTTATTAGATGTTTTTATATCAATTTGTTATACTATACCAAGTTTGGATTTAGCTTTCGGGCGCAGCATCACGTACGTTTTATCCGTGAAAGTACACAAATTGAAATTTCACAGTCTGAATCATTAGAAATCATTTTTTGAAGAGAAATTTTTGTAAAACTTTCACACAAATTCCACGTTAACCACCTTGACTGTGTAAGTGATCATGTCTTTTACACCTGAGATATGGCTGTTATTATGAAGACTTATGGACAGTTGAATGGCGTATTTTTTATACAGGTTAAACGTCGTTCTCCCCTTGGGTCGGTGAGCTTGCATATAGTAAATACGATAGACGCTTTCGCTACTAGTACGTTGTAATTTACTTTGTAAGCCTGCCTGCATGGTACTTCTGAGGTACATAGTTCTATTAAAAACACCATTGAGGTGTTTGTTGACTTCAATAACACTCTACGTCGTATCTATAACGTTCAGATAACACCGTTTTACAAGCTTGTCTTAGTTCACTGTTAAATTTGTGATCGTATTCATCTATAATGTGCCATCCATATATAAAGACCATTACAGCCGATAATCTGTTGGAAAATTTCGCTTAATTTATTTGCTAGTCTTATTTTTATCATGATCACCGCAAAATAAATGACGTAGTATTATTAGATTTCTAAAATTCCTCTTGGTCCAGAGTTTGACTTTGCTTTTTTAGCCATGCTGTTGCTACACACAATCACTTAATTAGATTTCTGCGCTATCCTTTTAAGTGTGTACACACTGAACCCTCGTATGTTTTTCTTCTGTTTGTTGTTGTTTTGCTGCCTCGATTTATAGCAAGGTAAACAATCTAGTTTGTTCTTCTCATTGTTAAATATAGTTTTTCCTTGTGCTTGGCTAGAGGCCATTTCATATTGAGATGAAATCATGGCACACTTCTTCGCTTCACACACAGCACATATAAATTGACCAGTCCTAATTACTTTTCATGTTATAAGGAAGTGGCCATGCCTCGTTTGAACACTGTATTAACACAGAAAGGATTATCCTTTAATTGTGTTTCGACACCCACTATCCTGTGGTACTTCGTTTCCTTACTGCGACGTGCAACCGCAAAGGGCAACCGCCAATTGACATGTTGTGAAACGTTGCGATACACTTCGTGTGTGCACACGCTCGGATGTTCCCTGTTGAAAAAAACAGGAAGAACCATTTGCAATCTTGCTTCCCACTTACGCATGAGTTCTTCAAACAATTGTTTTCCTCGCTGCTTGATGCAAATTCGATGATATCATGATTAGCTGTATTAATACAGGATTAACAATCATTTGTAAACATAAAACATCCGTTGCAAATGAACTCCAATTTACTTAGCTTCTGTTATGTATTGTAGTTATCTAGAGATGTGTTTTAATAATCTTCGCTTATACCCGTTCTTCGGAAACTCATGACTGCCTGGTTGGACAATAAATTGATAGCTGTATAACTTCTACATGTTATAATATATCAGGCTTCAAACTGGAATGTAGAATAATGGTTTTAATGCCGACGAAATGTATCGTCTACTTAGATAGGTTACATGATGTTTCCCACGTTATTAGATGATGTAAGGAGACCCCTTCGTCGAATTGATTTCTAAACATAAATATTTACATTGATAACCACAAATTAAATTATGAAAATCGTATAGAACAAATAAATAATACACTACTCTGAGAATATAATGTGTGGGAAAATGTTTTTAATCAAAATATGAATTACGTAAATGCAAACTGTTTGCGTCCGTAGAGATCTGACTGATTGGTGAGAAATCTTCACAGACTTCAGCTTGTGACCCAGACCCTTCTATACAACACACAGACATATTGAGTCTCCAACTTCTCACGTCTTTCAGCTCTTTCAGCTACAGTTGACCTCGTGTAGTTTACTTGGGTGTCTCATGCAATGGCCCTCATTAAACTCAGAATAGAAATGCTGTTTATGTGGTATAGATATTTGAATGTCCAATATATAGCAAGCATGCAGTTATACATCAGACCTAGCTTTGCTATAATCACCACACGCGTTTCAGAAGTTTCTGGAAAACGTCGCTTTACAAAGATTTTTTTGATTAGGTCGTTTACACTTGAGCTTTTCCTCTCCTTTTCTACTAGAAAAGGAAGTATTTTACGTTCTTATAAATGAAATAAATACCAATGGATAATTTTCTACTTAATACTTATGATTTTACACTGCCCACGACATTCTATATCCTATTATGTAATTTATCCATCGCTTTATCGGTTTCAAAGAAAATTCTAGATAGTCAAAAGCGAGAAGAACTAGATCCCCCTGGCTATACAAAATCCTTTTCAAACTCTCCAAAAATTGGCGGAATAACATTTTTTTAATTTCATATCCGGCTGTAGGAATGACACGCTATTTCGGTCAAAGACGAAATCTCTTTCACAAATAGATGTTATTCTAGAGTTTCCACCAGTCTGTATAATACGTAATGTGGACGTGCAAGCATCCATCTGGCCTAATAGATCATTTTTTATTTGACATGATTTCAAATCTACTGTTATATAATACATAAAGCATACATCAAACTGCAGTGCATGAATGTATTCGACTGATTTCGAAGACTGATACTTCAATAATATAGTCGAGGTTTTTCCAGGTCATCAAGACATTATCTTCTTCTAATACAAAGATACAAGTTGTTCTTTACTCCAAGCTTGCATTAACTGTGCTCCGAGAGCCTTCTCCAATCGGAGGGTTGCATGAGCTGTATGGAGAGATGCAAGGTTGCAACGCGTATACCGTTTATTCTTTTGTTTATTCCACTACTCCAGATCCACTGATCCAGTGAATTCTTAGAACCAACGTTAGCTAATCATTAAAATCCCTGTTTTTTATTTTTGGCAGGTAATCAGTTTTTTTATCTCCAGGCAACACGCTATATAACATGCGTTAGCATCGAATTAGGTGAAAACAGGAGTTTTATTGCATGCAGCCGTTAACACTCGATTCTCCATATTATTTCTAGCTCAACCAGATCTCAAATGTTATCAAGAAGTATTTGTAAGATATCTTACCATCTGGTAGCCGTCAAACTCTTCAATTAGGGTGAAACGGAAAAATGTTAATTCCATAATTTATTAGTTTTTGGGCAACATATTTCTGATGTGATTGAACCTTTTGCCTAGCTGAAATATTTACTAAAATCAAAACAACACAGAGAAAAACCTCTAGAAACCTCAAGCGAATTATCTTATCCTTATATAGATAGCATTTTGGGTTTCATTAATTGAATAAGGCTTTTTTAAGCAAGTTGGTATGCGTAGTTGATTATAACTAAACGTCATTGGGCGGCTTTTAAGATTACGGAAGAATGTTCAATTAATGGACATGTTTTTCGTAATATTACGAATATGAAATGCATGGAATGTATGAAAGGGATTAACTTGTGTTCTCGTCGATTTGCCCATGAAAGTCGTAGAGGTATATTGAGTTTTGTTGGTTTTAGCCTCCCGCGGGCGGAAGTCTTTCTGGGAGAGAAAAAAGTAACAATGTTAATAACTTGCGAGTAAAAATATCCCTTCATAATTGAGATTTCATCGTGTTTATAAGATTGGTTATTATTCTCACCCACAGAGTGACTCTGTTGGAATCAATTTAACTCTTGACTTAATATCACGATACTTGATCCCCTGCATGAACGTTTACAACCTCTCTGATCGTAACTCGATAAATTATGGCTTGGTTATTTCGTTTTGAAATATCATTGATATGTCTACAACGTGGTGAGATACCATACAATACCCCAGACTGCTGTAATTGATATATGGTTATTGATTGCATGACCTACACATGACATAAGACGAACAGCTATTATTCTGTCGCTTTGAATCGCGTGCCATCATTATCACATTTCATTGTTCAGCTATTCAGCATTTTGCATCACTTCATCCCGCATACTGATTTACGATTTACAACAATTTATTCAAACATATTTAGCAAAGTTTTTTATCTCGCTGAGCTATTTATTGTTTATCTTGGCACGCCTTTTATAGAATGGTGATGAAAAAATACAGATTAGAAAAAGGCTTTTTCGAGTCATATAGGGTATATTTATAAAGCTATACTTATGTTACCTGAAATAGTTTGTTGCCTGAAATAGACCCAATTGTTATGCAATGTCGTCGACACGAGTAATTTTCTCAGGTTTCAGAAATGTCACTAGTGTTTTAAAGTCGCGATGAAGCTAATAAAAAGGTTTTTCGTGGAAAATGCATAAACATGATTGTTTGAAAATGGGATTACCCGGTGTCATAAGGAATACTCGCTAAATCTTATTTAGTGTGTTAAAATTTAGTTTGAAGACAAAGGATCATATGAAACCCACTTAAACTTAATCGTATAGTACGGCTCATCATTTCACACTGAGATGGTCATTCATACATAGAATATTTTAGGCTTATTTCTGCTGAAAAATGTTTAAACACACAATAAGACGAGGCACAACCGCCGTATGGATTATCTGGCGAGGTTCCGATCGTAAAGCTGCCATCCGGTCATGTTTGCAGATTGTGCTCGCAATTCCGATAACAAAACGTTTGAAACACCGAATCACTTTCATTCAGCGAATACCCCGTACGGAGATATGATGAAATAAGATGGCCGAGAGTGAAGTATATTTGTCATCGATCAAGAGAATGTTTTGAATGTCATCTTCAATGGGTGATAGATTAAAGATTTTAGGTTGTTTTCGTGTAGTATAAACGTTTGAAATCTAACAGGAATAACAACCATTTAGTTTGGCTGGACCATCTGTGTGTAATATCTAAGTGTAAAATGTGCTCTTCAAAAGTCTGTAATGCTATTTTTACTGCAAGTGTTTTCAGCAAAGTGTTTACCAATTGACATTTATATCGGGCCCCAACAGAGGTAACGACACAACACTAAATACATAATGAAGATATTACAACCCATGTGTCTGTAGATTAGCATTACTGAGTTGAATAGTAATTTTGGTTTTGCAGACTGTCGCCACATGGAAACACTTACAATGTAATACCCCTTTTGAAACTTCACGCGTCACTCTGCCTGATTAAAAAATAGAACATGTTTAACATTTGTGAGACGTTAGAGGCTTAACCTGAGCCGAAGAGAATGAAGACTGGAGTGAGGACTTTAGGTCATTAATATACACGTCTATCATTCGGACTACTTTCAGAGATCACAGAAGAGACCAACACTCCAACAGTTTCTTTGGCATAATTCACACGTCATTTTGTATCATTCATAGGAGCGCGACCCTAAATTACTTGAATATACCAAATGAAAAGATTTCATCCATTTCTAAGTAGCAGCACCAAAACCCCTTCAATTATTGAGTGATCATTCGCAATTCATTCCACGCCTATTCAGTGAGTGAACATTTAGAAATAAGATTACTTATCAACAATGTTATTGGCAATAGTTGACTTGTTCCGGTCAATCCTAAGCCTAAGGTGACATATGCATCTATGCCCCCCAATTAATACTAAAAATATTTATAATGCAAGTCTATAGAATAGGTCGTATAATGTCTATAGTCGTGTATGATTCTGTGTGATTCACGTTGTCAGTAGATATAGTATTAAATGCTAAAGATGTGGAATAAAACACACACCATGCACTTTACTAGTAAATGCAAGACGGTGATTCGAACGAAAGTTTTTCAAAGGATGTTTGAAACAAGCATTTTTACTTTGCGTGAAGTTTGTGTTTGGTGTCGTTGAAAAATTGCTGGCAAATGAGAACAGAATTTAAAGCGGCTGTTTTCTAATCAACAAGTTATAATTCGTATTTAATTGCTATTGTAATCACAGTTCCTAATTCGCAGTCTAAAATAAATATACCTCCTATAGTACTGACTTGTGCCGCGGTAAGATAGAATACCCTCAATTTTTCGGCAATTTCATCTGGCTATTAATAGGTCTGCATGCTTGCGTGTGCGAGTGATAAAATAATTCCGCTCTGAAAACCGAAATGCAACTGTTTTTAGGATCATGTCTTGTACTGTTCTAGCTTTAGAACACGCTTTTTTTAACTGCTTTTTAAAGGATCTCGCCACGCGCTTCGGCGTATTTTGTATAAAACAGGGTGTATGTTGTTCAATTAAGAAGATATGCGTCAATAGGTCCACGGAAAATCCTTAATCACACAATATATACAAGTATTTTAATGAACTCAGCAGAGAACCCAGAAATGTAACTTGCAGCTGGAACGGCAGCTTTAAGCAAAGTCATGCAGACGAACATTGCAGTGGAATGCAAAATCGAATGATTTTATTTCATTGTGAAGATTTCGAAGTAGAATGAAATTACCATTCACTTTTTGCGCGGCGAGTTTAATTGAAACAATCGAATACATGCATTTCATGCATTTTAGTTTGTCTTCAAGAGCTCATGTTTCCGGAGCAGTTATTGCTTCAGTTCATGGTGTAGTTGACCTTCAAGATCTACGCAAATAGATCAATGACGACTGTTGTACATGCAACGGGGTTGGGAGTGGGTGGTGTGGAGGAAACGAATACACAGTTCACCATATTTCTGAATTCTGGTAGCTTTTACTATAATAGCACACGAGCATGGTATTTATCTGAGTATTTATGACATTCCTTTTGATAGCAGGGTAGACGGTCGTTCACCTCTAATGGATAACTTTTTAAGCTGTTATCTCTTCAGACGGCTAACAATATTACTTTTATCCGGGAAGTATTCTTATACACGTGACAGACACGGAATTATAATAAAAAAATCTCTGTCCCACGCATAAGATTGTACACCTCCTTTGACAGAACGCTAGATCCGCCTCAGATATTTTCTCTTTACGTGTTCGAGAAACCCATCACTCGCTTAACACTTAACCATATAATCTTATGGTGTTAAAAAATGCATCACAGTATGGGGCATACGAGGGGGTACTTTTTGAGTGCATATATTGCCACAGCATTTCCTGTTTAGAATTCATCAGCTCATCATATAACGTCTATTCATTTCTAGGTCAACCCATTGCGAAGATGGAGTTCCATGTTATCCTTTGCCTGATCGCTTGTTTTGTTGCAACTGTCCGAGCTCGTAGTCTGCCAGAGGAATCGTCTGATCCACGCAATAGCGCGCGATTTAAAGCGTTTGAAATGAGATTTCTACAAATGCTTGGAATGAAGGAGAAGCCAACGACAAAACGGAACGTTGTTGTGCCTCAATACATGTTGGACTTGTACAACAGCCGTGTGAGAGACCCTGAATATATTTCAACAAATATGGTGTTCAAAGATTTTGCAACCACGGCCAACACTGTTCGTGCGTTCCACCACAAAGGTAACAGATTTTTGTTGTTTGGATAACAGCTAAACATGAAGTATATCCTATCTCCCACACTCTCGCAGATCTGTGGCTAGGAGAGCGGACGAGATATTAAATTTATGCCTCATTTTAACATCTGCAGTGGATATAAATCCGATGGGTAGTTTTCCTTCTTAATTTCAACAAACGCCTTCTGTTTGCCCATTAGCTATTGACGGAACTAGCCTCTTATTTTGCACGTATACCAAGTCACTCACTGTATCATACTTAATTTGCTTTGACCCTGAAAAAGTTTTGCGTTCAGTTTAGCAAAGCTAGGGTTACATAAAGGTATTCAGAACTTCTTGATAATCGGAATGAAGAGATTAGATTCAAGATTAGAATCATGCTTGAAATATTTAAAACCTTTCTTGTTATTGTAGACGCACCTGAGAGCGATCGCCATGCAAACAGAGCGAAAAGAAACGTTCATCTTGATATTGCTTCGGTCCCCCTGCACGAGGAATTGGTAAAGGCCGAATTTCGTGTGTTTAACAATCGTTACGGTTCAGAAGAAGCTATCGGAAGGAATATCATCAATGTTTATCAGTTGATTGCCCCAGGTGTAAGGAAACTACTCGATTCAAAGATTGTCAATGCTACTTCAGTTGGATGGCAAAGCTATGATGTGCTTCAAGCTGTGCAGCATTGGCATAAAACACCAGGCGAAAACTTTGGCTTGGAGATGGAGGTAATGAGCGAAAATGGGAACCCTACTGATATATCACATTTACATTTTGACAAACCTCATGATATGGACGATGATCAATGGCCCCATCAGCGACCTTTACTAGCTCTGTATTCTCGCGACCCTAATACTCATTTGCATAAAAAGCGGGAGCGACGGAGTGCTTCACAATGGAGCAAGTACAAGGGATTATGTAAACGATTTAGTCTGGTCGTAGACTTCGTATCACACCTTAGTTGGAACTGGGTTGTTCAACCGACGAGATACAACGCTTATATGTGTAGAGGGGAGTGCCGTTACCCGATGGCAGAACACATGAACACCACAAACCACGCAATCGTTCAAACTCTAGTTCATAACGTAAAGAAATATAAAAATAAAGTTCCCGCTGCCTGCTGTGTACCAACTGAATTAATACCAGCCATGTTGTTGCTGAGCCATGACAACGCTATAGAGTTAAAAGATTATCCTGATATGAGCGTCATTGCCTGTGGTTGCCGGTAAATCTATCAAGGAACCAACCTTCGTCTATAAACACACGTGTCTCGAGCCACGAGTGCTCTGTCAAGACATACTTTGGCCTTGAAGTAAAATCCATTAAATCCTCGAGCATAAAATCGCAATGAACGATTGAGGAATGTTATGGTTGTGTCACATCAACAAGCTTTTGTAAGAATTTCTAGAGTCAAGGACATTTGAGAATACGAACTAGCTATCAATCCGTTGGTAACCTTGTATTGCTTGAATAGCCTAGAAAACTTTAGTCTGCATGGTCAAGAATTATTCTTTAAATTTGATGTTTTAACCCTGGCTGCACGAATTTTATCCTAAGCAATTTATTTTTCCAGACTCGTGTATAAAAGAGCAACCTTTTTCAATTCCATATATCATAATATAGCTAAACTTTTTTGTGGTGTGACCACGTTATACACAAAAGACAATACTTGGTAACTATAAATGTCTATAAAACTTTGAATCAAACATTAATTTATACTGTATAATTCATTAGAACATTATTATAATTTACATAACATTGTATAGTGTATATTAAGGCATATTTGTACAGCATTTTGTAATATAATTACGATATTATTATTGCGGTAAATCTGAGTCGGAGACGTGTGAGTGAGTGTGAGTGATTTCATTCCTTATCGGTATTATGGAAGTCCCTGCTTTGAATTCCAACACCTTTCCAACAATCTTCACACGTTCCTAATTAAGTAGGCTGGACTTAATTGTTCCGTTGTTAGCAATCGGCTTCGAGAATGTGAATGTCATTATATAAAGTATGATGAAGTCGAGTTTTACTCAGTAGAAAGGCATTATAGGATATTCGTATAATCGGGATGAATTCTTTTTTTCTGGCTAAAAATAAGATGTATCTGTTCCTAGTGATCCACGATCCGTTAGAGAGAATTATTGAACTTGCCCTCCACACATTTTACCCAGTAAGGGGTCTAGACACAGGGTAAAGATCATTATCCTCTTCACTTTATGTAGAGGAATGAAATGCGATTTAATATTTTGCACTGAGACTTCTGATCGATATAGAAATACACAAGGATCCAGTTGAAATGTCTTCACATCACTGGGCAGTCTGCCGCATGCACAGTGATCAGATATCTACCACAAGGAATGTTGAAATTCCAGATGCAGTCATGCACAGACCGTTCAGGCGACGAACAATTATGAGAGCTGGCAACGCAGATGATGAAAGAGCAGAAGTACTCGTTTTCTTATCCTCGTTGGACCAGCCTTAGTATTAGGAATTCCGAGGAATTCCGCGTCTAATCAACTTACGCCGAAATTATAACTTGCGCAATTAATAAGGTGTTCGCGTTACGCAAATAAATGAAGTAAAAAATAACTGCGTGAATATCTGACGCAGTTGAGTGCAGAGTTAGTGCCAGGTTAATCGACTGCGTATCTTCTTAACAGCTTAAGGTTCGTATGCCTAGTGTGTTTACCAGTATGCAAAGTTTTAGACTAATCAATAAACGAAGACATATTTCAATACCCTCCTACTCAAATGACGCGAAAGCCTTTGATGACAGTTTAATTTTGACCTCCTCAGCGGGTCAATTTTAACAAATATTCCCGACCTAAATTGTGTTGGATGATTTGCGACTTCCTGTGCGATGACCACGTGCATGCGCGTGGATGAATCACTCATCCTATCACTTATTTCATGTTGTGCTATTAGAAAGAACTAAGAGAAAAAACTAAATGGTTGTCCTCAATTTTGCCATCAGCTACAAGTCAACCACAGAGACATCATTGAAAGACACTTGGATTAATAATTATTCCATTTTCACTATGAACTTTTAAGTCCAATCCAGGAAAGCGTAAATTTAAAAAACAGCGTCATATTAGCCATCCAATAAGGTCCTCTATAATCGGGTGTTAAGTCTAAGGTGCTTTTGTTTTCATGGGTGAACCGCTAAAAAGGATTTCGTTGCGAACAAAATTAAAGGTACCATCGCAAACTGACTCGATCATGACCACGTTAGGTTTATTGTATTTGATTGTATTTATTTATGTTTGGGTTTACTGACGCAAACTTTTTCTCCTGTAGTGCGCTGCCAAAAGTGAACCCACGCGCTGCAGAATATATAACCCACACACTTGAGTTGATATCTTTCAGATATCTTTTTTAGGTTTGAACGACAAAAATTACAGCAGATTATTGTCGGACTGTTATAACCATGCATGCGTTCCTGGCCTTGAAAGACAATCATAACTCATGGTTTTGCCAACGGGAAAATACCTGAGGTTAAGTAAGCTCTTGTAAAATGACGAATTGTCAAAGCCATATTTGTGGTTAACCAATTACTGCAAGTCACAGTAAAACACTAGTGTATATCTACTTGAACCCTTCCTTTGGTCATGTCATGCATACACTAATGATATCACGTGTACCAAACAACTTGGAAATTCGGAAGACTTTTAAGGCTAGAAACTAGAAACCAATTAGGCGTGATTAATAGCGAGACACCAGCACTAACTGAATTAGAGAGGGAATTCTTCCCGTCGTATTATCGCAGCTATAGTCGTCCCTATTTCATCTATCTTTTTAGACTTCCCAATTTTATCAAGGCTAAGTGACCATTCTTAGTGACCATTATACACAAGTCTGTGGTTGTACGTAAAAAAAATCTACTCAATTTTCTTAACAATAGAACAGAAATTCTTCCAGTGATAAATCATTAAAACATGCAAGTTATAAATCATGTATTTTTAACTGCATATAATTTGGCTTGATGGAAACAAAACTCTTTGACGAAAATAGAAACAAAATATTGACAACTTGATTGGATTAATACAAGTTATAAATCGACGAGGTGGTATGCCATGCATATATACGTGCATGCCATATAGCCAAAACATAGTCAGTGACAACGCATGTGAGATTGTTTATCTAGCTTGGTTCTTGCAATTTCAACTGCTCGTAAAAACATGATAAATCAAATCCTCAGACATATTCAGAAACTAAAAGTATGCAGACGAAAGAAAAATAAGTATACGTATCTTTACGTATAGATTACATGATAGATTTGAAGTTTGAACGAAATGGTTACCCACTAAAAGATAAAGACAGTTCTAAACTGTTTTTGTTCTAAATCGCCGGTCGGTCCTGTGGCAATGAATAATAACTTTTCTTATACCTGGGGAGTGAACAACTCACATTAGAGAATATTGCAGATAGCGCTGGGGTATTACACGTCTAAAATTGCCACACACAAGGTAAATCTTCAGCGATGAAGAGTTCGCGCTCTTCGAAAGAGCCCCAAACTTATATAAACATTGGCATATGGAATCTATGGTTATTGTAAGCTAAAATTAGCCAAAGTGATAAGCATTTTATAGATAAGCAAGGGCACTTTCGTTGTGTCAATATTTTGCAATTTTGCGCAAGTTGCTACACGCTGAGGTGAAGTTAATTTTACAGTGGACCGAGACCGCCTTTGTGTGCCGAAAATACAGAAGTGTGTTTAACCACACATGAAGGATTCAATGCAATACATCATCATTGATCAAATCAACAAGTTAATAATTGAGAAACATAACTCCTAGTCGTGGGAACCTGGGGAACTGGTTTGTGTGACATGATAGTGGAATGGACTGCTTGCTCTAATTTGAGACATTTCAGACAAGCTCCGTTCTTTACAAGTCAACCACTTCATCTCAGAAACAATTGTACCGTTATCTTCAAGTGTAGAACAATATTTCGCCAAAACATCGGATTCAAAGCATTTTCGTGACAAATTGTAGCGGTTTAAAGAAGGAAATAACTGCAGCGCACAAAATCAATGAGTGACCTATGGGGCCATGTAACTTTTAACAAAGGGATTAACAATCATGTTTTAAACACCGTATGTCAATTGGTCATTATCGTTAATCGAAAAACAAGTATACATTTAATATTCCAAATAGATTTAAAATTCTTGAGTTATTTTTGGTCTTTTTCCACTCAAACCAAAACCGCAAGAAATTCAGTATCGGCAACAGATGGCGGACAGAAAAAGGATCTGTCAAATGTGTGTGAAAACGGATTTTACTCGTGGCGATTCGTGTCATGACCGGCTACCGGTTCGGCAAACTTGTTTTTAAAAGAGCAGAGAGGTTAGATAGTTTGTTTACATACCTTTCTTGTGCGATTTTGCCCCCACGATGGCCGCTTTATAACATAGTGAAAATTAAATTAGGAAAACGTCATTAAATTCCATTGATTATATTGTTGCTAAAGTATGTAAGTTTGATCATGTCTAAGATTATATCTGAATATCTTGTGTTTGTGTTACTAAGTAGTGCCCTTTTACGGAGTTCAAAATCATAGTATATTTAATTTCCTTATCGACTATAGTTTGTGTATTCTACAGTATTTACTTTGGAAATTTTACTGCGCGTATCAGTAACGAACCTTGACGAAAGCAAAAAGCGCATCAAACTAGCATTTCTATCAAGAACTTTACACCCTTAATTTTTTTGACATGATTTTGCATGAATAACTTGAGATCACTCATCGTGGTCATATTTTTTCCCCTGTAAGTTCATTATTGTGTCTCATTTTGCGTATTCGCCTAAATAGGATTACGATTTTAAACACTCCATTCATATGCGCAACAAACGTTAGTTTTACTGCAAAAATGGGAGGAAATAATCCAACTAGCGCGCAAGCATCTTTCTGGAAAACCTTCGCATGACTACATCATGATCAACACACCCTCAGAAAAGTAGGATTAGACCTCGATAAACCTTTATGAATAAACTAGGGATGGATGACTCAAACTGACTTCTTGAACTACATCACTTTTGTGCAAGATGATATTTTTCACAAAAAGTTAACGAAATATTTTCACAAGAAGTTCACTTATCCAGAGATTTGTCTGACGTCACTCGGTGGTTGCCAAGGTTACAGGAGAAGAAACAATATGGCGGCCCGAAAGACGGTAAAAAAACCTGACAAAACGACAATTTTACCTCCCCTAACCTCAAATTATGTTCGACCGAAGCAAAAATCTGGCAAAAAGTTAGGGAACTTTGGAGCTTATATTCTATTACCTTCGTTGGATCCTGTGCAAAATATGAACGCTATTTACGATGTTAGAATGTTTTGTAAACGTCTTTGTGAGAGGTATCTCGCTTGGAAAGTTTGGCAGAGAGAAGTGTTACTGTGCAGTTTGTCTGAGAAATGTTCCGTTAATTTATTAACATCGTTATCTACCATACTGGAACCTGTATTTCATCGGGATTTTGTGTCGAGATTGCATGGTAGATACCCCGATTTTCAACCAAAAATTTTGTGTGTGAAGAAAAGATTAAAAAGAGTAAATAAAAGCATTGACGTTGAGGTTGAAATCGACAAGAAGACATTAGATAATGTAAATGACAAATCAATGGTTGATAATGTAAAATATGATGAAGGTAATGAAATATCCACAGAACAAGTGGAAGCAAGTATTGGGGAGCAACTGGATGATAACAACAGATTACCATTAACTGATTTGATAAAAGAAAGTTTAGTAAAAGCTGATAAAGAAGCAAGAAATATAACAAATGCCACAACATGTGAAGCAGACAAGTGTAGGTCTTGCCACGTTCACACTGCAAATATTTACAACCAAGATACAGGCACAAGATTTTTCTCTGCATCACGTTTTAAAAGACTAAGCGAGATGAAAGCAAATTGTTCGCATAAATCCAGGTCAGAGCTTGGGCCACGTATCAGTGAGTTGGATCAAAAGTGTTTTAAGCATCGTCGGTGGTGGTCAGCAGATCCAAAGGAGAAGCGTTTAGTTCCAGCGAAAGGTTTAAGTTTATGGAAATATTTCAGTCGACAGCTAAATGAAGTGAATGAGGTGATTGTGCTTCTTGAAAATTTGATTGTGAGATGTTCAAATATCTTGACTTGAGAGAAGAAAGGCGTTAATGCTAAATGAATATAAGTTGGTCTAAATAGGAGTGCACCTCGATCTCCCCATCACCTGTAAGATATGGCTCTGAGGGGTAAATTTTTTTTAATTTTATAATGAAAATGAAAAGAGAATGGTAGCATGTGGTGATCATGAAAGAGTTCATATCATTTCTGAAGTCATCAAATCATCAGATCCAGAGCAGATTAATTTTTTTGCTCAATGTCTAATACAAAGGTAATGTACGTAGATAAGTTACTTCACTCTTGTGCATGCTTCTGCCACCTGTAGATGGTATTTCCTTCTTGTCTTTGCATTCCCTCCTGTCGATCATTCTCTTTCAGTCTAAAAATGTCAGTTTTCAATCCTGCTCTTTGTCTTTAAAGTATATTTTAAAGTGCATTACATTCTATCTTTACAGACTGAAAGATCACACTGACCTGAGCATCCTTCCTGATCAAACTCTTCTCAAGATATTTTCCACACTTGATGCAAAAACGTTATGCCAAATTTCTCAGGTTGCTTTAATTAGTCATAATTTGTCCAGGTTAGATCAGAATTTCTAAGTTTAACTTTTTGTTTGCATGGCATCAAAGGTGTCAAAAAGATGGCGATATTTAGCTGAGGATGGAGAATTGTGGAGGAACAAATGCCGTCAGTTAGGTTAGACAGAAATCTGCTCTAAATCTTCAAAGTATATTTTTCAACTAGCTAAACAATGTAGCTTTAGTTTCTATGTATATTTCACTTTTTCTTGCCTTGAAATTCCATCAAACACCATCCTTAATTTAGGATTATCAAATGGGGTCAATGACCTGATTGTCTTGATTGAGAAATCTGCTGAGAATCACACAATCGACTGGAAACAAGCTTATCAAGAGGTATTGAAATTATTTCAGCGATCTACACAACAAAACGAGAGTCAAGTCAAGATTCAAGAGGATGAGGATATTGAAGGTTGGTTTTGATTAAGATGTGCGCATGTGTGGTAAAAGTTAAAGAATAAAGTTTATGACAACTACATAGATTTCTCTGTGGTAGTTTTAGAACCAGTGGAGCCTACGAACGCATCATCAGAGTCTCAAATAAGTAAGTTTTATGTATCTATATAAATCAGCTTGTGTTCTGGAGTGAACGAGGATTAAGACTCACGTTTTTTTGTCTGTTTTATGCCATTTTTCACAGCTCAAATAACTTCTGAAAATGACGAAATTAGCGAGCAGGAGTTAAGTACAACAACAGGTGATGCTTTAATGGAGCTTAAACTAATTGTCTTTTAGCGCTCGAAATAGTTGAGTGTCGCGTGATAGGGGAATGCGTTGGAGTATGACTTGCATTTGTTGTTTGACGTGAGAAGTGAAGAGAGTGACAAATGACGTAGCAGAAAAGCTCACGTCAGAAACCTTGCTTTCTTTCCGGTTTGTCTTTATAATCAGGGGCTTCACCTTGCAGGCGTAATGCGCTTTATACGTTGTGTGATTTGAACTTCTCTTTTCCAACTTTCTGCACGTAACAGCTGACATTCAGGTGGAGTATTTTGATCTGACGCCCGTTTCGGACGGTGATGTGGCGTCAGGACCGAGTTCACCTGTTGATGATTTGGTGGGAGGAAATATGACCATGTTGGAAGACGTTTTATCTGAATTGGGTGATGATGGAAAGCAAAAAGTAGAAGTCCATGAAGAAATAGCTTATGATATTAGACCAAATAAAATACAACCACTAAACGAAATGGTATGTTTTCCTTAAAAGGCCTCATAGCATTTTCACACAGGCTTTAGTTCTATTCAACCTTCTCGCCCACACGACACACCCATGGTAAAATCCTTTTATTTCCAGGAGGATTTTGAAAATGGCAATCATCAGCTGGTCACAGTTGGTGTTCATGATGTCAAGTCTGTGAAGAGAGTTCGCAAGCTTCAGGTGTGAAAAAAGACTTAAGCAAATAAAGCAATCCACGTCTTTCATAAACCCTTCATTTACGCTGACTTGATTCAATATTCCAGGGTCATATGGATGGCGTGTACACTGTGCAGTTTGATCTTAAGAGATGTTTGACCGGATCCGCTGACCGTATTTTGAGGTATGATTTAGTGCAATCTTTCGTGAAATGTTGTCTGAGTATTTTCAGGCGTTGAAATGATGAAAGAGATGATCGTAGAAACACACACTTCTTTTTTTTCTCCCATAAAAGTTGGTTTCAGGGAATGTACTTGGTTAAACTAGGAAGGGTATTTTAGATCTTTGATTCGCAAATTCGACACGACTTGTATAATTTAGGATGTGGGATGTCAGGACTGGACGATCGATTAGAACAATGATCGGTCATTTGGTGAGTGTGTTGATGTTTTAAAACATGGATGCAATAGTTAAGATCTTTCTCCATTCATTCGTTCGCTTTCGCGACATGTTTATAGACAAAATTTGATTCGTCTTCAAACGACATCTTTATAGACAAATTGATGTTCTTCCTAGGGCGGTGTTCGTTGTGCACAGTTTGATAATGAAAAGATCCTAAGTGGGTCATGGGATACAACAATTATGGTATGAACCAATGAGTTTATTATGTCTTTGAAGCACCAGGAGAAAGAAAGAATGTAATTTTATTTTTAGATTTGGGATGTTGTAAAATTCACGTGTATTCGTATTTTGCGTGGTCATCAGGGATGCGTGTCTTGTCTTCGTTTTAATTCAAAATATCTGTGAGTATATTTCTGTTAAATTTGTCATTTTGTTCCCCATTCAAATGATTCAATGTTCCTGCTACGAGGATGACAATATCTTTTTCTGTAGTGCAAGTGGTTCTCATGATATGACTGTCAGGATATGGGATGTGGATACATGGGAGTGTTTACGTGTTCTTGAGGGACATACAGGTACACTAGTTGTTATTACAGTTACTAACGCTTGTCATCTCTCGTCATGTCTGAACGTCAATTATTTTGATTTCATACAGGTGAAGTGACGTGTCTATTCCAGGGTAGAAGAGTTTTGCTCACTGGTTCCACAGACAAGTAAGAAACAACTTTCTGAGGTTGTGTGGCATCATCATCCAATATACAAACGATATTTGTTTGATTAAGGACTATCAAACTGTGGAATGTTGAAAGCGGTGAATGTGTGAAGACTTTGCTAGGACATAACAGCTCTGTTCTTGCTGTCCAGGTTCGTTCTCAACGTTATTTTAGTCTTGACTGAGTAAAGGATCGACTACTTCTTTCCCGCCACTTAAAGTCATATTCTCCCCAGGTCTGCCGTGCCCTCGTCATCAGTGGCTCTGAAGAAGGCAAAGTAATGTTCTGGGATATCGAACAAGAGTCACCTGTGGCGATTATTCAAGCTCATGACGGACCATGTAACTGTCTGTATGTTTGGGGTAGTCATTTTCTTTCAGGGGGAGGGTAAGCAACACTCCATTCTTGTTCTTATTAATTTGTTTGAAAAAATGATCAAGTATGAAGGCTGAGCCAGTTTTTGACCAATATTTTTAGAGATGCTTTAGTGAAACAGTGGGATATCAGTACCATGACGTGTCTTCGAACTTTACAAGGACACAACGGGCCAGTGCAGGCTGTCAAGGTGAGTTTGAGTTGACGGAATCATTGCGTTAGCTATAGTTTGGACGTAAAAAAAGTATAGTTTGGACATAAAGAATTGTTCACATCAGTATTCATTGCCCTCTGAGAAGGTGATGCAAAATATGGCTGGGCAAAATTCGATGAAAAAGTCGCTTCGTGAATTTAACGAATGTTTTCCTAGATGAACTGGAGTAAAATCATTTCGTCCTCCGAAGATGGAACTGTTCGAATTTGGGATTTAGAAGCGCCTGTTCATAAGGTGGGGAACATTGGATGCAGCTAACTAGTCGAGTCTTGTTGTAGAATGAAAATATCAGTTTATTCATGTACCTTTCAAAAACCTGTTTCCGCGTCTGGTTGTTCACCGGAAACTCATTGCAAGAAAAAATTGGCTTGTGACGGTTTATTATAACTCCAGGGTTAAGCGTCTAATACTCTTCCTGTTTCTAGCTTCATCGTCAGTACAATAAATTGGAAAACTCTTTGCTCCCTTTTGATACATTGGAACAAGACGATAACGAGCCGTATAGGATGCCGTGATGGTGATGGATATAGAGGAAGTTGGTGGATGTCAATGTGCAGTATGTGAAACCTTACCCCTTTATATCTATTAATATACCTTTAGCACAAAATGCGCGCCCAATAATTATAGCCACGAAAATGATAGCTATTATTTAGGCAACTGTCGATTGCTATGGTGACAATATGTAAATATGTGTAAACAGTTTGAATTGAAATATCTGCAAAGGTATGCGAAATATTTAACTGAGAACGAACGTATATGTATAAAATGTATATAAATATAGTGAATCGTAATGGAGATGAATTTAAAACTACGACTTAGCTGCGAAATTACAAGGAAAAAGAAATAGATTAAAACGAAAAGTACGAGATATATGTTTAAAGAAATTCCGATTATGAGTTTGCATTGGCATTGCATGAATTGATCGAATTTTTCTTTCGGTTTTAATCATTCTCTGAGACGTGCCTCTTCTTAACGTCAACAAACAGAGTTTGATTTATGAAGACTTTCAGTTTATTGGATAACAAAAACATAGTTTGATTGTTTGACAATTAAAACAAGTCAAAATGACGGTATGTTAAAAAAACAAACGTTCACAAAGTCTGGGTATGCTCTTCTTGGCAGGAAAACAATCAATTCATAAACTTTATCGTTTTTTTCAAAAGCAACATCCTGAGTGTTTTCATTCTATTCAACAATCCTGCTGCTTTCTTGTCAACCGCACGACGTGATATTCTAACTTCCCGCGTGGCATATAATATACTAACACAATATGATATGGTCACATTTGTCGATCGATAAGGTTATCAACAAATTTTCTATTTTGGTGTTAATTACTCAGATCTTTTTCTAGAAGCTTTTAGTTTGAATTAAAAAAAACATTTTTAATGCAATCGTTGTTTTCGCCTTTCTATATTGTTCAATTAAATATGATAATCTGTTCGACCCGACCTTAACTTATGGCTTTTTTTATAAAGAGAATGGATTTGGAATGTGCTTTAATTCTCTCTCCGTTATACAACACTTTAAGATACGAACGACTTTTTTGAACTGTTCATCAACAACTGTTTCAGTTTGCGATGATGTTTACAAGAACTCTTCGGCCAACGCACTTAGAAATTAATTGTGTTTGTACAGCACATTTCCGCTCTCGTTTAGCTTCCTTAATCCGCTTTTGTGTAGGAGTGACAGTAACAAAGAATGTAAGAAAATACCTTGGGAAGTTGATAAATTAATCTGATGAGTTTCGAAGTGTAAAAAATACAATTTTATTTCATCAAACATTATTATAACTTTTACATGGAAAAGTTGACTTATCAGTTGTAGCTATCTTCCAAAATTGTCTACATCCACTTATTCTACTACAATTACAATGGATCAACGTGTTTTCACTGAACTAAAGTCTAGCTATAGCCGGGAAAATCCAAAAATTGACCTTTTCGTGTTTTTTCACCGCTTAAATTCCCCTCAACTTTCATTCCATTGAAACGTTGTTGAAGTTCAATGACTGAGGTTGATCTACGAAAGTTTGATAATCGTTCCAAAGTGCTTCGTCTGTGCTCTCGCGAGAGTTTAAGACCTCGTGATTGTGTTATCCACGGGTGGTCCAGAGCGTCGCTTGCTGTAATACGATCATTCTGATTCTTCACCAACATCTCTTGAATGAGGTCATTGGCTAAAAATGATACAGGCTCTTTTTCGTCCGTGCCAAGAAAATCAACTTCAGAGCCGATGATTGCTAAAAAAAGTTTGTTCGTATCTTCGGACCAAAACGGAGGCGATCCATAAAGAAGAATGTACATGATTACTCCACACGACCAAACGTCTACAGGATACCCAAGCGCTACTTCCATGATCGTCTCTGGCGCTAAGTACAACGGGGCTCCGCTAGGAGCACATTCCATGCGATTCTTTCCATTTTCAAGTCTTCTCGCAAGACCAAAATCGACGAGTTTCACAACGCTACTCATTTCCTTCTGATACAACATAATATTATCTGGTTTCACGTCACGATGGATGATTTTATTCACATGCAAATAAGCCAGCGCACTAAGAATCTGTTTGATGTACAGACAAGCGTTTGTCTCAGTATAAGTTGATTTTTTCAATATCTCATCGAAAAGGTTATTTCCTGGTACCAACTCCATGACGAAAAAAAATCGGTCGTTTTGCAAGAAGCATTCGAAAAGTTTCGCGATATTTAGATGTTCCAAACCATTCCAAACCTTTGCCTCGGTTAATGCTCGTATGTACGAACTATCCTCGAAATTATCTTGAAAAGAGACTTCTTGTATTTTCACAGCATATTCTGCTCTCTCTTCACCTTTTTTACAGCATTTGTACACTTTCCCAAATGTGCCGGCGTTCACGTAGTTCACGTAGGTATATTTTGACTCAAAATCGTTGTGTATCTTCAATTCCTTAGGCTTAAAGGGCGAATTAGTTGAACTTTTTGTCGTCAACATTGTTTCCCTAAATGAATGCTAGCAGCTAACGCTGTGTTTTTATGTGGGCGACCTTCGGAAATACCTGCTGTGTGTGTTTGCTTAGATCAGTCGGAATACAGCGAGCCGACGGAACTAGATTAATCGGTTAAATCAATTCCTACTCAAAACCAGTTCCAATTTGCCAAACCAATCACAGAGACGAAGCAGGTAGAAGCAACATAAAGCTCGCTTGGTTCAAGACAAAAGACAAAATCATATTTCACAACACATTCAACCATTATTTTCACAAAATATGCGAGATGTTGTATTTCACACTTTAAATATAATCCTCTCCATACCATTGCTTAATTCCTTTGCGGTAGAAACAGGAAAATTGAATGCATATGACTTTGTTTTCATTTCGCTGTGACCTTGAGAGTATAGGTTATGTTTTCCGATTGTGCTTAGTTGATGGAAATATGGATTGTAGCAGCAATGATTACTTGCTTGTCATCATGAACATGCCTGTCAACAATCAGAACATTTTTTCGGTCGATCCAAAGACGAGATAAGATGAAGCGGATGTGCGCGCATTACTAGTAGACGGAAATGAACGAGTGGTCTCGGAAAGCGAAATAAGAATTTATAACAGACTGGAGCCCCAGTTTTTCACTCATTGGGAATGTTTTAATAGTAAATTGTTGGTACTTCATACTGATCTAGATCCTACGAGTATCCTCAATATTTTCTTTGATTCAAACTGAACTTCAACTCAATATTGATTCAAACTGAAAAACTGTTTTTTTTCTTTCCCTGCAAGCACATCATTTTGCCTGCATCATTTTAAATCAGTTTTCAAAAAATGTCATGGTTGGTTTATGTTATATGCCTGATGGTCACGCGTTACTCCTGGCGATAAGAATGATTCTTAAATCATTCTATGTTCTTGTCATGTTGATCAGTGACTAATGAATGCTTTGTTTTGCGTCAAGTCAAGACGCTGTAAGATGTCTGTTTGTTTGCACGAATCAGTAGAGTTATAGTGTTTCAACTTTGGTATAATCATAATTTGCAACTTCAGTCACAACAGACCTCCTTCATGGAGTCTGTTGATTATTCCATAACGTTATTTTATGTAGCAATTTCTATAAAATTGTAACATCTTTCCAAACTACCAGAGTTGCAGAAGTTTCACAAGCTTGATCGACTTGCCATCATAGCAAGTTTCGGTGAATCATATTCGATGATATAAAATACTCACCAGTTCTATATAGTTTTATCAAATCTACTTCGAACGAGACTTAGAGCAAGTCTAAACCTGCTACAAACCGGTGGACTATAAATGCTGATGCAGCGTTTATTACCGCATTAGTTAAAGGAGCAGGACTGGTGACGAGAATGAGCCTGCGATGCAGCCCTGAATGTTCGAAGAGAACTCCCCTCCTTTCTTTTCCTTCATGTGGCTGGTTTAGAAATAGTTTGGTAAATTTCCTTTATTTTAACATGAAATTTCTTCCATAATCTGCCAGATTTCCCCGCTGTTTTTGGCCTTAGTAGATAGCTAATATTCCACTATATTTTATGTCCAAAGCCTATTTTTCCAAGATGCAAATTTTCGTCAAAACCTTGACGGGAAAGACCATTACTTTGGAGGTATGAGCTTCCATTTTTTGTTATGTCCACGTGTTGTTGGGTTGTGTATGCTGGTTATCGTGTGTGCTTTTGATTTAACATTTAAACGTTTTCTAATGGTTAGGTTGAACCCAGTGATACTATAGAAAATGTGAAAACTAAAATTCAAGACAAAGAAGGTATGTTTGAATGATTATATCCTAATGAAAGTATGAATTGTTTGCCTAAAAATGTGTGTTTTGACAATATGAGTGTTCAAGTTGAGGAAGGATGATATATGATTCCTTCCAATATGAACTCGTGCACAGCAAATGCTCTGGCTTCTCAAAGGCATAAGAAATTTTATCAAGTAATGACTATTAAAGTTGTACTAGGTAGTTGACTCATAATATTAGATTATACTCAGGCTATTTATTTGACAACAAATAACATTTCATTGGTGCATCATCCACAAACATAGCTAACTGTAAACGTGCTTTCAATCTAGGTATTCCTCCTGATCAGCAAAGATTGATCTTCGCTGGTAAACAGTTAGAAGATGGTAGAACTTTGAGTGATTATAACATTCAAAAAGAGTCAACTCTCCATCTTGTTCTTCGACTCCGTGGTGGAGGCAAAAAACGAAAAAAGAAGACTTACACAACACCAAAGAAGAACAAGCACAAAAAGAAAAAGGTAAACTGGAATTTATAAAAAAGCTCTTACAATGGAGTTGGACTCTGTTTTTAATCAAACTTTTCGCTCACCTGACCTAAATGTTTGATCCCGACTCCATATTTGATCAGGAATTTTTCTTTTTTAAAATCTGATCTTTTTGCGTTCAGGTAAAACTTGCTGTGCTCAAGTATTACAAAGTAGATGAAAATGGCAAGATCACTCGTTTAAGACGAGAATGTCAATCAGAATCCTGTGGTGCTGGTGTTTTCATGGCTAGCCACTTTGATCGTCAATACTGTGGAAAATGTCACCTCACATATGTTTTCAATAAGCCCAGTGAAGGCAAATAGATGCATTTGATGTGAAATAAATCTAAAAAAAAATCATTTTTCATTTGCTTTTGCTTTCCTGTGTCCAAACAAATGATACCTCCAACTCAACCTCTGTTCTCTTCCAAACCAGGGTAAGTAATGGGGTGGCTGTGGTCGAATCTTGCTGAGCGCAATTAATGATAATTAGAATGCGTCACAATTAACGGTTGGCTTTTAAAAGCGAACTTGAATGTTAGGTTCTTTCCAAAACTAGTAATGGCTGAAAAACCAAATGACATCTTGCACGATTTTCACGAAATCCTCCAACGATGTTGCAAACTTGAAGATACGCTTCTGAGAAACGTGGAACTGTTAAACTGCATAAAAAATAACAAAGCAAACGCGACAAAAGACCTGGAAGATGGCAAGGAAAAACTGCTGGTTTTAAGACATAAAACAGACGAGCTTGAATCAGAGATGAAAAAGTTGACAACAAATGATTTTATAAATAAAGAATCGGACTTGGAATCGCTAGAAAAACGCTGCGCGAAAACTGAGAAAATCTATGAAAAAAGCAAAGAAAAATTTCAGCAATTGTTGGAGGAGATTGGAGAAGAAAAGTAGAACAAGTGTAGCTGTAATTTACTTAAAACTATTGAATATTGACATAAATATGTACATTGTTATAAATATTTTTTCTATGCATTTTTCTTTTTAATAATAAAACTACTACTCGCTTAAATTTCTACTAAAATCCTGAAGAAGATCATGTACTTCTTTAGTGGCTGTCACTTGAGACCTAACATGTGACAGATAGTCTGAATAAACATGTGGTGGTAGATCAGAGGTCGGAAGATCCGGATTGCTTGTGAACTTGGTACTTTCATAAGCTTGGATATATGCAGTTCTTGCAACCATCTACAAATAAAAGAATCAAGCAGTTTCTAGCTGTATAATGGAAATCTATTATAATCATGACCAATATGAGCTTACAATATTTGTTTCTAAAATGTCACAAGTATGGTGGAATTCTTCCAGTGCTTTTGCAAACTTGATATTTTGTTGCTCCAAAGTTATTTTTCTGTAATTGAATCAAGACAAATTAGTACAAAAACCCATAAAAAAATACAACAATATTACACTAGCACACTAACCCATCAGCTGTATCAACAGGTTCACCAGATGACTGTAACTGCACAACAACACTTGCCTGCTCAAATAAACTCTGCAAAATAAGAGCTATGATTTTTAACCAGAAGGAGAGAGACTTGTTGTGCTAACCTTTGTTCAAATTATTCTTCAATATGATCTTGAATATTCTTCTGACCATACCGTAACAACCTCTTTTAACAATGAAATTGATGACTTAAGCTTGGAAACTGGATCATCTGACTCCTTGGATTTATTAGATGGTTGAGCATTTGAACTGGCAGTTTGTTGTGGCTGACTGGTTGGTGGCAATGCAGCCATGTTGGAATATTTTCAACTCAAGAAGAATAGAAACTATTCTGAGATGCTACTTTGTAAGAGCTATTGTAACAAATACGCAATCTTTCGTAAAGTGATATTTATTAATAACGAAGAGATGAATTTTTAAGGTATGAAATTTGTTCCAACAAAGTTTGTTTATTATAAAAACTTCCCAACAATGAGACCGCGAAGATTTTGTGAAATATGTGGAAACACGTAAGGCGGGAGATGTAAAAATATTGTCAGAAATCAGAGGTAAACAACCAGTAAACAACAACATAGAGCTCAGTTGTAAACAAACAAACAACGGAGAGGTAAACAATAAACAATTGCTATGCGCCTGCGCGGTCAAATTCAAAATGGCGGATCAGAGTACTAATCTGGAAATCCAGGGTTTAGTTGCCAGTTGTCATGGTGGAAATATTTCTACGTTTTCATCGCTTTCAAACGTTCAGTTAGCCTGCAACAAGGAATGGTTTGCTGCTCCATATAAAGACAATTCTTTTGCAATATGGAAACACAGAAATACAAGCATAAGTGTAGGTACATTTAATTATAAATAAAATGAGAAGAAGTTTTTTTGCAACTTTGTTTTAATTGTAGACAATTTGAAATTGTAAATTTTTACTTATCTGATATAGCCTGTCGTTTTGTCTGGTCACAGGAAGTGTGTTACAGCATTGTGTTTCGGAAATAAGACTGAACCAATCTCACTTGCAACTGCTTCTGAGGACTGTGTTCTCGTCTGGTTCATAGAGAACAAATATGATTTGGATGGTAAGTGTCAGCAACCAGCAGGGGCTGGCTGGTAGCCTAGTCAGGGTGTGACCATCACATATCATCCCAACAGCTTATGGTAACAATTTGCCATGGTTTTCCAAGCTATTATAAGCAATCCTGGGTCCTGCCTGGATGGGACCATATGAATTATTACAGGCCCTATAAACTTGCACCTGAACTAGTCCTGCTTTCTCTTTCTAGAAGACTTTTGCACAGAGCTCCAAACTATAACTGTTGCAAAAGACTTGGGTTATGTACAGCACCTCAGTTTTAGTAATTGTGATGAGATGATCAGCATTTGTGTTGGCAATGAAGTTTGGGTTATAGAAATTGAGGTAAGTTAACCCAAACCTAATACTATAGTATTGCAATATTCTGAGAACCATTTTTTGTTTTGATTAAAATTACTTAATTATGTTGCAATTAAGACATGTGAGTTGAGGACAGTGATTGGTGGTCACCATGGCAATGTTAATGCTTCAAAATTTTGTCCTGTCTATGATGCATTGCTTGTAACAATTGGGGAGGATCGCACTTTTAAGGTAATTAATCTTAATCTTATATTGTATAGTGACAGTTTGTATGTTCCACTCTTATGTTACAAGATGCAATAAGCTTTCTGTTCTGCATTTTAGTTGTTTTATATTATATTTATAGGTTTGTGATGTTGAACAGAAATCCATTTTGTATCATTCTCCAATTATTTCTGGTATATAGTGTATTTTTTAATGAATCACGAATCTCAACACCTCAGCTGAATAATTAACCTGAGAGCAAGCTGCAATACATACCTAGAATTTTAAATTTCTTCACAGCGTATCCGTTTCTCTCTCTGGCATTTCATTCAACTAAAAAAGAAGTCTGTCTTGGATCTTCTGATGGCAAGGTAATAATTTCTTTCAATCGATTATTTCTTGTCTTTCCACATGGGAATCACTGAAATCAACTTTCTTTTGTATATGACTCCATTCAGGTTTGGATTTTTTCATTGGACAACCAATATAAGTGTCTTCGTTCAATGGATTTGAATAAATTTCTTGCCCAGCACTTGGAAAGCAAAGAAAGCATAGAGAGTCCAGAGGAGCCAGGACTTGCTGTTATTGGTCTGTGTTACAACTGCATTAGTAAAAATGAAATATTGTCAGCAGGTCACGTAGATTACCATGCTACAAGGTATAGGTACTAATTAATACTTTGCCAAACATTTTTTTTGCTTGTAGGCATACTGTAGTAAAATGATGAACATTGAAATACATGTTGTTTGTGTTTATTTCAGTGAGTTGCTTGAGGTTGCTGATAGTCTGCTCATTTCAACAACAGGCATGCTGTTTCTGGTGAATCTAAATACTTGTCAACCATTAAAGATCATAGATTTAAGAGGTAGATCAAATGTCTTTGTGTTGTTACACAATAAATACAAAACAATACTTCAGCTGTTCAATCATATTTGTCATTTAGAGCCTATTTTTGTTGGTAATGAATGTCAGCCGAAGGAATCTGTAATAGTTTCTCTCTGTGGTTCATGTTCATTTTACCAACAAGAAGAGAAGGTTAGTACTTCAGATTCTTAGAACATCAAAGCATATTTACAGTAGCTGTTGCATTGTTTTACATCCTGTACATATTAACTCATTCAGTTTTTTATTGTTCCAGATCACTTGCATTTTGGGAAATCTTTTTGAATCTTCCCTTCACATCCTGCACATATTCCTGTCTTCAAATAAAGATCACAATTCAAAAAATGTAAATACTGTTCTTTATAACTTGAATATAACCTGACCTGTGAAATACATATATTTATCCCCACGTAAATACATGCATGCCCATCCTTCAAATACACTGAATGTTTAAGTGGTGTTATTTTTTTAGACTGCTACAGAAGATTGTTTCCAAGATGCTGAAGGTGGTTTGACAGCAAGCAACCAGTTGGATAGTCCTGAATTATCTGTTTTGTCCAAGTAATTTAATCCTGCACTATTTTGTGCATGTTTAATTACAATTAAGCTATCATTCATCTCACTAATGCTTCATATTAAATCTTCATTTTGCCAATCAAGAGCTCCACTGTGTCAAAATTCTCCATTGAAGGCTGCGCTTGTTCCAAAAGTCGATCCAGATATTCCAACAAAGAGAACAGTAAAGAGTAAGATATTAAGAACAACCTCTATTATAGCTCAAGTGAGGCTTTTTTCCAGCTGTGATCTGCTCACATTTCTTGGTTCTGTTGTAGAAGATAAGGTGACTACAAAGAAGACCAAACAAGGTGGTCCACAAGATCAGCCAGTCACCTTTAAGACAAAAATCAAATCTTCAGGTTATACAGCAACACCCAGGTAAAAAGATTAGTGTTACAGTCCCCCAAATAAGCAAACAGGAATTTCATCCAGTCAAAACTGAATTTCATCTGTACATTTTTCAGAACTAAAATGTTTTCCCCCAAAGTGACTAGCAGTACTGTAAAACAATCAAAGACTGCTTTTATTCCACCAAAGCCACTTCCAGCAAAGAAGCCTTCATCCAGGTAAGCTGGTGTCTCTCTATGAAGTTCAAGGCAAGTGTTTATAGATTCCTGAGAAAGTTTATGTTCCCTTGCTAGTCAGAAAGAAATCCAGTCAGAGTATAATATACCAACAACACTGAAAGAAAGAATATCTTTGTGTTCCACCCCGGTTGCTGTTAATCAAATAACATATTCAGGTACTGTAATAATTTAGTAGTACATACATCTAAGGTATAAATACAGTGACTTTTTATAGTTAAATCTAACCTCTGTCTTTCCATTCCTAAACTTAGTACTATTATTTTACAATTTCTATCATCATTTCTTAGTACTTTTTATTTTACAATTTTTTCTATCATCTAAAATTGTAGGTAATGGCAATAAATTGGCATGTGCCTTGTCAAACCACACTGCGCATGTTTTGGACACACCCCAAACCAGTAAACAACGAGTATATTCAGGTACATTCAAAATTTACAAGACTTTGAATTGCAATCTAAAAGTCATCTCCGAATTAGATCTTGTTTGGAACATTGGGGTAGATCTATTAACTAATTTATCGTCTTGCACGTGTAGCAGTGCTTTCATAGTACCATTATTTACATGCGGGTCATCCCGTCTTCATATTCCAGGTCATAACGGCGCTGTACAGTCAGTGGATTTCAGTCATGATTGTCAGTATTTGCTGACTAGTTCTAAAGACAATACCGCTTGTTTGTGGACGAGTGGCAATTCTGAACCCGTACTTTCTTTTCAATACCAAAATCAAGCAGCAAATAAGCCGTCCAAGGTCAGTATAGTGCATGCAATACTTGTGAATCAGTTTGAGTTGGCAGATCATATTTCATTAAATTCGGGGATCCAGGCTGGCCCGTTTTGTGGGATTTGCGTGGATTATAAAGATTAGTGATTACTGTAGGCTATTTAATCTTATCTTCCAGGATAATCCAAGTTTCTCAAAGGGAATCAGCCAAGCATTGTTTTACTATGTGGATAAATTCATTCTCATCAGTTCAGGAAATTCTCTCTTTATGTACAAATATTATTTGGATTTTACAAAAGATGATCTTAAAAGATATCAAAGTAAAAGTCACTACAAGCTCGTTACGTCGTTACCTCTTGGAAAAGCACAAACTATAACGAATTTTTCGTGTATTAACGGATTTTTCTCTTATATCCTTTTCTCTACGATAAGCGCTGTTTCAGTGAGAATAATTTCTATCTCATGAGATATAACGAGGAGGGTTTGTCCTTGATAATTCAAAGATATTGTAATATGTGCAGGATCAGATAGATCTTTGGAGATTTTTGATGTGAATGTTAATCGTAGTTTGAAAACATTGGAAGATGTTCATGCGAGGAATGTTCACTGTATTAAAATGAATCAGGTACATAGACTCGTAATCCATTCTTCTCATTACGTCTCCATATCCATCCTTGCTTTCATCACATCTTCTTCTGGTCTCCTCTTCATTCCATAATATCCCTAATCATCTCTTCTCATTACATGTCCATATCATCTCAACCTTGCTTCCCTCATCTTCTCTGCAATGTCTACCACCTCACACTTCTTCTGGTCTTTTCATTCCATAATATCCCTGACCAACTCTCCTTCATCTCCTTTATCACCCGTGTATAGTGTCAACTAAACTAGCTTCTCTCTAATGTCTACCTCACATCATGAAACGTTTGATCTGTTCTACTCAGGGTTCAAAGACGTTCTCCCTCCCTTCCCAAAGTTACGATCTGTTCCTAACTGCGGCAATTGGAGATGGTGTCAAAATCTGGGATTTACGGAGCACAAGGTTGGTAATACTACAGCTAATCATCTCCGAGATTCAATCAGTTGGGGGTGAAGCCCGTTTCTGGATTGACATTATTGCCAATCAGTCTTCGGCTCTTCTCTACTCAGGTGCGTGAGGAAATATGAAGGTCACGTGAATCGTTCTCATCCAATCGGCGTAGCTTGGAGTCCCTGTGCGAAATATTTTGCTGTCGGCGCTGAGGACAAATCGGTAAATATTTGCACACGCTTTTAATAGGGTAGGAAAAGGAAGAAATTGTTGAAGACACGGAATCAATATGTTACTTTCATTACTAGATCTTTAGGAGGATTTGATATCCACTCATCCATTGCGGTCGCACCTGTGTTTATATTTTTCACTCCCCTTCATCTTTTTGTAGACGTACATTTATGATGTTCGACACAGTAATCCTTGTGAACGAATCTCAAGACACAGTGATGTTGTATTTGATGTCGCTTTTCATCCCAACACTTCACAGGTAAAGATGGACGTTTCTTCAGGAATCTTGCATAAAGAGATAGATATGTAACTTACTTTAACGGTTGAAAATGATCAGTTAACAGTCATCATGTAACGGTTGAAAATGATCAGTTATCGGTTAACAGTTATCATGTAACGGTTGAAAATGATCAGTTATCGGTTAACAGTTATCATGTAACGGTTGAAAATGATCAGTTATCGGTTAACAGTTATCATGTAACGGTTGAAAATTATCGGAAAATTATCCAACATAATAAAAACTTTGAGCTAGTTTAAGCCAGGTCAACGTAATCTCCTGTCATGCGTCTTCCTGGATCCGCTGCCCGAAATTCCAATAATTTTTAGCTCTCGTCTGGCTGTGTATAGCGAGAATCCCATCGAACGATTGTACCAAAAATCATCATCTTGATTCTCTTTTAGTTGGTGACATCGACACTGGATGGAAATGTGTTTGTCTACTCAAGCAAAAGCTAGTTTTCACCGAGAGAGAGAGAGGGAGAGACAAACATGAAGCTAAAAATGTCGAACCACGACAGACCGAATAGTTTATGATGGACGGGGGAGGGTTTATGTAACCAAAATCTTCCTCTCCCCCTCCGGTTTCCTAGCATGTGTAACCGGGTTTTCAGTTCTCACGTGTATTTTCCGCCCTCGTTTGAAAAGCCAGGAACTAGGTATCAACGTTTATCCCCTAAATTCATCCGGTTTTGACAGCGCTGCAAATTGTAGGATAGAACAGACGAGCCGGGGGAAACATGGCTTGCAGCGCCAGTAGAGAAAACGTCATTCACGACGTGGCGAGGTTCACATCGTAGCGAGGTTAGAGGGCCTCCCCTTCCTTCAAGAGATTTAGAAAGGCGTGCTAGTTGCGAGAGACACTACCGTGTTTGTTTATGTAATAGCATAAATAATTATGATGACGTAAATGATCTTAAAAAGCGTTATTGTGGTTACATGATCGCGTAACACTTAGGTAAATCAAGTTCACTTAATTGGCCATGAACGAAATATTAATTGTCGTTTAACTTTTGAAAATCTAACCTAAAGTAAGGTCGGAAAACGAACACGACAAATGCTGCTTCGCATTCTTCGAAATGTCGTCATTTTGTTGTGAAATGTTACGAATTCTTGGCCTTGGCCTGACTTGGCTACGCTCCCTAATCCCCTCGGCCCTTCCGTCTTTTCAAATGACGTCACAGTGCGGGCGGATATTCGTCAAACCACACGGATGAACAAAATGCCCGATTTTAGACAGAAAACATGACCGTGCCTAACATGAGCGTGCATTTGAAGACTCTCTAGTGTGTATTTCATCGCTTTATAGTCTTCAGAAGAGGTTATTTCGACGTTGTTTGTATATATGATAGTGTTTATTATGGAAATTTAACATTTTGTTGACAGATAATTTGATTGATTAAATATTCGATCACGTGATCCGTCACGGAAATCGGGCTTTGGGTTGAACATTTGAACTCAAACCGCCGGTAGCCAGATACTTGTTTTCCTATTATGCTCACTTTATCTACAATTTAATCCCTAAAATACGGAGAAACGGGCCTTCTGGTGTACTATAAGGAAAGATAGAAACGTTTCAAGGCTAGCAAGTGTCTTTTTGCTTGAATTTTGTCGCCCTTTTAAACGGTAAGTTTGTGTGTAGATCGATTATTTGTCGCGCTCGAATTTTGAATGAATGGACTTTGTTACTTCGCCAAATTTAATCAGTTGATATTTGTTGATTATCGGCCGTGTTAATGTCAAATGATTACATACACTTGGTATTATAATGCTGTTTGCAATATTTATGTGAGGTTTTATTCATTTAGACCGGGAATTTCAGCCAGATTCATGATAGATTTGAAAGAGAAACCGCGACGATGCATCAAACGGAAATTCGAAGAAAATGGCCGAATTCAACCAAAAGAAACCTTACTGGATATGTCGGTATCGAAGCTAGCTAAGGCTCAAACCAGGGTCAACCTTGAACCTTCTTTAAGAAAGACAGTAATGATTGTAAATACTATACGAAAGCTAGAGCAAGAGATCGAAATCGGTCGGACTAAAACGCTGAAAGAGGCGAGTTCTTTTAACCATTGTTCGGCGAAGACAAATAACTATCATGACACGAGGTCGGAAAAGAATACGGTTTTCTCGCATGTAGGAACACAGGACTATACTGAAGGTCTCCAAAAGCTTTTGGGATCGCCCTTAGATACGAGGGAAGAAACGTTTGTTTGCGAAAACAATTCAGAAACACACGACAGGTGCCCTGAGGAACGCGTTGCGAAATCATGTACAAGTGATGACACTTTTATTGATCTAGCACAATCGACAGAAATGAAGTTTAGAAACAGATTTGAGGAGTCATCAAATTCTCTCGCATCCATCGAGGTTAGCAATACTGCCTGCGAGATAAATTTTGCTGAAGTGGACATTTCTTTGTATGATTATGATGCAAGCATGGTATGGCAGGAGACAGGAATGCAAGTTGATGAAACTGAACAATTTCTGTACAAACCTGCAGCTTTATCAACCTTTACTAAACGGTGTAGTGATGATCTTAAACTTGGAAAGTCTACGGATAACACATTTGCAGATGATCTTGATCAAATCATGCAAGTGTTGGTTGGCATTTGATGCAGTTTCTTATCCATGACAACCATGGTTTATATCTTGTAACTAAAGCTAACAGTGTATGAATGTACATATTTCTACTTTCAGTGTGGGACTGAATCATTTCATAGTTTCTCTACCATATTTATGTAAAGGTTTTGTAAGAATTTTTGTAGATGAAATATAGAGCAATGGAAACTCTGTAAAAACTAAACATTTTGAGAATGATGACTATGGTCTTCACAAAATGTTCACTTTTTACTGAGTTTCTATTCTTCTATATTTTAAGTTTTGTAGGGTTTGTAAACATACGTAAAGCCAGCTTGCGTGTAAGGGACTTATTTAAAGAAATAAATTCATGAAAAATACAGTGTCAAACTACTACTGCTTATTTCAGAGGGGGTTGTTCAAAATATGGTATTTTGCTCTATGTACCATTGCTACCAAGCAAGATGTGGGTTTGTCAGAGTGAGTAAGCGAATAATGAAAGAGAATTTAGAGGCAGGCTCAGGAAATGTGACCATCTGGCATGTTGCAATACCAACCTGAAGCAGAACCTGCCATTAGCTTCCTGAATTACTTCTGTGATGCTAAACATATCTTGTAATAGTACAATCGTTTATTTGTTCTAAAATCATATGAATTTTCTTTGGAATGTCCCAATCCGAATATAATTTCTTCATTCATGACATGACTGTCTAGAAAATTCCATTTGATAGAGAAATTTGTGCTTTTGGGCAGTTGGGCCTCCTGTAAGTCCTTATGTAACTTGCTTGCGTGATTGCTAATACGGTTAAAATTGTTAATTCGATTATAAGAAACCTTCAAACCCTTGCTAATCATGACAATCCCCCTTTTCATTGATCATCTAAAATTCATGCTGTTTTTAGCGCTCTCTCTTGACAGAATATCCGGCACGACTCCACCTCATTTCCCCCACTTTGTTTCACTTCTCCAGGGGCAGGGGGGGGGATGAGATAGAATATTCAGAGGTTAACTTAACCATGGTCGATCAAGACCTGGTCTGGAAATTTAGCTCAGGCATTTCTGTTGTTCTTACACGCACATGTTTGAGGAAATTTGGCTTAGGTCATTACAGAACGCAGAACAAAATCAGGAGACTGTGAGATAATATATTAATGGTATAATACACACACAAGTATGTTTAATAACAACACATTCTACCTTGTAGCTAATACGTACGCGCAAGATAACGACTGTGCAAAATCCTGAATTTCATAGTAGACTATAGTGTTTTTTACATCGAGAAACGCCTAAATAACGAATGTTAACTTAAAATAATGAAACAATAATATAGTTGGGTTTCACCCATGCTCTGTTTGGTGAGTTGGAACGAGGAAATGTTGGCCATCACGTCTGACTGCAAGAGTAGCACTGTGTGCATCAAATCACGTTTGTTTTTTATACTATCAGCTAAAACTACAATTCCATCACACATGCTCTTAAGGACATCTTTTAACGTTTTTTTTTAATATTTTTCACGTTTTCGACAGATAAGTAGCTTGCTTATATTTCAATTTTGATGTACAATTTGCCTTGACTTCGAAACTCAGTAACACTAACAGTTCATTTAAAAAAAACGATTGGTACTTTGATAACAGTCAACGGCGAAACTTCAGTTAACACACAACAGCAGAGTTTGAAAATACTTCAATCTCAAAAGGTTTATTGTAATTTTAAAACACTAATGCCAAGAGGGGGGAAATCCTCTTAGACTTCCAAGAGGCTGCTCGAAAAACTGGACATATTTTTATTTAAGATGCGGGTATAGATAATGCTTCTAGCCGAGAGTCTTGTTTAATGAGTCTGAGGAGAGAATTTTTCCTTCAAGAGTCTTTTTGTAATATTTGATAATGTTCGTCGCAAGCGATGACCTCTAACCGCTGAACATCCAATTGTTTTCTAGTTTGTGCGTCTTTAATCTCCCTCTGGTGTGGGAAATTTGCACATTCAGTCGTCTGATATCATATGTTGCTACCTTGTAAGGCAATTGAACCATTGACCTTTTCTCAAATTCTTAATCTCTTATCTCGAAATTCAGCCTCACCGTCCGTTTTGGACTCTTAGCCAACATGCAGTGAACCTAATATGAATAAGTTATCATCATTATAAATACGTCCTCAAACCAAGTCATGGAATTGCAGAAACATGCATCAATGCATATAAAATGCAACAAGGAAACAGATGAGGTTGATATAATATTGAATGCAGTGAAACATGGGTGCATGCTATGCTCTCTTTCACTTCTCTTCTTCTCATCTTCGTGAGATTTGTGAAAATGTGGATGTTAGTTCAGGATTTTTCATTCGCATGAGATGATATTCCAACTGTAGTAACTATGGGCGAGCCGTTAGCTTGATTGTCAATTTTTTCACCCACTTGATAGCGGATAAATCATACTTGGAAATGTCATTTCAGATATTGTTAAGTGTTGTTCCTCAGTATTCATTGTCGTATCACAGGACAAATTTAGTCAGAGATTATTGTGCAATAATCATTCTCCCCATTGCTCTTCTTAGGAACATCAGAAAATAGCACGATCACGTAAACTATCTTCAATGGATTACTTGAAAAGGTGTTATCTTCTGAATACGGCGAGGAATTCTCAAGCTACAGGCCGCCTGGGTTGATGTGCACTTCACACTTCACTGCATGCAAGAGCTAGTCACATAATTATATTTGTTTGTTATTTCATGGCCATCTTCAGTTCATAGTGAAAGTGAAAGGGTCAACTTCAATACAGAGCCAAATTCCTTGGCTAAAACACTCTCATTCCCGATTTGTCTTACACTAGATCGCTGAATCTATAGTATTTAACTTGAAAACGGGAATTTATTAATGATATTGCACCAATAACCAATATTGTATTGATCGGTATTCGGTATTTCAAATCTGTGGGCGGCGTTAGGAACACCTCAAACATAATTGTATGCATCCTTTCTGTACTTGTCTTTGTACAAAATGTCAACAAACAGAGGAAAAATTGGTTTGCGGTTTAAGAACTAATCTTTTGACATTTACAAAATTTGCTTTTCCCTTATGTCTCCAGCGCGCAGATCACATTCGGCAGCTCAATCCCATTAAACTTCACCAGATCGCAATTTCGTTTTGTCTCATCGGCTGTGGCACGATTAGACGGAAGGTGGAATTGGTTGTCAGCAGGGTTTATTCTCTGATTGCGTAACATTTCTTTCGTTGTATCTTGCTTGGTAATTAACCCTATGTCTGTGTAATCGCTTTTTAAATGGTTTGAGTTGAGTAGATCCGCGACTTGCAAGCGTGGTCTCTTGCACGGTAGAGTGCCTGCAAAACAGCAGCTGGATGGCCCGTCTTTGTTCAAAAACCTAAGTTCGTTTGGACTTCGTAAACGTTTGATCGTATTACTTATCAATACCGTTCTACATAGACAGGTTTCTGGGTCTTCGATACGTTTAAGTTTGTCAAGTGATAAATTTAAAATTGTCTGTTTCTCATCGGAGTTTATATTACCATCGGCGTTTGATAAAGATAGCGTTGTTGATGTCTTGGACGCCTTACGTTTGTTTTGATTATCTAGAAGCAACACCAGACAAATATTACAAACTATATTTACGAGTCAATAGATATTCAACATATATAATATTCCGCACTTAGATATACTTAAGGAAAGATAATATTTGGTAACTATATGAAGATATATCAGTATATATGTATACCGCGACAGAATTCCGTGTCTGGGCAAGTCGTCATTGTCTCATATCGACAAAAGATTGTTACTGAAGAAGTATGGAGATAGTTTACCTTCGAAACAATAAGCGTAATCCAAAAATTCTAAGTCTTGTTCTGCTGTTTTCCATTCATAGAGAAAGGGCGAATCATCCAGTAATTGTGTTTCCATTATAAAGTTAGGATCTTTATGAGTTATCGGCGGAATGATCAGGGTCATGGCATAAATACCACGGAGACAAGACGTACTGCTATATGGAGACAAATAATTACAATATGATTGTGAAGATAAAGACATAGTTTTTTAAACACACGATATTGATTCCGAGCGTCATATTAATAACTTTTCACAAATCTATCTTGTGTGCCAACTATAAACTGAATCGTAAACGTTCACCTCACATCAACATGTAATCACAAGTAAAACAAATCAACAGCCTAAATAATATCTCAAATCTCATGCGGGATAATTTTGTTTAATCCACGGGTTGGTTAAAATAATTCATTATTGAAATACGCGTACTTCTGTTTAGACATCACCGCTAGCGTTTGATTCAAAATTACAATCAAAACGAATTAGCATAGCCTAACTTCCTTGGATCCTGAGAGCCGGATAATTCATTAAGATGAATAAACTATGTAATTGAACCGTATGCCTATATCTACAATACTCACTGTGATCGTGAAATTCCGTGTCATTTAGTCGAGATTACAGGAAAATATTTGAAGCTCTTGACTAAATACAAAGCGTGATCGAAAAACATCTGCTGTACGGGTCCACTACGTCGCCATTCCAATTTTTTTTTTGAAAGATCAACATCTGAAGTACCTTGTGACGTCACAATTGCGCGCGATATGATTGGCTGATGCGTTATCTCACCGCATCCATGTCAATATCGAACCTGTTCATTTTGTGCGGGGACAAGAGCGACATGCTGAGAGCCGCCATCCGGTTATTGCTATCAAATTCCTAATATTTTTAAATCGCTCTAATACGGCGAGTTAATCACAGATAAATATCATTCGCATTGATTCACGAAATACCTTTGCAGTTGACAGTGCGTTTTTATTGAATTTTTTCACGACTTATCAAACCTACGCAAAGTTAAACCTCATACGAAATGTAAACACAGTTCGCGTTTAATTAAATGATATTTAAATTTTTTGACGCGAACATGATTGTTTTCGCTGCGGTGTGCTTACTAATAAATTTATTGGATAATAACAGGCAAAGTTGTCATTAGATTGCCGACTTGTGTGAAATAGCCTAGCGTGTAGCGTGTATAGCAATTAGTGTGAATAACACGTCGAGTGTGTAATAACTTCCAACGTGTTGAGGTGCACAGGACTTGTCAACATCTTGTCAGCTCTGACACTCCACGTTTATTAGCAGTGTCAAGTGACACATTGTTTTAAAAACATGTGAATATATGCATATATGTTGTTCAAATGTCCTCAAGTTGTCCACATCTCGTAATTTTTTGACGTTATACACCCATGTTCCGTCACGATACGCCCACAATGGTCCAGTTTGGAATGCTCTCTGACGACATAGTTCTTAACATGGTAAAGATCACTTTTATAGACCATGCCATTCGCTTAAGAAATTCTGACGGATACACTGTAACAGTTTCGTAATGACCATGATAATGACCAGAAGATAAGGGAAGCTTACTGGAGTTTTATCTGCAAATGTGGAAAGAAAACATAATAAAATCGTTTCACAGAATATTTCAGTCATCACGAGCTAGGTCATAAACGAAGAAGAGGAACACATGCGTGTGATGATTTATGACCCTAACGCGTAAGGCTGGATTTCCCTTGCAGAGTCTTGGAAATAGAGTTGGCTGGGAGTATTTTCTTTTCAATTCAGATCAGTGAAGTGGAACTAAAAGTATTCAGAATACTCAGAAAAAATGGTAATATTTCTCTAGCGAATCATTTCTCTGCAAGTGGAGATTCCAAACGCAATTTAATTTGAAGCTGGTTTGCAAGACTACAGCGTACAGAGTCTTTAGTTAGCTTTTGATCGAATGTGGTGCAACAGCTTTCCAAAATAATCGGAAAACTTCCGGAAGACTCTGAAGCTGAAAGGTCAAGAATTCTGTTGAAAGAAAGTTCTCGACGATTCGATTCAAGAAACTTCGAGAAGTTCTTCAGATCTGTTTATTTTAGGTTGTTCTCAGAAGTAGATTAGAGAGGGTCTAGCGACTGTTGTACCATAGTGGCATTGTAACTGTAAACTTTATCAGTTGATATACTAGTGATGATCATCAGATCTTCACGTAAATATGGATCACATGCTGATCAGTTGATGGCATAATAAATGCAAAGGTAAAATAAATTATACTACATCGCGGTTTTGGTAATCACTGCCGCTGACCCGATCAGTTTATGAAAATAAGAACAGTCTGGAAACTAGTTTTATCTATTGTAATTATATTTCTAAATTATTATTGATTAAATTTCAGCTAATATTGCTGATGAAGAATCGATTATTACCACGTAGTGAAACTTTCCGATGTTTAAGTATTGAAATAAAGAATTCAGAAAACCCAATGGAGGTGCCGGGGATCGAACCCGGGGCCTCCCGCATGCGAAGCGGGCGCTCTACCACTGAGCCACACCCCCAATCACAAATCGACATGGAAAAAAACTAAATTTAAAGCACCACAACAAGTTGAAGAAATCTAATTTATTTTTCCATGATGTACTAATATTTTAATAAGAAAATTACCTTAAAGATATATTTTTAGTCAATTTTTGTCTCCTTTAATCAAATGAATCCTTATATTCACACTCTGTTCTTTCTCATCCTTTAGTTCTGATAAAAATCACACGTCATAAGCGGCACACGAGCCAAGGAGAACCAAACATTGCGAATGCATGAAAATATGGAGAGAAATGTTAAGGCATAAAGAGAAAAAGAGAAATATGAGTGCAATCTGGTATTTAAGTTGGTAAATTTCGATTTTCGACGAATCTCAACTAGAGAGTTTGGGCGTGCTGTGCCAACGTTGCTTGGGGTCAGTATAAATGACGTCACCGCAGTTTTACTATTGACAACATAAGCAGATTTTTGGAAAGAAACCTGTAGTTTGATATCACTTATTTTGTCCTGATTTCTTTATATTGTCACTCAACAAATAACTCATTATGGTAAGTCTACAACGTTAGTCTTTATCGGTTGTGTTTTCAGCAATGATCGCCAAGAATTTGTGAAGAAAATGGTATCTAGATTCTGTCAATATGTGTGACACAAATAAATACTGTATATGTTTCTATTTTAACAACACGTGTCTAAAGATTGCAAACTAGGATCTCTTTGTGCAACACAAAGTTTAAAGTAAAACATATTAAGAAATTTGTGGCTATGGCTGATAAAATCATTTCACTCATGTCTTTGTGAACTGTCCAATGAAATATCATATTTTCAGCCACACAGTATCTTACTTGTTCAGCCAAACCGTCATGACAGCAGAACCTATGCAGATTACGAAGAAGTTGAAGAGTGTATGGAAGGTAATACCATCTACATTTCAGCTCATTGCATTATTTTATCAATCAAACAGCTCACAATTGTGGGTAAACAAAGCAATAGCTCAGATCTACTAATGATTTATGTTTCAAAACACGTTTTTATTTCTTTAGGAGTGTGCAAAATATTTGAAGAACATTTAAAGAGGTCAAACCCAACCAGTCCATCAATCACCTATGACATAAGTCAGCTGTTTGACTTCATTGATTCATTACAAGACCTTGTTTGCTTATGGTAATATCCTCATTGAAATGCTCTAGGATTCAAAGAGGTTTTTTGTAATTGACATTTTCATTTTACAGTCTTGATACAAAGTCAGGAAAGTATGAACCTCACAACAAGGAATGGGTTAAAGAAAAGATCTATGTGATGCTTCGGAAACAAGCAGGAAAATGAAGGATGTCTTATTCACCTGAACATTAAAAGTTATAACATACGTCGATAGTGAGACACATACTATAATGTATCAAAGCTGTACTTGTAAAATATTTTTATTAGTTATAAATATCCATTTGGGTTGTTATGATGGCATTACTATATTTATATAGGTCAGGAAGTTTAGTAAAGGACACTAGCAAGAGTGCGAGGGTGATTTTTATATAATTTATCTGTTACTTTAATAATGGTGATTAGTGTACTAGTGGATAGCGCTGATAAAGTGAATATCTGTCATATTCTGTGGTGAAATATACAGTCTTTAGAAACAGTTCACTGGAAAAGGAGACTATGGTGGTTGGTACCACTTCTGGTACCATAATCTTTCTTTGTATTTTCAGTAATGCCTTCATACCATATGCAAAACATCAATGCCTTTCCAAAGGCAATGAAAATTATTTCTGCTGGTAGTAAATTGTTTCAAGGTGCATGACTAGAGGTGCAATTAGACAATGTTGAGAACGTTGATAGCTCATTGAGGTTGGTCAGTGGTAAATACCATGGGCCAACGGCCAAAATCATATCAGAAAATGGGGAGATCATGGAGACCTGGGGATTATTGTGGATTATTTTGTGTGGCCCATAATGCCAGGCGGTCTAAGAACTTCAATGTGGAAGCTGGAAGCAGACACAGAACACGTTTTGCAGATTTAGAATTTAGACGAAATTTTGCAATAAAATGTCCTTTCAAGCTTCACCACAGACAAATATCGCCCCTCCAGGTACTCAAGGCAATGTTATGCCAGGTTTTCCTTCTTCTTCTGGCTTGCCACCGCCTCCAACATTTCCTGCGTTTCAAAATACTCCACCGACTGGACCAAGTCAACCAGGTATTATTATAAATGAAATCGGGTTTATTGTATTAATATGGAAAGAACTTTATATTATCATCAGCACAGTGGTATTTGATTTTTTCTGAAAGAAGAGGTCTTGATATCTGTAAATAGTCTTTGATCAAGAGCTATTTTTGATCAAAGATTACAAGTGGTTGCTGTTGCAGTGACAATGTACTACGTTTTATCCTTTGTAAGATTGTGCTGTTAATATGATTGTATAAAAGTCAATGCAAATCATATGATCAACAGAATAACAATTATCATGATCTTTTCAAGGGATTTTGGAAGCTGGCCCTGAGCTATTTGGCCAATGGCCCAGTTATGATATCTTGTACTTACCTTTGTGGTAATTTTACTGCATGTTAGTCAGTCTGGTGTAGGAGGGAATACCAGCTTCTTGCCAAATATTATCTAGGAAACATTCAGATTGTGTGGGTTTTATAGACATAGACGTGTTATTGAGATAAACTATTGTTAGATGGTTTGATACAATTAATATGTCTTCCCTTTCATAGGTGGTCCTGGCTTTACTAATAGTTCAGGGGTAAGTTATTTCATGTTTTTTCTCATCTGAAAGATATGTGCTTCAGCTGCACTGTTGAGATTTTGTGATACATCAAGATATCATGATAATTTTCTGAATGTTGGTTGGTGGATTGTTTTCAATTGACACAAAGTACATTTTTTATGTTTATGCGTAGCAAAATCAGTCAGGACAACGGCCGCATTTTGCTAAGAAGCACAATGATTATAATGACAAAAGAAATTTTCAACAGGTGAGAAAATAAGTATATTAACAGGTTTGATTCATTGCTGGGAATCCTACTGTAACTGTAAGCCATAGTTAAAAAAATCATTTGCCACAGGAAATCACAGGAAATTCCTGTTATATATCTTATAGTACAGGAAGGAAAACATATTATATGACCCTTGTCTTGACTTGCTTGTCTGAAATAGTCTGGAGTAATAATATTTTGCGTTATGCCCAGCTTAGTGATATGGCATAAACAATAGAGCTAAACTAATAGAAGAAAAATAATTTCATGTAGAGTTACAGACCTCCAAACAGTGACAAGCCAACAGTAACGGTGTTTGTAGGTAATATTACTGAACATGCAAGTGATGCCCTCGTTAGACAATTGTTAATGGTATGTACATAATGTTTTGAAGTCTCAATGATATAAATATACTTTAGTTCTGAAATCACCTGACAACTATAATGATTAATGTGCAAAAATATTTAAAATTGATTTGAAATAATCATTTTTCAAACTAATGTTTGAATATTTGTTTGTCAGAAATGCGGCATTGTTGTTAATTGGAAACGTGTTCAGGGAGCTGATGGAAAATTGCAAGGTGAGGCACGTAGATTGTTGAAAGAGGAAATCTGGTATCAGAATCTTATAAGCTGGTACCAAAGTTGCCTGGTATTAGACAGAATAAAATACTAAGGTGGGAGTCTGTTGTCATGCAAAAAATGCTCATATCTAATGTTCTTTAAAATCCAGCATTTGGCTTCTGTGAATATGTCGATCCAGAAACTGGTTTAAGAGCCATCAGGCTTCTTCATGATTTGACATTTGGAGAGAAAAACTTAGTTGTAAGTCACTTAACATTATTCTGTACATGCAAGCGCTTGGACCTTCATTGATGAAGCAAATATTTTTAGGTGAAAGTTGACCAAAAAACAAAAGAAATGCTTGATGAATACAAAAAGAAAAAAGCAAGTGCTGAAAACGTGAGTTGTGATGGAAATGAGATGTGATTTGGAAATGCTAATATTTGTGTTGTTTTGTGATCAACAAAGGCCAAGATTACTGTAGAGTACCTACTAGTCTACTTGTGTTTTTTTGTCTAATTTTTATGGTTCTTTTTTCATTTTAGAAAGAATTACAAGATGGGAAAGAAGAATTAGATGAAGCTACAAAGGTAATAGAAAATTCTTTAGTGTTTTGTTCTTTTTATAGATGCTTAGAACTGCCTTTACTGTGATAGTCCCCTTCCATTTTAAAAAGTGTAAGACAAATTATTTATTGTTTAGAATCAGGATGCAGAGGTCCAAAAATCTATCGCTGGATTATTGAGTGAAAATTCTGATGTTCTTTCTGGAAAATTTAAAGGTTTAATATATTTATTTCTTGACATATCATGTTGTTGATGGTGACTTCTGCTTCCATTGATTCTATCGCAATATGTTTAGCTTCATAAGCTACATAATTTTTGACATTTTTTTCCATCTTAGCTCCTGTGTCAAAATGGAGACAGACACACAGTGGAAGTGAGGTAATAGTTTCTCCTATCACACACATGCAGTATTATTATTAAAAGCTGGTATCCCCAACATTTCTGCTAATTGTATGTGTACTTCCACTGGTCATCCTGGGGGACCAGAAAATGATTAAAATTAGAACTGACAGGGCAAATTTGATGGGTGAGGACTTTAATTGATGAATTAATTTGATTTGAACAGGAAAATTTAGAAGGTTTGGGTATGGATAAGGACAAGAAACATCTCATTTCCAAAGAGATCCGTTCCTTTCGAGATACATACAAGGTGAGACATGCTCTTTTTCAACTCTTTATTCATGTTTTTATATGCTTTATATATTCATATTGCAAGTAACAATATGCTGTAGTCTATGATCTTTAGATGTAAATGTAGACATATAACTTATATAACTTTAAAAATCTGCTCTGTAATCTGTACTTAGTTTGGGTTAAACTTTATTCATATTAAGAAAAAGTATGCACTGGCAAAACCACGGACTGTGGCATGAATTAAAAACCATTTCGAATTTTTTTATGGTATTCATGAGCACAACTGGGCTGAATGCATTTAATTTTATACATATTAGTTATTCAACTTGTTTGAGGCTAATCAGGAATACTTAACAATGGCTGTATTATTGCCTACATAACAGTTACTGTGTCGAGCTGGTGATATTTTGAGAAAATATGGAACAGTTTTGTCATAATTCCTCTCTTAGGCTCTGCGGTTGGGTAAGTTACCTGACTAGTTTACAGTCGAAAAAATTCTTACAGTAAAAATAATTAAGAGTAGCAATATAGTGGCAACTTGATGTACGACAGCTTCTGATCTTTTGCAGTTCAAATCAGGTATGACAATTATTCTATCATCTGTTTACTTTTCACAGCTGTTGTCAATGTAACATTTATTGGATTACTTTTTAGATTTACCTTAAGATGTTTGTCTTAAAACTCATTGATTTTTGCTTTTACTTCACAGGTTTAATGTTAGCTATTTTTTATTATGTCTATCATTGTTAATTGATGAATTGCTGTTTGTTTTTACAGGTTTTTTGATAGTTTATTTAACCCAGTAACACTATGATAACTTTGAAAATTTTTAGAGACTTTCCATTGTCTAGGCTGCTGTGAATATTCCTCTAAATATTCAACTAATTATGTTGTTTTTGTTTATTTTTTAGCGTGTTTGTTTACTGTTTGCTGTTTATGTGTATGTCCTAGTGACAGATTAAGCAACAGTGCATTGTCTAAACGTAAATCCAATGACTTTTAGGACTCACAGAAACAGCAGCGAGACAAGGATGACACGGAAGAAGACAGGAATAGAGATCGTGAAAGACAACGGGAGCGAAGTCCTCCTGAGAGGGAGAGGAGTAAGAGTCTGGAGAGAAACACAAAAGATCGTGGTGAAGGACGCTCAAGAAGTCGCAGCAAGGAACGTGATAGGGACACTAGAGATCGCGAAAGGGAAAATAGGGATAGAGATAGGGAACGTGATAGGGATAGGAGGGATCGTGACAGGGATAGGAGGTGAGTACTGTATGGAAATTATATATCTGTGTATTGCATTCGATGCGCCAGTAACTGATGAATGGCTTAACCAGGGATCGTGATGGTGGAGATAGGAGGGAACGAGAAGGCAGGGATGGTAAGGGATCATTGAGGTCAAACAGGGATAGGGAAATGGACGAAGATGACTCGTACGAAAGGCGGAAACGCGAGAGGCGACAAAAAGAACGGAGTCAGGCTTATGTCGAGGTTGGTTGAGATCTTCGATGTTTGATGAGAGGCGGGATGTTTGTATGTTTTCAACACTTGCTCAGTGTTTCTCCTTCATTGCTTTTCAGCGGTTGAAGGCCTGGGAAACACGAGAGAGGAAGAAACAGCGTGAATACGATCGGGAGTTGGAGAAAGAAAGAGAAAACGACAGCGAACAGGTGAATAAAACTAATCATGTTAGATGTTATGTAATAATGAAGAATAGCTTGGAGCCAGGGGGTGAGTCCGTGTTGTAAGCTTAAGAGAAAATTTACGAGTCTCTAAAAATGTTTCCAGGCACGAGAGAAGAAGCACTTGTTAGAATTCTTGGAAGATTACGACGATGATCAGGATGATCCAAAATACTACAGGTATTCTATCAGTAGAAATGATTTTCTTGTGAGAGTTTTCACTGAACAACCTAATATTCGCCTCAACCCTAATCCAACTTTCACAGAGGAAGCTCGTTTGATCGCCGACGTCAGGCTCGTATTCAAGAAATGGAAATCGATGAAAAAGATAAACAACGAGAGTTGGAGGAAATTGAAGAAATAAGAAAGAGACTGGGAGACAGAGCTGTAGAACCTGAGTCAGAAGAAGAACCAATGGTATGTCAGAATATTCCTTTCATTTTTGTCTCATATTCAGAGAGATAAAGAAATAGGTACAGCTTTGGACGAGCTCTGAGGATAGGTTTTTTGTTGGGCATCCAAAGCAGTATATATCTCATAAGGAGAAGGTGGGCTCTCCTTCTGTTTCGGGTAATGGTAACTAATCCAGATCATTTCAGGAAGAAGAGCCGGAGCCTGAACCCGAGCCTGAACCAAGACCGACCTTACAAGCAACATTTAAACCTGCAGTTGCTCCAGTAAGTTTAAGTTGTATGTTCAATACATTTCATGAAAAACCTCATGTAAAATATCATGTAAAATATCGTTTAATTGCTTTAGGTGGTCGAGTCAGCACCTAAAGTGGTATCACCACAATATCACTCACCTGTGAATATCCCCCCTGTCAATCAAAATCACAAACCAAAAGCACCAGAAATCCCGCAAACCGAAGTCGATGGTCCAGAAGTCGCTCAGAAGAAAACGTTTGTCTTTGAAATGAAATCCAAAGGACCAGTGGTATGTCAGTCACCTCACAAGTCCTCTCGTAAAATATCATTGAACCAGGAATACGTTTGGTTAAATGTATCTTTTCTTTCGCCCAGGGTTCGACGAACTCCAACAGAAAGAAGCTGGAAGCAGTGTTTAACAGCGAAGAGGAATCCTCATCTATGCAAAACCCAAAACGTAAACTCATTCCCTTAGATTATTCTGAGGAGGAAAAGAAAGCCGTTGCTACTGCGAAAAGTGCAGAGCAGAAGAAGAAAAGCATTAAATCACTCATAGAGAGAATTCCCACGGCTAAAAATGAACTGTTTACCTATCCACTTGATTGGGAATGTGTTGACCAGGTATGATTGGTTGTTTCACATCAGATTGGCAATCTTATTGCTGTTCAATTCTATCGCTAAATGTCTGGTGAGAAAGATGAACATCAGTTGTTGAATTGATCGCTTTGGATTATTGAAGGCTGATAATGTGGTCTCGTTGTTTTCTTTAGAGTTTAATAGATCGTAGGATACGACCCTGGGTAAATAAAAAAATTGTGGAATACATTGGAGAAGAGGAGCCTAGTCTCGTTGATTTCATGTGCACCAAGGTATTTCTAAAACCTCGCATAATTCTGCCTCTAGGAGAGGAGCAGTTCAGAAATAAACGGAGTAGGTTTGTGTCCATCCTAATTCTTGATATGTTATTATAATTCCAGCTCCTAGCACGAAGTCAACCTGATAGCATCCTTCATGACGTATCCATGGTAAGTGCTGTGATACTTCATATAACAACTGCCTAAAATAGACAAAACACTTCTCGACGTTTCGACCTGAGGGTCTTCGTCAGGAGAGTTAGTATGTTATACCACATTTGATGCTAAGTTGTTTGAAGACGCTGCCACGTTGCTCCCTGGTTATACTTTGATATTTCATGTTATAAAACAGTGTTGTGGCTCCAGCAGGTTAATCGTCGATAGAGCATCTACATACCATTTCAACCACGAAGATTTCGAGGGTTGCTTTTAATAGCGGAAAGTTCTGATCTAATTCATTTATCTTCGTCAGGTTTTAGACGACGAAGCTGAGGTATTTGTCGTTAAGATGTGGAGACTTCTTATTTATGAAACTGAAGCAAAGAAGATAGGCCTGGTTAAGTAAATTATGTCATCATTTTCTTATCCAAAGTCAACCGTTTTGTTTCAAGTACTGTTGCAAGTGTTGTTGTCTAAACGAACAAATATTTTGCCAACATTTGGCAGTTTATGAATTATCGGCCGCGAAATAGGAAGAGGAACGGTTTCTGATAAGTCATTGGCCGTGAAACAAATTTGTTGCAAAGCAGCTCTACAGTAACAGAAAAGGTTCAGAGTTTGGGAAGGGGGTTGACTCAATGGAAAGGATTATTTATATACCTTTAAGGTTTATTGGGTTTTTCAAAGCAAGAAACCGTTCAGTTCTAGTAAATTATAAATCTAAAACGCAGATTCTACAGCCATAAAATCACGTCTACAAGAAACACTACTTCACTAATTAACTTCTGTAAATACAGTTCAAATGAAACACACACACAATCGACGTTTGTGAATGTATTAAAAAACTTTGTGTCATTGCTTTTATTAAAGAATAAACCGGTTGAACGGTCTTAAAATATTGATTCTACGAAGTTTTCTTGGAATTGGGTTTTTCTTTCTTCGTGCGAAGCTCGACCTCCATTATTACTTGAACTAAACAATACGTGATTGCAAAAATACGTAATGACCTCCATATTCCACCTGAAAAAAGGAAAATATTATTGGTTAAAACAAACCTTGTCTGGATAGTAGAACTTAGGCAGGGTCGTAACTAGAACGATAATTGGGGGGGTGTTTATTCATATATTCAGTTCTGCCCGACGGATTTCTATTGCGAGCTATTGCACTTACAAAAGAAATCCGTCGGGCAGAACTGAATATATGAATAAACACCCCCCAATTATCGTTCTAGTTACGGCCCTGATTACTTAGGAGGTCAACTAACTATAGTCAGGTAGCAGTCTGGCTATAGCCACAAACACAGATAGAGGTTAATAGGGATGACATTACCCACAGGAATGCCTATGAAGTTCCTCTCACTCATGTACCTTTGATGAATATAACTTGAAGATAAGCTACTACAGATTGGTAACCCACGAGGAACACACAGTTACTCAATATTGCTGGAAGAATACTCATTACTCCACCAATACCATGAAGACGTCTGGTTGCAGATGGTGAGAGAATTTCGTACTACAAGTTGTAAAACATGATTTCGTAAGGAAATGGTCTCGTTGTGGTCGTATAAAATACATTTTTGTCTCAACCTGTAGATGCTGAAGTGTTTTAGTTTTGGATAATTTTGCAGCCATAGCCTCAGCAAATACGCCCAGCCATTGTGAGACGGCCCAATATAAAAGATAATCATACGCCCCGTGCCAATAATACACGTAACCAAAAGTTGACACTGAACTGATGATTTGTCTTAAGATACCATTCCTCGAACCACCGAGCGGGATATAAATATATCTGCAATAGAAATGTTCTGAACATGAATGTACTTGATAGTAGTAACGTAAGCTAATGCTCACACAATTGTCTGTATAAACAAGACATAAATAGCAATGATATGAGTTGAAGAAGACATAAGTCATACTTCATTAACCAGTTGTGTAGTCCTTTGTCAAATGTTCTACATAAAACAAAGAAAACATTGTTTGAACATACAGGATACTGGAATTGTGTTTGGACAGCCTGATAGATACAAGCCACGCAGCAGAATACTACTCCCTACACAAGGGTAGACAGACCACTATGACATTTTTCAGCCTAGGGTTCAAACACAGGGGTCCATGTACTTACTTCCACATGACAGTAAATGTATAAATATTCCAGACACATTTAGGTATATCAGGTGGTGATACGCCGTCCAATCTCGAGAACATTCCAGCAACTCGATAAAACACCACATATTTAATAGAAAATAGCAATATTAGTGTGTACATCAGGCCTGTCGACATCAGAAATGGGACGTTTTCAATGATATATGGATCTCGTCCAAGTGAGGTGATGTACAGGTAGTGGTAGCTTAACTCCATGACCATGTACCAGAAGCCAGTTCTGATAGCATCCCAAAGAAACGAACCAAGAATTTCTCTAGACAATGGCTTTGGAGGCTTGTTTATCTGAAATGGTAAAAAAGCCAATATGCAGTCAAGGTTGAAGAACATAAAAATAGGTACACCATGCACCCATCTGACATCATCACATTTTTGAGAAATAAACCAATATATAATTAAAGTGTTAAGTTCTCCATGCCTGTTCGTAAAATGTGTCATAAAGCACAACGGGTCCATTACAAAATAGTGGCAAATATAGATTATATCCCAACAAGTCCATGAAACCATATTTTGTTTTGTTCTTGTCGGTTTCTTTATTTGCGGCTAAACAACTGTCCAGACAGAAGCTCATTCCCCTTAATTGACACATGAGAGTTGTAAAAAGAACAAAGTCCCCTTCATTTGTATTTCTGTTGAAGGTGTAAAACTATAAAACAAATGAAAGATACATAGATGTGATACTTTTGTACTATTGTCATGTCAATTTTATTGCCTAATCAAAATCATTTAATGTAGAATAACCTGTAATTGTATCAGTCTGTCCACAGAAATGAAAGATATCAACAGCCCCAAACCTACAGACCAGCAGAACAAAGTTGATTTTGTTCTGGCAGCAACATAGTAAACAATGTTATGCGCTATAAACACAAGCGCTGGTTTCCATCCAATACTTATTGAAAGAAATCCTAACTGAAACACAGCAAAGTACAACATTTTGTGCTAAAGAAGAGATATAAGAAGGTATGTAAGCAGTCTTCGTTTGTTTCTTAAACCATTAAATGCAAAAAAAACATTTGGTGGAAACTAATATGTGGCTACCTGTGGAAATAGCCAAGATACTAATCTGTGACCACATGAATGCAGGAATAGTGCTATTACAAGAGGTAGAAATTGACGCGTCCAAAATTGCCATTCAAAGTCAGACTTATCCTGTGGAATATAACATGTATATGAATGACTGCATTCAACAGAACACAAGTAATTCAACAGAACACAATTGTTAAATCTGCAAACAAACCTTCTTTCGTCCAAAAAATGACCACCCTTCATCAAAATCTTCCAAATACAACTCTCCTGGCTTTTCTGTGGAAATCAAGATAAATATTGGAGCATAAGGCAGGGGACCAACTTTATACACAAACCTGTGCAACAGACACTACTCTCTCCTGGAGAGGGTCTGGTCACACCTTCTCCCGCCCCTTCATCTGTAAAACAATACCAATATGGGTAACCTGATCATGCAGCTGGCATGGAACCACATATACTTGTCTTAATAAGGACTATTGACCTGATGTTCCTTCATGGTAAACAAATCCTACAGTGTTAACCATGCACTGTCTTCATCTATTTACAAATCCTCACTCATCAAGATAATTTCTAGGACTTACCAAGGGGAAATAGATATATTTTGTAGACAGCTGTTGTCAAAAAATACAAATAGACTGTAAAGTAAACGAATTTTTCGATAAAAGGCAATTCAGCTTCGGCACCAATTTTTGGTTTCACGACCACCTCTTTAATGTTTTCCTTCGTCATGTCAGTTGAGTTTTCTTTTGAGATATCACTATCAGACTGTTTCTCTTTCTCAGGATTCCTTTCTTTCCGCTTACTCGCCATAATGATAAAATGTTCAACTTTGTTTATACACAAACACACGTATACGAAATCAAGCAGTATATGTGTACAATGATTACTGGTTGTTACGATAAATATCCAATTTCATATGTATGTAAAAGAGTTGCTGTTTGACCTTATTTCAGCTCAAAGTGCTTTCGAGTTCCGCTCGAATGTGAATGGACCAGTTTTGGAAAATCTCCCCCTTGGGCTTACTTCAATACTTGGAAGTCTTTTTAAAATATATCAATGATCGTCCATGTTTATATAACTTTTTTTATAAAATCGATACAGTTGAGTTGTGTAGATAGTGTACTGTAGTATTTGCTGCTTAGTTTTATTGCTACTTTTTTCATTCAAATTGATACTTTACAGGTGTTATCAACACAGATTATGTAAACAATGCTTTTGATTGGTTTATTTAATGGACGACTCTGATTGGTCAGGAGAATAGGATATATTTCGTAGAATGTTCCCGCAGGATTTTTCTTCGGGGGTTCTTTCTCGTATGTGTCTTGAGACAACATGTTGCTCGTATCTTCTTTAGGAAAAATTTTCAGCTCCTGTGCAAGAAATGCATTGCGTCCCAGGAGTTTAACTCGCTTTATGCATTCAGAATCTGGAAAATGTTTGGTGAATGATGTTGAATTGTATTATGAAAAAGTAGGACAAGGTTCAAAAGTCCTGCTCTGTCTGCCAGGGGCAATGGGCTCCACCAGGACTGACTTTGGCCCGCAACTTGACCAACTGAAAGAGAAGTTTACTGTCGTTGCATTTGATCCAAGAGGCTATGGCAAGTCTATACCACCAAAGAGAGATTTTCCACTAGACTTTTATCACAGAGATGCTGATGATGCAGTTGGACTGATGGAACAACTGGGTATAATGTACTACTCTCTACTTTATATACTACTCCTCTCTAACATACTGGATGTCTTTCTCTAATAACTCTCAAATTTCGGATGATGCATTACAACACAGCTTCCTCTCAACAGAGCACTTGCTATTATTAGTTTCCAAGAGGGCTGGGATATCCCCATTAGAAGTATGAATACCACCTGTAAATATAACCTATTAATGTATCAAATACTAATAGTTATCATGTAAATAGGTTACAGTAAGTACTCTGTGCTTGGCTGGAGTGATGGTGGCATTTTTGGTCTAATCTTGGCTGGTAAATATCCGAGCAATGTTGACCGTCTTGTTGTGTGGGGATGCAATGCATCAGTGACGAAGGAGGACCTTGATTTATATGAAGCAATAAGAGATGTTTCAAAATGGAACCCAAAGATGAGACAACCGTTGGAAGGTACGAGTTCTCTTCCCAAGCATTTTTACTTCACAATGTATCTTTGAGTTTCATATTTAATAATTTTCCCATTAGACCTGTATGGTGATGGGGTGCAAGGTTTATGGGATGGTTGGATTGATAGTTTGACAAGTATTTTCAACGAATGTGAGGGCAATCTTTGCAAGGAGCTTTTACCAAAAATAATTTGCCCTACATTGATAATTCATGGTGAAAAAGACCCCCTTGTTCCATCATTTCATCCGCAATATATTCATAAGAATCTGAAAGGATCCATTCTACATCTCATGCCTGAAGGACGGCACAATTTACATCTAAGATTTGCTGAAGAATTTAACAAATATGTGACAGATTTTTGTAAAGAATAAGAGTTATTATTATTATTGATCTGATTTTCATGTTGTACCAGCTGCTGCTGTATATTAACTGATATTTTTTACTGTAAAGACAGAAATAAAATTATGCTTTGAATAATGAGAATTAACTTCGTTCCTGCTGTGTGTCTCTGAATTTCTTCATTGAGAAATAAAATAAATAGATTTCACCTCATTCACTGTTACGGCCGACTTTGTGAAGAAACGCAGTAGAATCGCCTAAAAAATTGTTTTTTTCAAGAAAGTTTATAGTTCATAGAGCAAAAAATAAATTATTAAAAAATAGCAACAATTGCAATTGGACAATGGAATGGCGACAGCAAGAATGACGTGATCGCAGCAGCGCTCGTAAAATACATGGCGGAGTTTGGCGGAGTTTTTATATTTTTTGTTTAGCGACAGAAAATGGAAATAATGAATGACGTGAAGACGCTTTCTTCCGACCCATTTGGTAAGTTTAAATTATAGGCTGTTAACTGTTCTTTTCTTTTATTTTTGAACCGCAAATATGTGAAATTAATGCTGTAGACGACCTGGAAATTGTCGACAAGCAAGTCTTCATCTCGGTCTTAAAATTATGCATGGTCTTGTTTAACACTTGGATTGCTTTTTCGGCCAAGCAAACATCTCTATCATTACTGTTCACAATTGTTTTTTACATAAATACTAAAACATTTTGTAAAGTTCGCTAATCAGTTTCCTATAGCGACTAACATGAGTTAACACAGTTGTTATATGTGTTCATAGGGTCTGAACTTGATAAAAACGATATTGAAGAAAAGGTTGAAGTTGCACGCGATACTATTGCTGTTCAACAACTGCTAACTCATGTTCCTGATATTGTGATTAATTGTGATCATAAAAAACAAGTTCCTTACGTCGAACAATTTAGAGGAGTTTGTCTTTTTGCAGACATTTCAGGTAAAATTGGCCTTGTTATTTTCTGCATATAATAATAATAGCACTGATAATTTTTACTCTAGTTCCAACGATTTTCCTTAACTTTTAATACGGTTTTATTACAAAATAACGGAGAGTAAAACTGTAGATATGTTCTCTTCAACAGGGTTCACGTCTCTATGTGAAAAGTACAGTTCGCAAACAAGCAGTGACACTGGGACATGTGGAACTGATCAACTCAGTGCTACGTTGAACAATTACTTGGGGAAAATAGTTGAATGTAAGTTTTATTTTAAAAGCTAGTTCTCTTCGAAATATATTTGAGACCGAGTGAAATGTTTTCAGACGCGAATTCCTTGATAAACTTTTACATCTGTGGTTTTGAAATTAATAATTTTATTTCACGGCATGTATATAGTTAAAGGTATTATTTAGTTTAGGTACTACTCGCAATGTTTTTATTTCACCCACACAGGTATTTTACGGAATGGGGGAGACGTTCTAAAGTTTGCAGGTACAACATTGTGAATTGGTATTGTGAGTTGATAAGATTTAACGTCACATTTGGCCGAATTTCAACTATAGTCCGTATAGAAACAGATTATCTTTCTTGCGTGTGTTGATATTTGAATGGCTTTCTCTTGTAGGTGATGCGTTGTTTGCGATTTGGAAGATTGAAAACACTACGCCTAGTATCGTTCCTCTAGTAAACAGCGCAACGATGTGTAGTCTTTCAATTCAAGAAGAATGTGACAACTACATGACTGATGTTGGTGTTTTACTTCGTGTCAAAACAGCCGTGGCTGTCGGGGTATTTTATGTCACGTATGTAGGTCTTTATGACAGCAAGCAGTTTGATATGTCAGGTCCAGCCATCGATGACGCCAATGCCGCAGAGAAATGGGCAGAACCTGGTTCAGTTGTATTGTCTCAACTCGCCTGGGATAATTGTGAACATGCGTTGTTCGCACACGAACTTATTGAAGATGGTCATCACTATAAGGTTAGTTTTACCATAGTCATAGAGGCGCGCAAGTAAAGATAAGTGCCTCGAACTCAACTTATCAAGCTGCACACACTATAGCTGCATGCAGATCCTGTTGAGTCAGATGAACCTGGCTGGAGAAATCTCGGCCAAGAGCCAGGCTTCAATCAGTGCACAATCTGTGTCTTGTAATATCTCACCGCTTCAGTGAAAGTGTTGTGGTTGACAGTGCAATGTATTCACGCCAAGACGCATGCAGCAAACACTGATGACTATAGATAATACACTACGACAATGAAGGTTTATATCTTGCCCCACTGCGCCGAACTTCATTCGACCTCAGTTGCGTTAATCATAATTTTAGGTAATTGGTGTGAAACACCAGGACGCTATACCACCCTGCGAATTTACAAACATGTCGTATTTATTTGGATCAATGTCAGCGGTGCTCACAGCTCATTCTATGCGTCTAACAACACCAAGCATCGCTAAACGAGCCCTCGGACCTCATCTCGGTGACTTCTACGAGAAATATTTCCCGTATTGGAAATGCCCGAAGATCTTCTGTAACACCCGTGCAGGTCGCAAAGAAATGATAGTTGATAAGGTCAAGGTCTCCTCAGGCATTGCTGGACTCATGAGCTATGACCCTGGTAGGTCTTTTTCAAGTATCTCATTATCTTTGTAGCTGGGTTAGTGCTTAGTAGGAGGAGATTAATCTGAGAATGATCTGAGAATAATTGTGGTTGTTCACATTTAACACGATTTCTATATTTTCAGATGCACGTCTGTTGATGTACAGCAAGCTAACTGATGAAGAAGTGGACGATCTGCGAGCTTATGTTCCTAAGCCAGTGTTATATAAAGTATCGTCTCTTCCACCTCATGCTCCCTCAATGCTCTCATTCAATACCCCTCATGCAGTGACTTTGTTTCTTCCCGTAGATCGATCATCATCAAGATCTGGAGTGGTTATCAGAAATGCGCCAGGTGTCCGTGTTGTTCGTCAACATGGCCTTACCACACAATGTTTGTGATGCCGCCCAGGCTGTTCAGAAAGCGTACGAAGTCATTTATGACACTGTTAGACGACTAAAAGGTACGGTTGATCTCTCGAGACAAAAGAAAATACCAACTTTTAACTATTGATGCAATGCTTCCTCATTTTTGCATGACTTCCTTGTCTTACAGGCAACTTGAACAAAGTGTTTTCATTTGATAAGGTATGCATATTGAAAACGAGGTTGAAATCATCTGGCGTTAGACAGCCAGCGAAGCACTACACTTACTTGGAAATGTTAGTCATATAGCTAATGGTTTAGTATGCATTTAGTATAATTAATGGTTTATCTTGTTTCGTCTTTAAGGGCTGTACATTTGTGGTGATATTTGGTCTCCCGGGTGATAAACACGACGATGATCCAGCAAGAGCTGTGATTGCTGGTTACAAAATCATGGAGATACTTCGTACTGTCTTGGAAATAACGTAAGTGCGAATGAAGATGATCTCCATGATTATTCGTCGTGATGTTATATTTTCTCGTATATTTTTAGAAATGAGTCAATTGGGATTACCACAGGACGAGCTTTTTGTGGTGTGGTTGGTCATCTAGACAGACATGAATATACTGGTAGGATTTATCTGTCCTTCCATTCTCTGACCCGTATTTTGTACATCTGGCCGCACTTTCATAGTCACTATTGATGCCCTACTGCCGTGGTCATCATAAAGTCTCTAGCCGCCTCAGTCTGTAATTATTTGAGATCTTGCGTCTATTTGTTTCTCAATTCTTTCCACATGCAGTAATTGGCAGTAAAGTGAACATGGCGGCTCGTCTGATGATGAACTACCCAAGTATTGTGAGTTGTGATGAAGAGACGTATAAAGCTGCCATAACCAAATTGAACAAACAAGATTTCGAATCGCTGCCATTTAAGGAGTTGAAAGGAATTGCCGAGCCAGGCGTCATCAGAGAATACACCAAAGATCACGAGTATGTAATTATTCCGCTGGCCGTGGTTAGTGCGGGGGTGATTGGGTGTGTCTGTCACCCCTGGCTTGACTTCTTCACACTTCACACATTTTACCATTTCACACTCGTTTTTCAACATATTTATGTCAAGATTCTTTTATAGTCGTATTGTTGAAGAAGACGATGACTTTGATTACCCAATTTTAGGTTAGTTGAGATTTAAATCTACGGACGTCTCACCTCTGCAGTAGAGTGATTTGACGTGCATATTGCTGGCGTTATCATGTGCGGTGCAACCTTGCTGGTTGTTTCTGTGAAATGAAACAACCATACGACGCATTATCGCCATGTTGTTATAGCTATATGATCATCCTCACCTGTCTTCAGGCAGAGAGAAAGAGAAGGAGATTTTCCGCAAGTTGCTGCGTGAAATCAAGGCCGAAGACAGTCATTTGGACAGCAAAGGAAAGTTTGTGTTGATTGTTGGAGACACAGGAATTGGAAAGACCCGAGTGTTGGAAGAATTCATGGATACGGCTGAGAATGATGAATTCAGGTTGGCTGTACACTTGAAAATTTCTCAGAAATTACCACTTCGATGTTTTCTCTCATGCGCATGCATGTTCTTTTCAGGATGGATTTCGTGGAAGCTGATATGGCGCATGCGCAGACACCATTCTACATTGTCCAGAATTTGATCACGACACTACTGCAACTGGAAGGTTGCAACTCTGTGAGTGAAAGAGAAGCGAAGATTTTAGACTACATCAATGATGAAGATTTGAAAACTGAACTTTGCTTGCTTAACGATTTACTTGGAACCCACGTACGTTGATAATAAATGTTGCTATTCTGTTTTCTATTCATCCAGTTAATAGTCAATTGTATTTTTACTCGATTACCTTTGTTCCCAGGCACCAGGTCACGCTAAACTGATCCACATGGATGACTCCACAGTCGCAGAACATCAACATATGTTGCTCTTTGAAATTGTTCATCAGGTTCGCCAGTGTCCTGTGATTGTTTACCATTGTAACCATGTGTCCAGAATAGCAAAGGAATTCTCGCCACTGAGTCGTGTGTTCCAAACCATGCATTGTAGAGAATACGTTCCCACAGCTGATTTACGCAGTGACAGGTTGATGTTTGATGTTTTATTTATTGATAGGTTGTGCTCAAGGAACCGTGTATCTTCGCTGTCGAGAATGGTCATTTCATTGACAACGAATCCTGGAACTTCCTTGAGGACTTAGTGAGTGATTCACACGCCGTTCTTCTCATGACCATAAAACCTCTGAATACCATCACTAACTTCCCGGAATCTGCCAAAAGATTGATCTCAGACAGCAAGACTATGAAGATGACTTTAGGTATTGACAATGTCGAAAGGGCTTTTGCGAGGTGTTGCGATGTTGTCGTGTCGGCCTGATGTTGGCGGGATGCGCGGTCATGATGTTGTCACGAGGTTCGCACGATGTGGTCACGAAGTTGACAAGCAAGATAATGCGAGGCGTTGGCACGATGTTGCATGGCTTGAAACATCGAATGAATTTAAGGATTTTTCTCTTCTGATCTTACAACTTGTGCGCTTTATACATGTAGGTGGTTTATCAGCTGATCTCATGATCGACATGGCGTGTCAGTTTCTTGATGTCACATGCATTCCACGTGATCTTGAGACAATCATCCGTGAGAAGAGTCACGGCGTGGCGAGCTGGTGCGAACAACTAGTGAAGGACATGCTATGTTCTAACTATCTAAAGGTAGTTTCAGATAAAGAAGTTATCATACAAGAAGGGAGCGAGATGCCTTCGGAATCCACGAACCTTTCCGAGACTACTCCCCTTCCTAGTTCCCGAACATGTACGCCGATGGTTCCCGAAAGCAACCCGACTTCGACCGAAGATGAGAGCTTCCCATCGCGTCCGGGCTCCGCCATGTCTCGCGCGTCTTTCTCTGGGGCTGTCCCGGGGAACAGGCCGTTATCGGCTTTGCGTCGGAAGAGCATAAACATAGTGAAGGCCTTGACGTCGTTAAGACGTGGCAGCGTCGTTGCAAGTACTGGTGATGATGATGAGCTGGAGGAATACAGAAAACAACGCAGGTAACTGACTTAACAAACTTTCGTTGTGCTGTTCCAGTGCTCTACACCAGTCTGTTCAACCAGCAGGTACAGGTACATCTCAATATTAAAGGAATGCTGGAAGGAATGGAAGAGATTTCTTAGTTGAGAGCTTGCAGTGGAATTTAACGATTTATATTTTGCCATATAGAAACAGCACAGCAGTCAGATTTGAAGACGAGGACATTGATGATAGAATATTCACCGGAAGTGACGCAATACCACTAGAACAACCAGCTTTGTCTCCCTTGGCAACCAACCAAAACGACTGGCCTGCGTCGGAAAGCCGCGAAAGAAGCACCCCGGTTTTGACCCCGATACCTAGATACTTTCTCCCACCGGACTATTTTGTCTACGCGAGCCCCGGCGCATTGACACCGGATATCCACAACATGTGTATAGTCACGCCCGGGCAAGATCTCACCAAAATTCCTGTCCCAGAATCACTACGGGAAATGGTCCTGGCGCGCTTTGATCGCTTGCCACCGCTTGAGAAGGTCGTCTTGAAATGTACCTCCATACTGGGCGACAGCTTTCCCAGTGATTTAGTCGCGTCCATTGTCCCCAAGTCTGCAGAGGCGCAAGTTGATTTGGCACTGTACCATCTCCTCAAGGTAGGACTACATGATGCTAACCCTCACGTGTCTTGTATCATATTTTCTAAAATTTCTATCGTGATATTTTTAGGAACGCATCCTAGAATGCGCTACGCTGGCTCATCAGCACCAGAACGCTCACAACCATCATGGTTTTATTGATACCACCCATGCACACGCTCAGCACCATCATCACCATCATCATCACCATATCGCCACAGTTGTATCGGACATGGTACCTTGCGGATGCTATGGAAACGAAGGCACAAAAGTTGTAAATTTGACGAAGTTCTTGATCAACAATAAACTAAAGAAGAACTGCTTGTACCTGAAGTTTTCAAACAATTGCGTGCAGGAGACGACGTACGCGCTGTGGTTGAAGAAACAGCGCGAAGGACTGCATCAAAAGACAGCGATTCACCTCGAGTCTCAAGCTCACAAATGTCGCTCCTGTGGCGGGGGAGCTTTTCTGCCGTACAGCAAAAATACTGAACAGGAATCAAGCGGAGGAAGAAGTGCAATGAGTATGTTGTTTATCAAACAATGTCTCAGTAATATCATAGAAATTATAACCTGGATAACCTGGATTTCACGAGATAGAAATATTCGAAATAATTAAAACGTATTGCTCTCGTTTATGAGCTTGTGTCCAATGTAATCTTCCTACAGTGGACGGAACAGAGAATGCATTAGAGTGCAGAATGCAGAGAAGACTAAAACTAAGCCAGTAGACCGAGCCATAAATTCAATGGTGTTTTCTCTCTCCATCCAGGCACTGGTCGAAGTGCAGTTCACTTCAGTTCTGATGCTGCAAAGCGTCGCTCCAGTCGACTGATCCGCGAGAAAGTTCAAGAACAAGGTGCGTTCATAAGCCGCGTCACTGATCGAGTCACTGTTGCTGACTCCGTTGGCAGCGGACCGAGGGCGCGAACTATACGAGATGACGTTATGATGATGGAGGTTAACCTCAAGGCTGAACATGAGAAGATACAAAGGGATCAGAGGAACATGCAGCAACATTCAGGTATATTTTTGGATAGAAAAACTTCCTAAGGTTGTTGATAAGGTTTATGCCAATGATAAGGTTTCTAAGTATGAATAATTCACATTAATTCACATTATGCTCATTTCTTTCCATACATAATTTGTTTTTATTGCATTCTTATGAAACAACGTAAATTAAAGGGTGATTAACAACATCTACTTTCATTTAACAGTTGCTCCGGTACTGATGACCTCAGGCGAGGTGGATAGCAGAGATTCAGCCGACAGGACGGGTCCTGATCCATTATTACTGTCGTTTGTTGAAAATGCAGCAGGCACGTCGAGTATGAGATTAGAAACAGGTGGGCTACCGCCTTCTGGATAAAAATAACTAGAAGCAATATTTTTACAGCAGTTGAATATCCTTTACAGCAATTGAATTTGTATGTATATTTTCCATAGTTGCCACAGATTCTAAGACGGACATTGATTTACATGACACAAAACAAGCTTTGGCTGGCGTGAATATGGCCCGGTGTGAATGTGCCGATATTCTAGCCTCTGTCTTTCCCCAGCTGGTGATGCATTGGAGTGCAGCCGGGAATAAACTGAAGACATTTCGGTTAGTGTCTTCTTGCATGCAATCTCTCTCGATCAATAATCTCTCTAATTACTCTCTCTCTCCCTCTCTGTGCCAACGTCTATTTACTCCAAGGTATATGACAGAGTCTGGTGCAGCGGCTCTGGCTACTGCCAACAACATGCAAGCCTTGTCTTACTTACATGACGTCCAGGACATGCTGCAGAAGGAAGGTCAGGATTTCGTGGCAAATAGAGAAGAAAAAGCGAGAGTAGAAAGTCTCATAGGACAGGTAGTTATAGCTGCAGCAATGCTGTTGTTCTCTTATGCTTCACGGCACTGATTCATGCTGGAGTGCGTGCAAATTTCCCCTCGTCTTCTTCACCATCACTTGATCAAATATAATACAGTTATTTCTCTCTTGCAAAGGCGTTGCTTGGCATGAATCGCCTGGATGCTGCCATTGTTCATCTTTCAGCAGCGCTCAAAGAACTCGGCGTACGTCAGCCGGTGACGCAACCTCAGATATTGCTGCGTATCTACACGGAGCTATTGCGGCAGGCATTCGGGCGGAGGATACGAGACGATGAACTTCAATGCGGGATGTAAGTGATTGACTATTATGCGACCGCCCGCCTGCCTGCCTGCCTGCCTGCCTGCCTGCCTGCCTGCCTGCCTGCCTGGCATTGCCGTTGATGGAAAATTACTGAAATAAAAACCTTTCCATTCAGTGATTACGAAGGTATCTTGCTGGAACAAGCACGATGTTTCTTTCATCTTTCTCATGTCTATCATAACGAAGGCCGGCATAGAGAATCATTTATGGCTGCTTTGCAAGAGTTGAACGCCGCAGAAAAGATCGGCAGCAATTTTCACGAGGTTTGACGACTGAGATATCGATGTCCTTGAATTATAATAGCTCCCCTCTTTTTCTGGACCCTTCAACATGCCCTCTCTACAACAGTGACTTCTTTAAAGTTATCAAGCGTTTCACCTGATGTTTGTACCTGATGTTTTTTCTAATGCGCCTTTTTTAGCTCCTCACTGCGTATTCATCTGTGATTGAGTGTTCGGGGCTTCTCTCGTGGGCAAAGTACGCTGAGAAGTTGGAAGTAATAGCTGTTAATAGGTAATAAAGATTTTATAATGACTTATTCAAACCACTGATTGAAACTATTGAATGAGCTCGAAAGTTTTAGTTCATTTGCATTCGATTCGGCACGATGCCCACGTGCTGTTCTGATGTCTTTAAATGTTTTAGATGCAAGAAAGAATCGTTCTTTGTATCTCTCGATGATCTCATCACATTCTCAAATTTCTACTCCGTCGTCTGTACATTCCGATTTAGCAGAGGTCGAATGCACGACGCCGCAGCTGCAGGTTTGGTTTCCTAGCTCTTCATTTGTTTATGATCAAGTTCTGCCGGTTGCATTAAATGCATCGTGGAACTCACGTTTCTTCATAGCAAGCACTTCATTTTGTCGTTACTGCAGTCAAAAATACCGCTTTATGCAATTGTAGGTCTTGAATCATTGTCGTTTGCTAACAAGATAAACGATCATATGTTGAAAATCAATTGCATTCCTTCGCTGTCACAGTGCTTGATTCTTATGTCAAGGTGGGGACGAGTTTGCGATACACTTAGCTTTGACAAGTGTATTCATTCCATGACGAATCATAATAATAGAATAAGAACGAGCTGTTTTGGTATCATAATCTAGGATCGACGAATGTCACGACGTCTTAAAAGAGTTGAATTATGCAGCTCGTGAAAAAGACGATCTCCATGGACGCGCGTTGTATTTCTGTAGTTGCTTTGATCTCATCTTGGAGACAGGTCAGCCTAAAACATCATGATTCTCAGCACTGCACTCAGCTTGCTTCCATTCTCTTACACCCAAGCCAACCCCCAACATGAAATCATGTTGATTAGTTTGAAAATAAGGCGCTGTTTTTCGATACAGGTCACGTACTGGAGACCTTGGACGATTGTCTTCAGTTCACTGCTCAAACGTCAGTGGATCCACGCCTCACATGGGACGTGATCGTGAAATACTATCTTAATGCCTCCTTGCTTCTCTGGTGAGTCAATATTCACACATATACGAGAACGAGGCCCGCCCCTGGACGTGGTAATATTTCCTAGTTGATGCTTACCCTTTGTACGGGGCTTTTAGGCATGCGCGATGCGAGGATTGGGAACAAGCTGAGAAAATATTCAATCTTTTGAAAGGTAAATGCAAGGAATATTTCAAGGAAGACGACATGAGTTTATTATTGAACCCCGCGCGTTTGTGTCAAAAAATGAACTTACTCTCTCTTTCTCTCCCTCTCCCGGCTCACAGCTACACAACCTGCGGAGTTTGAGGTGGTAATAGCAGCCAGAGGATTCGTCAAAGTTGCGGAATATCATTTGTTGTGGTTTAGAAAGAATTACGAAGACAAGACACTGAGAGGAATATGCAAAAAGGTAGTTCTTTCATCATCCAACTCTTGTTCAACTTTTTCTGAAAACGTCACATGTTCGCTGCAAGCTTGACGGAATTCTACCTTTGTTCAGGTGTTAAAACAACTCTCTCTAATGTGCAGCCGTTTCCTTGTGTTGAAACCACGCTACTATCATCTAAAAGCTTACTTTAGCTTGCTGTGTGGAAAACACAGTAAATCAAGACGGCGTTTCCTTCCACGATGCATTGAGCTCAGTACACAGATGGGAATGACAATGGAAGCAGAATGGGCAATATTGAGCAAACATGAATGGTTCGACAAGAAGGCAAACTCTGCCGTAGTTTCGCCGTACAATGGACATGCAAAGTTTCCTTTGCCCAAGTTATTATTGAATGCTTAGTCATTCACAGTTGATTCGCAGCTCACTGTACGCCTATGAGCTAATATACGTTGATTATTAAATAATTTCTTAGGATGGTTTAATATTGAATTATATGATACAGTTTCGTTATTGAAGATGGTTGTATTTTTGGTCGAATTAGCCGGAAAATGACGAATACGACCATGGTCGAATTGGCCGGAAAATGACGAATATGTTATCCTTTTTGTTTACGTTGGTTCGAGATTTTACTTGCTATCTTTGGTTATTTAATATTAGCACTCTAAACGCACTGCTTTCTGTAAGATTGAAATCGGTATTGATGGAATTTTTGTCCGTGGGAGAGCCAGGCTCATGTATTTACAAGTGCGTCGATTGTTTTGAGAGTAAGACCCAGTACAGCATGGTACGTCGCTTGCGCAAGATTTCCTCAGTCTCAGAGAGAAATGGACAAAAACATCAGGGTTTTCTACAAAGTTTAATTCCTCAATAAATTTATTATAGTACACAGAAAAATTTCTATTAATTTTGTTATCATCTTAAATTAACAATTTATTATTTTAGTGGCACTTTATTTAGTCATTATCACGTCTAAACAGTGCCTACAGACTGGGCTATCTGCGTCAGTTTTTCTAACGTCTGCTGTAGTATTGCCGTATCACCATCATTGTCGACAACGATATCAAAGTGTTCCTGATCCAGGCCACATTCAGACTCAGCGTCATCAATACCAGTCATGAAATTCCAACCTCTTGTCGTCCGTGTCTTTTCACTCGCCACAACTCTGACGTGAATAGTGTTAAACCTAGCGCTGAAGTAATCAAGATCTGTCTTGCGACGTGCATCGGAGATAATCCAAACACGCTTCGTGGCTTCTTTTGTGGCTAGGTTGCAAAAGAAGTTCGGATCAGCTTTTCTCTTTCCCTCACCCCATGAAATCATATCACCTCGATACCTCTCCTTGTAAGATGATGAGTCTAAAAGCTTGTCAAAGTCTAAGTTGTGTTCAATTGCATACTGTTTCTTTAGAGGAGCAGAGAGCCTTAACACTTCACAATCAATATCTCCCAGCATTTCTGCCAATTTTGTAACTACATAATCTTTACCTGACTTTCTTTTACCGCTAAATATCAAAACAACTGCAGGGCAGTCCGCCATGTTTATGAAAGAAGTGCTTAGTCAGCAAATACTGAAACTGCTTTTTACCATACATCAAAATGATACTTTGTTCAGGTCCGGCTCAAACGCCAACGTAAATTACCTATAAATTGATTACAGTTACTTATGTTACAAAGTCTACAAAAAAGGTGGCGAACGAAAGGAAAAAACGTTTTAGAAATCCTTCAGGAGAAAATTATATGGAAATTATTATATAAAAATGAAAATTCAATCAGTGGTTCACGAGAGTTCACGAGAAAAAAAACGTTTCCAGCTGGTGGAAGCACATAGTCCTCTGAATGATGTTTTTTTACTTAACTGCGACAAAGTACAAGCACAAGACTTTCCTTTCATAATCGTCTTCCAATTTGTTTTGGAAATGGCAAATACAACCGATCTATCGCAATTCCTAATACCAAATGAAGTACCGTTTAATTTCTTGGAATGTAAGAAAGCTTTTGATGCCCTGACTCTCAAAGAAAAGCTATATGCACATCACATTTGTCAGGCATCCTGGCAAGGGGCTTTAGTTTGTCTCTTGCAAACATCCCCAGAATCTCCGGGCATTTTCCTTCTTTTTCAAAAAATCTTCTCGGCCGAAAGTGTGGAAAGCTTCTGTGCTTCTGCTCAACAGGATGAAGCCAGTTTGACAGACACTGAAATAAAGGTATGTTTGTAATGTTACTATTCTAAGTCATGTGATCCTGTATAGTGAGTGATTGAGTGTCATAAGACATGTATGAATATGCCTTCGAAAGGTTCCCATACCTTTGTCATTGAAATTTTACATATAGACTAATGTATATAATAGTATACATTCTATTAAATTTTCTATTATTTCTTCTAAATTTCAGAATTTGATTGTTTTTGTGGCCAGTTTTTATGGTAACATGGGAAACTATAAGTCATTTGGAGATACTAAGTTTATTCCAGGACTGTCAAAGGTACCTCATGCTGAAGCATTAATGATTCAATTATTTTAATTTGATGCTAAATTTATCTAAAATGTTGCAATTTATTCATGTGTGTACGCATGACGTGCCTATTTCTATGACGCGTACTACCTGAGGTGCAATTTTTAACTACTGGATGAATTTCAACTGTTGAGCATACAAAACGACTGAAAACGTCCACGTTTTAATCAATATGATTGATTACAGGAAAAATTCAAGTCTGCCATAACACGTTGTGTGGCCTACAAAAACGATAAAGAAATGATTGAAAATCTCTGCACAGCAGTCCTTGATGATCTTTATAATTTGAATGACAGAAGAAAACAGCTTGGGCTGGAAGAACAGGTCAGAGAGTCATAAGTGTGGATTAATTTCAGAAACGACGCAATAATCACGATATTCGTTTTGATTCAGGGTTTATCAACATATTACTCAAGCAACTGCACACGTGATGATGTTGCACTGATTCAAGAGTTCATGAAAGAAAAGGTATTTGCAACAGAAACCAACTCTTTCGTTGCTTCTCGTATAGTGTAGGGCTAGTAGAATGAAAAAGTAGCCGGGGATTATATCGTATAACAGTCCTTTTATTCTTTTCTCGTACTAGGAAATAAGTCCATACAATACCAGGTTATTTAAAGTGGAGAAAGATGGAAACGTGGAATATCAACTTCGTTTAGCTTCTGTTGCAACCACAGGTAGCTAAACAGATGTTTCAGATTTCGCCCTGCACTGACTGTCTTCACTTAGTATAACCGTTGCTTATTCCTAATTTAGCAACAATCGATTTAACACGGTTTCTCTTTGACTAGTTGAACCTCTGCCTGGACCAGATGGTCAAGACGACGTAGTTACCGCTTACCTTGGTAACCATGTTTTTAAGAAAAATACCATCAAAGTTCAACGCGGTGATTACTCTGGCATTCTTAAAGGAATGGTACATCACCTTACAGAAGCTGAGGTAAACTGGAAACATCAATTTATTTGTAATAGGAAATATATAATCGTACAAAATCGCACCCTTTTTCGTATTTTAGAAATATTCGGCAAACGAAAACCAATCCGCAATGCTGAAGGAATACATTCATTGCTTTAACACGGGTTCCATCGAAGCACATAAAAATGGATCAAGACACTGGATCAGAGATAAAGGTCCTGTGATTGAAAGGTATTTGAGTAATAATTACGCTTTCTTCATGAGCGTTTTCATGAGTTCCCTTTATAGCACGATATTCACGTTGAAGTCGAAACGTCAAATGAACGTTCTCGAAATGTTTGTTGTGTTTCCTGCACTGATTGTATCCATCATATTCTCAGTTATATAGGGTTCATAGAAAGCTACCGAGATCCTTTTGGTGTGCGCGGAGAGTTTGAGGGTAAGATAGGTTTTCACTCGAGCCACCAGCGGGAGTCTAGCTCGTGGATGAACGAACATGTCGGTGGATCACATTCATCAATATTTTCTTTTGATATTTCAAAGGTTTTGTGGCGATGGTGAATAAAGAAATGAGCAAAAAATTTGCAGATTTGGTCGACGCTGCCACAGATCTTCTTCCTTTGTTACCATGGCCACAAGAATACGAAAAAGATAAATTTCTGAGACCAGATTTTACTTCGTTAGATATCTTGGGATTTGGTTCAAGTGGTGTACCGGCAGGAATCAATATTCCAAATTGTTAGTTAGACTTACTCATTTCTCTCCCATTAGTCTCCTAACTGCTTTAAATGGCTTTCAGTTCTTTCTGATATGTTTGAATGTCAGACAAGCATTAGTCAATAATTACCTTTCTCCTTTAAAACCGCCCAACTATTTTCACCCACTCCTATTTTCATCCCGGGCTCCTATTGTTCTTTCTTATCTAGATGATGACATCAGACAAAAGGAAGGGTTCAAGAATGTGTCTCTTGGTAACGTTCTAGCATCGCACAGCAGTAATGAGAAAGTCACGTTCGTGCAGGAAGAATATCAGGTAAGATTGAACGTGTTACGATGACGTATACACCTTGTTTGGGTGCCGCTAATGTAATCAGAATAAAAGGATTTATATCTTGAGCGTTGTCTTTGTTGCAGGAACTATTCAGCAAGTTAAAAGCACCGTCATTTGAAGTTCAAGTCGGTTTACACGAGTTACTGGGTCATGGTAGTGGAAAACTTTTCCAATTGGTTAGTTCATAAGACACTAAAGACAGCTTGTTTAAGAGGAACGATTGCTTTAACACATGGCGTAAAATTGTGCCGTCATTTATCTTATTATAATTATCATTGTCTGAATTTCGCACTGAACAGAATGAAGATGGGACGTTTAATTTTAACGAAAATACAGCCATTCCTGACACTGATTCAACTGTTAAAAGCTGGTATAAACCCGGGGAGACATGGGATATAATATTCCAAGAAATTGCATCGACCTACGAGGAATGCAGAGCGGAATGTGTTGGCTTGTATCTTTGTTTAAATAACAAAGTACTGAGGTAATAAGCACGGCTTTTTGTTCGATGAATTTCTTTATTATCCTAGAAGAATTCTTTTTATTTAGCCTCTCAATAACTTACGAAAGTACGTTGTTACTTAATTTGCAGTATCTTTGGTCACGAAGGTGAAGATGGAGCGAACATCAGTTATATCAACTGGTTAAACATGGTTCGAGCCGGCTTGATCGCTCTGGAGTTTTACACACCAGAAAACAAAAAATGGCGGCAGGTGAAGTAGTTGAGACTTAATCGAAGCCTTTTTTAAAACCCTTCTGTTTTCATGTCTGTGAGACTATGCAAGACACTGCTTGCTTTGGTGTTTCAGGCCCACATGCAGGCAAGATATGTTATACTTCAAGTGTTGTTGGAAGCTGGAGAAGATCTTGTGACGATAAAGAAGACTTTCGGCGAAGATGGCAAAGAAAACCTTTTCGTTCAACTTGATCAAGAAAAAATACAATCTGTTGGGAGAGAGGCCATTGGAAAGTTCCTCAAGAAACTGCAGGTTCGTTTTACCATTCAATGCACAACTATTTGGACACAGCAAGCATTTATAAACTGAGATCGATAAGGAACTATGGATATTTTTTTTTCAATTTTAGATATACAAATCAACAGCTGACTTTGAACAGGGAAAGAGGATGTACGATTCTTATTCCAGCGTAGGGGAGGAATTCCTGGAATTACGTAAAATTGTTCTGGCCAGAAAACAACCTCGACGAATGCTGGTTCAAGCGAACACCAAGATACAAGGTATGGAATGTGGTACTTTTAAACTGGTAGACCACTTTTTACCATAGTAATTCATCATTTCTGTCAACCATTTATATCAGGTGATGACGTCATATTATGTGAATACCCCGCAAGTGCTGCTGGGATGATTACGTCATTCACAGCAAGATATCCTTCCCATGATCCTGTCTTAGAGAAACTGTGGCAGGAAGAGGCGATCTATCATGCGTACAAATAATTCATGTTTTTCAGTGTAGTATAGGTAAAAAGTGTCTCGTTGAATAAATGAAACTTCGTCTGGTAGTAAACATTTATTATTTTACGTTAAAATGTTGTTATTTCAAAGCTAGTCTTGCCACTGTAGATCGACGTCTTTTTGAATCTTCTTTTTAAAAAAATACTCTCAGCGCAGCATGTTTGTTCTCAACTGTTTTTTTATACAATGACTTATTTTTCTATGGTTTTGATGAATGCATTGCGTTGAGAATCATTTAAAAACTGCTCGCCTTCAAAGGAACAGTTGAGAAGATGAATTGTTATGTTGACCTATTTACAATATCTATCCGCCTTCATTTTTTCACGTCTGTCAAGCAGTTTTTCGCGAATATTCCCCTGTTTTTTGGCTTTCTTAAGATCGCGAACATCCTCGCTACTGATTCGCAGTTTTCTGTCTTCGAAACTTTGGAACTTCTTCACATAGGATACCTCACAGCTCTTCATATCTTGAAGATCTTCTGGTAAATCACTCTTTACATGTGTACTGAAAGATAATTGATACGAAATTTGAGCAAACTTTTCATTTGCCATCCAGGATCCTGTTGTCTATGATCAGGTCTGAGGTAAAAATGAAATAATTTCTGGGGGGTTTTCATCTTCTGGTAGTAGACTATTTTGGGGGCTTGATACAAATGTTTTCTCTTATTTACTTACAATCGTTCAGCATCTGTTCTGAGGTAAAACTGAGCATTCTCAGATGCATTTTTCTGTGTAGCCTTGAGTTCTCCCTTGTCTGTGACTGCGATGAAACATCCATTATATGTCTGTAGTGCAGCTTTGTCCTCCTCAAAGACAAGTTCTATCATTTCTTGTGAACCAATCGCCTCAGCAGTACCACTCACATCACCCATCATATTCACCGACATATATCTCCCTGTTAAATGAAAACAAATATGGAAAGGCAGTGAAAATATTGTCTCAATTTGACAATGTTAGTAATGAGCAATTGAGGCAACCTCGTATGGCGTACCTCACATATAAAAACCCTGGGAACAAGATTGCAATTGAGGTAATAAACCAGCTGAACCAGTGTGAGCTGGATTTGTTCATTAACAACCGTTTTAGGCAAGTGGGGGTAATTGAGCCCAAGGCCTCAGTGGTGGCTGAACCTCCCAACATAACATGACATACCATAGCCAGATTTCAAAGCAATTTTATTTAGCGACGTTTTAACAGACGTGAATATTTCTACGGGAGCTGGAGAATTCACTGAGTCCTTCAACTCTCCCATTATATAACCACCAGTGTCTGTTGCTTCGATATATTTCTGACTAACACAACTTTGAAGAGCTACGTTTGACCCGAGAGAATGATAGCTCGTTAGCTTCCACCAACCGCCATGTCTCAACGCATCCATATCTTCAGGTTTGTCGCTGTCATTTTCTCTTTTACGTTTACGATTTTTGTGTTTTTTCGAGGACTTCTCGCCTTTTAATTTCAATTTACCACTCTTTACTTGTTGGTAGGCAGACATCTTGGATTTGACCTCAAAATTGACAGGCAGTCGGGTTAGGTTTTAATTGTCAACTGGTTTAGAAATTAGAAAGAATTTTCCTAAAATTGAAGAAGACTTGATTTTAATACTTCATTACAATATATTTTGTTTTACAAATCAATTGAAATGTATTTGTTTTTAATCAGTTTTCTTTTACTGAATTTTAAAACCGAACTAATTCGGCAGGCAGGCCTAGCTCTCGGGCAACAATTTTACATCGTTCAAAAGTTTGAGCACCCCATGTTAGTCATTGCAGTAAAACAAGATGGGTTTTTTGCAAATTTTTCGTCAAATTACGGTTGAACCGGTGCTTTTTGCCTTTATGCTCTGTACTTTCCTTAAAATGCCTGTAAGCCAGCAGCTTATATTTCGAAAAACGTGCATTTCACTGTACAACGAATCGTTTTGCGAACACAACTTCACGAGCAGGTCATGTGGAGAGAGTTTGAGTGACGAAGAAATTGCCGTTCAAAAGTCAAGTTCCCAATGGATATTTTATAACACGCTTGCTTACGAACTTCCGTCTATCGTGACCTCACTTCTTCTGGGTTCCTGGTCTGATAAATTTGGTAGAAAGTTTGCAATATTGCTCCCACTTGTTGGCCTTGGACTTGAAGCCATATCGGGCCTGGTCAATGCTCATTTTTTTAGTGCATCACCAGTATATTTACTCTTTGGTAATATACTCTCTGGCATGTTTGGTGGTTTTAGTACAATCCTCATGGCATTATTTTCATATATTGCGGATATTACAAAAGATAAAAGAGAGAGAACATTAAGAATTGGTCTTCTGGAATCGATGACATTTTTTGGTGGGGCTACTGGTGAACTAATTAGTGGTGTACTTATTGAAAAACTTGGTTTCATAGCACCATATATTGTAATTTTATCATTAGTTGTAATAACAACAATTTATGTTGTTTTGGTGCTAAAAGAGTCATACTTTCCTAACCAACAATCCAGGTTCTTCTCAACCGAATCATTCCTTGGTAGTTTAAAAGTATGGGTCAAGAATCGTCCAGGAAAAAGAAGATTGCAGCTTATATTGCTACTGCTGATTGGGTTTTTTGCACCATTTATAGGTAAGTAAACTCAAACATAAATGCAGCATCACATCATATCTTGCGAGTTTCCTCTTTATTACTGAAACAGTGCCTAATGCTAATATTTTTTTCAGTTTTAACTGGTACCAATGACGTTATCATTCTATTTCTTCTTCGCCGTCCATTCTGTTTCTCCTCCCCCATGATTGGCTACTTCCTTGCAGTTTCATTGGGTGTTAGATGTTTTGGTGTTTTATTTGGAATGCCAATTCTGATTCGTATGTTCAAACTCTCAGACACAACCATTGTGTGTGCTGGAATCATCACCAATATTGCCAGTACTGTGTTTATAGCATTCACAACTAAAACATGGCAAGCCTTCCTTGGTAAGTAAATGCATTTCAGTAGATGTATACCCAAGCCCAGGAGATATGGTAGCTACATCAACATGCTGAGCTCTGTGATGTGTTCAATTAATATTTTTAGCAATTTCTTCTGGTATCTTCAATGGGGTCATCATTCCTACCGTACGGGCAATGATGTCTAAGTTGGTTGACAGCGATGAACAAGGTTAGATAACTCATCATTAGCTTTAAATATGTTATGTTACACCATGCAACATCTGATTCTAACCCATCATTGGTTCTAAGTCACATATTGAACAGGCTGTTCTTTATTTCAGGAAGTCTTTTTGCGGTCATAGCCAGTGCCTCCGCAATCTCAACACTGATTGCCTCGCTCATATTCAACAATATTTATAAACTGACTGTTTCCACATTACCTGGACTATGTTTCCTACTTATGGCTGGATTGTTAATATTCCCTCTATTCCTGATGATGTAAGTCCATTTCATTCATTTACACAGCCATAAATCACTTCATAATTTACTTTATTTACTTTGTAAGGTATTGATCAGCTCAAGACTAATTTCTTTTTTATTTCAATTGAAGATACCTCCGTATATCTGACAAGTCACCAAGCTTAGTGTTAGAAGTGAACAATGACGATGCTTTGATTGATTCAGAGGAAAGTACTACTTGATAAAGATAAGTCACTGCCAAAGCAGTCCAATGCCTGAAGGCTTAACCTAGCCAGAAGTCTAGAATAGTGCCAAACAATGTGGGGGTAATTATAACAAATGGGTGGATTTGGTTTTAGTTGATTATGTACAGTAAATTATACAGAGAAAATTAGATAGAGATTAGGAGCAATCACAGAATATCTGGCCAGTCCAACTTCAGCAGTGCTGCACTCACTGATCAACACACAACATAAGCCTAAAACCTGGTATTCTATGGTTGAACTCTAGACTCTTTATAATAGAGATACATGTGTCAAAATTTAAAATTCCTATACAATAGATTATCCACGCAATTATCTGTGTGGCGCACGCGAGGTGGCGTCAGAATGGTTGTCATAGTAACGCAATTAGGTGCGCAATAAAATGAAAAAATGATGGAAGTGATCTTGGAAATCCTGCCAAAGCGCGTCTTCTTTCAAATCCGTTCTGACAATCCAACCAATGGAATTCATATGAACGAGAGAGATGGTTTTATTTATCATTTTCACAGCATGGATAACTTGTATAAGTCATTAAAAATACGGAAATACTTTGGACCAGTGTCTTTATCCATCATCCACCGACATTGCGCGTTGATAGACGCCAGTCTTAGACACACTCCTGGAAGACATTTGTTTTATAGCAACAATCTTGAGTCTCTTGGTTACCAGCAAAAACGAACGAACGCGATTTTCTTGATGGGATGTTACCTTGTACTGAAGCAAAATTTCACTCCGGAACAAACGAAGGACGCGTTACATGAAGTAACAAGCAGCGTGGCGCCTTTTACAGATATGGAGGGATCAACTGCACATGCGCTAACCCTCCTGGATTGTTGGCAAGCTCTGTATCATGGTATGATTGTTAATCAGTGGTTTCAAAAACAAGACTCCATCGACGTCTATCAGGAAATGTGTAATGATATCGATGACGTCATGAACTGGGTCGTACCTGGAAAGTTACTGGCTCTTGAAGATCCCAAGGAACCACGGTATATGGGACGGGGTCCAAGGGTCAGGTACTCCATTGTCGAGGTGTTTAAACGACATAAAGTTGGGACAGTCGTTCGTTTGAACGGAAGAGACTACGAATATCGCACAAGTTATGGACAACCTTACGATTCTGAAGAGTTTGTTTGTCGCGCCATTAAACATTACGATATCTTCTTCAAAGATGGGGGAATACCAACAGAATCACAGCTCAACACCTTCCTTAAGATTGTGAAGAAAGCCCAGAATCCTGTGGCAGTTCATTGTCATGCCGGCCGAGGAAGGACTGGCACCATGTTGGCGTGCTCGCTCGTCAGATTCTGGGGATTCGAAGCAGTTCATGCGATTGCCTGGGTGCGAATGTGTCGTGCAGCTTGCATCGTTGGCATACAGCAAGGCTTTGTTAAAATGGTCGAAAACAGCTTGCGTGAAAAAGCGTGTATTTCCACCCCGGGACATAGTGGAAACCCAATCCTTGGCGGGCATTTCCCCACCAAAAGTATACGCCAGATTCACCTCGTTCCTCCAGCGTGCGCGCGAAAACGGCCCCCGAGACCAAACCCCACCCCAGCTAAGATCCCTCACGGAAACCAAGGCAAAATTGAAGTGCCTGAAGACTCCGGCGAGAGCAGCAAAGTTGAGAAGATTACATTTCTACCCGTGAGTGGGACCTGGGACGGACATCAGCGCAGGAAACTGAGAACAAGTGTTCATCCGGTAAAGACGAAGACGACGAGAGTTTTCCGCGAGGCAACGTTGAGAAACAACTCACGTAAATCGGAGCAGAAACCGGACGGGATTCGGGCAAGGAAACAATCAAAGACCTCCGGCGCCGATCAGGAGAGCGTGAAATCAAGCAAACTGAGCAAAGTCTCGTTGAATACGAACACGCAGTTGAGGCTGAGCGGCGTTTTCGATTTGAACCTCCTCAGAAATATGCGCGTATTTCAAGAGCATGAGCCGAGAAACAAGTACCTGCGCGCAAATATCTCCGATAAGATTTCCTGCTACATCGCAAAGCCTGGGGACGGTTTTCTACACAGGAAAAGATACACCGTGGACGCCGCTAAGGTCGCTAGGCTCAAAGCAATGCTTCAGTTTCAGGGTAAGACGACGAAAAGCGAAAAATACGAGCTGAAGAAAAATATTTCCAAAGCGCAAGACGACCTCGCGAAAGTTCATTCGTCCAGATCGCAGGTGCAAGGAAGCAAATCCACTCCTTTTGTTAAAGCACCAATTAAATATTCTGGATATCAACCGACTTTTGAACACCTTACCAAGTTGCTTACCTTTGATAAAGACAGTAAATCCCCCGTTTCAAGTTGCGGAAAAGAGTACAAGATACCTCTTGTTTCTACCGAGGGTAGCAAGAAAAGTCAACACCCCCAAATTGATAAAAATCTTTCGCGCAATAAGGTCGAGCGTCGTCTCGCCTGGGACGAGCCGGAGAAGAGCCAGCAGTGTATAAAGGCAAGTGGTAGTAAAGTGCTTGGTGTTAATCGTAATGATGGTCCCCTTCTAAACGACTTTCTCGAGAAGCATCGACAGACATTGCTGGCATCAAAGACGGCAAATTGCGCCGGGGGAAATAGAGACAATGTGAAAATAAGAAATCTTCATAAATAATCACACAATATGTATATAAAAGTTAGAATATTGTTTAATGACGTAAAAGTAAATTACTGTTTAAAATGTCTTGCTTTGTCTCAATTTGTGATGATTAATTTACTACATTTTTTTATAACTTTTACTTGCCTAACCTTATAATTCAACTGTTCCAGTTCAGCAAAGATCTAGGTATAATTACCTCTCATAATCTACTTCAAATCAAACAAGATATTACAAGTTCCATATTACACCATTCTTTATATTCTCTGTTACTCTTTCCTGTTGTATGTTCTTCAAAATACGAAGACTGATAAGAGTTTTTATACTAGTCCAGCTCATTTTATGAGATCACACAGGATGAGAAAGATGATCCTCCCTGATCCTTCTCTGGTATTGGCTTGATTGGTTCGTTAGTTGGCGCCTGAAAAATATTCAAAAATCATTCATTGCCTTGCCTTGACATTTCTTAATTCGAGTCAAGTCTGTCCTGTGTTCCCCCAACTCCTGGTCACATCAATGACAATGATGCATGATTCTTAAGAATGTCTACAATTTCCTTACGATATTTCACCTCACCTTTTCTTTGGGTATTTTTTCAACATCAAAACTGTCATACAAATCTTTGGTCCACAGCGCGTGCGGTGAAGGCAGAGAAAACTCTTGCGGGTTCGCCAAACCATGTGCAGCTTTCTTATCCATTTCTGGTACCTCCTCTGGAACCTTGTGAAAATATCTAGATGAAATGAAACGCTGCGTCAAATTAACGATCTCATCGCGAAAAGCATTGGTGCTGATCTATCAAATGCATTGGTGCTGATCTATCAAATGCATTGGTGCTGATCTATCAAATGCATTGGTGCTGATCTATGAAACCCTAAATGTGGAGTGAGTTTTTCTTCAAGCTTACATGAAGCCATTTTCTCGTGTAGATTTCTCGAGCTTCTTCTTAATCTCCCCACCAAGTGTCTTGAAGAAGGGATGGTCGGCTGGCCTTGCTATTGTAGTCGCTGGTGCCTTCAGTGCGGAATACTCTTGACACATTTTGCGAGCTGCTTGATATACTAAACATGGGACAGTTTTGTAGATTCAAGACTGAGTAGTTTATAGAAGGACCATGAGAAGATAGCGCAGGAAATCTTGACCAGTGAAATCCAGTGTATATTGTTACTTACATTTTTCACTTTCTTGCAAAACCTTGATACTTGCGCCGCATTGTTCCTTTTCGCTGAGAAGCACATCGCCGTAATAACAATATCCCTGAGAAAAATCATCAACATCAGCGAATACGTAATTTGTCCATTCAATCTACAATCTCATGATGTCACTTACGTACGCCAGGTAAAAATTTCGTTTAATTTCCAGGTATTTTCTCCACTTGCCGGCTCTGGTGACATCCATGGATTTCAATGAATCGGCTTACGGAAAAAAGGCAAAAATATTTCTCAGCACCTCAACCAAATGCATCAATGTATGCGGGTAGAAATTCAGTGAATCGCGTAACGTAAACAGAGGCAGAGCTTGACAGTTTTATCTTTCTCGGATGCGTCCTAACCACCGCAAAGCCTGAGAGACTTCTATGCATACCTGCCTGGGAATACAATTCCGACGTCTCGTAAGCCAACGCCGATACGAGAGATGCCTTGTGTTTCAACTCAATGGCTCGCGCGACCGTCACTAAAATTGAAAATTCGTAGTTACTGTAGCAGCGTTAGGTAAAGTGGCAGGCAAACCTCACCCCCCTCCCCAGCTTCAGAATTACACAACACCCGCCAGATTTACCACAATGGCAATGCCATACCTTCCTGTGCCTCAGCGATACACTGTAGTTTATAAGCATCCACCACGCGGATATCAATGTCAGTGGTCTTTGCTTCAGGGAGCTGTTCAAGAGTGCTCAGAATACTCTCCTGTTTGAGACAACGAAACTACATTAGATATGCACGCAACTCCTTGAGTTAGTGTGAATACTTCACCATTAATATGTGCCTCTTTAACAACGGTGAAAAACGTGCTTGCATGTCTAAAACCAGTCATTTTTCTATTTTACTGTATGTTGGCATATTTATGTTTCATGATTCCTTACTTGAGGAGCCAAGTTATAACAGAATATAATTGTTTCCAACCTTGACATAATGAAATATTCCAGCTGCTTTTTTCAAACATGTGTGAACTTCTTTCGCTTCCTCCATTGTAATGCTAAAACAGTTTTCCATAAGTTCATAAAGCTATTCGTGGCAAGTTAATTTTGCCAATCTCAGGTTGAGCTTGATTATAATAATGTGATTTACATGCTCATTTACATAATCATCCAGTACTTGGGCTGGATCAGTGAGGCCTGAGGTTTTAGATCACAAGCATATGTGACCAAAAGAAATTTGTTTCTCATGAGTTTGAATTAATAAGAATGACAGATCATACTTACTCACTCTTATCTGCAATATGGGAAGCATGTTTCATGCACCACATTGCAAACTCAAGACACACAGATGCCAGTTCAAAGTTTGAATCAATTTGTGCCCTGTATGTGTAAAAAGCAAATTACATTGATAACTAAAATGATTGCTTCAAAAATCAGACAATAATACTGTGAATTTGGCTATTTATTCTGGATAGACCCTGTCTGCATTTAATCTTAAAATGGTATTTCAAGAGTTCAAGATTCTATCCTTGGTGCTCATCTCAGATTTCTGTAAGGTAAGCACCATCAATTGTATTGTTTGTTATAGTGTACCACTATGCCAATATTTCTTTGTATAGTCAAACCTAAAGCATCCATCTCATATCCAAATCACAACCTACGCAGTGAACCTTGTTCTTTTCTCCTTCCTTCTTTGGAAGAAAATAATACGACTAAACCCATTTGTGTGTGTCTCTGAGAGGGAGTGGAGGGGTGGAGACTAATTATACCCCTTGTCCCAAGATTTCCTTGTATTAGAAAACCCTGGAGAGAGGTTGAAACATTGCCATAAAGTTATTTGCTTTCTCTTACAATGGTGTACTTCCACAAATTGAACTTGTCCATCTGAATCTGACTAACTTCTTGAGCTTACTGTCGGCACTTCCTGTCCCACCACCAATGTTATACAACAAACCATGTAGTAATGATAGATACTGCTGAAAGATGGTTTCTACTGTTGATATTTCACTTGATGCTTCAACAACAACTTCCAGTAGCTTTGCTCGACATTTCTTCAATTCACTAATTAAACAGGGGGGTGAAATTATGGAGAATTGAAAGGGGGGTGGCATACAGAACTGCTGGTGCAGGTCTAGCTTGGTACTGTTGATACAGGATATTAGCTATTCAACAAAATTGAAGATTTATCATAGACTATATACAGGCTTGCTGCTTGACTTTTCTTTGAAACATTTACTCACTTCAATGTGAAATATAAATAGAAATATAAAAAAGTAAAAGACAAAATAGTGAAAGAATTTAAAATACGACATTTATACCCTAGTAATTGTGACCCAGCAGAATTAGTCGTTCCACTTCGTAGTATTTCAAACGATACAGGACCAGTAGCTTTGAGAGGGTTACGATGAAACCAGTATGCCATCGTTTACAAATTGAAACTTCAAATTTTGAAGACGATGTAAACAAAATTACAAAATATTTTTGTTTTGCGTTACATGACGTAATGCGACGCTGCAATTTTTATTGGGGCCTGGGGGCGGGGACACGAATAAATCACGAACGGTTCCGAACAATACTCGGTAAGCATACCAGTGAACTAAAGCAGACTGAACGATCCAAAAATAGAGATGAATCTCTTTTTTCCCGCCTAAAATCAGGGATGTTATCAGATGTTATAGCATCAAATTTCATCCCCGATTTCACCTCACCTCTGATCCTGCATTATGATTGGTTAATGCGCCTGGGCTATTAAAATATTCCATTATCACAGCCTCAAATTTCTCATCTATTATAAAGTACAGCTAAAGAATTTCGATATAAAACTATTGTGGTGAGTTTAGTAAATAAACCTTGTGAAAGTGGATTTGTGATAAAGTTTGCGAATGGAAGACGCAGATATTTGCGGACAACTTAGGCAAATATTCCCACAAATAGACCAGGCAGTTATCCAAAGAACGATACAAGAAGCGAAAACGAACGAAGGAGTAAACATTTTAAATAAGTGTATTGAAATTGTTCTCGCACGCCAGGAAGAAGCACGTTTGTTGGGGAGAAACGAAGAAGATAGAAACGACGAGGTTGTCCTTGTTAAATCTATAAGAAAAGAGACTTCAAGGAAACAAAAAGCAAGAGAAATCCCCTTCGTTTTTATCGAGGACACAGACGCACATCCAGTTCAGATTCATGACCCTTATTATACCCATGAAGACCAACCTTTCTCGGATGGTGATTCAAGCAACTCTGGAGATGACAGCAGTGATGATGTTTCAGACCCATTTCCACCAAGAAATGATTTATCCAAAGATGTAGAATTTCCCGATCTATTTGCTTGGCAACCATCCAGGCCACCAATCCAAAAACACATTCCAACACCAATTATTTTAGAGCCTTCAGGAAGTGAACCAACATCTAATTGGCATCTATCAACTACACCGGCGAGACAAACTTTGGTAGTACCTCTACAATTACCAATGAATCACCAGCCACTAATAATACCAAATGAACAAATGTCATCAACACCTAATGCACCAAACCTGTCAAGCACCACCACTGCTACAGAAAGCTCATACCTTGATTTTGTCAGGCAAATGTTTCCAAATGTTAATGTGGAATTTGTTCAAAAATTATCCCAACAAGGTTTTGATCTAAATGGCATTGTGAATATGCTTGTTGATCGGCCTGATATGCAGAATGATACCAAAAGTGATCTACAACCACCATCATTGTCAGCAGAAACAACAAAACATGTTAATTACTTCACAGAGTACTCAAAAATGGTATCTTTCACCTTCAAAGTACAATGTGAAAAACTTTTGAAAAATGATTTCCGCAGAGTCTTCGTTGCTGACATTAGAAAGGCCATGGCAATGTACAATGGCCACTATGCCCCTGCAAGAAAACTTCTTGAGGAATCACTCTTGGCCATGAATGAGAATAGCGCAGCTAAATGTATATCATCAAATACGTTGCCATCCAGCAATTCAACTCTTGTGGAGGCCCAAAAAAAATTTGCTATTTCTCGATTGTTGGGAACCAAAAGACCATTGAAAGGTACTTTGGTTGACATTATTCCAGAATTAAAACTTGAGATGGATTTCTTCAAGAGGCAAGTTGTGCTAAATGAGGAAAAAAAGAATGCAATCTATGCTGCATATTTGAACGAACAACAGTACAAAGATGAAGGAGAGCTGATTGAATGTGGCTGTTGTTTTGGAGAATTCCCTTTTGAAGAAATTGTCCAGTGCAGTGAAGGACATCTGTTTTGTCGAGAATGCTTACAGGGTTATGCGAAACAGGTTATATTTGGCTCGGCCATGGCGTCAGCCAAGTTACTATGCATGGCTGAGGATTGTGAAGAGCCATTTCCTTACAATCAGTTGGAAAGATGCCTGTCGAACCAAGAAATTGAAAAGTATCGAAGCCGGCTTCAGGAGGATTGTTTAGCCAAAGTTGATCTTCCAAATCTTCATCAATGTCCATTTTGTGAATTTGCAGCCATTATAGGAGAGCACCAGAAGGTGTTTACCTGCATGAACCCCAAATGTGAAAAAGAATCGTGCACCAAATGCGAAGAAGAATGGAAGGAACATTTTGGAAAACGATGTAATGAGGTGGAGAAGAAATCTCAAACTAATCTAAGAGTGAGTTATGAGGAAAGAATGACCATGGCAAAAGTGAGAAAGTGTGCAAAGTGTTCGCTTACATTTACAAAGCAGGATGGCTGCAACAAAATGACATGTAGATGTGGTACCACTCAGTGTTATGTTTGTCGTAAATCAGGCATAACTTACGATCATTTTTGCCGCCATCCGAGGGATCCTGGAAAAAAGTGTGGAAAATGCTCTGCTTGTTCGTTATGGACAGACCCAACGGAAGATGAAGAATTGGCAATTACAAACCTTCGAGAGGAGGCTGAAGTTGCAAAAAGGAAACTGAATGAGGAGATCGAGCATTCAACTAGAAAGAAACCAAAGTTGTAATTTCCAGTCTTGTGGTTAGCTTATATACCTTGCTAATCAGAACACACACATACCTCTAATGTGAGGGTATTCATATTTGGACAAAGACAAATTATATTAACTGAAGAATTATATGCACTATATTATTGTTATAGAGACAAATATTGAGTTATTGACTATTATTACGGTTTCTATTGTTACTATTATTGGGGTTATCTGTTAACGACAACAAGTGGTATTTTTGAAAATAGTTGTATTTTGTAACCTAAGTGTGTAATGATCAGGAATATTGACATTATAACCTACTGGTTATGGTAGTTTTCAGAAATAACCAAATTGAAACTATACTTTGTTAAATAACTTGCATTGCATTTTGTTGGGGAGAAGAAAATAATAAATGGGGAAATTGTCTGTTAGATTGTTTCATCCCTTGCGCATTTTGATATTTATAATGCAGGATATGTTTGCCAGACTGAGATAAACACTTGTGTGATAATTCTATTTATGAACACATGCCCTACCAAATTTCCCTACCCCACCCTATTGAACTGTAAACAAACAAATAGTTGTATAGAAAGTTCACTGCCCTACCCCACCCCACAAAGAAAAGGTGTTGTCATGACAACAGCGAGGAAAGCAATATGGCGGAGCCTTTAGATGGGGCAGCAAAAGAACCGTCCACAACAGACGTAAAGGAAAATCTTGAAAGCGAATTTGAAATAGCGGGGAGCACGCTTGAAAAGGAACTGAGAAGTGCAGAAGTTCTGAAAACCCAGGCAGATTACAGAAAGATTGGAAAAAGCTATATTGAAAGCATTAAAGCGTCTCTTCTTGCCTCGTCCGCTAAATATTCAATTACTCTGGAAGATCCTTATTTGAAAGCTTACAAATACTTGGAAGAAAACAAGGTTCTAGCATTGCTCGAGGTATGCTTTTGTAACTGGAGAGCTTTGTAAAACGCTTTTATAAACATTGTTTATAATTGTTATTAATACACGAGTTCATTGCTACACTACACATGTGTTTTTATTGTTGAATTATCAGTCTTTTATTGCTGAATATTCAACTTTTCGAATATTTCCCTAGGATTTAATAACATACACTGCCTTCCAACGACCTAATGAGCCATTTCCCTTCATGTCTCGACTTGTTGAGGATTTTTACAAAACTAACAAAAGTAATGAATGGACATCAAATGAAGCAGTAAAAAAGGAAAGTTGAAAAATATTAAAAAGAGATTCTTACTTAAAGGATTTTGTATAATAGAATTTTGTGTTATCAACTGCATTAAATACGTACAAGTAATTATACTCCAGTAAAATAAACCAGATATTAAATTTTAAAAATGAATTTAAATAAAGAAGATAAAGGCAAAAAAATGGATATCCTGATTCCTGAATGTCATAATATTTGATATATAAAATACCAGGCACCATCTTCTTTAAGTTGGTACTTTGGATGGTAATGCTTTGTGACCAATTTCCACTTCCCATCTTTACAAAGTTGCTCCATTTTTTCCTGGTATCCACTCTCGGCGTCGTTAAGGGCAAGATCCCGGATGCTACAGCATGCCAACCCTCCTGGCTTTACCACATGTGCAAGATCATCCAAGCCTTCTCTTGGTGCATGCGCAATAGATAGCACCCCTACACAAATGGCAGCATCATACCGATTCTCTTCAATGCCCAATTCCTTGCACTGTGGTGAGCCCAATATTCCCTGCTTCAAAGAACCGTATATCCCTTTGGCCTTAGCAAGCTCCAGAAATTTTGGTGTTAAATCTACGCCATCAATATTCTTATATCCATGCTTCCACAGTTGTTCCCCAACCAGGCCAGTGCCACAACCAAGATCCACAATGTGAGCATCATTGCTGTATCCAAATTCCTTTAATTTCTGTGCAAATAATTCTGCTGCAACAGCAGGACCTTTGTAGTTATGGTCTTCAACCATGCTCTGAAAATTTGAGAGAAAGTATCATTTTTTCGGTCATTTGGTCAGCCCCCACCCAGAATTTTTGAGATGAGGGGGGATGATGATGACAGTGTATTTTTATAAAAAGGACATTACATACAACTTCTAAAAATTTTTTCTGGGGGGTAGCTGCCCCTGCTGTGTTCTGCCCTGATAGTATGCCATTTAATACAAGACATGCATGACTTGCTGACTGGAAATATCCAATATTTTGTGCACGGAATGCACTCTGTGCACCGACTCTGCCCTTGCCCGTGGTACATAATGGATTTGGTCAGCATAGACTGTGAAAAACTGTAGTTTGATACCTCATCATATCCTTTACCCCAAGAAGAGTACGCATCTTTTAGCTCTTCAGAAGTCACATTCCTTCTTGCAATTAGCCCAGTAATATGAGCATGCCAATCAAAGTTTTCTGCAGCCATTCAGTCTATATCTCTATTCAACCCTGCAGGACTGTTTTAAATGTTTTAGCCCTTAACCTTGTAATGGAGATGCACTATAACAAAGCTGCACTATAAAAAAATAATCAAATGTTATAATATACTAAATATAGCTACTAACTGTATATATATGAGCTATTCTGCAATCTGATTGGTCGAGATACTCACTAGATATCAGCTCATATACATACCAATGCATACCAGTGAACTGATGCATACCAGCGATACCAACCCACCAGCCTCGTACCCAGTACCCAGTACGATGAGTACGTACCCGGTACACTACACTACAGGCTTTTACGCAGATCAGTGGCTAAAGTGAGTGAGCGTGGTGAGCGCGCGCCGCGCAGAAAATTTTAAATTTGAAACAACGAATTGTACAGTGTTCAGTGTTGGGTTAAATCATATGGTTAAAGATGAGGTAAAGTCCGTTCTGAATGAGGACCGTAATAGATGGCGGGGCTATTTGTCGTCGCTACAGACGCTACCTTCTCGCTTGTCCTACAATTACAAATATATAACGTTTTAAATAACGGCCGGTTTATTTACAAGCTTCGCTTTATATTTTCTTCAAAATATAACAATATCCTCTTCAAAATATGATGTAAAATAAGCATATTCATCACAGATTACAGCCGGTCGAGCGAGGAGAAAATAAGAAAATTATAACGACGCATACGTCATGTAAAGATTATATAACCAACGTAAACAAACATTGTTATGCGCAGAATATATGCTCAGAACGGACTTTACATCATCTTTAAATGCTTTTGTGTAATTTGGGTATTTTACCACTAGACTGAGGCATTGGATGTCAGCCAATAATAATTCCATATCTCCGGATAATCTGGGAAAATAGTTTATTCATTTTTTATTTTGTAAATTAATGTGCATAAAAAATAGCCGCCACCCTGGTTTTGATTCCCCCGAAAGAATTTCTAACCCCGAGGCGTTCAGAATTTTGTCTTGGTTGGTTTGGTCGTGTCGAGTTTGTTTTTTTGTCAAGTGTCGTCCGGTTACCACGTCAAAAATTGTTATAAAAAAGCGAGAGTAATTAGAATTGGCGAATTATAACTCATTATTATAATGATAAACATGTGCGTACGACACTGGCCACTCGATGTCATAAAGAGCGATATATTTATTGCGATACATAGAAATACAGTAAATTATATTGAGTTAGAACTTCACTATAGAGTTCTGACTGACGTTATAATAGTTGGTAAACAAAGTACCAAGCATTATCTTCCTTGAGATAGTCCGACTGATAATGCTTTGTGACCAATTTCCACTTCCCATCTTTACAAAGTTGCTCCATTTTTTCCTGGTATTTGCTCTGTGGGTCATTCAGAGCTTGTTCCCGGATACCAAAGCACGCCAATCCTCCTGGTTTGATCACGTGCACAACATCATCCAAGCCTTCTTGTTTCACGTGCGCGAGCGTGAATACTCCAACACAAATGGCAGCATCATACTGATTCTCTTCAAGGCCCAATTCCTTGCACTGTGGTGAGCCCATTATTCCCTGCTTCAAAGAACCGTACATTCCTTTGGCTTTAGCAAGTTCAAGCAACTCTGGAGTTATGTCTACGCCATCAATATTCTTATAGCCATTCTTCGACAGTTGCTCCCCCACCAGGCCAGTGCCACAGCCAAGATCCACAATGCGAGCGTCATTGCTGTATCCAAATTCCTTTAATTTCTGTGATAACAGTTTAGCTGCAACAGTAGGCCCCGTGTAGCCATGATCTTTAACCATCGACTAATAGTTTGGAAATAAAATAGCATGCGCTGTTTTTAGTGTTTTATAAAGGTGCATCATCAACAGACCCTCAACAGGCTCAACATAATATTAAGCCGATAAAATCCTTTCGAATAGACCCCACCAACTAACTTGTACCTTTCTCAAATTTGCTTCAAAACCAAGTAACTCAAGCACTAAATCTCTACTATCATTCGTTGTTTTAAATCATTTAAGACAAACTGGACATTCTTTCAATCGAAATGATTCGGTCAGAAAGAGATCGCATTGCACAATACCTTATCGTATGTTTTACCCCAAGCAGTGTAAACGTCTTTAATTTCGTCGTGTGTTGCGTTTCCTTTCGCCATTAGCGTATCAACGTAAGCATACCAGTCTACATTCTCGTCAGCCATTTTGTCTACTTAACGTTAACGATGCAGGGAGTTTTTTAAATTTTAATGATTTTATGCCTTTGCAAATGAGCTCCTGTGTAATTTAACACCTTAATGGTGAATTACTTCACGGAGGATAATATTACTCATTCTTCTAATACCAGAAGGTACAAGGCATCTAATGTCACCGCTTGTGATGTTGGCAAGTAAAGTGTGGCGTTAGATGTAGACCATGGATGATGGATAATGGTTGATGGTTCTGGTTCATATAGACAGTGTTGCCAAGTCAGTTTTCCTAAAAATCCCAATATAGCTCCCAAAAAATCCCAAGATTCCCTATTTTCCCCCAAAAAAATCCCAAGATTTTTTTCATTAGTTCCCAGGTCCCCTCATCAGGCGAAGTGTTCAGCCATGCGCGTTAACCGAAGCCTGGCGAAATACTCGGTCTTGTATAAACGATAGGAAGAAACCTTCTCACTGATCTCAGCACTTAACTGCTGTATACTCTGTATGGTATATTAAAATATTTAGTGAATAACAGTTATACCGAGCAGGCAGATTAATCAGTATTACAACTATCATTATTAAAACATTATCTTGTCTCTATTCTAAAAAATCCCAAGAAAAATCCCATGGTCTTATTAAAAAAATAAAAATCCCAAAAAAATCCCAACAGCCTTAAAAAATCCCAAGATCTTGGGATAAAATCCCAAGGTTGGCAACACTGCATATAGATCTAATTTCTTTTAATTTATGTGCATCTAAAATGGCGACTTCCTGGCGTCACAACTCGTAATCTGCAAATATGGTTAAAAGAATCATTTCTGACGAATTTTTGTAAAATGAACTATAAATTTCAGATATATTTATTGCAATGTGAATACATGAAACATTAATTATTTAATTTATTTGTGAATGTCCTCAAATGTCTTATAATATTTGGTACACAAAAAACCATGCACCGTCATGTTTGAGATAGGCTGGTTCGTGATGCTTTACGATCAATTTCCACTTCCCATCTTTACAAAATTGCTCCATTTTTTCCTGGTATGTGCTCTTCGGGTCATTCAGAGCTTGTTCTCGCATGCTACAGCACGCCAATCCTCCTGGTTTGACCACGTATAGAAGATCATCAAAACCTTTGCTTGGGACATGTTTAACAGAGAACACTCCTACACAAATGGCAGCATCATACCGATTCTCTTCAAGGCCCAATTCCTTGCATTGTGGTGAGCCCATTTTCCCTTGCTTTAAAGAACCGTATATTTCTTTGGCTTTTGCAAGTTCAAGCAACTCTGGAGTTAAATCTACGCCATCAATATTCTTATAGCCATTCTTCCACAGTTGTTCCCCCACCAGGCCAGTGCCACAACCAAGATCCACAATGCGAGCGTCATTGCTGTATCCAAATTCCTTTAATTTTTGTGATAACAGTTCAACTGCTACAACAGGACCTTGGTAACCATAGTCTTCAACCATGGTCTAAGAAATGATAGAAAACACGGACTAGTGTCTGATATTCTACAGCCATTATTTAGTTCGATATGAGACATAAAGGAGTTAGTTGCAAACGATGCACGGGTGACATATAACACTTTCTAAATTAACACTAAAAATACCACCAATTTGAAAAATGAAAAGTTCAAGTCAAGTCAGACCTGCGGCGGAGTTTAAACACTGCCTGGAACCATGCAGATTGGGGCATAATGGCGTCCTTTTGGGATCGATAAGTCAGTAAGTCTGGATCAGCGGTCGTGACTATGGACTATGCTACTTGCAGTAATGGCTGCTTGAGACCCTATGTGCAAACCATGTAATGATTTTGCGAAAATGATAGCATTGAGTGGAACTGTTCTAACGGCTATAAAACGATGAGAAATTATATCTTAAATTTTAGCAAGAAAACTTAGCGGGGTACATATAGTCATACTTTCTCATATGTTTTGCTCCATCCAGAATAGACGTCTTTTATATCCGCTTGAGTTGTGTCCTCTTTTGCCATCACCCGTTCAATATGAGCATGCCAATCATAATTTTCTTCAGCCATTCAGTTAAGCCGGCGAAGTGCAGGTAGTGTAATAGAAATGATATAAGTGATACAACAACGCCTCAATGGTTCCAGACACAAAATGAACTGTCCGTCTTTCAACACGCAGGCAGTCGAGTAGAGATAATTATTCAAAGGTCAAAGTCGAGAAAAAACAGGGGAATTATTTGTCGGGAAAAGGGCTCGCACACCCTTTAAGAATTTGCAACTCAATTGCGATCCTACCACCCTCCGTTGTGAATGTGTGTGTGTTCATTAGAACGACCACACAGTCGAGGAACTGAAAGAATAAAAAACGGCTAACAAAGTTTTTTGTCTTGTGAATTTTATGATTTTAATATCATGAAAAATCATTACAATATCTGACAACAGAACAGCCAACAGCCGTCATCAATCGTGTAATTCTCAACATATTTTTTCTCGACCAGTTTCCACTTCTTCGCGTTACAAAGTTCGTCCATTTTTGTGGCATAACCATAGGAGGGATCCTCCCAAACCAAGCGTCGGACGGTGAAGCAGGCCAGACCACCAGGTTTTAGTACATGAACAAAATCATCAAAGCCTTTGCTTTTCACATGACCATGGGTCAGCACCCCCACACATGTTGCACCATCATATTGATCAGCCCCCACTCCAAGCTTCCCACACCCCTCCGATGCCATCTCCCCCTGGGTGAGTGTCCTGTACACACCCTTCTCCTTGGCTTTTTCCATTATCTCAGCACACAGGTCAACTCCGTCGATATTGTTGTAGCCTCGTTTTTGTAATTCTTCAGCAACCAGTCCAGAGCCGCAGCCGAGATCAAGTATTCTTACATCGGTACCCTTCCCAAGAGCTTGGAGGTGTTGAGATAGAAGATCTACAGTAGCGACTGGACCGCCGTATTTCAAATCATTTATCATGAACTAAAACATATCACAAGACAATTTGCTTTATTAGTCATTAAGATCAGAGGCAGCAGGAATAGATACCGAATATCTTATCTGTTGTTTCAATTGCGCAAGCATTAGACGCGACAAAAATGCGAGGTATAAGCTAGGATGTTTCTGAACCACTGCTCGTTTTGAAACTATAGAAAAGACGACACGTTCTGGCGAGACGAGGCAACTCGCTTCCGATGTATTTGTCTCCTAAACTAACACTAAGCCGTTCCGGGTTGTAGGTTTCTTTAAGCTGTGATCCGCAATGTGGCATTTGATTTTTCAAAATGGCAATTATTTTGCAATATAATTTTAATCGTTACCTTTTCATAAGTTTCAGTCCATGCTGTGTAGAGCTTTCTACAATCTTCAGCCTTACTGTCTACAGATAGCGCTTTAAAACCGTCATAACTCATGATTATTTGTATAGAATGAGAACGGCAAGAGACTTGGTGGTTTAGTGTGCCTGCGAACCAGTGGTATAAGCTTCGTTTGTGTCTTTGTGATTCGGATATCATAAGATATCAAATTGCATCACATATTCACATTGTAACACCCTTGGAATGATTCCAAGCGATTTTATGACGTTGTTAACATAATTGGTCAAATGCTGATTGGCATATTCATCGTTTGTATTATTTGAAACTGAAGATTGATTAACCCTGCAACGTGAAAATTTAGATCTGAAGAAGCGCGTGGAGAATACAATACTTTAGAGATATCTTTCGTTTCATCCTGTCGAGGTTGCAAAATGATTGATGGTTTTAGAGACTAATTTTTGGATATAGGACTGACTATATCTGATATCTGTGACTGGCAGTTGCATCTCCCTGATCTTGGTACAACTGCTGCAGCTGGATTAAGATATATGTTACTAGTCCTTTATTAATATCACCAGTGACTATAACCAGTATTTGAACACATGGTATAAAAAATTTTAATTTCTTCCTTTTTAATCAAATTGTTGTCATAATTTACAAATAGACCTTTAATATCAGATTGTTCACTATTTTCCTAGAACACTGAAACCACGTCTTGTTATAAAATAGTCCAAGCCAGAGACAATTGTTGTGACACCCACAGTGTATCTAAACAACAGTTTTGCATATCAGTGAATAATTTATACTTTATATAATACTGATTGGATGGTAGCTGCACAGAGCTCAGTCAGTTTAAACTGGCTACACTTACTGTAAAGCTAGCAGGCCTGAATGTTCAGTGATATCTAAGATTGGTGCAGCTAGTGATAAGGATATCAAAGCTAATTGTAAAGCAGTATTCACCTGGAAGATTAAAGATTTCATTTGTTTTGATTTCTGTCCCAAAAGCTCTTACATACACCACACGTATTTAGATTAAATCATTTTTATTTAATCGTGATATTCAAGTTGAACCTGACAAGATACTGCACTCACTTTTCCTATCAATGATGGTGTTACTTGAACTGTGGGAAGTTGAAAGTCAAAGAAACGCATGAATGTTTTCTGTAAATGTGTGAAAAAACACAGTAACTATAATGCTTGCGGGGGTTGAATTTGATTAGGAAATTAATAATAAATTGTGACAGCTTACAGGTGCAGGCAAGGATACAAATCTCACAACAAAGGATGCAAATATTAATCCAATATCACGGCCTAGTATAATGATAGCCAGAGGAACTAGAGTGGAAAATGAATTATCATTTATTGAAATGCATTTCATGCATAGGATTGTAGTAGATAACAGGCCCAGGCCTGGTCTCTTGTTAGCAAAACACTTACCTGGTATAAGATGTGCTATAGACAATGAAACAGTTAACACACCAACAAGAATTTTATCTGCTATAGGATCCAGAACACTGCCTAAATATGACATTTGGCTTGGATATTTTCTGGCAATGAAACCGTCAAGCTATAAAATGAAATGCCAAAATTTTAATTTATAATAGTTACCATACCAGATAGGAACTACATGAAACTCAGGTCATAGGAGAAGGGGTGGAGAAAAAACTCTCTTTAGCATGCCTATGACTTTTTAGAGATAGAGAGGTCACTAGTCAGTTGCTTATCGCGTAGGGATTGAAGTTTACTAGACATTACTGCCTGCAAAACCTAGTATAGACAACACATGCAACCTCACCACATCAGTAAAACCAGCAGCTAAAAGAATGATAAGTGAAGTAAGATAATTTCCTGAGAGCACAAAATATCCAAGGATGGGTGATGCCAGAATTCTTCCAAAACACAGAATATTTGGTACTGTGAATATTTTGTCCTCTTTCTAAAAAAAGACAATATTAATAGAGTACCAGCATGAAACTTTTTCCCTGCCAAAAACTACCAACCCATTCTCCAATTTTCTTAGAATTATTACTGGATGGGTGGCTGCTAATGTGAAATTTCCTAGAAATTGCAAAATTTCTGTGAAAGTTCTTTGAAGAGCTTGCTTTTCTCCATGATCCAAACCAGTCAACTTTTTGACCGCATATTAACGTCATCCATCCTTCATTTCTTGAAATTTTAGCACCGACTGTTTTTTCTATGAAATTTGTAGCATAATGTTGATCATGTCCTAGAAAATGTTGCTGCGCATGTGATCTCAGATCCACTAAAGAAACTTTGGTGCTGCAATTATATTTTCTCAGTCCATTTTTGTTCCTAGAACAAGTGCGAATACATGTCCGGAAAAGAAAGCTGCACATCTTATACTTCGTTCCAAACTTCACCATATGTCCATATCGGACATTTAATCACGATTACACCAAGTTTCTCACCAGACTGCTGAGATTTATGTGAATGACTGACGGTTCCAACATGGCGGCCTTAAGCACGATTTTGAGAAAGTCGTTTCGGGCAGGAATGTCGACGCTAACCGCATCAAATTTCACACTTCGCGAGCTTATTGTGAGTAATTTTAGAGAGGAGAGCTCACTGGATAATTGGACTTGTACTTCAGATGAGATCATTGGTGGAAAATCCAGAGCGGAGTTGACTCGCACAAAGGATGGTAATGCATCTTTCTGCGGGCAACTCTCTACCGAGCTCCCCCCTGATAAGCGCAACAAACACAGTGGGTTTTGTACAATGAGGTTAAACCCAAAAATGGTAAGCTACAACTTTGTGTTTTGTAAAAATGCTTATATCAGTTGACCTGTACCAAGATGGACTTTAAAGGGCGTGGTCTAGGGGTTCCGGGCCAGGGCACGCCTTCACAACCCCCAGACCACACCTTCAAAGGACTGGTTTGTAATCCCAATAACTACACTGACTTTTAGTATACATATTAATCTCTCTATCCCCATTAAGGATCGCTGGGGGACAACATTGAACACTGATGTGTCATCTTATGATGTCATGCAATTACGGTTACGTGGGGATGGCAGAACCTATCTGGTTGGCTTTCAACCTCCAGGTTACAACACTGATGACATGTATCAAGCCTTTATATACACTAGTGGTGGTCCATTCTGGGAGGAAATTACTGTAAGTTTAATTTTGAGCTTGTGTTGCCATATTAGACTATTCAGTATGACTTTAGTTGACAATTTAGTGTTCTGTGTAGCCCAGATTTTGATTCATCTGCATTATATCTAGTGTTGTGGTTTTCTCCTTTCAATTAATTTCATGGTCCTTTAAAGTATATTTGTAAATCCAGAATTTGGTGATGTCATCCATCATCACAAGTTTAGAACTTCTACAAGTTCTATGGCATGTTAAATTGGAAAGCAAATAGTTAAGCAGCACTGCATAGCTCTCTGCTACCTATAGCATCTAAATAATGCATTCGCAAACAAGCATTTAAGGTAGAATTTTTTTATTTCCAAATGGTGCCCACAAGGAAACAAATTTATTTTCAGATTCCATTTACCAAGTTTATATTCACAACTGCTGGCTACCTTCAGGACAGACAACCAACTTTTCATTGCTATAGAACAATTGGCATCTCAATAATGGATAGAATTAGTGGACCTTTTTGTCTTGAGTTAGATCACATCAAGCTAAGAGAGACCTTTTATCAACCGAAATACTTCGTAGAACACGCAGGCAGAGATTTAGATTACTGAATTATATTGAATAATTATTCAGATGGTTGGTTATTGCTTTCAAAATGCTTTACAAATACAATTCCCGTCTTAATCCTACCTGAAATGTACGTCATTTTCGCACACAGTTACGATTAATGAATCGTGGCTTTCCATTGTTTTTTATTGTTTTCAAAATCCCACTTTACTGAACTAAGAAGCTTTTCTCCATGTGACCTACTTGGCGTAGGTTTTTGAATACGTTTAGACAGGATATAAAACGATTCTCGCTTTTCGCTTCAGCGTGAGTCGCAAAATTCGAAGCAAGGATATGGAAAGCGCTTTAGATAACACGGAAAACGTCGAGACCCTTAAGAAGAACTTTGATGAAATTTTAAACAAACTGTACTCGTTAGGTTTAAGTATTCATGTGTTGAAAGACAAATCAATCGTATTTCCTTGCAACACCGGAGAGCTACAAATCCTGGACGGTGACGAAGCACTAGAGCATTTTAATCGACCAGAATACTCGAATAAGGTCCTCACATTTGGTTCGAGACATTTTTATTGCCATTCCGAATATCTGCGTTTGCGAAGCGAGTATTTTGAAGCGCTTTTTGCTGGAAACTTTCAGGAGACAACAATGGATCTAATTTCTATAGAATTGCCATCTCCTTCTCCCGACATCGAACTATTATTGCGCTATCTTTACACGGGAAAAGCACACGAGAAAATGTTTTACGGCGTTGAAATCTTTAAGACTGTCGAAAATGGCAACTACTTGGGTGTTCACGAGCTGGTATCCCTTGCTGTCGAAGCTTTTGCAGTTCGATGGAAAAGTTTAGTGCCTTCGGCTTTGTTTAGACGAAGTGTCATGGACGTCAACTTCGTTCGAGCTTTGTTAAAGTACGGTAGTAAGAAAGGCATTTTTCAGGACGGAGACAAGTTGAAAATTGTCGTGAATTGGAGCGCAAAAACAGGTTCAGACATTTCGGAAGCTCGTGCCTTAATTCTTGAAAATAATTGTCTGGACACGGCCAGTTTAGCGGACCTGGAATGGTTGATTGAGGCCAACCCAGACTTGCTGACGGGGCTGGAGTTCACGAACTTTCGTAATGTTTGTCAAAGAGCGAGACGAGAAAATGAAGAAGTGAGAAAATGCAGCAAGGCGGCAGAAGAGAAGTCGAAAGGTAATGTGGTAGTGGGGGGGGTCAGGGTGCTGCCTTAACCCTGTGCTTGTTATCAAAAGTGAGGCGACACTTTGTTCAGTAAACAGTCTTGGCTAGACTCGACCTGGATTGGACGAGGTTCGGATCACCAGAAAATATTAACCATTTCACATCTGTAATACTATATTCGACCCAAACGGGTCGGCCTGCCACGCCCTTCGTCAATAACACCTTACTTACCTTACTGTCTTTTTTTATTCCAGGACTCTTGGAGTGCGTGCGCATACTGACGAAGCAATTGGAAGAAATTCGCTGCACCAAATGTCGGATGTACATGCCTCGGGCGGCAATAAAGACTCGGACCTGCGTTAAAATGGATCACTCAGGAGAATATACCATCCACCAGGGATGGAGCTGTTGCAAGCAGTTTAAGAAAAAGTCCAAAGGATGTAAACCTGTTGAAGTCACAAGACACACGCCCGGCAGATCATCTAGCAGCAGCAGTTAGTTGATCGATTTGCCATTTCTTTTATTTTTAACTTGGAATTTTTACTATTAAGAGTTTTTTAAATCATGGAAACTTTGTTGGCGCCATTAGTTTTTAACAATACAGATTAATTTATCTTTATAGTTTAATACTGTCTGTAAAACTTAGGGGAATGCAAGATCATTAATTTTTTTACTGAATTGTTGTTAAATGTTGTAATTCCCCTGTTTTTTCCAATATCGAGCTTACCAAAACCCGACCGGCTATATTCGCTGTGGCTATACGGTAATGCACCCAGTGTAATTTCCCGTATTTTCAGATATTCTTGAAATGCAGAATTTGTTCGAAAGTGACATCATGGTCATGTCGCTAATTATTTAGTTGTTACGTTGTTCTAAAAATCTGCTTGTATAAAGAAAATTATGGCCACAATAAAGTCGGGATTTCTTCAGAAGCTAAGTAAGTATATATTTGTATTTCTCGTAATCAAATCCTAAAGCCAAAAATCATAAATAGTCTGACATTGCTGACTGTAACTGACTATTAGTAACTGTACACATTATCCCCCTGTTCGTCTATTGATTGTTTAATCAATATATGTAACGGTGTAAGACAAAAATCACTTGTTTCTTTCGTCACTCTCCTGTGATTTAGATTGAGTCCCCCAGATTAACAACATGTTATCCTATTTAAGTATATAATGCAAATAAGCTAGTGAATCCTTAGTTTGATAGCGATGATCATAACGTCAGTATATATTTAACACTTCACATGAGATTGAACCAGATATTAATATCTTAAAAAATGGCGATAAAATATTTTAGGTGGTTTGCTGAAGAGAGACTGGAAGCGACGCTACTTTGTGCTCTACCAGGATGGTGAGTTGGTCTATTACGAGACCCCGGGTAGTCAAGTCTGTGATGGCAGGGTAAACATCAGGCAGACCTGTCAAAGAATTGATTATGCATACGAAGTGGAACGTGATATACAACAAAAAGCGTCTGGCCGGGTGAACTGCTTGTTTTGTGTTCGTTCCTCTGTTAAAAATATCACTGTGTTAGCAGATAATGAACAAGAAGCAAGGTAATGTTGTTGATTGTTTTGGCAAAACCCTTGTGTATTTTTCAAAATAAAACCTTTCATGTAGTTGTTGAAATATACAGTCTGATCTTTCCATATTAAATCAGGGATTGGGTGCAGAAGCTGAATGAATTAATACGACAGGTAAAATGTAAATTATTTTAATCATTTTAATATAAGTACTGGTTGTTTTTATCTAGTTGCCAATGAAAATGTATAATTTGTTTTTTAGCCATCAGGCATGTATTCGGCTGGTTTTGCTTCGCCAAACTACCAACCAGGTATGCCTTATCCAAACAGCCAGCCAGGGATACCACCATACGCCACTGGTCAACCAGCTATGGGTTATCCAGCTCCACAGTATCCTCCAGCAGCAGCACCATACCCTGTGCAAGGAGGTATGCCTCAGCCTTACCCTGTTGCCACAGCATACCAAGGACAACCCCCTCCTTACAATCAACCAATGGGAGCCCAGCCACCACCACAAATGTATGGTCAATACCCTGGTTACCAAACACAGCCACCTCCTGGATATGGCTATCCAGCTTACCAACATCAACAATATCAACAGGTTACATTTCCTACCCAATATATACCTACACATAAAGATTTTCCAAGATTCCAGTAATTCTTGATTCACCCTGTTGTAAAAACCCCATTGTTAAGACACATGTTGTGGATACCCGTACAGACCTTTGAGTGTTTCACAGTTCACACCCTAAAACTGATATTATAAAATTACCTGGTATTAGACAAATATTAGATACTTAAAAAGCTACCAAGAATATCAACTATATTTCATCTACACTGTTTTAGGCACCTCAAAGTCGAGGGGGGTTATCATCAAGACGAGGACTTGTTGCAGGTGCTGCAGGTGGAGCTCTTGCAGGTGGACTCCTTGGATTTGGTATGGGACATGCTATTGGTGGTATGGGAGATAGTTTTGATGGCGATTGTTGTGGGTTTGACTGTGACTAAACCAGAATTAGATAAAGTAAAATTATATAATATAATTATTTTATCTTGGAATGAATAAATTGTCACTGACAGGAACATTGGGTTTGCTAATCCAAAAGAGGAAGCAAGGGTCCTTCAGATGCTAATGGTAAAACCTTCTGCATGTACTATGCCAGGAGTATTGCTTATTTTTGCTGTATAAATGCAAATTATCATAAAAATATAATATAACTGTAATGTCAAAGATTGAAAAATCAAAAGCCATTTTTGATTGAAACTTTATTTTGTAGAAAGCAATAATATGCTATGATATAACAACTTTTTAAAACGTTTTATATTGCATTAGCAGTTCTCTGAAGTATGTAGACTCCTGCTTGCATGCCACCAATATTAATCCAGTACGTAAACTTCTTTCGCCAAAACTGTGCAGTTTGGGTAAACGTTTTTGATATGGCTTTCTTATCCTTGGTCAAAATGACGGCTCTTCCAGATTCTCTTTGACAAACACGCGCCATTTCTAACAAAACATCAGGATACAACTCCCAGTTCTTGTGCATAGAGCCACTCTTTTTTCCAAAAGGTAAATCCGTAATGAACACATCAACTGAGTTCGTTTTCAATGGCAAATGACATGCGTCCCATAGGTGCGTATCCACAGTGATTCTTTTTCTAGTGTAAATTGTTAAAAATGATTAAATTACTTCGAGCTTTTTCATGTCACACCTTACATGCTGAATAGTCATGTTTTTTCACTAAACTTATAAGTAATCCTACTTTTTCATCATGGCCCTTTGGTTGTTCACAAAAGCCACATTATCCTGAGTTCTGGATGGGGCCAAATGAAAATTATCACCAGATATGTTAAACGAAGTTGACCATTCAACAGCACATTCAATTGAAATAGCACCACTGCCACAAAGCGGGTCACACACAACATCTCCTACAAAAAAGTGAGCGAGTTTAGATCAACATCCTTAAAAAATTGAAAGTTAAAAGATCTCACCAGTTTTTATTTCAGCTGCAAGTGCCAAACAATATGCAAGTGTGGATTTTAATGTGGTAGGTCCAAAATTTACGATATTTCTACGGAACAAGCTCTCCTTTGTAAGAGAAATCCCAACGACAACATGGGTATCGACGATATTCAATAACACCTCTATATTATAATTTTCTAGGTCTACTATCCAACCAAACATGTCATTTATGCCACCACCAAATTTTGCTGCTGCTTGCATTGACGTAAATGCATGTTTTTGATTTGGTGGGGAATGTGTCCTGGTACAGGTTACCCTGAATCGTGGTAATGGTCGGTCTCGCTCAGTTTCCTTGTCAGAAATATTTTCTATAGCTTCTTTGTTTTCAATCTGACCATCTGAAGGGACAAAGGCTTTGTTCTGGACTTCTACGTTGTCTGGAGACTCGTTTAACGGCTTGGTTCTGTAAGCAGGTTTGCCTGAATTGAATTTTGATAGGGGTAAAAATTTTGGAACTGGGCTATGGGAAGAATTTTCATTAAATTCCTGCCAGATTTGGATAGCAGAGGTCCAATCGAGATTTTCAGACAAGTGATAAAATCTTTCTAATGTTTCGTCAACGCTTTCATCTGCGGGGAACTCAAAACATGCAAAATCCGCGACAACAACAAAAAGATTTTCAACTGATCTGAGATCTTTGATCTTTCCGAGGTCGTTGCGAGGGATCTCAAAATATATTCGCCCTCTGCCTGGACGGACTTTACAAGCAAGTTTTCGCTGGCATTCCAAAGCGCAAATTTTCTCCAATCCAATGCTCACTGTCGCACAGATTAGACAAGTTTCCAGCTCTGATTTTGATCCGACCTGCTCCTCGATTGCGGCCATGTTGGATTGAAGAGTGAAAGTTTTTTGCGTTGCAATACTTCATCTTTCGACCTGTATTATGATTTATGAAATGGTTCTCCATCCAGGCAACAACTAGTGCTATAGATCAGAGGTCCACTGAACCATGTAGCATCTGGATATCAAACAGTTTATAAAGTAATGTTATTATTGTATTATAAAAGTTTTATAGAGATGAGGTTATCATATAGCAGAGTTGTTGAAAATTGAAAAATCTCAATCTTCACATGGAGATGTAAGTATAACTTATAGCTTAAACTGAGCTGAAACTCAGCTCAAGAAATTGTCATGTAATCAAGTGGTATATATTTTCATGGTATGTACTTTTATATACACCATAATAATAGTGACCATACTGAGCATTGTGGTCATATTTCACTACTTCAAATGCTTATGTTCAACCTTATTTTCAGCTCTGATGAGCTCAAACATGAGCACTGTGCCCTGATTATAGAAAAAGCTGAACTCGAACGAAATATTGAAAGAAGACAACAGAAAATAAAAAGGTTGCTCATAGATATCAAGAGTTCATATCAGGTAAGGTCATACTAGTTTTGCATGAAAGGTGTCAAAATATATTGTCATAAAGTTGTCATTTTTATACTTATGAATAATGAAACGTAATTCAGGCAGGTGAAATTAAACATGCATATTAGAATGTTTTATTCCTGAATAACCATCTTAACATTGACAATGGAAAGGCATCTAGAGCAACCACAAACGAACATCAGAGTTCTTTGAACTTTTGTGTCTTGATTTTATACTTCATACAAAATATTGATTTTAGATGTGCGCAGAACAAGAAGCCAAGGATGCATTACTTACACTTGATGGTGAAGAAAGCTGGGAGCCTGAAATTAGAGCTTTTGAACTCTGGAGTTCTGGAGAAAATGTTGAAGAAATGCAAGGTACATGGAACTTCAATCTGTTCAACGACCATTTAATTAAATGACTTATGCATAAAAACTTTCCCTTTTTTGCAGGAATAATTGTTGCCTTAAAACGTAAGAGGGCAGCTATCACTGCTGAATGTTCAGATATATTGTCCAAGCTTGAAGATTTAAGAAAAACATCTTTGTAAAAGTGTCAATGTACCTACTCATGCTTTACTACCATGTATGTCTTTGTGGGTTAGGGCTATTGGACCCAATCTATTACCAAAAATAGGCATCAGTTAAAAAGAGCAGCGGCCAGGACAATTTTAAACTGATCCTGTGTAAAAAAACATGTTCTCAATTGGCAGGTAATTAAATAGATTGTGTGAAGACACATTCTCAATATAGTTCATTTATTTGTTTTAAAGTCTACATACTACAGCCTCTCGCACAGTTTATTTGAAAATTTTTCCATCAGTGACCTTTTTTCCACCGAAATCACCTTCCCAAGCTAAGTAAGCATTGAATAGTTTACGATCATCTTCATTGTCTGGGTTTAACTCTTTGAAATCATACGATGGTGAATCAATCTGAAAATCCTCGGATAACTAAAAAATGGTAAGAATAAGATACCTTTAGTCTATGTTAATAACTTTACAACTTCAACAATACTTTTAACAATGATACATGTTTTTTCAATTCTTTACCTCAAAACCAAGTTTTTTCCCTTTGAACACCCACACTCCAGAAATAGTATTTGCATTATCTTCTCCAAATATAATCATAGATCCAAATCCAACTTTACGCAAACCATCAATTCTTTGCAACATTCCACCAACAAGATTGCAAGTCATAAAAACTCTTTTCAGCTCATCTGGGTACTTGTATTCACAGAACCAAATTGAACAGTTTTCTTTGTCAAAATGTTTCCAAAAGTATGGAATAGCTTCAGTGATGGTGTCTTTATTAGAATACTCCCTTTTAAAAACATCGAAATCAAATGTCCTAGAAAAATCAAAGATCGTTATTGGTGATTGCTGAATCAAGATGTTTTTCGAGATTTCAAAAAAATTATTACGTTTGAGGAAGATCTGCAAGAGGATTCTTTTTTGGTTCTTTAGGAACATCATCATCCTCTTCTGATTCTTCCTTCTTTTTCTTCTCCTTCTTCTCTTTCTTTGGCGTTTCTTTCTTTTTCTGTTCTTTTGCTGGTTTATTCTCTTTTGCTTTGCTTTCTTTTTGCTTCTTTGGGTTCAACTGAGCAAATTTTGCAGCTAGGTAATTTTTGTGAGGAGAACTAGTTGTGAATCTTTCTTTAAAGATAATTTGAGGCCAGTTCTGTGGGACGTGCCAAAAGCCACTCATAAGGAGCAATAGTCATCACATTACAATTCACAAACTGTAATTCAGGCCACTACTCTATTATTTTAATCATTGTGGCTAAGAACAACAGGGATTAGAAGATGTGAGAATATTGGAAAAGCAAAATACAGATTTACAAGAAAAAAAAGTCTATTATTTACCATCAAACTTTGCCATCTTTTCACAGAGTTCAATGGTACCAACAACATTTTTAAATTGTGGCTGATTAATAACAGTTGTAAACCATCTGTTTACATTACCATAAGGAGCTCTGAATGATGGTTCCAATACCTGTAAAATATTTTAACTGTTTGCACTATGTTTTTATATATTTACAACATGTCTGATTATCCATTGCAAATGACCATTTCCCAATGAGTTTTCCCATTAAATTTTACCTGTTTATACAGCATAAGCAAGTTACAAGCTACTGTGATGTCGGCCAAAGAAATCCGTTCTCCAACAAGATATGTTCTTGTTAGGAGATGATCATTCAGGTAAGTGAAGCATTTCTTGATGTCTTCAATAGCCTTATCTGTTGACTTAACATATAAAGAAGGTGTTACTTTCTGTTGCCTGAGATATAGGGGGGGGGGGGGTAAGAGAGAGGCTTTATGTTTACCTGTTTATTGTACTGCATTATTCCATAGGTTGGGAAAACCCAAGTTGCAGCTGGTGGTAAGATTTCATTGTCAGCAAAGTTAATAAACTGCTGAATGAATGCTGCATCTTTGTCATTTTCACCCCTCAACTGAGCATTAGCCACTGTGATAAACAAGGATTTAAACCATGAATAAACTACACTTTTGAAAACGTTTCATACGATCATTGGCTTGTGAGAAGATTTCAATACATACCATAGTATGCAATGGCATTGCTTTCAAAAATACACGTGCCATCGGATCCTTCAAAAGCTGGCACCTATGACGTGAATGCAAGTTGAATGTTGTATCAAAAATGATCTCAGATTGTGGATGATCAATCTGAATCAAAGTGATCTCGACATCAATTATAAACTTTAATACAAACACAAAACAATTGTACAAAGTACCAAAGACGAATTTGTACAATTTTCATTATAAAAACGGCGAAAATACTACCAACCTTTCCTAGAGGAAACTTTTTAAGAAAGCCGTTAGTCTTGTTCGTCTCTCCCAATTTAAAATTGGGCGCAACAGTGACCTTAGCACCACTATATTGTGCGGCAGTCAAAATTTTGAAAGCCCTAAAATTGTCTGGATATGTATATAAAGTCTACAAAAAGAAATCGTTTTTTAATGGAAAATTACTCTTTTGTATATTTCTAGTGTAAAACTGGGAGAAAAACTATATTTCATTGTATAGAAAGCCGACGATTCTAAGGGATTGTAAAGGGTTTTTCGAAAAAAAACTTACTCCAGTAGCCATTGCTGAGTTGAGGTATAAGAGGAAAGGACTGGACACAAGCACGGGCTTTAAAACATTCTTCCGGAAATGAATGAAAGATTAAATGAAATGTTCATCAAATGAATGAAATGAACAACTTCCGGTGAGAAACATGATCATCGCAAAGATTTCTCATATTTTTGTAAACGTTTACAAAACCGTAAACAACGTTTAGATCAAAAAACGTTTACGAACGATTAGAATATAACACTTTCCCACTAATTTTCCGGTACTGTATTTGTGGTTACAAAAACGCCTGAAAAATATCCAATGGTTGAAGAAGAACCTTGGAAAGAACCATGAATGTACGCATTTGAAATTAAGGGACAAGTTGTAGTTTTATATCTAGACTAACACATGAACTTCGAACGTGAGAAAAAAATAATAATCTCAATGCAAGAATAACTTGTGTACACAATAAACTATTGCGCGAATATCTGGGAAAAATCTATAATCACCAGAAAAAAACCTCGCCGGATATTTTCAAGAACGTCTTCTCATTGGCTGGGAATGTACACGTGGGACTAAACTGGCTACGTGAGAATACACACATGCTCTGTTCGCGACTTTTCTTCTGTGCCAGACTTTCGATCGGATTTTTGGTTCCTTCGTTTCAACATTGTACGTTTGGAAATTGTAGCGGATCTTAGGTCAGTTCGAGCGCTCGAAACCCGTGGTTTTGGCTGAGTAAAGGTTTCAATGGAGCCTTTGTGGATTGGAGGGATTTTACTTGCGATTTTGATTCTGGTCTTAGTGTTGGCGTACTTGTTGTTCTACAATGAACAAAGTTTTGAAGACGCTCTTGCTAGTCAAAATGCAAGCAGCGATATTCTTATCCAGAGCAAGAACGCCTCTGGTAAGTCGGGTTTGAAGCAGCGTAAAAAGCCGAAGAAAGAGCGACCGAGGAGCGCGGTGGAAGGAAGCAATGAAAAGCTTAGCAAACAAGACCAAAAGCATCTCGAAGCGTGTGAAGATAGTGACCACTCGACCTATTCGGCAGCTTTCGCCGAAGAAGCAGCAAGCTTGCTTCGAAGTAGTCCCGAAAAACCTACGTTGGTTGAGAGTTCTGAGGAAGAAAAGCCTCCTCCAAAGGTGAAGAAGCGAACAAGAGATAAAAGAAAATCTGATCATAACCGTGTTGTGGGAGAGACCTCAAAAGAGCAAGAACCTGTGGCTGTGAAGGAAGAGATTTTAGTCCAAGAAAGCGTCCTGAAAACCAACACAGAGGAGGTCCTTGAAGGTCTACCACCAATCGCTGATGAAGAAGCTCTATTCCTCAGAGAAGACGCGATTATTCCTGCTGCAACTTCAAATAAAAAGCCTAAAAAGACGAAATCTAAAGACAAGTCGATGATCGCAGGTATTTAACTACGTGTGTCATTTTCTCCAGCGTCTTATAAAAAATTTGAATTGTATATGTCCTTTGCCGCAATCAAAATTTATAGACGAGCAATAGCTGATGTGTAACTTTTTAATTGTTTTTCAATGAATTACTTATTGCCGCTGGGCTGGATACAAATTTATCTCTACATTGATTTGTATTAGTGATTGCATGGGAAGAAAATGCCTATATTGTTCTTGTAATCTTAAGAGCAAGTTTGATTTTAATATGATTTTATGAGTGATATAAAAGCGAATTTATATCCAATTTATTGAAAAGAGTACACCTTGTTTGCCTTTGTATTTTTTCCGCAATTCCAGATTGATACAGCTGTAATAGTCTGGCGCGTTTAAAATACAAAGAAGACTGTGTTGTTCTTTTGTTTCTAATTTTTAAATACCATTTTTGTCATGAATTATTAAGCCACCGGCGGTGTTTATATTGTCGAGATCGCTCCTGGGGCATTCAAGGTTATCATTCCAAAAACAGTTTAGTTTTAAATAAAGAGAAACACAGCTTTGTATATTGTTTAGAGAATTTACTCAGTTGTGTCCACTTTTGATTAGCCAAGGATTTTCCAGAACGCGTTCTTAATGAATTCTAATGACTAATTAACGCCATGTAACCTGAATATTGGCATTTTTAAACATGAAATATCTATGCACTGATTTGCAATCTAAATCCTTTAGATAATGAATTTCTTATTATGTAATATATCCAGCTGCAAATTCCCCCTCCAATAGTTGATTACAATCCTTCTCTGCCTCCTAATGACTTGAAAAGATGCTGTTATGACCAGATGTGACTATTCTATTGTTAATATTACAGTACATGAATGGTAATTTTAGTTGGCAGCAAGGTAATACCATAGGCTTTTGTAACACAAAGCTGAAACTTTTAACTCTGAAATCGAGCATGAGGTATCCTAGATTTAACTTAGGACTGACAAATCTTTACTCTCGTCTTTACTGACTAAATATCAAATTGGCTTGGAATCAAGCAAGTCAAATATTCAATCTGTTTCAAAAGTCTCTTCTTTTTTTCAGAGCCAATGGGTCTTAAAGCACTACTGGAAACATTGGAGATATCCAACCTGAACCATAATGAGATTCAAAAAATTGTTGATGTCTTACTTGACAAACAAAAATCAGCTGAACAGTGGAAAAAAGTATGTTCGTTTGGGGTGGACCATTACTACAATTGTAAACAGGCCATTTTGTTTTGTCTTTCTGCCATGAAGTACAAATCTGTGCCTTGTACCAAATTATATGTTGTTTTACAATACAGTTTGTGTGAATTCTAAGTCAGGTTTCCTTAGAATCAAGTGGCAGGTTATAAACTCTTCAAGTAGCAGTAATTTGACCACTACATTAATTTAAATATTTTTATCATTTTAGAGTGGAGGGAAACCTGACCCAATTGATGTTTTAAGAAAGCAGTTGAATGAAAAGGATGAAGCCTACAAGGAAGGTATTAAGATTAATAAAAATATTCACTTGTTTGTTCTTGAAAAGGATTAGTGAGATTCAAGGGAAGGCAAAGCAAATGCATATATTACTGTAACTATTTTTAATGACTATTTTTTTAAAAATTTATAGAACATTCACGAGCAGAACAGTTGGTTGTTAAAGTCAAGGAGCTAAGGTTAGTAAAGGTTACATATGGCTGGAGTTGTTGAAAAAAACTATTGATTCTTCAATAAGCACACACAGTTTGTAACATGTACGCTAATTTTATATTTTTTCTAGGGATGAACTTGGTCAAGGAGTCATAAAGCAAAAAAGCTATGAGACATCTGCAACACAGAAAATTAAAGCACTTGTATGTATCTTGTTCTTAAATCTGTCTGTTGACTACACTTGGCATGACCATTTTTTTAAACCGCAGTGACAACTTTGTCATTTTTCTTTTCTTAGGAGAAAGAAAATGAAGCTTTGCAACAGAGATGTCTGCCTCCCATGAAAGCAATGCTTTAGAACATGAAAAACTGCGTGCTTCCCTGGAAGTTTACAAGAAGAACAATGATCAAACTGGTTTTCAGAACTTGCAGGAAGAACTGGCTTCTGCAAAAGAATTAATTAAACAATCAGAAAACCAAAAGGCTGAGCTTGAAGCAAAGATTTTAGCTTTGGAAGAAGATATCAAATCCAAGGTATAGAATAATATTCAGCTTTTTAGGTAGCCTACTGCCTTACTAATCTCTATTAAAATATTTACATCAATTGGTTTTCAACTGCTTATTTAATATTTTAGAAAGACAGTGAGTCAAAACTGGCACAACAAGCAGCTGAAGCAAATGATCGAGCCAAAAACTTTGATGCTGTAAAGAACAGCCTGTCACAACAGCTCATGGAAACAGTGAAGCAGAAGAGTGACAGTGAACATCAACTTGATATGGCTAAGAAAGATGCAGAATCAGCACATGCAGAAAAGTCCAATGCTATGCAGAAAGCTGGAGCATTGCAAACACAGCTTGATGAGGAGAGGTCAAAGAAATCTGAAATGGAGAAAATGTTCAAAGCTTTGGAACAGAAGTTGAAAGACTCTTCTGATAAACATGTACAAGAGAAAGAGGTGAGGTTATGGCTGCAAATTTTACTGCATCATAAGTACCATCCTAATTGTTGCATTCAAAGCTAAGAAATGGCTTTTTCCTTCTCTGTTCATAACAGGTGCTTGTCAAACAGTTAGAGTCCGCTAGTGCAAAGAAAAATGACACACAAATTGCTGAGCTACAGGTAAGAAAGCTACTAATATGTTTTGAGGTTTGTTCATCAACACTTTGCACAAAATAAACAGTTACAATATGTAATTAAACTTCTGTTATAAAAACGTTATGTTTGTTTGTTCTTTTCAGCAACAATGTGATGATACATCAAGACAGTTGGATGAGCTGAAAGGCAAACTAGCACAAGCTGAAGATAATCATGGTAAAACAAAACAATCACTTGCAAATAAAGAACAACAACTGAGCCAGCACGAAGGAGAAATTAATAAATTGAGAGGTTTGAACAGCAGTAAAGATGAAGAGTTGGAACTATTGAGAAAAACTGTGAGCCAACATGAAAATGAGATTGTTGTGATGAAGAATAACGTCTCACAAGAACTGCAGTCTGCACCACCTGAGGTGGATGAGACTAGGTAAGGATAACCCATAGTTCTACACTAACTTGTCTATGATTTATAGTGAAGCACATTGAGGTGTAGTGGACTATTTCGGCTACAAACGAGTATGAATGAAGTGCATCAGTCAAATAAAATGCTGACATTTGGCAAAACAATGTGTGTTATATTTTTAAGGGTGAAAAGTTTGGAGGAGGAAATTGAAAAACTCAATGGGCAGTTAAAAGAGAAAAAGGAGCAAATAGGATCTATGGAAAAGTCAATTGAGAGCATGAAGAGCAAGAATAATGTTAGTTCAAATCCAAAGCATTGAGACCCTGCAAGTCCACCATTATAATCATATGTTTATTTTCAGGAATTACGAGAGAAGAATTGGAAAGCAATGGATGCCCTTTCTGCTGCTGAAAAACAACATAAGGCTGATATTGGTAAAGCTGTTGCCTCAATCAAGGTGATTTGAATTTTCCACTTAATGGATATGGAATATGAATTAAATATAGACAAGAATTATATCAATTGAAGTGAAAGGCTTCATGAAACTTATCTTTGAAATTTATATTTATTCAGGATGATAATAAAAAGAACCTTGAAGCTTTGCAAACAAACATAAAGGTGCAAAACCCATTATTTTTTTAAGATTTTTGTGTCTCCTTGCTTTTACTTTATTTTTGAAAAATGAATTTGAAGACATTGTGAAATATTTAACTAAATTTGTAGGAATATTTGTGTCAAATTCATCCAACTTTAGACATTGACAAAGACTTGGTAAGAATTTATTTTGTTGTTCTGCCAATCATTGAACTCGTAACATATACAAAAACCAACTTTTTACCAAATTTGACCTGCGGTTTATGACTATTCATCTTATAGACTACTACAATTTATGACTATTCATCTGTTGTTGACATTATTTTAGTCATATGAAGAATTTTTGGAAAAATATAAAAATGTAACTATGGAGTTGTGTAGATCTTCCCAGGCGAAGTCGAGTGACTCCAAGGTATTATAGTTTTGAATGCATTAAGTAAGTTGAGAGTTGAGAGTATTTGAAAGTTGCAAGAAGCAAGAGGTACTGTCATTGAAGAATAGATCCATCTCTTAACATAATTTTGCTCAAATCTTTAGGTAGATGAATTGGAAGAAGAATTGAAGAAATCTAAAGAAAACAACAAGAAATTAATAGCCCAATGTGATGAGTACACAGCATCCTTAGCTGACAAGGTCAGTTTGGATCATTTATAAATTAATAATCACTACAATCATTTAAATAATTGTTCAACCTTGAAGGAGAAAGAGCTCAATGACGTCTTAAAAAAGAATGAGGATCTGGATGGTCAATGTAATAAATACAAAACTTTATTGGGTTCTACGGTGAGTCACAGAAATGCAAAATGTAGGACATCTTTCAAGCCACAATGATTAAAATAATAGAGTAGTGGCCTGAATTACTCTTTGTAAATTGTAATGTGATGACTATTCCTCCTTATGAGTGGCTTTTGTAGTAATTTCACGTTGTGTGTTATGAAAGAAAACTAGGATATTTAAAACTGTTGTTTCCAAGTTTTACTGCGGTTATCATGGCTGTGTTGAACTGATTATATTTTATATTTTCCAGGAGAACATGCTGCATGATTTAGAAGATGATGTGGAGAAAGAAATGACAAATTTGAAAGCTACACTTGCTAGCAAAGACTCAGAGTTAGAAAAGGTAATACCGTTGGTAATAGAAAACATGTTTATTCGTTTGTTATTGATTTTAAAGTCAATTTCTACCCATTTTAGGCGAATTCGTCACTTAGCGAGGTAAATGAGAAACTTAAAAAAGCTTTGGACGATGCAAACTCAAAGGATAAGGAAATTGGGTCCTTAAAACAAGAACTGACAAGCAAAGCTAGTTTGGGAGATAAAGAATCTGAATTGCAAAAGGTTAGTTCCTTGACATGTAATGAATATATTTGATTACATCAACACAAGTATTGATTGTATCGACATGTAAACGGCAAATGATCTCATAATAAATAGGAAGATATTGATTTTTCCTGAACAATATATTTTTTTCGCAGATGTCATCTGCTATGGACGACTTGAAGGAAAATCTACGAAAAACAAAAGAAGATGCAAAGAAGAAGGAATTGACCATTACTTCTTTACAAAAAGATGTCACCCAGGTTGGCAAAAAATAAAGGAGCCTTGTTCAACGTTAGGAGAGGTGCAAACAAACCGCTTATTCTTTGCAAATGTTTTCTAGGCTACCGTATCTGTGACAGGATTAAAGGAAGACATACGAAAGGCGGGCGACGAGTCGAAATCAAAAGATACAAAGATTAATTCTCTTCAACTTGAGCTTTCTACATTGAAGAAGGCAGCCGTGAAGTCAAGTGATGACTCCAAAAGCGAACTCAAAAAACTTTCCGACGAGGTTGCACGTTACAAAGAAGAGAAGAAGAGTCTCGAGAAGGAGCTTGAAGAGGCTAAAAACGAGGCTAAACTGCGTGCGGAGGAAGATAAATCACCTGAGCTCGAAAAGTTTAAAAATGAAGCTCTGGATGCTGCCAAAGTGAATGCTGCATTACGGAAAGAGCTGGAGGAGGTGCGAATGCAAGATGGCGCTTTGAAAAGTCCTAAAAAGAAACACGATAAAGAGAACGATGCTAAAGTGAAGGTAAAAAATAGTCTTTGATCTCATTTGTGAAATATAGCGAGGTTATCATGTTATCAATTTTATTGTAGGCCCTTGAAGAGAAGCTTGCTATGGCAGCGAAGAAAGAGAGCGAATTACATGCAAAGATTGCTCATCTTGAAGATTCTGCGTCCAACGCTTCACTCGATGATGTAAGTTTACGCGATTTCCATCAGTAAAAGAGAATATATTAAGTATAACTGAACGTACAAAGTCTGGTACATTATTATGTTGTCGTATTTTCCAAAGTGGTTAACACTTTTAATGATGTAATAAAAAACTTCTCTAGGAAAATGCTTCACCTGACACGAAAGAGAAGAAAAAAAAGAGAGGTTTCTCTTTAATGGGTTCAAAATCGTCCAAGGTATGCATGAATTGAATCTGGTTCATGTGGCTCAACTAGTTTTGAGCTGATTTTCGTTTTTTTTTTAGTATGAAACCAAATATCGAGATATGTCGGAGAAATACGAGCAAGTAAAATCAGAAAGTGACGAGAAAACGTCCAAAATAACTGAGGTATAGCGACGGGACTGGAGAGGACATGCAGGCAAAAGAGCAGGATAGGTTAGGACAGACAGTCGCCAGGAAGGATAGGATAGGATAGGATAGAATAAAAGTAGGATAGGATAGGACGAGCCATAACCGAGACAGGACAGTCACAGTGCAGGAATAGATTGTCACAATTGGTTTTCCTTCTTTTTTCAGCTTGAAACGAAATTACAGAAGTCTGAAAAAGCGTTAGAAACACAGGAGCAGAAAGTAAAAGAATTGAAGGTTAACAATTTAAATTTATAAAATGTTTGGAAATCTGTGAAAAGTTATGAATCCTGCAATAAAATCATGCTTTTGCAAGATTGCTCGTGCGCAACTGAATTAATAAAGTAATAACTTACTAATATATTGTTTTTTGCAATTTTATTAGGCCAAAGTGGGAGGTCTCTCGAATGGAGGAGTTCAGGTAAGTTGCAAGAATTCTTCTTAGACCTTTTACAACACGAGGCAACTTTTACTGTAACGCAGATGCTTTGACGAATGATGTTCATCACAGGACGTGATTGCATGATGTAGATCTTCTTCTAGAAATGTTGCATTAAAAATTGCCTCGTGTTGAATCGCTACATAGATGTTTGTTTTGTAGCTTTGACTATGTGGTTTAGGTTTAGTGAGGAATTTGTTATCGTTAATTTAAATTGTGGAAAGTTATCTGTCCAGGAATGGCATATTTGATGCACGAATGGCGTTTGTGATGACTAACCTATGTAGTTGCACTAAACTTAGGTTCCGTAGTTAAACTAATCTCGTGAAACTAAACAGAAACTAACATAAAATGGCTAACATATTAATGAATCCTGGACAACCCTTGTGGACGGCGCCACAAGACGGATGAACCACGTTTGACCAGACTTGGCAGACTGATCTAATTGAAATAACTTTTAACAGACGTCGTCCCAGTTGACGATAAAACTATATTCTTTTAAAAATAGAGTTCAGGCGGCGCTTTAAATGAATCGCAAATGAAACAAATGGCAGAAGCGATGAAAGACGTAAGTTCGTTTTGATCATTCAGTATATTGGTATCAATCCGTCAGCTTTGGTAATCCGTGTCCGCCAGCCGCAAAGAATACGCATTCCGTAACAACGCCTTCCGTTGTTACCCGTGACTCACAATTCTCATTTACTTCCAGGGTGATCTTACTGGTGCCGTATGACCTATGGTAATTGCTGTAGAATTGAATTTTTAATTATATGCAAAGACTAACACAAGTAATCCTGAATTCTTCACAAAGAACTAACGTCTTTGCTAGTTTGCTGTGAATAGCAGAGTTTGGCATTTATAAATGAATCTATTTTGTCTATGTCGAAATATGAGACGCAGTGATAGACTGTAATAATTTGGAGTTTTCATGTGTCGTACTCAGACCTAAATGAGAAAAAATAAGTTTGTTACGGGGATATTTATATCAAAATGGATTTCAAAATTTATGATCGAGTACAACAGTAGTTAATATATATATATATTGTATGAAATTGAGATTCGTTCAAGCTCTGGTATGCTGGTGCTTTATACCGCAAAAACAGTGATGTTTCTTAGCACTAACCGCAAAACCAAGTATTCTCCAGTTCATTGTTACCGAAGCTTTCATTTGATCTTTTTATTTTGTAAATATCCCTGTACTTACGCACAATTTTGCAATTGTAGTACGACTGAACGACTTGACTTTAGAACCGTTGAGTTTCTTTGCAACTTATATTAATTGCATTAAAGAGACTGTAACTGCGCGTCTATGGCATGGGAATAAATGAATTTAATGATAGTCGTTTTGTAGTCTTGTTTTTTCATACAAACCAACAGAACAGCGAGCTTAAAATGTGACAGCGCAGATGTACAAATTTCTGCTGGAAATCTAAAGGTAGGGCATGTAAAAGCTGTGTGGCGGACTATTATTGACTGAGGCAAATTTATCAAGCCTTCTTTTGAGCTAAGAGTTTAAGATAGATAGCCGTTGTACTTAGGTCTTTTACAATGTTATATGCCAATATGGGATAAATGCTAGTGTGGGACTTTCAGTGAAGCTTTATATAACAGTCCTTAACCTTGAAAGGAAGACATATTTGACTTTTCAGAACCATGTAGCAAGTCTGATGGATGAAGTGATAACTGATAAACGATAATGCCATGATTGCCATCGGACTTGCACTATTCAACTTGACAGGAGGGAGGGCATGGATAAAAATAATTCAATCACGTGATACTAAACGTGAGCAGTGCTACTGAGTACTGAACAAGGCGGGGTTTTTTAAACGGACAATTTTCAAATTTTACTGGCAAAGAAATATAGAATAATCATTCTTTATGGCTGGTATATTGGCTGGTATGTAAATAACTTTTTTCCTTCGACTACTATAATCTTGTGTATTATGTATAAAGCAACTATGAAGTGGAAGCGAATGTACATTGGAATATATATGTGTTATTTCGCAGTAAATCTGCACTAGACACGCCGAGTTGTATTATGTTTACGTGTTTTGCTAGTAATATTTTCTGTAAATTATCAATATAAAAGCCAGGCAAAAGTGAGTTCACGGTTTAGAATAAAGTAACGGGCGAATGGCCTTAGAACTAACGAGAATTCTAACGCATGGAATCTGATCCTGTCATCCTGATTTCACTCTCGTTCGCACGGGTTGCATTCTTTGACTGTTTGACAGGATAAATACGGGTTCTGACTTTTGAATTTCTGATAGCATTTTCGGGCTACGCTTAGGATCAGGAATGTCATAATGTAGTAAAGAAAATCAGGTAATCACCTCTTGGCTAGAATTGCGGAAAATATTTATCTCTCATTTTTATGGTTTTATTTAATTCAGAGGTAGACCAACCAAATTACCCTTGGTCTTGGTCCGAGGCTGACCAGAAAGCTGATAAACTGGAAGTGGGAACCAGGGTCTGGGCTGAGTGGGATAAAAATGAGTTTTATAGAGGTAAGTCATGATGCCGAGATATTATGTTCAGTTGTCGATCAGTGGCGTAGGAAGGGGGGGGGGCACGTGCCCCCCCAACATTTTTCAAGAGACCAAAAGTGCCCTTTTTGTGAAAAAAAAAGCCTTTTTGGAAGCGAAAAGAAACAAAAAAGTATCTACTATTTCCCAATAATCCTTAAATTGAGAGGGATTTGCGGCCATTTCAGAGGCCTATATCTCAAAATTTTCTCGGCGGAGCATGCCCCGGACCCCCCTGGCAGTACCAAGCCCAAGAAATACGAAAAATGCTCTGCGGTCGGCGGTCCCTGAATCAAGCCGTCCCTATATATATATTTTTATTAACCATTTTAAGCGCCATTTTTATTAACCAAAAGTGCCCCTAGAAGCTGGTGCCCCCCCAACCTCTGGATGCTTCCTACGCCCCTGTTGTCGATAAAACCGTAACATGCGTAATATTTTTTTTTCTTTTCTAGGGACGGTGAAAATTATTCGAGGTGATGATGTAACGGTTCTTTTTGATGATGGGTATTCAAGGATGTATAAGGCCTCTTCAGAAGAATTCAGTGAGTCGATTGTCATCGATTCCGAAATAAGAAAAAACCAAACGCCTGAAATTAAAGAAGGTGACTATCTGTTAGTGCCAATTAACGACAGCAAAGGCGAAGTAATGCAGAAAGGTATGTGCACAAATCTAGTTTTGTTTCTGATATACTTCATTTCCTCAATCCTTTCACCTCTAAATCCCAGAAAGTACGCGAAATCAGTTCATTTTCTTTGATCTATACAGGCGTCGTTACTATTGTTGGAAAAGTGTTCTTCACACTAAATTTACTGCCGGATCTAGCGAAGAAGAGAGTGCGAAAAAGAAGTACAGCTCTGAGGCTGTTCAATAAAAAAGCGGGTGAAACTGCCGAAGGTTTGTTTCTCATTAGCTACCTCATGATAGCTACCCCACGCTACCACAGTTCTGGCACTGCGTAAAGTAATAAGTTATATCGTGTGTTGTATTGCGAGAATAATGAAAATGATGAAATCGCTCACGATAGTTGACAGAAAATAGGGCGAGAAAGAGTCTACTAGGTCTAAGTATTTAGCCAATGATAACAGAGTTTGCCTAGTTGAACTGGGAGGTCGTTGAATTCCTGAGGCGCCGTTTTTTTTTCTTTCAGTGAAGTTTAAAAAAGAACTTGACGACAGCGTTGAGATTTTAAAGGTTGTTAAAGGATTGGAATCATTGGATCCTTATGGTCAAATTGAAAACGACGATTTACCTGATGCTCTCTCCCCAGAGGTCTTGTGGGATCATGGGGATCTGATCGATTTCACATCGCCCGGCGAGAACATCAACTGTAGCTCTAGTTTTGTTTTCACCCCCCCGTATGATATGACGATCGGTTTATCAATGGATCCACTGGCAAGAAAGACAATCCCACAAACCTCGACACCTGTCATGTTCAATATCTCTAGTAATGGCGACTAGATGTAAAATTGTCTCGGTAATGAAAGACGAGGGTTTAGATTTCTTTGTGAATAAAGTTCTTTTGAAACAGAAAGAGCACTTAGAATATTGCACTACACTCAGAGATGATCTAGTATCTAGAGCCACTGATTTATGGCCTCTGAATACCATCATATTAACTACGACACTGTTGTGTCTAAACTGAACTATGCGATTTTCGACTTCTGTCTTTTCTGCAATGAAATGAATTACCATTTCAGGAGTCAGGTTAGTGTCTCAGGCCTCAGGCAGGTTCAATCCCTTGACTCAATCTGAACGAGATTGAAAGCGAGGCTGTAGGTAAAATCAGCGAAATTTTTTGCGGCTTGCAATTTGCTCAAAAATACCGGTAATATGAGTCGAAAAATGATCGTTGTTGATTTTATATTCAAGATGGAGTAAAGTGTCCGAAGGAGTGAGTGAGTGTACTTCTTTTTTAAATCTTTAAATATACCGAGTATTTTCCTCACGTCATGTTCACTAGACAAAATACTGAGCAAAGCGGTCCAGGCTTTGTGGGAATCAAGTTCTGTCAAGAATGGTATGTTGATTTTATTATTTTTCACTTGTTTTTTGTTTGTTTTTTCTTTTATCAACGGTTTTAAATCTTCACGTATCGTTTGCTGGTGTTTTCTAGCAACAACATGCTTTACCCAAAGGAAGATAAAGACAGCAAGATTTTACTTTATGCTGTAAGTTTACTTTCTCCTGCTGGTTGATATTCACAGAACTGTTTAAATAATATGGTGTTCTTCTGTGCTGTACCACCATCAATCATGATGCTGTACCACCATCAATCATGATGGGTGATTAGACAGATTAAACTTTAAGTCAGGAATGTCAAATCCTGTGGGGTGCCTCCATTTATTGTTCTACTGTACCATTTTATTCACAATTTTCATGTCCTCTTCAACACCATCCCAGTCAATTATGAGTTTTCTACCTCAAGAAGGCACTCTTTATTTGATTATGATAAAGCTTTACTGCATAGTACACATAGTCAGGATTTCCAGGTAATCTATATGCTCTGAAATACAAACTTCTTGCTTTATTAACTTTTGCTTTTACATTTATTGAAGTGTCGTAACTGTGATTACCAGGAAAGAGCTGATAATTCTTGTATTTACGTGAACAAGATCATGCATGAAGTCAAGTATGTTAATAAATTGATCTTTTACAGCTAGGTTGATACAGAATGTTTTAACAAAGTCAAAAATTTGCCATTTAGTGAGTTAACCCAAATTGTAGCTGATGTAATTGCTGATCCAACTCTACCCAGAACACATGAACATCAGTGCCCAAGGTAAATCTTCACACATTGAAACTTGAAAGTGAACATTAAGATTTAGATTGGCAAATCTTAGTGATGTAACTTCTGTTCTACATTTTGTTTAGATGTGGATATGGTGAGGCTGTTTTCTTTCAATCTCAATCAAGTAAAGCTGATGTAAGATTACTTGCCAGATTTCTTACTCTATTCCTTTTATTTCCTTAAGAAAAATAAGTAATTGTATGATATTTGTGTTTCATCAATAGCAAATGAAGCTGTACTATGTGTGTACTCAAGTGGATTGTGGCAATCGCTGGACAGAGTAAGGAAACTAATATGAGTTAATGGAAACTGCTATCATCTTGCAGCTTGGAACTCATTTGGCTTAGTTTTAACCTTGAAGATCTGATGTGGTTTATTCTCAAGAAATCGTGAATACGGGTAGCTTGGCAGTTTAATTATAGGTGGTCATCTAATGTAAAGTAGTTTATGAGTTCAAAACACGAGAATTGTCATCACACCAAGAGATATTTAAATAAAAACCAATTGTATATTGAAAGTGTCCTAATATGTGAATGGTAGGAACATGCCGTGGGACCGTATGCTGTGGGACCGTATACGTTTTCCTTATAGCTACACCCAATCTGATTATGTCTTATTAGTGGCATATCAGGACTGTATCTGCCTGAAAATCAGGCCTTGTACCCCCAACCTTTGTACCACCTGAGAATTAGGCCCATTGATCTGGCCTGATGCTTCCTGGAATTTATAACCTCACCAACACCTCAAATGCGTTAGTTTAAGGTGTACCACCTTGCAAACAACCCAATATGATGCTGAGGCTATCTGGATTTATAGGATTATGGCGTGACCAATTTTTATTACAGGTAAATTCAACTTGCATATTCACCGTAGTTAAGTATTGTACGAAGTTTTGGGGGAAAATAATTAAATTAAATTTAGTAGGATTTATCGAGAAAGAAAATGTTCTTGCCAGGGCTCGAACCTGGGACCTTCCGCGTGTGAGGCGGACGTGATAACCACTACACTACAAGAACCCGATTGGTCAAACAGGGCAAATATTACAATCTTATTGATTACGATTGATGCTATGATTCAATTTAAACTATATTAATTTTCTTGTATGATTGAACTATATTGTTTGTTAATACAGTGTGAAGAAATCCAAAATGCACTTTTCCCGGAAAACTATATTGATAGTTTCAAATTAATCAGGTTCGGCGCATGTCGAAATCCCATTAAGTCAATGAGAATCGATCTGGTTGATTATTTTGGGCTTGCCGATGCGTAGGTTCCCGTAGTGTAGTGGTTATCACATCCGCTTAACACGCGGAAGGTCCCAGGTTCGAGCCCTGGCGGGAACATTGTTTTTGCATTGTTATTTTCCAATTCTAATTTTACAAATTCAAAATAATCTGCTTTTTGTAAAACTTGTAGAGAAGTACTGGTCAATCACCATATTTCTGATAACGAAATAAAACTAGTATCATATTCTGTGCAATATTTCACAGTCAGAAGTACCGGTCAATCACCATATAGATTCTCATAACGAAATAAAACTAGTACCGCATTCTGTGCAATATTCCACTTTCAGAAACACTGGTCAATCACTATATTTCTCAGAACGAAATGTGGCAAAGATTTCGTTGTTGGAGAGAAAGAAGGAGAGAAGGTAAAATGGGAAAAAGATGTTCCCGCCAGGGTTCGAACCTGGGGCCTTCCGCGTGTAAAGCGGATGTGATAACCACTACACTACGAGAACTGAAGTGGGTGTTAGGGTCTTTAATTGATTATATAAAAAATTCATAAATATTATTATAAAATGGTCATGAGGCGGTCATGTGATGTTTCAGTAATTTCTGACTTTTTTCTGTTGACACGTCGCATCTGCAGACTTGAAAATGAAAAAACATTTTACCGTTTTTAACCGCAAGAATTCCAATCTCTAAAGCAGAACCATCAAAACGGTGGTGGAGTTCAAATCGTTAAGTGTTTTGTATCATCTAGTAAAACTGAAAAAGGTATTATTCAAACATTTTACATAACTGTGCGAATACTTGACCGTTAGAATGAGATATTTGCTTTAAAATGTATGCGATTTGCCGATTTTCCCGATTTTTTATATAAACATTTATAACACGCATATTGATATGTATTTTTGCATCTCTGACGGCAAGTATTTCACAATAAATAAAAACTTAGCAGGCTATATACATGAATAAAAATTATGTTGATGCAAGTCGTTCAAAACAGGTGTAAACAATGTTGTGCCGCACCCTGTGAACAGCACAATGAATATCAATCAATGCATGTCTTCGCTTACAGGCGTAAAAATCAAATCATGTTGATGCAAGTTGTTCACACAGTGAACAAGAATTGTTAACAATGCTGCTGAACTATCAATGTTGTTGCAATTTGTTGACATGATTGCCAAGAAGTTGCAACAGTATTGATAATTCAACAACCATTTTTAGCAATGCTGTTGTTTGCGGTCCTACTAATAACCGACAACAAGCTAGAAATTACTGACAGAAAGCTTATAATCATTGATAACCATGTAATAGACGCTAATATTGTGTTTCTTCGACTTTATTTTTACAATAACAGTAATAATATTAAGAATTTTGGGCCCGAGCTTTCTGTCAGTAATTTTTAGCTTGTTGTTGGTTGTTGTCAGTTGTTGTTGTCGGTTAATTATTAGTAGGACCCAACTAACCTGTCAAGTGCCAATTAACCCAGGGCTACTATATTGGGTAGTGCCGCAGCTCCTCCCAAGAATGCTTTTCATTGGCTGAACTTTACAATACATTTCTGTTTCAACCAATAGCATAGCTTCGTTCTTTAGAAAGCATAGAAAAGTATTATCCAATTGGAGGAAAGCTTCCAAGAGCTGCAACATGTCCCAATATATTGATCATAACACTGATTGGATTACTAGTGCCTTTTGAATAACTGAATCAAAAACACTTTGTTTAATAGGATTTTATATTTGTTAGGAATATCTCCATTCATGGCTGACCCACCATTACCAACAAACTCTGAGATGTTTCCTACTTCAGAGACGTGTTTAGATAAAATCAGCCTAAAGAGAAAAATTGAAGGTGACATCACATCATTTCCTTGTGCGATTATTCCAAGTTGCCTAAAGAATGTTTCCCAGTCTTCAAGACATTTACTTTTTTACTTTTAGAAATATCTCCATCCATGACAGACTCTGAGAAGTTTTCTGCTGCAGATAAAATCAGTCTAAAGGAAGAAACTAAAAGTGACTCCACATTATTTTATCGTAAGAGTCATCCAAGTCACTCAAAGAATGTTACCCAGTCATCAAAACATGTACCATGGGGAGAAAACCCCTCTTCTAAATTATTTCCCTCTGGATATCACAATTGGGAAGAACTGGATCTCTCTAATCAACCTCTAAGCCATTCAGAGATATCTTTCAAATTAGCTGGATGCAGGAATGTGAGAAAGTTGGATTTATCGGGATGTGGTCTTACTGAGGTGCCGGAGTTGGGTGATCTTGACAAACTAGAGGAGCTGAATCTGTCTAATAATCTTTTAAAATATCCATTCATTTCACTTTCGCAATTACGGTGTCTATGTTTGTTGAGAAAGCTGGATTTATCTGGATGTGGTCTTACTAAGGTACCTATGCTTAGATATCTTCTTGAACTAGAGGAACTGAATCTGTCTAATAATCCTTTAAGATTGTTAGATTGGAAAATGCGTGGTCTATACTCATTGAGAAAGTTGGATTTATCTGGATGTGGTCTTACTGAGGTACTTGAGCTTGAATATCTTGATAAACTTGAGGAACTGAATCTGTCTAATAATCCTTTAAGAATGTCAGATTGGAAAATGCGTGGTCTATACTCATTGAGAAAGTTGGATTTATCTGGATGTGGTCTTACTGAGGTACCTGTGGTTAAATATCCTGATGAACTTGAGGAACTGAACTTGTCCAATAACCACATTGACCATCAAGATTTATTGCAAAAATTCAGTAGCAGAAAGTCATCCCATATTAGTAATCTGAAACCATTGGAACCCATAGCCGGTTTTTTCAGGCCACCCAACTTGAGAAGGGTCATATTTGAAGATGGTGCCTATATATATTTACATTTAAAAGGTTAGAAACATTTTCTTTGTCATGTTAATCCTCAGTAAAAGCATGGTTGCTTTGGGTAGTATTTATGTCACAAGTAAGGTTGCATGGTCAAGAAGGGACATAAAGGGCATGTTTTTTAGCCTCTAAACCTCAACTACATATGTAGCTAGTTCTGATGTAACCACTGGAAATGTCTTTCACAAATTTTAAACACATACCCCCAGCAAATCAGTGGCGTAGCCAGCCTGTTGATTTGTCCCGCTATGCTAATATTTTGGTGTTTATTGACGGTGAAAACAATAAATTTCTAAAGACATGAATAATTATAATAACTTGAAATTTACATAGCAGGACAAAATCATCAGGCTGGCTATGCTACTGCAGCAAATAACTAGTTGTGTAGAAAAGAAAACATATAAATGTTGCCCCTATAATTGAGCTGACAGTGTATAAAACATGCATGAATGAATGCCTCATTGACACTTAACTCAAGAAAACTATCATCCGTAGTTAAAAACCAGAATATAACATGTCCAACTAAAAATAATGTTACATCTCATTAAGCATTTAGAACCAGAATCCCATGCAAAATTACAAGAATATTATTATTAGATCTTAATTTCTTAGAATTTTTTTCATATAAACTACCTAACTTAATTCAAATAGGATTGAATGAGTGGATTTGGCAGGAAGCAGATGGCAAACTTGTGAAAGAAAATTGGTTGGATGAATTTATTCGACTAGCAAAGTCAGAATCAGGGAAACTCACAATTGAAACGTATCATCACATGCGTAAGTTTGGTACCGCTATATTTCTTGCCATTGGATTGTATTGTATTTTAAAATCTTTGTGGGAAAAATACTTGAATCTGTGCATTTTCAATATTTGTTTTTGTCTCTTTAATTGTTTTGACGTCCTGTTCACATGCTCCAAATGGGTAAAATTCTCCTCTAAACCCGAAGATGGGGCTGTGGATATTTATTTAGGCCACAGCACGTTGATGATTAAAACTTGCAAACTTTTATTAGTAATAAATTATACAAATTTGTGAGTTTTGGTATTACAATATTTTTTATTGCTGTAACAATCAAACAATTACATTTGGTTCAGAAATTTTGCAGCACAATTGTTGTGATGTTATAAACTTATATCTTATGAGATAGGCTAATAACATTTTACAAACTGCACCATTGCAAAATATGTATTCTCCAATGTTTGCTAGAGGGCATTATTTGAGACACCCTGCATATTAAATTATCTCTAACTTCTATCCTGAATTGACAGTGTTTGCAACCGTTTTGGAGTAAAAGTGTATTTTTTTACATCTAGTCAAAAGCTTGAACGTCGTCCGCAGTCTGGTTGGCGACAATGTTGAAAGTTGTTTGGATCGAGCATCGACTTTCAATCAATGTTGTTTGGAAATTTTAAATTATTTGCCTGGAATTAATGTTAAAGGAAGTCGTAATTCCTATTCAAAAGAATGTCTGATTGATTTGCAAAGTGGTGTTTCTCTGCTAAAATTTTGGTCCAGTGGCAGTGATGATGATAAGTATATATTGAAACAGGTCATGACGATATACAAGATTACCGTCAAGAGCGCATTCGAAGCTTTTTCAAGGATGTCAGTTACAGCCGATGGCGGAACCTTTGCTACAATGCTGAAAATTGTATCAGAAGTACTTCTCAATTTGACTAAACCAGAAACTGTGGTTATTCGTTGTCTACAATTTCTACAAGAGCTTCATGATCTACCCGTAATTCAAGACATGTTTTCCTTTCTAATCGCAAATGACAAGCAAATGAGCTTCTTGATAGACGATAAGAAATTTTTAAATGTTTTATCTGTCCACAAAATGAACAAGATCTTGTACGAGTTTGTGCGAGTGTTTGTTAAACCACCGCCAACTGTTGAGGAGTGGCCAGCGACAATACAACTCCGTGAACAAGTTTACAATCCTTTGATCGAGGAGCAGTTCTTGAAAGAAAGATTGATGTTTAACAACAGACCAGTATCTAGTCAAATGGAATCGGATATTGATAAGATTATTGGAACTGACGAGAATGTTGAAGGTCAGAATACCGATGTAGTAGAATATAATGATCCAATCATCGAAAGTAATCTGGGAACCTCTGTTAACAGGTATACGTACAACCTCTGCATCAGACATGGAACCTTAAGTTTATCATTTGTTTAAGATCGTAACTAAGAAAATTTCCTGTCGAAAAGTGTCGAAACATTTCAGGCTGACCAACACTCAATTCACCTCAGATATTTTTTATTTTAGCATCATTGTGAAAGCTGAAGGTGGATGTTTTGGTATTCCCGTGGCAAGTGCGTTCCTCTTTTTTCCACCACAAGCCGTTGAAGATGAGATAACTCTGACGTGTAGCCGAGTGAAACACAAGGATTCTGAGGTGAAGCCAAGAGATGCTGTTAGCCAGATTCTTAAAATTGAACCCGAGGGCGTCACATTTAAGAAACCTGTTACGGTTCTTCTATCACACTCAGCGTACGAAGACGAGGTGTTTAAGAATTTCTACGAGTTGATCGTGGAGCGATTCAGACCGACTAAAGATTCCACTGACCCATTCCCGACTGGATGGCTGGAGTTAAAAACGGGAGAGATAAGCTCTAGTAAAGGTATTTCGATAGTTATTTTAATTTGTTAACTTTTATTGATAAAATGCAACGATCTTACTGCGTCGCGGTGAAACTGTGGCGGTATTTGTTTTTTCTAGATCTTCCCAAAGGAATACGTAATCCAAAGATCATGGAGGATTATTTGCCTTTTGCCAAAGCAACCATACAAGAGACGTGTACGTTGGTTGCTACAACACGAATCAGATCAGATCAGGTTTTAATTCCAACAAGGAAAAGTTACACCTTCTGCAAGCATTATGGAAAAAATACTGAATTAAAGATTACATTTCCAGCAGGTGTCACGGACAGTTTGCTGAGCTTAAAAATTCAGGTAATTCAGTGTGAAATCGATGTTATAAACCCTGGTTCACACTTGGTCTCTCAACTTTCTTCGTAAAATTCACGTTTTTAGTTACTTCCTGCTGAGGTTGTCTTGAACAAAGATATGCGTTTGAATGAAAATCTTGTTTGTGGTCCTGTGATTAGAGTTTCTGGTCAGAAAGTTCTATTCCTTAACCCAGTTGATGTTGAACTCACTTACTCTCACGAAGACGTCACTAATATCAGTGAAGAATTTTTACCAGTTAAAAGCAAGATTAAGTTTACGACCAAATATGGGCTGTTGTTGCGAAGCAAGAAAGTGGAAGAAAAGTGGGAAAAATTAAATGAATCTATTGATGTTCATGTCGAACGGTTAAGAAAGGATCAACTTAAATTTTCTTTTGCTGTCAAACACTTTTCCGAGTACGTATTTATTTGTGTCTGGCAATTTTATCACGTTATACATATATTACGCAATTGTTAGTAAGTATTTTCCAATTTTTATGTCTACTAGTTATGTAACACTCATGAATATGGACGAAGGGAGCAGTGTTGATTCATCGAAGGTATCCCCAGTGGTAAATACAGACAAACAAGCTCGTCATTTAGCCTTTGTTTTGGCTGTCCACAAGATTGATGACATCCAGAATACACTTCATGCTGTGTTGATGCCTAAATTAGAGAAGCGTTCAGTTGAAACGAAATGGAAAGTAGACGCGATACATTTCATGGATTCTCTCACATCTGGGGAGCCGATATTCTTCTGTGCCCCCCTTTCCGAAAGCCTTATTAACTATCATCTGCCTTTGATGGACTATACTTTAAGGTAAATGTTACAATCATTCCTATATATCTGTTAAGTGAATGCCTAGGCTAATAAACTCAAATAATTCGTTTAAAACTAAGTAAAACATGTTTGTCTTTTGCGACTTGCGTAGGTTTGATCCTGATACTGAGTCGGAGCTTCCCAACAACACAGCCAAGAATGTCGATTTAAGAGGAAAATTTATGCGTTTCCTAAAGGATAACGAATGTAATAATGGAACGAACCATAGTACGCAGGGAGACTGTCGTGCAAAGGCACCAATCCACGTTTCTGAAACAATTTCAGTTCAGGTAGGGTTGAAATACTGCCGATATTGAGTCGTCAATTTCTTTGTAGACCAGGCCAATTAAATTGTCCAGTTTTTCTATACCTTTTCACTATAACGCACATGCGTGGTGTTTCAAGTCACAATGCATGATATTTCTGGCTTTTTTTTATTTCAGGCAACGACAGAGCAACACAAAAGCACGCTAGACAGTAGATGTACCCGAGGTAGGTTAGCGTGAATTTTGTTGTGTATGAAGGCATGCATGTAGATAATTCATTAAAACGTGTGTATTTTTGCACCACGTCAAGCCAATTGCTTCGTCAAACTTTTTTCACTTTTATTTCTTTTCTTAATACAGAACTCAATGTTGCATCTGGTCAAGAAAGCCCTCTGAGAAACCGTCAGATTAGCGAGGTAATTAAAGGTTTCATCTCCTTTCGTTAATGTTGCAATATTTATGTTCATATTGTGTTTTTCACGCAGGTTATAAATGTAATGATTGATCATTGCGAACTGTTTCAAAGATCAGTTGAAATTAGAGCCCAAAAGGAATTAGAGATTGCAACAGTTACGAAAGATCCTAAAGCAGGCAAAATGACAAAGGTCGTGGACGTTGCTGGGCCAGCGGCTACCGTTCTCTTTAGCCTCGCTTGTGGCATAACAGTCGCGACAGGTTTCGCAACTTTTGGGATCGCATCGTTTTGTGGTGCTGTAGTGGCTGGTGGTACTCTGATCGTTAAGAGTGTTGATAAGCACAAAAAACAGGCTAACGTTAAAAGATTCGTGCAGACATTGGACGAAGCAGCGAAAAGAGAAAGAGCACACGTTTCATCTTATCTGAATTGTCTCGTGAAAGATATTGCTAAAGAATTATGTCGTATTTTTGAGTACCAGTTATTTCATTTGAAAAGCGAGAAGGAAGTTACGATATTAGCCGAGTCTGCAGTTGATTTGATGTTGAATCTAAAGAAAAATGATGTTTTTGACAGAAACACTTTGCTAAAAAATGTTCTCCTAAATGGCGAAGCAAAAAAAAGAGAATTACTGACATACAATGATGAGAAATGGTTTGCTCCTGATGTGTTTCGAAAGCCAGGTTTGCGACGAGTGATAATCGGAACGAATAGCACAGAGTGTGTTTACAAAGTTAAACTGGACGGGACTTGTGACACAAAAAAGTATGGTTATCGCGGCCAATTTCTTGAAATTATGGAATATGGTGGAGAAAATGAGGAAGCAACATCGGATGCAATGACTGTTGATGATGAAAACTCGAAGTTTAAGTTATGTGAGAAATGTCAGGATTGCTGTAGCAGTGGAAAGTATTTTTTAGAATCTGAAATCGACCGTGAATACACAAAGCCGTGTCAAGAAGCTTTAATATACCGTCCTCTGCATCTTTTAGTGCAATGTCCTGAAGTTATATATTCATTTAGTGATACACTTCAAGAAAACCGTTCATTTGCGGATTTCTTGAAGACAAAGATCGGTATCCAAGATAATGAAATGTTGCTCCCTGTTTATCGACAACATGTGCCGGGTACAGTGTTGAATCTGAGTCTGAATAAAGCAAATCTCACTGGATCTGATTTCAGCTATTCTAACTTTGGAGACTCTTTTCTTCTGGGTTGCGATTTCACGAAGTGTGTGATGTTGTTTGCAACGCTGTTTGGAGCAAAGATGTCTCGTTCAACATTTCTTGACACATTCATCAGTCACAGTGATCTGAGGGAAGTCAAAGCTGATGGCTGCAGCTGGACGAAAACGTCTGTTCTTCACTCACGTGTTGATAATGCAGATCTAAGCCATGCTGTACCAACTGTCGGTGATAATCATTGGGATGGAACTAACCTTTGTGACGCCATTATCAGTAGACCAGTTGAACCATTAAATGTGAACGGAGGTAAGTTTTTACAACAATTATGTCTTACCACTTCCTTTGTGACCAGTCTTTGTGATTGGTTTCAGAAATAACACGTTCAATGAGATAATGGCTAGGCAACATACGGACAAAGACATGATTAACTTCATTTTTTTGTTCAATTGATTTTCAGGAATACATTTGATGGAAATTCCAAAAGGACAAATGTGTAAGTATCGAGAAACAAATCAAATTGTCAACATGCATGTTACCTTCACAAATACCTAGCCTTACTAGCCTTCCAAACTCATGTTTTTTTATCTCGACAAGGCTGATAAACCTCCTAGTCGTCGTATTGCTAATTACGGTATATCTTCAGCGAATTCTGTTTTCTTACTGGGAAGAAAGATTCGGAATTTTACCCTGCCTGAGGATTTCTTTGTTGTTTTTTTTACCACAGCTTATGTCTGAAAGATTTGAAAAGAGTAAGAAATCGTCGTTTTAGGACTAGTGAATTTGTTATCAAGTAAGTTTTAGGATTAGTGAATTTGTTATCAAGTAAGTTTTAGGATTAGTGAATTTGTTATCAAGTAAGTTTTAGGATTAGTGAATTTGTTATCAAGTACGTTTTAGGATTAGTGAATTTGTTATCAAGTAAGTTTTAGGATTAGTGAATTTGTTATCAAGTAAGTTTTAGGATTAGTGAATTTGTTATCAAGTAAGTTTTAGGATTAGTGAATTTGTTATCAAGTAAGTTTTAGGATTAGTGAATTTGTTATCAAGTAAGTTTTAGGATTAGTGAATTTGTTATCAAGTACGTTTTAGGATTAGTGAATTTGTTATCAAGTAAGTTTTAGGATTAGTGAATTTGTTATCAAGTAAGTAATATTTTAGGAACAATTAATGCATGATCGGTAGTGTGAAAATTTTAGCATGTAAAAACATAATTGATTAGTCTTATTATACTGCATTTAATGCAGCTAATAGTCACGAAGCACGTTCTATATACCAATGCCTTTCTCAATATTACTTATGCATTAATGCACGGTTGATTAATGTAATATCAGAATATATTATCGTTTGTTTGGATTCCGCCATTTTGGGTGGCAAATATTTGGGTTACTATAGTTATTCCGAGTCCACGAATATAATCCTTACTTTAATCCTAAACCTGACCCTAACCATTACGAAACTAGTTGCGACGAATGATTAATTCAAGGTTTATATTCGTCGATTCTGAACATGGGATTATTACCAATATTTGGGTGGTGAATAATCCTGTATCAGATGCTAAAACGCAAGTGTGGCTGTGCAAAAGAGCAGGGCCATAGCTAGAAGCTTAATTGGGGGGGGGGGTATATTCATATATTAGTCTTATGCCCGACTGATTTCTTTTGTACGCTATTGTTCCCGCGGTAGAAAAACATGAATATATGAATATACACCCCCCAATGAAGCGGTCTAGCTACGGCCCTGCAAAAGAGGTTTTTATGGGGGGGTTTCTATACTCAAAAGTTAAAATTTCCACCCAAAATGCTGATTATTTACAAGTAAATTGTCATGTAATTGTTAACTAGTAATCAATGATCAATAAATTTAGTATAACTATAAATAAATCAACCAGCCTCGTGCATGATCTTGCAACGCTATTTTCACATCACTAAACGTCCCCATATCCTTCCAAAACAATTGTCCATGCTATTACGAATTTAAAGACTATTGCAAGTTATTTCTGTGATTCAGTTTGTTCCGAAGCTAACCGTTCAAACATCAACTTGGATAATTTGTTTTCCAATATTTTTCCCACTCATCATTGATACAAATGCATTCCCAGCATTCTCGAGGCCCATCTCAAACGTTTCCCGATTTTTCAATCTACCCTCCTTAAGCCACGTCTCCAGCTGCACTAATGATTCGTGAAATTTTTCAGGATAATTCAACACCGTGTACCTCTCTCGGGTGATATTATTTTTCTTCAATATTTCGGTGATGTTATCGGGTATTGGCGGGGGGTAGGGTAAGTCCTTATCGTACTGCGATATTTGACCACACAATACGACATGACTGTCTTTGTTCATAGATTTGATAACCTAGATGAAGATTTAGAATTTCATGGTTCAAACTCTATTAAAAAATTTCTACAACCTTTCCTTTCGTGAGGAACGTCTGTCCTAGCTATTTCTTCTCTGTCCCAACTGCTTCTCCTCCCACACCTTAAAAATCGACCCAAGCCACACTTTACTTCAGGGGCGGATCTAGGAATTTTCATACCCTAGTCAAAAATTTTCGGTCCGACTACCGCAGGTACATTTCTCCCCATTATTTTTTCGGAACGATTGGGGGGAGGGGTGCAGTTTACTTCATCACCCCAACCCTACTTCGCCCCACCTTTAACTGACTTGACCACATTTGATTAGATTGTCATACCTTACCCTACTCTATCCTAGGTTATCCCGCTTTGTTTCTCACCTCATTGCTAATTTCTCCGCCAACATTATCAAAGTAAACATCGACACCTTCAGGACAGCATTCAGACAACTTTTCCTGTATATTTTTGATGGTCCTATAGTTGATAGACGCATCAAACCCCAAGTCATTGACCAAATGCTGGCATTTCTCGTCTGTTCCACAGATTCCAACCACCTTCCCACATCCCTCTAACTTTGCGATCTAGAATTCCATGAATCAATATATCAACGGTGATTTGATGTACCACAACCTGCTGCAAATGCCAAACCTCCCATATATATTATTATAGATCAAAGACAACGGACAATAAAGCTGATTATCGACACGTCAAAGTTCAATGTTTGAAACAGGCCTAAAATTAAGGCAATTACAATGCAGCTTCAAGTATGAATCAGGTAAACTAGCATTGGAGAAAATATAAGATTAAATGTAGGCTTTATGGTTTTGTCCGTATATAAAGACCTTGGAAACGAGGTTTTTCAAAGAAAGGTTTGCTAATCCTCGACATTACCTGACCAGCAGCTGACCCACAAGCCCCTGCGGCACCGCTGATGACGACAGTCTGATTTGCGCCGGGAACAATATGGGCCTTTTCTCGTAGCCCTAAAATCGCCGTCATTCCTGTTACACCCAGGAGTCCGAGGGTAAGTGATGGGTGTTTTTGCAAGATGTCACTTTCTACCTGAAGGATGATATCAAACGATGTCAAACTGTTTAGTCATCACCAGTGGTCATCACACCTTCACGTTAGTTAATCTTCCTAACCCCCCACGTGTCGACCACGTGTCTTACCTTCTGCAGTGCATGTAACCCATCGGTGGAGTCGGCATTCGATAGCAATTTCTGAGAATTGAAATTCACAAATTTTTGAAACGGCCAACACATCGGTAGATGAATTACATCGCCTGGCTTAAACGATTCATCTTTGCTCTCTAGGATAACCCCAGTCCCAGAAGCGTCAATAGTTTCCCCGATTTGCCAGGATTTCATGTAATCCACCCCGGAGTTCTCGTTAAACCTACATCGCATGTACGGATCTACAGACAAGCACAAAGTTTTCGCAATAATTTCGCCATCTTTGCACTCTAAAATAGGAATATTTTCAATAGCGAAGTTTTCAACTGACACTGGATTTGACTCCCCAGGACGACTGCGTAAAAATACGCGAATATTTTGACTTTGCTGTGTTGCCATTGCGAGGCTGAGGCCTAGGAGGAGTCGATATTTTGGTGGTTTTAATGGGGGGTGATTTTGTTACAATATTTATCCGTCTCGTGATTGGTTCTCGGCAATGACCATATGTAAATGACCATAATCACCAATACCACACATGGATACGAAATCTATCAGATAATATTGAAAGCATCCATACTAAATAATAGAACAATAATAAGTTATAATAGATTAGTAAAATCGGAATTATTTGATTATTACACTATTTCTGAAATTTAATTTGAAACAAATCAAGAAATTCTCATATTGCATTTGGTGTAATGGCGAGTTTACAGCGCACACGGAGTGCAGTGCGGTTCATTTCTCGTGCGATTTCTGGAAATTCAAGAGCGCCATTCACTCGACAGGGCCAGAAACGTTTTCTGTGTTCAAGCAACAAATCAAATTCACGGCTTGCTTTTGTGTCGAGCGAACACGATGAGATTTATAAGCGTAGTATCAACGATCCTTCGACATTTTGGAGAGAACAGGCCTCCAGTCGTTTGCAATGGATTAAGCCTTTTACCAAAGTTATGGATTGTGATATGAATATTGGTCAACACAGGTGGTTTATGGATGGTCAACTAAATGTGTCAGGTCTGTTTCAACATCTTGTCATATCAGGAGAGCTTCTTAATTACTACCATGTTAATTGATAAGTTGTTATGATGAATGTGTCCATTTCATTGTGTGTCCAAGGATTTGCTAAATATTTTTAACAATAATTAAACTTTACACAACAAACTTTCTGTTTAATTTCCATTAGAAAATTGTTTGGACAGACATGTCGAGAAGAATCCAGATAGCGTGGCTTTCATATGGGAAAAGGATGAACCTGGGACACATGAGACTCTTACTTATAGGTTGGTAGAATGCACAAGGATTGGGTGCAGCAATGCAGACCCTTCACATGAAAGAATTCTTGCCTAGGTTTGATGTGACTTGAAATTTCCATCTTGGAATGACATTTAGTAATGCTCATGAAGTATATATACTCCTTGAGAAGCAGTCATGTGCTAGTACTACCATAAATTTGCACCCCTTATATCACTTTGTAGAGAGTTGTTGAAAATGACATGTCAGATAGCAAACATGTTGAAAAAACATGGTGTGAAGAAAGGAGACAGGGTGTGTATATATCTGCCAAATTGTCCCTTAGCTGCCGCTACGATGCTTGCCTGTTCTCGCATTGGTGCAGTTCATAGGTATGTCCATTTAGCACTGAAACTCTTTCACCATGATTCTTTCATGCTCATGCCTGATCTTTGCTCTAGTTTCATTTTATTTTTGTAGTGTTGTTTTTGCTGGATTTAGTGCAGAAGCGCTGGCAAATCGCATAACAGATGGTGGGTGATTACCTTGCAGTATTGATTGCACTTGTAGTAGAGTAAACCTCAGTTATTTGCTGTTTTTAGCTGGAGCAGAGATTGTATTTACTGCTGATCAGGGAGTGCGCGGTAGTAAGACAATTCAGTTGAAACGAACAGTAGATGAAGCAGTGAACAAGTGCTCAGGTGTAAGGCATGTCTTTGTCATGTCAAGGACAGGAGCTGATGTACCTATGGGCAAGAATGACATCCCATTGGAGAAGGTAACAAACCCAGCTGACTTCTTCATGCTTTCTCAATGGCATTTTGTTTATTTTCTGATGATAATTCATTGCAGGCAATGTCACAGGAAAGCACTGAATGTCCTGTTGAACCAATGAACAGTGAGGATATGTTGTTCTTACTTTATACCTCAGGAAGCACAGGGAGACCAAAAGGAATTCAACATTCACAAGCTGGTTATTTACTGTATACTAATCTCACATTTCAAGTATGTGAACAGCAAAAAATTCTGTTTTAAAATACTAAGATTTATAAACATGTTGATTTGCTCTTTAAACCTTGTTTTAGTATGTTTTTGATTATAAACCTGGAGATATATTCAGTTGTGCTGCAGATATTGGTTGGATAACCGGGCATTCTTATGTCGTTTATGGTCCGTTATCAAACGGTGCAACCTCGGTTCTCTTTGAGAGTATTCCAACCTATCCTGACCCTGGTCGATACTGGGAAACTGTTGAAAGATTGAAAATAAATCAGTTTTACACTGCTCCGACTGCTATACGACTCCTGTATAAGTATGAAGATGAGTGGGTGAAGAAATATGACAGATCTTCCTTACGGATCCTAGGAACAGGTATAATAGAACCTGTAGTTTGTGCACATGGTTTTTTCAGGTAAAATGACACGACATGACAAAGAACAGTATCTCATTATGTATTCTTCTTTCCAGTGGGAGAACCAATCAACGCTGAAGCCTGGCATTGGTACAATGAAGTTGTTGGGGAGAGTCGATGTACAGTTGTGGATACTTGGTGGCAAACAGGTATAAACAGTGGTTGCATATGATTGCACTTCATAATTTTCATGCCTTGTGCGTGTTTATTACTATTTTTTATAAATTAGAGAATGTGGGAGAATTTTTTCCTCGTTACGTTCCCTGAAGGTAGGCAAGCCAGGAACTTTGTTTTAGAGTTTTTCATAAAAAGAGTAACTTTTTATTGTCTAGAAACCGGGGGGATTTTCATTGCTCCCAGGCCCTCATCAGACAACTCAGCACCAAAACCAGAGTTTGCGACCAGGCCCTTTTTCGGAGTAGAACCTGTTCTCTTGGATAGCGAGGTATTTATGGCGGCCTTGTTTGTTATTTCATTTGCCTTTCCAGATGTTTAATTTTGATTCATTTTAGGGAGTTGAACTGCGAGGAAATAACGTGTCTGGCAACTTATGCATCCGTGGCTCCGTTCCGAGTATGGCACGAACAGTTTATGGTGATCACCGACGATTCTTAGAAACATATTATACAGCCTTCCCAGGTAAACTGTTCAGTATTGAAGACCAGGTGAAAAATGTCCGTGATGAGATGGCAGATCAGACACAGCACTGAACACGTGGCACAGATGCTCAGCAAGACACTTCTTAGGGGTTATTGCTTCATTACAGGTTATTATTTCACCGGTGATGGGGCATTGAGGGATGAAGACGGACACTATAGGATAACTGGTAGAGTTGATGATGTCATCAACATTAGTGGACATCGTCTGGGAACAGCTGAAGTCGAGGATGCCTTGGTAGGTTCAGCCTGGAAACCATTGTTAGTTTAGCGTTGTGTTAGGAACGATTTAATTTATAGTTGAAAAATTCTTCACATCGAAGATTCTGAACAAAGATCTTCTGCAGCTTGAGGATTACAACAGAATGAAACCTATAAAGTGAACTTTATACTTCACACTACAGATTTGAGACCAGAGACCTCTCCTTTGTCGGTTGTGTAAACTGAAAATATTCTGCTCTTTTTAGGATAACCATCCAGACGTTGCGGAGAGTGCAGTGGTTGGCTTTCCTCACGACATCAAAGGAGAGGGTATAACTTTAAATAATTAAAATGTGCTGATATTTTGAATATTAAGCAAACAGTTTCTTCAGAAACAATTGTGCTATGCGATGTCATACGACTGTGTGTTTCACAGATGTCTCTCGGGTTTTTGATCACTAGTTAATCGCTGTAGTTTTAATCGGCTGTTTTTCCTCAGGTATTTATGCGTACGTTACTTTGAAAGAGCACGCAACGATCACGCCTGAAAATCTACGTCTGGAGCTTAAAGAACTTGTGAAGAAAGAAATTGGTTCATTTGCTGCACCAGAATTGATACAGGTATTTACAACGCCTAAAACTAACTATGGCCCTGGTAAATTAATGCAAGGGCTGTAAATCTTCAGTTGTGGAAGAGATGTTGTAGAGATTGTCTTAACACAGGTTTTCAACAGTGAAAAATTGATGATAGTTCCTCGTTATTTAGGTAGCCCCAGGCCTTCCTAAAACCAGATCGGGGAAAATAATGCGACGAATTTTAAGGAAAGTAGCTGCGAATGAATTTGAAGATTTAGGCGATGTTTCAACTCTGGCAGAACCTTCGGTTGTGGAGGGGATTGTTAATGAGCATAAGAAAATAGTTCAGTGAAGTTAAGATACGATAAGTTTGAATCCGAATTCACAAGCAACAAATTAGGGCAAAATATTCTATTCTGCGTTACACCATACATAAATTAATGACATAATCATTTAGGTAAATACTGTAAATATATTTTTAAGGAAAGACGAATTAAATACAACAGGTGTAATAGTAATATATTTTTGGTAATATTGAAGGTCAGCTTGAATGATTCAGCCAAGCGTGACAATCAGATTAATACTGTAATTTCAAATTTTACAAGATCGTCCATAGGTAAAAAATGTTGCTTTACAATCAGAGATGTTCGCCTCTGACCAAGTGACAGGGATTGTTGTAAAATTTTCAATTTTCATTCCCGCTTCATTCATCGCTTCTTTTACCATTTTCTCATTCAAGGGAAAAGTATAAAATTTCTCTTTTCCTACGAAGTAATAAGTCTGCTCCAACACTCCGTACATGAATAAATAACCATTTGGTTTGAGCAAATTGCAAAGCTTTGCAACAGTATTCTTGTAGTGCTCTTCAGACGTCACGCATGCCTCCAGACACAAACTAGTGCCAACAAAATCAAATGGTTTGCCAACATCATCGTGCTCAAGTTGAACTATTGGTGTCTTGGTTACATCACAGGGTACGATTGATTTTATTTTTTTCTTCAATTCATTAGCACGATGGAGTAAAGCATCCTGCTTCTCTTTCTCCGTTGACTCGACAGGAATTTTATTTTCTTGTTGTTCGAGCTCCGAGATGACTTCAAATAAAGGCATCCAGTCGTGGGAATCAGGTTCACCAGCAATCCATGATTTCACAGCTTGTCTATTTGCTTCTGTATACTCTGAAAATACGATGTGATTCACTTTCGGGCAGGCAAAAGCAATGTTTGTTATTGACGGTCCACCACCGTACTCAAGATAGCGAAATTCGCCAACTTCCGTCTCTGACAAGGACTTAAAATTCGACCAAAACTCGTGCAATAGTTTAAGAAACGGCAGTGCTGCTGACAAATCACTGTCATCGCCTTCTTTGAATTGTGAGTAGCATATTTCTAGATAGATTTTTGGATCGAAGTAGGAGTGATAATCTTCTGGGTATCTCAAATTGGCCATTGTGCTCAGCTCAGTAGTTCACTATCAACTTGAAACTTGATCCTCCGACAAACTGTACATTCAACCACAGTGATTCATTCTCGTTTCCAGCCTTCCAGGGTCATAACCATGATGATTCTCACTTTCTGAGAAGTTTCTTTGACCGAGGTAAAAGTTCTCAATAACTGTCAATACTCGGCGATATTGTATAAACTATGGTAAAAGTGTTTCCTTAAGGCTATATCTCGAGTTCGCTATGTCCGTATCTGTGGCAACAAATGACGACCTAATTGTAATTTTTTGCCTTTAATTAACGAGGTATTTTGCATATCTTCAAGAACGAATGAATTTGAAGATTCAGGCGATATTTCCAGTCTAGCAGACCCTTCGGTTGTGGAGGGGATTGTCAATGAGCATAAAAAAATAATTCAGTTAAGTTAGAATACGATAAGTTTGAATCCAAAATGACTAGCAAAAAATTAGAGCAAAATATTCTATTCTGCGTAACACCATACATAAAATAATGACATAATCATTTAGGTAAAAACTGTGAATACATTTTTAAAGAAAGACGAATTAAATACAACAGGTCTGATAGTAATATATTTTTGGTAATATTGAAGGTCAGCTGGAATGATTCAGCCAAGCATGGTAATCACTAATACTGTAAATTATTTCAAATTTTACAGGCTCGTCCATAGGTAAAAAATGTCGCTGTACAATCACAGATGCTCGCCTCTGCCAGTGTGACAGGGATTGTTGTAAAATTTTCAATCTTTATTCCCGCTTCTTTCATCGCTTCTTTTACCATTTTCTCATTCAAGGTAAAAGTATAAAATTTCTCTTTTCCTACGAAATAATAAGTCTGCTCCAAAACTCCGTACATAAATAAATAACCATTTGGTTTGAGCAAATTGCAAAGCTTTGCAACGGTATTCTTGTAGTGGTCTTCAGACGTGACGCATGCCTCCAGACACAAACTAGTGCCAACAAAATCGAATGGTTTGTCAACATCATCGTGCTCAAGTTGAACTATTGGTGTCTTGGTTACATCACAGGGTACGATTGATTTGATTTTTTTCTTCAATTCATCAGCACGATGGAGTAAAGTATCCTGCTTCTCTTTCTCCGTTGACTCGACAGGAATTTTATCTTCTTGTTCGAGCTCCGAGATGACTTCAAATAAAGGCATCCAGTCGTGGGCATCAGGTTCACCAGCAATCCATGATTTCACAGCTTGTCTATTCGCTTCTGTATACTCTGAAAATACGATGTGATTCACTTTCGGGGAGGCAAAAGCAATGTTTGTTATTGACGGTCCACCACCGTACTCAAGATAGCGAAATTCGCCAACTTCCGTCTCTGACAAGGACTTAAAATTCGACCAAAACTCGTGCAATAGTTTGAGAGACGGCAGTGCTGCTGACAAATCACTGTCATCGCCTTCTTTGAATTGTGTGTAGAATTTCTCTAGATAGGTTTTTGGATCGAAGTAGGAGTGATATTCTTCTGGGTATCTCAAATTGGCCATTGTGTATCAGTAGTTCACTATCATCAACTTGAAACTTGATCCTCCAGACAAACTGTAGATTCGACGTCAGTGATTCATTCTCGTTTCCAGCCTTCCAGGATCATAACCATGATTCTCAGTATTCTGAGAAAGTTTCTTTGATCGAGGTAAAAAGTTCTCAATAATAGTCAATACTCGGCGAGTGTTTCCTTAAGGCTAGATCTCAACTGAGTTCGCTATGTTTGTATGTTTGGCAACAAATGACGACCTAATTGTCATTTTTTGCCTTTAACGAGGTATTTTGCATATTTTCAAAGACGATTGTACAGATACAATATTAGCTTATGGGTTTTACAATAAATAATACACAGTCCGTTTTCTTAATTTTCGAAAGTGCAATACCGTTGGCAATACTTGCGATGAACTGATGAAGTATTGTTGATTTACTTGATTATGATATAAACCACCTACAAATGTAACCAGACATTCATTTTCCTTTTTGCAACTATCAAGTTTTAAAAGATTATTCAGTAAAGCCTGGTTTGCACTCATTCATCGACATGTTTTGTCTATCCAAGAAAGTTATCTACTTCATTGTCCGTAACTAGAACGATAATTGGGGGGTGTTTATTCATATATTCAGTTCTGCCCGACGGGTTTCTTTTGTAAGTGCAATAGCTTACTGCTTACAATAGAAATCCGTCGGGCAGAACTGAATATATGAATAAACACCCCCCAATTATCGTTCTAGTTACGGCCCTGTTCATTGATCATGGACAAAGTCAAAGGATCGTACAACATCGCCGATGAGTTAGAACATATAAAAACAAGGCTTAAAAGTTGCCTTTTACTCTGGACAAATAATTTCAATGATTTTTCTTCAAGGAAAAGCAGATGGTAATCATGGTATGGTGTAGTACAGGACCACAGGTACAGCAGACGTTGTATACATGAAGTATCCGCTCCATACTGCAATGGCGGACAATGGAAGTGAAATTTATTTATGTGCTGTATGTGGTTCTTTTGCTATTTTCTCCAGGATTTTTTTACATCCATTCAGTTCTCGGTGGAGTGAAGAAACCTAACGTAGTGCTTATTACTGTGAATCATTTTGGGCTCAATACTTTGGACAATTATCGGGGATATTTGAAAAATATAAGGAGACTTTCTGAAGAATCAATCCAGTTCAGCCATGCTTACTCGCAACTTTATCCGACCTCATCAAGAGCTGCTTTACTAACTGGCCGTCTGCCGGTCAAAACTGGAATGCTGAAGGGCAGATTTCTTCCATTTAGTTCTCTGCCTTCCATAGCATCTTCAGGAGGACTGCCATTGAATGAAGAAACCTTAGCAGAATCCTTAGAAAAGAACGGTTATACAAACAAGTTTATAGGTTTGTGGGATCAAGGTTTGGGAAAAAAGGGAAAGTACCTCCCATTGAAACAAGGGTTCAGATCATGGTTTGGTATTGTGACACAGCACAGTTATTCATGCTCGAGTCCACCGATAAAACCTCATGATGGGGATGAAGCATTTGTAAATGAAGCCTTGTGGCTTTTTCTTTATGGATTATGCTGGTCCTTATTCATAGCAACCGCACTATGGTGTCTCTTCTTCCTCAAAGCTAAATTTTTATCCTTGTTGATTATTCTGGGTGTCGTCTTGTATGCAACAAATAGCAATGCACCTTTTATTGTTGTTAAAAGTTGTGTGCTTTTCAGAAATGACCAAATTATTGCTCAACCGTACAATGTTGAAAACATCACCTTGCGCTTCACCGACGATGCTTTGGACTTTATCAAAACTGCAGCTAATCCATTTTTTCTCATGGTTAATCATCTTGCATTATCACAGCCATTGTTTACTTCACCGTTCTTTAAAAATACTTCAGGTAAAAATGACGTGATCTTGGATTCACTTGTGGAGTTGGATTGGAGTGTGGGGAGTATTTTAGCTGCAATTGAGAGTTCAAATTTAACTGATGACACTATTATTGTGTTCACTGCCCTCTCTGGAGAAATATATTCTAATAATGATAGGGTGTGCAATAGTTCTTTAAACAAGACAGAAAATAATGATGATTGTCATCCTAGGTTTTTCAGAGGTATATTTAGTTCATTTCCTTATTTAAACATTATCTAGTAAGCTATATATAAAATTTCCTGATATCCAGGATTGCACCCTACATGCAACATATACTAGGTATTCAAATTTCTTGCTAAGGAATTTGTTTCTATTATTCTAGAAAATGTCATGAGCGTCATAAGCAATTGGGAGAGGCATATTAAAGTACCACTGTTTATAAAATGGCCGAAATTTCTCAGTTATCATAGAGTGTTAAACCAGACTGTCACATTGATGGATGTCATGCCAACAATATTAGATCTGGCTAATGCAAGCTATAGTAGTGACACACTTCATGGGAAGTCTCTTTGTGGTGTAATTAATGGAACGACAGAGTCCTTGCATTCATACATATATCATTATTTAGACGTCACTCGGCCATCTGCTATTACTCACAATGAGTATAAACTACTTTATAGTACCATGTCAGGTAATTGTATCATCTGTAATTATCAAGCTTTAGAGAGAAAGGGCTGTTAAAGACATCTATATATTGGAGAGGTGTCTGTATTAGAGAAGTGTCTGATTGTGTATTTAATTAAGATTTGATATGCAATTAATTTGTAATAATAAAGATGAATGTTTCTTTGTTTTTTAGAACATGGAATTATTCACCATGACCCACCCATTCTGTTTAACATTAGAAAAGACCCAGGAGAGACTTCCCCTCTGATAAATGAAGACCATCTTGACATTGTGACAAATATATCTGAAGCAAGAGACAAACACTTAGAAAATAGAACACGAAAATGGATATCACAATTTGAATATCCAATATTACCCTGGCTATTTCCATGTGCCAATTTTCCTTATTGTCACAGGAGGGACATTAGCAAACTAAAACATATTTTCTATAATGAGAGTGGCTTGTTCAGTTAGTTATTGGAAGGTTTGAGGTATTTGCAACGAAAAATCATCATAAATTTGTTTTACAGTATCAAGTTAATTTCCAGTACACTGTTGTGAAATAAAATAACCGTAAATGAACTAGAAGCAGGGGGGGTTTGTTATAATGAGAGGAGGGGAGGGCCTCAAATCCAATATTCCGCCCACCCCAGCCCAGTCCATGCGTGGTCAAATTCAAAATGGCGGACCATGGTGCAAGTCTGGGTTTAACTGCTGGTAAGAGGAGAAAACGGAAAGGGAAGTCTTCTTTTGAACTTACTAAAGGCCAAATAAAGCATCTAAAAGAATATGGAGAACTACATCCTGTTGATCTGTAAGTTAGTAAAGAATATGCTTGCATTTTATAATGCAAGTGATTGCAATACAGTGATAACACGTTTTCATCTATGAAATCTTTGATTTGACGTTTTTAGGGATGAGAATCATGAAACACAAGAGACAACATTGAAGAAGCCAAAAAAGATGGAGAAGATTATTGATGATTCAATGGTATTGTATAAGGTCTTCATTTATAAGGTCTTAACATCAATTCCGCACTGACTAGGTAGCAGGCTGCCCCAGAGCACCCGGTTATGTTCTCACCATAAATATTAAACAAAATACTAAATGACTGGCAGGACTAGTTTTCTAGGATGTAAACAGACCGAATAATCTACTCATTTTAGAATTTTGTTTGATATTGGTGACAACAATATAACCGGTTGGTAGTTGCCGACTGATTAGTCATGATCAATCCTGGGAGAAATTAGGTGGACAGCTGCAAACTACGTGGTTGCATCTTTTGCTAATTTATTCTAAACATTTTGCAGCTACAGAAGCAAAGAAAAATGAATGATAAAGCACATGTACAGGTTTGTATTCCTATATGTTAATAGATTCTTCACAGTTGTCATTTTAACATTGAAGCTAGCAATTCAACACACATGGCAAATCGTTATGTGTTCTGGGTTTGCAAAGTAACCATAGCTCATATGGAATATATGTATAACTTGTAGGATGCTGACAAACAAGAGGATGATAATGTTGAAGAAATATCTGCTTACCAGAAGTTGGTTTCCTCGTTTGTCAATGCTGATGCTTTGAGAAAGAAAAAGAATACCAAGAAACTAACAAAGAAACTAACAAAGAAACTACATAAAACTAGCCCAGACGGAGTTATAGAAAAGAAAGTGAGTCAATCAACTGTGTTTTTTTATGAAACATACAAGATTGTTCATGGATATAATTTATATACAGGGAAAAGACTCAGAAACAGAGGACATTGGTGATAAAAAAATAGTTGAAAATGAGTCAGAAAATGAAGAAAATAGTTCAGACTCAGATGATGAATCTAAGCTTCTACGAGGAAGTATGTTTCGATTAATTCTGCTTTATCTTTTTCAGATGATTTTTATAGTTACACTGGTACTATTCTGTTTTAGGGACACAGCCTGATCCATTTTCACAACATTTTGAGGTTGATCTTGAGGAAGATATTGTTTCAAAGCTGGACAGCAATCCAACAGTTAAGCCAATAAAAGTAAATGATTTTTTCTTGGAGGATTAACCTCCTGAGCGACTTGAATAACCAACTTTTTCAGGTCATCCTAAATGTAACTATATTCCTGAGATACTTTTCAATCTTTAGACAACAGTTTTGAATGGTACAGCAGTTTATTATCCCTCCGTACCTGGACAACACTTAAAAGATTGCTCTTCTTCGGATTCACAGACAACTTTAGAAAGCCTATGGGTTTGTGTTTTGTCATATATTCTTTTTGTAATATTTTATATAATTTTCAATTGTGAGACCCTACATGTTATAATAGACACACATGGTTGATTTCTAGGTGAAGCCAAAACTTTGTCGAAACTGGAAAAACCTCACTCACGAGAACAGTCTGAATGGTAAGAAAGTCCAGTTATCAAACATCATAGCTGGGTTACTATATGAAAAAATAATGAAGTTTATATTGTTTTATCACAGGGAGAGGTTTCACTAATTTACAGCAAGAATTGTTTCCAATTATAAATTCATATCAGGTTCGTTAACTATGTTTTACGAGTTGATTTTTTGGGCTGTTTTTTTTTTATAAATTAATTAATACTGGTTGTTTTTTGTGCTTTTAGGATCTGTTTTACTCTAACCGTGATTTCAATAACGGGGAAGAAATACGAAAAATGTATTGTCTTCATGCGTTGAATCACATATTGAAGTAAGTCTTCTTCACCTAGTGATGGCAAATGAAGATTTAATTGGATTGCAGGAATTTATAGAAATTTTAAATGAGATTTTATTTCAATTCTGTATCTTGATGACTTAACAGAACAAGATCACGAATTTTAAAGAACAATGCTAAGATTGTCCAAGCACAAAAAGACAAGAAAGAATTATCTGGAGAACAGAGTGATCATGGATTAACAAGACCCAAAGTCTTGATAGTTGTGCCATTCCGTGATTCTGCTTTGAAAATTGTTGAAATATTCATGAAGTTGATGGCTGAAGAATCTGAGGTTAGACTTGGATGGAACTTGTGGTCCAACTTCCAATTTGCACATGTGTGTTCATGAGTTGAGAAGTGCACTTCATGTCCTGTATGATATATCAGCTATTTTTTTTAAATTTAGGGTCAAGTAATGAACAAGAAACGATTTTTTGAAAAATTCAGCGAAACTGAGACAGATGATGGTCCCCAAAATAAACCAGGTATAATCTTAGCTAATTGTACAATATCTATGCATTTAAATATTAAACTTTAATATTTCTTACATTTATTTATTAACAGAGAAATTTTGTTGATTCCATACTGATGTGGTTTTCTGTTATTCTAGATGATTTTAAGAAGATGTTTGCTGGCAATAGCGATGATTTCTTTCGAGTTGGATTGGTTATCATGAGAAAGACAATCAAATTATACACAGAGTTTTATTCTTCAGATATTATTATTGCCTCTCCTGTTGGATTGAGGTCAATCATCGGTGCTGATGGGTAAGATGTTGTAATTGATGTAAACCTAAAGATATTGTGTAGCAATGTAAAGTCAAAACATAATTGATGGTATCTTTCAAACGTTAGAGAGAAGAGAAGGGATTATGATTTTTTATCATCAATTGAAGTTTTGATAATGGATCAAGTTGATGTCTTCTTGATGCAGAACTGGGAGCATGTGCAGGTACAATTGATTGTTTCCATTTATCATATGTATGAAATAAACAGGATGTGTGCATGGCTAATTAGCTTAACCTATAGACTTGTTTCCTAAACCTTAAGTAGCCTGCATGGTAAGGATGTGACTAGATGTCCAATGTTTCTTAGCTTGGGCACAGCTCAATACTTCCCAGCTCATCTCTGCAATTTTCATAGCATGTGTTTGAACATCTTCACCTCCAACCTAAAGAATCACATGAAGTTGATTTCTCCAGAGTAAGAATGTGGAACCTAAATGGATGGTATGTGAAAAAAATCTTTATAATGCTGAGTTATTGAAGAGAGATCAGTTAGCATAATGCATATTTTCTTTTTAGGTCTAAATATTACAGACAAACAATACTTTTTAGCAGCTTTGTTACCCCTGAGATAAATTTTATTTTCAATAAGGAGTGCTTGAGTATCCTTTTATTGCTGAATGCTGAAGAATGCATACCTATATGTTCAGATATGGATTAGTATGTGTGTCTAAATTGAAAAGTTCAATGGAACCACATCCTTAACTCTACTCATATTATTCTGGAAAAATGAAAATTTCACTTCCAAATCAAGTTGGGTCTGTTTGTCAAGTGGTAGTCCAAATACCTCAGGTACAATTCAACTATTTCTGCCAAATGAAAAGAAGGGAATTTCTATCATCGTAATTTCATGTTATGAAGATATTTGTTTGTTTCAGATTTACCATAAAGTGGTTTCTCCAAGTCACAAGGAAATAGCTGAAAAACGATTTGAATTTTTTGTGAATAAGGTAAAGAGACAGAGCTGGGATCTTTGAGTTAAATGGAACAAGAATATCTAGATATTGTCTTTTGAATTCATCGTTGATATTAATAGTGATTTCTTTACTGCACAGATATTTCCAGATCTAAAAGGGGCCAGAGGAATGATGTCTCACACAGCTTTATTTGTTTCATCTTATTTTGATTTTGTGAGGTTAAGAAATTTCCTCAAAAAAGAAGAAATTGATTTCTTGCAACTTTCAGAGTAAGTAACTTCCATTGTTAGAGGTGGTCTGTATTTAGCGGCAATATTAATAGCTACACATAGCAGAGATTTTGACTGGTTGTAATTTGTGGTTTTATTCACAGGTACACATCACGAGCAAACATATCAAGAAGTCGGAATGCCTTCCTTCAGGGGACCACATCACTTCTACTTTTCACCGAAAGATTTTACTTCTATTATCGGTAGGGTTCCCCACCCATTATTCACAGGGCTGCCAGTAGAAAAGTGATGATGATTGCTCATGTCTAAGTGGAGGTTACAAAACTGTAGCCTGAACTTTCTTGTTGTAAAACGATAAAGTTCAATATTTTTAGTATTAAATGATCTTTTTCACCATCTTAGGTACCGAATCAGAGGAATAAAGAACATCATTTTCTACGAGCTGCCGTATTACGCTCATTTCTACCCAGAGATTGTGAACTACATGGACACAAGTTTTGGAAACAAAGAAATTAGTGCATCAAATTGTACTGTACTTTATTCCAAGTTTGATATGCATAAACTGAGTGCAGTTGTTGGAACACCAAGAAGCCAGCAAATGAATGCTTCTGAACAAACAGTTCACATGTTTGTGACTGGAGAATGACTTTCAAAAATGAGAATTAATTGTAAAAGAATTGGCTGGACAGTTGAACAAGAAGGTAATCTAAAGTTAATATCCTTTTTGATGAATTATTTGTAAGGACATCAGGGTATATTACAGTCTGTTAATCAGAGATATTTTTTATTTATTTATTTGAAAAATTCATGTATTTATTTTTGTAAATTATTATATTGAATGTCGTGCAATAAAGTCATTGCAATGGTTCATTCCCTCAATATCAAGGAGCTCAGTGTGTTTAGTAAGAGCCAGCTAGTCTTCTTGTTTGTCAGGAACGATGGTATCACAGCCTATGTTTTGTGACATTAGGTAAGGCTGAGACAAGGCCACATCTGAAACCACTACCATAGGATCCAGTGGAAGCAATTTACTGTCCTTGAATATTTGGATTCTGAGTAAATAATGGCAGTGTTCTGTATTGTTCTAAAAGCTCACTAGAGAAATAAAAAAACGTCAGCTTGAGGTTCAAAGTAATGGTACCAGACTACCAGTACCACCAATAAACCATTAAAAGATTACCATTTTTCTTTGTATTTGTTTTGATAAAATTCAAGCTCTCTCTTCTGTTTCTCCATGTTTGTATCAACACCTGGTATTTTCTCCAACAATTCACGACATGATTGTATCTTCTCATGGAAGACAGCTACCTGTTCGTTTAGAGATACATTAGAGTCTTAGATAATTATACCCCCGTCTTCCATATTATAACGAAGATTTTATAGTAAGCAGATAATCCAGTGTACTCAGAGCTAAAGATACCTTTCTTGTGACTTCATTAGAATCGTTTGTTTTTTCTATCGACTTAAGAATATCGTAAACTGCGGGTAACAGGCTAAACTCTTTGGGTAAATCAATATTTTGTTGTTCCGAGGCGGCCATCATGAATCGTATATCAACTCCCCCCCCCGGGACTGTGCAAAGTTGAACAGTTTTGTTGGTAACTGGAGATATTGGAGTTTTGAATTATTTCTTTGTCTCGTTGAAGATTTCATAATGGGTTCAGTGAAGCTGGGAAATCCTATTAACACAAATAAATGGTTGGAGGAAAATAAACCATCATTTGTGCCTCCTGTTTGCAACAAACTCATGTAAGATTGATACAGTTGATTACTGTACAGTTGATTAAAATTCCTAGGATTCCCAAATATTTACATAACATACGGTGCATCACATGTTTGAAAATTTATATTGCGTTTAGATTGCATTTTGTTTTAGAGGTGTCAATGTAACTGTTAGCTCATTTTTCCATATATACAATCTTGCAAGTCTCAATTATTCATTTAATTTAATTAGTAACAATTAATGTTTCTAATTAAAGATGTGGGTGGTGCATGGGTCTAAACTCTGGGTTGCACAAGGGTATATAGGTCATTTCTGAACTCTGGGTTGCACAAGGGTGTAGGTCATTTCTAAACTCTGGATTGCACAAGGGTGTAGGTCATTTTGTGCAAGTTGTTTATCCAACACTCCCTGGCATGCAGGTATGGTAAAGGTCAGTTGAAGATAATGTACGTTGGTGGACCAAACACAAGGAGTGACTTCCATATTGAAGAAGGAGAGGAAGTATGTTCATATTTGTGAAGTCACACAATGTTATTTGCTCTAATCAAAATTGTATTTTATGTATAGTTTTTCTACATGGTAAAAGGTAACATGTGTCTAAAAGTTATGGAACAAGGGAAGCCGAAGGATGTAATTATTAAAGAAGGAGAGGTTAGTGACGAGTTTGTCTAAAGTTTTCACATTTTATAAGCTTAAAAGTCAACCATGACATGTTGTTTCCACAGGTGTTTCTTTTGCCTTGTCATATTCCACATAGTCCTCAACGGTTGGAAAATACTGTTGGCTTGGTAAGACAATAATGATTAACACAATGAAACATGGATAAAAGTTGGATGAATTAGCTTTCTTTGACTGGTTCATTTCTCTTCCTTCAGGTTATTGAAAGAGAACGTGAAGAAGGGGAGCAAGATTGCTTGCGGTATAAACTGATGGTATACATTAATGTCAATTTATGTACCTTGATGCATTGTTTCAGGAATTTTTGCAATTTCTTATTAGGTATTACTGTGAGGACAATAAAACCATCTTGTTCGAGAAATGGTTCCATTGTGCAGACCTTGGAAAAGACCTGGTTCCAATTGTCAAATCGTATGTAATTTACACTGCATAAACTGTAGTTAAGATAACAAAATTTAGTCTGAAATTAATGATAAGAAGTCTTCATGCAATTGTTAACATTTGTAGATTTTTCTCTTCTGAGCAGCACAAGACAGGAAAACCAATTCCAGGTAATAAAATTAAAGTACGACTGGTAACCATGTATATACAAGGTGGTCAGACCAGAGCATGACATTTTACTAACACTTCAAGAATACAAATGTTTGTTGTTTTACAGGTACTATCACAGATAACCCACCATTTAAACTTGACACCACAACGAAACTGGCTGACCCATTCTCTTTACAAAAGGTATGAAGTACAGAAGTTATGTGAATTCTCAGGATGTTGTAATTAATTCATATTTATTCATATTATGAATTCATAGTGGGTTGAAGAAAATAAAGAGGAAATAAAAGAAAAAGGTTTGAAAGTTATTTTTGAAAGTAACCAAACCAAGGTGGGTCTAAATAAGGCTTTTTACAGGTTGTTTAATGCAAAGCTAGTGAAATTCTGTATCTCATTTCAAGGTGAGAGTGCATGGACCTGGTGAATATGCTACAGATGGAGAGTCTGAAACCTGGCTTTGGCAAATTGTAAGACTTGATAAATAGCCATTCATATTGCCATTAATCATGGTGTATTTACAAACATGCTTTACAATCAGGAAACCTGATTTTTCACATTCAATGAATTTTCTGTGTTTAGAATGGCAATACAAATTTCACCTGCAATGGTGCTGACACTACCTTTGTGGAAAGTGATGTCATTTTGATCCCTTCAGGAACCAAGTATGAACAAAATATAGAACAAACTATCGTCACTAGAGCCTAGAGGACTGTATTATTTTTTCACTCCCTGTTCTTTTTTTAGGTATTCATGTGTGATACAGCCAAATGGGTTGATGATTTCTGTAGTCATGGACCCAAAAATGAAATAAAGGTAGTTGAAGATGTCATGAAATTAATTGTATTGTGGTAACTTAAACACAGCACACCTGCAATTTAAGGTATTAGATACCTGAGAAACTTTAGCAGTGGAAAGATTGTAGACAACAAGTAAAACTTTATATCAATAAATATTAAAATATTTTGCAATAAACTGTTAAGTAACTACCAATACATAGGTTCTGTATACCATAAAGTACGTTCCTACATGGTAAGCCATCAAAAATAAATATATTTTTTTTATATTAACATTACATAAACCTCTCTAAAATAAATAGATATTCCAACTGTATAAAACTTTAACAACTCAATAACTCTTCATCTTCTGGTATTGCAAAAGCAGAACACGTTTAATAAATATGGTTTCCAACACGATAACGCCGATGTACCATAGAGGAGCATAGTCGAGGGTGATCAGCCCCATGAGGTGATAAGTTGTATAGTCGTGATAATCCCATGGACAAGCAGAAAACTGCCGTAAAAGGTATCCTGTTGAAAACTCCCATAGGTAGGTCCACGATAGATAAACCAGGCCTCGAATAGCTAGAGGAAGCTTCGTCTTTAGCGAGAGAAACATCTTCTCAATAGCAAAAATTGATATGGCGTAGATGGGAAAGGACCACAGCGAAGTACAGCCATGCAAAGTCCAGCCGAAATTGTATTTGCTATCCAAAAGATACCAAAGACCTGTGAACATCACTTCAGTGGAAAATCCTAGCATACCGTAGAAAAATAAGCGCGAAGAGACAGGAATACCAGTAGCGTCCCCCATCTTTGTTTGAAATTTCTTGTACTGTAAACAAATGTACCGTGCCAATTCAAGGTCTCACGCCGTCAATTTGTATATATCAACGGGTTTCATACCAGTCAAGGTAAATGCAAGAAGAACATTTGTATTTGTTTAAGAAATTTGCATTCTGCATGTAAAATAAAAATGGCCCATTCATTGATTTCATTCTCGTAATAATTATAGTATGTTTATTTTATGGTATATGAAGTATACATGATCCGGATGACCGAAAGTGACGGGGGCGCAGAAGAATACAGGGGGGAGCGTTTTAAAAAACAAAAGTAAATCTCAGACATACAATTTAAAAATTGTAGAATTTATTTTTTATCAATATTTATATTTGTATTTTTTAAATGCTAATGAATTAGGTCGACATTAATAGATTTTAGACAAAATGTCGCAGGCATACGGGCAGCTTATTGCATTTGACGAGCGTGAATTCCAACGATTACCAGCTAAAAAGAAACCAGTCTTCGTGTATGGGTGGTTAAAAAACTTTCAGGACAGTTTTATAGGTGTTGTAAAGAAGGTATGTTTGATTATGATTCTTAAATTCTTATTCCTTCACTAATTATATTCAGTGTCCGTTATCAATGTTTATTGGTAGTCATTGTTGATTACATAGTGATTACATTAATTGTTACATTCCTGACACTATACTCAATGGTATAGTCATTACTACTTTCAATAATGGAAGCCAACACAGCCCAATATCTAGCCAGGATCATACAAGCCTGCATTTCCTTATTTTTAGGCTGATCTCAAAGCAAGCCAGAAAGACTTAGTCAGTGGATTGACCAAGCATTTGTATGGTGATTGTGGTCCACCAACACGACAGTTGCTTGGACAATGTTTTGCACAGCTTTACCTCAGTGGTGATCAGTTTAGTGCATTTGATACAGTCAATACCTGTTCTGATATTATCAAGGGAAAAGATGATGTTAACCTGTCTGTGAAATTGTGAGTGGACTAATTTAAGACTACCATCATTTATCACAATAACAATCACCCAGTGCAACCACCATTAATCATATATATTCTTTCAACCAAAGGGCAGCCATGGCTACTGTTGGAACAATCTTTGAAAAACTAGGAAGAATGGTATGATTCTTGACTTTTTCTAGATATGATTTTGAAATACCAAGTGCATAATTTTTTGCTTGCAATGATAAAATATTATCTGAATATCTTTTCTAATTCTGCTTCATAAGGTTGGTGGCTCAGCTCCAGAGACATTGCAGATACTTATAAAGGCAATGAAAAATTCTGAGGTAAATTACCAAGCAACCATTTGTTAATACCATTTCTGTATTTAAACCCTTTAGTTTTCACAATAAGCTTGAAAACACTCTGCAAGACTGAACATTCCTGCATATTTTTAGTCTCAAGGACGATGTGAAATTCTTCTGTGTTGTCAAAGGATTCTCAGTGGTCTAGGTTCAGCAGCGTCATCTTGTCACAAGGATATTTTCAAGTCAATCAGAACTGCTCTAGTCGACCGCTCAATGGCAGTACGATGTGCTGCAGCTGAGGTCAGTTTTTTTCTTACTCTGCATTTCATTTCTAAAGAACTTAGATGTCCTATTCCCTCCTTCCAATTTAATTGTCCATTCCACCAACCCTCCTTCTATTTATACACCTTGTGAAAGATTTCATACATGTTTGATTTCAGTGCACCAAAGAGTTAATAAAACATGCAAGCTTCACATATACCACTGAACTGGAAACCCTGTTCTCTGTCTGCCTGAAGTCTCTGGAAGGTTCTAATTATGATGTCAGAGTATGTGTCTCCAGTCTCCTTGGCAAGCTCATGGCCGCCACTCAACGTCCTCCAGATGGTTCAACCCCCCCTGCGAACAGCAAAGCGAAGAAGATTAGCATGGATGAGATGTTTGACTTGATGTCTTCTGGATTCTTACGAGGAGGGATTGGTTTCAGCGGTGAACTGTTGAAGACAGGAATGCCTCAAGAGGTCCGGGTTGGAGTTACTCAGGTAAAGAATACTGATCTCAGAACAAGAACTGAATAGCTTGCATGCTGTCTTGATAATGTGAAATCCAGCTCCATGCATCTATTTGTCTCCTGTGAAAAGAAATTTCTGAGTTATATTGAAACTTGGGTTTTCTTAGGGTTATGTTGTTCTTTTCAACGAGATGGGTGGAACTTGGGTGGAGAAGAACGTGGGCTACATCCTCGGGCAAGTCCTTGACCTGTTGTCAAACTCAAAAGCAACTCAAAGCCATGTTGATGCGGTGTACTCCAGGAAGTGCGTGTCGTTCATCTTACGGTCAATGTTAGGACGGTTACTCGGTGAAAAAGCCCAAGTTATTGCAGGAAAAGAGTTGTGTAAACTTGTCTCAAAACAAATGACAAAGGTTTGACTAACTGTATTGATATATACTTCGTAGATAGCCCTCTCTTAACTACACAAATAATAATGCGAACTACAGAAATTACGTCTCTATCAGTCCTAAAAATTTTGTTCCCCTTGATGTGGAGACTGCGAGCCTAGAGATGTTCCTCATTTTTGGAAGAGTGGAACAGCGTAATATATTTTTTGCAGGTGAAACAAATGGTGCAGACCCGTGAATCATCAACGACGGAGATCAATGAATCAGTGTTAGGAACACAGCACACGATCATCTGTGCTTTGCAAGAACTGGCTTGTCTCGTTCAAGATCTCGCTACAGCTGCTGGATCGTTGGTCAACGAAAAAACCATCGAGGTCGTCCTTTCTGTGCAGGTTCATTCTGCTCCAGCTGTTCGTTTGAGTGCAGCGTGGTCTCTGCGAACCATTTGTGTTGCAATCCCATCACATCTTTCACCGATGATTGACCGATGTCTAGCCGAGCTTGAGACGTCGTCGGCTCTCGAGACGGTGTCGGGATTCGCATACACACTTTGTGCGTTGATCGGTGGGGTGAGAATGTGTCCGCTTGGTATACCACACAAGAAAGGCAAGGTATGAGTTCTGCACTGTGATGGTATTCCATCTGGTTGTTGTGAGACGTAGGAGGAATCTGCAGGTCTGTGGAGAGGGCTGGGGGCAACTCGCATCCTGAACATATTGATGTGTTTTTCAGTTGGTATTTAGCGTGGCAGAGGATATGTTGAAACGAACAACGGAGGAGTCGAAGTGGGCGATGGTGCGAGCGAAATGCGGTTGGATGATTATGGGAGCCTTGATGACTTTGGGTAAGATTTTTTATCCACAAAATTCGAGTCAAGCGTTGATTTCAGGGCGCAATGGCGAATACATTTGCCTTTCATCATCGCATCTTCTGGTTTCGATTTTCCTAAGGCATTTCTATAAAAATATCAGCTTCAATTCAACGACTATTAATTGTAAATATCGCTAAGAAAGTTCACCCTTTTTCAGATTAAATATTCTTTGGTTTCAGGCCCTTCGACCGTGCGTCATTTCCTTCCGAAGATGCTTGGTCTGTGGGCGAGTGCGTTCCCGCCAACTCCAGATGAAGCTGAGTCAGAGAAAAGCAAAGGAGATCCATATACGTGGCAAGTCACACTGGAGTGTAGATCTGGCGCCCTGGCAGGTATAGAATTCGGGTGATACTGGAGTATTTCAGGCACAAGCTGTGAATATGAATCTACAATTGATTGTTGTATCTTTTCTTTTTTCAGCACTGTCGAGTTTTATAAAACATTGTCCTGCTTTACTTTCTGATGACATCATTCGTCGTGTGATGATTCCTCTTGAGTCATGTGTTGCCATGACAGCTCAGTAAGTATTCTTAATGTCGGTGCCGAATCAGAATAGCAAATGATCGATTGTTTCATTTCATTTAATGAATTATCTTTGAATTAGTTTACCAGCCATCATCAGAGCGCATGGAAATCATCTCAAAGTCAGCGCTGCTATGATCAGACTGAGACTGTATGAGGCGTTCAAACTTTTACCACCCAAGTCATATGAAGGTACGCTACCTTAATAGTAAATTTGTCCGGTACTCTCATTCCTTGCTCTATCCCGTCCTATCCCACCTGTCTTGCTTTGGCCTGTCCCTCTCTATCCCATCATATCCCAGTCTTCTCCCTCCTATCCCATTCTTCTCTGTTCTGACCGTTCCAACGAAATCATCTCAAGCCGTCCAAACGTTAATATTTGTAGGTCTTTACAACGCCATCATCCGGGAACTTGTCTCTGAATTCACTCTGACGTCGAACCAATCAATGACGACAACGTCACTGCTGCGAACAATGTGTCACAAGGATGACAGTATATTGCTGGGGACATGGTTACAAGAAACAGACCATAAATCAGTGGAGGATCAAGTAAGTGCAAATACTAAGCAGGAATTGTTACCGAAGAATCAAGCGTTTATTTTCTCTTGTCACTGTTTATTTTTTAGCTTCAGCCAAACAGTGCGTCTGGATCAGGGGCACTGGAGCATGATTACTCATGTTTGTTTGCATATAATGAGAAGGTAATCAAAGTCGACAATCTTGCAAAATATTTCTTGTACATGGTGTGGAACACAACGTAGAATGTAGCGTGATAAATGTTTATAGTTCATCTCTGTGGCCTTACCCCTCTGGGTGTGTCATCTCCAATATCTGTCTAGTTGCGATACCGTGTGTATAATTCCGAACGGGAACTTTCAGTCTGAATGTGTCAGACAAAGATTAGGACCATTTGACGATTTCTCAATCTGCGTTTTTCTACCATAACTGTGAGGCTAGTTTGACGGTGAGTTTTATTTTGTGATGTGTTTCACTTCGTAATACATCAACAAGATTCATTTCTTCAGTGTTTAGAGCCTCCTGGCCCTCTTCCCCTTGGCGTGGCCGTCATCGATGCATCAATCAAATTATTTGGTCAAGTCTTTCCACATATCGCCCAGAAACATCGCAACCAACTGCTCAGTCATTTTGCCACCTGTATTAAGAATGCTAAAGCTGGCAAAGCTCAGGCTATTACGATGAATATTTTTACAGCATTTCTGAGTGCACTGAGGGTAAGACAATCGTAAGTTTGCAAGTATGTAATAATCGGTTTAATAACATGTGAACTAGTCGGTTTAGTGAACACCTCACTACAGTTCTCTTCAAACGTTTACTATCTGCCCAGTGAGGTACACAAGTGTGCTTTTCGTTGTAGTCAATGGGAGAAGCAAAGTCGGCTTTTGGTGACAGAGATGTGCGGTCTACTGCTGATAATCTTGTTATGGTAAGTTCTACATTGCTCACAACACATCACATGTTAAACACGCGTTCATCACATGTTCATGACATGTTCAATGATCGCCGAGGCCCACCTACCTTATAAATTCTTCTTTCAGAGTGCCTTGAATAACTCGGATCCGATTTTGAGATGCGCGGCAGCCGAGGCCTTGGGACGAATGGCGCAGGTCGTGGATGAGCCGGCGTACGTGGCACAGATCGCCCAAAGTATTTTCGCCAAGATTCAGGGATCCCGCGATGCTGTATCTCGTACAGGTCACTCTATCGCGTTGGGATGTCTTCATCGTTATGTCGGTGGAATGGGTGCAGGTCAACACACACAGACTAGTGTTAGTATCTTGCTAGCCTTGGCTCAGGATATGTCTTCTTCCATTGTTCAGGTATTGCTCTGAAAATCACGATTTCTAAAGCCTTTGTTCGAGGTACAAACTAGTGGGATTTCGGCTGCTGTGTAGAATGAGAATTCTTCTACAATCTTAGTGGGAAAAAAGCTCAGCTTCGAACAAACAGTTCGAACAAAAGCTTATCTGGTGATGTTTCCTAGTTTAACACAGGAATCCATATTTTGTTCTGAGGTTTGGGCTCTGCATGCCTTGGCATTGATAGCAGACTGCGGTGGACCAATGTTCAGAAGTTACGTTGAACCAACGTTGGAGCAAGTTCTCTCCCTGCTGTTGTCAGTCTCGCCTTCGAACACGGAGATTCATCAGTGTCTTGGCAAGTGTTTAGCTGCAATGATCACCAGCATCGGCCCTGAACTACAAGGTACAGTGTAGAACCATGACGAGATGCTTCCTTATAACACCCTCTTAGACTCTCATTAACCCCTTTTCACATCTATTCACCCTTACTTGCACTTCATCTGGTATTTATTGACCATCCAGATACATCAACTTCAATCAAAGATCTTCGTTCGGCATGCTTGGTCGCCGCTTCAGTCATGCAGAATCATCCTGACTCGATTGTCCAATCAGAGGCCATCTCCTGTCTTCAGCAGCTGCATATTTTCGCGCCAAGACATGTCAACCTCTCAACATTGGTTCCAAGTCTCTGCACGAACCTCTCCAGTGCTCATCTCATCCTACGTCGGGCGGCCGTCGCATGTCTTCGTCAACTGTCGCAACGTGAAGCGAAGGACGTTTGTGAGCATGCGCTGGCGTGTAAGACTGATCCTGAGCAATCCAAGTCAACGTACCTGGTAACGATTGGGAATGACGGTTTAGAAGGAGCGTTATTTGGGATGCTGGATACGGAAGTTGATCGTGGCCTGAGATCGGATATTCAAGATTGTCTCAACAGTATGCTGCAAACTTTGGCTCCAGATGACCTCACTCATTGGCTTGGCTTGTGTAGAAACGTGCTATCCGCGGCGAAGGCTGAGGACGAGAGTAAAGCTGGGAAATCTGGCGAAGACGAGGATGATGAAAGTGGAGGGATGGGTGCGTTTAATAAAGTGGAAGAGACTCATCCAACGGTCGCACCAAGATGGCCGACCCGTGTGTTTGCATCAGAAAGTGTGCAAAAGATTATGAATGTTTGTGAACAGCAGAGAGCACATTTTGATCTTGCTTTGGCGCGAGAATTAAAGAAAGACACTGGAAAAGGTATCACTTGTAGTTTAAGATTGATTTGGCTCTCGTTTTTATTCATGAAGAATCAAAGTTTGATCCCACCAAACACAACAATTCTCTTCTAAAACGTCATGTTGTAAAATCTTAGGTGATTATCTTGTGACGCATTTATCCGAGTTGGTTCGTTTAGCGTTCATCGCAGGGACAGCGACGTCTGATCAACTCAAATTAGAAGGACTGAAAAAACTCCAGGTACTAAAGTCAATATAGGTCTGTCATACATTCCTAATACCTCAGACGAATATTTCTATTTTCTAAATTTCATTGTTTTCAGGAAATTGTGAAAATGTTCTCCACAGTCCAAGATCCTGATTATGCAGGTCACGTGATTCTGGAACAATTTCAGGCGCAGGTTGGGGCCGCCCTAAGACCCGCCTTTGCCGTCGATACACCCGCAGATGTCACAGCTATGGCATGTGAGGTCTGCAGTACGTGGATTGCCAGCGGTGTTTCGTATGATCTCAATGACGTCAGACGTATACAACAGCTATTAGTGACGTCATTGTCTAAATTTGGAACGGAACAAGACTCGTCTTCTCAACTGTACAATGAAAGTGCAAACACGATGGAGAAACTCGCTGTGCTAAAAGCCTGGGCTCAGGTATACAACGTTTCGACCAATCTATCTCTAAGTTTGCCCTACCATATATAGCCTCTACCTTGACTTAACTTACCCCTCCCCCCCTGACATCACCCCAACTTACCTTCCTCTCCCCTCTACTCCCCTGACTGGTTCTTTCTTTCACCATTACACAGGTATACATCGTTGCAATGAGACAACAGAACTCACAGAAGCCCTCCTCAAAATCATCCAATGCTGAAGACGATCCAGGTGAAATACAAGAGCCACTGATCTCGTTGGTGTCCTCTCATATCCAAGATCTCAGCCATTATTGGCTGGGAGCTGTCAAAGACTATGGCTATATTTCACTGCCTGCGGAATACGCTTCTCAGCTCCCTCCAAGTGGCGGCATGTTTTATGGTCCAGAATCAATGAACGAATCGAAAGTTCATTATGAAAAAGCATGGCCTCCAATCCTTCACGCTGCTGCGCTGTGGCTCAACGCCGGGGGATTTGAAAACGCCGCAAAAGAAGCCGAGGATATATCCAAGGGTAATCTTCCTAACACGATCATAAATGTCCCTCGGACGCCGAAATCTCCAGAAGATTTGAACACTGAACGTTTCCACCTGGTTCTTGGATTGTGCGTGAAAGCATTGTGTTCAACACGTCTTACGTATTCTCCTGAAACAGTGACGTCATGTGTTAATGCGGTTAACTGCTTACTTGAAGCACCCTGGGCTCGCGAATGCATTGGTAACGACAGTGTGAGTATATTTTAAAGACTTGTAACGATCGAGCCTAGTTCTTGTTATCTTCGGACGTGTTCAGATTTATTCGTTTCTTTGGAACATGAACCTTACTGATAAGTTGCCTCGTGTTTTCAGATGTTATCTGTCGAACTTCTCAACGTTCTTCACCGGCTGTTGTTGACGCGAGACTCTCTCGCAAATCACGTGGTGATAATGAGCACTGTCTCGCGTGTCGTTCACGGTACTCGCGACGTCCTCGCACGAAAAAGAACGGAGGGCGGTAGTGCAGACCTGGGAGAGAATGAGATAGAGCCGGGCAAATCTGTCGTGTTTGGTGCCATGGAAACGTGCATGTGTTTGCTCTCTCGGTACTTCCCGTCGATTCTCGCTGAGTCGGAAAAGCCAAGTCCTAGACTATCTGTGCACTGTAAAGGTATGCCTCTACCCACATCCCTAATTGTACAACCCATATCCATTATGGTATCGCCAGATCCAATCCTAACCTACCTTTCTATGTTTAGGATCTTCAAATGAGTTCAGTCAAATTCTCTCAAATACCGTCTTGATATTATCCATGGTCCCAGATCTCTGCACTTTACCAGCTATCTGTAATATTCTACCAATCATATTGCGTCTGATCACGTGTGTGTTTGACGAAGCCGCGGCGTGCGAGGTACCGCTGCTCGAAACCAGCAACCAGAACGTGGACGCACCTAAAATGCCCGACGTAGTTTCATCAACGCTCAAGGCGCTAAAGGAACTCGTGGGTTCACAACGTTTGGCGCAAAGTGAATATTCAAAAGATTTTATCAGATATTTTCAAAGGTAGGTTCAGTATATGATTGTCTCTCGCTCAGTGAGTTTCTTTCTGTAGGTGTTATCCAACCTTGGTATGGATTCCAACCTGCAACAAACCTAAGTTACCATCTTGCAACCGAACTGCAACATACTTGAAACAACAGCCTATGTGTTGTAATATTTTTGTAGTTGTTTACTGACGATGATAACGCAAGCAAAAGAGCAGAAGCCTTCACGCAGAATGGATGAACGTAGCGTCATGGCTTCGATACTATTGTTCGTCATCGCTGCCCCTCCTGAAGCGACGGCTGTTGCGAGCTTACACGAGGATTGTGTGAATATCTTTATACGTTGTTTGAATTCGACAAATGCTGATGTAAGTCTCTGAACACTTCATGATCTTGAGGCAAACAACTGTGAATATATATCGTGTTTACTGTTTCATTCCAGGTGCAGGTAAAAGCAATCGAGACGTGTTTCACGATGTTTAGTTCAGCCGACTTGAGTCGTGTTGTGGGTTATATTCACTCAGTTGGTCCGCATATTGTTGCCGTTGTTCAACAAGCTGCTAAAACTCCGCCTTCATCAGAGGGAAAGTTGATTGCTGTTCAAAAAGCCATTGATACCATCGAATTGCTTGTTGGACTTGCAGAAGAAGATAGACGTAAGTAAACACAATTATCTAGACAATAACCCGACCTTGGAAAAAATGTTTTATGCATGCCCCGAATTGCTTAAATATAGGCGTTGACTTTGCGTTTAATAGTAAATGCAACTAATATAAATCTTCAAAGTTTTTATTTTCTTTCGTACAATGTTCTATCAAAACTGTTCAAATATATTCCACCGTAGGCACTGAGCTGTTATCTATATATCTACCGCTTCTTGTTGACCTTCTATTGGATTCTTCGGTGCTGCCCGGCGCCACGAAAATATCCCGAAGACAACACGAGCATGCGTTTCAAAAACTGCTCAGTATTGGTCCTAAATATCCTGTTCCGTTTAAAACGATAATGTCCGGGTCGCCGGATATGAGAAGGCGCTTGGAAAATGCGGTGAGATCAAATCAAGCTAAAACAACAGCAAAAACAACCATTCAGCCTAAACAATCCAGTAGTCAGCCTAAAATTAAGTTAAAAATGGACTTTAGTAATTTCAAATAAGTTACCGTCGATGAGAGATAGAGAGAGAGAAAGAGAGGTATGGACGTTCGTAAAATATACTAGAATATATATTAAATTTTAACTAAGAAAGTAAAATATTAGTTTAGCCGGTTGCAAGAATGCAACTAGAAATAATTGAGAATTAGGATTCAAATATGTTATCACTGGTAGGACAAATTTGAACAAGACATGCTAGAACTCTTAGTAATGATTATGTTGTTATGATTAAACCAGTGCCGGAATACTTTCGACTGGGAAAATGGGAAGGTTTTCCCCAAGATATTTCAAATAGTTAGAATTGTGTTTAATGAAATTTTATTGATTAGCTTTTTTTTATTTAATCTTTTAACGATAATGATGAGCCGATCGATGCTGAGAAAACTGACGGAATTCACAAGTGATCAAATGGTTCATTTTCATGACCTAAAAAGGCCAAATTTTTGAGCTGTTTTGTTTAATACCATTTCAAATCTAAAAAGTGTAAGTTACCCTTCTAAGAATAAGGTTGTATAATCGTATTTATGGTCACGCTTTCTACAAGCATTGACATAACATCCCGAACAAAATCAACGCATTTGGTTGCCTGACTATTTTTCTGGGTCTGAAATATCCCTGAAATATACATGCATGCATGTATATTCATGTTGAATGATAACCCGCTGTCTTTCCACATTAATTAAAGCAGACATGTTCATAGGATCCCACGTGATATTAGGTCACCTTCATATTCACACCTTGTCATCTTGTCGCAGTTGGTTCTCTAATCAGCGTTAATCGCGACATCAATTATCAGCGAATCGCGCCTATTGGTGGAATGCCTCGTACAGAATACCAACTGTGTGACGACATTGCATCTTAGCCAATCATCGTCGAGATCGTCGCCGGCTTTGCTTGTTCAAACAAGAGGTCTATTGTACTAAACGCGCGGGTTTTATCAGCACACACGCATTTCATTTGTTTGGCTTTGCGTATGTTGTGAAACCTATCCTGTCGACGGCTCTTGTTCTGGTCAATCCACAAATCATCTGCGTCTCAGACAAGATATGGCGACTTGTCAGTTTCTTGTTTTGGTCATTTTCTGCGTCCTGTATCTCACTTGCAGCATTTGTGGTTTGGATTTGAGTAAATTCTATCCCTATGGCAGGAAACATAAAGACGCTCAGCTACATCTTGGATATCATAAGCTGGTTAAACTGTCAACTCCACTCACGTTCAACGGAGAAGTTCATAATAGTTTATATGTAAGTCACATTTAATGGATATTTTTTCGTATAATTGCGCATGCCCTTAACATGATGCGATTAGAACCTCGGTACAAAATGTGCGTGTTTAGTAAAGATTTATGAGCCTATACACCATACATTTATTGAACTGACAGCTCTGGCTTGTAACATGTGTTTAAAGTCTATAACCTCTCACCTTTTCACGCGCAGGGGCTCTTTAAGCTGGTTTTCAACTAAATTAAGCTGCATCTTTAGTCATGACCATAAAAATATGCTGTGCTCAATATGTGTCCTGTCGCAGATGCACGCCGGCTATTTTGTTTCTCTCATTATTACATCTTGTCTGTCGATCATTGGGTCTACCACCAATCTACCATCATCTATAAACCAATAAATAACATTACTGATAACGTTCATCGTCGTTATATGAGCTCCTTCAGATGCCAGCATTCCTAAGAAAACATTTATAGACAGTTCCGAAGCATGGATATATCAAAAATTGGAAGCGATACTGTTTACGTTGGTAGAAATACTAAAATTGATATCTCTTTATAAGTAGATGATACGTTATTGTAACTTAATCAACAGCACGGATGTGTGAAAATTGATAGACCTCACTTCCCCTTGTCACAAGTAACCATTCAAAATGTGGCAAACGAAAAGTACTCGAGGTCTGGTTCTCTTCTGAAGATTTCATTCCATTATTTAATGGCTTTGGTTTAGACAGTTCTGTGTGGCCAAGTCAATAATGATACTCAATAGATTAGATCAAATTAATCCCAATCGTGAATTGATAATCTTAAACTGTTATCAAGAGTGGAATTTTCAGCATTTGGACAGTTTGTTATTTTAAGATCACCTTTGGATAGTTATAGGCGACAATGTGCGCTTAAATAAATATGCATACATGAACTCCGATGAGAAATTGTAATCAAATTGTCTCAACCATCGTTTACTGTCGTACAATAGAGGTTTGAACGTTTTACTGCTCATATCTGTGTCAGTTCTAGCTTATGCTGAAGTTCAAAACATCTGTGTTTCAGAAAAAAACTTAATTCTAGTGAAAAATGAATGAGGGATATTTCGCATTCATTCATCCGTGTTTATAAGTCAAGTCTTACAGTAAACCTTGCCCTTGCCCTTGGCCAAAACTTGAGCTAATGAAAAGAAATTGAGTTAGTGATAGTTTAGTGTATGCCAATAATATTTCCTAATTTACTTTATTGGATTAACCCGTGTGTGCACCGCCAGGGTGCGGTAGAGCGCTGTTGTCATCAACAGAGGACGTGTTTACACGCAAGACACAAGAACACTGCTAACTGAAGCAATATTCATCAAGGGCACAAAACGTTAACGCAGCCATCTTGAATACTGCGCTGAGGTTCCTTTTACTTTACCCACTCCTGCGAACAGGTAGTAAAACTTACATCTTAAAATAAATACGTATGCCCTGTAAAAATTGATAACCTTTAAGAGTGAATCGGTACAATATATCAATCAGCATTGAAAATTATAAATCTCGGATTAATAAACGCCAAATGGCTGCCTTGTATGACACATTCTTTGATTCTAGAAACGTATCTTAATACGTCTTATCTCTCAGAGTGATCATATGATGACCTAGTTTATTATTTTTTTACTATTGGGTCAAGTGGACTGTTGATTTCTACTTTTCAATAGAGTGCTAAAGCAAAACATACGACTGTCTCAAATGTTTTCAAAAGAATATTGCCTGTTTTTTAACGTGAGCGTACCTAAAACAAACATTTAGTATTGACTATTGCGCGATTAATGAACGTGGCACATCATACATCTTAACGATGTTTTTTCGGTATTTAAAAAGTGATAATTGTGTTTCCATATTAGGACTTTAATGCTAACGCATGTTTCTTTCATTAAAAAGGGTTCCTTAAAAGAAATATCGTTCTTCACAATCAACAGGTTCTCCTTATTCACCCTTTTTCACCCTTTATGTAAGCCAAACATTCCACTCGGAACTTTCAAATCTGTTTAGACTTGGATGTGATTTCACCCTATGTTACTTTATCAGAGCAAAATCTACGTCAACAGTTTATATAAAAACTACCTGCTGTAAGCCGTGGCGATAAAATGATAGCATCACTCGTGGTCTCGTACGAGGTGGTCCTGCGTGTCCCGCTGTTGAAAGACATTTTGCGCAAAGTCTTTGTTCAACGGAAAACGCACCCAGATGGAAAACTGGGCGATATTTCGATAAGAAAGTGTTTTGTGAGAATCAGGAAGAAACCCTGACGAGACTAACCTGAACTATAACATTCTTTAGCCGTAGTTTTCTAGTTTTTAAGTCCAACTAAACGTCGGCTGGTTTTCCGAATTATGTTCCCTCTTATGACGAGTGTAACCACAGAATGAATTTGGCTAAATTATGCGGTGTTTTTTATAGGAAAAATGTCTTCTCGAGATTTACCTTTGAAGTCAATTATGTGACGATGAACCGTCTAAATAAGGCAATGAGGAGCATGCCGGGAGTGTTAAATATAGATCTAACGTGTGGTTAGTTCACGCGAGACATTTTGCGCATTTTTCTCCCGTTCAATATTCGTGTCATCGGATGCTTGACCTTTCACCTGTATCGTGGGTTAATGTCCAAATTGTTACCATATTTCCAACAATATGGGATAGTTTATAAAATAACCAAGTTCACATTAATTCAACACCTATGCTACCAGTTTGCGATTAGTGCATAATTATAGTCTTAAAGTATTTGATATTAGTCACAAGGAAAGGCAGTCTATCGGATACCGTGATATTTTTATATGAAGTCATGTTTACATCACAAATTATAGGCCTGTGTTCCCGGCATGCGTGGTGGTATATGACACAGTGTGTGAACGGCTTTCTCATTAGCGACTCTTTATGATATTGTGTGATACCATATCTCAAGATTACTAAACCTTTCCTCTGTAATATAAATAGTTGAATTGATCTCCGTCTGGGAATGTCTGCTGCCTTAAGGGGACAGATGCCACCCTGATTGTTTTGTTTTGGCTCCAGTTAATATCTTTACCATTGGGAAAAAGGTTTTTGAAGTTGAATATGAAAGTCTTCAGATTCTTTGCCCGTTTTTTCATGCGAAGCCACGATGCTAACCAGTGTTGAACATTTCTTTGTAGGTGAATTCTAATGGAGCTATCTCTTTTGTATCACCATTGCCTGTTGTCTTCCAAAACCTCTCCAACGGGCATAGCTTTTTAGCGCCGTTCTACACAGACCAACAGACCAGAAAAGCTGGAAAGATATTTTATCGCGAGACTCGAGAAGTTCTATTGCTGTTCATCGCTAGTGCGGAGGTGCATGCTGCTTTTCCTGAAGAAGAAAACTTTGAAGCTACCAGTTTATTTATTGCAACGTGGTTGGATGTCGAACATGATTCGACGAGAAAGGTAAGAGCAAAACGCTGAAGATGGAACTCGACCCTGGCAACTTTAGCCAAGCGCGTGGATCGCTGAAGAGAAGAAATGATGGTTAACTGGTGTTATTGCATTCCGCAAGAGTTTGTCTCAACTTCACCTTCATTTTGCTTAGAAAACCTCTTTCCAAGTTGTTCTAATATCAGATGGTACAAAGACATTCACTTTGTTTCATTACCACAAAGATGCTGATGACAAGATCTTAAATTCGCAACCAACATTAACAACTACTTTTCCCAAGGCAGGGTTTGGCTTGGGCTTGAGGTAAATATGATTCCTGCCTTTCCTGTCAAGTGTACGTATCCTTTAGGAACAGGACCTTTAGAAAGAACAATTAATAAATGATTGAGATAAGTAAAGTTTGGCTAAGGTTCCCTTCGGCAGTAACATTGGATCAATAAGAGGTAATCTTTACTGCATTCTTATTTGAAAAGATTTTCTTTCAGGGAATTTGGTCTCCCGAATTCTGGTACGAGTAACGTTTTCAACTTGGGACAAACTTCAAATGTTCGTATCCCTGGTAAATGGCTGTACCTGATAAGCCCGCGTGATATTATTGAACCCGGCGTCAGATTAAATGGCAAGAAATATCAAAGTGAAACCTTGAATGAACATGACATGTTGTTTGACGGGCCAGTCAGACGTAGTGTATCAGGTGAAGTGAACTACACTATTGTTGACTTCTTTTGAAAGTGTCTATAATCATCGCTGATCAGTTTGTCAATGTTCTTTATACAGAAACTTGCGGTGAAAGTAAAATTCAATGCAGTTCAAATGCTGTATGTGAGAATACGCCAGTTGAATGTTGCGTTTGTAAAAGCGGTTATTATGGAAACGGGAAAATGTGTTTGAAAAATGGTCAGTCACGTTATATACATTCTTTCAGCAATGTTATTATGAAACAAACGCTAATTTTAGGCGTTTTCAATTGTGAATCTTGCTCTTTCTTTAGGCGAGAGTACGCACTTGTTTGGCAAGTTATCTGGAAGTATTAATAACAATATCTCGTTAGATGGGATTAGTTTGACTGTTTTTGGAGATGTTTCGTCACAGACGACTTACATGGCTCTAGATCCAGTCTCTCCATCCCTTGGCGATGCCCTAGGTTTGCTCATGCCCATGGTTACCACGTTTGGCTTTCTCTTCGCTGAACCAACTGAGGAGAACGGCAATGGTTTCAGTTTTTTGGGCGATAATTTCTCACGAAGATCTCAAGTCACTTTTGAAACAGGTAGGGTTATCATTTTCTGGTAAAGGTGTGATATAGTATGAGGTTGTGGTATGGTGTGGTGTGGTGTGGTGTGGTGTGGTGTGGTGTGGTGTGGTGTGGTGTGGTGTGGTGTGGTGTGGTGTGGTGTGGTGTGGTGTGGTGTGGTGTGGTGTGGTATGTTATGGTATGGTATCGTTATTGATTATTACTGGAATTCTAGGCGAAACCGTCAATATTCGAGAGACAATGCAAGGAAAGAACCGACAAGGTTTTTATAAATTTGAGATGAAAATTAACGGCAAAATTCCGGTTTTTGACTCGATAAAATTCAACAACTACGTCCACACGTACAGATACGATAGACTGGGCGTTATGAGCGGGTATTATACCTCAATATTCAACGTCGGTGACAAAAAACATAAGATTAATGTCGTCGAAGTCTTAGCATTTGACGAAGTGCTGGGTTGTTTGGATATTGGCAGTTCGAGAATGGCCGTCAACGAACAGAGATCAGACTATTCAGAGAAAGATAAAATTCTAAACTTAGCTCTCAAAACAAAAATTCAGGAAAAAGGTGAGAAGTGAGGGTTTTGTTTTCTAGTTAAAAGAAACTTGGCTTGTGTTATTATCACCTGCTGTTAACTTTATTAGCTACATTGGAATTTTTTGTGCTTTTTCAGAACCTTGCGGCAAAGAGAATAAAAAATGTCATCGCCAAGCCAAATGTATTGTGAAAAATGGCGTTGAGTTTTGTAGTTGCAACGTTGGTTTCCAAGGAGACGGTTATTCATGTCAAGGTGCTCCAAACTTTGTTTAATTTCATTGAAGAAATTATTCCTCTGTTGATTATCTCTCATTTCTTATTTTTCTTCAACGTGCAAATATTGTTTATGTCATTTCAGATGTGGACGAATGCCTTTTGAATATTTATGAATGTTCGTCAAACGCAGACTGCATTAACAATCGCGGTTCTTATAACTGCAAATGTCGTGTTGGTTACCTTGGGGACGGTAAAGACTGTGTCATCAGAGGTGTGTATTCTCTGTCCAATGACCCGTTACGATGCAACCATATACTCTAATTTTGAGCATTGAATCTATTCCTACGGTATTTATTAATTGCATAGAGGAAGGGATTTGTGGCGAGGAAGCAAGGAAATGTCATTCTCTTGCTCAATGCATCACCAAGGACGAGACCGCACAGTGTGAATGCAATGTTGGTTACTTTGGTGATGGTGTTTTTTGCCAAGGTAAGAATAACGAATCATTGATAAAGTCTAAAGAAAGAATGGAGTTGTTTTTTTCTGGAACTGAGAGATTATCTTGCAGGGATAATGCGGTTCAATAACTCAGACCTCCCTACTTCTTTTTCTTCAGATGCAGACGAATGTAAACTTGAAATAGACGAGTGTTCAGTAAACGCTGATTGTATGAACACGGCTGGGTCGTACACATGTCGCTGTAAGGAGGGTTTTGTTGGCGATGGTAAAACATGCCAAGGAACAAGTAAGAATCTCTTTCAAAGGTTAAAATAGATTGTGTAGCGTTGAAACAAAGGACAATAGAATATTTTTTCTTCAACAGATTTTGGCTCGGGCGACGAGTGTACTGATGATGATCGCCAATGTAGGCCAACTGAAGACTGTGTTGATGGAAAATGTCAATGTCGAAATGGTTTTCTACATGATGGCTTTTCTTGCCAAGGTTGGTTGCTATCAGTTTCTTTTTGTGGTTAATTGTTCAAAAGGGGTGATATTAAGAAATATTGGCCACGTGTGTACAATATAGATAACTAATAACAAGTTGCTGCATGTGATGAATATCATCGGGTACTGGAAAATCACTTCCGGGGTTTTTTTGCCTTGTAGACGCTAATGAATGCCACCTTGGTATACATAAATGCAACAAGACCGCATCATGTTCTAACACAGTAGGCTCGTATAAATGTACTTGTAATGAAGGTTACACAGGGAACGGCTTCAATTGTGTGCTAAAAGGTTCGTATTCAGACTCCAACACACAGCCATGGCGAACTCAGTATGGCAAGAAATAAATCTTTATCTCATTCGTACTTCACAGAACAGAAGCATTTAAACCCTTGCTAAATTCATTTAGTGACCGTTGCTCCTCTAACTGGTTGTCATGGCAAAGAATGTCATGCCAATGGTTATTGTGATAGATCTGGTACTATTCCTGTATGTAGATGTGGGCAAGGCTTCAAAGGATATGGTCTGTCTTGTGAAGGTAAAGTTACTTTGAGTTTCCTTCAAAAGTAACAACAGATCGATTCAGAACTGATAATAGAGTGTGGTGTGAATCAAGCTAGTTTAGTCTTCGTCCTGTATACCGGCCATCAAATTTTACCTTTTAGACGTCGACGAATGTGAAGAAGGTACAGCAATCTGCCATAATTCTGCACTTTGCACAAATAAGATTGGCTCGTATACCTGTCAGTGCAGACCAGGTTACTTGGGAAATGGCCGTGAATGCGTTTGTAAGTAGCCGACTTTTACAAAACTGTCAACATAATAATTAACCTGATGTTGAACAAACTGGTCCCAGCAGAAACTTAAAATTATGATGTTGGATGTGACGTTAAAATTTTCTTTGTTTTGTATAATTTAGATGATAATCCGTGCAAAGGATTATCATGTAGTTTCTCGGCCAGATGTGTTGTAAGAAACGAGATACCAAGATGCCAGTGTTATCCAGGTTACTATGGTGATGGGCAAAACTGCAAAGGTATCAGTTGTAGTTATTTTCCCTTTTAAAAGTCAGTTCGTCATTTGTTTTTTTATCTTTTTACTTTTCACTTCAGATTATAACGAGTGCAAAGCAAAGCGGGATTCGTGCAGCAAGAATGCGAGATGCGTGAACACACACGGTTCTTATCGTTGTTTCTGTTCGCCTGGGTATCAAGGAGATGGCCGTAATTGTGAAAGTAAGTACAGTTGGTTAACGTGGGAATCACCTCAGTCGTGCTATCCAGCAGAGTAATCTTTACAATCTACAATCAATTCTTATCTTCTTACATTAAGGTGATGGCAGTTGTGCGGGTAGAAAATGTCATCGAAATGCTGATTGTGTTGAAACGAATGGAGTGAAACAATGTCATTGTAAAGATGGCTTTCTAGGAAGTGGTCTTGTGTGTATAGGTGTGTATCTGCGTTGGCCTCCACTCCACAGCTTCAAATCCGTCCAAATGGCTGACCATATCTTTTTATATGTTCTTTCTTTCAGACATCGACGAATGTTCAAACGCAAGTCTTGTTGAATGTCCTCCATTCTCTAGTTGTTTCAATGTTTTAGGCTCTTATGAATGTCGATGTAACCCGGGTTACAAGTGGAACGGTGTCGAGTGCAAACGTAAGTTAAGGGTGTGGATTTCATCGAGATCTGGACAATTTTTAGCAAAACATGGACAAATTGATGGAGTCATATAATTTCGTACCAATGAAGAAAAGATTTACTTGTTTTGATTCTCTTTCAGCGGCTTGTTTACGTTGTTTGAATGGAGGTCAATGTCTTGGGTCAGGTTGTCTCTGTCGAAAAGGATATTCTGGGGAAAGATGTCAGTGGGGTAAGCTCTTTCAACTCGACCGTATCTACGTCAATATCTATTTGTTGATACAAGAAAAATTGCCAGTTTTTCCTGCCATTGAAGTGACACAACATGATGTGTCATTTCCTCGTCGCTTTTGGGAAACATGCCTGGGAAGGATCTTGTTCATAAAGATTGAACGTGTTGTTGAAATGCTTCACAAATCTTAATCTTCATTTCCATGGCATTGAGACTTAGCCAGATAATTAAGGTCACATAAAAACGTCAAATCAACAATGTTTTACAAAAGTTTAAAAAGTATTTTTTTATCATCTTACAGCTGGAGATGAATTCTTGGCGTTCACTCAAGGCAGTACAATGCAACGCCTCTCCTTACCTCCCAATCAGGAAAGTATTGGCATTTTACTGCAGACGACACGTGGTCTTCTCGTGGCTTTCGATTTCGATCACATGAACAAAATGATCTACTTCACTGATGTCGCACGGAAAGCTATTTGGCGGGTTGCTTTCAACGGAACTGGGACAAAAAAGATTGTTTCTGAAGGCCTCTCGAGTCCCGAAGGTAAGTCGTTCATAGATCACATGAACATCACATGAACATCACATGAACATCACATGAACACATACATAGAACAGTACATGAGTACAAACTAATCATTTCAAATAATCAATATTTTTTTACAGGAATAGCAGTTGATTATGTCGGAGGTAATCTGTACTGGACGGACTCAATGTTTGACCGTGTTGAAGTTTCAAAACTTGATGGGAGCGACAGAAAAGTTTTATTTTCAACGAGATTGATTAATCCTAGATCTATTGTGGTACATCCAGGGAAGGGGTAGGTACAATGGGTTGTGATGACCTTCTTCCCGAATTTTCCTCCAAATCAAAAGCATCGGATGTTTCATTGTCTTTCTCCTGGATTTCTCTGTCTCTACTAATCAAAAACGACCTGACAATAATCATAACCCATGCAATCAAAAATTCATTTACTTTCCAGGACAATGTATTGGGCGGACTGGAATAGAGCAGCTCCGAAGATCGAAGTGTCCAACATGGACGGTGGAAGTCGTCGTGTTTTCATACAACAGAAGATGGGTCTACCTAATGGTCTAACTCTTGATAGAAGAAATAATGAATTATGTTGGACAGATGCGATGTATGGTTCAATATCATGCGCTAATCTTGACGATGGAATATCACACGCAGTGTATTCTGCAGCGATGTAAGTCATTCTGTAATGGACGGTTCATTTCTATATAATTTGTGCTTTAGTTGTTCTTTTGTTGTCCTTTCGTTGTCCTTTATATAGTTGTCCTTTATATAGTTGTCCTTTAGTTGTCCTTTAGTTGTCCTTTCGTTGTCCTTTAGTTGTCCTTTTAGTTGTCCTTTAGTTGTCCTTTCGTTATCCTTTATATAGTTGTCTTTTAGTTGTCCTTTAGTTGTCCTTTAGTTGTCCTTTAGTTGTCCTTTAGTTGTCCTTTCGTTGTCCTTTATATAGTTGTCCTTTCGTTGTCCTTTTTTTGTCCTTTAGTTGTCCTTTCGTTGCCCTTTACTAACATCTTTTGGCGGATGAAATATGCATATTTCATCTAAATGACTCGTTATAATCTCTCATTACAGTGGCGCTAATCAGCTCTCAAAATTTACTCTGAGCCAGCCTTTGTCTTTTTTTATTGCTCTGTCGCTTGCAATGCGTATTTATGTTACTATTGATTCTGTTAGATATCCATTTGGAATCACCACATTTGGTCAATATTTGATCTGGACAGATTGGACCGAACGCACCATCCAACAATATGAAAGACCTACATATCAACTGCAGACGGCTATCAAGAGTTTTCCAGGCAGCACAGGATCGTTTTATGAGATCAAAGCCGTTCAAAAACCTCATGATATAGGTGCGATTTTGTTGTTTTATCATATCAGAATCCTACTGGAGAGTGAACTTAGTCTGCACGCACAGTATGCTAATGAGTTAGCAAGCGACAGTGAGTGTTCACTTCACTGAATGGTAATTCAGTCCTGTCAATTAATCTGCCTTCTTCTCGGATTTAGATTCTCATCAGTGTAGCAAGAATAATGGAGGATGTTCCAACTTATGTCTGCCTAAGCCAGGTGGCCGTACGTGCGCATGTGCAAATGGTTACTATCTGGTAAGCAAGGCAGCGGCCTTGAGGTTGAAGGGAGTGGCAGGATCGGGGTCAGGATCTGGTATTGGATCAGGTGTTGGATCAGGGGTCGGATCAGGGGTTGGATCAGGTGTTGGATCTGGTACAGGATCTAATATAGGATCTAATGTGACAAGTAACAAGCTTGATGAGTCTGGGTCAGGTGAAGTAACTCAATCTGGACCCACCTCTAATACCACTTTGACGAGTTCATCAAAGACAGTTTGCGTTGACGAAGAAGATTATAAAATAATAAATAATATTCCATAACATGCAGATAGGCTTTATGCAATGACTAGGATTATAACATACCAACATATCTCGTATATATTACCAGCTTGTGATAAGTCGCCTTCATGCTGGAACAATGACGACCACTGTTATTATTTAATTATTAAAACGCGACGTAGGGAATGATCATATTGCCTGGTTAGACAACTGTGGTTGTGCAGATTTTAAGAATACGGGTTTCATTGAACTGAATCAACCGGGCAAACTTTTTCGCTTCTTACTAACTTCTCATGTCTCCTGAAGAACGCTATTCTTAGATAAACCGTATTGTTAATGTTTCTGAACCATGTTTTTATTAGTTCCACAACTGTGGTTGCACAGAATTGTATGCAGGCCGGAGACATTTTTTTCCATCCCAGGTTGAAAAAAAAAATAAAGTACAAATTCCAATATGTTTTCAATGACCGCGTCTTTTATTTCTCATATTAACTCCAGTTAAATTACAAAGAATCATTAATCCGAAACCCCCATGTAAACTTATATAGCAGAGTCTGCATGTAAATTGTAGTACGTGTTTTAGTAATTTCAATCTGTTTGTCTGAAAAGACGGAACTTTGCTTCGCGAGAGAATTTGAAATCATTCATTTGTGTTAACCACGATCAGTTTGTAGACGGTAGTGTTTTTGTATGTCTCCCCAGGTCGAAGTATGGACTTTGGAAAGTTCTCCTAAAAAGGATATAAAATTCAACAAGAATTCTGATTGCATTTCTTTCCAAATAACCTATTTCACTTACATGGTTTATTGCATCTGGCCAGTTCTGTGTCTCTAGGCAAAAGGCACCATATTTTGGATAAGCAATGCCATGTTTTCCAACCAAGCCACCATCTAAACCATTTGCAGTATACAGCTGAACTCCTGGTTGAGTTGTGTAGATTTCAATACCACGTCCAGAATTTGGCTCAGTTACCCTGTGCAAAGAAAGACATTATGTTTTACAGAAACCTCTATGAAACTTGCTGAGGTTAGTATGTATATACCTAGCCTGTAGTTTTGTTATATCACCAGGACTTGTAATGCAATAATTATTATCATAGCCATCATTTGGAGTGTCTCTGATATCTTTACCAAATGCTTTTGCAGTGGTGAAGTCAAATGCAGGGGCATCTTTCACTGGAACTATCTGACCTATGATACAAAAAGAACTCTACATCAATTTCAGCAGACAGTCACAGGGATTATGATTATAAACTACCTGTAGGTATGTTGTATTCATTTGTTGGCAAGTAGCTTTCAGCAGTAATCTGTGCAACATGATTTAGTACATTTGCATCAGTCTGGAAAAGGAAATTGATGGTTGAAAAATTCTCAAGGTCACTCACTATAATTTGTACTTGAGGGGAAGTTTTTACACCTCTTATAGACTTCTTATAATGATAGAGACTTACTTGTCCAGCTAAGTTGAAATAGGAGTGATTTGTGATGTTAATAACCGTTGCCTTGTCTGTCGTAGCTGTGACATTAAAATGAATTTCATTGTCATCATTCAAGCCATAGGTAACCTGAATATTCAGGTTGCCAGGGAAACCTTCTTCACCATCAACACTGGTACGACTGAAGGTTATCGAGTCATCATTGGTCTGATAACTCCAAACATGCTGATAAAATTGAAATATATTTTAATATTTGTGCAAGAAAAATAAATAATAAAATTTCTTTCAAGGTATCACTGAAATTCTGTTTCACCTTGTCAAATCCAAGCCAACCACCATGTAATGAATTTGGTGGATCATTTATAGGAACATGGTAAGTGACACCATCAATTTCAAATGTTCCATTTGCAATTCTGTTGCAAACTCTGCCAATAGTTGCACCAAAGTATGGAACATTAAGACGATAGTACCCTAAAAATTTTAACCAATGGTAATTACCATTATGGCTTGAAGGATCTTCATACAAGGCCTAGTACTTTCAAGTTGGGTGCGGTTCCCTACCAAATATTCTATAAAGTCAATAAAAGTGATGTACCTTCAAAATCATCAAAACCAAGAGTTATGTCATCCAACTTCCCATTTCTAAACAATAATAGTTCATTAGTTTTCTAAACATATATTCGTTTGAAATATTCCCGACTCAATTGAGTGGTACAAAGGTTCATCAGACATACTTATCCGGACACTTGATACCAACAATTATTGCTCCATAACTCACAACCTCAAGAACTAAACCATTTTTATTTTCAATCGCAAATTTGTACACTTCTTTTCCGTCGTCGGTCGTGCCAAATAAAGTTTTAGTAATTTTCATGATTTTTAATAAGCCACAAAAGACCTGCGATTGATATTGCGCAAAAAAATTAAATAAAATAACTAAAAGCGGCAGGTCAGGTGTTGGCAATTCCGGTCACGCTTCCTGGGAATTTGGGTCCCAGATTCTTCGGCGAACTATGTTGGATTTGGTAAAATTTCTGAAAAAAAAATTTGGGTACCAAAATATTTCCTTCGCGATGAAAAATGTTTCAATTAGTTGGTAATTTCGCGCTTAGAAAAGAGCTACATTACAATAATTATTTTAATTTGCCATTTGGTGTGATCCTACGCAAGTAAACACACGTCACTGGCGCTCAACCTCAGACACTGGACACGGGACCACAGCGCAACAGGGACGGGCAGCGCCATTTGCTTTCGCCGGCAGGAGGAGATGGGAGCCGGGACTACCCAAACAATTTAAAGGATTGAGTGTAATTCTTCAATAAATATCTGCTTTGGACAATGCTGGAGCCTGGAAGTGTTCAACGGTTGCCAATCTGCATTAAGCGCATGCTGTAATTGCAGTCGGCATAGTGAATCCAAACTATCAAATTACTCCACTGAACAAAAAAGAGAGAAAAGACGTGGTAGCTGAAACTCCTTCTGGTGCTAGACGTTCCTATATTCTTCTCTGGTTACTGCACTTAACTAAATAGCCAGGTCAGTCAAAACACGTCTGAAAGTAGGTCATAATCAGCTCGTCTTACGACTCCAGTTTGACTATTTCTGACTGGACTGAAGAATTGCGGTCTAACATGGTTAATTACCATCACTTACCATGAACGAAGAGCTGACATTCAGTTAAACGTGGCATGTCATTGAAGAATATCAATTATTTTTATATGCAAATAACCAAAATATTGAATGCTTCTTCCTGCAGTGTTACCAACGCAACATCGAAATCCAAGTAAATAATTGACTTTGCTATTAAATCGTTTATAAAAAGGGTTGTCAAATTACGTTCCTGTTATTGGTCAAGACATTTTATACAACGAACCTTTCCATATAATATATGAATATGAAATTTTGCTCTTGTTTTCTTTCGTGCAGACGTACTTGATGCAAAGCGATATAGCACGAATGATGTGTTTTTAAAACGGGGCTACAGCCGAGTACTGGTGCTTGAATTACTGAAAGAATTCGTTTGAAAGGATTGCCTTGAATGGTGAAACATCAGCTGCCATCGTGCTAGTGAAATTTTGTGATTCTGTCCAACCATCAACATCATTGTCCAAAGTTGTTCTAGTTTATTCAAGATATGGCGACAGCCTCCTCAGACACAGGCGAAAGCGATGAGACTATCAATACTACAAGGGACCAGACCACCCAGGATTTTTTGACCGGGCTGAAGGAACGAGAAAGTCTTAAAATGGAGTTGAACGAACGGGAAAAGGAACTGGGAGCAGTGAAATCGCAGAATTACGATTTGATAAAGAAAATTGAAGCGCTTGAGAAAGAGGTTATATGATGACGTGACCTTTTAATTTTTTACTCCAAATGCATTTGAGGTTTCAAGTGTCATCAGGTGGCAATCTCGCGGAATGCCATATTGTTTATAGATTTGTAGTTATGCCAGCTTGTGGATATGCCATACTGTAGATATATTGGATCGACTTGTATAGTTAGTGGCTTCATATATGCACTGTATGCTCGTATCTGTCTTAAAAAGAGGCATTCAGCCACTCACTCACAGTCTCACAAGTTCCCTATCAAAACCTGGCGATTATTGCATGATTAGTTTAATCTAAGCTAATTCTAATTTTAATACATACAAACCTTGCTATCGTTTACACAAGCGTAGTATGTATATAAATAAAATATAATCATTTTAATTCGTCTTAATTCCTTCTTATTTTAGCTTTCCGAGGTGAAGCAAGGAAATGCGCTTAGGGTAGGTTCCGTTTGAAAGATATTAGGTCAAAATTAGGAAGGATCTGTTCTAGCCTTCACCAGAGACATTCAGCTTGCACAAACCTCGCTGGAGCAATAAAATATGAGAATTGACAAAGTCAGTAAAGTCCACTCCCAGAAGGAGGCGTTATAAGTGGACTATAGAGATAACAAAAATGGTTGACAACATGAAAAAAGTTTTTTCACTTTATGTTTCCGTTATTGTGTGAACTGCTTTTCGTAATACTTGTTTTTCTTAAATTGTTTTCATTGAATGTTTAGAAGAAATCGTCAACCAGCAAGCAAGCAACCAGTGGTAAGAAAACGACAACAAAACCGTTACGACCAGCTCAGAGAAAGTTACCAAAGTCGAAAAAATCACAAGGTTTGCTATCGCCAAAGGATGTTGAGAAATCACACGATGATCCTTTTGATGATCCAGAACAACTCTACAAGGCTAGTGGCGATTTATAATAAATTAAATACAGTTCTTTGGAAAGAGAAATACTCACAACAGACGGGCCAAACTCACCACAACCCGAGACAGTGAGTCAGTGATGATTCTCAGTTTGTCGTCACAGTGAAAAACAAGACGTGAAATTGGTTGAGAATGTCTTTGCAGTGATGTTCTTTATCTACTTTAGTATATTTCATGCAAAGTTTCACAGCGCGAGAGGACAATCACTGAGGTCTGAGGCGCCATTTTCATGCAGGTCTTTAATTTAACTTTTTCAGATAATTGCTGAAAAATATCCAGAACTTCCTCTTTCAACCGTTCTTGCTGCGGAAACAAAATTTGTGGAAGCTGATGCTAACAGAGACGGGGTAAGCTCCTTTGATACTGTCTAAATCAAGGTCTCGATCTCGTGTTGTGAGTAAGGTATAAAATATCCCACTTTTTTATAGACAATTGATGCAGAGGAGCTTGAAAAAATTTTGGACAACAGTAAAACAATGTTTACAAAACAGCAAGTTCTTGATATTCTGAAAGAAATTGACGAGGATAAAACAAATACGATTGATTTCTTTGAATGCTTGCAGGTTTGTGTTTCTTTGATTGTTTCTGTCTGATCTATGACCAGGTATTGAACTCCTCAAATTCGTTTTGTATCTGTACAGGTCTTGGATTTATTGAGGCAGAACAGAAGTTCACGTTTGCCAAGTTCAATTCAGCAGAATAAAAGTGCCATTTGCTCGATTCAGTGAACCTGTTTAACGACAGGCGCGGAATCCTCGGCTCTCTCACAAACACATGCATGGTAGTTCAACAATTAAAGAATATTGATGATTTCTGAGAGAGCAGGCGCAACTAAAGTCGGGAAACAACGAAATATTTTCACTCATTGACTATCGCCAAACGACTGGTATAATAATGCGCAGATAAAGTGTTGGATTGAAATTAATTATAATCGCGCTTTACCGTGAATCCTCCGTTGTCTAAATTTGGCAACGGAAATCCTATTTACTGATCAGGCTTTAGTCACCATTGTAAACAATGCCAAGAAAATATAGACACTGCCACAGGGCTTTCAAAACTATTCTGGTGTATTGTAAGCAATTGAATTTACAAATAACCTGGACTTCGAGCTCATTTAAACCGTACAGCCTGCGAAAAATTGCTATCGTGACAAAGATGAAATACCACTCAACTTTTCAGGAACTTGTGATATATTTAAGTGGATTTATCCAACTGTAAGGGGGGCTAGTCTAGTCCTATGAGTTAAACATCCATATCCTCAATTTATCAACTGCAAACAGAGATTAACTAAATGAAACCAGAACATATTTTGACAAACCCTGTTTTTCATTTATCTTCCTTTTATTCTGGACACGCACGGGTATTGATGTGAGATAAACCAGTTCTCTATTTTTGTTATTGTATGTGTGGAAGATTAAAATTCTTATCCAGGCTTAGTTTAAGGTTTCTTTAATACTCATTCGTATCCAAAATATGTTTGGAGGAATTTGCAACTATATTCGTGCACTAACTTGTGTTGAAGATGTTTATAAGATTCTTAAGAGGACTGTTACTCAAAGCAGAACGGATCAGTCGAACTATCCAGGAGGATTAGTAATCAGACTCCGACCAGCGTGAGAGATTAACTGTTTTGTGTGGACGACTGATTAGATTTGTACCTAAGATTCTCTGCGATAAAGCTGGCACATTAGATCTTTGTCACAGTAAATCTTGTCCGGACTTTATTACGATGAAAACAGAAGAAACCCAAAGGTGTGTCCTGCAAATGACAAACGACCATAGCGATGATAACCGTGGCGTTGCCATGGTAAAAAGTGAATTGCGTAAAACTATTCAGTCGAGGCGAGAGGCAAAGGGTCTTGGATTTGTTGAATTAGCGGACGAACAAGAAGAAAAGAAAACAATCGAGGTATTTCACCATTTGTTTTTCTTGAGAGATTGTGTATTCATCAAGGTTCAATTTTTCTCACGAAGATTGGATCATTGGTCATGAAAATGATATGCAAGGACCTCCCAGGGAAGGTTGAGCATGAACTCTTACTCAAAGACAATATATTGTTTTATAGTTATCGATTGAGGAAAGAGAAAAAATAAACTCGAGAAAAGAACGGAATCGGTTATCTGCGCAAAAGTGTCGAAAAAGACGTCGAGAACAACTGGAATATCTCAGTCGGGTATTGCTAACTGTATCTTGCAATAATTTGGTTCCGCATGTACATTCACTCACTGGAGGAATTAAAAAAAAAGCAATGTATTGCACTCTGACAGTCTGACAGGAGATGTTCTTGAAATAATTGTCTTTGTAGTCTCTTCTGTGATCATTTAGGTTTTCATCGTGTTTATGTTCTATGTTACAGGAGGCAAAATCCATCAATGAAGCGAATAGCGAGTTGGAAAATGAGATTGAATATTTGCAGATGGAAAAAGAACAACTTTCTCGAATGCTTCGTGAACACTGTTGCAACATGACCCGGATAGATGCGTATGATCAAAGAAATGAAGTTTCTTGAAATATTTTGCTGTATCAAATACTAGGGATGACCTTTCAAGGATGATTTCTGACTTTCTCGTTTTTTTATAGCTACCTAGCTACAGCTACACTCACGTCAAGTTTTTTATATAATTCATTTCACGTCGCTACAAACGTACTAAATTGAGGAGAAAATATGACGAGATATTTATTTGCTTTGCTCTTTCTTTTCATGTAAGAAACATTGTTATTAAACCGTGATTAAACATGTCTGAAAAACACCAAAGGATTTAGTCTGAAAACTGAATTTCTTCCTTCAAAAAGAGACTTTATTTTGCGATGACTCCAGTCCATGCGCGGTCAAATTCAAAATGGCGGATCAGGTGCTATCTTAAATTATCTTGTTTTCTTCTTGTAAAAATGAAGAAAAACGCCATTGCAGTCGGTTCATTTGCCACCTTCATTATGGCTACCTCCGGTGGCATCGTGTATTATTTGGGTGGCGTGAAAGAAGCTCGATTGACAGGCCAAGGCATTGTGAGGTTCACAAGAACAGCTTTGACTGTAAGTAAAATTATATTAATTAAAATGAACTGGTCAGGAGCCGAGTCATGACTGAAATACGACGAAAGGGGGTTCTAGTTTGTAAAAAGGAAAAGCTTTTATATATTGGCTATACTTTAGCCTCCTTGAAAACAATATTAATATGTTGTTCATTAGGTTCTTCAAATTAGTTATGATTACAAGAGGACCTTGTGGGGAAGAAATGAAAAGTCTGAACAATTTAAAGAACTTCGATCTCAGGTAATAATTGTAGTTGTAGTGAAAAGTTCAGGACTCCCGTTGGGTAACTCCATTTGATAATTCTATATTTTCAATTATAGGTTCATAGTCGATCAGCTAAGAGACTTTGTGATTTGTGTTTTCGTAATGCTGGTCTTTACATAAAGATAGGGCAGCACTTGGGGTCTCTCGATTATTTACTACCAAAGGAGTATGTTCAGGTCCTTAAGGTTTTTCATCACACTGCTCCGAGAAGTTCATTGAATGATGTTTATCATGTATTTCATGATGAACTCAACCAAAATCCTGATGAGATCTTTCAAGGTTTTGATGTGGAGCCACTTGGTATGAGGTATTTGATATGATGTAATGATGAATAATAGGAGTAATTAGCTGGGTACTTTTTGTTTTCTACATTGTAATGTAACTAGGATTAAATGAAGGAAGTATTTGCATGGATTAATAATATTATACATTGCATCTTTTCCATCTGTTTTTGTTGCTCAAATATTTCTCAGGTTCAGCTTCACTTGCTCAAGTTCACAAAGCGATCCTCAAGAATGGTCAAACTGTTGCTGTGAAGGTTCAGCACAAGAATATCCAGGATCATGCTGCAAGTGATGTCAAAACCATGGAAGTGGGTTCACTAAGCTTTGTTCTAGGTTTAGATAAATTATTGTGGATATCTTTACTAAACGTCACCCGCAGCTTGTTCGACTAAATCATCTTTATCTGTTTAATAAGTTTTTAGTAAATGTTGTCAAGCAAATATTTTCGGAATTTCAATTCACTTGGCTGGTTGAAGAAACCAAGAAAAACCTGCCATTAGAGTTAGATTTTCTTAATGAAGGAAGAAATTCAGAGAAGATACAAGAAAAATTCCCACAATTGAAGTTCTTGAAGGTTGGTGAAAGAATCTCTGTTTTTGCACATATTCACCACAAAGCCAGCATAGTGATGAACAATCAATTCAATGCAAGTAGTGTGTCTTCATTTCAAGCTGATCCAATTATGGCAACTATTTTTAGGTTCCTAAAGTTTTCTGGGAGTATTCTAGCAAGAGAGTTTTAACAATGGAATATTGTGAGGGAGGTTATGTGAATGACTTGGAATACATGAAGAATAACAATATTTCATCAGATGAAGTAAGTGTTTGTGGAATATGCAGGATGTATGTTAGTAATAAGATACTGCAAATGATTTCAACATTGATTGTTAAGGTGTCCAGTAAGGTTGGCGAAATCTACAGCGAGATGATTTTCGTTCAAGGCTGCATTCATTGTGATCCTCACCCTGGAAATATATTGATACGAAAGAACAGGACAACGGGTGTGGAAATTGTCTTGTTGGATCATGGCCTCTATCATGTAAGTTGTTCATGAAGATTTCTGTGCAAAATTGATTACTACTGTAGTTGTATACCTAGAATGTCAGCCCTTCGAAATAACAAGATCCTGATGTAAACTCATACCCACATTGCAGGAAATAACAGATGATTTCCGGATAAACTACTGTAAACTTTGGCAGTCAATCATCTCGGCAGATTTGGAAGGTATCAAAGCATACAGCGAGAAGATGGATGTGGGTGAATTTTATGGAATATTTGCTTGCATGCTGTCTGCAAGAACTTGGAACACTGTCATTAGTGGCATGAAACAAACACCATTTTCACAGAATGAGGTAGGGGCAACTAGTACAGGCTGATAGAAGAATCAGTTTGTTTATGATGGCTTGTAGATTTCTGGTACATATGAGGCATTTTTCAGAGAATTTAGGGATAATTTCCGTGATCTTTTAGATGGAAGAACTTCGTAGTTCAGTCGCGATGTATCTCAGCGATATTTCGAACGTGTTAAACCGAGTTCCCCGACAGTTGTTACTTATTCTGAAAACAAATGATTTGCTAAGAGGGATAGATCATCAACTTCGGACTAGCGAGGCATCAAGATCGTTTGTGACTATGTCAAAATGCTGTGCCAAAGCGGTTGCAAGGGAGGAGTGGAAGTCGTGTACGACTTGGTACGATCGTCTTATGGTGTATGGCCGCTGGTCGCTAGATAACGCTCGTATAACATTATATCAACTTAGTGTCCAGGACTTCTTCATCTCCACTGACATCCTTGTTTCTGTTGCGACGAATTTTGTTAGTCTTTTGTTCATTTCAATGTTATTTGGTGCAAGCTAACGAACAGACTACGCCAGGACGTTTAGGATGCAGAAATAAGTTATTCGAATTTTAATACACAACTTTGAAAGTTTTATATATATAATAAGAAAACAAAATATCAAATGGATTATCAAATCACCACAAATGGATTATTTCGAGTTTTTCTGTGCGTACCAACCACTAGCGTAGACAGATGCAATATAGATAAATGTTATTACATTTCTTTGCAGAAATGTGATAAAGTGATTTGTTTACCTTTCGGCCATTGTTAAATTGAGCAATTGACCCCCCGTCAGCAATGACAGTTGGCTTTTTAATATAAAAACAATCTTTCATAAAATTGTTCGTAGTTAATCTCTTCCGACAACAATCAAGTTCTTCACGATACGTGTTTATTCTTGGGAGCATTGCTGTACGTTCGTTGAAGTGCTTTAAGAAAAACTCTTGACGATTGTTAACAATATAGTGAATAAACTATTATAGTTTGCACGGTCCCATTGTAGTTTTTCAAGGAAATTAATGCGTAACTAATGTCAATAGAAAACATGAGAAGTCGCATACCATGTCATACTGTTCAGCTGGACGTCCGCATTGCCATTGGTAATTCCCATTCAATCAATAAGTTTTTAGACACGGTTTCACAGCTTCTGGGACTTGCTTCAAAATGCGACGTAACATAATGCTTTGCCTTTTTGGGCTTTCTCTTGTCCATTTCGTTGGAGGATTTAGTCTTTTGGACCGAAAAACTTCGTTTGTACAGTTTGAGCCCCTGCAGCAAAACGCAGATGGCAATATTGCTGTTGGTTTTCGCTGTAAGACCTATGTGAAAGCTGGTTTGCTGTTCTACGCTGATGACGAAGGCCATAGCGAATATTTGACCTTATTTCTCAGAGATGGAGTTTTGGTTTTGGAGTTGAGCGACGGAAAAGGAAAGGTTTTTACAGCTGACTCTAAAGTCATGATAAACGATATGAAATGGCATAGAATCGAAGTTCGGCTGAGTTCGTATCACGCTGTGTACCGATTGGATAACAAAACGCAGGCACAGTTTAACATCACAAAATTACAGCTAAAAAGTAGTGTGTTTATTGGCGGTTTTCCTAAAAATATTGACCAATTCATCGTGTCACATCTTCAACTATACTTTCAGTTTCATTCGCTGCGTTTTTTGGGCTGCATCGAGGATCTTCAGCTTGGAAACTCCACAGCACAAAATCGCGTGTTAAGTTCGTCTGGTATGAGTCAAGAATGCGGGGACGCCTGTAAACCAGAGAATCCTTGTAAAAATAATGGTGTTTGTATTAATAAGTTTGCAACGGCTGAATGTTTATGTGCTCAAACGGGATATTATGGAGACACTTGCGGCGAAGGTATGAACCTGGTATGAATTTCATGCGATGACTGAAATGTATTTAATCATAAAGTTCATTAATTCCACGCCCCGCCTGTTTAACCTCTTAATTTCTGCTAAACGTGGTTTGACCCGCTGTGTTTATCTCAATACCTGGTTAAGCTCATGAAATACACCAAGAATTTTAGACCATGTTTGGGCTGTTTATGGCCGGTTTTCTGGATGAAATTTGATCCGAATTTGTGACCTTTTTTAGAGGTTTAGCATAGTATTCCCCGCTGTTATTGTTACCCAAGGTGCCTGATGACTATAAGTGGCTACCTCACCCTAAATGCCTAGGCAATTAACATAAATACCGTAATGTGAAATGTTCAATACATATTTTACAGAATTGCCCATCATCGGTATATCATCGGCCGACCATCGGGTAACCTTCGACGTTCTGTCTTCGGCTATCGTAAACCGACCATTAACAACTTCAATATTAGTCCGCGTTCGTTCCAGTCAACCAGACGGGGTATTTTTTTACACGGCCCACGCCGGGGACTATGTACTACTCGAGTTGACTAATGGCAGAATAGCTGCTACAGTGAACTTAGGTTCTGGAAGTGTCACCATAGCGACGAAGAAAAACTCGTATTTTGACAACCAATGGCATCGCGTGGAATTAAAACGAGAGAGGCGATTGGTTAATCTGACCGTGGATAACTTGGATACCACGAAAGGCAAAACACGAGGTGTTTACGATAAGTTTAATTTAGCAAGCAAGAAAACAAGTTTTGTTTTGGGGGGAATAGCGAAAGATTTTAGAGTTAGGTTGAAATCTGTGAGCGGAAGAAATTTTACTGGTTGCCTCCAGGACCTTAGGTTTAACAATTATGACTTGTTTGGGGAGTTTAACAAGAGCGCTAAAGAAATTGTATCTCACGGAGAAATAATAAGATCTTGTCCAAAAACCCCAACAACAGCGACTCCTAACATTACGACAACTGTTCAGAGCTTGTCACACAAGACTGACAAGAGTACTTTAAAATCAACCAAACCATTGGACGTTTCTTCACTTTCTTTAATAACAACTTCAGAAACTACAACCGTCACATCATCACGGTCGTCCCGTTTCCAATCTGAAGCACTGAAAACTACCAACTCCAGTCCAACCACCTGGAAATTACGCGTTTCGACTGATGACCAATCACGGACAAGCCTGATGAAGACTACGCAGTCATTGGTTAGCTCGAGACACTCAACTGATACTATTCCAACCAGCCAACATTTTTCAACAAAGAAAGTTGAAGCAGCCACAAAGAAAACGGTTCTAACCACTAGAAAAATGACTGAAGAAAATATCCTTTTTGATACAACGGGAGGAGTTAAGGTTGCGAAGAGAAATGAAAGAGATGAAGGCGACTTGACAATGTATTTTATTCTTGCTGCAGTTGTTGGTTTGGTAGCCTTCCTTTTGGCTCTATTGATCATCGTAAAAATAAGCTCAGCCAGCAAGAAGAAATATGCGTTAAAAAAACAGAAACGTGAACGAGATTACTGGGCAGATACTGGCTCTTTTCAGAGAGCTCCTAAAGAGAATAAACCACTCGTTTGAAAGCTAGTATATATAAGTAATATAACGCACGCTCGGGGATATATATTATATTCTTAGAAATTTACATAGAAATAATGTACAGTATCCTCACGTAGACTGTTAGTAGTTCCAGGTGCAACTGAGGATTTTTCTCCTGGGGAGATTATTAAGTTGTCAGCCGTTGATGCACTAATATTTTATGATACAATGATGTGTGCGTAACTATGGGTCACCAGTAGCTATGATATAATAAATAATTTAAAGTGTATAATGTTAATGCACTAAAATTTTATAATATGATAAACATTTGAAAGTTGTGTTCCGTGTAAGGTATCTGATGGCACTGCTATTTCGGATGTCATAAGAAAGCCTTGGGAATTTCTTCTTTTCCCCATTGAAAACACGTAGTTTTAAATTTGGGGATTGCGAAACAAGGTCAAACCATAGTGTCACACCAATGGTCCCTATGTCCAACCATATGGTCCAACCATATGGTCAAACTTCATCCCCGCATGCGCGAAGGTACGCAGTATTGAAATCCAATATGGCCGCCCTGTAGCAAAATTTTGAATTTCCAAACCAAAAGTGGAAGCAAGAAGAAGCAGTGTCATAGACTTAATTTCTTTATAGAGCAAAATTACTTGATTTCAGCTTGAATATATGCTTTGAAAAAGACGTGAATTTAAAGAATATCCTGCTTATAATCTTTCCAACCATTTTGCATTTATTATGAGTTCAATTGGGACAGGGGTACGTATAGATTTTATTTTGTACAAATCAAAAGTCCACGTGAATTTCCCACAGGTTTCTAACTTTGATGTGTTTTCTTATAGTATGATCTATCAGCTTCACATTTTTCACCTGATGGCAGGGTTTTTCAGGTAGAATATGCACAAAAAGCTGTGGAAAATAGTGGGTAAGAAAATAGTCATTACTCATTTAATATAGAGCTCATTGTAGTACATGTGAATGATGTGACTTCATCTTGGGTTTTCCTGAATGAGCACCTAATTTCTTGGCCTAAATCATACTATTGAATTGCTTGCGAGGACCTCAATAAGCACTAATTGACATGTGTTGATTGCCTTCATAGAAGTGTTGTTGGTATCAAATGCAAAGATGGAGTTGTATTTGGTGTTGAAAAGCTTGTAAAATCTAAGCTGTATGAACTTTCATCGAACAGGCGAATATTTACAATTGATACACATGTGGGAATGGTATGTACATTTCAGCTTGGGGTGTTATGGTAGGTGAGACCCTAACCCCACCCTAACCCTCCACGCAAAAAAAACCCCGAAATCAGGTGTTACTGTTGACTAATTATTTATCAATATTTTTATTATTTAGGCTGTTGCAGGCTTATTAGCTGATGCGAGAAAGGTGAAGTGTGAATTTGAAGTGGCATGTTATAATTCTCATATAATTCTAAAAATTACCATGTTTATTATAGATAGTTACAATTGCCAGAGATGAAGCATCTAATTACAGATCAGACTATGGCTCAGAGATACCATTAAAAGTAAGAAGATAGCATAATATATTATGGACAGTTGACAGTTATTAAATGGAGAATATCTGAAGAAGATAACCTGTATTATTTCAACTTTCTCTGACCAGAACTTCTGTGTTTCTAGCTGCTGGCTTCGAGAGTGGCGTCTTACGTTCACGTTTATACATTGTATAGTTTTCTAAGACCTTTTGGTTGTGGGTAAGTATGCTCTCAGTTCACAAATCAGTTAAATTACTGGATAATACAAATAATGCAGGCTTTGTTTTCATGTAAAGTCCCAATCCCAAGCATTGCTTAAAAGGTTTGAATTTTTTCTTTGGATTGTAGCTGGTCATTCTGTTCACGCATAACTATTTCCATGGTTCCACCATCTTTCATATATTTACAGTGTTATGCTGAGCAGCTTAGGACAAAGTGGACCAGAATTATATTTAATTGATCCATCTGGAGTCACTTGGGTAATAACTGATTGTAAAATATATGTATAATTGTTAAATATTCCTTGTGTAATGTCACAGGAGGCTGTCTTTGCTGTGATTGTAACTTGAAGCTTTGAATTATTAAAGGGTTATCATGGTTGTGCTATTGGAAAAGCAAAACAGGCTGCTAGGACTGCGATCGAGAAATTGAAGGTATATCATATGCTTAATGATAACCCTTGTAGAGTGGGAACTTGTAAATAAAACAATCACCTTTAATTGCAGGTTTCTGAACTTACTGCAGAAGAAGCAGTCAAAGAAATTGCCAAAATGTAAGTATTGTGTAAATGTAAGGATAATTCAGGTTAAACATCTTGATTGGTTTAACAATTTCTGTCACTTTATTCAAACTTGACTAGAATCCACACAGTTCATGATGAAGTCAAGGATAAAAGCTTTGTTTTAGAGATGAGTTGGGTAACAGAAGGTGAGACATTAACCTATTTTTAAAAGTGTCTGAAGGTATAATATTTCTCTTAAAATTAACTGTATATAGCATTATTCTATTCACATAACAAATGATAATTAATCTTTTCCTGTAGCTACCAATGGAAAGCATCAGTGGGTACCAAAAGATATCATTGACTCGGCGGAAAAGCATGCCAAGGTCTGTAATATATACATTATAATACATATAGCTTTCAAAATTGTTCTATACATTGGACTTTATTAAAATTTTCCTTTTATTTGCAGGACACTATGGAAGAGGATTCTTCAGAAGATGACGAGGACCTATAAGAGCATTCATTTAAAAATGCTCTATTGGTGATATTCTTTTTCAATTATTAGTTTCAAGAAACCACGGTAACACTTAAACAACTTTGAATAAGCAACATCAGCTTAAGATTCACTCAGTTTTCATAGTTTAAACTTTAACTAGATTTTGTTAAAATAAATCAAGTCTAAAAACACCTATACACTATAATGCATTTTATTTTGAATATAATATAATCTGTAGTATTTATACCATGAATACTACAAATACAATAAAAAATACAATTAAGACAAAGAAAATCTTAATTATTAACCAGCGATTTGATGTCACTGATTGAAAGTATTTTAAAAGTTCTCCATGGGCGCCTTCAACATTTGCTTCTGTTTCCTCGACATTTGCATCAATCCTGAAAGAGAAGAATCTCTCAAGTCATAACTGCTCAACTTGGATTAAAATGGTCACTAGTTGGCAAGAAATTTACCTTTCAATTTGTTCCTCCTGTATTTTGACCATGTTTGCCAACTGTTGAAATATTCCTCCAAGCTCCACTATGGTTGATTCAATGCTCTCCATGGCTGTTGCACGTGACTTGATGTATGTATCCTAGACAACCACATTCAATAGGTAAGATTTTATAAAATTGTTGAGGGTATATGGACAATACTAAGGGTAATGTGCTCATAACTCACTCATGAGCTATCTTTATAAGGCTTGCCTGAAAATACTGACCTGTTCCTCCAACATTTGGTCTTGATATTGTGAGTTTTGAAATTGGTCCATATCAATGGCAACTGTTTTATCACCGATACCATTTGGAATATGATCAGCTCTTTGAAGAACTATAATAAGATAAGGGTAAATAATCTTGTATGTGTATTGCTATACATATTATTGAAAGGGATTCCGGTAGATCAGATGTGCTAATCTTGTTAAAAAATAAATTGTAGCATTTAGATTTCCATCCAGCTACCTGATCCATTCTTCATTGAGGCAACTGCCAAAGTTTCTGGACTTGGTCCTTGTGAAAATTGTTCCCTTCTTTGCTTTTGATGTTTGAGGTTCTGAAAATGGTAATGCATTCGGGAATAAGGTAAGATTGAGCAATTAGCATTCTATGGGACCCTTTCAGGTAGATTTTTTACCTCTGTCCTCACTTCCAATACAGACTTGAAACTTTGAGACATTTTTGCAAGTTTTGTCTAAACAAATGTGGCTGAAGTAAGTATTGTTTCACTATATTATAGTTTGGATAAATTGATAATACTTACTTGTAATGCCACAACCACTGACTGTGAGTGTGTCTGGACATTTTTACTTTGACTTCGGTTTACTCTTACAAGCTAAAACAGCAATAAAATTATGGATTGATAAGCTTCAAGGAATGCATGAAATGATTGCAGGTAATTTGACCTCACCTCTTGCAGCTGTGCAAGTTGCTGGTTTAAATTTTTGATATCCTAAAAAGAATTACCACCACATCAGTTTATTTACTTTTATGTCGTAGCTTGGGGCTATAATTTATATTCTTTGATAAATATTATACCTGTTTGATAATATATGTGAGCTCCTGAATTTCCACTGGCCTGTCATCGAACAATGATTTCTTTTTTGCCACTATAGAGACGATACACATTTTTTATTTTCTCAAAAAAAAAGATGCTTGGGGGATCAAAGCTTTGTCAATTTATGTACTGCAATACTTACGTAAGGTTAGTTTCTCGAGTTTTGTAAATGTATTTGATATGTCATGACCAATTTGTCTGAATGTAAAATCAAAGAGAAAAAGTGAATAGTTTTGTAATATATGGCACTGTGGTCCTTGCACAATGCAGTAACAGAAGTTTAATTGTAAACATAACAGCTGGTTACTTACTTTGCAATTTGGCTAAACTGGCTTCTCACAATCCCGTTAACTTTTCTTTGATTCAACGGACTTGTACGGACATGGGCACCCTGGATTAAATAAGTTCATTTACATTCATGGTTGTGTAGTTTCTCGACTGTGGATGTATAGTCCCAGATTAAGAAAATAGTTCATACTGTTTATCTGATAGTGTATATCATAGAGTATTTCAATCAATCTGATTTAGTCAGTTTTCTGTCTGTGGAAATGATGGGACAGGTGCTTAATTATGCTGTTCCCCTTTGATACCAATAATAAATTGTTCACTAGATACCATTAAATATGAAACCATACTCAAAATGGACCCCCTCAATTCAACGACTATTAAACCTGGTTACCTTTAAACAAACTACAACTAATTTGTGAAATAAGCTATTATTCATCAAGCTATATGTTCTAAACACCAAAAATATATCGAATTACGTGGAAATACTTACTTGACGCGATTGTAACGATCGAACTGCCGAAGCAAATTCAGCTGTTCTGTCACGACAGGACGACATCGAGTCGATATTTATATCAAGATTTTCTTTTTCTGCAATTATTCCTTGTTCTGTATATTCACCAGATCTTGTCCTTCTACGACGAGTAGTCATCCCATAATCTGGGGAAAACCCAGAAAACAAATCATAATAAACCAACTGTATCATTTGATACACTTTTAAATGTAGATGTTGTGATGTGTCCGATAAATGTTCTTTCACTCCCAAGAGTATTTAGCCAAATTGACACGGGTTTTTGTAGCCAAACATACACTCTTGCCCTTGGTAGGTCTTTTCTTAGGACTGTACAGCGTTGAAATTGGGTTAACCGTGAAAATATCACAGAAGCACAAGTATTTTTACTTCGAAAAGCAAAAAAATCTGAAACCTGAAGGGAAAGGAACTCTGTGATGACGTTGTGGGAAAATATTGTCTTCGGAAATTTACGGTTACTTCCGGTTATTTACGACGCAACTTGTATTCGAAGAAATTGTGATTTTTGTTGTTTTTAGATGAAGTTCTTTAAGGCACAAGCTAAAGATTGGTGGCTCGGAACAAAGAAAGAAAGAAAGGTCATGCATTTTAATTCTCGTAATTCATAGAAATATTGAATGCAGTGTTAGCCAATGAAAGCCAATGGAGCATTGTAACAATTAATTGCGAACCATATACGTCATTTCCAGATTCCTAAAAGTCTCGTGACTTTTCAATCTAAACACCATACCTCAAATGGAAAACGTCGAGCAATTGTAAGTTATTTTGTCTGGGGACTGGTAACATAAATCTCATTTTCAGTGATGTGTTTATTATCGACATGTCAAAAATTCTTCAAGGGGATGTTTTGGTCATTCTCACGAAATTTGTTGGTATTTTTATAGCTGGAAAAGTTTCTTTACGATGTTCAACGATTGGAGAGTATAAAATAATAACCTGACCATGGACTTTCATCGTCGTCTAGTGCAGGATCTTAATTCTGTCGCAACAAATCATCCAACAAAATCTACAACACCAACGTCGACAATCCCTACATTGAAAGAATCGTTACCACTTGAGGTCCAGTTATCGCTGACAATTGTCTTCACAGTGCTTTACGCTTTGCTGTTTATATTCATATGGATACAGTTGATACTAATTTTGGTGTATAGACACAAAAGACTTTCATATCAGAGTGTATTTCTGTATTTGTGTCTTTTATGGGCTGCCCTCAGGACAACTCTATTTTCATTTTATTTCAATGACAGTTGCATGGCTAATAAGTTAAATATTATATCGAAATGGTTGCTGTATTCGTTCCCTATTGTCTTACAGTTTTTAACCCTGAGTTTGCTGGAATTGTATTTTTCACAAGTGAGTATTGAGAATGTATTTGTTACCCATTTCTATGCAAGCTTATTCCACGATTGCTTCCCCCTGCACTGCAGTATGTCCTCTGATAATACCTTGTTTCTTTGATATATAGGTGGTACTGAAATCACTCACAACTTATGAGCCACATATCCGATACCGGTAAACAGTATATTGTTATATATATAATTGTAAAATTGCCTGAATAATTGAAACCATTCCAAACAGTTTGAATATTCTTAGTGGACTATTTCTGCTTAACCAGAAACTCCATATGAGTACGGTCACATGGGGATGGTTTCTCTCATGAAATAAAAGTTGCAGTTGAATATCAAATTATCCTGTTTTAAACATCAGTTTTTATCCTGTTCTTTCCAGGAAACGCCGTTATCTTTTTGTAATATTTTTCATTGTGAATGTCATTTTTTTGACGCTGAATGTAACTGATGCTGTGTTGGTGAAGTATGAACCTTGTTGTGTTGCAAACATTGTACTGGCAAGAGTAATCATCAACGAATCATTGTTCGTTGTTACCTCGCTTGCACTTTGTTATTGTATTATAAAGGTTTGTTAAACTTCTTACTGTAAATTACTTGCTGTTCATCAAAACAAAACTAAAATGTGATCCTTAGTGTACTAATACTGCAATTATTTTCCATCAATAAATGGCTTCATTTCCAGTTATCTAGAGCTTCTACAGGGAATCTACTTCTGGAAGGTCAGGTAAGGAATAAAAATAAAATTAATGCAAGTACTTCTCTGAATTTGGGTTGACAAATTTCATAATACAGTATGTCTTGGTTGAAAAACTTGCCAGGCTAAAAATATAATTTCTGATGTGAATTAAGAACAGGAAATTGAAGATGACACTTTCTATCATTTCAGGGAACAACTTTATGTCAAGCAACCGTAATTTGTGTCATCATTGGCCTGATTTATGTATCACGTGCTGTGTACAATATTGTTGCTGTAATACCTAAAGGCTTACCATCATTTGGTTATGGCTGGATCAATGTTTCAGATGAGGTCTTTTAGAGTTCTTCATTAGTTGTATTGATATCAATAGTCTTTTAAGATAATACGTCTAAGTGTGCAGCATATGGTGCCATACACAATGCATCTCATTCATCATTTTTGAATTCACTATTCATTGTATTTTTAGGGTGAAGCAACGCATGGCAAGGACCTCTCAATTGCAGAAAACAGAAATTATGGATATGTTTCATTTGGTGTTGTCTTGTTTTTCTGGGAATTCTTGCCAACATTTTTTGTTGTTGTCTTCTTCCGCGTGAAGAGACCCCAACAAGGCCTGGTAAGCTGTTATTTCAACTGTGTTTCTAACATATATGAAAGTATGTGAGAAAGTGTGAGAAGTTGTCAGACTTCATGTATTGTTTTACAGGGATCAATGCTCTCTTCCAATAAAGAGAATAAAAAGAAATTCTTCTTTGACAATCCAAATCGATACAATTCAGAGGATGATCTTCCTGGGACCTCACAGAATTTGGGGTATCATGAACTGATGAACATATGATTTAGCCTGTTTGTTAATTTCTGTATCACCAATATCACCAATGACAGTTGAATTTTAGTTGTGACATATTTCCATTTGCCTCACCAGATAGTCAAAGAACAGATTTGACCAGGATATTCTGACCTCCACCTTTGCATTTTTAGTTATGATATACCTGCAGGGATGAGGTCACCACATGGCGCTGGTTCACATACCATCAATAATTCCAGTTTGCATCGCGTGCATTCCTATGGTTCCACAGGTCACCCAGGTTTCATCCGATCGTCAAGTAGTGTTCCAGGGCACATACCTGGTACAACTCCCACAAGATTGTTCTCTGAAGGGAGCAAAAATCCATTATTAGGAACAAATAATGGTTCAGGACAGTAGACATCGCCGGAAATATTTCAGCAACAACTTTGATTGCAACAAATATAGAATTGGTACAACAAAACATTGATGTTATATATAATTTTTAATGTAATATTGAGAGTTAGAGATTTAATTCATGCTTTGATAAAACAAATGGAATTTGTTAAGAATGTGTGCAAGTAAATCAATATTTTTCTAATTTGGGTAATTGGGTCTTTGATGTAAAGCATGTAACATGAAGTAGTCTCGTAATCAACGTGGGCTCTCCAGTGGTAAAAAAGTCAAAATGGCGACCTCAAAGGAGTACACTATTCTTTTCTGTTGCACAAATTCTACGTTTTCTGCGTCGACATTTGGTTTACCCATGAAATATTTTAATGCAGTTATGTCTCATGAATTTGACCGAAGGATTATGCCAGAATACGAGGAAGAATTGGATGCCCTTTGGCAGAAGAAGTTAAGTGAAAACTCAAACATTTACAACGCCTCAAAATTTCGCTTGAACAGTTTTACAGAGGAGAGTGACCACATAAAGTTGGAGTTTGGTTTAACTTGCTATAAGGATTTTCAATGTACCAATATGCAATCAAAAGAAAGTGTGAAAATGTTGCATGACTATGGGTTGAGGAATTATGATGATGTAAATGCTTGCATGGCCAACCCTATGTTTTCAACTGCAATTGTTGTATCAAGTGATAATTATGTTGTCATGTTTAAAAGAAGTGATATGGTGGGTGAGTCACCCGGAATGGTTGATTTCCCTGGTGGGCATATGGAACCAAGTGTAAGTATTGCGTTGGCACAGTACGCAATCCGAGGGCAATTTCTGAGGGAAATGCTCATGCACAAATCGCAATTCAGCCTGCTAATCTGTACTAGCTATAGTTGTGAATGTTTGACCGGTTCTTAGCATGTTTCATATTTACCAATATTTTTAAACACAAATTAAATGACTGCAATCCTGAATGCTGCGATGTTACAAGTATTAGAATCGCTTCAGTTTCTGTCGGGCATTTTTTTAAGTACTATACTTTTAAGTACTTTTTAGGTACTTTTCTGTACTCTTGGACGGTCACAGGCGGTGTCGGGCGGTTTTTAGTAGGACGGTGTGCAACTATTAAAATTCAGGCTGTACAGGAATTCTATATCTTGTTTTGAGAGATGCATTATATCAGCACAGGGTACTTACGCATATCCCAGACATCACAGAGTACAAAACTCACCCACTCTATTTAGAATTATATTTATGGGTATGATTTTTTTTTCTAGGATATTGACAAGGATGATATCTTAGAGAACATGTGCGGTGATGATGTGGTCAAAGAGTTTTTCTATTCTGCACTGAGAGAGGCCAGGGATGAGGTGAGAATACCAGAAGTATAAAAAGTGTATACATAATTCATCAAATGGCCCACTCAGGTGTACACAATTTTATTTTTACTACATGTCAAAATGCTATATTTTTATCAAAAGTCGGGCCAAGTAGTTTCCCTTTTGGTTTTTTGACTTTGTCAAAAATTCCTACAAACACTTGTATAAATGTCAAAGTGTTTCATTTCCATCTAAACAATGATTTTGCATTTTAATTTTTTTTCAAGGTGAACCTTCCAGAATCCTCACTAAGTTGGCCATGCCTGTTAGGAATCCTCAGAAACAATAAAATTGGTGGAAAACCAGGAGCGTGTTTTTATATGAGGTACATTGCATGTCTTCTCTGTTTCAGTCACCCAACTCTGAACTACCTGTAATTATTTTTTTGTTTGTTTGGATCCCAGGTGTACTTGCACTTCAGAAGAAATTAAGCTCCTCTATGAAAAAGGTGGATCCGAGTCGTATGAATCCACAGAGGTTATTCTTATTCAGATGAAGGTACAGACAGTATACTACTGCATGCGCTTTATCATTAACACACACTTGAAGTCTCATTGGATATAAAACTTTTCCAAGTTTCCTCTATAATTTTTACACAAATTTCACAAAAGCAAATTTCAGATAACTTCAAGTAAGTTGCTAAATTTTCTTTAAAAAATACAATTCAAGAATATATAAAGTTTGTGATTGCTTATTCTCCTACTTTTCATAGGAACTTTTCCAAAAAAATTCAACATTGTTCCCTAAACTCCTGAAGAACATGACTGTATCAGCACATGCAGCACTTGAATTACTTAACCATAGCTACGAGGAACAATTGAAGTTTAATTGATGATAATTGCTGTGACTTTTTAAATTAAACAAAAATGGTTTTTATTCTTTCGCAGACTCCTATAATAATAGTCAGTTATTGAAATCAATGTGAAACTCATTTCCTTACTTGTAACTCGCGAAATAATTACTCATCCAAAAACTTGAAATCAAAATTGACAATCACAAGAAAGACAAGGAAGCTGCTGGTGTGTATTTTCTTTTAACATAAGTTTCAAAACAAATATGGCAACAAATCTTGAAATTTTGAACCATCTTTAAAAGCGAATAATAACTAAAAAATACTTTGTGTCCGTAAATGATATAAATTATATTGTATACACACTATAAACATACACACTATATACGTATATGTTATATCACTTATATGGTTATATGGTTGTATGGTTATATAGTTATGTGGTTATCTGGTTATGTATTTATGTGGTTTTGTGGTGATGTGGTTATATGGTTATGTGGTTATATCGTTATATGGTTATGGTTATGAAAAATTCGTCAAAATTGACCGAAAGGGTAAGGCTTACCCCTTACCATTTTGGTCAATTTTGACGCCTTTCTCAACGGTTCAAAAAGTGTCTTGAAATGCTAAAAATTACTTCCTAAGACTAATATCTTTCATTTTAGAGCATATTTGGTTGGTTTTTGGAACATTGAAAAATCGTCCATTTTGACCAAAATGGTAAGGCTTACCTCTTACTATTTTGGTCAATTTTGACGACTTTTTCAACTGTTCAAAAAGTGTTTTAAATTGCTAAAAATTGTTTCCTAAGACTAATATCTTTCATTTTAGAGCATATTTAGTTGATTTTTGGAACATTGAAAAATAGTCAAAATTGACCAAAATGGTAAGGCTTACCCCTTACCATTTTGGTCAATTTTGACGACTTTTATAATTGTTCAAAAAGTGACTTAAAATGCTAAAAATTGTTGGTTAAAACTAATATCTTTCATTTTAGAGCATATTTGGTTGGTTTTTCGAACATTGAAAAATCGTCCATTTTGACACAAAAGGTAAGCCTTACCCTTACTATTTTGGTCAAATTTGACGACTTTTTCAACTGGTCAAAACGTGTCTTAAATTGGTAAAAATTGTTTCCTAAGACTAATATCTTTCATTTTAGAGCATATTTGGTTGGTTTTTCGAACATTGAAAAATTCGTCAAAATTGACCGAAATGGTAAGGCTTACCCCTTACCATTTTGGTCAATTTTGACGACTTTCTCAACTGTTCAAAAACCATTTTAAAATGCTAAAAATTGCTTCCTAAGACTTATATCTTTTATTTTAAAGCATATTTCGTTGGTTTTTTAAACATTGAAAAAGTCGTCAATTTTGACCAAAATGGTAAGGCTTACCCCCTACCATTTTGGTCAATTTTGACGACTTTTTCAACTGTTCAAAAAGTGTTTTAAATTGGTAAAAATTACTTCCTAAGACTAATATCTTTCATTTTAGAGCATATTTGGTTGGTTTTTCGAACATTCAAAAATTCGTCAAAATTGACCGAAATGGTAAGGCTTACCACTTACCATTTTGGTCAATTTTGACGACTTTCTCAACGGTTCAAAAAGTGTCTTGAAATGCTAAAAATTACTTCCTAAGACTAATATCTTTCATTTTAGAGCATATTTGGTTGGTTTTTGGAACATTGAAAAATCGTCCATTTTGACACAAAAGGTAAGCCTTACCTTTTACCATTTTGGTCAATTTTGACGACTTTTTTAACTGTTCAAAAAGTGTCTTAAATTGGTAAAAATTGTTTCCTAAGACTAATATCTTTCATTTTAGAGCATATTTGGTTGGTTTTTCGAACATTGAAAAATTCGTCAAAATTGACCGAAATGGTAAGGCTTACCCCTTACCATTTTGGTCAATTTTGACGACTTTCTCAACGGTTCAAAAAGTGTCTTGAAATGCTAAAAATTACTTCCTAAGACTAATATCTTTCATTTTAGAGCATATTTGGTTGGTTTTTGGAACATTGAAAAATCGTCCATTTTGACACAAAAGGTAAGCCTTACCTCTTACCATTTTGGTCAATTTTGACGACTTTCTCAACGGTTCAAAAAGTGTCTTGAAATGCTAAAAATTACTTCCTAAGACTGATATCTTTCATTTTAGAGCATATTTGGTTGGTTTTTGGAACATTGAAAAATCGTCCATTTTGACACAAAAGGTAAGCCTTACCTCTTACTATTTTGGTCAATTTTGACGACTTTTTCAACTGGTCAAAACGTGTTTTAAATTGCTAAAAAAAATTTTCCTAAGACTAAAATCTTTCATTTTAGAGCATATTTGGTTGGTTTTTGGAACATTGAAAAATCGTCCATTTTGACACAAAAGGTAAGCCTTACCCCTTACCATTTTGGTCATCTTTGACGACTTTTTCAACTGTTTAAAAAGTGTCTTGAAATGCTAAAAATTACTTCCTAAGACTAATGTCTTTCATTTTAGAGCATATTTGGTTTGTTTTTCGAACATTGAAAAATCGTCCATTTTGACACAAAAGGTAAGCCTTACCCCTTACTATTTTGGTCAAATTTGACGACTTTTTCAACTGGTCAAAACGTGTTTTAAATTGCTAAAAATTGTTTCCTAAGACTAAAATCTTTCATTTTAGAGCATATTTGGTTGGTTTTTGGAACATTGAAAAATCATCCATTTTGACACAAAAGGTAAGCCTTACCCCTTACCATTTTGGTCAATTTTGACGACTTTTTCAACTGTTTAAAAAGTGTCTTGAAATGCTAAAAATTACTTCCTAAGACTAATATCTTTCATTTTAGAGCATATTTGGTTGGTTTTTCGAACATTGAAAAATCGTCCATTTTGACACAAAAGGTAAGCCTTACCCCTTACTATTTTGGTCAAATTTGACGACTTTTTCAACTGTTTAAAAAGTGTCTTGAAATGCTAAAAATTACTTCCTAAGACTAATATCTTTCATTTTAGAGCATATTTGGTTTGTTTTTCGAACATTGAAAAATCGTCCATTTTGACACAAAAGGTAAGCCTTACCCCTTACTATTTTGGTCAAATTTGACGACTTTTTCAACTGGTCAAAACGTGTTTTAAATTGCTAAAAATTGTTTCCTAAGACTAAAATCTTTCATTTTAGAGCATATTTGGTTGGTTTTTGGAACATTGAAAAATCGTCCATTTTGACACAAAAGGTAAGCCTTACCCCTTACCATTTTGGTCAATTTTGACGACTATTTCAACTGTTTAAAAAGTGTCTTAAAATGCTAAAAATTACTTCCTAAGACTAATATCTTTTATTTTAGAGCATATTTGGTTGGTTTTTGGAACATTGAAAAACTCGTCAATTTTAACCAAAATGGTAAGGCTTACCCCTTACCATTTTGGTCAATTTTGACGACTTTCTCAACGGTTCAAAAAGTGTCTTGAAATGCTAAAAATTACTTCCTAAGACTAATATCTTTCATTTTAGAGCATATTTGGTTGGTTTTTGGAACATTGAAAAATCGTCCATTTTGACACAAAAGGTAAGCCTTACCTCTTACCATTTTGGTCAATTTTGACGACTTTTTCAACTGTTTAAAAAGTGTCTTAAAATGCTAAAAATTACTTCCTAAGACTAATATCTTTTATTTTAGAGCATATTTGGTTGGTTTTTTTAACATTGAAAAAGTCGTCAATTTTGACCAAAATGGTAAGGCTTACCCCCTACCATTTTGGTCAATTTTGACGACTTTTTCAACTGTTCAAAAAGTGTTTTAAATTGGTAAAAATTACTTCCTAAGACTAATATCTTTCATTTTAGAGCATATTTGGTTGGTCTGTGGAACATTGAAAAATCGTCCATTTTGACACAAAAGGTAAGCCTTACCCCTTACCATTTTGGTCAATTTTGACGACTTTTTCAACTGTTCAAAAAGTGTCTTTAATTGGTAAAAATTGTTTCCTAAGACTAATATCTTTCATTTTAGAGCATATTTGGTTGGTTTTTCGAACATTCAAAAAATCGTCAAAATTGACCGAAACGGTAAGGCTTACCCCTTACCGTTTTTGTCAATTTTGACGACTTTTTCAACGGTTCAAAAACCATTTTAAAATGCTAGAAATTGCTTCCTAAGACTTATATCTTTCATTTTAGAGCATATTTGGTTGCTTTTTGGAAGATTGAAAAGTCGTCAATTTTGACGAAAATGGTAAGGCTTACCCCTTGCCATTTTGGTCAATTTTGACGACTTTTTGAAATGTTCGAAAACTGTTTTAAAATGTAAAAAATTGGTCCCAAGATTAATCTCTTTGGTTTTTGAGCATATTTGGTTGCGTTTTGGAACGTTGAAAAGTCGTCAGTTTTGCCTTCAAGTATTAAAACGTATTAATTTATGATGAGTGTTCACACAGGAATCGGTGGCCTAGTGGTTAAGGCTACCGCCTTACCAGGTTGTGATCGTAGGTTCGAATCCTGGAAGGGAGAAGTGCAATTTTTCCTACCTAAATTGCTATTTAATTTTAAATTCTGCGAGTAGGATTAAGTCGAATAAAGAACAAGCGCTTTTAATAAATGATGCTGTGGCCGAGTGGTTAAGGCTACGGCCTACCAGCTTGTAAGCCTAGGGTCGAATCCTGCGTTGGAAAGGTTCAATTTTTCCCACCAAAATTATTCTTTAATTTAAACTTCATCGAAAAGTATTAGGTCAAATAAAGAACAATAGCTTTCGACAAATGATGCGGTGGTCTAGTGGTTAAGACAGTCGTTTCTCAATCTGAGGACAAAGGTATCAACTCCGGGCAATGCAAAAAAAATTAGCGTGAAAAATTTCGGTTTGATTTGGAAACTATAAAAGGCATTTAGAGACTCCTGGGCCTTTGGGAAAAGACCGTAAATTGAAAAAAAATATGAAATAAAAAAACTGAAAGAAATTTCTCGCGTTCAAAAGTACCTGAAAATTGAAAAAAAGCACAAGTAAAAAGAGTACAAGTAAAACAATTTAAAAATCATGTGTCTTCTAAAAAAGCTTAAAAATTTAAAATTTCCCGCTTTTAAAAAACTCATGTTTACTTACCTTACCATATTTTTTTTTCACGAAAATTTGACAGGGTGATTTTCACGAGACTGAAAAAATTTACATTTTTTCACTTTTTTGAAATTCTCTTAGATATTTTTTTTAACAAGAAGTATTATGTCTTGGGCTACCTGTGTCAAGCCAGACACAGGTAGCCCAAGACAGACACAGTAGCCCAGACAGACACAGTAGCCCAAGACATAATTCTTCGTCTAAAAAAATTTTCGTCCTCAAAAAGATGTAACAAGAAGTATTATGTCTTGGGCTACCTGTGTCTGTCTTGGGCTACCTGTGTCTGGCTTGACACAGGTAGCCCAAGACATAATACTTCTTGTTACATCTTTTTGAGGACGAAAATTTTTTTAGACGAAGAATTATGTCTTGGGCTACCTGTGTCTGTCTTGGGCTACCTGTGTCTGTCTTGGGCTACCTGTGTCTGGCTTGACACAGGTAGCCCAAGACATAATACTTCTTGTTAAAAAAAATATCTAAGAGAATTTCAAAAAAGTGAAAAAATGTAAATTTTTTCAGTCTCGTGAAAATCACCCTGTCAAATTTTCGTGAAAAAAAAATATGGTAAGGTAAGTAAACATGAGTTTTTTAAAAGCGGGAAATTTTAAATTTTTAAGCCTTTTTAGGAGACACATGATTTTTAAATTGTTTTACTTGTACTTTTTTTACTTGTGCTTTTTTTCAATTTTCAGGTACTTTTGAACGCGAGAAATTTCTTTCAGTTTTTTTATTTCAATTTTTTTTCAATTTACGGTCTTTTCCCAAAGGCCCAGGAGTCTCTAAATGCCTTTTACAGTTTCCAAATCAAACCGAAATTTTTCACGCTAATTTTTTTTGCATTGCCCGGAGTTGATACCTTTGTCCTCAGATTGAGAAACGACTGTCTTAACCACTAGACCACCGCATCATTTGTCGAAAGCTATTGTTCTTTATTTGACCTAATACTTTTCGATGAAGTTTAAATTAAGGAATAATTTTGGTGGTAAAAATTGAACCTTTCCAACGCAGGATTCGACCCTAGGCTTACAAGCTGGTAGGCCGTAGCCTTAACCACTGGGCCACAGCATCATTTATTAAAAGAGCTTGTTCTTTATTCGACTTAATCCTACTCGCAGAATTTAAAATTAAATAGCAATTTAGGTAAAAAAAATTGCACTTCTCCCTTCCAGGATTCGAACCTACGATCACAACCTGGTAAGGCGGTAGCCTTAACCACTACGCCACCGATTCCTGTGAAACACTCATCATAAATTAATACGTTTTAATACTTGAAGGCAAAACTGACGACTTTTCAACGTTCCAAAACGCAACCAAATATACTCAAAAACCAAAGAGATTAATCTTGGGACCAATTTTTTACATTTTAAAACAGTTTTCGAACATTTCAAAAAGTCGTCAAAATTGACCAAAATGGCAAGGGGTAAGCCTTACCATTTTCGTCAAAATTGACGACTTTTCAATGTTCCAAAAAGCAACCAAATATGCTTTAAAATAAAAGATATAAGTCTTAGGAAGCAATTTTTAGCATTTTAAAATGGTTTTTGAACAGTTGAGAAAGTCGTCAAAATTGACCAAAATGGTAAGGGGTAAGCCTTACCATTTCGGTCAATTTTGACGAATTTTTCAATGTTCGAAAAACCAACCAAATATGCTCTAAAATGAAAGATATTAGTCTTAGGAAACAATTTTTACCAATTTAAGAAACTTTTTGAACAATTGAAAAAGTCGTCAAAATTGACCAAAATGGTAAGGGGTAAGCCTTACCATTTTCGTCAAAATTGACGACTTTTCAATGTTCCAAAAAGCAACCAAATATGCTTTAAAATGAAAGATATAAGTCTTAGGAAGCAATTTTTAGCATTTTAAAATGGTTTTTGAACAGTTAAAAAAGTCGTCAAAATTGACCAAAACGGTAAGGGTAAGCCTTACCATTTCGGTCAATTTTGACGATTTTTCAATGTTCGAAAAACCAACCAAATATGCTCTAAAATGAAAGATATTAGTGTTAGGAAACAATTTTTACCAATTTAAGACACTTTTTTAACAGTTGAAAAAGTCGTCAAAATTGACCAAAATGGTAAGGAGTAAGCCTTACCATTTTGGTCAAAATTGACGACTTTTTCAATGTTCCAAAAACCAACCAAATATGCTCTAAAATAAAAGATATTAATCTTAGGAAGTAATTTTTAGCAATTTAAAACACGTTTTGACCAGTTGAAAAAGTCGTCAAATTTGACCAAAATAGTAAGGGGTAAGGCTTACCTTTTGTGTCAAAATGGACGGTTTTTCAATGTTCGAAAAACCAACCAAATATGCTCTAAAATGAAAGATATTAGTCTTAGGAAGTAATTTTTAGCATTTCAAGACACTTTTTGAACCGTTGAGAAAGTCGTCAAAATTGACCAAAATGGTAAGAGGTAAGGCTACCTTTTGTGTCAAAATGGACGATTTTTCAATGTTCCAAAAACCAACCAAATATGCTCTAAAATGAAAGATATTAGTCTTAGGAAGTAATTTTTAGCATTTCAAGACACTTTTTGAACCGTTGAGAAAGTCGTCAAAATTGACCAAAATGGTAAAGGGTAAGGCTTACCTTTTGTGTCAAAATGGACGATTTTTCAATGTTCCACAGACCAACCAAATATGCTCTAAAATGAAAGATATTAGTCTTAGGAAACAATTTTTACCAATTTAAGAAACTTTTTGAACAATTGAAAAAGTCGTCAAAATTGACCAAAATGGTAAGGGGTAAGCCTTACCATTTTCGTCAAAATTGACGACTTTTCAATGTTCCAAAAAGCAACCAAATATGCTTTAAAATGAAAGATATAAGTCTTAGGAAGCAATTTTTAGCATTTTAAAATGGTTTTTGAACAGTTAAAAAAGTCGTCAAAATTGACCAAAACGGTAAGGGGTAAGCCTTACCATTTCGGTCAATTTTGACGATTTTTCAATGTTCGAAAAACCAACCAAATATGCTCTAAAATGAAAGATATTAGTGTTAGGAAACAATTTTTACCAATTTAAGACACTTTTTGAACAGTTGAAAAAGTCGTCAAAATTGACCAAAATGGTAAGGAGTAAGCCTTACCATTTTGGTCAAAATTGACGACTTTTTCAATGTTCCAAAAACCAACCAAATATGCTCTAAAATAAAAGATATTAATCTTAGGAAGTAATTTTTAGCAATTTGAAACACGTTTTGACCAGTTGAAAAAGTCGTCAAATTTGACCAAAATAGTAAGGGGTAAGGCTTACCTTTTGTGTCAAAATGGACGGTTTTTCAATGTTCGAAAAACCAACCAAATATGCTCTAAAATGAAAGATATTAGTCTTAGGAAGTAATTTTTAGCATTTCAAGACACTTTTTGAACCGTTGAGAAAGTCGTCAAAATTGACCAAAATGGTAAGAGGTAAGGCTACCTTTTGTGTCAAAATAGACGATTTTTCAATGTTCCAAAAACCAACCAAATATGCTCTAAAATGAAAGATATTAGTCTTAGGAAGTAATTTTTAGCATTTCAAGACACTTTTTGAACCGTTGAGAAAGTCGTCAAAATTGACCAAAATGGTAAGGGGTAAGGCTTACCTTTTGTGTCAAAATGGACGATTTTTCAATGTTCCACAGACCAACCAAATATGCTCTAAAATGAAAGATATTAGTCTTAGGAAACAATTTTTACCAATTTAAGACACTTTTTGAACAGTTGAAAAAGTCGTCAAAATTGACCAAAATGGTAAGGGGTAAGCCTTACCATTTTGGTCAAAATTGACGAGTTTTTCAATGTTCCAAAAACCAACCAAATATGCTCTAAAATAAAATATATTAGTCTTAGGAAGTAATTTTTAGCAATTTAAAACACGTTTTGACCAGTTGAAAAAGTCGTCAAAATTGACCAAAATGGTAAGGGGTAAGGCTTACCTTTTGTGTCAAAATGGACGATTTTTCAATGTTCGAAAAACCAACCAAATATGCTCTAAAATGAAAGATTTTAGTCTTAGGAAAATTTTTTTTAGCAATTTAAGACACGTTTTGACCAGTTGAAAAAGTCGTCAAAATTGACCAAAATAGTAAGAGGTAAGGGTTACCTTTTGTGTCAAAATTGACGATTTTTCAATGTTCCACAGACCAACCAAATATGCTCTAAAATAAAAGATATTAGTCTTAGGAAGTAATTTTTAGCATTTCAAGACACTTTTTGAACCGTTGAGAAAGTCGTCAAAATTGACCAAAATGGTAAGGGGTAAGCCTTACCATTTCGGTCAATTTTGACGACTTTTTGAATGTTCGAAAAACCAACCAAATATGCTCTAAAATGAAAGATATTAGTCTTAGGAAACAATTTTTACCAATTTAAGACACTTTGTGAACAGTTGAAAAAGTCGTCAAAATTGACCAAAATAGTAAGAGGTAAGGCTTACCTTTTGTGTCAAAATTGACGATTTTTCAATGTTCCACAGACCAACCAAATATGCTCTAAAATGAAACATATTAGTCTTAGGAAACAATTTCTAGCAATTTAACACACTTTTTGAACAGTTTAAAAAGTCGTCAAAATTGACCAAAATGGTAAGGGGTAAGCCTTACCATTTTGGTCAAAATTGACAATTTTTCAATGTTCCAAAAACCAACCAAATATGCTCTAAAATGAAAGATATTAGTCTTAGGAAGTAATTTTTAGCATTTCGAGACACTTTTTGAACAGTTGAGAAAGTCGTCAAAATTGACCAAAATGGTAAGGGGTTAGCCTTACCATTTCGGTCAATTTTGACGAATTTTTCAATGTTCGAAAAACCAACCAAATATGCTCTAAAATGAAAGATATTAGTCTTAGGAAACAATTTTTACCAATTTAAGACACTTTTTGAACAGTTGAAAAAGTCGTCAAAATTGACCAAAATGGTAAGGGGTAAGCCTTACCATTTTGGTTAAAATTGACGACTTTTTCAATGTTCCAAAAACCAACCAAATATGCTCTAAAATAAAAGATATTAGTCTTAGGAAGTAATTTTTAGCATTTTAAGACACTTTTTAAACAGTTGAAAAAGTCGTCAAAATTGACCAAAATGGTAAGGGGTAAGGCTTACCTTTTGTGTCAAAATGGACGATTTTTCAATGTTCCAAAAACCAACCAAATATGCTCTAAAATGAAAGATTTTAGTCTTAGGAAACAATTTTTAGCAATTTAAAACACGTTTTGACCAGTTGAAAAAGTCGTCAAATTTGACCAAAATAGTAACAAGTAAGGCTTACTTTTTTTGTCAAAATGGTAGGGGGTAAGCCTATTTTGATTTTTTTTTCAATGTTGCCGAAACCAATCAAATATGCTCTAAAATGAAAGATATTAGTCTTAGGAAGCAATTTTTAGCATTTTAAGGCACTTTTTGAACATATGAAAAGGACGTCAAAATTGACCAAAATGGTAAGGCTTACCCCTTAACATTTTGTCAATTTTGACGATTTTTCAATGTTGCAAAAACCAACCAAAAATAATCTAAAATGAAGGATATTACTCTCAGGAAGCAATTTTTAGAATTTTAAGACACTTTTTGAACAGTTGAAAAAGACGTCAAAACTGACTAAAATGGTAAGGGGCAAGGCTTACCATTTTGGTCAAAATTTAGGACTTTTTTAGTGTTCAAAAAACCAACCAAATATGCTCAAAAATGAAAGATATTAGTCTTAGGAAGAAATTTTTAGCATTTTAAGACAGTTTTTGAACAGTTGAAAAAGTCGTGAAAATTGACCAAAATGGTAAGAGGTAAGACAATTTCAATGTTGCAAAAACCAACCAAGTTTGAGGAAAATTTGAGTCCGAAAATGAATCTGGAGAAAAAAGTGTCGCAACTTATTTTTATGACAGTGAAAGGGCTTGAACTACCGCCTACGGACTAACCACTGTCCTAACTCACTCGAACACTGCTGCTGGTAGTGAAGGACGACAGTTTTTTATTTCATTTAATCCTTTTTTTTGGAGACATTGAAATCAAGTAAGAATTTGCAACTTCTTTTTGGACATAGCGTTTAAAAGTATGTTTCATAAAAGTAAAGTGTTTTGCGCTTGATGTTCAGGGCTGCCTTGATTTATTTTATTTCAATTCTTTTTACGATCATAATGAAAAACATTCCTTCGAGGATTCAAAACACCGACTTAAACGTTGCGAGGCCATTGCCTCAAAAACTGGACCAAGAGAGATCTTGTGATTCACAGGTTTGTTTTTTTATCTATGCTAAATCTTTTCATTAATTCGGGTCGTGATGTAAACATGCAAGATTCGAACCACCAACTTGCCAGTTGCGAGGCCATTGTCGTGACCTTGTGGCTATTCCCTCTTCTCATAATGAATGACGTTTTTTTAAATGTAGGCTAAATATTGAGCTGTGTCAGTGGAAATTTCTTTAAAATTCCACTTGTCTCTCCCAAAAAAATATAACACAGATGTAAAAACGCAGGCTTGGGGGGTATCCTTATTTCATATTAAGTGGCAGTTGGGCTACATCATAAAAGTTTTTCTAAGTTTTTTTAGGTCTGTCTACTTTGTCAAAAATGGTGCTACCATGAGGCAAACATATATAAATAATGATAGATTACTGGTCGTCATTTTAACGCACATCGCGGCCCAATTGACAGACAACTTAAAACGAGAACCAGGTGTAGGTATGAACCAATTCGTCAGAATAACAGTAGCATGAAGTGAAGCCAAGAAATACACGGTATGAAACAAGGAAAAATTATATTCTTGGAAATCAGATTTGGTTTCGCATTCCATGGCCGAAATAGTCGATGAACTTTCCGCACAGTTTCGCGAACTCTTCTGGCCACTTAAAAAATCGACGAACATTTTAGAAACGTCTTTAACGTTCTGGCTTATTTCAGGTACTTTGACACTAAAGAATAATACTGTGACAAACGTTAAGAGCAGATCTAAGCCAGCCTGAATATTAAGGTTAGGCCGCATGTCGACTTCAGCAATGTAGCCAGCAACCGGGTTGCACTTCTCATCCGGGTTATGCGATAAACCAGACCATGTTAGGTAAAGCGAGAAAATAATGATGATAAAACACTGGAATAAGCCAGCATCATAAATCTTTGGGTGTATAGAGATCAGTGAAGCTGCAACGGCTAAGACGAGGTTCAACGTTATAAATATTGTGTTTGTGAAACAACGTTTTGAGAAAAACACGAAAAACGTCACCACTGCGCCAAGGGAGACAAAAATCATAATAACTGTTCCAAAAGTCAGTAATGTTGACCAAAATTTGGAATATGATTTCACAACCTTTTCTTCTAAAGTTCTCCTAGTATATTTGGTCCAGTATATTAGTAAGATCAGTTGCAGTATGGTGAACAGAAATGTTCCTGTGAGAGACACGTAAATCCAAACCAGACTGAACTCGTTGGGTAACAGAAAACTAGCCAGTAACAAACTGCAGAATAAGCAGATTTTCACGGGCCACGCTTTGTACTGAAGATCCACGCGTGGGTCTTGTGTGCTATTCACGTGAAAGTCGTTGCTGTTTTTTTCCACGGCTGTGTCTCGCGAGTCGTCCACCAGTTGGCCATGCGCATGCGTGCTATCCTTGCGTGTGCGTGGCGTGTTGTTCACGCAAACAAGGACGACGGCAAAGAGTAGAAAAAAAACTGCCATAGCAAAACAAACGCGATATACGGCCATGTACGCTGGGTCGGTGTTCAAGCAGACCCCACGAGTGCTTACGGTTGAACAGAAATAAGTACTCTTACTAAGGCGGTGACGCACTTCCGGTACAAAAAGCAAACCGGAGAATAATACTCCCAGGATATAAAGTACCGTGTAAATGTACCTTGATGCAACGGGGCCATTACAGCAGCGACTACCGTCAATCAAAATCCTTCGAGAAAGCGTCAACTGCGATTTGAAGAATGTTTTGGCAAGCGCCAACAGATCATACGGATTTTCATTTGGATAGACAACTGGAACAACTGGAAATATTTGACTCCATATCATCATTATTAAAATCATGATAATAGTTAAAGATCTCATATGAAATGCAAATGTATGGACTGTAAATAGTCCAAGGACTTCGCCTTGCTTGAGTAACGTTAATTTTGTCGTCACGAAGAATACAAAACCAACAAAAATTGAGAAAAAAGCACAAATGTTGAAGACAAGAATTTCCGTTTCTTGTTGTTCCGCGTCAAAACTTTCCACTTCTACTAAACGATCGTCTTTCGCGCGGAAATCCCGCGAAACTGTCGTCCCACAAACGTAATAATATTTCTTTCTGAAATTTCGTAGAACAGCGTAGATTATGAGAAAAAAACCGAGAATAATTTCCAAACTTTTTAGAATGATCGTAGGTAACTCATCCCCACTTCTCGTGTCCGTTTTATCACCTTCAGCACGACAAAAACGTCCGTGATTCAAAGTTACCAGCGTCAGAAGTAAGACGAATAAAATTCCCAGGCCCGAATGCAGGAATCCAGTTCGCTTTCCACTGAAGTACGCAGTGATTAAAGAAAATAAAGTGGAAAGTATGAACATGATGGAAATAAGGACAGCGTTTAAACCACAGTTATCGCCGTAGAATGCGTACAAAATAAAAGTGGAAGCAGCCGCGATTATGTATATTCCCCAGATAATAAGCAACCAGAGGCAATACCACAGTCTTGAGCGTTCTTCTGTGATTTTGAAGACGAAAAAGTCACTAATCGCTGTCGACAAGTCTAAAATGAGGATGGCTTCAATTCCATAAAACATCAAACTTCCAAAAAACGATAGCATACCCCACATCTGGTCAAACCAGCCTCCTGGAATCACGAAGCTCAATGGTAATACAATCAGGAAAAGAAGAATTTTAACCAGCCAAAATCCCTGATGGATCTTCCAGGGGGGTGTGTAGAGAGCACTCGCTAACAACAAACTCATGAACAATATTTCTAACGTGAAACCAATTCTAACAGTAATAATGTCAATTCTTCTATCCGTAGATTCCAGTCCATCGCAGCCAGAGATCGTGCCCGCCTCGGACTCTTTTTTACAGTTCGTCAGCTCGAGTTCTAGTTCATGTTTAACCGGGGGGGTGTACAATAAGCTTGTAATCATGACGAACCAAAAGACGAACAACAGATACACGGTATTAACACATGCAAGGGATGTGACATCCTCCTTCGCAGGTCCAGTCCAAAGATATGACATAAGAAATCGTTCAAGAAACCCCATCGAAGCTCCCGTTGGGTTTCCATTCTGTTCACGTATATTACGCTTCCTTCCATCATCATTACCTTCTACTTTACAGGGGTCCATTTGATTAAAAAATCCTTGGATAGAATTATACTTATTACGGTTTACGCGTGGAGAGTTTTCATAAAACACATAATATACTAGCAGATGTATTGTGCTTTGAAATTAAAGCACTTTAAATAAGCCCACATATGTTGTGATACGAGTTATATTTTGTCGTGACAATACTCGCAGATTAAACTACCTGTTACCTCGTAAACAGGTGTGAATGAATCAGATACTAATATAAACAATTATGTCCAGGCAGCGTTAAGCCTGTCCTAGCACAGTTCCGTTGTAATAAAATTATAAAACGTTACAAATTTTATAAACATATATTGTTGTAAAAATAACATGGTGGAGGTAATATGGGGAAAAATTAGTGTCAAAAAAGTTAAATAAAGATTGAACGTTTTTGTTATGAACGGATTCTAAACAGTGCAGCACTACTACATAATTGTTGTTGTATTAATAGTAAACTAAATGTCTAACCTTATTTTCAGGTTAAAGTGCTTTAAATGACTGTAGTTCGATCCATGAAATGTACAAAACTCTTGGACATTTTTCTTTGTCATTCTTTGCCTTGACACGAAAAAAAGAGTTCAACAGAACATCGGCAGAAATAAAAAGAATTAAGAGTCAATAAATACTCTGTCAGGCAAAATTGTATATAAGTTTAGGCAAAACAAACTTGGAAGTAAAAAACCTTCCTTCGTTCATCGGGAATGAAATTCAAGTACGATTCAAAATAATTTGAAAGTCTCGCGCAAACTCCGCAACGAGTCCTCCCGGGCAGCATTATGGGTGGACGAAAATTCGGGAATACATTTGTTCACAACCACAATCAGTCAAAACGTTTGTCTGTTTCAGTCAAAGGTACGTACAATCAAGAGGCCAACTAGTATCCAACTTCAGGAAACTTGTATGATTATTTATATAACACATTAACATCCATATCTAATATGTGTTACAATTGTAATTCAGATGACAAATTTGTGAATAAAACGAAACAACACAATGTTAGGTATTAACGTTGAGAATGCCTGTTTCTGAAAGAATTCTTTGCAATAAAAATGTATTGTGATTTAGTAAAGTATTGTATATCATTAAAACATGTATTAAAAGTTATTGAACAGTGTCATTTGTGTGTTAATTATTCAGTACAAACCATTAAATTATGTGGTGACTCAGCGAAAAAATCTAAGCTTCTCTTTAAGCCAATCTTCATCTATTTCATCAACACTACGAACCTCAAAGTCCTGAAATAAGATGTAAAAAATTGATGAAGCTATTTAAAAACCTTGCGCAGCTGGATATTTTGGGCATTACTTCAATATTCAATGTCATATTTTCAATTTTTGAACAGACAGTAATCTCATTGCCTCAAGAAATAGAAGAATACATTTTCTTAAACAAGGCTTCACCAGTTGAAAATCCTGTTTCAATGGTTCTCCCACTGATTGCAGCCCATCAAAATGAAAGATTGAAATGAAAAGAGAATGAAATAAAAAGATAATGGTCCTATCTGAGAACGAACCTTTGTTGCCCCAGACATTTTGATTATATTGAGTTTGGAGCCTGCATACATCATTTGAAGTTCAGGTTTGCAACCTTTAGTGTATATGAAGAGAGAAAACTATTTTTAACAAACAAGTATAAAATAGCATTTAATGACAGGACAAATTTAATGAACATTGAGACACGAGGGAGGGGGAAAATAGATTTAAAAAAAATACCTCGTGGTGCAACGTAAATGAAGAAATAGGGATACGAGACTCTTCCATCATCATGTTTGTGGACATAGGAAACTAATGAATAACTACAACAGTTCAAGAAAAACAAAAATATGATTGTTGCAACTCTTTCCTTTCTTGTATGTCCATCTAAAGACACTCCTCTTTCTTTAAATCAAAGCGCTATACAATAATTTAAAGCATTGGGAACACGTTTTCCACAAAAGGATACGATGGTTGATGAGTTGGTAATGATTCTTGAAACTCTTCAATACTTGTATCCTAAAAATATCGAAGCGTTAATTTATGTCGTAATTTTAAACGGCACGAGCTTGGGCTTATCAACTCACCTCTAATTCTTCATCTACAACAATAAGATGCTTTTCCACATTGATCTTCACTAGATAATAATAAAACTGAATCAAGTGACGGCTTACATACAGTATAAATACATGATCATATTATGAATATTATCTAAACTAAATAAACCAACCATGAATGAGAATAATTTTACAAAGCTGAGTAGAAGGATGAACTCTCAACACTTACTTATAATTGCAGCAATATTTTTTTCCTTCCTCATTTTAAATTTTTTAATTTTTTTTAGTAAATCTTCATCAATATCGCAAATCACAAAATCACCCTGAAAGCAAAACAATCAGGACAGTCAGGATTTTCAAATTCCACCTACATCGAATAACACGTGAACAACAAGCAATCAAGTTATGTAATTATTATATATTCACAGTTAAAAGGACTTACCATTTTCTATATTTTTTCTTATTCTTTATGAAATTATTTTATATTTTTACCAAAAAAATATTATTTTCTTCCGGGGTATCGAGGCCTGCGATACGGATGTCAGCGATCGTAAATACGTCATCTTGCTTATTATTTAATGCTACTCATCTCAGGCAAGCGTTCAACGCAAATGGAGGCTAATAAATCACGCTATTTGCTCAAGGATACAAGAATAATAAAAACATTTCATTTTATCTCATCAGAGTCATCAAAAAGTAAAAAATTTCGGTCAGTATGCCATGGGATAACTACGCGATTTAAAATTGACAATGGTGTTCCAAACCCTTCCCCAAATGAATAAAAAATGGTTCTTTATTAGCTACTGGCACTTGTTAATTTTTTTTTAAAATTATATCCCTGCCTCACAAGGAACAGACAGGCCTACGCAGCCGATACGGGGCAACCAAAAAATGTTTATTATTATTTGTTTGAACTCTTTAATACTTTTAATCAAGTTCGTGTTTGCTATGGATGCCAAACACGATAATCTTTCTTTCAACATTACGTTTTTCTCATCTATTTCTTTTGTTTTGGGTGAAGATGCAGCTTAAAAAGTGTTAATAACCTGCGGCAATGCTTGTTTGAGCTGGGATGAAAAGATCATGAAGGTTAACAGCAACGTTTCGATACAAGACAGTCTTTTTGTACTTTAGGAGGAAAGATCCTCACTTTATTTTCATGAGAGAACGTAATGATAGTTGCGACTGCGAGCATTGACGCTCTGATGATTATTGTATGCATGGGATTGCTCGTTAGCAACTGAATACAAAATATCATTATTTTACCAATACACACGTTGTATTATTTGCACGAGTGATGATCCGTTATTATTAATGAAAATCAGTTTTGTGCATGTGCATAATTACTGGTGTTAACAAGAATTAGTCTCAACGGCCTCAACCTAGGCTTAACCTAGCTCGTCTCAGAAGAAACCTGGTTTCGGAAAATTAGGTAGAGACTTTATAGCGAGACAGTCGAAATAGGAGCCAGAAGATAAACCCAGCCGGAAAAATTCGTTGAGAAAGACGACGACCGAATCATCGCTTTAGTGTTGATGAAATGTAATGTAACAATCAAAATTACTCGCCGTCTTTTATTGAGGCTAACTCCAGAAAATGGATGCGGTTTCGAGCGCAAACACGACACGAAATGACATGAAGGCTTTGATTATCTGTAAAATAAACGCGCAATAATTGCATGATTGAAGTAAACCACAAACAGTTATAAATGTTGAACATGGTAATCTATGGCCAAATCAGTCCTCAGCAGATTTTCATTACAGCCGGAAATATTGTGAAATCAATTAGGTTCACTTGTTAAAAAACCATACTGTCCATAGCCTGTTTATAAAAAGATTAGCCAAAAAAATAAAACTTGAAGGAATTCGTAAAACGAACATGTATTCTTGCAGTTAGAATTTAGAAAATAGGAGTCATAAGCGCTGGCAACTTAGGAATGAGAGAGAGTGCATTGCTAAAATATTAATATTCTGTCATAGCCAGCCGGAGACAATCGACAATCAGCAGAAACAATGATATCAAGCCCTTTCTTCAGAGGTTAGAAACGTTAGAGCTTTCAAATGCATGGAAAGTCCTAACTAGACTGCGAGGCCGTTGAACAAAGGTCTTGAAGTTTTGCCGTCAAACGCTGGAAATATATTCACTGATGACAATGATATGCACGAAAAAATGAAGCGTATTTTTGAAATGTCACAGGTGAATCTGATATGTCATCAAATAACACCATACAGTTTGACTTATATAGTTAAGTATCCATTGGAAACAGGTTAGGATTGAAAAAACAGTTATGAGCTTATGTGCTGTGTTTGGAGGGAGTATTTCGTATAAAAACTGGAGGGTTTCGACTTGAATCGCATGCGCACTGCGGTTGCCATTAACGACGATATTAATGCTAATCATTTCACAAAGTAGTGAGGACATCTGTTTGCAAAGCTCAGAATATTCGTCTCTCATTGGCGCTTCGTCGTGATAATATTCTAAAATATTTACATCGGGCATGAATCATAGAATTGTGCATTTTATTCGTGGTCCATGCGACCGTAGATCGTGGTAACCAACGGTGAGTAACAGTGCAAGAGCGTCTTACATGGCGTGGAGCTGATGAACAGGTTGAGCAGGGGGCATCATTAGCTACGCTGACTTTGCTAAATCGCCATAATTAAAATTTGTTTGAACAAGACACAGACAACGTCTTCGCAACTGTGTTTCGTATTTCAACGGAGTATCAATTGATTACGGGCTTTTGCGGAAGCGATTTAACACGAAATGTCCGTGCGCGTCCAGCCCATGAATAACGGCGAGGAACTGCAATACTCTAATGACATAAAAGTGATTTTAAACGTCGGGGGACAACGACACGAAACTCATTTGAGTACGTTGAACAATTTCACAGATACGAGGCTAACGTGGATCAGCGAACAGATTAAGTTGGATCCAAGACCGAATCGTGAGTTCTTTTTCGATCGTCACCCGGGGTTATTCTCGCATATTTTGAACTATTTCCGAACAGGAAAACTTCACGCTCCGAGGGATATATGCGGTCCGATGTTTGCGGAAGAGCTGAGTTACTGGGGAATCGATTCGAAACTTATAGAGCCTTGTTGTTGGTCCTACTTCGACGAACATAATGAATTAGAAGAGAAATTACAAGGATTTGGGGCATTAGATGATAAGGATAGCACTGTCGAGAGCTTGTTCGAGGATGATGAAGACGATGAAAATTTTGATGATTTGAGCGACGGCTACCCCGAGGCTGACAGGGCACATCGTAGTGAAAAGTTTTTAGAACAGGCTCGTAAATCATGGCAGAGATATTGCAAGGTAGTTTGGAGGCTTTTAGAAAACCCGTATTCATCAACGGTAGCTTGGGTGAGTGCCATTATTGCGTGTATATATTTATTGGTATTTTTAAAACACTTTTATATATCAGCGTCCTTGGCTACTGCCGTGCGCTAGCTTCACCTGTTTATACAGTCAGTGCTGCCAGCCTGCCAGCCCTGCAGATGTTATAGTGTTGAATGTGCAGCAAGCACACGCCAGATAGAGGTTAACATGACAACCGATACTAAGCTTCTATTAAAGACACTTCGAAACCAGCGAGTGTTCGGCAAACAATTTACACCTCTATACAACTTAGATAAGGCCTTGAAAATTTACCTTCATTTTATATTTGAAAGCGAGCCGACATAATTTTTCGGCTGGAAAAACACTGAACTTGCGGGTTATCAATTTGACAACGCTGTTATCTGCATAAAACATCGAGCAATCGTCCTCGCCACTTCAAACTTTTGACGCAAGCAGAGAACACGTTTTGAACTTCAAACGATAAGGAAGGGCTCTTGAAGATCAAAAGTAATCTAATGCAAAAACATGTCGAAAAAAAAAAAATATTAAATCTAATGAATTCTGAAGTCAAAGGTACGCGGCAAGATAGTTTATTATAAACAAATGAAAAAGAGAATAAATGAATCTATGATTTTCTATTTAATTTCAACGGCGGGCATTTGGCATGAAAATGCATGAATAGAGACGCCGGGAACGTTGATTCAGAATGACACTAGTCTAGGTCACACGACAAGTACGGTTTTTTCATTACAAGTAAGCATGTCAAAACAACCTTATAATAACCTAAATACGAGATTAAAAGTTTGACATTTTGACCTGACGCTTTTGTAATTACCGGTGACATTAGGATAAATTTTTGCGCTGACAGCGCAAGGCGCTGAAAAACGTTCTTTTCTCAATGAACAATCATAATACGTGTTCTCATGAGCGGTTAATTCAAAATCGGCTTAGGTAGTTTTAAAACAGACTTTTAGTATTCAGCTGCTTCAGAGCAGTGAATTTGCTTCAAATGATACTAATTCTTACTCGTTATAAAGCCAATAGGCAATACGTATATCATTATCCTTGAATTTCAATACCTTATAGCCGTCTTTCAATCGTAAAATCTACACTTTGAATATGGAATTCCTATATACTTATATTCAGATATTTTCACTATTTTTGTATTTTTATGCGAGCATTGTTCGGCTTCAATTGTATTTTTTACCCAAATCGTCGAGAGCTTGCGTTATACTTAGGATCGCAATGAAAAATTTTCTCCTTAAAGCTTAGGAAATCATTAAAGTAGTTATAATATTAATTTAAAGTTAAAACTGATTCGCGTGTGTGGTTAAAAGTTGTAAATTGCCTGGGGAATAAACATAAGCCGCAGAGTTTGCAAAAATGATTGAAGATTTGAAAAACGTTGATAGCATCAGCAAAACTATGATACAGATACACCACAGTCTCCCAGACACTGAGGCCCCAGCGTTGTCTGTCTTTTTGTCTTGTTCGCAACAATATGCTTTGCTAAAGTGAATGTCAGCATGCATGATAGAAAACGAGGTTACTATTTTGTGGTTAAGCTATTAATAATTTTTGATCTCATACATACTAAAGGCCTATCACTGTCGTGGAAACGAATCGTACAGGTTGTGAATGGTTATTAGTTTTTCTCAGGATGCATTGCTGTGCAAAGCAAAGCACTAAGTGGGGTGGGTTGGGGGTGTCTGCTGAGAAGGGTTTGGATAGATCGAAATGTTCAAAATACAACTGCTTCTACAACACTTTTTTATCGTTTGCACTGACCTAAGAGACCTGTCAAATTTCGAAAGCGTAACTTGTTTTGTTCTAGTTAAAACAATAAGCAGATTTCATCTGTTGGTTATAGCTGACGCACTTTTTGAAGTGATATAGAAATATGTATGCAAAACAAGTCGAATTTTCAATCTTTTACTTTCTTTCGACAAAGGTAATCTAGTATGCACACGATTATTTCCGCTTCCTGAGTCTACGGTAGTAAATGAATTACTTTCGTCTTTCGACACTGTAATTATCCCTAATCTTATAGCGATGAATATTGCTGAACGGATTTTGCCAATAAAAATAAGTTGGTGTTCATATCGTCTTGCACGATCTGGTTAATTGTAACTTTAGCGTGCAAGCTTGCAACTATATATATACACACATGCAATACTTGTGACAGCATTCATTTAATAATCATATTGCGAGGCCGATGCCAACATTTTTACGTCTGTGTCATTCATATAAAGGAGGATTGGAGTTTGTTGATTTTTCTCAATAGGATTTAAATCGCCCCATAAGAATCATGGTAAGCTTACAAGCTGTGGCTTGCTTTTTATAATCACTGACCTGCGTCTTTGGTTAAGGATAGTTAATAGCATGCACTCTCAGCCAGAAAGAGGCTAACTCTAAAGCGAAATTCATACATACAATACAGTTGGATATAACGTTACCTTATTATAGGCAACCACTGAGTAATGCCTTGAAAAGTCTGCAAACTTCGAACAATAAATCTGCCGATTATATTAATATACTTTTATCATATGCACATGTTTTGTCTTTGAAATCACAATTAAAGTACGCCAGTTGCTAATTTAATGAATAGAGTTTATTCCACTGTCTCTGTGCCTCAACTACGCCGACTTTTTCGGCTTGCCGACCGTTAATTTAAAATAATCACATTTTAATTTGTCTACGTGTTTGTTCATTTGAAGTGATTTTAAGGCAAACATTTGCATACACGCCGTCAAGAAGTCATCAAATATAGTTTGTCCTGTGTCTGTGAAGATGATTCAAGATATGACAGTGTATAGTTTGTGCAATAAAAATGACTCAATGCATGACAGTATATATATTGTTTGTACCGTGAAAACGATGCAAGATATAATCGCGTATATAGTTTGTACTTGAAAATAACGAACCTTGACAGACAGTGGCCTAATCTACAATCCTAACTCCATTCAAAATCTGCAGATAATCGGTTCATGTTAGTGATAAAACCGTAGATTTATATCTTAATCCCTAGCCTTTAATCCCCGTTGACTATAATCCGAGGCAAAACCACACACACGCTCAGTGGCCAAAACCTACTAATTCCAGTTCCATATTTTACCAGGTTATCAGTTTTGTGTCTTTAATCCTGACATTTTTGATTGTGGTGTTATTCTGCATTTCAACATTGCCAAACTTAGACGAAACTCACAAAGACGTCGGTCTTTATCCCTTGGAGGCTGCTTCAATATGTTGGTTCACCGTCGAGTTTCTCATCCGTCTTGTAACCACCCCAGACAAGAAAGCTTTCTTCAAAACCATGCAAACTTGGGTAGAACTTCTTGCGATCTTTCCTTTCTATCTTCAACTTGGCATTCCAAAAGAAAAGGAAGAGCGTTTGAATGTCCTCAAGCTTCTTTACGTGCTGCGGCTGTATCGTGCGTTCCGTGCGTTTCGTTTTTCGTACGTGCTGCAAGTTTTCATCCAAACGATCAAAGGCAGCTTCCGTGAGCTGTTTCTGCTGTTCTTCATTTTCACTGTTCTCGTGATTACGTATGGCTCATTAGCGTTTTACGCAGAGAATAACGGGAATGGAATATTTTCAAGCATACCAGCCTCGTTCTGGTGGTCACTTATCACCATGACAACCGTAGGTAAGCATTTTTCCATAGTCATTTACCTTGATGGCAAACAATAGAGTGATCAACAAATTAAACCGCTGGTTCTTGGTACCTCCTTGTCCAGCATTCTCTCGCAAAATAAGTTTAGGAATGATCACTTTCGATGGTCTTAATAATCACATGTTAGCCTCGAAAACTTTTGCTGATTTTCTGAAATGAGTTCAACCATCGACTGCGGTATTCTCATGCAAACGTTAGGAAACAAGAGCATCATAGGACTACGCCTCGCGTGAAATATCGACAGCCACACTTTCAGTAAAAACGCGACGTACGATCGCTTATTATGCTAATATTATTTCACACACTAGGTTATGGTGACATGGTGCCATCAACATTGTTTGGAAAGCTGGTGGGTGGTGCATGCGCTTTGAGTGGCGTACTTATGATGGCGTTACCAGTCTCCGTCGTCGCGAGCAATTTCTCGCTGTACAATAATTATGCAAAGGTAAGTCGGTGCCGTTTATCGGTTTGTTTCATTGAATGCGATGAAAACTCTTGGTCTGAGGTATAGGACTATTGGGGAGCCTTTAAAATCGGCCCCTGTGAACATGGTAGAATGGTAAAAAACAGAATAACCTTTTTCGAACAGGTGAAGCTCAAGTTACCTCCAAGACCTGAGAAAAAGATTTTGAACAGTGCACTTCAGAGCATGAAGTTTAACGCGCCTGAGACGTCTATCGCTAGCACCGATGAACTGCCCAGGATTCCTAACGGCCGCCGACGATCTTACCGAAGTCGGAGTCGGTACTCGTCGGTTATTCCGACGCTTGAAGAGGAAGAGAGAAATGATGAAGAAATTGAAATGACCAACAGAAAAGAAGTGGGTGGAGAAAATTTGATAAACTTTACTGATTGTTTTCACCTTATTTCTTTCCCTGTAACAGGACATTGCAACTCTTTATTTCGTCGCCCATCGAGTCAACATTCTAATGTTGAAATGAATCATCATTCTGAGAAATCAGTAGTAGAATATTTACCTTGATCAAATTCATGAACGATTCCGCGCTTGTTTCCGTTTAATACTTGTGTTAAATTAGTGGCAAAATGACATTCGACTTCATCTATTTCCAGATACCAGAAGAGCGATCATCATCGGAGAGAAAATGCCTGTCAAAATCATCAAATGGTTCGCCGATGCCGTCGAGGACGAGGGAAGTGCGAATATCAATCCCGGAAATTTCCGAAACCTAATCATCTTCGCGCCTGAATCATGGTCTCGATTCCAACTGTCTTGGAAAGAGCCAAGCCAGTATCGATCCCACCTTCACACGAATCATACTGAGAAAACCCCTCTTATCCACCACAATCCACAGGAAATCCCGAGATGAGATGTAGTATAGACGGGCTTCAATGGAGGACGGAGCGTTGACATAGATCTTTATGAATGGATAGAAATGGATTTTGTGCGGCAATAATATAGCCGGAAACGATTAAATAGATCAGGTATTAATGGCCTATACCAATAGTTAAGAATGAACACGCCTCAGTTGAATATAAAGAAACTAATCTTAGTCCTTAGACTGAATGAAACTTGCTGTCATCGAAGTAAATCACGTTGAAAAAGTTTAGGTATGAATAGAGCAAAAGCAAGAGATTTTACCAGAAGTAGAATATGTTCGAATGTTAAATTGTTGTGTAGAAAAATCAGTGTAATAAAACAGTAATTTATCGTGATATCTTGAATTCATCAAGTATACATAAAGTTGTAACCAAAAATATTAAAATGGCGCCACCGTAAATGCTGACAAATTAACTGATCGATTAACATTCATGACTTGATTAAAAACGAGTTGATTCATTCAATTTTGAGGTAATTTCAAAAGCTTCCTGTTTCTCCTTGAAACTATTCATGAACCATTATTATGCATTGCAGCTTAAAAGAAAGCAACCTGATTAGTTCTACCCGAACGAAATCATAGTCAGAAAGTGTATTAAAACTAGTCCATACACACAGAAGAGAGCCTGCAGTCTCATTGTTGATAATTCAGTGTTGCATGCTGGTTAACCTTCATATATCTGTTAGTAATCTGCGGGCAATTACGGCAGCATGGGTATATCCATATGAGATTTGTCAGAATGAATTCGACAAATGACGGCGTATATATAAGCTTGCTATTAGCAATTAACTGTTTGAACAAGAGAATCTGAATGCACGAAAGAAAAGGTCAGTTTAGTCCAATGGATGGCTCACGAGTGTCAGGGGCAGGTTCAAGAGAGTTCATTAAATTAAAGTAATGACCTGAATTGTGAGCTGGATTGATGTAGAGCGGGCTCAACCACTTTGAACCAACAGACAAGATACGAGGAAAGCATTACGTGGGTCAGAGAAAAGGAAGTGAGGTTGTTGTTAATAACAGTGCTGATATAGCTACACGAGGACATCAGTGGGCTCTAAAAAACCCAAAACACAAAAAATGACTCACTAATTGAACAAATAATTGCCTAATCTATATGCAAAACGATAACAATTACAAACAGCTGAAAATTCACGCAGTACTAATTGACTGTCTGTCACAGGCGAAATTGAGAGAAAATAATTTTGCAACATATTTAGCAGCCCCCAAAAGGTGACCAAGGAGGTGAACCCAGACGACTGGGCTGGTCGTTTGGGAACAGTCAAAGCACTTCTAAAATTTTAAGTTTTTATTGAAAAATCATTGAGAAATCATAGCAGAATAGTGCAAGTCTACCAGCCAAGTTGCCATCAGTTAAATTTCGCTAGAATATGTTGTTTCTATCTGCGCAAAAACCCAACCAGCGTTTAAAGACCTGGAAGTGAACTTGTGAGCAATGTTGAAACAGCTTTTCCTTATGTGATACAGCTTCGTCAGCTGTAAACACTTTGTATTAACAAAAGATTGTGAGATTTTGATCAAATGCAATCTCTTATCACAGAGACTGAATACAATTCCTCGCCGGAAACTTTGAATACGGCTAAGAGCCAGATGATAACAGACTATCTTTCAAAGGTTCTCAGTTTTCTTATAACAATTCTGTCAGAACCATTTGAACCGTTGAACCATGTCAGTATAATTAAGGCTTGATATTCCCAGATATTTCAATGCTGACAAAACAAGTTCTGTCATGCGCTCGTAAAAGTATCAAGCCGATTTAAATAATGCATCATAAAAGCGAATGAATAGATGAATTAGTTTCATTTTCGTGTGTTTTTGCTATCATGTGATTAATTATGAAAAACCCAAGGAGGTTCTAGAAAGCTTAAAACATTTTTGGGAAATAAACATTATAATAGCTACGTACAAACATATTGGAATTCAGCTCAAAATGAGGTAAAAAATGGTATTATTCAGCTCAAAGTTTAAGCGTTTCTCAAACTTTAATCTCCCTTTGTGTCCAAACCACGCACCTGCTATTGGATTCAAAGCAAACGGGCAATGCTGTTGGTGTTTATATATTGCTTTATTTTGAAAATATGACTTCAATTAATTTATACTGTGACGTTCAACGGATGAGTACATACTTCCAGCTCATAATATAGGCAACCATGCATGCAGACCAGAACCCCCGCAGCGTGACTGCCGAATTTGTATCATTTTCTTCTTCGCAATCAGAATTAAATCACATCTTAGCAAGGATTCCTAGTGAACGTGCGACAAGCGCTAACCACCTTCGAGTGTGTGGAGTGTTGACGGGTCTGTATTTAAACCGCGTTTAAGAGGATTTCTGGTTTGTATTTAAATAACAACGTGGTGTGGAATTTGAAATTACGATGCGTGGATGCATGCAACTCTTGTTTCAAAGCACTTTGCACACAGACCGAATGAATTAATGTTTAAAAACGTGTATTATTACGAATGAGACTGCTAATTACAAGTGAGACCGCACTTTGTGATGTGACATTTGGACAAGCAATCGTCAAATAACAAAGCAACATTATACTTAAAAGAATATTGGACGATTGAAACCCAAGACACCGATAGCTCTTAACATAGTATCATCAGATATCAACAAGGAATTGTCCAAGACTGTTGCGCCGTCAGCTGGACTGTGAACGAAGGTGCTAATGAAAAACCCGTGGACAAAACTGTGAAAGTGAACAGTTTTTGAGGAAACGAGAAGTCGAGAACTGTATATGCATATGTGTGTCTTTAATTAATAAGGACAAATGCTGTAATAACTGGCGAAAACGTCGTAGGGCGACGCTGAAACAAAGACAACAATAAGCCTAAAAGCAAGAGCACTTAATGCTGAACTTTACCCGATAGAAAGACGGGCAAGAAGAGACAGCCATTCAAAGAAGAATAAGAACGAATTAGGCAAGCGAATATTTCCATTGAATTAAATAACTGCGGCCCCCCAGAAGTCAAGTGGATGTACGTCTGCATACGCATCGCTGTGTATTTAGCATCAACCTGACGGGCTATATTGACAAGCTTTCAAAGAAAAAGAAAACTGGGAGGAAATTGAAAAAAAATTGGGGTTACTGATAGCAACAGGAAGGTAAGGTGAGAAAATGTTTGACATATAATAATTTTATAATATAATATCCAGCCGTCCCATAAATAAACAGACCAGGTCAATATCTAAACATGATGCTGTCAATAGTTACAGGATTCACGACAAATTTATATACGCGCTCATATACTTGGGTGGGTATTTGAAACGATGTTTTTACAAACTTCAACGCACTGAGTCTGAGGTATTTTTTATTTAGAACGCTTCCTGTAGATAGGTCATAGGAGGAAATTTATCGGTGATTTAGTTGAAGACTAATGTCGTAGATGAATTAAAATTAAACAACTTTGTGTTGCGTTCTTGGTTTTCTATAGACCCTTTACAATAAGCGTGAGAACTAAGCCAGCCTTAGATTATATCGAGAAAGAATATAATTTAGGTTCCTTGATATAATGTGGAGACCTTAGCATCCAGAAATGACAAGAATCCATTCCGTCAAAATGAAGCGGTGTTTGAAAGTTTGACAATAAATTTAACGTATGTTTTTAGCAATTAACTGAAAGTGAATTTGTCAAAAACCGTCACAGACTGCCAGAAATACTTTTTTCTGCCTTCGTCACAGTAGAGATCTATATATAGTTAATTTTGATATCAAAAGAAGTCAGCTTCGCGCATGAATTTAACAAATCATAAAAGCGTTTTTGCGAGAGATGAGTATAGAATTAACAACAAATACAAAGAATAAAGTAGTAAGCCGCGCGAATGGACAGACTTCTTGTTTGCTTCGCTCTCCTAACTTACAGCATAAGATAAGATCCCTCTTGAATAACCATTATCACATGGACAATCTCAAAAATATAATATATTGAGCCGGCTGCGTTCGTGAAAAGCACGTTCATTCGAGAAAAGTTGAGGATCTTTCCTTGAAATCAAATATGAGTACTGACATTGTTGCATGGCTTTCAGATGATCATTTCAATCATATATTATATAACAATACAACGCGTTTATTCACGAATTTACAGTCTCGAATCTAAAAAAACAGTATGAAATCTGATCTACATGAAAGAAGAACCCAGCAAAATGAGCAAATCTATATACGGAAGAATAGCGTTGTTTCTGGCGTTGTTTCATATTGAAGAAGGCTGAAGGCGCCTGACAAAACATCAACATAAACTAATGTTTGTTAAAGCTGGCGAACTGCAATCATACAGGAATAAATTGAAGCAGTAAAACATGAAACGCCATTTAATCGATTCAACCAATTGTTAACATCAATTACAGAGCCTTAGACGGTAAATATATTGAACAAATGTCAAAAGCGATCATATAGATTATTATACTATCGCGGAAGGATGTCTCTCTAGATGTAACTCAAGAGATATTTATCATTCATGATGTTGAAGTTAAGTAAATATAGAAATTTCGAGGTAGGACAATCTTTACACAAGAACTGTGCGAGAACAGACGATAAAATGTAGCTCTAAAGTCCCTCTAAACAGGAGATGATTATAATTTCAAAAAGTAGGAAACATCAACAATTATAGATCCAGTGGAAATCGCAGAATGATTTCTCCAAAGCTCAAGCTCCCGAGTTCTTCATTTTAATTAAAGTTTTTAACGATTTCATGTATAGATAATTTGGCGCCCCATTGCAAACCAAAATATCTATTGTTATTTTTTGATATTTTTCAAAGATACAATTACTATCAGTTGTCTTATTTAATATATAGTGTCACAAGTAATATATTCAACGACACAGAAGGAAAGAGCTGTTGATGATTTGTCCGTGAAATCATGTTAGGAACATAAACACGTGAAAATTGTGCGACGTGGACAATATTTTTTTATCAATCAACACGATGTCCGCCTGTTTTACTGACCTCGATGGCGAGCAGGACGTTCGTGTCGTTCTCAACGTCGGAGGAACAAAACACGAAACCTTTCTGAACACACTCGAGAACTTTCCCGACACAAGACTGGCCTGGATTAGTGAACAACTGAGAAAAAATCCCGCTCGGGAGCGCGAGTTCTTCTTTGATCGACACCCTGGAATATTTGCGCATATTTTAAACTATTTTCGCACAGGGAAACTTCACGTTCCACGTGACATCTGTGGTCCCATGTTCGAACAAGAGTTGGCATTCTGGGGAATTGATTCGAAGCAAATAGAACACTGCTGTTGGGCGTATTACGATGAACACAACGAGTTAGAGAAGACTTGGGGTGAACTAATGAGCGCTGGACCTACGGAGTCGCCTAGCGACCAGGAAGACAATGGGATGTTGTCTGATGAGGAATCAGCTGGCAGTGAGAACGAAGGCTGCTGGAATAATGCAGTTAAAAAGAGATGGAGAGGGCTGAGAAAACGTATCTGGAGAGCATTAGAAGATCCGTATTCCAGCAAAATTGCTTGGGTAAGTTGCGCACGATGTGAATGATATCAAATGATATATAGAGACTAGGAATAACGAGGCTAGGATTAACCACCACATGGCCGTTAATCTTGGAGAAAATGCAGCTTAGAACGGTGTTGACCTTAGAATGAAAATATTTTGAATAAACAAGCCTAAAATAGACGGCGAGTTAAGAAATTTTCGATCAGTTTGCAGCTGCTTTTCATCGTTATCTCTACACAAACATTTATCAAATGAAGGAGCAAATGAATATTGTTATTTCAATAAGGCGTGGCTCTAGCAAATTTCTTGCATATACAAAAGAGTGATAGAATTCTTTATGAAAGAAAAAGCCGGGTCAACTAGTGTAGAACCTGGTGAAATAGAACCCAGATCAAATACGACTTCAACTCTCATGTCTGTTTTCACCATAGCTTGCTGTTGCAAAAAACAGCAAAACAACACAGTTACTTGGAAGCCCCAACTGATAAGTCTAATAGTTCCCACAAGATAAAATTAATAATCTTGTTCAAAATCTTATCTCATAATTCCATCATTTTCCTTCCAGATTATCAATTTGCTATCAGTTCTTTTATCAATACTCGTCATGTTGGTTTTTTGTCTATCTTCGCTGCCGGAGTTCAACGACAAGTCGTCGAAAGCTTACGAGGTCGCATTCGGACTCGAGACATCCGTGATTACGTTCTTCACGATCGAAGTAATTTTACGTCTGGTAACCGCGCCGACCAAACGAAAACTTTTACGGGGTAAAAGTATCTGGGTGGACATTTTTTGCATCCTTCCGTACTTTATAACGCTTGCCTCTGATGAAGAATCATTGGAGATCCTGAAAGTTGTTTACGTGCTTCGGCTCTACCGTGCTTTCGAGGCATTTCGTTTTTCATATGTTCTGCAGGTTTTTATCCAGACAATCACGGGCAGCATACGAGAATTACTTCTGCTGCTTTTTATCTGCTCTATTTTGGTGATTTCTTTTGGAGCTCTGGCATATTACGCCGAGCGCAAAGCAAATACGGATGGATTTTCAAATATTCCCGCTTCTTTTTGGTGGTCCCTTATCACCATGACAACTGTTGGCTACGGTGACGTATCACCCACGACCGTTGGCGGGAAAATCGTCGGCTGCGCCTGCGCCATCACCGGCGTACTTTTACTCGCCCTACCGACGTCCATAGTTACGACAAATTTTTCGCTTTACAATGCCTATGCAAAGGCAAAAATGAAACTCCCGCCGAGAAAGAAGACGCAAGTGGTCAGCCAAGCTTTGAAGAGTGTTCAAATGCGTAGCAGAGATGGACTACGAAGTAGCATGAATAGCCCGACCAACTATTCCGTCGTCTCGAAGACTGGCCAAGATGTTACGTTCTCGAGTAGTGCCTTAAATTCTGCAGGTGGCACCAACAGCCCGCGAACTCGCAGGCAAGCGATATCGCCACTGGCTCTCGAGTTGGAAAACATCAATATCACGACGAACCATCAGACAAACGGTATGAATCACTCGAACCGGCGCAGGTCCAGTTATTCGTAGTATTATTTCGTTGTTTGCCAACAAATGAATTCTTTCAGGCAAAAACACATTCAACAAGGTGATTTTACTAACGAAAAATACACCTGCTGGAGGTCTGGAGGATAGGATGAAATTTACTTCAAATGCGAAGGGTTTGCTTAGCCATGACCTCGCTTGAAGGGGCCGGTTCAGTGGCCGGTTGTACCAAGCCCGTTTAGCTTAACAAGTTTGATACAAGTACGCCGAGTGAATTATTACTGATGTAGAATATACGAAACAGATTATAACAATTCAGACAAACAGTTTATAACAATTCTTTACGTGAATTTTCTAAAGATTTCCCATTGAATTTAGCTAATGTATCATGTTGGTAAGAGGGAATAGCAACAAAGATTTTAATAATATATATTGTGACAGTATTTATTTAATTCGATGAATCGAAGAAAAGATAGAATTAGATTTGATGTAAATATTGTAATTTGTTGTTAAATATATATTGTGATAAATCAAGGTACATTTAGTCCGCCGTCAGAAATTAAGATTTCAACTTTTAGATCCAATCTGTCAAAGCGGAACTTTGTAAAAGAGATAATGTTCATCCTCACGAAACACAAGAGATCAGCTTTCTTGAGGTAAATCATTCTTCACGCTCTGACAGAAGTTTAAGGAAAGTTATTTCCTGTTACTGAACATCCAGAATTCACATACAAGCATTTCGGTCAGTTTAACGATTGTTTTAATTTGATTATTTCCTCTGCACGCGAAAGCAACTCTCATTCACCCAACGTTATTGCCCTCCAAGACCAAGTACACTGACCCGCAATGCGTGAAGCAGCGGTCTCGCTCAACTTCGATAAGTGTCATGTTGATAATAACCAGGCTTGGTCACGAGGAAACCTCCATCCTGACCTCCTCTACGAGCATCCTGGTTCTCTTTCCATCCCTTGTTACCCCCGCCTGTATCCATCCCACCACGATTACCCCTCCCAACACCTAACATATATTTCAAAGTTACACTGGGAACGAGGAAATTTCTCTCCCGGGACAACGACACAGCCACCCCAAGATAATAGGGGGATTTAGCATGAGGACGTGAACGTCAAAGAGGACGTGAAAATGGCGAATAAATGGCGTGATGCGTCTATACATGGACATGCCACGCCATTTATTCGCCGTTTTCACGTCCTCTTTTACGTTCACGTCCTCATGCTAAATCTGCCTAATCACTTCTTCAATGCTACACTGATCCGTCATCATGCGATTCAAGGAACATTTAGGGACGCAAGTAGGATGTCTTAGGTTGACCGGACGTTAAAAGCGAGAGAGCGCGCGGGCATGTCATATAAAAACTATCAATACCTCACAACTATCACCGTGTTTAAATCAGTGCTGGCAAATAGTTCCCGGCGGCTACATAAATAACAAATAAACTCATACCTGATTGTACCCTTGAACCACCACGTCCTCCTTTTCCACCCCCACGACCACCACGATGTCCTAAATATTAATCATTATCAAATTTTGGGATTTATCAAATTTTTGACACTTTATTACAGTTTTATATGCGGGAACAATTCATTCAAAGAATTATCGTAGGTACAGTATACGATAGTTATGCTGCATAATAATAATCTCACCTCGTTGATCCCTAGCAGGTTCTTGTCGTTTTGAAAATTGTGGCATATCCGGAGGAGGCCCCTTTGCAGAAGGTTTTCCACCCCTGTACGGGACCTGGTAAAGAAGATGATATATTTTAGTTTGCACTAAAATATTAAAACCATAACCAGGCTACAATTTCATGCCAGCAAGAAATTCATAACGCTATAACTTAGTGTGGTATAAAAGGTATTTAAATAGACCTTATAGTGATCGACCTAATATAATAGTGAAAACATTACCTTTCCAATAAGTACTCTGTTGATAGCACATTTTGTTTTCTTTCTCAAATCTCCACTACTTGTTTTTGTCACTTTAGTCAAATCTGCGGTAGATGCAAGAAATTATATTTGAAGGATGCTTTTCCCTTTGAATGCACCCAGGGTCAATCAAGAGACAAATCAAAAAGTCAATATCTGTGTTTTCTTGTTTATGTTTACTCTCAACTCTTGTCTGTCTTTCAAGTTTCAATATTACTTGACACTCACCTGTTCTGGCAGCCAAGATGTCAGCAATTGAGACTGGGGCTTGTTCCTCCAGGGACCTTCTGATGGGTTGAAAATCACCAGATATTGAGTCTTGATTTCTCTAATCAATAAGCACAAAAAATTCTCAAATATAGTCTGGGAATTCTTAAATATTGTCCAGGGATTCTCGAGTAGAGCCTAGGAATCAATATTGCCTAGAATTTCTTAAATATAGCCCAGGAATTCTCAAATACAGCCTGAGAGTTCTGGCCATATATAGAATACATAAATGACATACCTTCCCAAGTTCTGACCACTGAAATGATCTGACTGTGACATCGAGACGAGTCAGCAATGTCCGTCTCCGAAGTGAGTATTCTTTTAATAGTGTTTTATTGATTTGTTCAACCTGTGCCTGTCAAAAAATAAATAATTGCTTGTTAGATAAAACTCGCTGTAATTTTAAATTGTTATCATGGAATAGGATTAGCCATCGTTAGTATACCAGTCTACCCTTTTTGTTGTCAAAAAGGTGCAATTCTTATCTTTCTAACTTGTATGGATGGAAAGTGTCTTACCCATTGAGTTGAATTAAGGCGTTTAGTAAGCAATGGTTCACCAAGATGACCTTTGGGAAATTTACGCACAACGACATTCACCTGAAAATACAAAAATTATAAATTTTCATTCAAAGGATTTGGTCTGGAATAAACTACTTCCAAATATAAAAATTGAAATGTTATGAAGCATAGTTGCATGCTACGGTTGATAAGAATTACCTGCTTCTCAATGTTGGAAAGTAAATCAAACACTGAGACTTGTTTCTCAGGTTGGGGAAGATTCAGAGCTTTCAATATTGCACTTAGATGTTCAAATGCTGGACTGGTCTAAAAGATGAGGAATTAAAGATTATAGTATTTTCCACAATATGATGTAAAGCCAGTAAGAATATTACCTCTTCCTCATCAACATCCATTGCTTCATCATCTTGACCTAGGATCTTGCACGCCTGTAGTTCTGATGTCAAGAACAACAACAATAACAGCCTATTTTCTGATGAATTTAGACCAGTCACCCCCAATAATTCTGGGTAAGGACAACCTGTGATAGATACAACAGAAAAATCATGTCAAGTGTCACAGGAAAGAAACATGGTTTCCACTAACAGAACACTTAAACTTACCATATTCCCGGAGAAATTCACTCATTTCAATTGAAAATTCATCTTTATCAGTGCCTAAATAAAACACACTTATTCAATTCCAAAACATATCACATTTCATTGGCTACTAGTGTCTTCAAACAGAGCTTCACTCAAAGACTATTTGCATTGCATTCCCAGCAATATCTACCAATTTCATACTTACCAGTAATTCTCTCTATATCTCCACTAAAGACCTGTATTTCATCTGTCAACCATTTGCACAACCGCATGAACTCAAATGTGATTTCTTCTTTTTCTACACATTCGAGAAGCACATTCTCCTCCATAATAGGATCATTGTACGCAAAACTAAAATACATATGAAGATATATCTCAACCGATAAGCAAGGATTGCATTGGCAACTGATTCTTCCAACAGAAGTTCTGTCCATTGTATCTCTCTTGAATTTTGTTGAAAGAGGCCATTGTGAGTTACCCACATATTACTATGATTCAACAAGTAAATTTAAGATACCATATGAATTGAAGATACCATATACTGATGTACCATGGGTTGACATATGCAATCTCTTTCACTGATTGGTCTCAAGTGTTGAGTGAACTCACCTCACAGAATGTTACATAACTGTACATATGGTATATGAACGATACATGTACAAACAGGCCACAAAGGCACAAACATAACTTTGTTTCCATAACGAAAGTAATATATATAGAAAAGTATATTATATAAAAGTATACGTTCAACAACTGCTTAGGGACGGCTTAACTTACCCCAAATCCTCAAGGGAATCAAGGACATCCTTCTCCATGTTCAATTCAATGCCTCTTGATCACTTTACCATGACTTTTCTTCAGTTTAGGACGAGTTTTGAATTGCACAACGTGTTCATTGATTGGATTTTCTTCTTCAAAGTTTTGCCGCGCAACCTGGCAGCACACTGGCACTAGCTGGTACGCAAGTTTTATTTTGCGAAAATCATCGCATTTTGACCTGCACAGTCAAACTAAAATCCCTTAATACTTCAGTCTGCAAGACAGAAACGCTTATAGTATTACTTTTATACACAAATAAACGTATAAATTGGCACCACAAACATTGAAATAATTCAAATTTCGGAAAATGGTAACAGTTACAGTGCTTGTACAACCAAAGCAAGATGAAGTATCTCATAACCGCTGTTCCGCAGCGCCGACGGTATCTTCTTGAAACATGAAGCGAGATAAAATGGCGTCGGGGAATATCAGCGAAGTTGTAACTATGTACCAGACTTTGGTTAAAGACTGGAATAAAAAGCCCGTAAATCTTGAAAAATGCGGCAAGTTATTGAGCTCTCTGAAGGTGAGAAACACCCGATGCGTTTCACTTAACAGTTGTCAAATGGAAACTGTTTTTTTTAAAATATTCACTTTGAGCCTTTGAAATGTTTGAAAAGAATTTATATTCTTCCGGAGTCATTAAAAACATGCTAAATTAAAGATCATCCTATCAAAGCAAGCTATTTAAGTATTTTTATTTATCATCAGGCAGTATCAGGTTTGGCTAAAATAACTGTGAAATTTTGACATGTCTATAGATCGCCCTAACTGGCCTGTCATTTCTTCCAACATCAACATCTGGCCCCCAACCCCAAGAATTAGTACTTGCAAGTGAGTGTTGGCAATTATTACCATCAGAAGCATCAGAAATACCTGCTGTTTCTTACTAGAAACCCATATGAAAAGCTATTATAATAACCTTATAGGAGATGTTTTGGAAATTGGAGTTCAGTGGAGTGTTGAGAAAAATGATATTGCTTCATTCGAACGATACATGGCACAGCTTAAACCATATTATCTAGATTATCGGTAATGTGAATCAATCAGTATGTTATTACATCAATCAATGGATTCCAGACACTGGTTGTATAAAAACAAAGTTCACTTTTAACTGTAGTTTGCCAGCCCTAAGATAAAAAGAATCTTTCCCATATGATTGCATTGCTGGGTCAGAATTGCTGGGTCTATCAGACAACTGTGTATCACAGAAAATTAGACTTGTCCCACTAACGTAACTAGCTACAACTATTGATTTCTCTCATTTAACAGAGGCATTCTTCAAGAGTCACCATATATGTACCAAATGCTCGGCTTGAATCTTCTCCTTTTGTTGGCACAAAATCGTTTAGCTGAATTTCATACAGTATGTGATCACAACTTGTTAAAGACTAAAGTAGTCTTCACCACCTATCTACTAAATACACAGAAGAATCACATAAATACACATAAATACACAGAGAATAAACAGAAGAATCAACAAATTTTCTTATATATTAGGAATTAGAGTTATTACCAGCCACAGAATACAATGAAAACATCTATATCAAACATCCGGTACAATTAGAACGGGTATGTCCAATACTTAGACTTTTTCATTTTAACAGCATATTTTTCTGCTTTTTCTACTCACAAAATTCTGATCTTATCTTTTTTAGTTCCTAATGGAAGGAAATTACAATAAAGTAATATAGAAAAAAGATTTGCAACCGTGATTTTTCTTTTTTTTTTAAAGATTATCAACAATAGATATATAAAAAGCATTAAATAAATGCTCAATTTTGTTTGGCAGGTGTTTCTAGCGCGAGGAAATGTACCAGCTAAAAACTATCATGTCTTCATGGATATTTTAATAAATACGCTGCGGTAGGTTGGGAAACTTCAGATGAAATACAGTGAAATTAAGAAACATGGTTTGCAATATCTTTCACTCTTTTCTGATAGAGATGAAATAGCAGCGTGTCTTGAAAAATCTTATCAGAGAATTTCATTCAAAGAAGCGCAACGAATGTTATATTTAGATTCCGAAAAAGATATTAAAGCGTTTGCAACAAAGGTGAGGATAACCCTCAAACACGGAACTCGATTCTAATAAAGACATCTCTGTAATGAGAGGGGGGGACCTTTCCCCATTGAAGATATCTCACTACTAATACTGACCTTCTGTAGCACGGGCATCCCCACTCACCAATGAAGACATCTCTCTAATACGAACCTCTTCCCATTGCGGACCTCCCTCTAAAAGGGAGCTGCTCGTCTCGATTAGGGCCATCTTTAATGGAAACCTCTCTCCAATACAGTCATTGTTCTATATTGATTCTCGAATACGTCTTCTTCTAGCGCGGTTGGAAGCTTGGGACTGATCACTTCTATATTTTCGAGGAGGAGGAATCGGAGAGCAAACAAGGAATTCCATCAATAAATACGATCCAACACATGTTGGAATATGCCAAGGAACTTGAGAGAATCGTTTAAGAACTTAAATATGAACAGTTATTTGTGTTTGTTTATTTTATACGTAGTGCTAATAATACCAGTTGTAAAATGTAATAAAAATTATAACAGTCATCCATTATACTGAATGTGCCCGAAATTAGCAAGTTCTTACACAAACGATTTATAATGACAAGGTTTTCCATGACTATCTTTCGGTTAACATGGAGAAATACAAGTTAGAGAGGTTAATACAGGTTAAAAATGAAGAAATACAAGAAATATACAGTGAAAGTCGCTCACCACGTGATACGGTCTGAAAACACAAGTCAATTTTTTTTAAGTTTACTAACTTTTTTCACAGCAATAATAAGCGTCCTTAGGGTACATCTATTTGAACTTTGCTGTATAAACTAGTATTTCTTTCAAAGTATTTATAGAAGGAAATATTTTATTGACAAACGGATCAGGTTTAGTCACAACTAGTCGTGGAATAGGGACCCTCTTTTGGTAAAAAATGTCAGAGCCATATTGAAAGCAGCATGTAAAACTGTTTAAAACTAGGTTGGCTGTTTTTACATCACGTCCGCGTCGTAGATTTGGTGCATTTAATGCCCTAATGCGGGTTAAAAACAACGAAGCAAAAAAAAACATAATTTGACCTTTGACTCGGCTTTTGACGTCCACGTTTTTCATACGACAAAGCCCACGGAAGACTCGAGTCGTAGCAAGTGGTTCACCCTCCAGCCGACAGTCAAAACAGATTGAGTTGAGCCGGTAAGATTGACAGGCTTACAGGTAGAACCAAGGAAATATCATTAGCTTGACAATTGAAACCTCTAGACATGCTGTTGTCATTTGCACACCTGTCTCCCAACAGAAACGTCCGTCGCGCCGAGGCATCGTAAGTGCAAGTTGGCAAGAGACAAAAGAGCACGCCATATTATCAAAAGAAAAGTGGTAACAACAAAAGATCAATATTTTATTTAGAATATTGATTAATGTCGAGTCCTCATAATTGGCATGAAACGAAAGGACTTGAACATTACATCTTGGCACTTGGCAGACATGGAAAACCCCAGAACTTGGCACCAAATCCTTTGGAAATTCAGTTTCTACTTCGCTATAAACTATGCTTCATCCACATTGGTGCTTTATCTAACGGGGAATGCCCTCTATTCTCTACTGCTATTAATTTGCTATGTTTTTGTAGCAAAAATTAGAAGCGATTTTTTTCCACCAAATGCCAAAGGTCATCATCCTTGGACTCAATACAGCCTGGTCGAAGAATTAAAGAATATCGATATAAATAAAAGATCCTTTGTTATCGAACGTTTCGTCCAAATGGACCGTAAAAGAAACGAGAGGAAAAGAACTCTTTGTGACTCGGAACGCTGTGTCGTGTGTTTAGACGAGAAAGCTGAAATTCAAACACTTCCCTGCAGACATCGAGTGATTTGTGGTCTGTGTGCTTGGGAGACTTTCAAAATGTCTTTAAAGAAATCCGATTTGCACACGTGCGTTGTCTGCCGTTGTCAAATAAAGGACTTCAATGGCTCCCTGTTTCGAAATCTCCTTAATCTGACTTGGCAAGACGTCAGGACGATTTTGGATGAAACAAAAGCTACGCAAATACAGATTCATAAATAAATAAATAGACATGGTCATGTTGTAATATATTTGCACTTGCACGGATCATTTAGTAGCAAATCATATTGTTAATGATAAATTGGCAAGGACAGTCGGCAAGGGTTGCCTGGGGAACCTACTTCGACAATCTACTTCAATGTTAGGAACATATTAGCTGCAACATAACATAAGATATTTGCAAAGGAAAGCTAAGCTAATGAATTGCAAGCATACCAAGACATAGATGGCGTAGAACAGGAAGTATAGGAATTGATATAAATGTTTTTTCTATATATAAATTTCTCGACTCCCTAATTATTGGCTTATGATTACTTTGATGGGAACTTTGGAGAAGAATTGTCAGCACTTGATGCCAGTATATTGAAACCTTGTAAAGTATTCGCCGTTTAATTCACCGCAGTTTCAAAGTCGCCTAAGCTTTAAGCAAACTTTTTTATTTAAATCAAGGTTTATAGACCTCCTTTCAAAACAAACCACGTCTATTGTGCCGACGCACGTGCTTAGCATGTGGTCATTTCCTGGCGGAAACTGTGCACCGGGTTGATCAGCACGGAAGAGCGGTTTTGTCACGGTCCCAAAAGCCATCAAGACCTGTCGTCACAACACTAACTTTCCTGTTAGTTCACGATTGCTAAGATCAGACCGCTAATTCCTGTGGGTCTCTCAAACGTCTAAGAATTTGTCTTTGTCTTTGAATATCTCCAACCTCAAACCGCAAAACTGTTCATGTGTCATAATATAAGACTGTCTAGGTTCGGTGAACATTGGACCCAGATATTAGAATATTCCGGAAAAGGTAATTTCGCGTCCTCGAGATTTCTTCCACTTTACTGGAGCCAAAAATGTCGTAATACCTCTGATGAAATAGCGTGACTTACCTAGGACAAGCATTTCAATATCTCAATGAGATTAGTCACGATCTCATGTTCTTTAGGATTGTCTGATAATCCGTTAAGAATCGCTGACAGCAGTTCGCTCAGTCCTTGTAAAGATACGGCTTTCTTGCGAAGTTTGCCACGCTCCTGCAAGCAAGAAAAAGTTGTCAGCTCCACTTGCTCCGGCAGTTAGGTACAGACCAGCTTATTTGGCACAAACCAGCTGCTAACATTAGAATAGAGAGAGTGCAGTAATCTTGAAACTGGAAGTAAAATATTTATGTTTGTCTCGTGAAATCCTGGCGAGGACTTTGCTGGATGGCATAAGAAGAAGCACCAATAAACGCAGGGGTTTTTTATTGCATGGGAATCTAAAAATCGTGTAAAACATAGGTCATATATAGAACACACCTGTTTTCTTAACCATGTACTAACAGATACTGGTAATCCGGACAGTATTCTTGCTGTTTCACCAGGGTCTTTACATTCAAACAAATATTCAGCAAATCTTTGCCCAACGATACCCAAGACCTTTGAACTAAGATTCTTCTTTTCACGCACAGTGAGAAACGCCTAGGAGAAATATAATTTAGTACAATTACCATTATTACCATTACAAATATGTGCTGTCCAGACTCTCTGAGATCAGTGCTAGGAAGACAGACTAATATATTCACCTCTTGTGCTAACTTATGCAAACCAACAGCGCATAGTTCACACACGTAATTCTCTCTCAAAGGCTCAATATTTACGCCGACTTGTTCGGCAAGTTGATATATCACTGAGGACCAATCAGCTGCCGTCTCCCTCAGATTCTGATTGCTCATTGGTGGGGAGGTTTCGGTGGAAACCAATTGAACAAGAGCAAGTATAGTTTTGTTGAAATACTAGAAAGAAAGATGTTAAAAGAAGTGTTGGAAACTACTAGCCGCATGTTTGGCGAACACATCACATTAAAAGGCCTTTCGATATTACCGTCTCTCGATCTTCAAAAACTGCCGCTTCCGTCTCTGATATTTCGTACGAAGAACTCAACTTCTTAAAAACCATTTTCTTTTCCTAGACAGAAGAGAAAATAAATTACTGTTGTATGTAAATGAACTCCAATTCAATGCCTATTTGCAAAAGCATATTTTTAACTTAAGCTAAACAATTTTGTCTTTTTCTTAATCGCAAGCTTGACAAACTGTACTTTCGACGGTGTACTTCAAGATAATGCAATGGAGACGTACCTTGCTACTAAGAAGACACAGTGGCTTCACACTTTTCATGCCCAGTCCCATGATGAGCCACAATACAGACACGAACCAGTAATGAAGAGCGACTAATTCCTGGTTACTTCGAGCAATTGCTATCGCCTCTTGAAGGAAAGTCGATGGTAAACTATGAACGAGAGATGCAAGTTAAATAAACGAGGTGTATGTTGATGATACAAGAGATGAAGTCCAGGAAAGCAGTTATCAACCTCGCCCAATAATATTTACTTACACTTCTCCTGTTTGCCAATGATCTTCTACCTCAAATGTGATCTTCTGGTAATCTTGATCAAAATTTTCATCTGAAATCTGCGAAAATATTATGGAAAACAGTTCAACTCAAACTTAACAAAGCGCTCAAGCGATCAGGGCACCTCACCTCAGCTAAGAACTGCAGAATCGATCTGGTGAATTTCAAAAACTCTGTCAGCGTCGTGCAGCCCATTCGAACCGTCTGCAACGGAGAACGACGTAAGAGATGGCGGGAGAAGGTTTAGAGAAAAACACAAAGTTTCGATTACCTTGAGACAGAGTCGTTCTTTAGGGGCTTTTCCAACCTACAAATGAGATGAAAAATGAAGTCGAATCTACTCAAAAGGAGAATGTTCACCGAAATTAAAGAACAAAGTGCATTTTAAGCTTGCCTTTTCAGTCAAGGCGGTGAGCGCTGAGACAGAATCCTGAACCTTTCGCCACATGAAAACACATAATCCTACACAAAGATAATCAGAGATAATCACTAATCTGAACTAATCACTAATCTGAACTAATCCTAATCCTAATCCTCAGAGTTTTCATACATCATGGTGGAGTTGGATGCCAAGCATTTCCACAAACGCTACTGAGGATTTATCTTATCACTAATTCATGCATGGTTACCTACCATGTTGTAAACTCTGGTCATTAATACACGCCGCATGATTCAACGCTCTTTGTAAAACGTCAGGACGCTAAAAAAAGAAAGAACAGTTCAGGTCAACTAAAATACTTCTCAATATCGGATTAAATATATAATATACTGCTTGTAGTGTTAAACATTTTACCTCTTTGTCTGCCAACCACTGGTTTAGATATTCCTGAACGCAATGAGCCCACAATACATCTTGAGCCAAACTGTGGGGAAAGCGTTTTCGCAATTCGGGCAAACCTTAGAAAAAAAAGAGTTTTGTTCATCTGAAGAAGCTAAGAAATTATCAACGGATACAACAATACTGAAGCCTCATTTGAATTAATCTTCTGGAAAGCTTTTACCTTCTAACAATGGATCAGAGCTTGGTTCCTCGATTGTTTCTTCAGGTCGATCATCGTCGTTGGATGATTTTGAACGAGAAATTTTCCTCACCCGCCGCTGACCCAGACTATCTGGAGAAATATCATTCCTGGCCACACATTTTGCAACAATCTCTGGTATTCCTGACTGGCCACGATCTAGGATATCTGGGGGTAGTAAAGGATGGAGCAGTTTAAAACTCATGTTTCACATACAGAATATTGTAACACCACGTCTTTACTCACTCAATACGTTCACAGTTGAAAGAAGTTCCAGACATTTACTTAAGTCTCGATAATGTTCTTCCTGCTGGGAGTGGCTACCATTTTCTAACGATAAGCAAAACACAGCAACATTTAAGATATCTTCAAGCTGGTTGACAAGTAAGTTCCACCGTTCCATTTCCAGCGACACCGAGACCCAATCAGCGTTTTCCGTCTGATGGTCGCCGTCACTCTGTAATGAAAACAAGAACATTGATAACGCGAAACCTCGCATCTCATCTTTACAATCTACACGATACCTCAAGCTTCTTTGCAGCAACTTGCTTCTCCAAGACAACACTTCGACAGCAGACTGCTGCTGACAATGTTTGAAATGTAACTGCAGACTCAGCTAACTGATGACGTAACTTCTCCCACCATGCTGTGATTGGACAATGATCCTCATTTGCTCCGCTCTGAATGGCTGAAAAAAATGTACAACACAATCATTTATGGCAGCTAACTTAATTTGGATTAAAACAATACTCTTTCTCCTAACGGGGTATAGTTAAGCTTACTTTACCTTTCAATGAGCTCAGCGAGGAGATAAGATTGTGGAGCGAACACAGTCCAGAGAGATTCATCAAATCTGCCCTTTCTTGTGACAACCAATACGACATCAGCAGGTCCTAAACGCGACATGTAAAACGAGGCTTAAGGTTTGTCGACTTTCAAAATACGATCATGTAGTTTCAGATATAACTACCAATAAATCTGTAGGTAGAATACTCGAGCTATCAAGAATTAAACATAATTTCTCGACGGATAACGAGCCAGTGAACGCGTCCTGGGAAAGTAAAATAGATGATTACGAACAAAGATATCAAACTAGTGCAAAGGCTTTTGTAAATTGATGTATAAAAGACCTACGTCGTATAGAAAATCTCCTAAAAAAAAGGAAAAAATATGAGTTAGAATAAAGATTGAGTAGGAACGTGTTACATAAATTTATGTGTCGGAGACCTCCAAAGAATTACGAATGAAAAAACTTGGCAGGGAACAAGTGAAATTAGCAACCCAGACGAGATTAATAGAAAAAAAAGAGATTAACATTTCGCCCCAAACCACATCCTGAATACGTCAAACAAGTTTAGAGTAATCATACCAAACTTTGCGAGTGTTTCCGAAGATAAATTCTTCCTCACGCGAAGTGAGTGTTCATCTAAACTGGACGACGTTGTCGCATTTCCGTCTTTCTTTTTAGACACTGCCACCACTTCGAAACAACTTAAAAACTTTGTAATTGTCATTTCAGTCGAGCCATTTGATCTCTCCGTAGCATTCCGTGTCGTAGAAACAAGCTTCCAGTAGGATTCAAGGGATCTTAGCAGAACATTAGCCTCGGATGTTGACAGAGTGAAAGATGATACCAGCCACTAGTATACAAGGTTAGAAAACGTGAAAAATACTGGTCAGGTATTGGTCAACACTTTCAGAGAAAATTGGCATAAATTTGAGTCATTTTATGGTAAAATTTGGGTTCTAGTTTAGTGTTTACCTTGACTTTCTCTTCACCATCTTTGAAATCATTCGCACCTTCCTTGCTTCGGGTATTTTTCTTCTCTTGACACAAGCTCATAAAAGTGTTAATGATTTGACCTTGTACCTTTGTGAACTCAACCAAGGCCTGAATATCGCAATCATCCTCGTGTTCATGATCGTCACTCACGTTTGCTGCAAGCAGAAAAACAACAAGATAAATACATTCATTTGACAACACACGACATTTCAAAAATTGCGTGGAACACACAAGCCATGATTTCAACGTACGTTTTTTGGATATATTTTGGGATACAGATGAGACAGCTTTCTCTAGCAAACTAACGGGAAGCCCAACCGTTGACAGAACACACTGAAGACCCTAAATAATTTGACATGAAAGTGTATGAAGTAAACTTGATCCTGTTTTGCCTTGAAAACGAGCAGGACTCCTCACCTGTTGTAGTAATACAGGAACTTGGATAGAGGTCAGGATCTCCAATACTGTGGTTTGTATCTTCTCCAGAGCTCTGCCTTTTAAAACTGCAACAAAACAAATCATTCTGGTCAAATATTTGAATGCACTTTGCTTACAAGGTTAATAAAAGCCGCTTCTTAATGACCGCTGGAAATATGATGAAAATATTATCAAATCCAAGTTATCCAACCTTCCTGTTTGACATGATCTAAAGCGGCAGAAAGTTTCTTGAGAAGATGAAGATCTCTTACACGTCTGCTGTATTTGTCACTGAAAGGAAGAAAAGACAGGATTACACTTTCATTCACGAGTCAATATCTTCTGAAGTTCGTCGGAGTAAAGTCGTACTAAAGTAGACATACATTTAGAGATCGTTCCCAGAGAATAGAAGAGATTTTGTACAAATGATTTGGGTTTGGGATATACCTCAAGGCACAATGAAATGGGACTGTCAGAATTTTAAGATTCCCGCTTGCTTGAAGTAGTACACAACGTAGAGGATTGCCGCTGACATCATTGGACTGACTCATCACATGACTTAAGCCAAGTATATGATGACCAATGTACAAAAATCTACATTAGGTTAGAAACAAGATACATTTAGTTGAACAATAGAACCACCTAGTCAAATAAGAATGTCTCAATTATTTTATTCCACCTAACAACATTTTGTTACACTCATATGTACCTGCTATCCCGCCCAACATTGAATGCCGCTGCCCTTGGTCCAAACTCTGTTGTCCATACCTGAAATGGTAAGAATACAATAGTCAACCGGCTCACTATACAATGGATAAAGCTATCTATCTACTAGATGCTCTCACTATCCTCCAGCTGGTTATAGGCCCCAAGCTCCCCTCTCCTGGGGTATAGTATAATTGTATAAATGATGTGAAATGGTGCTGTTACCACTGGCCATAGCTGAATATAACCTACCTCAAGAATGCCTCTCCTTGGGGCGTAAATGATAAGAAATAATGCTGTGCGTCGTGATTTTGTAAGACCTGAGCTATCATCATGATGATCTTCCAGCACTGGTACCCACGCGCATTCTGCATCACGATATCCTGCGGGTTTAATATTTACAATCAATATTTATTTGGAACTAGTAGTGAGGTTCAGCTCAAAATACTCCTGCGTGGTGACACTAAATTAACCTTATTCCTTTAAGAGGAACTGTTTAGGAGCTTTGCAGTTTCTTAAAGGAAGAACAGTTTATTACTGCTAAGTTTCCCTCAGAAATAAACCATGCGTCAAAGTCTAGTATTTACCTTTCCAAGTTCGTAAAACAATCCCCTCCTTAACACTGATTAACATCACACGTCCAAATTCATCTGTGGTGGCTGCCAGTCTTCCATCAGGTGACAGTGTGATTGACATACCTTCCCGTCTTTGATCTGATATACTGAACCTGAATATATGAAATGGATCTCAATTACATGAAAAGATTTAACACATTCTGAACCAAAATTTCTTCCAAAATCTTACCTTAGAGGAAGCGATGTTCCTTTTTCCACCTTTGGTTTATTTTTAGAATCATCTTGGCTTTGTTTTGCATCAGGTTTGCTTCCAGTCCAACCAAACCAATCGCTATTATTATCAATTTAAGCATGAATGATTTTTGGAAGGAAAGAAAATAGGTTATGATTTACTACCAATTTCTCAATCAGCACCTACCTTGCAACTGATAACTTTGACAAGACAGCAGAAGTCAGCTTTGTTGCAACTTCAAAAGCAACTTCTGATATGAGCGGTGGTGTTACGCCTTCAAGAGCAGAATATACTCCAATAAAAGGATCAGTTCCAGATGTCATGAACTGTGACATTGCTGGTGGCGTAGATCGAATGCTCGTATCACAGCCACCCATGAATGAAGCAGTCTTGAGATGATCAAACAAACTTGAAGTCACCATGCCTAGAAAAAGCCAAGATTCCTAATATGCAGAAATCATCCACTAGTTTAAATAATAATATCTTCTTACCACAAGAGGCAATGTCTGTGATATTTCTTTGTCTTTTCAGGTTCCATTTCTTGTAAGCAAGAGGAGGTGGTTTAATGCTCTCCCCAGTTCCACTTGCCTGAGCTACGATACAATTTAGAAAAATTTTAGAAACCAGCAAATATGTATGTTGTCAGGGGAGATTGAGATAAAATTTGTTAAAGTAGACGTCACCTCTAGCTAGTTGGTTTCTACATCCTCTCAGAGACTGATACAAGCTGAAACCATCAAGTAAAACCAATGAAGCTGGATACAAAATTGCCAGTTCTTCAACTTGTTCGAAATCTGTGTGTGAGACGCCTGGTTGCCATGTTTGACATTTCAGTTTTATAACTGGATCTTCGTGTAGTAACTGATGCAGCAGTAGAGAGCCATCCTATTTAAATATCCTTATTTTAATAATCACACATGTTTTCTATAGTTCTGAATTGTTTACTATCCATATGGTATGAGTTCTATTTCACCTCTAAATAAAATCGAATATATCCGGAAGTAAAACCAGCCACAATACAGGTCCAGTCTGGAAATCCTTGAGAACTTCTAAAAAACATTGCATTAAATTAATTTTTTTAAGGCTCTCTAAAGAAAAAATATAAGCAATTGATTAACTTACTTATGCTGTGATGCTAGAGGTAAGCAGAGCAAGCTTGAAACACATTCCCTAAAACATATTATTGGGAAAATTGGAGAGCTTTGCAGCCAATAAAATATAATTTTTATGTCAAAAACTGGCAAAGCCTTGTAAGACATACCCCTCTTCCAATGCTAGCTGACCAGTCCAAGATATCTGAAATTTTGTTTTTGGTTCTGAAGTTGCTTGTCTGTCCCATTTGGCTAAAAAAATACAGTGCAAATTTATTTAATATCACTTGTTATAACTTATGAATGAGATACAATTATAATATGCCTTTGATTACAATCCTACGTACCTGTCAAAATAACCATTCTGTCTTCCCGACCAATGGCAATAAGGTCTTCACATGGTGAAACACCAATACAGCAATCTTGTAACCAATTGGTTTGAATATCTTTTTCTTCAATTTGCTTTTCATCTTCTTCTGACTGAAAGAATAAAGATTACAGCTTTCTTTTTGAAAATGCAATATTAGCAAGATCCTGGGTAGATACTAACCATGATATCATTAATCTCACTCTCCCAAGACCATTCTTCATCTCCACTTGTGGCATCTGGAAAAATAAATACCTGCTGATATAGATTATATTTCAACCTCTGCAATTAATGGTAGCCATAACATATTGTGAAGTCATTATTTCATACACAGCAGTCTGCTTCATGTGAGTATTTATAGGAACTTGCAAAATTATGCATTTGGGAGAGGGGAAGAGAGGAGAGAGGTAATGTGCATGGGTGCTATTTCCTAGGGAGGATTATGAAGATTGTATAAAGGTTTGTGCCCTTGGTATTCAGGTATATGGGTTTCAGAAGGACATGAAGTCACTCGCAATATCTACTTCAAGGTGTTATATCTAACGTATTTTTTATAAACAAACATAATCATACGAAATATGTGATAAATGAGTTCACAAACCTGACTGTACCCCAGGCCCGGGCGGATCATCCTCATTATTCGCTTGATATAAACACGAAATTACCCTTTCAACATTCTCAATGCAGGCAAAAACTGTCAACGTAGTGGACATTTTCCCCGTTACAAGGGAAGAAAGTCAAATAATTGAATACTTTCTAGTTTATTTCAACTTTTTATTTCACGAATTTCAACTCCATTTTCCATTTTTTCCATCTTATTTTTTTCCTAATGGGAGAGTCCGCTGCCTGGGTGACATGAAGGCACAGAAACACGTAAACACGGATAAAATACCCTACGATATTTAATCCCAGGAATACTATACCCGCTTGTTTTGTATACCAACCACTGATCTGTGAGTAAACTGGATAACGGAAGAAGATTAGAGACAGACAACACATCTATCAAATATTATTTTTAATATTTACTTCAATAAAAACCATAGTAATGTTCTTATTTTCTACTTTTTACATTTTATACAATTTTTTCACACCTAGCTTAATACACACACATCAATGTACATGTTTTGTCAACAATCTGTTTCTGTATCATCACCAACAAATGCAGTACCCGTCAAACTTTCTTTAATTTAGTGACAATTAAAACTCGAACAGTTTGATCAAATGATGTGCAAACAGCCAGCCCCTCCTAGATAAAAAAAACTGTCTTTAAATCAAAAGCAGATGACAAATATCAGTGACGAGGATCTTTCTCTATTGCAAAGTTTCCTCAAATAGCCATCAGCTAAAATTAGCTAGTTTTACCTTGTCCGGACACCAATCTAAAGACGATACCGGTTGCGTTGAAAGATTGACATTTTGTAAAAGGTCAACAGATCCAACAACGCCCATTTCCTGTCCTTCGCTATCCTTCATCACTCTCTTTGGAGGGTAGGAACTAAAGATAGAAACATGATCAACCCAGACCTGGTAAAAAAACAATGCAGGAATACATATTTGTATACATACTATTTCCAGAGGTTTAGAGATCCACTGCCACCACATGTCATAAAAACTTCACGATTTTGGGGTAGGTGGCGAACACACCAAATAGTTGAACTATGGGCCTAAAATAAGTTATGAAGAAGTAGAGATAAAAAAAGGGTAAGGAATTTATCTGCAAGCATCAAATAACATGCAGGTCCCAAACCTTTTCTGACAACATGGCAAAACCTTTGGTTGGATGTTGCGTTCTCATATCCCACAAGAAGAGCTTGGATTCCAATGTTGTTGCCACAAGCTTGTTCATCAAAATGTCTCTTCGATCAAACTGAATATCACATACCTTAGAAGTACATTAATGATCTTAGCAGTTATCCTGGTTGAACTGCCCTCTCATGCCCGAATACTTACCCCATTCTTAACATTTGTTTCCCAACGAAGTGACATGTTCTTCAAGTCAAATAATTTAATGTCACCATTATCATAACCAGCAACAACGGTTCTTTCATCAGCATTATATGCATTACCTGGGAAGAAATTGTAACTTTACATACGCACTCAAGCAATTTAGGGACAGATTCTACTTTTAAGCTCAGGGATAGGACTGACATTGCCATATATATGGACATGATTAAGGTTGGAATAGGGAATGGTTTTCTTTTTATCTTCAGTATAAAGATTATTACCATGTCTATCATTATTAATACCTTCCTGTAAGAAATGCTAAATTTATTCTACGTACCAAAAGCAACACACCAACAGTCTCTACGATCCTGACCGTCTGCAGGTTCCATGTTCGCGACAGGTTCATCTTTCTGCCTTGGATCCCAAACTTTTACTGCACCTTGTTAAATTAGAATTAAAAAATATTCAAGCGTTAATCACCATGATGATAAATGATCACCATGATGGATCTTACCATCTCTGCTTCCAGTCACCAGTTCTGGAGCACCTTCACCAATACCAACACCACCAACACCATTGATACAATTAATAATTTCCTTGTGAGCCTTCACAGAGTAAACTGGTAATTCTGTCTTTTCTAAATTCCTTTAAAGAAGAGAGATCAACCTAATGAAAATAGATTTTTTTTAAGAGTGCCAAGCATTAGTCGAATGATGTGGCTCCATCATTCCTCTGAGTATATGTTCATTGTTACCACATCATTAGTTTTCCTTCAAAGTCGCCGGTGGCCAGATGCCTCTGTTGCAAGCTGCTTCCTCCGAATGTGCCACACTTGAACGAGGCCTTCTTCTCCACCTTTCAACAGAAGGACATACATTATAATTATACATTAAGACTAGGAATTTCTATGGTGATTGACAGTATTAACAGGTCATTTGTGAATACGTAGCAAGATCATAATTCACCAGCATCATAAATGAAATTTGTACTGCATAATAAAGAAAGTCTGGATAGCACCCTGGTACAGTTGTACAATTAGGCCAGGGTGCATTCGGTGTATATCACACGCCGAAGATACGCCAAAGCAATCTCGACATTACGCCAACTTCCCACCCTGGGCCATACTTACGACAATTACCCACTCCAGGACGTTACGCCGATCGCAGACTCGCCAGGACGTTCGACTCGTGAGTCAAAAAATGCTACACGTTTAGAGGACCATTTTTAAGAAGTTAAATGCCTTTGTTGTCGTTAAAATACTTAAATGCATGCAGTTGAAGTCGGTGTGTATGTGGACCTTTGAATTACAAAGTTTGGTGTGTTTATCCGGTATTTATGCGCCGACAAGTTAAAAACAGTGTACGCCACTACGCCAAGGAAAGTTTATTTTACGCCAGTACGCCAAGGATACCCTAACTCTACGCCGAAGATATTCCGATTTGTCTACACCGAATGCACCCTGGCAATTAGGTAGCAACCGTAGCATTTAGTACATAAACCCGTGATAAAAATATTACAATATACAGGGCCTAAAACAACCCACTCACGTCTGTTAATAAGTTCGCAGTGCCACGAGACACTTCATAAATCTGCATTGCACCAGTTCCTTTGGGATGAGAACCAAGCACAACAAATCTTGCACTACAGGGTATCCACTTCGCATCATAGGCAGTGTAATTTAACACTTTCTGTACATGCACGATAACCTGAGGTTTTTCCAGCTTGTCCATTGCAAAAAACAAAGTTCGTTTTGCGGTAAAACTAGGCAAGTTACTCGTGAAAACTCTAACCAAAGGTTCCAAACGAAAATTGCAAATCGTCCGCCATCTTGAGTTTGTTTCATGCAAATTATTATAATTTATTTAGTGATGGGAAACACTGAGCTATACTATTTCTGGATGGAGATTATTTATTCAAATCTTAAAATAACTATCAAATGTTAAAAGCGTTGCATGATAATAAAAAACTGATAATAACGAGATATAGACAGAAAATTTTATGTGAAGTTCAAAACTTGAATTCTTTGTATTTCTTGGCAGCCTTTCCGCTTTCTGTTGTCTTTTTGCGTTTCTAAAAAAGGAACGAACTATAATTCAACCACCTTTGAACGAAAGCGACTTTTAAGCGAGAAAACACGACTGTTTTGTACAATCAATTCATTTCTCTTAAAGGGTCTTGTTTTACCTTTTGCTGTCTGGCGGCGTGTTCAGCAACCATGTCACTGAAGTCTTCTTTTTGTGTGTTTTGTTGCTCTCGTAGTTGTTCATCGTATCTGAAAAATGGAGGAATTTAGTATCTCAAATGAGCATTGTTTAAAATCATACAATTTCCCAATTATTGGTTGAAATCAAAGACAGTTTATTGAAACTTTTATCCACAAATCTGTCAATTACCTGGCTTGCATGGCTGCTGGGTCCAGCTCCAGTTCACTGGGATCCAATGCGACTTCAACACCTTCTGATAAACCTCCGGGCGCCTGAAATCACAAATCAACCTTTTTTACCGGTGCTTTCCGATGAAGAAAGTGTTCATAAGATGACTTTTTTGGGTCACAAAATCTCAGCTAACACGTGGCATTCACCAACCTTTCTCGCTCCAGTTGGCACAGCTGCAGAAGCGAGATCATAGACATGTGAAGTGCCCATCATCATTCCTCCAACACCAGCTCTCTTCTCAGGTAAAACTGTAAACAGCGTTGGTTGTTCGCTACCGCTCTCCATGGAGTCTTCGATGTTCTTTCTCTTTCTTAGTTCAATCATGTCAGGCGTCTCCATTCCAGCTGGGATTGAAGTTAAACCACTGGGCGTCACCAAACCGCTTTAAATACAAGATTTTATACAATAGCAATGAATCCATGATTAATTTCCTTTTGTATATCTCAACTCTAATGTTTTGTGAGAAGCCATACAGGTGATGTAGCGAACTTACGTTTCGGCTGGTGTGACAAGTCCGGATTGATCTGGTGCCTCTTCTTCTGATTCCTCCTGAACGACAGACAACGAAAACATTGAGATTTCTTCTTGTAATCACGGGGTCATAAACGAGGTCATCACTGTTTAAAACTAATGTAAAAACTGACCTCGGATTCTTCGGATTCTTCCGACTCAGATTCGAGTTCTCCCCAAAGATTGGAGTCGATTTGTTCATCATCGATAATATTTGCATCTGTTTGTTGCACGCCAAAGACATCTCCGTACAATGGTCGACCATGTTCGTCCACAGGAGGCTTTCCCCACCCCCCGGCGTGATACCCGAATGAAGCACCCTAAGAAAGAGAAAACAACGCCTTATCACTCACTCCTGTACATAAATTGCCAATGAAAATCACACAAACTAAAGACAAAAGTGAGCCACTGCCGATACCATGATCTAGATCACTACCTCGGGTATTGGTGCGTTTAGTCCCGGTATTTTCAAGTTAGGATAGGACGGGGGTGGACCATATCTTTGCATCGCAATCAACCAGGGGGGTGGAACCAAGTTACTGCCCTGCAAGGAAGAAATTGAACTGTCGAGATTCGAGAATTATAATTGGAGAAATGCTACGGAAACGATATCCAGTATATCAATCAGTCACAATATAAATTAATTTGAACAATGATAAACCATTATTGTTGCCCTTACCTGGCCTGTTGGCATACCAAGCGCTGTTCTGAGATCTTCGGAAAGATCGCCAGGTTTCTTTTCTTTTAGTTTTGTTTCAAACTCTTTCCCCTAAACAATTGCGGAGAAAACGAATCAACAATCTGAAATTAAAATGTCAATATACGGTGTTTTCCATACCTCGTAATAAAGATCCCCGTGGATGGACATTTTTGGTTTTGTTTGCCACCTTGATGAGAGAGAGAATTAGCCATCAGATTGATCCATGGTCTACCAGAGTGCGACTATATAAACCTCACACAAATCATTCAAACTTACTTGAAAAACGCATCGTGAAGCTTCTGATAATCGATGTCAATTTTCCCCATTTTTGGTCGAATCTAAAAGAGAGAATTAATAATGCCTAAGTTGATAATTTATATCAATCACACATTGTTGTGTAAACAGAACACAAACTATTTAAAGCAGCTACAAGTATTGTTATCTCTGCAAGATATAGTATGCATGATATCTCAGTAATTACCTTTTCTCTCATTTTAGCTTTCATATTTTTTGCATCTTCCTTTTCCTGTAATGCTTCTCTCATTTCCATGATTCCAGTTTTCTGAATAACAAAAAAAAATGTTGGGAACAACTGCACGGTTTGAAAGACAATGAACTGTTGGAGGTACATACCTGAATGAACTCTGGTAATTGGAATGGTGGCTTAATTATTCCTCGTTTACCCTAAAATAAGATCCTCTTTAGTCAAAAGTTTTTGAAAACTAAAATAACCAGAGATGAGTAGTGGTGATTCAATGAAACCTGTAGGAATTTTCTTTTAAAACACCAATGTCTTGGAACTGGAACAGTATTCCTACATGCCTGTTAAACAGATTAAAAATACCACATTTATTATTCAATAATTCTCATGATATGAACTTATTTACCAAGAATGGTAATTCCTGACTTACTTTGAGATAAACAAGTAGTTTAGGATCTGGAGCAGTTACATCATGCATTTCAACCACGTCAGGTCTATGCACGGTCTAAAACAATGAAAAATAAAAGCAGATGAAAACCAGGAACAATTTCTTGGGTTCTTTATTTTATGTACAATGAAAATGCATGATGGGTTGTGATGAAAAATTAAGACTAAATACTTCTCTTTTATTTACCTGTTTTAGCTCTGCAACACTCATTCTATTTTTCAACTTTAATTTCTTTTTTGAAAGTTTCTCCACTTTCTCCCCTGGTTTCTCATCCTGAAAAATGAAATACAGCTCAGCATGATCCTTGCCAATGAATACGGGAAATAATCAAAAAGTAATGGTGGATTCAAGGTCACCTTCTTTTGCGTTTCTTCTTCCTCGCTATCTGTATCCATGTCATTGTCTTCATCATCCTTTTTTGAACCATCTGTCTATAATTTGAGCAGATACAGAGATAAAGCTTAGAGAAAGGCCTATTACTTTCATACCATTAAAATGCAGATATGAAAGAATGAAAACCAGCAGAGATATCTTACTGTTTGGTCTTCTGTTTTGTCTTTGGATTCATCCTTTTTTGCAGCTTCTGGTTTTTCACTCAACTAAAATTTTTCAGCAACACAAACGTCTTGAGTTGAATTGCTCAACTCCTGCAATGATTCTGTCCACAGAAACTTACCTTGAATGTCTCAAAGATTGATGCAAATTGTGCATACACTGGATCTTTGAAATCTAAAGTCTCTGCTACATATTCCACTTCAACACCTTCATCATCTGGTAGAGCTTCATCTTGAACCTATGAACAAGTAATACATACTCATGTCAGGAACATTGCAATGTTCAAACCAAAGGACAGAACAAATATTTTTTTACCATACACAGAAGACGTAAATGATTGGAAACTAGAGCTTACTTTAGGCTGTTCATTTGTTCGCTTCTTTCTCTTTTTCTTCTTCTTCTTCTTTTTTTCCTGACCATAGCAGTAAATCAAAGTTTTTAATTTTTTTAATTATGATTGAGAACTTCAATTTTTAACAATGTAATTACCTGGCGTGATTCTGTTGCTGGGGTTCCTTCTTGTTCATAATGATCCACATCATATCCAGAATCATCCTCCCTTGTTCCAACTTGATTCTCTTCGTTCAATCGTTTTTCTCTCATCTCCACCACGCTTCGAGCTTTAGCCTTTGCTTCCGCAAGAGGATCCACCGTATCATCTTCTTGTGAATTCACTATTGCAGGTGTATCAATCACCAATGTTTTATCCTGTGGTACACGTCCTTGAGGAGTAGGTTCTTTAGAAAGTTCTGTTTCGTGAGCAGAGGGGTCATGAGCCAGGTGAGAAGGGAGATGGAGTTGAGAGGGTTCTTCATGTGGTGGTAAGGTAGGTAGTGGCTGTTCAAGGGATGGTAACTCTTTTGAAAACTCAGATGATGGACTCAGCGCTTGTTCTACATCTTCTGGGGCACTGGTTACTGGTTCTTTGATCATCCACCCAGATTGAAGACCACTCTGGATTGAATGATGGGACACATTTTCCTCAGTATTTTTAGTTCCCACCTCTTCGACAGAAATCCTAATTTCTTGAGGATGGGTAAGTCCTTCATGCAAAGAAGTAATATCTGACTGATCCGGTTCATGATCATCCAATGCTGATACAACACTCTGAAATTGCTGTGCTTTGAAAGCATCCTCTGTTTGGTTATTTGCTCCAATATCTGACTCTCTGGACGCCTTGTGTTCTTCCTGGTCAGCCATGATTTCAATTTCTGGCTTGAATATTGCGGACGTTTCACAAGGTATTTGAGCTTCCAGTACCAGTTCTTGGTTACCTTCCTCTATTTCTTTGAAATCAATCTGTTTTGCTCCAAGTTCTTCCTTACTTTCATCAGGTTTAGCCTCAATGCCTTCTTCATCTGCCTGAGCATAAACATCCTTATCAGCCTCAACTTCAACTCCTATTTCTTCTGGTATCTCAGCTGCTTTAACTTCCTGCTGAATTTCCTCAGCTTTTGTTTCATCGTTTCCTTCAGCATCATCTTTACCAGTTACATCAACCTGCATGACAGCTTGCTGCATCTGACTATCCACATCAATAATGTTCTCACTAGTTTTAACAGCCGGTTCAACTAAAGCTTCTGTTCCAATTATTGGAACATCACCTACTTTCTTCTCAAGAGCTTCCTGGCCAACAGCATGACTTGCAATTGTTGAGATCTGTCCAGGAGCAATGTCGGTGGCAATATTTTGTGCGGTCTGTTTATCTCCTTCTATTTTAACAACCCCTGTTACCCCTGATTGTTCCCCCTGATCTACACTACCACCATCATCGACTTCTGTAGATTCTACTTTAAATACAAAGAAAAAAATGTGAGGTATTGAACATTTCTTTTTAAAAACCTTCAAGGTTTTTTACCAACCTTCGTCTTTAGCTTGTAATTTCGCCTGCAACGCCTAAAATTAAAAAAAGCAGTATAATTTTAATTTTCTATTTAATAATTCGCTTAGGAAATACTTCACAGTGAAAATATTAAAGAAATAAATTGATAATAGCTTACTCTAGATTCCAAAAAGGATGCTAATCTTGCAACTAAATCAGCTTTCAGTCCTATAAAAACATTTTTTCAGTGACAGTCAATTTATATTCGAAGTGCTGCCAACTCTACCCGAATAGACTGTAATTACATGTACCAAAACATGAAAATGATTTCATTATAATACATACCTGAGACAGGCAGACCGAGACTAGATAATCGTGCTTTTAAATCGGCTACTTTTAGCTTTTTAATTTCAGCAAAGGTCAAGTTTTGAAACTCATATTGATCCGCCATATTGCCAACGCCAAGACAACGTGTTAGTGCTTCCGCTATGGCTATTTCATTTTCAGAACGTTTGGGCAATTTCCTCAGTAAAGTGGAAACCCCACCTATTGTTACATATTGTGCCACAAAACAAAGTAAGAAAATGTCAATTTACAAATTATTCTAAATTAATTGTTCTAAAGCAGCAGTGATTGTTTTCAGAAATTTGTTTTAACATTTTCATAAATGGAAATACATTTTCTGGGAACGGGTGCAGCACACCCTAGCCCCACTCGAGGTGCCTCAAGTCTTGTGGTCCGCCTCCCAAGTGGTTCCTGCTGGATGTTTGATTGTGGAGAGGGGACACAAACCCAGCTGATGAAGAGCAACATCCGCCCAGGAAAACTAGACAAAATATTTATAACACATCTCCATGGTGATCATTTATTTGGTCTGCCAGGTCTGCTGTGTACCATCAGCTTAAACAGTCCTGATGGAAGGTCCGCAGTTCATCTCTATGGTCCTAAAGGCCTGGGGCACTATTTGACCTCAGCTTTGACAACATCTGGTTCTTTTCTCAGCTTTTCTTGTGTCATTCATGAGCTTTGTCCTGCAGGTGACTAAGACTTGAAAGCAGTTATTAATACAAGTGTCTGAATAGCATACATGTTACCTCTCTGCAAAGTCCTGAGCCTTGATTTGGTTAGAAGATATTCACATATTGCACTGTAATATGCATTTAATACGTTGCAGATGACACAGTTGACAAACACCAAACTGGAGTTTCCCCTGAAACATCTGAAAACAACATCCAAATTTCACAAATATTCCCAACCAGCAAAATGACTTGGAATGTTTTTGACAATGATAACATGGCAGTTTCTGCCGCCGAGCTGAAACACAGGATAACATGCTATGGTTATGTCATACAAGAAGGTGACTTACCTGGTAGGTTGAATGCAGAATTGTTGAAATCAAAAGGCATCCCTCCAGGACCTTTGTATGCAAAGATCAAAAGTGGTCAGTGTATTTATACAGAGGATGGTTCAGAAATTCGACCTGAGGATGTTTTAAGCCCTCCACCGGCAGGGCAGAAAATTGTTATTTTAGGTGACACATGCAACTCCGAGCAGATTATGAACTTGGCTATGAATGCGGATGTTCTTATTCACGAAGCAACAAACGAAAATTCTCATCAAGAAAAGTGTATAGAGAATGGCCATTCAACCCCAGGTACTCTAGGCCATTTATTATGGAAGTTTACATAGAGACCCTTCTCTAATAATACTATGCAACTGTCACCAAGGATGCATTTTAATTTGTGATTCAGTGAATGAGTTTTCCATTTCAGGCATGGCAGTACATTTCGCTAAATCAATCCAGGCAAAGAAATTAATCCTAACACATTTTAGTCAAAGATACAAAGGACAGGATGAAGTATTGAAGGCTGGGGAGGAAAGTGTTTTAAAACTTTTACAAGAAGCAAAAGATGAATTTGACAATGTGATTGCAGCACAGGACATGCTTGTAGTAAACATTAAAAGAACGAAAAAAACAGAACAATTAGTTTCTAGCTAGTTTACTTTACAATATTAGATGAAATACTCAATTTCAATAAAACATTCAAACAAATAATGACCATTTAGCCCATTAGTTGCATGAATGAAACACAAAAATTATACGATATCAGTTTAAAAGGTTTATTCAAGTCAAAGAACTACCTATAGCTGTATGGATAGCCATACAATTTAACTAACCATAATAGGTAAGACAATATAGTGTCATCCAGTGTCATAATATGAATGAAAAAAAAAGCTGAAAATGAGTTTGAATCCACAAGTTTTCCTTCTTAAAGTCCAACAGCACCTTCAATGAACTAAAATGAACATAAATGATGAATAAATAAATTAATGCAGGAAAATCATGAGGCCATATAAGATGCACAATTGCTTCTATTCTGCCTGTTAATTAGATCACAGTAGAGGAAATACTGGATCCTATGTGATCGGAAAAATACTTGCCTCATCTAAATCAAATGATGCCTGACTGGATCCACGTCTGCAATTCTTGTTGAATGTTTCTAAAAAATTAGAGTGCTTTGATTTAAACATATGAATGATGCTTAAAGTACATCACCTGAACAGTTTTGCAATAGTTTTGGTTCTGTAATTACCATTCTTCGCAGCTAGCCTGCGTGCAGACCTGGGCTACAAATATTTGAGTAATTGTACGTAGCCTATGCAGCATGTTAAAGTGCTGTTAACTGAAAGGGTAAACACTATGTACTGTACACTTACCAATAAGGCCAACAACTCTGGTGTAAATCTGTAGGAAATCATCAAAATCTACAGTTCCTTTCTTGTTGGAATAACGGCAAGTAATGGCAGTGAGACAACGCGTGCTCATCTTGATACCTGGAGAAAATTGAGAGTGGTTTAAATCATGATCAAACAGGAGATTGGTCATGGAATTTGTCTTTTAAAATAGCACGGACCACCAATGAAGTCCGTTCATAATGTCAAAGGTTGATGTTAACATCCTTACAAGGTACAAGGATTTACAAGTATAAAGTTGTATCTTTCTTTACTCACCCAAGGCATCCAAGACATCCTGAAGTTCATACATGTCCAAAGTTCCACTTCGGTCTTTGTCATATTTCTTGAACTCAGCCTACAAGGAAGGCAATTTTGAATTACGTTCAATTAATAGGGAAACCCATTTACCTTGGAATTTCAAGCCTTTGCAAAAAAGTACAAGAAAGAAACTAAAAAACGTTGTGCTTACATGACATTGCTTGGTGGTGACCAATGTCTGCTTGAACTCATCATATTCCAGTTTTCCAGTTCCATTGTCCTGGATATCATGTTAAGAAAGACCTTACTCTAGGCACACATACATGACTTTACTGCAGTGAATGCTGAAGTGACAACTACATCATGAGAGCAATATTCTCAGGCACAGGGTAATCATTATTCTGACTCATTAACATTGCATTTTGCAATGAGAATCATTCAAGGATACATCATACATGCTAATTAAGCTTCTGCATGTTTCAATGTTGAAATCTTGATCACCAATATCTAAGACAAAAAATAATTGAATATGGGTCCAAATACATTATAGATCAAACATTGTTAGTCCTTTATACTTTCTTTAATTCTCTGCACAAACCTTTGGCAAATGCAGCTCCCAGAACTTGCTTTAGTTCATAAGCATCAACTTGTCCATCCTAATAAAGGCACCAGTTTATTTTCAATAAACATTTAAGTCCAATAAACATTTGATTGGTATACATTTGAATTACCATCATCAAGAAGGCTCCTAATGCAGGTTACATACGGAGCAAACTAAATCGTTATTACCTGTCCAGCCTGACCACGGTCAAAGAAGGATTTATATTTGCTGTCCAGGCCAGCATCTTCGTTCGCGGTGATTCTTGGTTTCACATTCCGTGTAATACGGGTCTTTTCATCTTGGACACTAAAAGCAAGGTTGAAGTTTGCTCAGCACAGGAGTCTGAAGATTTTCATGACAGATATACTAATTCGAAAACCATTCATGAGGAAATGTCTTCATTATACATACTCGCTCTTTTTCTCTTTCTCAGAGAACAGACGGACCAAGAAGTCACCTTCCTCATTTGCATCAAAGGTTGATGGAACGATACAGTAGATACCAGGTTTGAGTTTAAAACGGTTGGTGATTTCCCGAGCATTGATGAAGGTATTCGAGCGAGCAGTTGAGGCATGATACAAGAAATAATCTTTTCCCAGACGAGGTACCTTTGTATCTTCATCCTCAAGCTAAAAGAAATTATCATTGATCTATGAACTCAGTTCACTAGGATGAAAATTACCCTTGATCTTCTCTGCTATTAATTCCTTACCCTAAATAACATTTTCTTCTCAGGTTTAGTTTGAAATATACTATACCTTGGCTATACACTATACCTTGTAGATAGCAAAGCCAATAGTCAGATTGGAATTAGCACCCAACTTTCTTCGCAACTTACGACGTCCAACTTGCATGAGGCTGACAATCAAGGTACATGCATCATCATCATCATCCTCGTCGACATCTTCCAAAGTTACTCTAAAAAAACAACAATGTATATTCTTTAATTAGACATTGCACTGTGATGGTTGAACCGAGGTTAATTCTTCTTGTATGTTGACCTGCAGCAGCTTACCTGAACTGAGGGTTTTTGTGGAAAGTATTTTGGTTGTTACGACAGCCACCAGCAGTGCTTCCAACTCGCCATCTGTCCTTATGCATGTCAGCCTCCCAAGTTACCTTGGAGTCTTCGATACTTGCATCAGGGCTCAACATGCAAATTTCCAAGCGCTGGAAATTGCTTATGAAATCACGGTAGCTCATCCTATTTTTGGGATGTATCAGAAAAATAAATATATTCAAAACCAGATCTAATAACCATACCAATTCAATGATGATAAAATTAAAATAAAGAAATTACAAACCAGAATTCCCCATCATCATCAAATGTCAGTTCCATCTCTCTCTTTTCTTGGTCAGACAACAAAGCCCATTCTGAAGACCTTAATACAATAAGCAAGACAATCAACCAGGGAGTCAAAAGGCCTCTCAAATAATAGAATCACAGCTGAACTAAAATATTAAATTGAAAAATATTATTTCTACTTACTTGTCCCCCCAGGCTCCTGTCCACTCTCTCTCATTTCCCCAAGGATTTCTAACTCTCACAAGTTCAATCTCCATTTTACCAGATCTTGTCCTGGCATTAACCTAATTTGATGAATATGCAAAGTTTTAATTGAAAATGGCTGGATTTTAATTTTCCACCCTTCATCTTTACTTTGTACCTTTCTCACTCCTGTCACAGTGTAGGCATGACCCATGACCAAGCCATTGTCTAACTTTGCTTCAATTTGGTTTGCCTTTGCCTAAAACACAGTTTAAAAAAGTTGTTTAAAGTACCATTTGGATAACTTAAATCCTATTCACAATACATATAATCCTCTTATAAAATAATAAACGTTTCCAGTTTGAATTCAGACATACTCACATTGATACTGCAACCCATTAAAGACTGCCTTTCAATAGCTTTTGACATAATGGTGAAGAGATTTTGTGGTGCTTTAGAACCAAGATCAAAGGATTCAGTCATTCCACCTGTGAAGTCCTCCATAGCTTCACTGGTCTGGCCACCTTTCAATGCTTCATAGGAACCACATAATCTAATAAAAAAAGTGAGAGGAGCTTAGAGCTGGTAGGAAATGCAGTTTTTGTCTTTAATTTTAGGAAAGCTATCATTACACATTTAAAACTGATATCAACATTTTGTTGGTGAATGAATTATGGTAAAACATGATTCAAAGACTTAATGATCATAATGTGTCCATACTTTGCATAAGCTTTCTCCATCAATGCACTCCAGAATTCATTTCTTGATTTTGAGTGCACAAAGATGAGCTGGTTGTTGATCGTAGGCAGACGATCATCAATGGTGACATCCACCCATTCTCCTCCTTGCCAGAAACGAAAATGAAAAGCGCCACAATAATCTCTCTTGTCAAAACTCTGATCATCGGTGGGGCAGACTCGCTTGAACAGTTGCTCGTGCTGGGTCAAAGATGCAATCCCTGCCAAGAACCAGCAATCTCCCAAACGACCTTGTGCAACATCCATACGGCTTGCTCCTGCATCTACCAAAATTGGGTTTTGAACCATTTCCTAAAATTGCAATAAAACTCCATTTACTCATGAGGATCAAAGGGGTTTTCAAGAAGAGACAAGCAGCATAAAACAAGTAGAGAAAGACAAAACTTCAGGTCATATTAAGGACGTTTTTTCCGACAGTACTTTGGAGATCAAGTTCTTTGTTTGCTTTTCATAAATTAATGACATAAAAAGCTGAACACCCGCCGGGGAGAAATTAGTTATGAATAAAAGATTGGATTTCCACCGCTACACAACACGCAAAAAAAACACTGGCAAAAGTATTTAAAATACACGTATTTATAGCAGCGTCATGGAACGTCTGAGGGTTCTAGAAAATTTGGAGATGTTCCGGTCAATTGAAGCTCTGAAAATATTCAAAGATTTGACAAAGTGCGTCTATCGTGACGCGTCAACGCCCCGCACTGATAGACATTCGGAATTTTTTCCCAAAGCGTTAGAAAATGTCGTCGAATCTTCTTATTTTTAAAATCCTCTAGGCTAAGAAAAGTTTCTTTCGTGGACCTTCTAAAAATGCAAGGGAAAACAAGTTGTCCACATGTTTATGGAGGGCTTTTTTAGTTTTGCGACTATGTTGGATCTAAATCGCTAAAATTGAAATTTAGTTCAAGTGATTATTAAGGCAATTGGGAACTATGATCAAATATCTCTCAATTTAATAATGTGTATCGTTTATTTAATCGACGAAGACGTGCAGTCGATTGCATGGGCTATATAATTGCGAATTCTTGACGGGTACAAAGCAATAGATCAACTATGCATTTTGCAACAACGTTAATCATTAAAATCGGATTTCATGTTATCAAATATACATTATGCCTACTAAAGATATGCCCAATATTTTTACGCGTACCAATGCTGTGACTTGTGCGTTCTCTACAGTAGCCAATATAAACACACACACAGTACACGCTTGCACAAAATGAGCAGTAATCTGCCAGACACAAAATGAATAAGAACAAAATTAAACGATATAAAAACAAACATACGGTTGGACGACGCCAAACGAAAGGTCTGGGCGGGCGACGACTTGTAAAGACATTGTCATCAATGGCATCGAATTCTGGGTCTTCGTAAAGTCTTCCCGATCTTAGACAGGACTGCTTGATCTGATCATACGACTGAGGCATTTTCCTGTTGTAATTTAAGAGCAAACAAAGCAATTAACAATTGCAAAAGGTAGCTGGAGTCATTGGACAAACAACCATTGCTAGCTCTATTAAAGGACCAACAGATCAATGACTGACTGCGCGAATGCACTACAATACAACCGCTACACTTTGACCTCGCCAAACATCCTTACCGTAGATGTAAAATCGATCAAAAAAACAAAAGTTATTTTCAAGCAAACTGCACAACACTTTACTTCGTGTTACAGGATTTGAACGTATGACCTACGCTATACCTTGATGTGGTAAACAGCTTGGGAACGCGTTTTGAGGATCTCAATCGTATCAAATTATGCAAAGAATTTCAACTTTTGGGAGGGGCTAAACTCCAGTCCTTTCGAGAATATTTACAAAATTTACTCATGAATATTAAAACGCTTATCAAAACTTAAACACCAGGGTTTGTCATTTTGTCTTTGTTTTCGCCCACGGTGGTTTTTATAATGCACTTGTATTGAAGTTTAAAAAAAACCCCTTCATTTTTCACCACATCGCCCACCATATTGGATTGTGATATGTTAAAACGTCATGTTACTTTAAGCGCGTACGAATATCAGATTACCAAAGAAAAATGAATTGTATGATTGCGGTGGGTATCTTTATCTTTAATTTCAGGATACCTTTTAATCGCTTTAAAAAAAAAATTACGAGAAAACGTTGGTCTAGAAAACTAGCAATCATTTGACACTACTTTCAGCCAAAAGAACTTGTCGTATCCTTCGCTAGGCTATTCCAGCTGAATGATCCAAAAAGAGAGATTCTTAACTAAACTTACCTTGTTGGATAAATGCTACTCAGATTTGTGAAACCTGTGTCGTATTTATAGCTCCATTTTTCAAACTTTTTTCGCTCTTCTGGATATTCTGTCGTGTATCTGCTGTTATATAGTTCCGGTTGAAATGAACGAGTCAGTCTACTTCGGTCAATGAAGAACTCTGAATTTCTTCTCGGGTGAGTGAGTCCTGTTTCAATCGTTCCACTACCATCCGTTATTTTTCCGTTCATGGTCGGCATGGGCTGCCACGAAAGCTTTCTATTCCTGTCCCTAGCATTGCTGTTGTTTGCTCGGTTTCGATTCAGTTTTTGTTCAAATCTCGCGAAGGGGTCCAAGGATTCTTCATCGCAATCATCAAAGCAGGAATTAAACATATCATCGTTACCAAACGGTGTTTGAGTGAAGTCGGAATCCTGCGTCCTTTCAGCCTGAATAAAACCTGGTTCGTCTTCATTGACATTGCTTAAACTATGCCGAGATGACTGCCGCATGAAACTTCTGTAGCTATCTTCACGAGACATCTTCCAACTTTATCACAAGCGAGTAAACGTTTCGTCAACCTTTTCACTATCTTTTATTATCGCTTTTGCATTCAGTTGCCATGCACGCACACGATTGATCTACATGGAGCCACTGAATCGAGCTGTTTTAATTTTTACTGGTCTGTCAGTCTTTAAGTAGTCTCAAATCGTTTATACCGAATGGCTTTGTTTTCGGGTTTTTGATTTGTTTTTAAAAATACCTGCTTGTGTTAATGATTGTGATAAATTTTTAACTAACTGCCTTAAAATATCAGAATGCCAAACACTGCATCGCGGGTTTTCTGATAACGTTGCTAGGAGAGTAAATACATGTTTTGGCTCTTGTTTATTGCTCAAAGACTGCGGTGATTTTTTGTTAAAACTCCCTGTAAAACTCGACCAAAACGTCCGCGTCCTTAGCAAAGACAGCTCACCTGGAAACTAACAAGAATGTTGTACCATATATCAAATTAAAAACAGCCTTGTTCAGAGAAAACCCCAATTTGCAATTTATATAGAGGTTTCTTGAATTACTTTTATATGCCTGCAACCGCTCAAGAAATTACAAATAGGAAATGTTGTTGTGCTAATGTGGTCAACAACGTTAATTATGTGGATTCTTTTCAATTTTCTTAAATGCCTAAGAGTCTAGCTATTAATTAACTGTTGCAAACTAACCGCGCTCAAATATGATGCTGTTATACTACAGTAACATCAAGCCTCACTGTTCTGGAAATTCTTTCCCCAGAGTAATGATGGACATCGAAAGTACTACAACAACACTTTTTGTTGTCAAAGTCGCACGAAACAGGTGTTCAGCATTGATATCAGAATTTTTTGGTCGTTTTTACATGCACATACTCGAATTGTTTTGACTGTGGTGGTTGGCTTATAGTTTGAGTGATATAAAAAAAATCGGGAGGTATTATTTGAAAGCTAAATGACCCTGGTTTGCAAGGTTAGCTGTATTTTGACGATAACGAGTTCCGCAATATTCACACTAGCTGCATGGCAGGCGTTGATCAAACAATTATACGCCGAAATCCTTAAAAGACCTTCAAAAAGTTTGCCGAAATAAATGAAAAAATTGCTGGGTAAACCTACTAGAATTTTGCCATTGTTAAGTAAAGAACTTTCGTATGAAACTCGAAAGAATGTTTTAATATTTTCTTGACCTGTCTTCATACGGCCAAAAACACAGACCCATATTATGAAGTTCTGCTTTACACCACAAATTCCTGATAGTGATAGAGACTCTGATTTTGACAATCAAAAACAAGCCTCTTTTCATATCAAATCATTTAATTAGTTTCGTTTTTTGACAATTTGTCAATCTTGCATAATCCACTGTTTTTTAAAAAAAGGCAACATAGCAAGCAAGCAAGCTCGTGCAATATCTGCTAAATACATTCCTCTACGTATAATACGTTTGGCAAACATTACATGAAGTATCGCGCCTATTCACGAAAACGATATTTTGGGCAAATCATTAGGCGTACAACACTATATTCCAGTCTTCCGCCATATTCACGGCCGGTTTTTTGATGGTCAATCGGTAGCTTGCCGGGTCATGTTCGTGTTCCAATTGCCGTTTCTTCGATCCATCTGGTAAAGCAAAGAGACATCACGTTGTGAGCTTAAGCGCATGATTCTGTCTCGAGTAATATGCAAATATTCTGGCAAAATGCTTTGGAGCTTTTTTTAATGAATGTACAATCGAACAAGCATTATTGACGGATCATTATTGAATGAAAGAGTGACGACACACAATAACCTAAGCAATCACCTTTATCAGTAACAACAATCTGTGAAGGATTTTGGCTCATTCCCAGAATCACAATGCGTTCCAGCCACGACTTTGTTTCATAATGAGCAGAAGGGTCGAGAGTTCTGAAGACAAAGAATTCATAAATATTCTTTGTGGAACAACGTAGTCAACTGTATCATTAAAAAAGACCGCGATGAACGGGCCAACATACTTTGATTCGAGTTTTCCTCGTTTGAATGTGATCTCACGATATTCGTATTTTCCTTTTTGATAATCGAAGCTTATTCCATCGTCCATGTACAATTTTCCTTCAGCTTCTCCCTGGAATGATAGTTATGTGTACTTGAAAAATTTGAGGTTAAAGCATTGTAGTAGCTTATGTAGCAGAACAGGGGATAAGGAGAGGGATGTATAGGGATAAGGAGGGGGTGTATAGGGATAAGGAGGGGCATTCTGCCCTGAATCCCAAGGAAAACATTAATGGATTTATGATTTACTGAACATGTATTTGTTACGAAATCAACACCTTCTTATTGAGAGCTACAGCAAGCGTGTATGGATCATCAGTCATGAGAGATGAACAACGCCGGATCCTCTCCTTTCGTGGTATGATACTTCCTCCTCGTTGGAATACTGGAATCTGAAGATGAATGAAGATGGTGATGTAGTTTTCTTCCACGTAAAAGAATAAACAATGACATACTCCGACGTTGAAAATATTAAGAGCTTACCATATTAAGCGGTGTTGCAACGTGTATCGTTTGACCACCAAGATGGAACTTGTTACCAGGCAAATCATACCACAACTAAGAAGAAACAACGGAAAAATTTGAGACCAACTTTGATCACTTTAGTACTCAATGTTCCCGGCACCAACAAGGTGGCAATGTTCGGAGCAATCCCGACTCTTGTGCATGTGAAAGATATCCAACGATAAAGACTAAACTAAGATACAGTACTTGTAATGTTGAATGCCATAACTCAGTAGTCTGATTTGTTTTATACAGTGCTGTAAACAACCTTAGAGGTTCCTTAGAGGCGACTGTCAAGTGTCAACCTTTATCACAATTAGAGGTTCCTTAGAGGCGACTGTCAAGTGTCAACCTTTATCACAAGCATGTAAAGACGATAGTTGATGGTATGGGAGATCTTGATTGACCACATACAGCAGTAACAGAAAGAGAGCCATCTTACCTGGTCTTTGTCAGGAAGATACACGTCAAGAGTCGCCTGTCCTTGTGTTGTTACAGGTTTGATTAACAGATCACGGCCTGGGAAAGAGACGCAATTAGTCAAACATATAGGAAAGTATAATGAACGAGGCAGGCAGACCACCTCTCTAATATTGACAGGTAATACTGCTTAATCAGGTGCCAGAGTAGACAGTAGCGTAGCCAGCCTGTCGATTTGTCCCGCTATGCTAATATTTTGGTGTTCTTTGACTGTGAAAACAATAAATTTCTAAAGACATGAATAATTATAATAACATGAAATTTACATAGCGGGACAAAATCGTCAGGCTGGCTACGCCACTGAGAGTAGATGTTGTTTCACGATAATCAATATCGTATGGGTGGGATTAGGAAAACATGTTTGTTACAACAATGCTTTAACTCTTTAATAACTGTACAGGCAATCTTACCAAGTAAATATTGATCTTCCATCGTAAATGTTGTCTTGTCTTCTGGATACTCGACCCACAATGGTCTAAAAATTTAATACAAAATCCAGAAATCATTTACAACGGGGAAAGACTCGTCGATGGTATTGATGCTACAAGTAGGCCTAACGCAAAGCTTTTGGAGATATTATTACGTACGCAACAACAGGAGATCCCGATTGAGACGCTTCATGAAAGAGCGTGTACCAAAATGGCAGCAATGCATAGCGATGTCGTATCGCTTCACGCATCAGGTTTTTGTATTTGTCTTCGAACAACCATGGCTCACGACGCTTCGTATCCAGGTGAGCATGCGCACGAAAGAATGGAAGATAAGCACCAGTCTGATACCAACGAACCAGAAGTTCACCATCTGGATTCTGGAAAAATCCACCCACATCGGCTGAAATGAAACAAAACGGATGAGAAATGAAGACTATGCACAGAAACACGGACAATCTGAGTAATTTTTACGAACCTCCACTGAACTGCATCCCAGTTACACCGAGAGTTAGCATCATGGGTAAAGACATCTTTAGATGAGACCATTCAGCTATATTGTCACCAGTCCATATAGCACCTGGAACAAGGAACAGATTATTCTTTAAACGTTCTTTAATTCAAAACTCGCTCACACTTCGTGTGACATACCATATCGCTGGGTTCCTGCAAAGAAGGCTCGTGACAACACAAAAGGTCGCTCTTTATCGCTGGATCGTCGTTTTAAACCGTTGTATGTCGACATTTGGTTGTAAAATCCGTAAAGATTGTGAACATCACGATTCTCCCAACCGCCATAATGCACAGCGTCTTTATGCATGGTGATCTCAGGACCATTGAAGACACTCATCTGAAGAAAAGCAATCATGGTGCCATTAGTGGTAACCAATAGAGAAGTTGATGTGAGGGCATGAGGGAAATTCAACCCCGAACGGTCACCACAGTTACGTACAGTATTTTGAACAGGATAGCAGAAAAAACATGTCACCAGATGTATTTCATGGTGAGCATTAGTAATGATGGTGATAATGGAGATAGCGATGATCACAATACTCGTGAATGAAAGAACGCTTCTGTTGTCACAATTATCAGCCTGATTTCCCACCTCATTCATATCGTTCCAAACACTAAGCGTTGGCGTAGAGCCCTTGTACTGATCCAGAGCGAATTTACTTGCCCACCAGTCCCTTACTTCAGGATTGAAGAAATCTATCCAAGATGACGAACCTGTAACATAAGCAAACATTGTACTGCAATAATTTCCTGGTTCAGATAGTTCAGATACGAACCCTCGTGTGACGTTTTCCAGCATTTGCCGAGTCAGCAAACACAGTCTTACCTGGCCAGCACCATCCTTCATAGTCCCCGCCATCTTTGTTTTTGACGTAGTAACCTTTGGAGCTTGCCTCCTGATATGAAAAAAGATATCATGATAATCATGATCAGGATAATACGAGTTTTAGGATCTAAGAAGTAAATTAAGCCGACTATAAGTCTAGAGTCAATAAATTACCCGATGAATGTGGTAATCATCGTCTCTTTTGATATGAGGATCCACGATTGTTACCATCTATGAATGAAAATAAAGAGAATGTTAACACTAAGACAAGCTGTTGTTGTGTTTACAATGCAACAGGCTATTCATTCACGTAGTCTTTTTGCCTGAAAGCGATCTTAATCGATCTTAATGTCTAGTTTTCTTTGCAAATGTAAAACCAAACCTACTCTTCTTCCTTTGGCCGCCAACTTGTTTTGCATTTCTTCTGGATTTGGGAATTTGTGAGTGTCCCAGGTCATGTATCTGGTCGAAGAAACACGGAAGGTTGTAAATTTAAGGCATGGTATCCGAAATACAGTACAGTAGCTTCAGAAATGGTACTGAATGAATGAATGAATGCGGGTGTTTTTAATGCATTCTGATGTCAAGAAAAGGGAGCTCGTATATTTTCTAACCGTTTTCCATCCGTATGCTCAATATCCAACCACAGAACGTCGTATGGAATGTCGTGTTTGTCAAAGTTGGCATCAACACTGAATGAGATGAAATGGGGACGAAAATTGAGGATAAATTACAGACCCTGAGATGGAAAGATTCAGAAATAGTCTTACCTTATGACATCATCTTGATCGTTGTAGTTCCAACGGCATTGGTGGTACGCTATAGCAAACATCTGTTAAAAAATCGATGCAAGTCATGCATGTATGTACTGTATAGTATAGAAATATTTAGGATAGAGGACGGAGATACCACTTGTAGCTATCTTATAACTTCATATTACCGGAGGCAAGGTTGCTGGTCCTGTAAGAGCCGCATATTGTTGAAACACATCGTGAGGTTTTGGTCCTAACATAACAAAGACGTCGATGATTCCGCTCTCTGACATCCAGTGAGTGTCGATCTGCTGGGAGTTCTCTTCAGCGCTGAAGTATGACATCAGTGAATCTAACATGTTCTACACAAGAAATAAAAACAAAATTACCCAAGAAGTTTTTAAAAAATATTTTAATAATTTTTGATGATAGTCGATATAACCTTTTTGGCATCTTCCGTACTGATGTCAATCCATGTCTCAGCTGCGTTTAACCAAAATACGCCGACAGTTTTATTAACGCTAAAAACAAAACACATCGCATACGTTCAGTCTGTTAAATTCCATCAGTTCATAGGGTTTAACAAAGGTATGTCGTTCCTACCTGTGTGCCAACATGTAAGGAATAGATCCATACAACGCCATGCCATTGTTCAAATCATACTCAAACACATCAAGATTGAAAAGACGATATGGTTCTTTCCCCCTGAAAACATAAAAAATAACATTTGGCTTTATAAATAAGCTGGAATATAAGCAGGAGAATCAGGTTCATCCTGGGACCATATTTCTCACTGGGCAAGTTTGCTATGTGTTTGAATGAAATAATGTCTAAAAACATAATCTCTAACATACATTGTTGACTTGAGAGCCAGGGAGTCTGCATGTTCAGGAATGCCATAAACATTATCAAACCCAAGGAAAGATATATCAAGACCAACAGATGAAGGACCTGCAATGAATCAAGATTGATGTTATTGTGAAAACTGGAAGAAATCCAGTCGAAGATTTGACATGTGAATCTTGGTCAGTTTTCAAAATCCACCCATGCAACCAGGTCTTCAGAGTGTTCAGGATATCCCGCAATAAAAGAGCTTGTTCAGTAGTAGACCAACCTTTAGGTCTCGAATCTTTATGTTCATGAAATGATTCTTCCCAGGATTGTTCCTCTTCTTCCTTTGGTTCATCTTCTTTTGAATCTTCTTCAGCATTTTCCTCCTGTTTGAAATCAAATTTAAACATTTTATAACAAATGATAAAAAAGATAATAAACCTTGCCAACTATTTCACTTTCCAGTTCTCATATTCTCTACACACATGTTGTGATGAAATGATTGCCAAAGATTGAGTAAAAATATCAAAATTCAAGAAGTAAAAACACCTCATCTTTTGGTTCCTCCTCATTGTTTTCATCCTCCTCACTGCTTTTTTCTGGCTCTTCATCCTTCTTTTCAGAACTACTATAAAGGCAAACAAACAATATTCATTGTGATTGTGTGCAAGAATCCTACTGTAAGTGGGTATAACCTCACATGTATTCTGGCTATCAGTGGTCTAGAAATCCCTGAATGATAAACCAACTCTTGAAATTAGATCAAAGGTTTATCTGCCAAGCAAGAGGACAGTATGAGGAGAGTTACACCATGAACTGGACGGTCACAACCTGACATTTATGAACTGTAAATGTTGTGCAACTTCTTATGAAATGCATATTGTGAGATTTCAGAAGTGATAGGTTTTCCCTAAGCTGAAAGTGTAAATGCCAAGTTTAACACTTACAAGTAGCTAAACAAGGAACCTAACAGTGAATCTGATCTGGATAAAGAAATACAAGTGAAATAATTAGACACTGACTAAAAGACTACAGACTACAATACATGTACCCATAGATTGATCAAATTCAAGTGTATGATGATTGGATTATTAATATGTGACTTTCAACATAGTACAATTGGGTGACATCCATTTCTATGAATCCTCTACTAAAAACTAAACCAATTCACAAGCTATATTTCACTAACATAATTCTACAATGTCTTCTTCCTTTTCGCACAACTATCGAAACAAACTTACGCTTTCCTAGCTTGGTAGTGCTCAAAATTCATCAATCCTTTGGAATTCACAGAGACAGCAATCTGGTTGTCGATAAGAAAGTCCAACCGTAGCGGTCGCATAGTAATGATTAAACCATTGTTGTTAAACTTTACGTGAACTTGATCATCAGTCTCCTTAACTTTTTCATAACTGAAATAAAAATAAAATACAACTAAGTAAATGTACAAGAAAATAAGTTTGATAAATTCCAAGTGAGTCCTACTGTACATACCTTGAGTGAGATGGTTGTTTCACTAAGACATCTTGTACTTCGTAACGAGGATGAATTGGATTAATCTCATTAATTTTAAATCTAACTGTGTTATGCTGTAATACTATTACTTGGAGACTAAGAACTACATTTGTTTTGGAATTTATTATTTGTACATCTATTGCTGAGTCTGAGAATTTTATTGAACCAGGAACAACAGAATAAGGACTTTGACCAAGAGGAATGGCTTGGTTTCTCCTGAAATTGACAATAAGCATATGACATTTACAGTCTTATTGTGTGAATATTTTGTGAAGAATATAAATTTATGTAGAGTTTATTTCAAGGAAATAACCAGTCAGGTGCATGCAGTTCTGCTCACAAGTCATAACAATGTGGAGTTCACTGCTTCAAGATTTACATAAACTCTGGATTTGGAAAAAAATTGGGTGCGGAAAAGATTGCTCAATTAAAAGGCCTCCACAAACTCTACAGTAGTAGTGTAGTTTATATTCACTTTAAATAATATTCAACCAATATTACGTTACAAAAGCAGATAAATTTTCATATTTTAATGAATATGACAGTTGAATACACTACAGTGGGTAAAACACTACTTACTTGCAAAAACTACTATCTTCACATTTCTTAAACTTAGACATATCAATGGCTAATGAAGAACAGACTATCAGAATTAAAACACATACCACCGACCTAAACCTATAAAAAGGTAAAATCAATATTTAACACAGGACGACAAGTTTTAATAATATGTTACATATTAAATGAAGTCTCAAAACACCCCAAGGCTGGCAAGGCAACTATTTGAAACTGCAATTATATACACGACGTTGTGAAGAACCAATATAACTGTAAATATATAATAAAACGATGAAACAACATCCTCAAAGGGTAAATATACTAAAATTACCTTACAAATATATGAAAATCTGTCATTTTCCCTGTTAATGCTGTTATATCAATCTTCTAGAAATTAAACACGTTGACCGAACAGGTAGGTCCCAGTCTTCCACGGCGTCATGTCGCAGATCAGTGCTTCCACTTTCGATCAATTCTTTGATGAATGATGAAGCTAAGTAGTAGAAAAAAACATTCCCAAGTCGAGCTCGATGGCTCGAACCTATCGCCATAGTATAACATACTGAACATACTGCCATAGTGTTTCATATTTCATTTGTACTCATAAGTAGTTTTGACCGGAACGCCTTTGGTTTTTTGGGACACCTCCCTGTGTTCCTAGAGATTTCTAGCCTGCAAACATCGTGCACACCCGAATAATTTAAGGTACTATGCAAGAAGTATGTTATGTTATGTACCATGCGCACAACAAACTAATATTTTCGGTAAAACACAAGTCTATGCTTCAACCGCAATTATTTGCAATAAATTATCTTCAAAAAATGCTAGAATTCAAGTATAAAACGACAATATGATGGGATATATGCAGAATTTTTAAAAAAATACAAATATTCGCGCAGTTGGCCGAAGATTGGCACTAGGGCGGCTTCCCGGATGTTAGGATTCTTTGCTTGGCCTTCGACTTCATCACAAAAATTGTAATTTAAATAAATATTCTCGGCTATACTCATCTTTTTTCAAATATAGGATACGGATATATTACCTAAGCAGATTTAATAATGGTAAGTGGAACTTTTCAAAGCGTTGTCGACACCTTGTCTAATATCTGTGCTGGCAGGAAGCTTCTTGGCTCTTTATATCAAATCAAACATTTCCTCGGAAAATACGTTTGCAATCAGCTTTGTTAGGCTCAGGGGATTTGTTCTGCAAACACGGCATTAAAGTGTAGCTTTTCGCGCATTTGTAAACGTTACTTGCGGGCTGGTTAACGATGGGAACGTTTTCAATCAACTTTGTAATGGACAATGCAGATGGCAACATGTGAAAATTGATGCTTTATTTACATCTTGCAATCTGTCAACATTTTACACTCCTTTTGTGGGAGAATAGTTTGTGGTTCTCTTTGAAGTGTGCTGGTCTCAACTGCAGAAATCTATTGTAGTGTGTTTTGTACTGTTTTTAGATTTCTCATTGTTTTAAATTTCGTCTTAGGGAAATGAGCTGACATTACCGACTGATATGGTCACGCATTGTAAGTACTCTAGCCATCATTTAGTTTTAGTGGGTTTTTTTACGTTTATAATTGTCTTTCGTGCAAACAATATCTGCCTTAGGCTCAGTAATACTGTTTAAAAAGATTGAAATATTTTTAGCAAATCAAGTTTACAAGTACAGTGTATATATTGGCTTGAAGAATTACAAGTGTCCAGCCTAAACGAGTGATTTATACTAAATATTGGACTTCTCTCCATCTCTAGTTGAACCGGAAGAAATAAAGCGTCTTGGAAAGAGGTTTAAGAAGTTAGATTTAGATCATTCAGGTTCCTTGTCTGTGGAGGAATTTATGTCGTTACCAGAGCTTCAGCAGAATCCATTGGTGCAGAGAGTTATAGAAATTTTTGATCAGGATGGGAATGGAGAAGTCGATTTTAAAGGTGGCTGCCTACGACAACAGATCTGTCAATTGAGAAAAATGGATGAACATGTACCATTTATTACACATGACATAAACACACATATATTCATTACGACATGCCAACATTTAATTACCGTGGTCTTTGCTTTGTTTAGAGTTTATTGAAGGTGTTTCCCAGTTTAGTGTAAAAGGTGACAAGGAATCTAAACTTAGATGTAAGTTTTTTTGCCAACCATTCCAAAACCACTGTCTTTCCTTAGTTATAATAGAACTTTCTCATAATAAAGTCAGTTACCTGAAGTCTTAACAGCTCAAGACTATTCATGATCCTCTGTGTGACATTTGCAAGGTCAATTATGCATTCTCAACCTAATATTCTTCATCTTCTATTCTCTCAATTTAGTTGCATTTCAAATATATGATATCGACCGTGATGGATTCATTACTAACTCTGAACTATTTCAAGTACTAAAAATGATGGTGGGCAATAACTTGAAAGACACACAACTTCAACAAATTGTAGATAAAACTATTCTGTATGCCGATAAAGATCAAGATGGAAAAATATCATTTAGTGAATTCTCTGAAGTATGTGTTTGTGTGTACTAACATTACTGTTACCAGAAATGATGCCACCATCCAATAAAATGATTGTTATTTTTGACAGATGGACTTCCTTCTCTTGTGATGCAATTATTCCTCTTCTTGTGGGTTTTCACATCCACTAACCTGTTCACATTTGTGTTTCATTTCAGATGGTGGGTAATTTGGACGTACACAAGAAGATGGTAGTTGATGTTTAAAGCGCAACAGCATGCAATATGGACATAATGTAATTACCAGAATGTCACTGCATGTTGTTAATATTGTGTATAAAATGTAAAATTAAACTTTACATATATGATATACTATTGCACTAGACATTTTTAACATACCTCAGTTTAGAATTCACCAACACTTTGTCGTGGCCAATATCCTACAGAAATCAATGGTTTGTGTGTCTGAAGTACTATAAAGAGAACCGTCGTTTTGAAAAATGATCTTGGAGTTTTTCTGGTAGTTCCAAACATCAAACACATGTGATTTACTGTAAAATACTGTTTATTTATATGGCCAAAAAACTTGCAATTAAGTGATAATGAAGTTAGAATGCTAATTATTACCAGCTAATTACGGTTTTCTATTACATGCTTTGATTAAAGAGAACATATCCATAGTTTGATGGTAAATAAAAGACTATTAGCAGACTTAATGTTTTAATGAAAATATTGTAACCTTCAAGAGTTTTGACTTTAATTATTTATTACATAGAAATCAATTGTATTAGTTAACTGATGATAATTGTTGTTTCATTAAATGTTGAATGACACACGTTTAAAGAATTTATTTATTCTGAGAAACAGACATTTATATAATCACTAACTAAACTACTAAAGTATTCCAGTAATACTTAAAACAGCTCATCAAATTGTTTAATTTTTATACAGCAAGCGATTAATATTTGTTCTTCAAAATTTTGCCTTTCAACACGTTCCATTGTTAAAATTTTACTTTTAGAAGCCAGTAAGTAGTTCCATTATCTTTCGCTGGCATTAAAAGTTTTGTTAAAATTTTATTGCATTCTTTACTTTTCACTCTTCAAGATAACAGTGAGTGCAACAAACTCTAAACACCAGAATTATAGATCGATTAAGACAGTGTTACGAGTAATAACTATCGTAAAAGCAATTCCAGGAATCACAAGTGGTGCTGGTAATCGAGGGACGCAGTTACGAGAAACTTTACTAAACAAGACGCCTGTTCTGGCGTTAACTCCGGCGCACGTGCCAGTCTTCAATATAGAGCTTCTGAACATAAACAATGCAGTTCATATTCGCATTTAGACGCCTTGCGAACCTAAATGTTCCATCGCGAAATTCAGAAGCACATCGTACTTTAAAAAGTATAGAAGTTCAATTGTTCAAAAATGTAAATAAACCGCATAATACATTCGCTTTGTCTTACACTTTGCCTTTGGAATTCGCGCTTATATAGTTATATTAAATCTTCAATCCTGTGCAAACTACGACGAGTCAAAGCGCCCATACACGACCACATCATCTTGTTAAACGGCGAAATAGCAGCGATATTACTAAAATAGGACCAGAATCTACACGTATTAAATATATTCTTACCCCAATTCAGTCTAAACTTAATCGAAAAGCATGAAAAGAACGGTTTATTTGTTCCTCTTGGAGGAATTGCCGTATCATGCGAGCGAAATCGAATCGCGCATCGGAAAATTAGCCAAAGCTGTGCACCACAACTCTTGGGAGACAAGACTGGGACATAGATAAATCCAATCACATACACATTTTAAATACTAGAATGTTTCGCGCCATTACAGACTTGCGACGACGAAAAATAATAAAAAAAAAATAAAAAAAAAAAAAACAAAAACAAAACAAAACCGAGGCGAATTTTCAACTCCGTCGCTGACGCCGGAGTAATTAGTTTCTATGGGCTTTCAATACGTACCATCATATGTGACCTTTCTGTCGACACGGACATTTGTTGCATCAATAATGTCCTCAACATCCCCCTGTGGTTCGTCCATGCGCTGAAATGCTTCGCGCAAGTCAGCTGAATTAATAAAACCTTAAAAGAAAAAATCCCGGATATTTTATACTTTGCCTGTGTTTGATATGGAAGATGAAAATTGAGATTTTTCGTCCTCTAAGCACAACATTCTATACATTATATCTCTATAAAAACGTGCAAAAGAAGCGCATTTTGACAAAACCTTTATTTGCAACTGACAGATATTTATCGCATAACCCACTTGAAAAATCGACCACCGTACCGATGATCACACTAACCAGTGTCCTCAGTATCAAAAGCGTGAAAAGCTTCAATAAGTTCCAGATCCATTTCAATTTCTGGTTTATCGTTAACCATTAAATCAACAAACTCCGTGAAATTGAGAACGCCATCACCTGGAAGAAGATAAAACCTTCATCAAACCGTGACCATGGTTGTCCATGCATTCAGGCATTCACCTCTCCGAGAATTCTTCAAACTTGGACACACACAGACACAGGAACGTACCGTCATAATCCACCTCATTAATTAGATCTTGTAAATGTTCATCCTTAGGATTAGACCCCAAGCTTCGCATTAAAGGACCAAGTTCGTCACTAGAAACCTTGCCATTCCCATCTCGGTCAAAAACATCAAAAGCATCACGATATTCTGCAATTCGATATTCACTTTTATTCAATTCAAATTGTACATTAAAGTACGTGGTTTTTGCATTTGTCATATTTCTATACTGTCCTTTAGTCACTCACCTTCCAGCTGTTCTTCTGTGAGCAGTTTCTGTAAATAGTTCAGGAAGATTGTCAGAAAATAAACTTCAGTTAAATAGTTCTAACTATAGACACCTAAGATGTTCATCAATAGAGATATTCATCTGGCAAGAACGAAGGTTTCACTATATCAGATACGGCAATTAACTTGAGTTAATAAAAGAACTTTGACGTTGTTCCGTAATTCATTCAATTCTTAACTTTTTCAACAATTTCTTCAATATTTATTGACGGAATAATGCAGTAAAAATGCACATCAAATCGCTAAGTCAGATATACACACATACAGTATACAATGCGGTAAATATCCAGCCATATATTCATGCAGGCAGGCAGCTGTTTCAAAGAAGACAAAACGTGAAATAAGATAATAAATGAGTCTTTTTCACTCACCATTCCTTCACCTGGTTCCACCGGCATTTTCAGGCAAGAACGATGAGCTTACGAGAATATTTCGTTTAAATAAACAGCGCAAGAAACCAAACTGGCCTTGTTTTAAATGTATACAACGCAGTTTTGCTTCAATTTTGAAGTGCAGGTACCAGTAAGAAAAAGTGAAAACATAGACTGGAGGTGAATTCCGTTGGAAGGCTAGTTTTGAAATGTTTTAATAAAATAAATCATGACTTGCACAGTTAGAGGAACATTTATTTTCTAAAATGGCAAACTGTCCAAAATAAATACGATAAAAATTAAGCACTGACTGCAGGAAGCGCCTAATCTATATCATTTTCAGAGTCTTTCAAGAGGCAACAAAGCCAAAACTTGACTGGATATTATATTGAAATATATATATTGAAAGTTCTCATCCGTTGAAACATAGAAAGGTGAACACGAGCGAAAAGTCTCGTCAACTCTAATCCGACTATAGGCTGGAAACATTAGAATATTTCTACATGTCAAAAGTAGTACTTCTAGATCTTGTATTGTCCTGTTTCAAAACTGTTGTGTAACGCTCGCGAATGGCTCGTCCCAGTCCCAAGCACTGTAACCCCATCCGCCTGAACTCTTTGCGAAAACCTTTGTGTCTGTATGCATAAAACGCGGGATTTACCGCTGAATTAGCGTAGAGAAACACACGCATCCAGAATCTGGCGACTTTGGAGCTTGCGCTTTCGTTGTTGCCAAAATGATACAAAATCATTATAATCCTTGGATAGACAAGCAAAATGAATGCGGCGATTACTAACCCAACAGTCTTTGCGGCCTTGCGGTCTTCGCGGGAAAACGGAGCGACGCGCGTTGAGGAGTCTGGTGCGACTTTAGAAGAAGGCTTATTTTCCGTGGACGAGGTTTTTCCAGGAGATCTTTTATCTAAGTTTTTGTCCGAGACATTAGAGTCAATGGTGTTACTTGACGTAGCAGCATTTATGTTTCCTTCGTTCTCTATAACAACATTGTCGCAACTGATTTTGCTGGCTTTTCTGGCGACGCGACTTTGGAAGGTTTGTGAACTTGGTTGAAAGTTATTGCTGTATCGTATCGGCTTTCCCATCTTCCGAACGGTTTTTGCGATAATATGAAAAATTTGATAATAGGTCACGCATATCACCAAGGTCGCTGTGAGCACGAACACGATGAAGAAAATGAGAAACGGCGTATCAGAGACACCGGGAAATTTAGGAATGCTTGTGATGAATATAGCTAAACACCATATGGTCGTTATGACTGCAAGGACTTTCCAAAGATTGTAGCGTATCGAGGTAGCATACTTCAAGGGTCTCGACAACGCCAGATACCGATCAACGCTTAGGCAGACTAGAGTTGATATAGATGCAATAATGTTGATCCTTCCAACAAATCCTGCAACTTCGACGAAGGTCTTCGGTATACTCGAGTCGTATTGGTAAGCAATATGTTGAGAGGCACGCATAGGGACTAGTATGGTACACACGAGGATATCAGCGACGGAGAGGGATACGATAAGATAATTGGTGGCATATTGGAGATTACGATTACGCAGGACGGCTATTATAGTAAAGAGGTTCCCAACTGTTCCTACGAGACTGATGATGATTTCAAATACAGCAGCTGCAAGTACTGCTCCGTAATCCATATGATAGCTTGACTTGCTCGTCGTTGTATCCAACAGACTTTCGTTTGTAGGCCCAAGTGTATTCTCCATTTCTTTATGAGAAGAACTCCGGCGAAGAGTGTCTAAATGAAAATCAACAAAGCGGATTTGAACTTTCAAATTTTCTGCCAAATACATTGAAGACAAATGCACTGATGGCCAGCCGACCTGATGACATTTTTTAATATATGTCCCCTCCCCTCCTATATTGCTCATTGAACTAATGAGAAATCAGAATTTGTAGTGTGTTTCTCATTATCTTCTGGTTTCTTCATTGTACGTTAATAATTATAGTCGATTGATCAAAAAATACATAATATAGCCGCTGACAGCTCCATGACGCTGTCCGCCCTGTCCCAACAATAATCACTCTTACTTAATGAAAAAGCTTACAACAAAGTAGGAAATATTAGAAACACAATTTGATGATAGAACAACCGAGTCCAGTGAATAATACCTGCACGAAAAAGTATTTAAAAATGGGTTATCTAACCTTTAAAGTTGCCCTGTTTTCTTGAACTGTTCCGGTGATGATAGATTTCTTCACCTGCTGGAAAATCAACAAGAGAAAGGCCGAAATGATTTTATTATAATGTGAGGATACACATCATTAATCTTGACTAAACATAGCAGGGATTTACATTTGCAATCATATATAGTCTAATATAGGGAAATTACATTGGGTAAACATTATGATCGTTTATAATTCTCGCATATTTTCCTTCGTGGAATAGAACTGGGTAAAGCAAAAAGAAAAAGATGCGGTGATGATGAAGTCAAACTTATTTCGAAAATAGCTCGTTGTCTTGATGAATAAGCTATCTGTTTACCTGCGTATTACTTTAATCTTTTCACATTCTCAACTCTCAAGTATGAAGCACTCAATGCTATATAAATGGTGATCGTCATGGACACGCCATTTTTTCGAGAAATATGTTAAAACGATAGCATACCTAACAAGATAGCTCGAATATTTAAAGATCGAAAAAGAAAGATCGAAACTGTAATACCTGTTGGGACCCAAGCAGCAAACTATTTTTTTATTGATTTCAGAACAACTGAAGAAATCCGCCGATAATAGACGATTTAAGTTTTAGTTCTTCCTTAAAATCCATCAGTTCTTTACTAAAATGTAGAGCCATCCAGTTTACAACAGTGGCAGCATTTTTCTCCTGTCATGAATTGCTAATATGAATAATAGACAGCAATAAAAGGCATCGTATAGCCGGATGTCTGATTATATAAAATGAACATAGGCTAGCATCTGTTGAGTTCCACTAACTCGCAATTGTTGTGAATAAGTCGTTTTCACTGATGGAAAATATTGAAAATATGAGTCGCCTGTTCTCATAAACCATGCAAGATTTCCTGAGAATCGTGACCATGCAAGGCATCGCCAAAGTCAATTTAAAATCAAGTTTAAAGCTAGATTTAGATCTGGTCTAGGAGCGTAGAATGAGTGAGTAAACACTCCTGGAGATAATACTAGAAAAATCAGGGGATTAACCTTTGAAGTTCCATCATCTTATGAGTATTTACAATTGAAGTTTATAATTGAGTTATAGTAGTTTGTATAATAAAGTTGGTTGCCATCTTACCTGTTTCAGACACGAAGCTGTGCTCACTAGGACAAGATACCGCGTGCTACAAGTTTTACTAAGCACAACGAAAAAATCCAGATAACACCTTTCTCTCGAACGTCGAAGGAGTCTCTAGGAGTCATCGAAAGAAATGCTAGAAGTCATCATATTCGACCTTTCGTAATTCGTAAACGAAATTATTCAAATAGGAAGTTCCGACGCAGGCTTGCAGAACAAATAATAATGAGGTATTTCCCTTCCGTACAGCGTGGGTGTTGAGTGGTAAAAAAACAAAGCAAATACGTCGAAAGACAGGGTTATCAATCCTTTTGTATTTCAAGCACTGCGTGTGTTCAGCGTAGAGATTGGGGTTTATTTGTAAAGATGAATGTTTTTTAACTGCGTAAGACAGAAATTCGATTCCAAAGCAAGCGTATAAAAGACAACTATTTGTGTAATTGGATATCGTCTATTACGCAATTTACAATGAAAGACCGGACGCCACTATGACAGTTTGCGACTTTGCGTTGTAATAGAATGCCAATATCTGAATATGTCAGGGTTTACCCGTGTGGTTACATTAGATTTTTTATAATTACATGATGCGCTGTTAACAAACATGCTGTTGAACTATCAAATGTACTGCTTCCATATAAAATAGTCTATCATCGGGAAGACGAGTGACGTCTACACACGTTGTGAACATTCTTTCTTTCAGTTTCCGCTGATAAAAACCATGCATCTATTCTCGATCATCACCTCAACACATCTTTCCAGCACTGCCCCTAACTGTTACCTTACAATGTCCTAATGAACTCCAACTTATCCAGAATCCTCCCCAGATCTCCCTTCTATCACCTGAATTCCCATACTTCTCGCTGAGCCGATGACTGACTTACACACAGTTTCCAAAGATGCGTTTTGGAAAACTTTGTCAGTTTTCTTAATTCGAGCAATCTCGTAGATGTGTTTCAACGTGACTGATCCAGCTATTTCACGTCCTAATATAAAATAAATGCAACTGTTTACTATCAGTTCAAAACTGTTTTTCTCATGAGGTCCAGTAAAGATAATGCATTACAGTGTTATTACAGGAGGAAACCTAAACTAAACTAACTTTATTTATACTGGATAACTCTATCAGTACGAAACTGTTATTTCTTATAGGTCTAGTAAGGATCATCTCTTATTGATCCAGTGTTTCTACAGAGGCTAATCTATACTTCATTTATACTGCCTGTATCTCTGTCGTTTCTAAACTGTTCTCTTTATAAGACTCTATTGGCCTGTATAGTACGTTATGGAATCCAATTAGGACAAAATAGAATCATAAAATAAAATTAGAAGATTCCTCCGTTAAATTATGCCCACAATCCAGCAAATAATACAAGCGTATATAACTATACGCGTCAGTAAATGGCGTTATTTTGGTTAGTAACTGCAACGTGACTGGTGGCAATGCTAACTAGTGAGAGTCCTTGTGCAACGCAATTTAAACCAGCGATAACCGAAATGATTTAAAAAGAAACATTGTTTGAGATACGACATTTGCTTATCCGGCATAAAAAATAAGAAAATCGATAAATATTCACTCAGATACACTGAAGTCGAAACAGAATATTTTGCAGCAGGAATATGGACGAGAAATCTGAACAAGGAGAAGAAATGATGAAAGAGGATTTGGTTTTGAACATTTTAAAACAACTACAAGACATCATTAAACGGACACACGAAAACAAAGAGTTCAAAAATGAAATCGCAGGACAACTCATAAAGAATGGCTACGATTATTTCTCTGCAAACGTGGACGAAATTAACCCGAGTCATGTTATAAAGATACTACAAGTTGCCATTGACAACACGATGACGACTAAACTGGATCTGACCCAACAGGCAGAACTAGATGATGAAGACGAAGATGATGCGGAGAAAATGGAGGAAACGCTTGAAAAAAAGCTGGGAAATATACTGGAGATCAACGACGGGAAATGCTTGCAGGATTATTGGAGCAAAGGTTGTATAATTACATCATCAATAGAGTTCTGTGTTGAGTCGGGAGTCCCCCCCCCCCCTATTACCAGTTTAGGCCGTGTGGCGGCTTTCTTGATGAAATGTGTTGTTTTTTACATTTTCTAGGTTGGAAGGCAATGTTACCCACAGCGCGCTCGCCACTAGATCTAGCAAAACATGTCAAGAAAAGCGCTCCGCTTTGGCTGGTGAAAAATCTTCTCAAGTATCAGTTTCGTATCAAATGGGCAACGAAGACAGGGTTACCGTCTTGTTTTAGTTTTTACGAGTTCTGCGAGGCGCAGGGCAACTTGAAACACCTGAAATACAAACCCAAAAAGGCTCAAGTAAGGGTCGAACTCTATCATGAAAGTTTAAAACGAAGTGGGAGTGAAATACAGCTGGGTGAAGAACAACTCTGTCCTCTCGTTTACATCAAAACCACGTCAGGTTGGAAGACTTGGAGGGCCGATGGCGGGAAAATCGGGGAAGTTAGGGGCATCGAGGAGTTTAAGTGGATACATGAGTCAGTACGGAATTATATCCTTGAGAATGCTGACGAGATGCGAGGGGATAGCGAGGAAGATCAGAGCAGGAAGGAGGCGACGAATTTGCAGAAGGCTTTGGATAAACCAGCTCTCTTCTGGCTCGTGGTAAATGACGAATTTCAAACTGGTCCGAGTTCACAGTTAAGGGAGATCTGCCACACACAGGTTTGCATATAAAAATCTTGAAATTAGTTTTGGAAGCACATTGTCAAAATCTTGGTAAATACATATTTTCTTTATTAACGAGATATTCTTTATCATTTCTGTCATTTTATACTGCCCAATTCTATATTTTTGCCTAGGTGTTTGTAGGCAAGGCCGACAATGGCATTCGTAGAGCCTGGATCGAGGACACTGGTAGTCATGGTGATATGATGAAGAGATGTGCAGAACATGTGCGCAGTATGACAACCTACGACCCTCTGAGACTCAAGGGAATATCTCTCGTTGACGCTAGGCTGGTGCTTGCTAAACTACGAGGTGATAAATGTGGTGTATTTCTACTGAAGACGTTTGGAGATGACTCAGAAAAGGCGATTATCACTAAAGAGAAAGCAGCTGCGGTCTGCGTTGAAGCAAATACGGAATGGAAGAAATCAAAGAAAGTTCACGCTGAAATAACGGAAAAGTTAAAAAAGGCAAAACAGTCTCAACAACCTGACAGGTATAGAACAACACGATTTATAGCAAGGGAGGGGTGGGAGGGGAGTTAGCTTAGCCCAGGATTGCTTTTCTCTTAATAAAACCTGCTTTTGATTAATGAATGTCCTCACGAATCTGATCCCAACTCCGTCAATGTTTAGTGGAGCAATTCCTGGTGTTTATACTTGATTTGAGGCCAGCCCTAAACTGCTGATCTGAAGATGTGCTGGCACCAGTTCGGATGAGACGCATTCTCTTGCATTCTCTTGATATTTCAATGTTTGTATCTTAAGAATCAAAGAATTACGTCGCGCAAAACGTGCGTCTGAGATGAGCAAAGAAATACTCGACCAGGCCGCGGAATCCGTGAAGAACGCTCAACAAGCCGTTCTGGCTGCTGAATCAGCTGTTGTTGAGATCACGAGAGAGGAGACTGGTATGATGGTCCAATCACGATTAAAAACCGCTGAAGCCCGTCACAAGGAAGGAAAGAGAATTAAAGAGAGTAATATGAACATTATTCCTTATGATAACGAAGGGAATAAGCTAGTGTGGAAACCAAAGAATATGGCTTTTGGTATGAACAAATGATGAAATATCTCCGATCAATACACCAAACTGCTTCAATATACATTTTGTAGAATTTATATATATAATTTCTGTTTGCATGAAGCAGGTCCTAAATATGATATCAGTACTCTCAATAACTGAATCTATGTATGTCCCAGCCCGAGTTTGAATGCACTTGTTGATTTGTTTTATTTATGGCCAGACCAGCTGCCATAAGTGTGATATGTACAGTAGCAGACGACTAGAAGTATTTCTACCTTCAACACTCATCACATATCGTCTTGAACAACTCTAACTGCCTCCTAGAGAAAACAGAGACGTTCGTAAACTGCCCGCGTTCAGCAATGCCAGCCGCTTTCGCTGACTTTTTCATCGCCTGTCTGATGAACTCTGGTTCCCTCTCCTCCTCCCATCTCCGATACCATCGTTCAGCGCGCGCCAGAAAGTATTCAGCCTTGCTCAGCTTGGTCATCAACAAACCCTGCTTTTTAACAGAACCATCAACTACATCAAGCAAGTAATCCGCTTGTTTCATATCACTGGACAAGGATTCTTTGCGGATCACTCGTTCACCGTCACAGAAAGCTCCCAACGAAACCGCAGCCATCGCGATGAGCACTCGCTGTTGCAAATCAACCACTAACTTTTCCGGGAAACCGTGCAGTGAAAACGAGCTCCGAAGAGCACTTTCATAGAACTGTATGCATGTTGACCTCAGAATGCGCTCTTCCACAGGATCGTCTAGTTTGATAATATCAATCTCTAGTATTTTAGCTCTATTATAATATATCCAAGGTAATACTAGAATGGTTGGTTGGTTATGCGAAGCTTGTAACGCCTCTTTGCATAATTCGCGACATCTGTCATAATCGCCTTGCGCACGCTTAACAACCCCCAGCCAGTACAATCTCCTGACATGATAAACCTTTGCGTCCACGCATCTGGACGGTACTTCGTTTAAAAGACGTTCATTCTCCATCAGTTTAGCCTCGGCTTCATTTAGAAGTTTCTTTCGAAAGAAATTTCCCGCCTCTTGTTGCTGTATTAAACTTTGAGTGTTTCCATCTGCGTTGCACAGCTCTTCCTTGTACGCGGTAAACTTCTCAGAACGACCATCGTTTCGGAGAATAACAAGATTATTAAGCACCTCAATATGATTCTGAAATGCCTTCGGTGAGCTCCACTCACAACGGCCGATGGCTCGAGGAAGTCTTTTATGGGGAAATATATTTTGCAAATCGTTCAAGAGGAAGCTCTCTGTCCACTCGTAAAGATCCATAGCTTTGACCCTTCCATTCATATCAACAATATAACTCTCTGGTTCTTTTACAAACACACCTCTGTCATGGTCGTTCACTGATATTACAATAACATACCTCGACTCCTCCGTGTTCAACACCTTTTCAAAATAAATATCCCAGTGCTCGCCTTTCTTCAAGCATTCCTTGTTGCCCGGCCATGTAAATAACTTATCAAGAGTACTCTTAACCTTCGTAATAATTTCCTGCCTGATCGTATCATCAACTGCTTGACCGTAAACAACGTAAAATCCTTCACGAAGTCCAATACCGTAAAAAATATGACCCCCGTTGCCGTTTGCAAAACCAGAGACATATTGGGTTAGTTTATTGCTATCGTTTGTGATTCTTTCTGCAAGACTTGTTTTTTCATTGCCCGTTTCTTCCAACATTTTTAACTGTATTCCCTTGCCTTCCTCCAAAGCAATTCTCTCGCCATAACTGAATTCTTTCCAGTGTTTTCCAAGAACGGAAACGGCGTCTCGTCTCTGTTTTCCTTTAATTATTTCAACGATATTTTCAATAGGATCGCATGGCGGAACACAATGGACTTGCGTATTACTTGTGCAAAACAAGTTGTAATTTATTGTACAAGTTCGAGGCAGAGACGAAGATGGTCTAATTTCATAACACATTTCAAATACCTCGTCAACCGTATCCGACGGGATCTTTGTGATAATTTTACACGCTTCTCCATGGCCAAACGTCCCTTGTAATTTCTGCTCTATTTTTCGGGTTATATCGTCTGCATCTTTCTGAGAATATGGCTGGCTTTCGGAGAAGACAATAATCCTGCCACCTTGTTTAAAACTGTTGAGAATAGCGCAGACGGCATTCAGAATTTCTTTTAGTTTACCAGTGTCTTTGCTTTTGGGTTTTGGAGGTGGAAATGCGATCCTCAACGGCTCCATGACCACAAACTAAAGGCGATCCTCTTCTCACAGACGCATGGCTAGTTTTTATTTCAATATGAAGACACTCAAAAATGACACATCTCAATAGCACAAGTGCCGAAGAAATGTGCTCACTCAATATCACTGAAGCGTTATATTTTGCAAACAAGATAAAATGTCAATAATAATAGGTTATTCCCGTTATAGAACAATTACCAGACACCAGGGGAAAACCCCAGGTCTAGAAATAGAATTTTATACTGTAACATTATACTGTAACTTAAAGTTTTGTTTCTTTCCCTAGCAAATGATTTATATACACAAACGCATTTGTTTGTTTAGGAAAAGGAAATGTCACTGACTTAATTTGAATAAGTTTTTTGTAATGATGTTTCTAATGAATTTACTTGAATAATGTACATGTGAATGATGTATTTTTGTTTTTCTTATGAGTTTGTCAACTAGCCAAGTGGAAATTCAAATTCATAGCTGGGGATCTAAGCCATGTTTCTTGTACATTGCAAGCACTACTGCACTAGACTATATTAACACAAATCTTATTTAAGTCCTTTGTATGATAATTAACTGCACTTTTAAGTACAAGTTAATATCAAAATTTTCTGCACTATTATCTGCACTAGAACATTAGGAGTACATCTTCCTGTTATAAATGTTCCCTGATGTTCTTTAATGCTCCTATTATCTAACATACAGATACCTGGTTTTGAAGCTCCTTTCTCAATACCCGCAGCTTGTTTTAAGAAATATGACACTGGAGGTGTTGTGGTTTCAAATGAATAGCTTCTGTCAGCCTAAAAATCATACCAAATTACTTATCAGTCCCCTGATTAGAGTTAAGCAAAATTACAGGCTTGCAGTCCAGGCTGCAGTTCTCATTACTTTTTACTAAATATTGTATTTTCACAAAGCAATACCATTGAGCTACAGAGAAGAAAAGCAATTATGGAATACACTCTTCCTTCACAAGTCCACAAGTCCAAAGATCATTCAAAAAACTACCTTAAAGGTTATTCGCGTTGGTATTGGGACACCAGGTTTGATATCCTTCGTTTTGTCATTAAATTCCTTACAGAACTGAGGAATATTGACACCTTTCTACACCAAAGAAAGAAGTAAAAGTGAAGTAAAGTTGATGTCAAAATGTTTGCCATTGTTATCATCTAGTACAAGATTGTAGTACACAAAAGAGTCCCTTACTTGTCCTAATTGTGGACCTAATGGTGGAGATGCAGAAGCTTTTCCAGCAGGAATATACGTCCGTAATCTTCCAATAATTTCACCAGACTTCTTGGCTGCTTTGGAAGCCATCTTGCCCCGTCAATGATTCGAAATATTTCCGCATTTTTGACAAAATATCGATTTCTTGTCGCATTGAAAAAAATGCGTTTCTTCCTCGCTGTGTTGGCGGGAAAATATTCAAAATAAATCTTTGTTAGAAATGCTTTGATTTCTGGTTTAAAGGGACAGTATGAGTTCAGGTTCTCGTGGAAGGTATTTCAGGGGAAGGGGGCGATATTTTCGCGGTAATAGAGCGGGACGCGGGAGCGGAAATATACGAGGTGGGTGTCAGGGACTGTCGGAGATTCCTGACTTTATGGGTACGCGCTAGTTTATATTAATAGTACTTCGGATACTTCAAAATAAACTGCGCAAAAAATCACGCCATAATTATGTATTCTTTTGTTTCACCTGCAATAAAATTATTACCTGAAAGTCTTCAATGGTATTAATTATCATGCATGGTACCGTCGTTTGTAATGGCGATGTACATCTGGCCATGAAGTTGTATATACCATGTTTATATTAGGTTACTACATTATGGATGTTTCTTGCATCTGATATCATCCCATCCCATCCTGTGTCAAAATCCTAATATTTCAGTTGACTACCTAATATATAAAGAGCACCAGACTATCTCTATATATCTCATCACACCACACAAATGACACAATTCAGGTCTAAGATTCAGCCAGTTAACATACCATAGTGTATTCGGTTCCTTCCCAACATATCTGTATTTGCTTTTGCAATAGGTGGCCCTCAGGTTTGCAACCAGAATTCACAAACTAGACCTGCTCTTCGTCAAACAACATTAACGGAGTGTCCATACAAAAATTGGCATGTCTACTTTCCTGATGATGGTAAGATGGCGGCACTTTAAGAAATTAAGTTTCTTCATTTTTTAAACCTTCAAGTATTTTCTCAACAGCTTATATGCCTGACTCATCTCTGGACCAAATGATTCAAGCTTTTCAACATTTCATTGAGAGTCTTTCAGATGGTTTTTCACAGGTATGGTACACCTCATGATCACATCTCAGTCATAGAACATGAAAACTCTGGCCAATGTTAATAAGCATGCTTCATAAAATCCATTCTCTTTCAACTTAATTAAAGTCCTGATTTCTGATGCAATTCACTTTCATACAACTATTTTTATAGGATGAAATTGAGGCAACTGGTTCAATGAAATTTGACTTCAAAGTTCTCTCCTCAAATGCAGGTTGGACATGGTTTCTTCTCTTAACCTTCTTCAGAAGATTTCTCTACAATGCAAGCTATTAAGATGGATAATTACCCAGACAACATTCATACCATGCAGTTCATCTTCTTTAGATATTTTGGAACATATTCCCACCATCCATGATAATCTCAGGGACAATCCTGAAAAAACAATCCAAGCTTTGAGTCTAGCTTCATATCAGGTGATAAACAAATCATATTGTATTAAACCAGATGTAGTAATGTTTGTTTAGAGAGAAGAAATACACAGCATGCATCCAAATCTACCTGTCTTCTTTCTTTCCATCTCTCCCAACTCTCATGTTGTTGCTCATCAGCACATGCAAGTGTGGAAAAGAAACTGTAAAATATGTCCAAAGATACTTTGCACAGGGTGTTACTAATGAAAATGTTCAACTAGGTATTTCTCGCTAGTTATGAAGCCCTCAGTCAATCTCCCATCAAGCCTTTGTTTGAGTTTCCTCAGATCAAGGCAAGGTATGCTTAATTCTTCCTGTCATAACACTCTTTCACATGGCAGCAGCTGTTAACCAACCCAACCTGTTCATTTCATCCAGCCCCTCCATTCTTATTCCTCATTTTCTTTACTCTTCCTTCACTTCACACACACAGAGTCTACAATTATGATCCACTCACACCATTGAAAAACCTGAAAGCCAATTGCTATGGTAAATTATGACATTATACCTTTGGAGTTTCATTACATGTTGTTAATCTGGAGGAATTCAGTTGTAATTCATTGTGGCTTTGTTCAGGAAAGTTTGTTGCAATACGTGGCACAGTTGTCAGAGTCAGCAGCGTGAAGCCTTTAGTGACGCACATGGCATTCCTGTGCAATGTTTGTAAAGAAACACAGGTGCTGTAAATGCTTATTGCTCAGCCATTGAACGTTTGGAGTGGTGATACAATACCATGGTCTTTATGAAGGATATATCTTTTTTCCGTTCCTAGGTTCTACTGTTATCTGATGGGAAGTACAAACTGCCAACCAAGGTACGGTATGATTTGCGAGATTCATCATTTCGTTCTTTTCACTGCAGCCTTCAGTTATGAATTGGGTGGATTTTGACAATTTCTAGTGCGAGTCAGACACCTGTCGAGGAAGAATATTTGTTCCACAAGAAAGCTCGCCATTGACGAAAACTATAGACTGGCAAACAGTGAAGTATGTTCAGTAAACGGCCGCGGTATTCTTCGTTTGTGAAGAAGAATACTTTTATTGCAATTTTTGGCTAAAGCACTAACTTATTCCAACGCAAATTCACTGAATAGACAGACCCTAGCAAAGGCTACTGTTATCTCTTTAGAGTTCAGGAGATTATTGATGATGATCAACGCGAGACGGGACGCATTCCACGAAGTATAGAATGTGAACTAACCGCAGATCTGGGTATGCTGAACTTTACTTTCATTGCGATAACACTCTTCAAATGACGGTGCTCTGGATCGTGGACAATCTACATTTGCCACATTTCCATTGTAATCGTAACAAGTTGGTACAGGGTACAGCAAGCTTCATAGAGTTTCTTTTTAACAGTTGACAGCGCGATTCCTGGGGATGTGGTCAAAATCTGTGGCATGGTCAAGGTATGTGATGGTGAGGAGAACCATCGTAACAAAGAAAAGAGTATGTTTATGCTGTACATCCTGGCAAACTCCATTGAAAACGGCAAAGATTGTCAAACAGAATCTGAAAACAGCAGCGGAATTGCCACCGAATTCACTCTGAAGGTAAATCAATTTTAAAGTTCCACACTCTGGACCGATACGAGAAATTTTTGAAACAGCTACCTTACTCAGTATCCTTCTTGAAGGAGTTATACGCTGTTCAAGAAATTCAAGCAGAGAAGAATACGTTCCAACTGATTGTTGGGTTAGTTTTTTAAACCCTCGAGCAAATATTAAAATATTTTCACTTGCAGCCACATGACATTATAATGAACTCTTACTCTTTGCATTTCTCCGGGTAGGTCATTCTGTCCCAGTATTTACGGCCACGAGGTAATAAGCAATGCATATACAACAAAGTTTTTCAACCAAAAAAAGCAAAATATTGCGAAAGTTCATAAAAAAAGTTTAATGATAAAAGTGTTTTTGCAGCTGGTTAAAGCTGGACTTATCTTAGGATTATTTGGAGGTTGTCGACGTTACGAAGATGACAAGGTATTACGTAGCTACATACGAGGCTTTCTGAGAATATTTACTATATTGGACTACCAGGTTTTAACCAGGCTCTATAAAGACTGGATGTGAAACATTTTAGAACAACGTCCCGATCCGAGGTAATTCTCACGTTCTTGTTGTCGGTGATCCAGGTCTTGGAAAAAGTCAGGTAGGTTGGTTTAACCATACTTTGTTTATCATGGATTCCTCTCGATTCTTCAGTTTCGAAACAGTTTCCATGCGAGTCAATTGTACTGTAAAACGATCTTTAGTTGGGGTAAATTGAAAGCATCACTGTAGCAATACAAAGAAGAAGAATGAAATAACAGCATATTGCAGGAGTCGCGATATAGCGAACGCTGTAAACCTCTTTCCTTTCAGATGCTAAAAGCTGCGTCTAATCTGGCTCCTCGCGGAATCTACGTTTGTGGTAACACAACCTCAGCTGCTGGCTTGACAGTATGTCTCGTATTCTTAAAGCATTACTCTGCACAACTAAAACCTCTCACATCGCATAACATCGAATTTCTTCAATCCGCAGGTGACCGTGACGAAGGAGGGTGGTAGCTCAGGTGGATACGCTCTAGAAGCCGGTGCCTTGGTTCAGGCTGATCAAGGATGTTGTTGTATTGATGAATTTGATAAAATGACTAGTCAGCATGCTGCTTTACTGGAAGCTATGGTGAGGTCTACCTCGTAGGAGCTTTTAACGATAAAAATAAGCATTCAATGGATGATATAACAATCGTCTTCATTTTCAATCATTGATAGGAACAGCAAAGTATTAGTATCGCTAAAGCTGGCATGGTATGCAGGTATTTTCACAGATGATCATGCACTCTTTCATTACGAGGCTGGACTGCACTTCAATTAGTTCAATAACCCTCCGCTCGATGATTTGCGCTCTCGTTGAGGCAAAGATGATCATCACAGCTTCATTTGCTTTCCGCATATTTCAGGTTACCTGCAAGAACGTCGATTTTGGCCGCTGCAAATCCCGCCGGTGGTCACTACAACCTGGCGAGAACCGTCTCTGAAAATTTGAAGTAAGTCATCATGGTCATCATACGTATCTCTTTGATTGTCTTCAACGCGTGGTCAACGCGTGTGTTTCCCAGAGGTGGTCAACTATCCAGGCTTTCCCTGTTTTTTTACAAAAAAATGATCATCTTTCTAGAATGGGAAGTGCTCTTCTATCCAGATTTGATCTGGTAAGCAATCATATTGCGGACTGCTACTACTAGCTGCATACGTGTTGTTTCCATAAAACTTCTCAAATATCTTGTGTTAGGTCTTCATCATACTGGACAAACTAGACGAGGTTAGTCAACACTGTTGCAAGCCTTCAAATTACCTTTCATATCTCATTTCATATCTAAAATACGAAATATGGAAACAACTAACCTGTTCTTGCAGGAGATGGATTCTAAAATGTCCGAGCACGTCATGGCGTTGCATTCTGGAAAGAAAAGGTCGGTGACGGTGGCCCTTTTTCAGATACGAAGTTTAAGAACTACAATAACTCTACTTTCTCTCTCCTTTCTTTAGTCCATTCGAAACGGTCACAGTTCGCCGAAATACCGAGTCTGAGGTGCGTGTGACTGGCGAGCTCTTTATTTTACATCAACGAGTCAATAACCAAGGATTCAAGACGCAGGAACAAATTAGTTGAATCATTTAAATAAATCAATTCATCTCGTAGGCCAGCAAGGAAGACGATGATGAGATACAGGCTCAGTGGGAGGCAGAGAAACCTTTATCAGAAAGACTGAAGGTGAGGTGGCTTCGGCACATTCTTTTCACTTCCTTACGATTACCAATTGTTTTTTTCTAATCTCAATCCAGGTTATTCCTGGCCATGATTTTGATCCAATACCAAGCCTGCTATTGAGAAAGGTTTGCACATATCGAAGCTTTGTTTACCAGCGCGTCAAACGATTTAATAACATCATAACTTTTTGACAGTATATTGCCTACGCAAGACAGTATGTCCATCCAACATTGTCAGTCGAAGCCGCTGATGAACTTCAGGTATTACCGTGAGAAGATAAACATTTGATAATTGTGTCAAGCCTAATGAAACGATCCCGTCATCTATTTGTTGTTCATTCCGCTTGTATATAGAAATTTTACTTGGATTTACGTCAAAAGCATCATTCTCAGCCTCAAAACACTATTCCTATCACTACCAGACAACTAGAGTCATTGATACGACTTACAGAGGTGAGATTAACTGTGTTAAATTCCAGCTCCAGCTTAGGTGATCAGAGATTTAACTAAGCATGTAATTAAAGGCATTCTTGTACACGTCCCAAGTCCCAGAAATCTTTTTCAGGCTAGATCACGACTAGAACTTCGTGAAGAAGCGACCAGACAGGATGCGGTTGATGTTATAGAAATAATGAAGCAAAGGTATTACTTACTAGTACCACTGTTGGTGTCCACCATCCCCCTCATCCCATCCACCCCTCATCCCATCCATCCTCATCCCATCCATCCTCATCCCATCCACCCCTCATCCCATCCATCCTCATCCCATCCATCCTCATCCCATCCTTCAACCCTTATCCCATCCCCTTCTTGTCCTATCCCCCATGGTGATAGGGGATACCTCACCTCATACAACAATTACTTTAACTATATCATCCACATAATCATCAAGCTCATTTTTCAAATATCACCAAGTCTTGTAGATACTTATACTGATGAAATGGGTAATATCGATAGTGAACGCTCACAAAATGGTTCTGGAATGAGCAGAAATGCACAGGTGTGTATGAAATGGTCATCTAAATTCTCATCTTATTTCATGGTGAAATCTCATGTCCTATCGTTTTTCCTAGGCCAAACGCTTTATCGCTGAACTGAAAAGAATATCAGAACTAGAATATAATGCCCTTTTCACTGTTAATCAAATGAGAAAAATTGCAAAAGTATGTATTACATTAGCTTCATTTGCTACTGGGCTGGTAAAAAACTCACTGCAGATGTACTATCCATATATATTTCAGGACCTGAGGTTGGGCATCACTGAATTCGAAGATTTTATCTGCTCCCTGAACAACCATAATTACCTATTAAAGAAAGGAGCTCGCATCTACCAGTTACAGACTTCTAGTTATTTATAGTCTATGCTGTACAAAATAAACTATGTAAAACTTATTTATTTATGATTACAATACTTGAAAGAATATAAACTGTGGTTAGGTACAGTTGTTTAAACTTCTTGTTTACAGTTCTTTAAACTTCTACAAGACTACAACTGAGTTATTGTTGCAACTTAGCACTTAGGTTATGCAAGGTTTTTTACACAGTAATCTGGGTGTTCTCACCAGAATAAAAACTTTGTTAGATTGTTTTATTCAACACAACTTCACCTCAATCACCTGGCCATCACATTTACTTCTTTGTATCTTTATATTCCATCATCACCTCAAATATTTCATAGTACTTCCATTCACACCATTTTATTTTCCAACCATCCTAATCTTGTGATGCACATCACTCAGTACTTCAGCTTTCATGCTGACACCCAACAAGGGAACAACTATGTATCTACCTTGTGCCGTGCTTGCATTAAAGATTTCAGCGCTCTTGCTCTGAACTCTAATTCCAATAGTTGCGACTCTGTGTCGACAGGATCCTTGTCCAATGTGTCCACCACAGGACTCTCTTGACCTGTAACAGCAACTAAAATAAAAAGTTAGTCAAAGATGGAAGTTTAAACAAAGATTGGGAAAAATAATAGCACTCCAATACAATACCTTCTGGTTTTATATTTTCTACAGGGCCCTCTATCAGTTCATTAATTTCATTCTGGTCTGGGCCGACACTCAGTTCTTCCAAAATATTCACAGACTCATCCTGAACAATACAATAAGATAAATTTCATAGCTTCTGTACAAAGTAGATAAGAACTTTAGGCTAATACCAGAATTAAAGCAATCTACTTAGATGGGGATAACTGATAAGTCTTTTATGCATGAAAAGCATTTTACCTTATCAATTCCAGAAGTATCTGGTTGCCTTGTTAGCAAAGTAGAGCTGTCAACATCCATGGCAGAGTGAGTGTTTGCAGCTTCACTCTCAGAGGATGATGACGTCATTGCTTGTCCCTCAATTATTCGTAATAATCTTTTCTTTGAAATTATTTCCAGTTGATCCAAACACCGAGATTTCAATTCTTCTACATCCAACTTCTAAACATCATGCAAGTTGATTCTATTTTAATACACTGTCATTCAACGATCAAACACACAAACAGTCATTTAGCTGACAAACCTTAACAGATTTTGTCATCAACTTTTTCATGTCTTTTCTTCCTAATATCTTAAAAAGTTCATTATTCAACTCCTTTCTATCGTCAATATATTCAGTTAAGGGCTTGATATCTATCACAAATTCTAAATCCTGTTTTGTTGTCCCTTCATCGTCAGATGTGGCATTTGAAATATTTGAGGAGTCAGAATGCTGTTCATCCTGATCTGAAGTTCTCTCATCAGAATGCCTTCTTCTCTTTTTCTTTGATCTATAAAATTTGAAGCAATTTGAAGCAAGTATTGGGTGACTAGGAGGGCAGGAAGTGGGTGACTAGGAGGGCAAGGCATGGGTGACTAGGAGGGAACAAAGTGGGTGACTAGAAGGGCGAAGAGTGGGTGACTAGGAGGGCGAAGAGTGGGTGACTAGGTGGGCAAGGCATGGGTGACTAGGGGGGAACAAAGTGGGTGACTAGGAGGGCGAAGAGTGGGTTACTAGGAGGGTGAGGAGTGGGTGACTAGGTGGGCAAGGCATGGGTGACTAGAAGGGAACAAAGTGGGTGACTAGGAGGGCGAAGAGTGGGTGACTAGGAGGGCGAAGAGTGGGTGACTAGGTGGGTAAGGCATGGGTGACTAGGAGGGAACAAAGTGAGTGACTAGGAGGGCGAAGAGTGGGTGACTAGGAGGGCAAGGCATAGGTGACTAGGAGGACATGAAGTGAGTGACTAGGTAAAGTTACCATATAAAGGTAAAAGACTATTACCTATGTTTATGCTTTTTTTTTTTCTTATTTTTGCGTTTTTCTTTGTTCAAGATCTGGGTGGAAGAGTCAGGACTGAAACGTTCTTGATCTTCGTCCGCCATATTGAAATATAACCCCCATGGTTGATACCGCTGGAGGCTTGTACACTCGGCTCAAAAATTTAAATCCCAATTAATTAATTGTTACATTACTATAAACCATGACTATGGTTGTACGATGACTATAATTGCTTTTATAAATCTCTCGAGATGATTATTGATATCCCGTCTGTGGCAGGAAAATTGGATAATAAATTTACTGGCAAAATTAAGTTGGAAAAAGATGTTTCATTTTGCTACGAGACACATAACAAAGGCGAAGGGATTTCTTCTCTACACCAAGTGCAGCACTAATAGAAATGTTTTTAATTTACTCTACACAAAACCAGGGGATTCTAGTCATTCTACCTTTCGTTCTATTCCGACGGGTATTTTAACCAAACGATTCAATGGAACAGCCAATTTTCACAGATTTACTACACTATCCCACAAGACAATCCATCGCCAATCCCCACCAATCCTGAGCCCCAAACATATCTCCATTTCCTGTCGTAATTTCCATTTGAGCGAACGTCGAACAGCGGCACCACTACTGCCTGTAATTGGGGCATTCTTAGCAAGATTTTCTGGTCCCATCAGCCAGTTATTGAAATTATTGGCAGTTTTTGCTGGCAGGTATCAAATTCTAATTAATAATAATTGATTGTTAATTCATTAGGTGCTTAATTAACTAATTAGCATATTTCTGATTGCTCAATTTTAACTGAAGTACTACAGTCAATTAATTCCTAACACCATTGGTTTCACTTTGTCTTGACAGAACATTTCGTAAATGGTGGAAAAAGCTTCCAGATCATCGAAAACAAACATTGAAAAAATATTTCTTTTCACGAAAGGAACTGATTGCTGGGATCCTGAGTATTTTCGCCGGTTCCTGGTTATTTCTCTATTACATACATCTCGAGGAAACGCCATACACAAAGCGTTCTCGCTATGTTGGCGTCACACCCAAACAGGTCAAAGAAATTGCCGAAAGTCAGTTGAGACAATTTCTAGAAAATTATGCTGAGAATATTCTGCCTGTCTCGCACCCTTACCACAAGAGGGTGTATCAAGTCACAAAGAGGTTGATCTTGGCAAATCTAGATGAAATTCATGACGATTTGAATTGGGAAGTAAATGTGATTGAATCAAATGAAATGAATGCATTTGTTTTACCTGTAAGTTCAGGGGAGGGAAAGGAGATATATGATTGTAATGTTGAAGAAAAATACTAATCTTTTTTGTATCTATCTAGTATTATCTAGTACTAATCTTTTTTGCCATACATCCTGTAGACAGTAATGTCTATTTTGTGAATTGAGGCTTCTCATTTTAATATAGAATGGTCAAATTTTTGTTTTCACTGGCTTACTACGAATTCTTCCCGAGGATGACTCACTCTCAATAATTCTGGGACATGAAATTGCTCATGCTGTTCTACAGCATGCTGTAAGTATGACTGACATTACAATTGACTTGGTTTCATATTTGTCTCATTCTAAGCATTCAGGTAATTGAAGAAAATAATGTGGAAAAAACATCAGCAATGCTTGGAACCACCAGAATTAATGTCATCATGTTCCATCCTTTCTTTTAGTCAGAGCAACTTTGTTTCGATGGATTTGTCAACTTGATTAAAGTTGTTCTATTGGCAACTATTTGGGCTATAATTCCAAGCGATATCCTGGCATTCCTAACACTGTTTATTCAGAATGTAATAATTGGGGTAAGATAAACAATAAGACTAACATTGGGTGCTTTTTCAGAGCTTCGCAACTTCTATTGCAAAACACTTGATATTTATTGTCAAACAAATTTAGTGGTAATGACTTTCTTACCATCATGTCTTCATTGATCCCATTAGCTGTTCGTGAATTTGCCTTACTCTCGAACGCTGGAAGAAGAAGCTGATAGAGTTGGTCTCTATTTTGCAGCGAAGGTAATTTTCTGTCAGAGAAAAGCATATGATATAAACATTAAGAGTGCAATGAAGGAAAAGAAAAACGATCAGCTTGTGTTGTAGAAACGACGCTATCCGAAGATTTTCGCGAAGTATGCCCTGGTTATATTCGTCCAATTTTATGTTCAGTACAAGCTGTTCATTGGTTTTGAAACAGTCCGTAACTCGGCGTAAGTCTTCGGATATCGTTCCATTGCCACTGACAATTGGCAAAAGTCGATGTTGCCGGTGAATTTTTTCTTTTTTTGTTCTGTGCTTCTTCTTTTTCATACAAGAAACATTGTTATTAAACTTATCACAAAAGGATTTAGTTTGAAAAATATTTTTGCGTCTGAAAATAACACTTCTATAATTCAGAAACTCGCCCTAGTTGGCATTGAGCAATCCTGATTTTTGTTCCCGTTAAGACTAGGCAAGCTCTATACTGGTGTGATATACTCCCTGTATAGAAATTCTAATCAGTTGAAAATGACCCCCGTGAGTTAATGGCTTATCAAATTTGAAAGACACTACCCCATTGACGTAGAGGGGAATCTCAATTGATCTGTGCACGAACCGCCTCAAAATAGACGACGTTTGCACCCAAGGACTAATGTTTCTTCGTTATACCATCGTGGGGAACTTCTACCTTCTTAAAAAATGAAATTGAACAGTTCGCAACAATTGACAATCAACAATTGACTTCACTAAACCCTGAGTCAGCTCAAATGGGAGGAAAATGTAGTTTGGATTTAAGAGGCAAGTGTTTAGTGGTTTGGGTGAGCGACGCTAGGTCTGAAGAAAATTTTATGTTTCAAGAAGATTGTTATTGAAATCGAGACTTATTTTCAGGCTTGCTTCGATATACGAGAAGGTCCGAAAGTTTGGCAAAGATTTCGCGAGCTTGAGAAACATCAAGACGAACCAAACGTTGAATGGCTTTCCACTCACCCGTCGCACGAGAAGCGAGAAGAAACATTAAAAACAATCGTCCCGGAGGTAAGATTTTATATCTGTTTGATTATAAAATCACGCTTTTGACGTTTTTTCAAAGTAGAGATCACTTACTTAAATGGATAATTTATTTATTTATTATATGAAGGCATTGGCTTTACGAAAAATGTGCAACTGTCCAGATCTATCAGGTATGACAACACGTATTTTGCGTGACACACAAAACATGACTTTGCTTTCAAGTAAATATGAACGTTTGGCACTTACTTTGCGAGTATAAATACTCTTCAGTACAAGTTTTCAATTGCTCCCCAAATCTCCTCCAGGTTCTTCAACTACTGGTTATGACAAAGCGAAACCATTAACACTTTTATCGCTTGCTGGTGTATACAACCGTTCGCAATGAAGACTATAAAACTGATCAACCAAGCACGAAGACTTCCTGTTTTGTGAAGAGAAAACGTTGTTATGAATCATGTTTTACAGTTGATTAACTGTATTCGACACACTCTGAGTATTTTCGGAATCAAAGCGCTTGTGTTATATATATTCGTCTGCAAGTTCGCGGGGTAGAAACTCAGTATAGAAAGCATTCCTATTTATATCTAATTGTTTTTCATCAACGTTCACATGTTTAGAAGCCTCAATAAACAACTGGTAGGTAGATACCTAAAATAGATTAATACATAAATAGACTCGTACATAAAAGGTCCAGAGGCAAAGGGTTGTTTTTGTTAACAACAGGAAGTTCTCAACCCCGCACTGAACGAAGAAAATCATATTTGTGTTGTGCACAACTACTGTATATGGTTTGAAACCAGACAGGAATTCCTGGACATCCGATATGATATCTCATGTTTTGCACTGAAAATGCTATTTTACATTCTATTGTTTGCCAATCTTCCCACTCAAGAATTTCCCTACGCACAAACCTCAAAAACTGGTCTTATCGTGGCCTTGCATGTCTCTTGTGATGTTTGTCGTATGTGCTTTGTACAAGGTCAGCGCCTTAAACTATGGCTATGCATGGCGAAGAGGGTTAAAAAAATTACTGCTGTGATGCATTGCTGGTAAAAAGAAGGCAACTTTATCTATAAATTGTCTGTACGTTTCATCAGTCTATAATGTTGTATAGTATCCGCTACATTCGCATTAGTAAAAGACCATCTCTGCGTTAAAAATGCGATGAAAACTCCAGCGAATCATCGACATAATATTTCTGAACAATCCGCACATTATTTTTACGTCGTTATTCGTGAACTAAGTGGGATCTCAGTAAACAGCAAGTACCGATTTGTTGTTTTTAATTTTCATGTATACAAATTAGGTCAGAATTGATGGAGAGAGATCATATAGCTATATATATAAGCTAGCAAATGACACTTATTACTCCATCATGCAAAGTACTACAGCAATAGGCCACGCTGTGCCATATATAGTTATACAATAGACATATTTGCCATCATATAGCGCCGCGTTTTTTGTGTTTAAGATTGTTGACCGCAGATGTCCCACTTGTATATCGAAGTGACTATTATATGTGACAAATTGTACCGACATCAACGAGAAATAATCCCATAGTTAGAGCTGTCGAAACGATCTCTCCTTATAAAGAAATTGAAGAAGTTTGTGGTTAGCGGGAAAACCGCGGCATATGTCTACATTACATAACCTTCCTCTCAAGGCAATTATCGGCACTTGTTAGTGCAATGTTGCATCTGTGCAATCTGGATGTTTTTTTTCACAGCAATTTTGGGATATCACACATGCATTTGATGCAAGATTTAGTTTCGTGCCACAAGGTCATATCATTCATGTGTCGAATGAAAAAAAGGGCAGTATGAAAGAAGACGTTTTATATTTAGTTTGTCTGAATCATACAAAATAGGGACCACAACCGCAGCCTGGCAAAACAAGGCTTTAATAAGAGAGATGATACCTTATCACAACTGAACACAATGGCCGCCTACATCGCGCCTACACTATAGACACAAAACCACACACAAGCAAATCGCTTTCATTGTTTTGCACATTCCTTATCGAACGTTATCAAATACTCAGTTGAGAGCAACAAAAAATGGCTTCTGTGTTTTGTGCCAACTGGAAAAAAAACCCAAAACAACCAAATTAGATTCCATTCGGCATTTCCGTGTAAGCACCCACTTTCCTGCTGGAAAAAAATAACATGACACTAAAGTTGTCCATGTATAAAAAAAACTCTCTCAAATTGACGCAAGCATGAAAAAGTAGGTACGTCAGTGCGTACCTCTTACGTGCGTAAAATGCAACTGTAAGACGTCCTCCGCTATCATATTCATATGAAATATTTTTCTCGCGTTCCTTACTGAATGCAATTAGTTTAAGCAGTTTGAAGTTGAAAGAGATTGCATAGTTTTAGTGAGGAATCTCAATGTCTCCTGTTTGATCAGTTTTAAAGAGATAAAGACTTTTTATCGAGATGCTGGAGATAGTTTTTCTAAGGAATTTCAGTGCAACTAGAGGTAGAGCGGTTTAAAGATTATAGAAGGATATTGTTTTTAAAAAATCTGGTGTTTTTCAAAGGTAATACAATAGTACTACCTTGAACAATTTAAAGGTTAAGGAGCTACTGTGTTTCATAGAGCTAGTATAGTTTTTGCAGGAATCTCAATGGAGCTAGATCGAAGTTATAGAGCTATTCAGTAATGAGGTATAGTATAGATTTGCTTTCATTCATCAATAAAAAATGGACCCTTTGACCTCCAGTATAGTTGCAATGTATCAATGTATATATTCGACATGAAAAGAGATGAAAATTTAGACAAGTTTAACAGAATGAGGCGCACGGCACGCGCCTGAAAACTAGCAAATCCTTTCTATATGACGTCAAAATAAAGACACGACTTATCAGTGTGTACAGTAACAGGCATCTACAAGTGGATTACAAGCTTAATGACGTTTGACATGAATTCTTGAGGCTATCTTAACAGATGTAATCAAATACATTGACAGACAGCAAGCACATGCTCAAGCAAGGATCTACGAATCTGGAACGAGAGTTCACGTGAGGGTGGTGTGCGTGTATGGTTTTGATAACCTAATGAAATTCAGGAAATTCATCAACTGATTCTTCAACTGAAACTTTTCAATTAGAAAGTTTAAAAAACAGATGTTACCGACAGCCCTGAGGGTCACTGCAGGATCGCATATATGTAGGATACCACCCTTTTTCAATATTCATCGGCTCTCCAGATGGTTGGCTTAAGAAGGCAAGCCATATAGCCATGGCCAATGCTCAAATCGTTTACCCATGCAGCTACGTGCGATAACATTGCAAAAGGACAGTGTAAACATTCCGAGATAACAAAGCATAACCACATCTTTTAATATTTACGAATATCCGATTTGATAAAAACAGATTACCCAACTTTAGGGTTGCATAGATAGCAGTTGATTTTAGTGGTAGAATATAGGAATAGCGAAGGGAATGGCCGATCAGAATGATATATTTTTGGATTTATTTCGTGCATGTATTTCGTATGTATTTTTACACAAAAACTACCAACAATTTTGAATGGGGACGTCATAAGAATGATAATGGCGAATACTGCCTCTATTTTCCTGATTATTACTACTTATAATCTAACTAACTAACTCGAGTTTATTTTTATGTCTTTGTTGTCTTTGTTAGTAAAACTTAATCTTTCAGTCTTAAGACGTTTTAAGACGTGTTTTCCTCGTTACCACAGGCACAGTCGTATAGAAAGTTACGAACAAAACATTGAGAAGTATACGTACGTATATAATAACTACAATAGAAGTCCTTTGCAAATCCACGGAATTTGTGCAGTGTTTAGCGAGAAAGAATACCTTTGCGGAATGCGGATTATCCATGTTTCTATATCTATCTATTTCAAGTGCTTATTTGATAGCAAAAACATGCACAATCGTCCAAGATGTCATCCTCTGAAGATGATATTTTATAATTGACATATAGTCCACTTCCGAGAACATTTTATGTGGGAAGTTAAAGTGTTTAATCCGGAACAAACCAAGCGGTCTGCTTCAGATAAGGATAACATCCATCGATAACAATTAACAATAGCCTGCACACATGCAAGTTTCATATACGGAGACCAAATCAATACTTTAATGTTTGATATTTTGTAAGTTCTTGATGTCCAACCATTGCCATCGGCAGTTCAGTCAATGAAATGCAACGAAATATTCGTTCTATATATATAACCATGCATATTGCTTTGATTATTGATTCCAAGATTTCTTTTTGTCATATGGATCTCGTTCCTTCGACAATTTTTCACGTCTGCAGAAATAAAAATACGAGACGGATATTGTGCAACTGACTTTACTTCATCTAATTATCTGACAACCGGATTTAATTATGAAAAACTGTGAAAAAATATATGCATGTTAGTGTTGTTAGTCGCGTCTGTTCCGGCCATCTAAAATTGCTTGGGTAAACAAACTGTAGAGTGCAGTTTAGGAAGGATATTTGTGCAATTTCTTGCCTACGCAATGATGTTTTCTTCAAAACAAAGACAGGTGAACGTTAGACATGCTAGAATAAAAAAAAATGCAGGATTACCGAGGGACAAAGCTGATATACTTAATCCGCCTTCCCTATTAAGATCCTTACAAAGTCAAACTCAACGATGTGAAATAGTCTCACAATGGCTCATCTGCGCGCTGTATGCAAATTTTCAGACAGCGAAGTTACTTGTTTCTCATTATATTAGACACCTTAGTTTGTTTACAAGAAATATACGATTAATTAAAACCAGGAATAGTAAGGTTAAAAAAAACACCTTTGCTAACCTTTCGGAGATTTTCAGATAAGTGCGTAAGTTTCGTTTTAATTCAATTTTAAAAAGACTCAAGCATAAAGTGAAAGTCGTGTTTTTGATATGTCAACCCTTCATGTTTTAATATTTATATCGCGCAAATTGCACGCAGATATGAAGGACCATGTTAAGAAATGTGTGTTCCTATATTAACGTTACTTCTTTGGCATTTTTGCGAGACAGACATGCCCGCGAGGTAGCAAAGGAATAATGAAGATGATAACGATGAAATATAACACACTATATCGATATAAACAAGTTTTTTTTGCCCACGTTCATCTCCTTAGAAGAATGCTTCGTCTCTGCTCGCACGCATGATCCAGCAGTGGAAAATTCCTGCGGTCACGCGACACTCCATCAAACTTCTTCTGTTTTTCAGTGGTAATTCGCAAAAATATAATTCAAGTGAAAATGTGAATAATGCATGGTACGTACTTGTACGTCAAATCAGGCAAACATTTGTGTAGTTTAGTGGCTCACATTGTTAACCATGAAACATCGAAATTAGCGATGAGATTCAATGAGAATTATTATTTTATTTCAGTTATATTCTCATCCTTGTAATGAGTATATACACATGAATTTGTTACCTGTATATATTGCAGCTCAATAGTTGAAAACATTATTTGAATAAAGACCGGTTAAAATGAAGATTCTGGTTGGAAATTATTGTTAAAATTCATAAAGTGTGTATAAGCATGGATGGCTTCATTACTGATGTAGATATTTTAGACGTGGCAGTTAGGAATGAATGAAGCACGCTTTCTTCACTGACATGTTCTTCTTAATAATTTGATTGTCTTAATATAAGACCACTTGGCGTATTGGCGTAGCTCTCCTGCATTGCGTATGGGAACTCATAGAACCACGAGAATCATTTAAGGGCTATAAAATAATTGAAATATCTTCCCAAAAAGGTAATGGACAAATATTAAAGATCCATCGTAATAGATTCCAGTCTCATTGTGTATGTTGTATAATCTCGACCTGTTGTAACTAAACTACAAGAAACTGTGGTTTATTTTCCCCACATGAACTATACAGTCCATTTTACATAAAGCAACGGAGGTAACTTTTAAAATATACAATCATAATCTAGTTTGCAAGGAGTGGAAAGTTAAAATGGGATGGAAAGGTCCCGACCTTAATAACGCTGTTAAGAAGATATCATGAGTGACCAAAGTTTAAAACCAGACCGTCGTTGTGACATTGCTAATTAAACTTCAGCGACATATAATGTTACTTTTCAACACGTTTGACGCATGCAAGTATTTATCATAAGAGCGATACATACAGTGTCCTTGCCTATAAAATGACATGCTTTTCTGATGATAGAATTATGAATGCGATTTTAATTCTTAAGCACATTTGTCATGATAGGTTAGAGGAGGTTAAAGTATGGTTCGACGAAAAAAAGGAGGCGGCTAGTTATATTTTGATGTGATTTCACTTGGAACACTTGAATCAGAGTCTTCGTGTCCACTGGAGTGGGATCATTAGAACTTGATAAAGCTGTTCACAGTGATAACAATTTTGTAATCATACTTGAGATTCAAAATCAGAAGTATTTCTTGAACAAAGCCTACGTCGAAGAGCTGAAAAAGATAAAAGTCGACTTAGTCCAGATGTGATAACAAATTCAGCAATAATTTGCATATTTCGCACAGTCGAAAGTTTTTAATGCGCAAACGCGAACAGCTAGCTGAAGAATTTCGAGGCGTCCACCGCATGATCCTCCTGTTGAAAAATGATAAAGCAGAATTCTGTGCAAGGCAACATTTGTATCTCATCAAAGTACACGTCTTTGTGTGGGCATTTTTTTCCGAGTCGCATGCGGCAGCCTTCGAAATCATTGCCAAGTTCAAATAATGAATCTTTGTAAATGATGGCAGGCAACATGGGGTGTAATTAACAAATTACTAATTAAAATATCATTATATTCGATGACATGTGCACTTCGTCGAAGCTATGAGACCATTCCCTGATCTTTTCTTAGGAGTTCTATATTTCCGATCATGCTCGAGTTTCAAGGCGACTGAAACACGCTTGTAATAATACAAATTTTCTCGAATAAGCGTGAACTTTTCTCTCGTAAAAAACACACATGCACACACATCTACATTCATGAGTTTTCCGGTGAAGGTATCCGATCTGATAGATGACGCATTTTCCATCAAGAAAATGGACAAAGCAGTCAACGTGCTGTCTGGCATGACGTTTTGCAATCCTTACGAAGACATCCATGTTTCCGTATCACTGTAATTCCTGTGTCTTTACAGAAAAAAAGCTAACGAAAAAGACGTCAATTGCCCGACAGGAATGACAGAAATTAACGGATAAACTATAGCATTGACCTCCTATAGCCCGTGTGAGGATAGGTAACTAGAATATATTTAAAATCGCTTCAGTGAAAAAGCCCCCGCGCGCGCAAACACAAAGCCTGACGCATATCCAGTGTCCAAGAATCGCCGCAATTTATTCATATACACGATTAGTTCTACGATTGAACAAGCGGCCGAATGCTAATTCGGATAAAGTCTATGAGATCATAGCAGGCATTTTAATACTTTGGAATCCGAATTGTTGCCATAGATCTGGTGTGAATATCCCCGGACGGCGCAAGTCGCACGCCACTGACCGAAGAAAGATGCGTGGAAATCAAGTGACAAAATACGTTACGCAAAAACGCTCAACTGTCGTAGAGTTTTCAAGCGTGTTTCTCCCCAGAATGAATTTCATAATTTTGTACAATGTAGTCTGGTTTAGGGGAAATGCCGGCTGAAGAGGAGGGCTGGGTGAATGAGAGCTAGTGTTAAACTGCCATCTCTCCAGAGAAGTTATACCACACGATCTCTCAAATAAGACAACTATTCTTACAACTGCCCTAATTTAGAAACAAATTCAAACAATGTTTCAGGAAAGGCTAGAAGCAAAAAACAAAGCAATTGCCAATCAATCCACTTTCGACTGTCAACATAATCAGGCCATCTTATTAAGGGTAATAATGCCATATATACTTCAATACTTTAATGCGCTTTTTATCGCTTTAAATCTTCATCAAGCGCACGTTGTGTCCCACGCAAGGTGAATTAGCAGCTCGTCGCACAGGTGATGTTAGCACGAGAAATGTCCGTCGCGACTAAGTCCCGTCATGCCGAGCGCGCGTATAAAAGGCGTCGCAGGCCCGACAGAGCAGTAGAAGTTTTTGAAGGCGAGCTGAAGACGAACTACATTTCCAGTCGAGGAAGAGGACTTTGGAGAAATCAAGTTATAATTTGAAGTAAGTAAACTTCTACTTGTTCTACAATAATTGACTGTAGATAGAACTGGACTATGAACTCAGTTATACATGGGGGTTCATACAGTTTCTTAGAGGTTCAGAAACATTCATTCCTTATCGATAAACTAGTTTAAGAGAAACAGAAAGTCAGATAACTCAATCTAGAAACTGAATTTGGCACAACTCCTCTCGATAACCTCCGTTATACTAAAAAAATTAAAGCAAGGCAGTCAGGCTCGCCATGTCGTCACAACTAACAACTTCAATCCCCGATGTTTGGAACCAATTGCGCAAGTGACTGGAGTCATCCGAAGTCAATTTCACCAGAATTTTTCATTACAAATTTACGAAAGAACACGAGAGAACACAAAAGAACCTATTTTATCTTATTTTTGTTTGTATCAATGAATGTAAAGAGCTTAGTTTACATTGCTCGACCCGAAAAAAATTAGGCTTGTCTCATCTGAATGAACAGCTGGTGTGTCTCAATCATCACATAGAAAACTACTTCAGCTCTTGTAACTGGTTTTAACACGATATATTCATGTACGGGTATGGTATAGAAACCTCTAGGTGCTGCTAAACAGTAGCCAGTATATAGTTTTTTCTAAACCGTTATTTGAACTAATTTCTTGAGTACCTTATATTGAGAGAATGACTGCATGAGTGAGAGTTAGAGTTGAGAGTGTCGAGAAAGTCACATGCTGTGCCCTATACTTCGGCTTCCTGGCATTTTAACTCAGCGACGAGATCGAGAAATTATTAGCATAATCTTGCTGGAACGTTTTCTCAACTTTCCATCATAAAGACATGATCAAATACACCTCGAGCACCCATTTTATGCTAAGCACCCCACATTAAACTTGTTGTTGCCAAAAAAACAATGGGGCAAAGATTTAAATAGACACGAATATTTGAAGCAAATATGGAACAGAATGTTCCTATCCACTTATTTAAAAGAACTTGTAAATTAATAGGATTTATTTCTTAGACTGATTTATTTTATAAGTCTAAATAAGATCTAATTTGGCACCATATTTCTCTTCAACGTATTTACAGTAAAATCCTTAGTTGTTTCGTCGCGATGACAACAACTGTTTTTCATTCAGTTTATTTGTAGTGCTTACTTCGTTTAAAAAGAAAAGTTAGTCTTCGTGTGAAATGTTACCTCATGAACAGCATCTTCAATTGTAATATTGATAGGAAAAAATAGGGCCAAATGTGATCTCATTCAGTCTTTTTAGATATTATCGAAAAATCCTGTGTGACAAGACAGGAAATAGGAAACTGGATATTTCGACTTAACCCAAATTTTTTGAAATATCCATTTATTCTTTCTGCTTGATTAGCGTTTAATAGTTTTATTTATAATCCTGCGAATTATAAACGCATCCGTGTGACTGGTAATTTTAGTATCATATATGCATACGACATTACCGTGTAGATTATTTGTAAAAGCGACGCGTGCTTTTATTAAGCCCTGGGGCCGTTTGCATAAGATACGGTAGCGAGATTGTTCAGATGAGAATCCGTCTTAAAAATGTCGAAGCTATGTGACGTTATCTTGAAAAGATATAACTATAGTTTCAAATACTTATATTTGATAGATGCCATGCAGGATTATAGTTTACACAAGAGGTCTTACAGCATTGTATCATTGTGACATTTTCAACAGTATTAGAGAGGAAATTACATACATTTTCAAGAACAAATTAAATTTTTTAATTATTAGATTTGGTCTGTAGCTTAATCGTCGTTTTACAACCCAGCCAGATTTATAGGCTGGAAATCATGAACTCGGAACATCTGCGGTATTAGTTCAGTAATTCCAATGATTGTGACCATAACAGACATTTTTCATCTGGCGTTCCCTTCAGATGGTTGCAATGATAGATCATCCTACGTACCTTATCATTAGCAGATATCTCTGAGAAGATTTAAAACCCTTCAACTAACCTCGAAATGTGCTCGTATATATACTGGACCAAGCAAATGAACATTTTAATTTCATCTGTCGAGAGATTAGGCGTTCTAATAGGTCATAAAGATCACATCAGTGTTCATTAAGTCCATACAATTGCAACTTGTGTTCTTCGAACATGTCGTCGAATTTTATGTTTTCCCAATTCTTCGCCGGTAAAACATCGACAAACACGAATTTTCCAACCATTCGGAATGCGATTGTTTCCTATTTTCATGCGGAAATTATGCAAACTACTTGGGGTAGAATCTCTATACAAATTACCCAAGGTATCACGCGCCTGTGTACATATCCTCACGAATTCTTCTTGCCAATGGAAACGTGTCATTTTAAAGTAACATTCTTTTTGATACCCCACAAAATGCATATCTCTTCTACCGGTTAATAAAAGATATAACAATCCAATGACAGTTCTAATTAATGTTTAAACTCTTTATCCACAGATATGAATACCAAAAAAGACGTTGTTATCTTCGCCCTGTTCACGACCATGTTGGCAGTTCATCATGTTTTGGCTACACCCGTGACTCCTACATCATCAAGTGCCCTCCAAAAATGTTACAGTAACTGCTCCAGCACTTCAACATCTTGTATTAATGCGTCGTCGAACCAGACAAAAACCCTGAGTTCCTGCCTGCAGTTCAAGCTCAATTGCGATGATGAATGCGTGAAAAAGTACAAAGTCAAACGACATGTAATGTGGAGATTATAACCAAAACGTTGCAAGGTGACAGGTCATGATATCATATGGATGTAGATATTGAAACTATGGAATATTGATGTTTAGGATAATGAACCGGGCAGAGCATACCTTAGAAGCATCTAGTTGGTAATTATTTAGAAAGACGTTTTAAAACAGTTTTGCATGAGATAGGCGCCAGAACAAAAGAATTCAGCGTTTCCACATTAATTTAAATTCTAGCAGAAATATAGATGTAAATATTATACTAGCCGAGCATTTCATTAAAATCTAACTTCAAATGTCGGTTGAAAGATCATTATGATACCAGCATGCCTGTAACGAAGGCCATTCAAGATTGATGAGCCAAAAATTAATTTACACCAGCGGAATCATTTCCTAAACACCATATTTGGAGAAATAATACTTCACATTAACGACTATGGTTTCCATGATGATACGAGATATTTCAAAGTTCGTTTTGTTTCAAGAGACCCCGGGTATATGTGGCAGGAATTACACACACGAATCATGTTGATCTAAACCTTTTCTGTTTGACAATATCGTCAAAAAATTTGGAAAATGAATCCAAATTTAAACACCGACTCCCTGTATGGTCTGTTCAATAATTATAAAGCACTATACTGATAGTGAAAAAGAGCAAAACACCTGTTTGAAATTCCTCCCTCTGTCTCTGATAATCACATTCACCATCGCGACAGTTTCCAACGACGTAGTGTCTTTATTTGAGTGATAAAATCAAAGCGCAAATAATGACGCCCGCATGCATGCACATGTTAATATTTTTGAAAAAGAAAATGATGTGTTCCCACGAGCTATTTCGGTCAACCCCACACTACGATGTTCAAGAAGCGTCAAGGCCAAGGGCATTCAACATCACGTTTCAACTCACTGTGTCTTCCAACTGACCCTTCATCCGTCATTTTGATTAACAATGAAAGCCTTTCTATCACATTTGATAAATCGGAAAGAACTTTAAATTGACTACACTACAGCTTTGAAATCTCGAACGGCAATGAATTTTTTTCCTCACTTTAAAATTTATAATATTGACGTGGGTTAACGAAAGTGTCGTTGTCATAGGGATGTGTATGCAAGCAAAACTAAGAGAGAATTATAAAACTCCTGCAGTAAGAAAACCTTGCATTCGTGTACCAGAATTCCTAGTTTAGTAGCGTGTCTGGAGTTCCCTATCGTTGATCTATATTTGATACAACCAAAGTTATCTGACGCAACATTGACATTGCCACAATTACGTCATTCGAAGACGAATTACGCAATTAGAAGCTTATTACTGAATTACGATGGAACAACACATATCTAATTATCTCTCCACGTAAATTGACGTAATCTATCAGACAACAGCGACGTTTATTCTTTTGTCTTCAATGATAAAGTAAACTTTCCGTTGTTTAGACAGAGATAAACATTTAACACACTTGCCCTGTCGTTTTGAATGAAATATAAGATTCGCATAACTGGGGGGTATTGAATAGCCAGGAACCTAGTTAGGCTAAACCGCTAAAGGGATGTTAAGACATCACAGACTTACAATCCAGCTGATAGTCATTGTAATGTTATCAGTTTGTTTACTTCTCTTAGGTAACCCTAAGACGGAAGTTCATTTCATATTCTGCTAATTGTTAACGCATTTCCATTTAATATGACTCGTCCAAGCCATCTGTGACTCAGATGGTTTGCAAATGAAAAAACAACAACTGCCCAAATAAGTTTTAAAATTCGTATATTTGAATGATTTGAAGACGTGAATATTATACATTATATTACAAAAGATTAGATTTATCATGATAGGATCTCAACAAAATCAATGTTGTGAGTGTCGTTTTATAAACGTTTATGAACGATGTATCAAACTTGTCGTAAATATTAAATAATTGAGTTCAGCCTCTTGAATAAATACAAGCTTATATGAACATAATGTGAATCTTTTTAGAGTGTTTATTTTGTTACTTTCTGATATAATACACTTAGAGTTTTGTGGAAGAAATGTACAGGTATGCATGACGTCATCTCGTGAAGTGGCTTAGCTACCATAAGGAAAAGGTTTTTCTAAAACAAAGTGGAATAACTTCAAACATTCAAGGCTGCACCAGAATTCATTCTACCAATATCATCAGCTATAACTACATCATTTGGGCTGAGTTCATTGGCACAAGTCTCAGGTTCTTCTCCAATGGCAAGGTTATCATCAGCAATACATTCATTTGAAGAGCTAGCAAGGTTTCCATGGACACATGCTAAACCTTGTGTTGTTTCAATGTTCAGAGCTTCATTGTGTGACATGATTGCTTCATCTTTATCTGCGGTGAGGCTTTCATAGTTGGGCGGGTCTTCCTCGGGAAGAGAAACAATCACTGAACTCCTTGAAGTGTCTGTTGGCACAAGTGGAATACTAGACAAACTCCTCTGCCATATGCTTCTCGTCTCTGTGGTTGACTGGTGAACCGATTCGGTAGAACGATATCTTGGTGGTGGGATACCGAACAATGAAGCACTATGGATGCCACTTTGTGAGAACTCATCACCAAAGAAATAAGTCCCTCGGATAATTGAAGCTGGTGACTCTTCACCCTGATCTGTGAAGTAGCATGGTGGAGGACTGGGAAGGTCTGCATTAGGTGTAAGCGGAGCTTGGTCAGTGTTGGTTGAACGTCTTCCACGCCTTGATGACAGCGATCTATCATGAATGATGCACTTTCTAAAGCATACCAATCCAACACAGAATATAACAGTTGATGCACAAATGGATCCCATAACAATCACAAACACTTGAAGTTTATGCCATCTTGCTTCAATGTCCGAGCACATACTTTCATCGCTGTTATCAGAACACTGCATAGCACCATCGCACTGCCATTTACACGGAATAACTTGTTCATTGTTACACTGAAATCTTAATTCCTTGTTTTTAACAAAGCAGTTTGTTTTATAACTGCTTGGAGATATTGATGTGAAGCTTGCTTGAAAACTAAATAGGAACGTCTCTTTCTCCATTGAATGGTAAGTAACAACCAATTTTCGTCCTTTCGATAAAATAAGCTTTGGTGCTTTTTTAACATTACAGTATTTAGAACTTGTCTTGCCATCCCAAACTTCTAGAAAATTACCCTTGCACGAAGCACTGTCTGTACTTACTAGAAATACATTGAAAAATGATAATGCCGCAACTTGACCTGGTGGTGCTGTGAGGTTCCACGTCTGGCACAGTGTCCTTGGTGAATTAAAATTGAATGGTTCATTTACCACTTTAACTTTACATTTGTCTGTATTGTGAGTAACCTGATGATGGTTAACCACATGATAGGTAGCCCAAAAACCAATACCCTGGTTCATTGACGACTTTATCCTTATTCGCAGTTTGCTAGATGATTTTATTGTTCTGGACTTTGAGTGTTTGCATATTCTTAGCAAAAGACGTGATTCACCACTCTTCACTTCTAGTACATCTATGTAATTGGTAATGCAATTCAAGTTGGTGGCATTTTTGATTTTAAACTTAAGTGAGATTTCTTTCCCTTCATCGTTGCTAATTACCCACTCACATTCTCCTTTTTGTGGGCGATCTGGAAAGCCGACAGTCTTAAATTCACCATGTTCGGCTGTTAACACATGTCTACAAACTTTTGTCGAGTTCTGAATATCAAGTATTTTGTAGTGAACGCTAACAGCGCTTTCTGTATTTTTCTCGCCAACTACATTTTGAAATACGGCTTTATATTCCAACACGATGGTCGTCGACGTAAGCACAATTTTTGTCCTATCGCCAACGCTTGTACACAACTTGATATTGCTTACATGGTTAATTTTTATATTTTTACTCTGGATTTCTATAGAATTTTCAAAGCATGGTTCATTCGGTGATTCCTCTCGTACATTCACTAGAATCAGCTCTGTTCTCTCGCCGAAAGGAGAGCGTATTTCCACGTAACATGTTTTCTTTGAAAAGTTTGATGTTGTTAACGGGAAAGTGATGTTTCCTTCTTGTTTTGTCCTCGTGTCTACCAGTGAATCCTTCGTGCACTTCTGGGACGCCGTGTAAACCGCCGGCAAAAACGTCAAAAACACACACGAAATTAAGGAGAAAATCTTTCGAAATTCCGTCATCTCTCTTTCACTAAGACTTTAAACGTTTAAATAAATTTTCAACAAAGTATATCGTTTAGATCTTCTCATATCAAAGAGACTATTAAACTGAAACAACTTTCACACATGAGAAGAAACTTTGTTCAATGGCCGGAAGTTGCCAATGTTCACTTATAAATGCTGCCGGAAGTACAACCCACACTCATTCTGAGAGGTGACGCATAAGTTGTCGATATCCTGCCATATTCCTGGGTGTAAAACGCCCAAAATTTTGTATTTGTTTCTACTATATTTTATGTTTAACCATTTCCTTTGCGACGTTTTACATGACCACAAAAATACGAGGTATTCAAGTGCTTATCCACAAACAAGGCTGGCATTTTTGCGCCCATATTAACGTCTTCACGCATTCTCATAGAGACATAGACAGCCCAATTATCAACATGGAATGATCGCCTATGGCGTTCATAAAATGTGTATAAAGAGCTTTACACAAGAGCTAACAAACGCAATATCAAGCAAACGTTGTAATACAACTTCCCAGAATATATTTTTGAGGGTATTCTCTAAATGCAAACGAAATTTTTTCGTTGGAAGGAAATGAAATTATTAAATTTTCTAATTCACAGCAAGAAAATATCTGCCTAGATGATGATATCAATGATAATGTTGTTGTGACAAAGTTACATAACAGTAATTAATGATAACGAAATGTTAGAAGAACACGTGACAGCGTGCGTGGGTTATCGTCATTATGATCAGAGATTGGATGGTATTTTTGGGGGTCACGTTTATCATAATCCAATTACGAAAACAAAATCATACATGCACATATAATTATAAAAGACGGAAAAGACGTGATTTTTGAAATCGTGCGTAATCTTTCGATATCCTGTTTCCTCAAGGGAGCGAGGATGAAGCGATGATTTCTCTTTCCAAAGCTTATAATACAACAGAAGGAATGTCAGGTCTGAAAACTGAAAACAAGCTTTCTTATTTTCCTCTTGTGCACAATTATAACCGGCTTTATTGAACAAGCCAAGGACAGAATAATGCATGGCCAGAAATAGTTTACTCGTATATTCGCACTGTATTACTAAACAAGGACACAAATTTCGATACTATTTTCGGCTTAATATTGCGTGTGATTGGCACGCAAATGATTAAATCAAATAAACCTCCGCTTTCAACAGGAAAAAGACCTTTATTAGTCACGAAATCATCTGATCATCACGCGCAAAGTGGACGCGCCTGCAGACATGGGTTATAAAAAGACGCGGTAATAGATAATTATTGTACGTTTCATACCTCGGGTCTCTTTTTCTTTCAGAAATTCCACTTCCAGTTTACTTCTTGTTTATTAAAAGTCTTGCTGAAACATTCTACTCTGTCGCCTTCCTTAAGATCGTGAAAGTTTTCAAAACAAAGTCCACATTCTGTTTCTTTCTTCGCTAATTCTGTATCATCATTCTCTCGCTTCATGCTGGATAAAATCCCTTTGAAAAAAGAAAATGACTCTCCTTGTACACCGGATATATCAGGAGGAGCGAAAGGAGAGATCACTAAAAAGAACCATCATCTCATCGGGTACAAATCAGCGAGAGATTCATCCAGGTATTCACGAAGTCCGTGTCTCCTACCTTCAAATATGGCTTGGTTATTTCTGTAGACGCGATAACTTTCCTTTCTTCGTAGCTGACCTTGTTTTACACGACAACCAGCAACCGTGGCTTTTCTCTTCCCAGAGAGTTGAAATACTTTTAACACCGTCGCCTCACCGATGGGAATATCCTCACGAACCAGTGGAAGCTTTGCAGACATTTCCTCCTGCAAGGAGATCGTGGTAGACGATAAAATAAAGATGCTTCTAGAAAGACTTCATGCAAACCCTTGTCTGCCTGTATAATATCCCGTTAGGCCTTAATTCTTGCTTAGAAAAACTCTATACAAAGTTGCGCACAGTACAGCAATAATCCAACAGATTTTGCATTAAACATGCTTTCCTCCCTTATACTGCAATGTTAAAACTTGGTTTCATCACATAACGGCTCCGAGTTATGATTACCTTAAGAGTGTCTAATAAACGATATATAACTCTTCCCGTGTGAATCCTGACGTCCAATTGCTGCGCTAATTTCTGAAGATCTTTTGATACGGCCACATTGAAAGCAAACAAAATTCCTAAAATATAGGAATATGGCATCAGTATCCCACAGTACCACAGGGCGTGGGGAGGGATCACTATGTACATTACCTTTGAAAGGTTCCAGTAACCGAATATCATTTTCGGAAACAGCGCCAACGCCAGACGAAACAATGGACAGTTTAGGTTTTCCAGCTTTATAGGTTTTTATAGCGTCTAAAACTGCTTCAAGAGATCCATTTACATCAGCTAAATAAACGAATGATCGAATTAGCAACATGTATCAACAACTATTCATTGTCAAGAAAGATAGAGCATTACCTTTGATAACCACATCAAGCTTCTCCGTACTGTCATAAGACTTGCTGAAATTCTTCATCATAACTTCCAGATTGTCCGACTCTGATAAACGTGGTCCATAACTCTTCATACTTTGTTGTTTATTTTTCCGATGATTCGTCACCTTATTTGCAATGTTCTAGAAGTAAAAATTGATCAAGAACTGAATTCTGCATCTCTCTCCTGATCTTCATAAACACTGAACTGTTCATGCACATGTCATGCACATGAAATCTAGAAACATTGAGTTCATTTACTTCAGATTCAACTTCCAGTAAAAGCTCTCCAGCTTCAGGAAGTTCTTTCCAACCCGTAATTTGAACTGGCGTTGAAGGCATCGCTCTGATCATTGTTTTCCCGCTGTCGTCCAACAACTGACGAACCTTTAAACGAAACGTTTCAAAATTGAAATGAAGAATCAGTGTTGAGTTACACATCCGAGAAATCGGCATGGGGCGAGAAGATAGGGAGGGGGTGTAATGTGGAAATGATGGAGAAGGGGAGGAAGGGTGGAACCAAATCAAATGCAGGAATATTTCTCACCTTGCAAGAACACGACCCAGCAACTAGCACCGCACCCTTCTTTAAAACGCCTCTCTGGACAAGAGCAGTTGCGATGGCTCTGTAACGGATTAAATCAAATATGAAGCACCTAAAACTATCGTAATATAACAACAATGTAAGCTACAATACCCTCGTCCTTTCTCTATTCTCGACTCCAATACAACTCCCTCAGCTAATCCAGTGAAATCCGCGCGCAAGTCGGCAATCTCCGCGTGCGTGGTTACTGCTTCTGTCAGATGATCAAGGTTTATGCCCTGTCAAAACACGATAGTTTATGCTTAAATTTGTCTTCAAAACACTGTTGTTCATCTGCTGATGACGGGATGGTAAATACAAGAGCAGAATCAGTGCAAAGTTAATATGAATGAAAGATTTGTTGCTTAAGTATAAACGACTTACATTCAAAGCTGATATCTCAACCGTCTGAACGTCTCCTCCAAATTCTTCCAGTTGTAGACCATGGCTAAGAAGTTGATTTTTCACTTTAGCCTTGAAAAATTGAAAGCAAATAACGTAAAGATCTATTTACCATTGCAAGAGCATTTAACCATCTTGCAGTACCAAACTCTCAGCAACACAACAGTGTTTCCTACTCTTACCAGATTAACATTTGGTCTATCAATTTTGTTAATTGCAACAATTACAGGAACTTTCGAAGAGCCACAATCAATGAGAGAAACAGGAAGGAAAGGTAAAAAAATAGAACATGTTTAGTGTGGAGTGAACTGTATTGAACTGACACAGGTTAAGAACACATGTAAACCTACCATTTGCATTATTTGCATGATTGATACATTCAATAGTCTGAGGCATCACACCATCATCTGCGGCGACAACCAACACTATCACATCTGTAACATGAGCACCACGTGCACGCATGGTCTCAAAAGCAGCATGCCCAGGGGTATCAATGAATACAATACTAAATGTATTTGGTAATTTAACTGAAAAAGAAATTGAAATAGGATATAATAGGATTCTCTCCACCATATACATATTTGTTTATTCATCAATTGCATCCTCCCTAATATAGTAATTCCTAGAGCAATATTTCTTTTGCCTTTCTCCCCCCTTTCCATCTCCCTTTTACTCCTTCTTTCTACCTCCATCTATTCTTCACCTCCTTCCATTCCTCTTTTCACTCTTTATTCTTCTACTTTCATCTATTCTTCCTTTCCTCCACCCTCATGACCCTCCAATGAACAACACCTACCTGAAAATGCTCCAATATGTTGGGTTATTCCACCAGCCTCGGCAGCTGCAACAGATGTCTTTCTCAACCTATCCAACAATGTTGTCTTTCCATGGTCAACATGACCCATTATGGTGACCACAGGGTAACGTCGTTTTAAAATACTCTGGTCCATACATGGTGGTCTTAATATTTAACAAATTATTGGTACTTTTGAATTGAACTCTACAGCATGAACAATAAATGGTATAGAAATTACCTTGGTGATATATCAAAATCCTCGTCATGGAATCTTGCAGTAAAGCCATGTTCCAAAAGAATCAGCTCAACAATTTCTGGCTTAAGCACTAATAAAACATTGAGAAGTAGGATTGTACGGTGAATTAAACTAATGGATGAACTTGAAATAAAACATACATGTCTTAGGTCCTCTATCAACTTTCTCTCCAGCATCTTTAGTAAATCTCACAAGATCATCTGGAAGAATGATATAATACATTAAATTCTTGGAAACTTGGGTGAACATGAATGAAGTATTAAACAATATCTTCAAATAACACATACTAATTGACACTCCAACATGCTTTGCCAATTCTGCAATGGTTACTGAGGAATCAATCAAAACCTCAGATTTCTTCTAAAAAAGAATATCAATTATATCACTATGAATCCTAGAAAGGTGTCATGTTTAAGAGGATCTTTAAAATAAAGAGAAAGTCAGGTAGATGACAATGACATGAAATAAATACCCACTTGTATATCATGTTTCTTGGAGAAGAATATGCTGGAAACATGAAGTTGTCTTTGACCAAGTTTATTTGATGGTGACTGATATGCAACCAACTTTGAATGCTGGAAAGCCTGTTTTACAGAAAATTCTTAATTTTCATCCAAAAACTACTATTTTTTCACTTGGAAATGGAATGCTGAATGCTGTTTAATACGTGCAGTGATAGATAGATGGATGTACAAAAGACCAATATTGGCAATATAATGAATCTTTACCTTTCTGGTTGATTTTAGTCTTTGGAAAAAGCGGAACATATGCCGCATGTCTTGAAAAAGCTAGGAAACGCAATGATCAATAAACCTCATTGCCTAAACTAATCACATGATGTAGAGACAGGGCACAATCACATAAGAAAACTACCTTTAAAAGAGATCACTCCTTCCAATTCGCCATTTTGGAGGATCGGTGCACGGTGCGCCGGTTGTGTAAAATATCATCGCCTGAAACGACAACACTTGGAAGTCGTTTTGCAATCGGCAACTTCCATGTCAGATCAAAAATTATCTGCAGGAAACGAAACCTTTGTCCTTTGCATATACCCACTAGACAATTTTCATAAATTTATAGACACCTGCGCGTCTAATTTTCTAAACAAACTAGGGGAATGGAGCTTCAGATAAAGAATGATTAGGCTTGACCAGTTCTAAAAATGAATAAGTCATTGTTAGATTTTACTTTTGAATGATGGCATTGTAGAATATATCATAGTGCTTTGTTTGCTATCTTGTATGGGTTGAAGTTGAATTATTACAACCGATAAAAGTTAGTCAAAGATCTTCCAAAATGTCAGGAGGTCGTGCAGAACTGATGAACTTTCTTGAAAATGAAGGAATTACCACAGAAACCATTGAACACCCAGAAGTATTCACAGTTGAAACAATGATGGAACATTTGAAAGATGTAAATGGTGCAGTTGGTAAAAATCTGTTCCTTAAAGATAAGAAGAAGAAACTCTGGCTCTTGACAACCTTACACGACAGGGAAATCGACCTGAAAGTTATTGCAAAAAAGGTTGGAGCTCCAGGGGGGTTAAGATTTGCAGATGAGTCCATTCTACAAGAGAAATTAGGTGTAAGTCAAGGTTGTGTCACCCCCCTGGCTATCTTCAATGACCATGCTGGAGATGTTAAAGTGATCTTAGATTCCGGATTTTTTAATGGTAACCATGAACGATGTTTTTTCCATCCGATGGTAAATTCTGCCTCCACCGGATTAACACCAGACGACCTGAAGAAGTTTATCAAAGCGACTGGACATGAAGCAATTTTAATAGACTTTTAAGAAACTGATTTTGTTTTGTTTTTTGTCAGTAGAATGACAAATGTAGTTAAAGACATTGGTCATCACCAAAGCATCTTCAAGATTAAATTATACAAAACAAATTTTGGATGGATTTTTTATTCACTATCTGGTTGATCTTACTTGCCTAGATATGCCTTCTTATTATTGTTCTTTTACAACTTGATGTTTCAATTAAGATTATTTTAATGTTCAGACCTAGTGTCCTCATGCAAAGCATGCTTCATATAGCAATCTAAGCATCTGTTGTCTTGTGAAGAATATGGTTTGAATACCTGGCTGAACCATGTGTCATTTGTGTGAGAGATAGACAAAAACATGACAAGGTTTATACTAGATTTTTTCTACTATATGCCAGTGGGTTTGACACAAGCACCCCCCCTCAAAATCTCTTTTGAAGTGCCAACACTTCACTCAATATGGAAATATCTTCACGAGTTTCATCTTCAAACAACAGACCTAAACCAATTTTTTTTTTTACCTGATGGCTGCGTTTCCATGTTAATTCAGCTTAGTAAGGTATGTCCTGGAGTGGATGAAGATGACATTCCCGTGTTTTCCTGGACAGATTCGCTTCTTCACAATCTTAGGTTCGATAAAGTAATTCTCAAACCTTACTAAGCACGAAACACGAGTTCATATTAAACATGAAAACGATGCCATTGGGTGAAATGTGGATAAACGGTCTGCAAAAGATTTTCAAACTCATGCACGAGTATAAACATGCATATCTCACATGACACAGTGCTGTCGAATATCGACATGTATAACTTAATTTTCTACTATATACAATGTTATACAATGATCTTGTTGCTAAAAAATTATCACCTTTGGTGCTTCAGGTTAATTCTTCTGGGCATTTTCGATTATCATTGATATCACCGCAGGAGCTGCCTTCAGAGCTGCAATTAGTTGAACGACGTTCCTCTGAGGTGTCCTTTTTTTGTTTTCGTCTTTTAGCCAAGGGCGCTTGCTCGACCGCCTGAAGAGCAAATCCCTCCCTGGTTGCTTTGTGAAATGCGTTATACGCTGCGTTCAAAGCGCTCTCAACAAAAGTACGTTTTGTTCCTTTCCCCAGAATACCTGGAGTCATGAGTGGCGTGGTTGGTATGTCTCGTCCGCTTGAGAGCCACTCGTGATTTTGGACCTCGCTGATCGTCAGTCGTTCGCTGGGGTTGACTGTCAGTAAACCTAGCAAAGACAGTGTATTCTAATGTAACGTTTAATACGTCCAAGAAGAGAAACACTCGGCATTTGAACATTTCTAATTCTCAGACTTACCTTGTATAAGATCTCTTGCCTGCTGTGACACAGCGCTCCATTGCTGTCCCTCGAATTTAAAATCCCCCATTTTTATTCTGTTTATGATATTGGCTGCAGTATTGCTGGGACTGCCGCTCCTCTGGAACGGAACCTGACCAGACAACATCGTGTACTGGAAATGAAAGAGCAAATGAAATTAATTTGAACACATGTTCTTGCAAAAATTGGGGTTATTTATACAAGCAGGGGTCAGCCCAAACCCCCCGGGATAACGGTGAAGTTTTCCCGCCACTTTTCAGAACAGTTTTCATACAACAAACACTAGACTTTAGGAACGACGAGGTACCAGAATAACACCAAGACTCCACAGATCACATGATTCATCGTAACCACTCTGTCTCGTGGTCTGAGCGAGAACCTCGGGTGCGGCGTAATGGAGGGTGAAACATGGGGTCTGGAGAGGCTGATTTACCGTCTTTACTTTAGCAAAACCAAAATCAATGATCTTGATCTCCGCATCTTCAGTGTGATCAACAAACAGTAAGTTCTGGAAGAAAGAAGATGATGCCGTCAGGAAATAGTTGTAAAAGCAAAAATGGTTGTAAAAGTAATTATAGCATTCCTACCTCAGGTTTTATGTCCCTGTGAACAACTCCTCTGGAATGCATGAAAGCCACGGCAGAAACGATCTTTCTAATCAGAACACTTGCTTCAGCTTCTGTAAATTTCTTTTTCTGTCGAATCCTATCAAACAGTTCACCTCCCTGCAGATACTCCATCACAAGATACACGTGAAGCTAGAGTGGAACGAACAGAAAGATGAAACAAACACCAGACCATGTCATATACCATAATATCATACCATATAACATAATAGTCCATAGTATATCAAATGCTATCTACCTTCTAGATATCATATCATATGCCATATATCATACCATGCCAGTTATTTTATATCAAATAGCCATAAAAAAACCTTGAAAGGCGTTCTTTACGGTAGACTAAATATCATAACTCACCCCATCCTGATAGACTTCGTGTATATTGACAATATTGGGATGATCCTGGCACAATCGTAGTGACTGAACCTCCTGTGTACGATCCCGTCTGAAGAAGAAAATAATCACATCGTGAAATTACCTTATTATTGTACCTGCATGTGTGGCATGGCCTCAGTCGTTCATCATTAAAGAAAAGCATGTTTACACAGCTATTTCAGATGAAATTTTCTTCTTTTGGTAGATGTGAAGAAGTGGAGATGTGATTTATGGTCAAAAAAGGGTATTTATACATCAGACTATTCGTAACTATTCAATCGTTTTCATCCATCAAAATTCAAAAGAGGAAAAGCGCCATGAAGCAGGGACGAACTGTCAAACGAATGAAATGTTCTCTTGCCTTTTACTGATCACTTTAACAGCGTAATGAAGACCTGTTCTGACATTGATGCATTTTCTAAAAAGAACGTAAAATCTTTGAATACATTTTGCTTCAAAGAAGAAGTGTCACTCACGATACAAACACACAAACAAACAAACACAATGTGAATAAATACCTGCACGTTGAAAAGCTTCCATCTCCGAGTATTTCGTCAGTTACCATGTAATTTTGGAAGAATGGTGATTCCTAGAGCAAAATACATACGATTTCTCTGAAAAACATCGCGTACAACTATTTGTTTGAGAACACCTGTTTTAAATTCCCTTTCATATCCTGAAAAGATTGATTTGGGTTTAAAAGAAGATACTGCGGATAAATACCTCGAAGAAAGAAGCTTGTCTAATCCCTGCAGATAAATTTCGATGTTCGTAGGTGGGCCTGATGCAGTCTTCTAACGTCGTTGTTTCGTTAAAAACTATGGACGGAGCGACGTAAGAATATCCCTACAAAATAGGACAACGCACAGAAGACTCAGATGCGCACATAACGCACGATAAAAGCGCGCACGGCACGCAAAATGAAACGCGCAAATCAGGGCGCTTATATATAAGCGCCCTGGCGCAAATAACGTACAAAAAAAGCGCGCACGAGCGGACTAAAACCTGCACGGAACGCACACAGAAAGGACACGTACGCATTATAAAAACAAATGGCAACTTTACCCTGAAAACTTGGCCAGTGACATTAGGCACAACTGCGGGTGAATAATGAGGAGTCATGCCGGTGAATTCTGCTGAAAAATTACTGACATCCATTTCATCATTAATGTGTGGAACGAACGGTGCTGGGACCTTTCGTTCATAGACACTTGTCCAATCTAACTTCTGTAAACAATGTAGAAAACATAATTTATATAATTGTACCTCAAGGAAACAGCGAGTAAAATATCCTGGATAGTTTGATGTTGATTTCCTGAAGCCCTGAAACTGTTTTGTGACCTTATTTTTGTGCTAATATTTAAACCTGGTATGGCAACTTCACTGGAAATGGTTCTCGCTATCTAGTACAACAGAGTTAAGACTACCAAATAAAAAAATTATAAAATACTATTATCATCACCTTAAAAAAACTGTGTTTTTTTATTTCATTTGCCCCAGTTGGACCACTGCCAATTCTCCTGGAAGGGTTCTTCGCCAGCAATCGTAAGACAAAATCTTTTGCTTCTCTTGAGAATGACATTGGTATTGGCGGTTCTTTAGTGGTGATCCTCCTAATCAAATCCAGAGAAAGAATACATTAAAATTTTGCCTAAAAACAAACTCTTTCATTCAGTGTAAGAAATCCAAATCATTTCTAGGATTTAAATCCTCTTAGCATTTCAAAAGAAACACAGAATGCCAGGACATACTTTGAAATCTGTGACTGGCTATTTTTTTCACCATCAACAGTGAATGGTGAGGCACCCGTCAAAAGCTCATACAGAAGAACACCTAAGCTCCACCAATCTACAGCCTGTTCAAAATAAGAATATTTAGGATTATCCATCCAGGGTTACGCATTTATTTGAGATACATATAGCGGGGCATAAGAAAGTAGGACACATCAGAACACCGGGGAACATATCTACATATATATCAGTACTATCCAATCAGCGTAATCGCTTATCCATATTTACCTTGTCATGTCCATTACCATTCCCATTTACCAGTTCTGGGGCCATGTATTCAATTGTTCCACAAAATGAATATGTTCTTTTTATCTGAGTAAAAAGTGATGGAAACACTTTAAATCTTATCAGATCCCTAAAGGAGCTGTCAAGATAGCCATATGACATGTTTCTTCACTATTTCTCAGCTATTGGTTGCATTGGAGCTAAATCTTGTGTAACATTTCAACCCATCAGAGGGTGGCACTCTTGTGCCTAAAAACAGCCAGGTTTAGGCATACTGCCAGCTATAATTAGGTTGAAATATGACAATTATATCATATCATCAATATACTCACCTCATCAGATGGACTAAAGTCTTTACTCAGTCCAAAGTCAGTCAAAACAACATGTCCTTTTGAATCGAGGAGGATATTCTCAAGCTTAATATCACGGTAGATTATACCCAGCTGTTTCAATGGACAACAACAAGTCAAATGTTTATTTTTAGCGAACTATACTAAATTTAATTAGCATATATGTAATTATGGCCTTTTACAGCAAAAATGTGTGTCAAAATTGCTAAGGATTTTGTAAAAACATTGTAACCTTGTGAAGATGCTCAATAGCGATCACAATTTCTGCAATGTAGATTCTTGCTTCATCTTCGCTGAATTTATCTCGTTTGTACAAATGTGTGAAAAGTTCGCCTCCGTTGATATAGTCTAGTCGATTGTACAAAATGCCATTAATAACACTTTGATTAAATGAACGAAGCATATTACACAAGAATTATAATCATTCCACGTTCTATATGATGTTTTAAATGTCCTTTATCCATTAACTAATTCCTATTTCCCACTATAGCAAGATATAGCGAGCTTGCTTTGCACGAATCAATTCAATTAGTTACCGTTCATTTAAATACTTATAGTGTCTAATTCTGAACACTTTTCTTCCAGAAGATGAAGACGAACGTTGATTGTACATTGAATGTTGAATGTATAAAAAGACATGATCAATTTAGTGGCTTGTTGTACTGTAAACAACTTGGAATTTTCAGCTTGTAAACATGAAACTAACAAACAATAATTGCGAATACAAATCATGACACTATATTAACCATGCACGCATATTTAAAACATGAAAGAATCTTTGAAAACTTAGAACGATAGACTGTAGCAGCTAGCAGACATACCCATAACTAAATGGAGTTTAGATTCCGTTTGAAATGCCCAGTGCAAAGTGACAAGGAACGGGCAACTGCGGACGGACTCGAGAACCTGTCTCTCTGTCATCGTGTGCTCCGTCGTTTTAGCCTTCTGCACAATTGTGGCTTTTTTTAAAACCTTCATGGCAAACAGTTTCCCTTTGTAAAAGCCATCCTTCTTTTTCACTAAGTATACTTTTCCGTATGCTAAATTTGAAGAAATAAACTTACTGTACGGAGTACAAAATTCCCCACAAATTTCGAATAGCGAAAAAGCTATTAAGCACACATACATAAACAACAATTTACAGCATAATTTTTATTGCATGACTATGTATAATTTACCTCCTGTACCAAGAACCTTCAAGAGATCAAAGCTTTCTATATTAACCTTTTCAGAATGGCCTGTTAAATTGGCTAAAAACCATAAGAACAGTGATTAGATTTCGCCTTAAGACTGAAATTAATAGCGACGAAATATGCAAAGCAATATCGTAAGTAATCCGCAGATTTAAGCACAAAATTTGCACAAATGCATGTTGGTTTTACCGTTTTTGACATTGTGATGGACAAAATAGTTCTCAAGCAAACCATTCGTTGTCATTTTAACTTAACACGAGCGATATTTCGCTCATGATTTCTTTTTATACGAAGTAAACAACATCGCAAATTTCCACCATCTTGAGTTTGAAAAAAAGACGCCGACGTTGCTCCGGGGATTTCCGAGTTCAACGCGATAAGTTAATCACTGGATTAATTAACTCAGCTATGGAACCACTATCCTATATTCCACACAGTAAATATCAAAATACTAAACCCACACAACACACATGTTTAAGTGAACTGAAGGTACACCATGCAAAAACCATCTATACACCAGGATAGGAATGACAGTATATTTATTTACACTATAAAATATGCAGAAAAATCTATAAACAGATTTTAAACATTCTAAGCATAATTTTGAACCTTTCTTAGTGAATGGCAACCCACTTTGCATTGTCAAACACCAAAAGATCTTAGGTTTATAAATCTCATCGGACTTCAGTGGAATATTCATAGCACTGAGACAATTAAGTGCCAGCTGATGAAATTAGAATTTTTTCTGTGCTTGTATTAGACCTCATTTATAATACTGTTCACAAGTATTCCATCAGTCTCTGCCAAAATCTATCTCCAGTTCTCTTGCTCCCCAGTTCCTCCATTTCCCTGTTCCCCTGCTTTCCAACTTATTCCATATCTGCTATCTATAATTAATGTCATCATAAGCCGGTGGAGGAATTGAAGCGGGGAGATTAGCAGCACCAGCACCAACTGGTATATTTGTATTTTCGTTCTGCAAACGGGGATATATCCTTTGATAATTTGTTGGAAACTGATTTTGTTCTTGAGGGGGCGCACTTGGAATTGGAGGCTGTGATGCTGTACTGGCCTAAAAAATAGAAACAAGATGAAATAACTAATTTTAAAAACAGGCCAACAAAACAAAAATATGTACCATAAAGGGGTCAGAAATAATTGCATCTGGCTTTAATGTTCGCATCCAATCCATTCTTTCCTCCTAGAAAACACAAAATTGAGAGCAATGAAGTGAAATTATTAGAAAATAGTGGATATAATTGTGACAACATACATGATTCGCTGCTTGCAAGTGCCAAATTTCACCAGATTTGAGGTGAATCTCAAAACCAATTAGAGGATGGTCCTTGGAGAAAGCAACTTGAGATATTTCACCTCTTGTTGCAGTGCCAATTGGTTTGGCTGTCTAATATGAAATTAATAAAGTGAGTTGATACTTGACTTAATGGAATATCCACTGGGATGTTAAATACAGTCGTAATAAATGCAATGAACTGTACTTTGAGGTGTTTCACACAGTGTTTCAGTCATCTATGTCACAGCACTCACATATTTTGTCTCAAAATAATGTAAATAACTTCTTTCTAACTTGAAGTAATATTTCTTCCAACCATGCCATACATTCCTGTACTTCGTTAAGTAGCCTTCTTTCTACCGGAAACAGAGAAAACATCATTTCTACGTACAAAAATTCATGATCGCATATGCCATATGCTCTAGCCATATGCTAGCGTTATGACAACAACGACAATCTCAAAAATAATAGCTCTCAAAAGTATACTAAAGTGAATTAAGTGATTGGTACGCAAACATATATCTTACCAAACGTATTTCGAAACTCATGTTCAAATCGATCTACTCTCTTCCTGCAAAACTTCTTACATTGTAAACGATAACAAACTGTTAAGCTATATCCAGCTATCTAGTTATATTCAGTGTTTTATTATGGCAATATTACCTCATTCTACAAGAAAACTTAGAAAAGACAACCTTATTTGTTTATTTATGCTGAAGTCAGGGGGGAGGGGGCGTGGGGGGCCAAAAGGTTTTTGCAAGTCACCGTGAATAACCGAATTCTCTTGGTTCACTGCTTTTAGTCGACGTGACGAAAAAAGTCGCGAAATCTTTGTCGAGCCTTTCCACGTGCGTGGCTCGTGTGCGGTGGTGTACAATGTAACAAATTACACGTGCACTGTATTCCAGAGTGGGGGACATGGTCTATTTAAGTTGGTGGATATGTTGGGGTGCATCAGTGATTTCTCTGGTAGTCTGTTCACACAATGACAAGTATGGTCAGCTTAGAAACTCTTCAACAGTATATGTTGACTGTATAACTGGCAATGATGTTGCGGACTGTGGGCGAAATACAAGTATTCCCTGCAAAACACTACAATATGTTGTCAGTAAGAGGGTGCAAGTGTTTAGGGTGGACCATGTTCTTATAGACATTGCAAAAGGAGTTTGTAATGAGAATGGTGTTCTGAAATTGGATGAAGCCAACACTGTCACTCATTGGTTCTTTGTCGGATCTAATTTGTGAGTGAACTACCTGAATGAGATTTGGATAACATCATGATCTCCATGTCTATAGAATAATCTGTTTTATTATTTTCAGAACACAGAATTTCCCAACAATTGTTCACTTCTCTGTTAAATCTTTCAACTCTGCGATCAGATTTTCACACCTGAAATGGGAAAACTCAAGTCACCAAATTTCTTTCAATGTTCACATGGCTTCAGTTGAATTTCAGCACTGCACTTTTAATAATATTATTTTTCAGTTTAACGGCCTAAATACAGATTTAACACTACAAGATACCAAAGTGACATACTGTAAATCACGAAGCCAAGACATTCCATTGTTTTTCATACAGACATTGTATGATTATGAGAGCAATATGTTCATAGGAAATTCAGCATTTTCGTATAATACCGGTCCAATTATTTATGCTATGCAACTTCACGAAATATCTATTCAGGAAACTTTATTTCTAAAAAATGGAAAAGATTTGTTTTCAAATTCATCATTAGTTACAGTTAGTGGTTCCTCTATGGTCCTTGAGAATTCCATCTTTAATCAAACTTTGGGAAGAGCAATTGAAGTTAAGAATATGAAGCATACAAATGTGACTAGAGTAATATTTCTCCTCAACTATGCTTCCAGTGGAAGTTGTCTGTTGGTAAAAAGACATAGCAATGTCAATTTTGCAGAGACAGTATTTAAACAGAATACAAATCCTGTTGTTTTGGTCAAAGCTCATGATGATATAAAAATTTCACTCAAGGTTCGACTTTCTTTATATTTCCTTTATCCATTACTCAACAGCTTTTTCTTTATACCCAATTATTTCATTCTATACTCAGCCTTTCTTTCTCCCACTTCCATTTGATATTCTTTCAATTCAATTTTTGATTTCATTAAATATTTTCAGGCATGTACATTCACTTGCATCATTCAAAAAGAAGAGATGAATGCCCCATTTTTAAAAGCTCCAGAGAAAACAAAAATTACAATGACAAATTCAAGTATTGCAAAACCATGCTCAGGTTTGCTTGCAAGTTACTTTTGACACAACACAAAAATTAGAATCTAGAAGATTGTCTTGTTTTAATTTCTTTCATTTATTCAATTTTTTTTCTGCGACTGCTATATGGTACTTTAGTTCATTGCAACAATGGTGAAATGGTAAAATCTAATATTTTTTGTGAGAAATGTCCAACTGGGAGTTTCTCATATGAAGAAAACAACATTATAACATCTGATTCTTGCCAAAGGTATGATCATTTCTACCATTGACCACAGTTTCAATTAATGCTTTCAATGAAATCATACTCATATAATGCAGTTTTTATAGGTGTTCTCCTGGGAGATACGCATCAGAGAAAGGTAGTACAAATTGCAGTCAATGTGCAGAAGGCACTTATGCACAGAAATATGGGTAGGATATCTTATTGCTGAAGTAAATGTTGTATCTGTAAACTGCAAGGAAATAATGTTTGTGTGTTCTTTTCAAGAAATACAGGGTGTAAAAAGTGTACAAATGACTTTCTCACATCAGATTCTGGGTCTTCAAGTTGCTCAAAAAGTAAGCAATTTAGAAACTGTTTTATCAGTCAATTTCTAACATGTTTTCACCTAACCATAGATTAATTTCAAATTAGATTAATTTCAAATTTATCTATGCCTATACAGTACATCAATATTTAATTCCACCACTAATACACAACCATTTTTTTTTAATTTCCAGTGACTATAGAGTTTATTCTTATTTTATCTGGAAGCATCCCAATGATTCTCATACCATTATTCCTGCTACTTGGCAGACGATTCCAAAAGAGACGACATTTAAAAATGAAAGCAAGGCTAGAGCATGAGAAATACAACAGATTTGGGCACATCAATAGTTAAAGAAGTGTAGAAAAAACCTCTTCTTTTATTTTTTATCCTGAACCTGATACACTAAGTAGCTAATAGGATTGGTTATCTAGGTGCTAACAGGAGGGGTTATTTATAAAAAGGCATTATCATGATTATGCTTTTAAAGTATTGTAAAGTATCAATAAGTATCTTATTACAGATTTATTTGAAATAAAATTTAATATAAGTCAGTGTTAAGCAATTCAATAATTACCTCTTTGTACAAGAACTATTGTCTCGTTTGCACCTTTGCATAAACAAAAGTCCACACCAAGCACTGGACAAATTTCTGGAAAATTCCCTTGATGGACTATGCTCAGTATGCTGATATCAAGCTCATGAACTCAGTTTCTTGATAATGTCCTAAAATACCGCAGTTGAAGTGTGTAGTCTTCATGTGTCTGAAGTAGGCATGACACTTGCTCATTGGATTCTGACTATTTCAGCAAGAGTCAAAACCTTTTAACAACCAGTCAGTTCCTGAGGATCCTGAAATTTCTCACCTCAAGTCACTTGTTCAACTTCATTCACAATGGGTGAACCAGGAGCTTCATCCGTCGTCATTTCGGTGTCCTCAGGCTGTTTTGAAGGATCCGGTTGTGTGGTGTCAGCTTCGGTAGATTGATCCATGTCATTGTTTGGTTCACCATCGTCCTGGGGTGGCTGTGGAATTGAACTTGACTGTTGTTGGTACTGAAATAAAAAAATATCTTTTCAATGCAAACTTCCAGTATTTCAACTCAATTCTTGATATTCTATTGACGAATGATTGATTGATTGATAAAGACGACGATGGTACATTGTAGAATATTCACAAGACAAATCATCCTCTTTCTTCCACAGTCAACCATTTAACAACCCTGAGAGTCAATTGGCATCTGTTCTCGTTAAGCTACAGTAAGTTACAGGTTATAAAGAGAACAGGATGGTTGACCATACGTTATGGGTTAAGGTTATAGGTTACCTGTTGTTTGGCGTTCATTTCAGCGACAATGTTCTGGTACATATCATAAACAATACGATGCATATGGGGCATGTCTTGAACAGCGAATGGCTTGAACGCGGGATCTTGGTTGTACTGAAAGAACAGATAAGAAAGAGACAATTAATGGTTAGGATATCGAGGTGTACAGGCCCTGGAAACGACCTTGACCGAGGCTGCTCTGAATTCCGGTTATTAGGGGTATATGACGCCCCTGGGTACCAGGTTGTATGTCACCCTGTCATCTAGATGAAGTTCCTACTTTAAGACTCACCGGTCTCGTGGGAGGATATCGTTCGTTCAACGCCAGGAGTAGATGAAGAGGTCTTGAAGTGAGCTAGATAAAGAAACACGATAATGCAATCATTCTTACGTTACTAGGGAAGGTGGAAACTACTAGTAAAGTTCATTCTCTAATTGTGTCAGGTTTCACTAGTGATCACTAGACTTTATGACAAAGACCAGCTTGACAGGGAGAGGCAGACTATCATCCTAGGATGATTCATCGAATAGTGGATCTTGTATCTTGAATCGTGGATCACTCAAACATACCTGGTCAAATGCCGGTGTTAGCTCGAAGCAATTCCTGAATAGACTGGCTCGCGCCAGAATATATAGTCCGAGTCGGGCTCGAGACATCGCGACGACGAGCCGACGCACATCTCGGATATGACCGATAGTCTTCGTACGAACTAATGAAAGAATGATGTAATCATTTTGTTGCCCTTGGTAGCGATCTACTGTCGTGATCTAAAAAAACAAAAATAGTTCATATAAGTTCTTGCATAGGCAAATTTCACCAGAATACACACATATTTACCAAGTTTTCATTCATTCAAAACGCGTACTAGCTCCGACTCTCTGCAGACATACCTTGGATGGCCACCCTATCACAGGATTATCTCCACATCTCTTTCTTATTACGTCACGTATGAGATGTTTCTGACCGTTGTACGTCGTTAAGATGGCGATCCTTTCTGCGGGATAACCAAGCAATCTCATGTACATAAATATCGCGGCTGCATATTCCGCCTCCCCGAGATTCTGCAACAAACGATGGAAAAAGAAATATCTGAAAAGATGCCATTAAACTGTGGTCATTGATGAAACTTGTATTGATATAAGCTTTACCATTATCACAGTAACTCTAACGCTATCCACGATTCAACCATCATAATTCACTTCACTTTACCTGATAGAAATACGGGTTGGGTTCAGACTCGCCTACGCCGTTGAAATCCTCAACATTGATGAGTTGGAAGTCGAAGAAAAACCCTGGGTTAGCTGTGCAATATTCCGGCCAGGCGAGCACATGCTGTAAATTCCCCAATTTCTTGTAACGCCAGTTATACAAGTTACACAGGCTGGAAGTAAGCGCAGTTGAATAAGACAGTAATAGACTTGGATAAGACAGTACATACTAGGATAAGACAGTACATACTTGGATAACACAGTACATACTATAGGATATGACTGATATCGTTACATACCTTGGTCTGGCTCGACCCTGAGCGTCAAGGTCAACAGTCGGAACACCAAGTCGGACAAATCTCGTGAACAAAGACTGCTCCATGTTGGAAAACTTCTGGAAAGCCATGTTCTTAATAACTGGGGGCAACTGCAAAGAAAATACTTCAGAATGACCTCGCGACACGACAGCAAAGACACCCGGTGATACCTCTCAAGAAATACATTCGAATATTCCATCATTTACCTGGTGATGATCACCGATTAAAATAACTCTCTTCAGTCGATTAAAACCATCCTCAGGCGTCTGAAAGCAACACAAAAGCAAGATAAAGAATGGAATATTCTACTTCTTTATAAGATATCAACCTTACAAATCACTTCACCTGTAACAACAGCGGGATGAAGGTTTCAATCTCCAAGATTTGAGCTGATTCTTCCATCAAGACATTGTCGTACTAAAGTGCAACAAAATATGGTTTCACAGTTCTGATCGATGGTCGTAGGCGCTTTTAGAAAACAAACTATCCTGTGACTGACCTTAAAACCGAGTTGAACAAGATCTCGTCGTTTCAGCGCGGCGTGAGTGCAAGTCATGGCGATTATTTTAGCCTCTTTTACCAATAAATAGTTTGACCTATCGCCACCTAAGAGAGGTAGAGAAAGAAGAAGACAAGATAAAATTGGAGAGTTAGGAAAATATGGAGCATTTGGAATTGAAAGAAAATAAATTTTTGCTTCGCTATCATCACTTACCACTACGCAAAAGTTCAAAAGCCCGGAACTCCTACAACACATCAAAATGAGTGTAAATCGGGGGGACGATAAAAAAATCAGCACAATTTATACGCCAACAAGGAAAACAATAAACAAACCTCCAACTGTTCAAATATTCTCTTTATATAACGATAACATCCCTGGGAAGAAACGAAAAATATCATTAGCCACAAACACAAAACGACAGAACACGATGAGCTGAAAGATACTGTTGAATTCTCCACCACTTTTATCAATGTTGTTAAGAATATTTATCATAATACCTCCGAGATTCCATATCCTCTGTCCAGCTCTTCTTTTTGAAGACAGGCTACAGCAAGAATTTAGTTTGCATTGGGTTGTATCACTTGTGTGATATTTACATTGCATGTTTCAAAAGCGGGCAAGGGTAAATACCATGCACAAGCATTACCTGTGGAGCATTGGAAAAGAATGATGTAAAAGGAAACAGCTCTGAAATAGCAGCGACTTCGTTTTTCTACAAACACAAAATGCTTTTCCTTTCAGTTGAAATTTTAAAATCCTTTTAACTGAATCTACAAGAGAAAACTTCGTGAAATACAACATGCGCCCTCCTTACCCTCTTCCGCAACTTGCTGTTGTATTCCTCCCAACGAGCAACAACCTGGGATAACGAGAAGATCAATAAATAATGATCAAAATACGGACACTATGACGCTATAAACATGCGATCCAGTGAGCCATGCATATATCACGCTGTTCTACCTGATAGAGAAAGAAATATCCTGCGGTCTCACATGTGTATGATACATCTCCGTGAACATCCAAACTTTCCTATAAAGAAAATAATCAAATTTCTATCCAAATACGCTTGGAATGCTCAAAAATATCTTTTTGCTTTTCTCCTCTTTCACAAGCTGTGTGGGTTACCTGTAGTCGTTGAACTTCAGAGAGTAATTCCAGTCTTTTTGCCAATACAAAGTTGACGCGACCATACCTATACGGATTTGAAGAAAATGTCTAAACGATATTTCTTTTGCCTCATTTCTTCTTGAGGTTAAAACCTGCAGTTATTCCTGCCCAATTTTAGGGCCGCCCGCAATTTAGGCTACTACCTGCTGAAATCTTTTTCCGTTTCCAACGCCTCTTCCCCATGCCCAAGACGAAGTAAATGTCGCTCGTCAATATCGAGCGCCATGATTTTTTCAAAAAGTTGGTTTAACGCCTGAAAGTCATTGAAATTGTCCATCAAGATTCGTATTACTTTGAAATTAATTACAATAAATTATAATATAATTATGGTCGTAATGCTTACCTGGTTAGAGTGGGTCACAATGAGAGTTCTTTGTTCAGGAAAATTATGATAAATATTCGAAATAATTTGCACGGCGACATCTGTTTTTCCAGTGCCAGGAGGTCCCACGACCTGAGAAATAACATAATATATAATTATAACAAAGATTATTCATCCTAAAATGATGTCATGTCGAGACACACCATAGTTAGTCCAGGCTGCATTCCCGCTCGAATCGCTTCGACTTGAGTCGGTGTGAAAGGAATTGCATTTCTAGACAAATCATTGAATAAGATTAGGAAGAAGCCTGATATGCAAAGAGTACATACACCCTGGTTACAGTATTTTGCTTAATTTCACTATCATAAACTGTTCTTAATCTATAAACGAAACTGAACATCCTTCAATGTGTTTTTTAAAAACCATCCGCTCACCGTTTCGGTTGATTGTACGGATATGGTCCTCTGTTCAGCGTCACGAAAGGCTCCACAAGAATTTCTGGTAAATTAACTCGCTTCTCTTCGTCTTGAGACTCTTCAGGAAAAGTGATCCTAAAACGTTAACAGGATTCTTCTTTAAGGTTGGAAGATAACCAGTCACAATCACACATGTTTGGCTATCTTCAAAATAAAACCTTTTTCATTTTTCACTAAAGAACAAATCTTAATCAAACAAGGGAAATATTTAGTGATTTACCTGAATGGAGGAACAAGCTGGCTTGGCTCTTCTATTGAAGCCTAAGATGAGAATATTATACTGGGTAAGACCAGGACTTTCACCGCTCTCTATAAACACGACACGAATCACGCGATAACAGACCAGAAATCAATTATTCAAGAGACATTACCTTCACTGAATACTGCGGGAAACTGGCTTTTAAATGCTCGAAGTTTAGGAACGTATCGTTGAAGTTTAATTCTCGGATTTGATTTGGCATTCTGTAGAATACGTAATCCACAAGTTAACCACAATTATCTGACGTGGATTTATTCTAATCCATTCTAATTAGTTCTAAATCCATTCAAATTAGTTCTAATTGTTATAATTACCTGCTATAATGTGCAGCACCGGGATCGTCATAGCCAAGGAAAATATCATGAAGCCAATCTGGCACAATACATTCCGTATTCATCAGATCTCGTATCGTTTCCAACACAGCCTAAAAAGAAATGTCATCAATACAAGCACACAATCAAATCCTCTAGTTTGAACCTTCAATAAATATCTTCACACCTTGAAGTTATTTTCTTTGGGTTTTCGTCTCATGAGAATATTGAATGTTTCGTAGACATCCTGAGAACAAAAGACGTATAAAGAAATATACGAGTGAGCTCTGAATGCTCTACACAAGGACGAGAGTTCATACAGTACAAGACAATGATTCATACCTCAGTTCCCTGAACAGTAGCAGCCATGTCTTGCTGGTATTGATTTGTGTCTAACCACAGCCTGAATGTCCGACTTTCTCCTTTGAACTCAGGCTTGGGATCAGGCCCTATAACGAACACACACGGTCAGTATTTCATTCGCATAGTTTCCCTGAAAATCAGCATTTCTTTAGAACAAGTATCCTTGCCTTCTTCAATAACTTTTCCTTGTTCATCAAGCATTCCTTCAACTTCTGCACCGCGTACGTAATCAATGCCATACTAAAACACATTTCAAATACATAAATACAGACCAATCTTTACATCATTACTGTGAATATGTTACCCGAAATGTTCCTCTATTGTTAACCTGTTGTACCACGCCAGAGAGCGCGGAAACCACAAGAAATCCATATTCATCCCTAACAATCCTACCTTTTCCTTGAAAGGTTGATTAGGATCAAGTGATGCTGTAACTTTAGCAGGCCGACAGCAGACAACGAAGACAACATCGTGTTTTCTGATCGCCTCCCATTCCGCTTTGATCTCTTTTCGAACATTCAGATCAATCGTGACATCAGCTCGTACGCGAGACGGCCGATTCTCTCCAAGATTTGGCTTCGCAACCTAAGACAACAAATGAGAAGTGTTGGATGATGAGTCTCAGAAGTAATACGGTTACGACACTCCTCGTTACCACCGAGTGCCCGTAAATTCCAGCAGAGATTGACAGGTAATCACGTCAGACAGGTGCTGGTGATGGAAACTTGGATTCCACAAAGCGGATATCCGAAAACTCACCTCCACAACTGTGAAACTTGATATTGGCTAAAAAATGAAAATTGCGTCAACCAGAAACTGTGGAAGAACGAGGACAAACACTCGCCTTACTTCACAATCCAATACAATCTAAAGATTGCCATAAAGAACACTGTACTTACCAAACCCATTCGCGCCCAACCACGAAACTCTGTGCGGCCAAGCTCGTTAGACCTGTTGTGGAATAAACACAAAATGTTATTTCATTCAACTAACCAAAAAAACATAGAAATGAATTAATATACCGTTTAGAGAGAGGCGAATTAGTCTATCTTACCAAGGTCTCATGTGCTTTGCAACATCTTCCACATCTTGTCTAATTTCGTCTGAAAATAACGGAGGAAAATTTTCATAAACCTGGAAATACTGAAGCATCTTAGAAAGAAATGCTCACGTTCCTAGAAGTATACTCACACGTCGATTCAAGTCGGAATAAATTGAGGTTCCTGAGCAGGTAATCGTGAAGAGTTAGGAACTGGAGATTGAGTTTTGGTAAAGCCAGACATTCTGGGGAAGAAATAGAGAAGTTTGAGGTGAAAATGATTAGAGTGAGAGTTGTAACAATTGAACAAATGCTCAACTTACCCTGACCAGAATAATACTGTGATGGTACAATATTCTCGTCCCATAATATCTGAGGAAAACAACATAAAAATCCATCAATCACAATGCCTTACTAACACTGATGAGTAAAATCATCTGCAGGCAGAGTGAGGATGATTAGGCTGATAAAGACGTATTTTATCTAACGAGATAACAAGGGAAACTGGGAGGTGGTTTCTCAACGGAGCAACTAGCAATTCCCCTCACCTGTTCTGTCGGGTAGAGAGGCATGTCGTTGAGAGCTTCTATCTGAGACAGTCGTCGTTCATGGCGAGATATCTGAACAGAAGAATCGTTATTACGGAACGGGGATAAACGATAAAATATTTGAATGATATTCAAGCGCGAGAGCTTACCAAAATCTCCAGCAAGAGTTCTTTATCATAACCACTCTGGCCTTCCTCTGGTGTTGGAAGAAGATTCAAGTATGCACATATTTCGTGCAATTTAGCGTCCCTGGAATAGAAATTTGCAGCGTTGAGCTTAAAAACATTGTGTTCTATCGAGCCTAGATATAGCATTGCCCGTACATGAGAATTGAGAAATACATTAACCCTTGCTAAATTTCAGAATGATTTTGTCACTTACTTCAACGGTTCAAACTGCTTGAGTAATGCTTCTCTTGTGTCAACGCTGGCGACATTGCTCAGAGCAAAATTCTGCAGTTCTGGGAAGTTCTTAAACGCCGCTCTCTAGACCAGAAGACGCAAGAAACTCGTTAAATGGATCTGAAATTTTACACTTCAAAAAATTCGGAAAGAAAATCTACCTGAAGAGAGATTATTTTGTTGTAATGAATGTCAACCATCTCGTGATCAGTAAGAGCCAAACCTAAGACAGACGTTTCAAGAAACACGATTATCAAACCATACGATATCAACTGCTGTAGTTTCTACCAGCCCATGGAGGAGACCAAATACAAATTCAATAAAATACATGATTACCTGTGACATCATTTATCTCGAAGCCAGCATAAAACCTCAACATGTCTAACAACTGGAAGGAAAATATGATGGAAATAATGAAGAAATAATTTTACTTAAATAAAGTTAAAATCACGTAAATATCCGTACTGTCCGAACCTGTGTAAATAACTTTCCAATGGTTGGTTCTTTGGCCAGGTACGAGAGACTGCAGTGCTCCTGAGATAAGATTTTCACCGTTATTTCTTTTGTAAATTAACTAAGATTTTTTGTAACCAAAACTGGAAATTTCTTTATAACTCACCACAATATGCGCATCATCAAGGACTGTGTTAAAGAATCGTCGGGTTGGAAGCAAAGCCTGGATTTGAGAGATGGTTATGAAGTGTAAATGAACAGGATTCTCTATTTTAATCTAATTTTTAAGTTGTATTTACTGTATGCATACCTCCAAATCAACTAATAACTCAAGAAAACGTTCACAGAAATTGACCTTGTCTTTATCAACTGAATCTGCAAAAAAATGAGGAAGTTTTAGGCATGAGCATACACTTACCTGGGCCAAAATTATGTTATCCACCCACCAGGATCTTTTATTGAATCCAAAACCTTGAAGAAGGACTTGATCAGGTTGGAAAGATAAAGTCTTTTATTTTCCAATCTAAAAAGATGAGAAAAAAATTTAGGATTGAACAACAAAAAGCAGAGTTTACATTTGATGATGTTTTCTCCTTAGTCTATACTTGCAACACAGTACAAACACTCTCTGGTATATTCAAAAACAATGCAAGAACCTTCAGAAACCAGGGTGACCCAGATCTTTGACCTACAAATGACCTAGGTACAACACTATCATCATACTTTTTCAAAGTAATTTCATCACATTTCGCATCTTTCTTCTTTAAATGTGCCCAGAATTTTCTGTACTTTGGGATGGATCTAAGCTCTTGCTGAAGACGGCCCTATATATATAATTACATAATTATATGTGGTCAGATGCCAAAAAAATTAACAGATACATTATGTAATTTTGAACAAATCTTGCAAAGGAATCTCACAGGTAATAAGCAGGCCCACATCGGCAGCGACACAAGCTGTTGGATCTGTTCACGAATTACATCCATTTCCTTGGAATGAAAAACTCATTGAACATTGATATAACACAATGTGATATCATGTGCACATTATTTATCATTACAGAGGCTATTCACCATCATATTTACTGCCTATTTTTTCGGTACTAACCAAGCTACTGAAGCAGTGAATGAGAAAGCGTAGTATTACAATTTTTTCTTTGATACCAACAGTCTGTAAAAAGAATAGGATTAGAATGCTAAATTTAAATTAATAAGATGTTGTTTGACTTGTTTCTCAATATTTACCTCTTCTTCAAGAAGACTGGTTTCCAGAACACGGTTGAAAAACCCAGGAAATTGTTCTGGTTTTGACTTGAAGATCTAATCAAATGTTGTATAGCAAAACTCATTCAGTCTGACCCAGATCATTGGTTTTTAAAAGGGAAAGAGAGGAAATCCTGAGGGTTTTATATATAATACAATCGCAAAAATGCCAGCTTACCTCCCATGGTGGAACACTTTCTCGAAACTTTTCATTTATAATCACAACAATAGACATCACATGAGCCGACGAAGCCTGGTCAAAAGAGATATTTTGACTATATAACATCATTCAAACATCACATGCATTTCAAATGAATAGGCATGTACCTTCTCTGCATCAAAGTTTGGCCATAAATAATTTTCCAAGTATTGACTAAAGAGAGAAAAATAAGACCATTTATCATCTTCAAAAGCCACAAGTAATTTAGCATTAGCAGTAAAGCCTGGGTTTAAGAATTGGATGATAGCAAGCTTACCTAAACTCCAGAAGCATCACCCTTTGACTTGAAAAACTATAAAGTGAGATACTAGTAAGTGAAAAACTAAAACACAATAGCAATATTTGAAAAGATAAGATGATAGAAGGTGAGGTTCTTAATGTCAGTAGCACCCTATACAAATGTGTTTGTGTTGATAAAACATCACTTCAGAGCTAGTACCTGCTTCCCAATAAATCCTTCTCGTAAATCTTGTCAATGACCTTGGATTTATAGGGGAGGTGGTTATGATGGGGAGCCCAATACGTATTTGCAATCTGGAAAATTAAGAAATATGTAGGATATGGAGAGATAATTATCTGATATCCATTATATAATTTGGTCTACCTGTAGGGCAGAATCACAATGCATTCAGCCTATCCTGGAGACCTAGCTCCACTAATCATTAAGACTGTCTTGTTAATAAGACCACAAGACACTTACAGTCCACATTACTGTCTCATTTATTAATGACTATAAACTTCAGGTCACATGGTCACCTCATTAGTGACCACCAGCCTCATTAGTGATTAGAATATTATGTTGCATACTTGTGTTAAGATATCAGCATTGATTTGCTGCACTGTCGGTGCAAAACCACCACGACGTCCTTTACTTTTCTCCTTCACCATAATACTGCAGGCACATTCAAAACAAGCACATGTGATTATGGAACTTGCACTCCTGTCGTAAATTCACGCACGATTACCAAGCAATTCCCAAGAACTTGCCTCGATGCAACACTAAATCCGGACACCTAAGATAGACCTCTTGTATGTTTTCGATATTAAATCCTCAGCGTAGTAAAGTGAGCTTTGATTTTCCAGTTTTCCCAAAAAAAATCGCTCGTAAAACGTTACGATGTTGCCGACATATTTAGAGTCCAGTCTTTCGAATCATAGCGCGGCGCGGCGGAAAAGCAAAGCGCGCAAAAGAGGACTAAGGCCTAGTGCGGCTCAGGCGCAGTACGGCGCAGCCGGGCGGCGTCTATTAGGGAGCTTTAGATTTGACTACGGCTCCCGCTACGGCTACGAGATTCGTCACGTTGACGTGATATTCGTGATACTTCGTACTGACGCCAGAGGCACGTAGTCCTCGCTCATCTGACTACGGCATTTTAACAAAACTTATGTATTTATAGTAATGTTCGAATAAATTTTATTATTGTTTTTTAACAAAACTTCGTAGTCCTGACTACGTGATTTAAAAAGCAATAAAAGTTGACATTTTTTCGTTTTTTTCCAGAAAAAAAATTTAGAGAAATGTTTTCCATGACTGTGGCCTTTGAATACGTGTATTTTTGGAAATGGTGAGGGTAAAATTTCCGAAATATTTGACGGGATAAACATGCGTTTATTATTGTGTTTGCAGAGATTTATCATGCCAGTACGAGGTGGCGTATGCATACAACGTTTGTTTCGCGCCACAGTGACGAATCTCGTAGCCGTAGCGGGAGCCGTAGTCAAATCTAAAGCTCTCTATTAAATGTATGGACGCAACCTATATGATCATCTGTCTGATGGATGATATGCTTTCGCCCGTTTGTTTGATTTGAAAGTCACTGCAGGTTACGTCAGGCAGGTTACTGTAGGCAATAAGAACCAAACTGGCCAACAATCACGCCATCTTTACAGGCCAGTGGCAAGGTGAGTAAGCTTGCCTCCAGGTACTAGCCCCACCCAAAGGTTATAACTAACAGCCAACAAGAAACAAGAAATGGTAGCCGTAGAAAGTCTGGCTGGCTAGCTGCAAACCAGTTTGCCTCCAAAGTCTAAACTAACTTGGTCAAGACACTCACACTGACCCTGCGCTCAGCAAAATCTACCCGATATGAATTTCTAATTCAAGACTTAAAAAAGAAAACTACGTTTTTTTTTAGAACACACGTTTATTCCGGCAAAACAAGTTATCATATAAACAGCATCTTTCACGAGGAGATACGGTAGATTTTTAATGATACAAAACATTGTCATATTTTATACAAGACTGTCTCCATTTCAAATGAACTACAAAGAATAAAATATCGTCTAAATATCGGATTAAAAGTCAGTTCACAATTAAAAGTTAGTCTAGTCTTCTTCCTTTGCAGAGCCCTTGATGGTCTTACAGAAGTCGGCATACAGTAGGTTGCCACTACGATCCATTGGCGCGCTGTTGAACATTTCCTCAACTTCTTCTTCCGTGAATCTGATGGACGAAAGCAGAATCGTTAACATTGAGTTGGCATTATAGAAAATGCATTTTGGGTTTCTTCTCCTAAATTTCACCTTACAGGTTTTAAAAATTAAGCCCTGTGACTAACGTGCTTTGACACTATAGATGTAACTAACTTCAACAGCACCACAGGACATCATATCAATATTGTTTCATTTACTGATTATCAGCGAACTTCGTGAATAAACAGAGCAAAAGTCTGGTGGTATTTCTGTCATGTTTTTCACCGACATCATCAAAATAAACTGAAAATCTTTTCCAAAATATTTAGAGCTGTACAGAAAGCCAAATTTTTGCAACAGAAAGTCGAACCTCCGTGGCGAATAAGAGCGATTATGAATTGATTACAATACACTTATTTCACGTTTCCCGCTGTGCTTTTTACGCGCACTAACAAACGGCTTCATCTATTCAAGCAATCAGGTTATAAATCTGCTCGTTCGTTTCTCGCAAGAATTCGTGTACTTTCATGAAAATACTCTGCAACTGTCTTAGAATTGTCATATTAACTTGAGTTATGGTTTTTAAAAAGTCTTCACTTTCTAATAACTTTCTGTAGCAATCACAGACTTGAAGTATTTATATACGAGATATCCCAAAAGTTCATCGCAGAGTTCAGTATATCTGTGGATCATATTGCACTAAAAGATCTGTTTTTTAAATGTATTAGAACTCCGGCGATGCCTTGCGCAAACACTTATAATATTTTAAGAGGTTATTGATGCGCTTAAACCAAGGATAATCGCAGCAAAGAAGAAAATATGTTACAGTCGATTTAGGAGTTGCTGAAAAAGATAAAAAAACGGAAACAACAATAAATTTTAACCAACCTGTCGCCTGTTTGCATCAGCATTCTTTTCAGTTTTTCTTCAGGGATTTTTCCTGTCCCGGCCTCATCAAAACAACCAAATGCATTGCGGATGACGTCTTCTGGGTCCGTACCATTGAGTCTGTCTCCAAAAAGTGTTAGGAAAACTGTGAAATTCATAGGTCCAGGGGCTTCACTGACCATGCTCTCAAGTTCCTCGTCTGAAGTCATTCTTCCCAAGTTAATATAGGTCTCATTCAGATCACTTTTATCGATAAAACCATCACGGCCAACATCGATCATGTTGAACGCTTCCTTGAACTCTTGGATCGTCTGTTGGTCAAACATAGCGAAAACGTTTGAGGCTGCTCGCTGAGCCTTCTTTTTGGTTTTCCCTTTGGCTTTTTTCGACATATTGGAATATGTGACGATGGGCTACGTTTGTGGCTGAAGACTCGACCAAATCAATGGCAACTCGCTTGCTCGAAATGTGACTTTGAAGTGAATAGGTCCACCTTCAGCCCAGATTACTCTCTGAATCAAATGCCGTATAAGGCTTGACAAAAAATACTCAGTTCAGTCCCGGTATCTGATTGGTCAAAGCCAGACTGCTGGGGGTGTGCAAGGTCCCTTCCCATTGGCTAATTCAGCTAAGCAGAGGTTAAAAAATGCCACCATAATCACCCGCGTTGTCCTGCATTTTTGATAACAAACAGGACTAGAGAAATTACCGACGCGAGTCCATTTCTGTTAACTAGAAATTTATGTCAATGAAACGTAGTGTCGTATCAGTTTGCCTGTCAAATATTGAACATAAGCGTGTTGAGTTCTGAAAACAATTCTGATACAAGTGCTAAATATTACACGGGATTTTGTCGACAGATCAAACGCATGTTTCCGCAACTGTGTGAAACTCAACGCTGTCAGTCTTTATACAAACACCCAGCTTTTTGTCTTCAATTTTCAATCATTTCTCCAGCTGTTTTCAACAGAACATCAACGATAGACGTTCACTACAAACGTACAAGCTCAATCTGACGCAAACGAGATTTGGTCAGTTTAAGCGAAGTTTCTCAGACATTTTGCATGCGAAATTAAAATATGATGAGAAAGGATGACCTGGCCATCTGAAACACTCGTTCAGAATTTTAATGAACACCCCATTTTATTGTCATATACTGTCTAACATCTTTACCGCGGGTAGCATGAAATATTAAACACCGGCCATCACGGGAGTGACCATACACCCAACTCCGAAAACTTCCGAAATCAGCTAGCCCATGCGTAAAGAAGTTGATTCTTTTCGAATTTTATATGGTAATCCTAAATACTTTAAAACGTCTCAAAACAAGAAAGCCGGCACGGGCTCTTTAGGTTATAAAGTGTTGTTATTAATTTGAAAGTTGTTTATAGTATTAACAGTAATCCTTCTAACAACATGAATCTAGCTTATTTCATATTTTGCATTCGTATTATTACAATTAATGTCGTTTATAAAAACATTTATGAGGAAGTTAATGCGGTTTCTACCTCGGGCGTTAATGAAACGTGAAAAAATAAAACGTCAACCGTTCGATCAAATACGGCAAATTTCTCACTAGAATTTATTTGAAGGATAAAATTGTCTCCGGTCTGGCATCAACCGTTATGCTTTGAGGTCCCTATTATACAACAGCTGTTCCGAGGGATCCGAGGCTAAGTCTCCGTCCAATCAGCGAAGGCGGCTTTGGGATGTGACTGAATTAATATTCAATTGTTTCTCGTGGTCTAATAATAAATTCTTCTTCAGTTTAACACTTATTTCAGCAGACGGAGAGAAATATAACATTTACAATGTTCACGCAACAATTTTTCGTGGGTCTGTTTCGAATTCTCTTTTTGGCGTCAATTTTCTCGTTTTTTAAAGAAGCGGAATTGTTAAACAAATACGAAATATCGACTGTCGAAGAAACCAATTTTTGTTACAATGCTTCTCTGGAAGGTGAGTGTTTCGAGCTCAAGGTTTTCAAGGAAAATATCGTACCATCGCCGTTTTTCCTTATTTAGGTTTCCGACTGAACGCAAAGATCTTGGAAATACGGAATGTCTCATCCAGAAGTGAATGTGTTGATAAGTGTTTAACGGATCCATGTTGTAGATCTATGAACTACAAGTACAGCACCTCACCACAGAGACCAAAAAAGTGCGAATTATTACATGATCTTCTGGAAGAAAACACAACAACTGTTTTGGAGGAAAATCCTTTGTTTGATCATATTTCTATCATTCAACCACAGAAGGTAAGAAGTTAATATTACAAAGTTGTGTGCGTGGCATGTTTGGGACGCTCCATCATTTCTTGACAAGAACGTTGTTAATCAGGATATAAGAAAGATGATGTTGTCGTTCGCTTTCTCTCAGTTGTGTGTCTTACAAATGGTTTAAGTATTATTCAGCAACAGACGAAATGGTCTGACGTACATCTTCATCATTTTTTATTTAAAATCAAATAATGAATTTTGTTATTTTTTTCTAGCGCTATGACTACAGTTGTTTTCGTAAGAGTGAGTAGAAATTTCACAAAGATCTACAATTCAAAGTCGAAGGAAAGACTGTAGATAAATTGCAATTGATTCGCATTCATCATCAAAAACTGATTTCAAAAGCATGTTAAAGTTCAATTTTACTGGCATGCATGCCTTTCGCTGAGATATTTTATTAACATGTGTTACTTAACAGTCGTTACGTTAAATGAAATAATATATGTTTCTAAAATGTTTTACATTTTCTAGTTTTAGAGAAACACTCTTCGTGCAAAGAACTCTTTGAAAAGCATGGGTAAATAACGTTGATTGTTCAGAGCGGAGCTTACAAAGCCCAGGTCTAATGCATGTCCATGTGCATGGAAAATTTATACACATTTTTCGCAAATAACCGTGCTACAGAAAATGCTTAAAAAAGACGTATCCATGCAATAGACTCTTGCCTCAAATCACTACGGAAACGCGGTGAAACGCCACAAGTAGTATCCAATGTCATACTGTGATGTTTTTAAAAAACGTTCGGGAACATTATTGCACTTATTAAAAAAAAAAATTAATCGTTTTTGGCAGAATGAATACTCTTAAAAAGTCGGAATGTAATGTTCCAGTTTCTTGAGTTTACGATATTGCGCCTTGGAAACTAACATAATAATCCATTGTAACGTTTTCCCTGTTTAGCTTAGCCAACGACGGTGTTTACTACCTCCAGTTAAACAAGAGCTCAGAGATCTATCAAGCGTATTGTTCTAAAAACACGTATGCGTGTGGTGAAGGAGCTTGGACACTAGTTATGAAGTTATTTGGCAATGAGGTGGGGCCTTGTACAAAATTTAGGCCGGATTATAACAAAAATTACTTGGTTTGCTAACCAGCTTCGTTTTTTCGCAGAATATTTTTGAATACGACTCTCCGTTGTGGAGCAACACTAAAACACTTCATGCTGATGGCTTGTACAACGATAAAACCGAATATAATGTAAAGTTAGCTTCGTATCATAACACACCTTTCACCAAAATCTGCCTGGGGATGAAGAAGGTACGTGGCGCTGAGGCAAACTTCATAGTCCTCAACTATACCGCAAGATCGCTGTACAATGTTATCGCAGACGGAAAGTACCGTGCAACAAATGCAGGTCGTGCGAAGTGGATGTCTCTTGTAGACAACGCTGTCTTACAACCACATTGTAACATGGAAGGTTTTAACCTATCCTTGGGCAGCAAGACTTATCCGTTGTTATTGCGCATCGGCTTGGTTGGTAATAATGAAGATGATTGTCGTACGCCAGATTCGTTGCTTGGTTTTGGCTTTATAAAAGGAAAGTCAAAATGGTCCAGTGGAAACTATCGTGATTTGCGCCTAAGTGTGAAGACTAAGACATTTGGTTATATATTAGTTCAATAAACCATATGATTTCTGGCGATAAATAAAGGTGCGGGCATAATGTAATTGGTATGAGATGATGTGATCACTAGATGTAAAATAATTTCTTGTTTTAGTCAGTATAATTTAGAGAGCACTGCACAGACACTTTACATGAATCATCGGAGCCGGGACGCTAGGCCTCTGTCTTCAAACTTTGTCAAATTCGTTCAAACATAATAAACGTCTATACAGCAAAATAAGTTTACAAATGAATTAGTGAAATACTTGTTGATAAATGAATCAGACACATGCAGTAGTACTCTCACTAACTGTTTAACCCGTGGTTTAACATGCATGATATTGGTAAACCCTGGTAATGACATTCGACCCCATATCACCCGCAATGTATGTCAGTATATATAGCTTACCCGTCAGTGTATATAGCTTATACGGTTTTATCAAAAGAGGCGGGGTTGAGACAAGGACCCGTTGCAATCGAGGACGTCAATACTGATCATGGCTGAACATACTTTTCCGCATGAAAGTTATTTCTAAAATACATTTCAAATTAACAAATGGTCGTGCAAGATCAAAACAGTTCTTCCCGTGAATCAGTCCCAATCACTATGAGCACAAAACAGTGATAAAGATTTTCATTATCTTTGGGTAGAACGATATATAAGACCGCACCGATACCAATCAAAAAAGCCAATTGCAGGCAGGTGCATCGCCATTTTACCATTAAAATTTAATGAAGTGTCAATTCGTACTTCTTGTTTGAGACAACAGTTTCGCATTTGACCAGCATTTTGAAATTGATCAATCAAGTACCGTTGGTACTCGTTTGAGTGATATACGATACTCTATATAATAGCCAATCATTCGGTGAATACTTATTACATATTATTACTTATTGCATTATGAATACTTATTACTCATTACTTTAATTTAATTCATGAACCTTGTGGATGTAATTATAAACAGAGCAGGTGAAAATTCCCACCAATTGGATCAACGTCTTGCGAGGTATAATTTGCGCGTTTAGAAGCATCATTTTAACACAAAGTTCAATTTTATAGCGGTGAAACTTCAGCTTGCTCAAACTTACAAAGAAATAAAGAAACTTAGATTGGACGTCAGGTCTTGACTTACAACGTATAATGGTTGGTAATAATTTAGGTTTTTCATTAATTGATAAGACTTCATATCATTTTTCCACATATACCGTTAGTGTAAAACTTAATATATTTTTGTTAGTATGTTCAGTTTAGAAACGTGTGATAGCTCTGTTTAACTGTTTCTGCCTTTAGACAATACAAGTGAAAACTCAGTCAAGACTGAAGAGGTTTCTGTTCCTTGTTGTGTGTTTGGGAAAGCAGTTAAAGGCATCAGAATTGTACGGAATTCAAACTATATACGAGTCCGACGTCTGTTACAATGCGTCCCTCGAAGGTTGGTGTCTGACGACTATAGTCCATTTTCCCCCTACTATTTGGTTGGAGGTTTATTTTTCAAAATCATAAGGACAAATTGAGTTGTTCTACTAGGCGTGCATGAGTTGAACAGCCATGAAAGAGCGGTTAGGTTTTAGATGAAATAATTTCGATCATATAAGGTGAGATAAAACGATCCTGATTCTTTTTAGGTTTCAAATTGAACGCCGTAATCTTGCAAGTACGGAATGTTCTTTTCAAAAAGGATTGTTTAGACGAGTGTTTAGCTGATCCGTGTTGCAGATCCATCAACTATGAATACACCCTTCCTGCTCATAAACCAAACAAATGCGAATTCCTGCATGATGTAATTGTAAATACTACGTCAAGTTTGAAGGCGAATTCATCATTTGATCATGCTTATATCATGCAACCAGAAAAGGTAAAAGTAGTGAATAATTAAATTGTGTAGCTACGACATTGCATGCGTGACTGAGAAGAATAATTATAACAGGTGTTAAAGTTTATATTAATAAAACTATTATTATTTATGCAAATACCAGAAAGTTGGATCAAAATTCTTACATTATTGCATAGCTATATTTCAACATAATTCAAAGTGGCTGATAAGTTGTAAAATACGATCATTATTCTCAAGTCATAATGCACTATAATTCTTGTGTGTTTCAGGTGCATAATTTCAGTTGTTTACCAAGTAAGTTAACTTCACTTGGATCATTCTTTGATACCAACAGTTACAGTAACTTGGTTGTTTACATTATTGAATGAGATAAATTTAAATCTATCATAAAAATTGGTTCACGAGGTCACTACTACGCTGCCATTTAGTCAGGAACATGGCGTAGTCTTGGTAATTCGGAAAAACTTTTTAATGCAGCCTTTTGCAAATCTTTAATTTTAGAGATTTATGCTTCGTGCAAAGAGGTTTTTGAGAAAAACAGGTACATGTTTAATAATATATGTCAGTGGATTTCATTGGTTAGTTCAAGTAGGATGTATTGCTATAGTTCCTTCAAAAGAATCGCAAGAACCCATTCTATCCATTGAATATAAATATTGGGTAGACTAGAATAGTATTTAAGACGAAGCGGTAAGATGATTTTATAAACCTACTATTAATACTTTACTTGACCTGACTAGTAATTTTTATTGTTCAGTTCTGCTCCTTCTGGTGCCTATCACCTTCAACTGAACAAAAAATCAGAAGTGTATCAAGCATATTGTTATAATCCAAACCAGACATCCGTGTGCGGTGGAGGGGCGTGGACACTAGTTATGATACTGAATGGTGCCAAGGTGAGGTGAATGGGCCGCGATTTTTTCTTTTGATAGATGTGAAAGAGCGACTATTTACGAATGCTCTGATGTATAAGAGCCTATATTTGAACATCAGTAACTAATTCACTCGTTTACATCTATCAAAAGAAGTGTAAACGGGTCTTTAGACAGTAAAACCCTTCAATCCGAAATTGTATCTCTTGTCTCTTACAGCCAACATTTAGATACCATTCCCCCCTGTGGACAAACAAGGAAACCTTTAATGCAGAGGCTGCTTTGAATGATAGGGGATTTGAAGCAAAGTTGGCTTCATATCATAACACACCATTCACTAAAATCTGCCTGATAATGAGGGCCAATAACAAAAACGCAAAATCTATAGTCCTCAACTATACCGCAAGTTCGCTGTACAGTGTGATCGCAGGCCAAACCAACCACGTGAAAACGAACACGAGCTCTGCAAAGTGGATGTCGCTTATAGACAGTCCCACGATGCAGCAAAACTGTAACATGGAAGGTTTTAACATGAAGTTTCTTAGCAGTGAGCTGTTTCTGCGAATTGGCTTGGTGGGTAGTCATGACAAGAATTGCAGCCACCCGGAAACATGGCTAGGTTATGGCTTAGGGGGAAAGTATAAATATTCCAGTGGAAACGGTAACGGAATGTCAGGGTTGATAGTACAAACATTTGGTTATATTTCAGTCCAATGAACGACATTGTATAACAACACGTTTTAGCAGAAAACCAGCGACCAAAAATGATCAATTGTATTGTAAAAAGAAATGGTACGAAGAGTTCTTGCAACTATCGTGAACGAAACTTTAAACTTTACTATGTATAATATGTATAGACATGCATGTAATAATAATATATCAGTTTTAATTTGTCCAATTACGACACCGGCAGTCATGTAGCTAGAATGTCGTCGAATAGGTTGATTGGTAGAAAGCGTACTAGTTGCCAGAATAAATGATATTGCCAGTGTTTAAGTTGTCCTGGCAAAAACATGTAGTTTAGTTGATTTAAAAAAAATGTTGTATCAGAAACTATCGCTTTTTTTTCACGTATTCTGCTGGTAAGAGTAAGAACCAGTTGAGCGCGTTGCTCGGCCAGAAAGATAATGAAATATGTCGTTGACTGGCTGTAAGTAATCAGGTATATTGGCCCGTAATACGATATGCATGAAGTAGAAAAATTTGATGAAAATTCAACATACCCCTTTGTAAAACGACAATTCTCTTTGATCTAGAAAAAATTTTAAGCTCAATTTAAATTTTCAGCGCTTTTCGTGTCTGTCACAGATCGCACACAGGTAGTTTCCAGCGGCAACATAGAAGTCAGACGTTTGCACCAGAGTTGCCGGATAATCTTTTACTGAAAGATTCTCAATTCTCACCCCTTTATTGATCGTATACGAGAAAGCAGTTACTGTATAGAAGAATTCAAAGCGTCACTTTGAAATGAACATATGAACACATATGAAAACAGATGATTACAAAAATATGATTGGTTATATCAAATCAATATAATACAGCAACAATGACAATGAAAAGTCTTTCTATACAAAGGATCGCAAGGCATGCTCATCATAAGTGCACAACACAAACTTATCAGAATGTCATCATTCACGCCTCATAGTCGTAATCTTCACTAGACTTTGGTACCGGAGCTCCCTGCCAAAACAAAATTAATATTCATTGCATCATTACTGAGCACAATAGACCTTTTTTATAATGACGTCAAACACAGAAAGTCTGATGTTACACAAAATTTGACTGGCTTCACAAAACTATCCAGCCAATCATACTTTGTTGGTAAATTCTAAGCACCTGTTTAACTCCATTATCACTCAGGAATTTCTCCAACTTTTTGTTCAGTTTCTCCAAATCATCTTTTAATTTTTTACTGTTTCCTTTCAGTTCTTCAATTTCCTAGTTAATTTATGCAATGATTTACGAATGAAAACATATTCAATGTGTTTTACAACATGTCAATGTGTTTTACAACATGTCAATGTGTTTTACAACATGTCAATGTGTTTTACAACATGTCAATGTGTTTTACAACATGTCAATGTGTTTTGGTCACACAAAGAATTTTCAACTATCTGGAAAACTACACCTACATTTGGCATATCTTGGTTGAAAACCTTTTTCAGTTTTGAAATTTGTTTTCCCATATCTTGGAGATCACCTTCATCTGTTTCATCATCAACATCATCTGCTTCATCATCATCAGTATGGCCTACCAGATTGGAAAGAATACTTCAAAGTTAGCCTGAATTATTATATACAAAACACACTCTTAGGCTTATGCAGAATAAATAGCTCCGCTTCCTTACCAGACTTTTTATTCAAAGCCATATCGCCTTCAGAATCTTCAACAACTCTAGCAGCAGCATTAACAGTGTCATCATAATCTTTCTCATCGTCTTTGTCTTCATCTGGATATTCCAATCTTCTTTTCCGATTCTGTTCCATAACTTCAACCTCGTCATCATTATCTTTGTCATTATCCTCTTCATCATCTTCCCTTTCATCATCTTTTCTTTTTACATTTCCTTCCTCGTCATCATAATCATCATCTTTTGCTTTGGCGTCGTTGTAATCATCATCATCATCGTCATTTTCTTTTGATTTTTCTATAAACAAAGCAACCCAATGAATCAATAAGTAAATACAATAACTGTAGACATATATCACTGGAGAATATTCCTAGGTTACCTTCATCTTGGATATCTTCATTATTTTCATAATCGTCATCATCAACTACAGTAAAAGTCCACATATATTTTAGGATTGTCTTCATGAAATATTGCAGTAACAACTTCTCATAGTATAACCTTCTGTGAACAAGTGGCGGCACTTTGAATTAAGAAAGATTAATAATAGACCTTTCCTATTATTGACATCAAATACAGAAAGTCTGAGAGCCTGATTCAACAGGAACTTTATCTCAGCAAATTGTATTATATATATTTGTTAAACATATGCCTGACTCCTTTGAAATTTGAATATTTCAATTAGTGCATTACTAGCTTGTTAGTGAATTACAGAGATTTAAAATTATGACAGTGATTGAAGATTGAACTACTCTAAAAACAGCATTAAATTCAACATTACAATATTGCATTATATATCTTTCTGCAAAAAAACATCTATACATAAGGCACAATAGCAATTAGGACATTAAACCATCCAATAGGAACATAAAATCAACATATTGGTTCAAAATAAAATGTGACATCAAAGCGTCAATCATGCAACGTGCATCTCTGTAAATAAAATGCGTCTATCAGTGACATTTATCTATAGACCGAGTATTAGGCACTTGAAACAAACATTTTGAACATCAACGTCATCAAAAAACTATTAAACAGTCACTTCACTTGTCAACGATATGTATAGTAAATACTGGGAAAATATAACGGACGGTCAACAAATGGTTGCAAAGCTCTTTCAACAAACCTTCCTCGTCCAAAACTGGCGCCGTCCTTGACAGAGTAACCACCAAGAAAAGACAATATATGAGAAAAACCTTCGACATATTTCAACGTAGTTTAATGACCATCAATTATCATATCTTTCTATCTTTCCGACGATCAAACAAATGTAAATCAACACCGTTTTATGCAAATATTTTACATAATTTTTTTCAATTCAATGAATTCATTGAAAATAATACTAGGACCCAAGCCCTTTGAACAAGAAAAGTGACGTCACCCTTGGATATGCCAAACTTTAACCATTATTTTACCATAGACCAACCAGAATACTGGACTTAATTTAGTAAAAAATGTACCATATACCGGTATCACCAGCCAGACGCGAATTGAACCCGAGAAAATTGAAACATGTGAACAGGCCTTTAGGATATAATTATGTAGATAAGATTATATAAGGCAGGGCTGCCTATATTTTCACTAGGTATTTTGGCTAGGTACAACCATTGTTTTGGTACAACCTCACCCCCAAAAAAGCCTGAAAATATTAGACGAAATATAAATGTAGGAAAAGGTTAGTAAAACGATTTAAATGCATGTTTAAAACTGCCACTTTATTCTACATTTGCATACATTACATCAAATTTATTATTTTCTTCAATTATAATCAAATAACTTCATTGTATATATTGTTATAAATGCGAATTAATATGCATGTATTTGTGTGTATATTGTACAAACGTGCATCGTGTTACAAAAATAATCTTTTATATGTATATTCTAGGAGGTAATTCTCATGTTATGTCTCATTATTATTTCATACATTATCGAGAATGCATTGCATATATTTAGTTGACTATAAAGGTAAAAAATAGCGAGTTTCTGCTGTGAACATTTACTTTTATGCTCAATACAAACAAGGCGTTTCCTCAGAGACATTAAAATTACATAAGTTCTCTTTATAAACGAAACCTCTTGCTTGATCTCTTGAATTCAATGGAGGTCTTAGCTTTGTGTCCTTATGGGTCGCAGGAAGTTGTACAGAAATAATGCCCTATCTCTTAAAAGCTTTTCCAAATTTGTTCTTCCAGATATCCATCTGCAAACAATTGTCGGTTCGTACTTTCATAGAACAGCGCTCTCTGTATTTCACCTATAGCTTACGATACGCGTGGATTAATATTATTTAAGTAAATCTGTCTACAGAGGCGTAACGAACTACTAAGGTGGGGCCCATGTAATACTTGGTATTGTGGGGGCCCTGTTTCACCCACACCATTAGAGGTTGCTTTAGTTCTCGTCCTAACCCTATGGCATATCTTAAGTGCGCTACGCCAATGTTAACATATGTATATATCTATATATGTATATAAGTAAAAAATACACTACGATTTACTTGGTTCGAACCCAGCGGACTGGAACCCACTGTGGTTTAGCTTCGAGTTCATTTATTACTTTTATTAGTTCATCAAAGGTTCGTTCTAGGTCTGTGTTAACGATTATTTTGTCGAAATAATGACCGTAATCATCTTCCATTTCCTGAGCGCTCATCACCATTTCCAACAACTCTTCGTCCTGATTCGATGAAGAATAATGTTATAATTGCAATTAGAATTCTGCAAAAGAATTCCGAATTCTAGAATGCTTACTACCTAGTGTCTTAAGAAACAGAGCTGTACTTACGGTACTTAGTTTGGCGTTAGGATTAAAAGAATCCATATTTCCTCTCCTTAAACGTTTAATTTTCTCCACAGTCGGTGGAGAGATGAACACAATATAGGGTTTCAACTTTGATTCGCGGAGTATCTTGAGAGCCTGTTCAAACAAAGTTCCAACACAATCTTCAGCCCGCATTTCAACACAGGAAACGATAATACAAAGAGTAATACAAGAGTAATACAATAATTACCTGGCAATGCAGATTAACAACACAAACTTTACCGCTGTCGACGACTTCTTTAATGGAGTCCAAGGACGTTCCGTAAAAGTGACCATCGTACTCTCCGTGTTCCAGGAATTTTCCAGTCGCAATCAAGTCTTTGAAATGATGTCTCGTTATAAAATAATATTCCTTACTGTCAATATCTTCCTTGTCCTGTCGTCGGCTCGTGTCTGAATAAAACACACAAATCAGTGATGGAAGGAAGGATTATTCTTCTGTCAAATAAAACGTTAAACTAGAAAAATTCATCCATAGTTATGCAGCTGTATGGTAAGAGCATAACAAGGTGAATTATGAACTGAAACTTGATGTTACCACAGCTTTGCACAAATCGTTTAAATTTCACTTAAAAATATTCTAAGAGGATGCACTTGGTGAAATCTTCATTGACTTACGAGGAATTGCAAAACCAAACCTCTCTGGCGCGACTTGTAACAAACGATGTCGAAGTTCTCGTCTTCCGATCTTGGTTGGACCTACACAGGAACACGGATCAAATATGATCTCTTTCACTGCAGTAATAATTTATACATTTGTCAATATAGCACATGAAATTACCTATCAGAACAATTGGTCTTTTATGACTTCTGTTTGGCTGAAGTAGGCCGACTTCTTCATACGTGAGAACTTCATCTTCGTCTGAAATCCAAAATTTGAGGTTGAGTGTATTTGCAGGAACATGAAATGAGCATGTTTAAGAACAAACAAACTAACCTTCACTTCCGCTACTTCGCAAAGATTTCTTCCCCCGACTTTTACCAAAACATCCGCAAGATGTTGCTGAAGAAAAGGAAGGGAAAATTACTAGTCAAAATCAAAACACAATCATCATTATTACAGTCAAACAAGACACGACAGATTAACAACATCACATACTTTTTCGTCTCTCGTCCTTCTTTCCTTTTGATTTTAACTCTTCTCTCCTGGAAGTCAAGAATTCACGTGACGTTGGATTATCGAATTGACCTTTCTTATAATGACGTTAAACGAGGAGAGTCTGATCTTACATGAAGTTTAATTGGCTGCGCGAAAATGGTGGAACATCAGGGTTTCCGCGTTTGACGTCATTAAGACAAGGATTATTGAACTCATTCGACATGTCGTACAACTGACAACTTACTGTTTTTGAAAATTTCGACCCGGTATCAAACCAGCAAGTTCTTGGCCAGAAGTACCTTCCCGCCACGCCTAAATTACGAGATCCATTTTAGTTCAATCGCAACTTATCATAGGTAGCTCAACCAGTTTCACTTGTTCAACCAGTCCGTCTCGTTTCACAAGTTTTACTAGTTATACTAGTTTTACCAGTTCTACTAGTTTTACCCGTACCTGCCACCAATTCGAATCTTCCTGATTCACAATATGCAGAACATCTCGCTTTGAAAATGCCAGACCCAGTTCTCTGCACGGTATAAAATCATCGACATTCGGATCATAGTCGAACAAAGCTCGGACGTGCAGCTCAGCCGATGTAAACAAATTATGTGATTTATTTGAAGGTTTTATCAAAAACGTCAACGTTCCACTCATATCTGCCAGCAACTCACAGACTTCTTCAACAGTCTTTCCACGCATATTAACTCCATTAATTTCGATAATCTCATCTCCTTCACGAAGAAGTCCTAGAACGTTTAGATATTGTATGAGACAAAACAGCGAAGTAGATCAAAACAGATACTTAAGATTGACTCGAGCATTTTTTAAACGTCAAACCTACCACTCTTCTGCGCAACTCCACCAGTAACTATTCTTCCAATAACAACCGCTGTCCCTTCGTTGCGGACCGTCGCCCCAAGTGGTTCATCCGCTTTCTCGATTCTAACCGTTTTCATGTGTTCGTCGTCTTCGGTCGACACTCGGTCCGCCGAGATACGATCGTGCGATACTCGGTAGCTGTCGCCACGTTCAAATCCAGCCGAGGTCTCGGTTTCTACGAAGTTCGGACGCTCGATTTTGGCTGCACGGTCGTGCGCAACAAGCAGTTCCTGGAACAAAGATGGATAATTACTGATGGTCAATCAAGTCAGGGCGAGTATACACGAGAGCATTCATAACTGTTTGCTCGTTTCCATCTATGAAAATCGCAGCAAAAAATTGAAGATTGTTTTACCCTAACGTTGACAGAGTTTAGAATATCAGCCAATTCTCTCGCATCATTTGATAACACTCGTTGGTTCGCAATGAAGTTTGTGATCTAAAGCAAACATGATTTCAGTTACGTTGAATTGTGGTCATCAATCATTGCTGCGGATATCAAGAAGACGACTTCTTCCTAACACTGCAACTAACCTGTGCTCGAATCACTGACGCGTCGTCACGTTGTGCGTTCACAAAATGAGGTCCTTTTCCCTGATTCTCCATCTCCATAATCTTACATTGCATCTGGGAAAACAAGGACATGGTTAGATCGCTCTATTATAAGATCCGGCGCCATCTTCACCGCTTGTTTTGGCGGTCAAAGGGACGCACGAGTCTTAACTAATAGCTTTCTGAATACGTTGACTCTCGTCGACTTTTGACGTGATTTGGGATTGACAGTTGTTAGTAGCTACTATATCTTACCGCAAGGGCATTTCGAAAGTGTCTTGTATGAAGACTTGTTTCTAAGTTTCTTAAATCGTTCATCAACTGATCGTCATCAATATTCACAGCGTGTCTCATCAGCGTAGATATGAACGCTTGACAATCTAGAAATTCAATAAAAATATTGTCAGCTACGGCGAAACTTAACCATTTGGAATTCTACCAGACTTGTTGCGACAGGGAGCAATATAATAGAATATTCACTGTTGAATTGTAAGTGTCTCAAATACTATGTAACACAGCGTACGGGAATAAGCCGTTCATTAGCATCAAATGCGCGCGTTCTTCAATCGACCTTAGGCATATTCAGATCCAGGACGGGAAAGACATGAAAATGACGTGATACATCCATATATAGAACATCACGTCATTCACAAGCTTCCTTCTCAATCTACCCCGGGCCGACCCACCTTTGGAATCCATGATTGGCACACTAGTATCATCAGAGCCTACAGAACTCATGTAGGAGACACGTGAGGGACCATGGATGGCGTCATTATACGCAGGTGCCGGTACCCCGTAATGACTTTGTCGCCACTCGTATCCATAATTATCCATGCCGACAAACGCATGATCGATTGTTCGTAACGGTGACGCGTTTGCGTTGCCATGGTGATTTAGACTCAGCGTCGAACCGGAAGTATATGAACCCGATGGTGACATCTTGTTTCGCGGGGAATCCCGACCACCGTTCCGACGATGTTCGAGACTGCCAGTCGGCGTGCCTTCGTGGGATAGTCGGCCATTATATGCCGGAGGTTGACGATTATGGACGAGTTTCTCGTAGGACTTCTCGGGCGTGTTTGCGTGGACATCATTGACGTTGTTATTGCGGTTGCCAAGGCGACCTCGTACAGGAAGACTGTTCGTATCATCTGGTAAAATAAGTAGTTGAAAGTGATTGTTGCAGCCTTTTTAGAACTCAGGTTTGACAACTAGATTTTAAAAAATTAGATTTTTATCCATTTTAAGAGTTCAAAAAACGTTATCAAGAAAACCTACCTGGCATCCGGATATTAATTCTTCTCAATGTTAAAGTTATTTGACCTTGTCTGACACTCTGGAAACAAACACAGCCACAGTTATTAAAATGATCGAAGGGAACCACCAGGGATAAACAGTGATAGAAGGGAATCACCGGGGATAAACAGTGATAGAAGGGAATCACCCTGGAAAATGTTTTCACGTTGAGCGTCATTACCTCATGGATGGTGGTTACAATCTGCGCATGCGTTGAATAACGGACAGATTTATCGTTGACTTTCTCAATTTCATCTCCAATTTTAATTCCTTTCCTTGCAGCTGGTAAACCTAGTTGTACGAATGGTAGTAGTAAGTTAAAAATACGATCAAACCAGGGTGTTAGCCTCTTGCGAGTGACGCAGTGTTTTCCTATGTGTGGCCTTCCGTTACCAGGAAACCATGCAAACAAGAGAGTTGTGAGGACGTAGTAACAATCAGTAGAGTAAGACTCCTTGATAGCGAGCTAGTCTGGCAATACGCCGTAATGCAACGGCCAACAGTGCTCCCTGATAGCTTATTTAACGCCTGACAATATGTTCGGACTTAAAAAGAAAAAAAAACCCCGCTAATCTAATTCTACAATCAGGATTCTTCCTACCTTCGACAATTTCGTCAATACGAGGTCTAAAGCCCTCGTCAACGCCGCCCACGACGGAGAAACCAAATCGTCTCTCGTTCTCAGTAAGTTCAAGAAGAACTGGAAACACCGTCACAGGGTCCTGAAAATACAAACGAAAGGAGTTACAACCCAGATCATGCGAGCTAGGAACAAAACCATACACTTCACATTATGAAATACAGTTTATCATAATTTTCTTACATGTCCATCTTGTAAATAGCCGTTGGTGTAGGCACCGTGGTTTAGCCTCATATCATCTGTAAACTGATCATTATGGTAGCTGTCTCTTTCCATGACAACATTCTCATAAGATGGTAGGTTTGGTAAGCTTCCATTCACCTGCAAAAAATGTGTTACATGTAGTCTTTGTGCAGCAGGATTGATATGAGGGGGAAATATATGATTATGTGGGTTATTGAGGGTCGCCTGTGGATACCACTAACCTTGGATCCAACTAAATCTACATCTACTCCGCCGTTGATGTGTGACATGCCTTCAGCCTTTCTGTTGAACTTCACTTCTTCTTATGTCACGTAAAAACATCATTTCAAATTATCAATCCATTTTGTTTTGTAGTTTAGGAGATGAACAATGGCTTGGATGAAAAAGCAAATACCTGCATGGATAAAAATTGCATTACTTCATGAAATTCACAGACTAATGCTACATTTTATTCTGTCTAACCTTATGTGATATCAAGGCAATTGACAAATACTACATATTCACAAAATCATGGAGGTTAATGGGGTTAATTATTCTAAATGGCAATGCTTCCTGATAGTAATAGCTTTGTAATGTTGGTCTGTCATACACCATTAATTATTATTAATCTTTATGTACCAAAAGTGGGATTAATTTCAAAACATCCAGACCTATCATTCATTCATAATCAATAAAGTCTGTGCTTCATACCATTAACCCTTTCCCTAATGCATATGTTGTTAATATGAAATACTCATTACCCTCACCAACATGAGCTGACCAAAGATGTAAAGTGTACCAGTATGGTGAATATGAAACCCTAGTGATAATACTCTCACGGTAGGGCAAAAATGCCAACATCAAATCTCAATGGATCGTAAGATGCCAGCCATATTGGGTTATCACATTAAGTAGAAAATCATTCCCAATACTATCTTAGAATTTTGCAAGTAGATGGCAACAAGATTCTGTTATATTTGACATAATTTCGAAACAAGAGGTTAGATAACAGTAAAATTTTTAGACTAAACACTGATATGACTGAACATATCAGATCAAGGGCAGTGTTGCTAGGCTACATAAACTTAATGTGCTTGACTAAAAGTTGTGGATAGTCAAGTTTCTTTTGTTGTAGAGTCCTCACAGTTTCTCTTCTGTACCAAAACTAAAACTCTGTCACGCACTGGAAAGCCTAACCATAAAAGCAAAGCTATACACTTTCATTAATAAAATGCTAAAAATACTATAATACCACACTGGTGATCCCTGAGCCCCAGGAGATGGGGATACCCTTGTAATTTTACCAAAACAACGCTAGTTTATGCAATCTTATATTATATCTTAAGAGATTTATTCTTATCTGTTTCACATTTGAATAATTCTTCGTATTTGTGCAGTCAATATAAATCAACTTAAAGAAATATTAAGCTCCTATTCCCACGCTGCTTAAGGCAATCGATGCCATTTTATTTAAACGCATTTATACAAAAGGAATTTATTAAGTCTTAGACATGATTCAATATAAACACATTCTAATTTGAGTCAAAATATCGTCAAAGTGGAGACGATTTTTCAAATAACAACGCACCCAAATTGTTCTAAATAATTTTAAATAAGCTTAAATAAATGTGAAATAATATTACCGAAACTGAAAAAGGCTAACGATTTTAATAAGAATCGCATTTATGAAAGTATTTTCATCAAAACAAACGGAATTAAGTATTTTTTTGTTCCGTATTAAACATACCGCAGACAATATTACAAAACTGTTATATTTCTTGTCGTTGGGTAAAAGAGAAATGTCCCATTTCCATTCTTTGTATTAAATACATTATGAATGGCATTCCTAAACTTACAAATTCCAGGCAAATAACATTGGATTTTTGGCAAATATTTTGGGCGAACACCTTCAACTTACTTTGGTATTGCCACACAAATAGTTGCTTCACTCAATCATTGGCAAATATTTCAAATTTTGCTTTAGATAACTTATTAATCATCTCATAGATTCTATCGTTATTAAATGAAACCGCAAATCGGACTACTGGTTAGGTACGTTTATACAACCTGCAAGAATAATGCATAGAATACGATCTGTTTTGAGAAGAGCGTAGTACGTACATTCACGCACAGTCAGTTGAAGATATTGTGGCCAGTTTCTTCTATTCTACTTGCCTTTAAAACTCCCGTTGTCTTGATTCAGCTGCACAAACGTTTGTAGGAAATCCACAAAGTGTAAATTGCTGTCATAACACGGTAGGAAATCGCGATAAACCTCAAAATAATGAATATTACAATGCTTCGACAACAAACACAAATGATGCCTAAGAAGAGATCGATCCTGAGCGTGCGCAGAATCGCGAGATCGGTCTCAAGCTGTTTACATTCCAGACATGAAAATCATTTTCTGCCAATTTTTTCCTCAAAAACACTTTTCCCAGCAAAATAAAAGCACACTGCGGCCAGCTTTCGATGTTTGGAGATCGTATTGAAAAATTTTGTCGTTTTTTTAATGGTATTTGGTCATATAAAACCTCAAAAATCTATTTTAATTCCATGAAGATTGGAATTTGTGGAATTTCTTTCAGGAGGGTGTCATCAATTTTAGTTGGTGTTCACCTCATGCTATAAGGAGGCAATATATCATTGCCGTTATAAAGACTTTTTTTCATTTTTTCTCTTTCTTAACTATTTCATGTAGTTAAATAGACAATAGAAGGTCAATATAGACATGTCTTAGTTTTAGTAAATAACGACTTTGAGTCTTTGAGCATGCGTGTTGCTTGACTGCTTGAACAAAGTTTGTCCCACAAGCATTACATTACCCAGGCGAGGCGATCAGGTTAGGTTAATTTAGGATTAGCTAGGCCAATATACCCCAAATCCTGCATAGATTATTGTGAGATTAGTGTTAAGAGTGTTGATTACTTTGGTTAAAATCACGTTTAAGATCAATCCTCATAACAACTGAAAGGGCTGCTTTCCACCTACGCGTTTTTTTTGACAAGCGGAAAACTTTAAATGCTTCACAGAAAAAAATTATTATTAAACACATGCGTCAACAATTGCATACTAAAATATGCGGAAAACGAAGTTCTTTCGATTTATTCACCTGGCTTTTTCAAATATAACATTTATACGCAGATTTAGACTTACGTGCGTGTACGTGTGCGTGCGTATGGAAACGCGCAAGTGGAAATTCGTGATAATCGCGGTCAATATGCAAATGCTACACTATACAACCACAACACAATATACGTAACATGTTGCATAATATTACATGCAAAGTAGTTATATAGTTTTTGAATACTTACTTATGAATATTAACCACAAAAAGGTGTTACTATTTATAAGGGAGTAAATGAAATGGCGTCTGTTGTGTTTATAATACGTGTACCATTCAAAGATGTTGAAAACTCTGAAGCAAAAAAAGAGGAAAAAAATGACCAGCCAAATGATGCCGATGATCAGGCAGATGAGACAGCAGAGAATGTGGAAATATTAACTCATATTAACTGGGCTGAGGTATTTATTCAACATGATTACTATAGTAAAGTAGTGGTTGACAGATCTTGCATGATATGTGACTGTCTTTTATTTATTAATAAAGGTTCTAGAAAATGAACTGAGATCATTGAAAGTTCAAGGTGACTCCTGGACAGTCACACATGATAAGAAGTTCCATCAGGTATTTATGATTTTAAATATCCCAAGTCTTTCAATTTTTGTACTTATATATTTTAACAATTTTCACACCTCACCATGCATTTTTACCACTTTACTTGTGTGCATGCAGTACTTCACCACTAAGAACTTGATCTTAGTGGGATACTTAACAGCATAATAATGGACTAATTCTAAGCTGACTGAATTTTTTTATTGAAGGTAATGTTCTTCATAAAGTCTGGTGAAAGAGTTGAAAAGATTTTAGAGAGATTAACATTTGTTGGTGTTGGAAAACGATTGACAACCTCAATAAGGTAATCTCCACTCAATCTTTAATCAATATCTCACCCCTACAACAGGCTGGTATTCATTTATATTATATTAATATCTCAATAGCATAATTTCAACATCTGTGCATATTCAACCAGAAGAAAATATTCCAAGCCAAAGGATTTCAACGAATGAAAGTACTATGCACAGTGTTGATGAAACTGAACCACTGCTGTAAGTCCAGCATGACAATTAGTTATTGAGAGCAGCTATTGATAAACTGTTAACTATAAATTAATTAACCCAATTGATTGTGTTTATAGTGAAGAACAGCTAGATTCTTCAAAGGAATCTCTGAAAGATAAGTTTAAAAAGTCAATAAAATCAAGATTAACAGTGAAGCAAGTGAGTTAATAATACAGCCACAAAATATGTGTACCAGTTCTTAAAATACATGAAATTAGGTTGTAGACTGTCTCTAAAATGCTGCATTATTGTGAGTACGTATTTCTGAATACCTTAATTATTTGTATATTTAGGTTGTGGAGAGTGTAAGATTACAGGGCATTTTAACATTTGATTTTGTTATGTTTACCATTTTAGCAAGGTAAGGATAATGTGGAATTTAACTCATATGATCATTTCATACTATTTAGGGTATATTTTGGTGTTTTCCTAGTACAGCATTATAGCAGCAGTTGGTCTAGTTGAAGACAATGCAGTTGCTTTGGTTGCCAGCATGCTGGTATCACCACTTATGGTACATACACATTTAAATATGCCTTTACCACAGCTGTGATTTAATTAACGTACAGATCAAGTTTACTTTTTCATGTTTCACGAATTGCTGCAGTTGATGTCTATATTTTCAAATGTAAATAGGGACCAATTCTTGGTGCAACATTTGGAACAGTTATCAAAAATGAAAGCTTGAGAAACACTGGACTGAAAACAGAACTTTGTGGTTTAATTCTTTCAGTAGTTGTTGGTATTGTAATGTTGTTTGAACAATTTAGTACCTTATAACTTGATTATATTGATTATAATTTTTCAATTTATAACAATTAAGAATACCTTGCAACTTATTAGGATTTCTGTTTGGTTTGATCTGTGGACCTATTGCCATGAGTGGTTTGTATGCAAAGGATATTTGGCCTACACAGGAAATGACCAGCAGGTGATTGATCTTAAATATGTGTCACCTGCCACATTTTAAATTCAATTCTTAAATTAACCATACGAATTTTTTATTAATTTAAGTTTAGATTAAAAATAATCAAACCCAAATTCCAAATGTTTAACTTCCTTAACGTCAGAAAAGAAACACGAAAAGTCACTTACCTATATTGCGTATGAATATTATATTGTGTAGAGGAATGCTTCGTGGTTTGTGGGTTGGTGTTTTAATTGCATTACCATCAGGTGCTGGTGTTGCATTATCTGTATTGGGTGGTAACGCAGGTTCTCTGGTGGGTGTGGCAATATCTGCATCGTTGCTACCACCAGCTGTAAACTCCGTAAGTTGCAAAAGAGAAGTTTGATATTTTTGGTTACATTTAGTGTCTTGAGACACACAAATTGAGGTTTACCTTTTTCCATTTTTCAAACTCATCAAACTTTAAATGCTTTTCTTGTACCAAGGGAATACTGTTTGCTTATTCTATCGTCACAGCCATTAAGCCACCAGAATTGTTGGAAATTGCTGACTTCAATACCACAACGGTACAAACAATATAAAATACCTGACATCATTGCTTTTAATAATCTAAATACTTAATTCTTTTCCATTTTTAGTTAAAATGTCCTCCATTCAAGGACAACAGTTACAATCCTATTTACAGTTGTGAGATGGCATCAGAAGCGGCTGTTATGGCGATTATAAGTTTAGCTTTAACTATTCTCAACATCATCTGTATCTTTATTGCTGCCACGATTGTTTTGAAGGTAAATTATTCCAAAAAACAAGAAAATTAAACCCATGTTTTTTAGTATTTTACCAACCACTAAATGAATCTCGAAATCAATTACGTAATTGCATGTTACTTTTTAAAATTCTTTTCCAGCGGACAAATTCTAAAATATAGAATGAAAAAGACAAATTCAACATTAGATGCAAGCTATAAGAAGCATTTATTCAATTAGTAACATTTTGACTCTGTTTTATAATCAGAATGTCAGGTCTCACAATGATTCAGAAATTTACAGCATCTCCCGCAAGCAACGTTCTCCGTACTTCATAGTGGTTAGATCATTGCTCCAGAAACACGGGGACGTAAGTTCGATCAGTCCCTCCCGAAAAACCCGTGTCATTTCTGTTTTCATCCTCCTTAAACCTCAATCCTGGAGTAGATTACTTACAACATTTCCACTGAAATGCTGAAAGGTTTCTTCTATATTTCCAACAGATAAAAGAAGTTGCACCAATGACCTCCAGTTCAAACGCTACACAGACATTTTGGACTAAAGATATAAAGGTAGCATTGTTTCTGCAGTTTTGACTCATTGGGGTTTTTTCGTCAATGCCTGCAATGGCGTTTATTAGTCATCTGATTATAAAGATAAAACTTTAATCACCGAGTTTATCTCAACATGCAGATAGCAAGAGAGGCCTATTCCACAATAAAAGGCGATCAAGCTCAAGACTTTCTCAAAGAATGGAGAGTAAGTTTGCATTTGCCTTGGGCTCCTCATCCGAAGTATATTCGCGGCTTCCCAAATTAGACCTTTAAGATACTAGACAAGCAAAATATCCCAGAGAAACTAAAATAAATAAAAAATGACAAGTTTTGGTGTATATTGTTTTTGTGCATGTATTCGTTCCAAGTTGATGTATATTTATTTTTGTAGAAAGTCCAGGATAACACGAAGGAGGGACCTCGAGATTCTGTTCTAGAGGATGAAGAACTGTTGGATATTATTGAGGTAAACACGTTGTTTGATTAAATAAAAACTACGATCATTTTCAAAAACGCGAACTTGAAATGTGATTGACATTTTTTGCACAGGAAGTTGAAAATGCAGAAGAAGTTCAAAACGTTGTCAGACGAGCACCAAGAGGACCACAGGACATGCATGTAAGATGAAAATTCCAAGCATATTTGGTTAATGGAGCTGTATTTTGTCTGATGAATTAACTTCTCTGTATTTCCAGAAAACGTCGAGGAATTTAAGAAGACTCGTATCAAGAGACGATGTTGACGAAAACATTGCACAAAAACAAGAGATGAATTTACAACATACTCTTAGAAATTTACAGACACACTACACACAGCAATCTAAAGAGAAAACCAGCCAGCCCCATGTTGAAACAATCTTCAGCAAACTTCAAGAACCTAGTCCCAAACCAAAGAAAAGCATTCGAGAATTTCATGTCGTTGAAACAGAAAATCCACATCATACTTCAGTAGTTCGAGTCCAACCACCCGATGAGAGTTCAAACAAATACTCCGTGACAACGGAAAGTGGGGTCTAGAGAATAAAACTTGTATTTGAAATGTAACGTTGATTTATTTAATTAAAGGTGTTTAGGAGGTCAATTCAATTGTTACTTGACTCACTTCAATTAATAATGAAGTTTGTACAGCAATTTGATACATTACTATATATTACATGATGTAGCTAAACTAAAACAGTCTTTATCCCTGGTTCTACATTTTTAACAAATCACTGGACTACATCACGCGTCGTTTTCACAACTTGTTCAAAATTAAAAGAGGTTTTGAAAGGCAATCGATTTACAATTTTTGATTCGCAGTCAAATAGCATGGGCGGTGATAGCATGCACCTGCGAATACCTCGATCGGGTCCTGACCTTCTGCCCAGCACGAATGCACTCTGTCTATGATAAAAAAGCGATTTTTAGCAGGTTAGCAAAAAAACTAATTTCAATCAGTAATATGGTGCGTAATAACCTCATAAATGACATAAGGTATTATAACAAATTGGTGACAATCGCGATCAGTATGAAAATGCAACAGTACTCAGTAAACACAGTATATATACGTATATATGTTTCATAGTATTGCATGCAAAGTAGCACCCCATGGAGTACAATGAGGAAAATTATCATCCGTGTCACCTATTTATAAAAGAAAAATAATTAAATGGCGTCTGTTGTGTTTATAATACGTGTACCATTCGAAGATGTTGAAAACTCTGAAGCAAAAAAAGAGGAAAAAAATGACCAGACAAATGATGCCGATGATCAGGCAGATGAGACAGCAGAGAATGATGTGGAAATATTAACTGATATAAACTGGGCTGAGGTATTATTCAACATGATCATTGTGGTAATGTAACAGTTGGCAGATTAGTGACTGCCTTTTATTTATTAATAAATTAAGGTTCTACAAAATGAGCTGAGATCATTGAAAGTTCAAGGTGACTCCTGGACAGTCACACAAGATAAGAAGTTCCATCAGGTATTTATTATTATCCTCTTTTTCAACTTTCAAGTACTCTTGCAATTTTAGTACTTCCTGTAACAAATTTCACACTTCAGCACTTTTACCACTGCACAACGAGTAGTACGTGGCACTTTACCAATAAAAATTCAATTTTGGCATTTGATAGTTGGATATTTAATAGCGTAATAATGAACCAATTCTCAACTGAATGAATTTTTATATTGAGGTAATGTTCCTCATAAAGTCTGGTGAAAGGGTTGAAAAGATTTTAGAGAGATTAACATTTGTTGGTATTGGAAAACGATTGACAACCTCAATAAGGTAATCTCCACTCAATCTTTATTCCTTTAATCATGCAATATCTCACCCCTAGAACAGGCTGGTATTCATTTATATTATATTAATACTTCAATAGCATAATTTCAACATCGGTGCATATTCAACCAGAAGAAAATATTCCAAGCAGAATGATTTCAAAGAATAAAAGTACCATGAACTTTATTGATGAAACTGAACCACTGCTCACTGTGTAAGTTATTGAGAGCAGCTGTTGATGGATTGTTAACTAAATTAACTTATTTAATTTTGTTTAGTGAAGGACAGCTAGATTCTTCAAAGGAATCTCAGAAAGATAACTTTAAAAAGTCAATAAAATCAAGATTAACAGTAAAGCAAGTGAGTTAATAATACAAGATTAGGTAGAAGCAGGTCCCGTTATGCATTACAGGAATTTCCTTTCTTTGTTAAACAATTTTTAAAAGAGCTTAATTATATTTAAGCTTATATATTTTTAAATAAATATATATATTTATATAATTATATATATATATATAATTATATATATATTGTTGAATACATTGACGTTTAAAATATAACATATATACTTAAATAATTATATATTTAGGTTGTGGAAAGTGTAAGATTACAGGGAATTTTAACATTTGATTTTGTTATGTTTACTATTTTAGCAAGGTGAGAATAATGTAGAATTTGAATCATCTCAAATTTTATATATACATATAGTTCAGGGTTTATTTGGTATTTTCTTGATACAGTATAATAGCTGCTGTCGGCTTAGCTGAAGATAATGCAGTTATGTTGGTGGCCAGCGTACTGGTATCACCTCTTATGGTATGTGTAAATGTGCCTTTATTTAACAGATTTATTAAGTCTGTTCTTCCAAGTTTCACAAATGGCTACAATGTCTGTATTTTGTAATATAAATAGGGACCAATTCTTGGTGCAACATTTGGAACAGTTATCAAAAATGAAAGCTTGAGAAACACTGGACTGAAAACAGAACTTTGTGGTTTAGTTATTTCAGCTATTGTTGGTAGTTTCTGTACAGTTAATATATTATCAATCATGCGATATTACTTGAACAATTTAGTATCTAATGACCATATTATAAATTTCTCATTTTTAACAAATTCAAATACCTTGCTACTTATTAGGATTTGTGTTTGGTTTTATCTGTGGACCTTTTTATTTGAATGGTTCATGGAATGGTGCAAAGGATATTTGGCCTACACAGGAAATGACCAGCAGGTGATTGATCTTAAATACCTGCAATATTTCAAACTGGATGCCCCAAGCGATATCACTTTTTGTCAGGGTAGCCGTCATTACAAATGTCTTGTTGGTGTTTTGATATATAATTTATTTATGAAATTTTACCATTGAAACTTTGCTTTCCTTATTGAATACTGTCTTTATGAGACAACTTCTCCGCACTACAAACAATCACAGTGAAACAATATAGCTCAATCATAGGTTACAATCCGAAGAAATATATACCAATAGTATTGCACTGTACAATTTTGCCCCAGGGGCAAACCTACAAACCAGGGAGCCTCGCTCTGAATAGCCAACGATCGGCTCTTAAAAGCGAGCCTCTACTCCAGGCGCAGACGCTCTTTTCGAAAGAAAACAATAGGAACACGTCTTTAAAAAAATTCGCTAGGAAAAAGTACAATCGCTTCCTACTTTTTATCAGTTTGCGCGAATAAATTCGCCTAGGTAGATGTTGTAGCTTTGATTGCTGGAGTGGAGGTTTATTAGACCCTGGGTACGAGGTTGGTTTATTAGATCATGCGTAAAACGGGCGATTAATCGCTGCATGCAGACACTGATCAGTGCATGCAGACGACTGGGAAAAAGGACGATGAACTGATCTCATATAATACTACACTAAAGCAAGGCTATATACTCGCTTTGCTACTATAACAATAAAAGTCCTAACGCAATTAACGTTAACGTTACTCGTAACGAGAACCTAGGATAATCTCGATCAGTTTTGAAACGTTTCTGTAAAGTAATAATTAGGCCACCCATATTTCTGCAATGAATACAGATATTGTATTGTCTAGAGGAATGGTTCGTGGTTTGTGGGTTGGTGTTTTAATTGCATTACCATCAGGTGCTGCTGTTGCATTATCTGTATTGGGTGGTAATATTCGTTCACTAGTGGGTGTGGCAATATCTGCATCATTGCTGACACCAGCTGTTAACTCTGTAAGTTCGACGTCTAAAAAATCACAAATGAATTATTCCATTCTCAATTACTTCTGTCTTGTATGTACTAAACTGGGATCGGCATTTTGCTCATCTCATCTTTAAATGTTTTTCATTGCTTGTGTTCCTCTTTTTACTCACATATTTCTTCATATCTGTAACCCGGCGCACTAAATAACGATAAATATCTTCATGTTTTTCTTGTACCAAGGGAATACTGTTTGCTTATTCTATCGTCACAGCCATTAAGCCACCAGAATTGTTGGAAACTGTTGACTTCAATACCACAACGGTACAAACAACTGATAAAATACATATTCCATCGCTGACAACGTTCCTAATAATCTAAATACTTTCTTGTCCATTTTTAGTTAAAATGTCCTCCATTCAAGGACAACAGTTACAATCCTATGTACAGTTGTGAGATGGCATCAGAAGCAGCTGTTATGGCGACTATAAGTTTAGCTTTAACTATTGTCAACATCATCTGTATCTTTATTACTGCCACGATTGTGTTAAAGGTATGAGAATTTTGTTGCAAACTAGAAAACCAGAAAAGTAAACTGCGTCTTCAATTTTACCTAAACTAAACCAAATTACCAAACTAAATCATAAATAGCACATCATCTTTTACTGCATGGTGATATTGGCTAGTATTTAAAAGCCTGCTTCCAAAGATTTCTACCTTCCGTATCAGATAAAAGAAGTTGCACCAATGACCTCCAGTTCAAACGCTACGCAGACATTTTGGACTAAAGATATAAAGGTAGCATTGTTTCTGCGGTTTTAACTCATTGGGGGTTTTAGGCTTTTCGTTTTCGTCGCAACTATTTGTCATCTGCATGAATACAAAAATAAAGCTTTGATGAATTTATCTCAACAGGTAGCAAGAGAGGCCTATTCCACAATAAAAGGCGACCAAGCTCAAGATTTTCTTAAAGAATGGAGAGTAAGTTTTCCTTCGGGGCTTAATTTGATCTGAAATATTGGGCTTTCCAAATTAGACTTTTTTCAAGTCACCAGGCACGTAAAATTTCCCTGAGAAGCTATCAAGAAAAACGTGACAAAGATAACAAATTCTTGGTATATTTGTTCTTGTGCATGTATTTCCAAGTTGCCAGTTGATCTTTTTATTTGTAGAAAGTCCAGGATAACACAAAGGAGGGACCTCGAGATTCTGTTCTAGAGGATGAAGAACTGTTGGATATTATCGAGGTAAACACGTTGTTTGATTAAATAAAAACTACGATCATTTTCAAAAACGCGAACTTGAAATGTGATTGACATTTTTTGCACAGGAAGTTGAAAATGCAGAAGAAGTTCAAAACGTTGTCAGACGAGCACCAAGAGGACCACAGGACATGCATGTAAGATGAAAATTCCAAGCATATTTGGTTAATGGAGCTGTATTTTGTCTGATGAATTAACTTCTCTGTATTTCCAGAAAACGTCGAGGAATTTAAGAAGACTCGTATCAAGAGACGATGTTGACGAAAACATTGCAGAAAAACAAGAAATGAATTTACAACATATTCTTAGAAATTTACAGACATACTACACACAGCAATCTAAAGAGAAAACCCGCCAACCCCATGTTGAAACAATCTTTAGCAAACCTCAAAAACCTAGTCCCAAACCAAAGAAAAGCATTCGAGAATTTCATGTCGTTGAAACAGAAAATCCACATCATACTTCAGTTGTTCGAGTCGAATCATTCGATGAGAGTTCAAACAAATACTCCGTGAAAACTGAAAGCGGGGTGTAAAATCAAAATAATACGTACAAGTTTAAATGAGTATAGTAGCGAAAGTCTATTACTATTAAATAATGAAATCATATGATCGACAGCGGTCAGAAATAACTATCGCACCGTGATGCATGGAACATTAATAATGAATTTCATTCTTAGAAAACTTTGAAAGCTTGCACAATAGTTGATTTGTAAACAGAATGCATTTGCCATAGCAAAAGCGTAAGATCAAAAGTTGTACGATTCGTATCGCACCATTATTGCACAAATTAAAATAATCACAATCAAGCTGACATGCAATATCCCGTCAGCTCATTTAATAAACATAAATATACCCCATGCTCTGGATGTGTTGATCACCGCGGTCACCACCACAACCCGCTTCGTTCCCGCAGCTTGTTTTAGGATTTCGTCCACACGAGCTTCCCTCTGTACCAAGACCAATATACGAGTCAGGTGTATTACAATCCTTCTCGTTGTTTCCAATGATTCCAATCCTCACGGCTGAATGGCTCGTGTACACGTTTATACCTTGCTTCCTGCAGTGAGTTTGCAGAGACGGATTGGAATAAGCGAGCAAACCCTTCCAAACTCTATTCACGTCGAAGTTTGTCTTTGTGTATTTGCCGGGAGCTATCAAGTCGTATAGAGAGTTCGCTGGAACGAAAGTAAAGAGCAAACACATTTTTGTCACCTGAAAATTGCCTTGAAATTTAATGAATCCGTCCCTGAACTAAGTTGCTTTTGAAATCAGTCAAACAAAAATACCTTTAATATCAATCTTTCGCGATGATATCCACCAGGATTTATGAGGACGCATGCGTACACAAATGCTTTCAAAAGGCGTACTCCAATACGTCGCTAATTTTGTCTCCGTGAAATCGCACCCGGTTTTGCCATTTTCTGGATTAAACATTTTCTTGTTCGACCAAAATGACGACGAATATCTGAATGTATTCTGAAACGAAATATTCAAGTGCGCTAAAATGTTTGATTTATAATGCACAGGGCATTTTCTTACTGTACAAAATCTTAATTTATCACTGCACAAATTGATTAGAATAATCCCTGGACTATCTGTACAATAAAATGCAATCGTTTGCCTTAGAATTAATTCTTGTGAGGATTCGTGATGTTCTTGTATGTGAATGAATGTCGAAGCGAAGGTCTGGTGTTGTAACTTTCTTCGTCACTACAGGATTTCTATTTTCCAAACACCATGCACTTACCTTTCGTCCGTCTATCTTCATGACCTGTGTTATACCAGCTGGACAATTATATGACGCCCTCATGATGCAGTAAACCTGCATCATATTCCCAGGGAAATTCGTGTCGTTTACTTTGATGTAATACTTTCCACTTCGTGCATATCTAAAAATGTAGCCATCACGCAGGTGAAGGGAAGGACTGTGGCCTGAACCTTGAACTAGAAGTCTCTTGAATGAGCAGAACTCATGTCAAAAAATTAATCATGCTACATGCGCCGTTTTGACAATTGTCATTGAGGATTGACGGTAAATCTAACCTGTCCCTTTTAAGTATTCCTTTGCAAGATATTGCTGGATTCTCCTTTGATCCAAGAGGATGAATCCCTGTAAAAAATGATTCGTTTAAACGTATATACTTGTATTGAATTGCAAAATTTAAAAAAAAGCAAACACTGAAACATAATATGTAAAACTAATCAAGCTCACAGGTCATCAGAAAGTTCAGCTGTTCCTTTACGTCAGCAAGCTACAGAAATTGAAATAGAAGTGCATTATAGGAAATGTTTATTTCAACTGACGAATTCTACAAAGGACAAAAAGACAGTAAACTTCAGCACCTCCTTCGTGTAGTTGGACTCGAGTGATTTCAATTTTTCTCGCAATTCCATAATATCTCCACACTAAACAGCAAAATTAAATTAGAAAGTTGACCTATTTTTACTCGAAAACAGAGTTCTAAAGTCTAAAGAACAGTGTATATATACCTAGGGCCGACAACAATTTAGCCTGCATGCATACCTGCTCATTGCATTTTCCTTCAGCTCCTTTTTCTCCTTTCGAGCCGGATTTTCCTGGCTCCCCATCATCACCTGGAATCCCTTTTGCACCCTTGGATCCATTTTTTCCATTTACCCCATTCACCTTTTCACCTTTTCTCCTTGATCACCTTTATCCTGTTGTCCCCGGCAGTCCATTTGCGCCCGCTGGTCCCGCCGGGCCTGTATCGCCTTTCTCGCCCTGCGACAAAGTCGGAAAAGTAATTTCTCGGAAAATTGATTAGTTTAGCGCTTGCTTTACGAGTAGTTGCGTCAGAATAAAGTAGACCAGTCAGTCGTGATCCAAATGGTAATATTTGTAGCTAAATCATCGATCCGATCAATTCATTGAAGGAAAGACTTGTGGTAAATAATTGCCCAGCAGTTGTTTTAAGAGATGGGAGGTTGAAATGACAATGTCCTACTTTGTGAAATATGAAAGAGAAAGCAACAAACCTTGAGTTGTTTAACAGGGCATCGTCACCTGCAATAGGGGTGGTTCTATTGATTTCTGAAAAAGAACCAAACGATTTAGCGAAATAAGTATTAGCGACAACTATACTTGTTATATAAACACCTCAGGGACAAAATAGGAAGGACCTCCAGTTTGTTTTGATTACGTCTAAATGCAAACTGATCTCTCTCATCGCTGTTCTTAATTTAAAGGTCACATTTTGAAGGACTCATAATTTAAAACTTGTCATGCATAAAAGGCAAGCAGCATTTGACAATACTGAACCATCGCTGAAGACTCGTGGTAACAAACGCAATTTATGCAAATATTTAAACAATGTTGTTAGTCTGTCTGCTGAAAAACACACGTAAATATAATAACATTGGGAGAGTGCGTGAGAGTCAGTTGTGGAGGAGTACTAGGTTTCCGGTTGGAAACATCGCTTTGAAATCCCCTGATGGTCACAAGATTGGACGACAGAACCTCTCCCAATAATTGACTGGTAGTCATGTACACTTGTGTGAAAATCGCTGACAAGAACGACCATTCCGACTTTTCTTCAGATATTTTTCGCAGACAGGTGTTTTTATGTAAACACTAAGCGAAATTACGAATTCGCCTTTGGTTTTGGTTACGAACCATGCCCAACGCAGGGAAAACTGATTATTGCAAGATAAGGAAAACCATTTCTTTAAACGGAACCCACTCTTTAGAGCGTGTAGTTAAAAACTGCAATTTTAAATACCCAAATCTGGCAATTGAAATTTCATGCTTACCGAATTATCTGCATAGTTCCCACCAAACCAGACGCACACCAAAACGAGAACACTCAGCATAATTTGCGACGACATTGTGGAACTTTTGTTTTCTATCCTGTGAAGTAATGTAAAATGATGTCTGCACTAGCGAGGTAATCAACAAGAGCGACAAATACTGGCAAATAATGGGAAATGGTCTATTTATATACGTACGTTGCAGGATGTCAATTTGTCGTCACGATTCATGTTCAAACATGTCGAACCCACGTAAATTTTTATGGTGAAATCCTCTTAAACAAATCAGTGAAATCGTTTGAGGATCATGTAGTGTTTCTAAACGTCATGGAGGGCCTTAACCAGGCACGCTTAGTGAATTTGCTTCATCCAATTTACATCTAATGGTGTTTTATATTCTTGTTAGGAAAGGCTTAACTGTGTCAAGTTATATGCATAATAAAAAATAGAAAATATCACCTGGCAATGACGTGATAAGTAATCGATCTTTGACACAAGAACGCATGGATAAATATAATATTCGGCCATTCGCAATCGTTGATTACTTTTCCTTTCATGCATGGCGTTTCGTGGAATCTATGAAACTAATACAGGTGAAAACTCTCAAATCTCTGTCAGTTATGAGATCTAGTTGCATTTTACCAGGTATTCCAGGCATGACGTGGGTTTTCTGTTTGCCTTTTTTCCCTTCATTCCTTCGCCCATGCACTGTGGCACAGCTAGCAATACAAATCACGTATGCAGACAATTTATGCCTTCAACCAAGATAAATACCAGCAGCCGTGAGTTTATCTTATTGCAGCGCGACACAAGTTAGTCAGTCACTGATATGCGGCTGTAGTTTGTATCAGTCATATAAAATAGGATACAGTTGAACTCTCGTGTTTCTTTGTGAAATCAAAAGTATTTTTCTTTGAACGAGATTCTCAATGACAACAGAAATAAAGCTATATTAGAGAGCTTATATTGGGTAAAGTCAATCACCTAGTTCTGGCTTCCATCTTTTGAATTAAAGTTTGTTTAGAAAACCGAAATAATGTACTCGTTCATTCAATAAAATTATTCAGGGTATGGCAGTCCCTACGTATTTTATTATACAATGTTTATAATATTGTAGTCAATAGTTCTTTCTAATAAATTAAAACTAATAACAATTATATTCATACTTTTAGTTAAAAGAAATCAACTATTTTACAAATAAATTCGATATCAACTGAAAATTGAAGGAACAAAAAAATTCAAAAAATATAAAATATAAAATGTCAAAATTAAAAAAATGTAAATATGTCTAACATTTGAGCTAATTTATACCGCACCATAAACAAATATTATATATATCATCTACACATGAAGAGTAATTGATCTCTAATGAACAAAAATATATCCAAAAGCCGGGATAGGTTGGTTGGTGGCCTTCTTGCACGCACCAGAATCGTTTCCACAAGAAATTTGCCTGTTGTTTGCGCATGCTCCCCCCTCGGTGCCAAAACCAAGAAACGAATCAGGCGAAGTACAATCTGATTGGTCGCTGCTTGCTATTACTCCTATACGAGCCCCAGCGGAGTCATCTCGTTTGCCATGCGCATTAAAACCTTCACGGAAGCAACCGCTGGGGAGACTGGAACCAGGAAGTATTGTTTCCCAAATATCTCGCCCCCCTTTCGTACCGTGATATTTCCCATCCGCCAGAATATCGTAAAGCGAAGTCGAAGCTTCATCGATAACAAGCGACTCCGTATTTAAGGAATCTACTTTTCGCATGTTTATACAAACCCTGGTGAAAGGAACTGTCCAGTACGAGGCGAGTTTCGTCTCTTTCGAGTCCAAAAGAGCGTCTCCATTCTCTTCCTGATAAGCCTCTTTATTTGACCACAACGGAGAGGAGTATTTGAACGTGTCCTGCACAAGTTTGTAAAAAAGATTGCACTGTTAGGAGCCAGAAACGTATTAAACATAATTTCCGATTATGTTCTATAGACTACCTTGGTTCCGTCAATTTTGAGGACAAGTGTGGATCCAGCAGGACACGTTTCACCTTCCTCCATGAAGCAATAGATTTTAGTTGCAACTCCGGTGATATTCAAATAATACGCTCCACTGGGTGAATATCTACAAGAAAATAATCTTAATTAAGCAGAATACTGAGTTTACCGAATAACTAGTACTCAGCCACTCAGCCACTCACTACGTGATCACAAACAAAAATCTGCTCATTCTTGTCTCGACATTTTGTTTTCTTTTATAAACTGTTTTCGCCTTACGGTATGTGATGCTTACTTTTCTTGCTCATAAATTTCCTTGCAAGACTTTGCTGGGTTTTCTTTGGACCCAATTGAGTGAACAAACTCTAAAAATACGTTCAGTTAAAACCAAGTTAACACCCCCCATACACACGCGCTGTGTTCATCATGCAGGGCGCCAACCCAGCGTTACCAACTTACTAGATTTGATGGAATGAACTTCATTTCTAAGTCTTGCAATCTAAAAAAGAAATATTTTAAATCCTACAGTTCTGATCCATTTTCTCAACATTCAGAAATAAATAATACCTCAACGGTGTATGAAGATTGCAATGCTGCTAGTTTTGCTCGGAGTGGTTCCACAACCGCTTCAATCTAAAATTGATTTAATTCATGATCAAATAGATGTTATATTGGATGGGCAAACGTTTTTATAGTTCCAATGGAACAAACATATCACAATCTAGTCTGGTGTGTTTAGAGTTTCTGGATTATGAAACTTGATCAGGAAGCTAGGGTCATCAAGACTAAGGTTTTTTTTATAAATTTTTCATAGTCATATGACTACCGCAAGCTCTTAAAGCAAGAGACCCACAATAGCAAAGTTCAAAGAATATAATATATATTTTATTCATACTCTACCTGTTTCTTTAATGTCCCCTCAAGTTCTCGTGATCCCCCAACGTCCCCCTTGTCTCCTTTCTCTCCTTTCACACAATGAATGTTAATTTTATCGGGATCGTTGGTTTTAAGGTTCAAAATATCTTTGAGTGTTTTCTTTGACTCTGTCGATGCACTTCCAGACACCTAGTCCCAACATTAGGAGAAATTTGAGCACGGGCAGACTCGATCGCGTTCATGCGATTAATGATTAATATATCAGCTTACTTGCCCTAAGAAACAAAAGCCAAGGGTATAAAAGAACTTACCTTATTCCATTTTCCATTACAAAGAGGGCATAGAAATCTGTTTGGAGAAGGATTTGTAGTAGGACCAGGCTAAAAATTTTTATAGTTCTGATAAGAATCAAGAAACAAAACCGCTGGTTGAATGAATCTTGTTTTTTTAAGATAGTATCAGATAGTCTCCGTTTATTTAGTTGCTTTTTTAAAGGAAACATCAGTGTCAGCTAGCATTTTGTCACTAACCAATTGGAATTTAACAAATGTACGAATTATAGCCGTGAAAAATTAGCAAATTTGGCATGAATTGCTATTTCACACTTCTCGAGAATTAGTAACATTCAGTTTTCGCGCGTATTAAAATGTGCCAACTTAGCACATACGGTTTTTCACACTTATTTCACCAAACTTTCCAACTTACTGATTTTTTAATGCCATTTTCAGCTGTACTTATGAATATTCCTAGTTTTGAATTTTGTTTAGTGCATGAGGTAGTGGTGCCTTGCGTGGGGTGAATAATGCAAATACCAACAGGGGTTGTTTACTTAATAACCTATTAACTGTAGATAGTAAATTATCTTGGCACCAAACAGAGACACCAAATATGGATTGTGAAACATTTAACTGTCTTAACTGAATATTTTTTTGAAATACGTCACATGTCGACCGTTAACTAACATAATCGGTCTGGTCAACCGCCAACTTGAATACCACGGACGACCAAAGTTTACCAGGTAATGGTTATCAAACAGATGGTTTAAATTAAACTATTTAAATGAATACCCGGTGTAATTGTTGCTCGCCTAACAAAACAATTTATTTGGATTTGTCGATCCAATTCATAAACTATAACACGCAGCTACATGTTGATTCATGTTTAGCTAATAATCCAACAGTACACTTTTTAATCTTATGTATCATATGAAAAGCAATTGAATGTTGGAGAAAACGTCTGTAATCTGTATTTAAAGCTTTCAAAAAGGACGAAAATTGAGTGCAATTGTGTGGTATTATATCTCCACGGATTTCGGGAGATTTAAATTAGATTTAATTAAAAGTTCATCGGACGGAAAATAGATGATCTTTGTAAGATTTGTGTTAAGAAAGCGAGCGTTTGACCCCTGCGTATTTCGCATTGTTGGTGCGGCGTGAACGCTAATAAGTCTGACATTTCCAATTAAATAAAATCAATTTGAATTTCAACGCGATCCACCTGGTCAACCTGTTAGGGTTATACGTAGAAGTTGAAGTGAAAAGCGTTTGGACGGTCGAAAGGAATTACTAAATGTCTAAATCTCTCTATTCTTTTCTTGTAATTGTAAAATAAAAATGATTAACTCGTTCATTTTATTTACTTCCTATTTAAACTAAAGTCACACCTAGACAAGTGTTCGTTGACAGCCGTTCAAACTATTCACGAACGTTGAAATTCAGGTCGATATTTTCGAAATGATAAGTCCATCTAAGCTGTAAACTTATACTCAGATTTCTTTTTCAAACTCCCATTAAACAAAGATATATTTCTAAAAGTAATCGTATTGACATTGACATTATAGGCTACTCTGTTGCATCCTATTCAACTTGAAGACTGATGCGCTATCACAAGGATTTTACTTACAATTTTATCTCGTTTCTTGCCATGAACTCCCCCCCAAGACGAAATACCCTCTCCTCCAGCGACCAAAGTGGCTAGCACGACACAGAATGGAATGAGCAACATTATAACTCAATTTAGAGTAGCGTAAGCGAGTGAAGGCGTTGTTTCTGTGATGGACTGTTCAGCTTTACTTCTAACAAAACTTCTCAATTCAACAGCCAACCAACGAATGCTGGTTTGAAATCGCGGTGCGTATTCAAATTTGCTACCAAAAGTTTGAATGGTTCAATCTCATTGGCTCGTTGGCATTAGGTAATCCGAGATTGGGCAGAAGGGGCCTGATGCGATTAAATGGTGATTACTAGAAGCAATTGCATGTCAATTATTATTGTCGTCAAGGGGGTATCTTTCATCGCTTGCCACTTGCAAACGAACCGTCCGTCTCATCACGGGTCGTAAACTAGTGACAAAGCGACTCGGTGTTCTTCAAAGCCTGGTTAGCATGGGGTACCAAGTCGGCGGGTTTCATTAGTTGTTAGTGGTCACTGAAGGGTGAAATCTTTTGTACTTCTGAGATAATTTTCCCTCTCAATGATTACCGACAATTACTTTGCTCCTGGTCAGCGCTGTATGAAACCATGATGCATTGGCTTAATATATACCACCACATCTAGCTACAAGGGTAATTATAGTTCACATGGTCGCGAAGTAATCTCTAAGCACCTTCGCGGATTTCTTCGGCTTCACTCTCGAGTCGTTGTTTCAAGGATTCAAAAACTGCAAAATACGATCCGTATCTAAAAAGAACTTTTACTATGTTCTGGTTGAATTTGGTTAAAATTGTAAAAATAAACAGTTTTATTCTTGTTTACTGTGTCCTTTTGCTTACGTTGCAAGAAAAAAACTTATGACAGACACCCTGACAGTGCGTCGATTAAGCGCCAGATTTGAAAATAATCAGTGCGGCGCTGATTCGGGGGCGGCGCTCAAACGAATAAATACGGTGAACAAAGTTGAACCATTATGCAAGCAACATACAAGCAAATAAAGCCGTGGTCTGTCAATAGTACTGAATAAAATGCAAAAGATTGTATACAAGAAATGATAAGGAATCGAGCACAGCCATTTGTGGCCACTGGTTCTGCCTTAGCGTCACGCGAGGCCCACGCAGCTGGGCAGAAGCCAGCCTAGTCCCGAGGCCTTGTCAGTGTCTGGTCAGAAGACAGCGCGTGCTTACAAAGCCTGGGACTAGGCTGGGGCAGAAGCTTCGAAAATTATAGCCTAGGAACGAAGCTAAACGAACGGTGGTGTTAGTGATGAATTGGTAATTTATTTGTAAGCAACGGGTGACCAGTGTACTGCCGTCTGTCACACATAATACGCCCAGCAATTTTGAACTTGTCAGCAACAACATCAGTTGTATGCGTAACCAACCTTTGACCAAATACAAAACAATAGTAAAATACAATAACATTTTTTTAATGGTATATATGACTAAAATCAGGTAAAATATTGACTAAATACATCATAAGGCAACCGTACTGGAACATACTATAAATATATATCCTTACGACCTTGGGCCTCACAGAAAAAAATTCGTTGAAAGTCTAATTAACTAGCTGTACATTTCTTATTATACGACGAGAGATTATAAGATGAAAAAGAATATTTACAGGTAATAGATTTAAATAAAAAGATTAAACACATTGCAATAGACATTAGTTTTAATCAAACCATAGTGATTTCTTCGAGAACAATCTCCAAGATTAGATCCCCCGCTACGCCCATGCGCAGTTTATACGACGACAGTGTAAAATTATTCAAAAACTAAAAATTTTCAGGCATTAATACTTATTTAAATTACCAGTTAGATCGATCTTCATGTAGAAAAGAGAAAACAGACGAACCACGCGTGAAAGCACTATACATGATGCGATTTTCTTCGTTTGGTTGATGTGAACGAGTGAATAAGTTATGATGGATGTTGTTTAAATTAAAGAACCTTTAAGTCGGAGTTCTTATAACTAATCGATCGCTCGTTCACATCTACCAAAAGAGGAAAATAGGCTTAGCGAGGCATTTGTTCCGTGCAATTATTGCCAGTTGATAGATGTTGCATTTCTTTTTGTCAACTGAGAAGTTCCCCATCAGAAACTGATAACCCCGGCCACAAATGGCTGTTACTGTGTTCACGAAACCAAGACCAACCAATCCACTTCTTCTTCAAGGTCTCAAATTTCGATCAAGAATGTTACGATGCATAAAATATCCCAAAAAGCGGCTACTAAAACGGTGCGTGTTTAAAAGAGGTTGGGGAAGATACGATACGGGACGCGTTTACAATACTCTTCCCACGTGAGGCCATACTTCTGACGACAATGTGCTTCAAAGCGATAACTTCGATAGACAAGAAGGCTGATCAAGTAAACAGGGTAGAAATACGGTATGGCGTACGAAAAACCTACAATAAAAAACGCCAAGATATATTAAAGAACCCGGACGCAAAGTTTGGCCCATTTGCCGATTAGACCTCACTCGGGGGCGATTTTTTTGGAAGAAAACCTTGCGTTTTGTTTCTCTCATCATCACTTCTCGTCATAGCCCCCCCCCCGTCCCACTATATAACTCTAATTGACTTTGATAAGCAATAACCAGCACACGCATTGCGCGCTTGAGAGGTAAAAGGGAAACGATATGTGTATTCATCGGGAAATAATCAGTTGATCTTACACGACGACCTTACTCCATTTTCACTTACCACAAGTCATTGACCAGGCGATCCCCATGAGAATATCACCAAGATAGTTGGGATGACGGACGTAGCCCCACCAGCCCGAGATTAAGAGACGACTGCCTGGGACGAGCGTTGCCATCGACTCAAGGTCTGGAGAAAACAAAACAAAACGACGGTTGAAAAAAGATTGGCGCGCAATTACAAATCACCCGCGAGATCTTCGAACGCAAGACTGAAGGGACAAAATCTCTGGTAGGCCATATCGCAATTTGTACTTACGTTGAACAGCTGGATGGTTTGGATTCTGTCTGAAAAGATCCTTCTGCAAGTTCGACACGCGATAAACAATGAAACCAGCAGCTGCAAGAGAAAAAAGATCTTTGGACTAGGAAAGACAAACGTTTTACAGCGATATGCATTCGCATGGTGATCACACATTCATAAACAGTCCTGTCAAACAAAAACGACGTTGTTGAGAAAACCTCTTGCAATAGAAAACCTCGTAACAATCATTTCATTTTTCAAGAGAGATTTGACAATATCTTGCAAGAACTCCGTAGCAGCATTTCATTTACTTACTGTTGAGTGCAAACACGAAGAGAGCAAGCCACACGGGTATTTTATACGTGTGTTCAGCGAGAAAACGAGAATGAAGAGAGAAAGTGAAAGGAACCCAGACGAGGTCACCAAAGGCGAGCATAAAACCGAATCCTTCAAGGCTTATCTCTGCAGATGAAAGAAGGGCGCCCTGAAATGTAAATAATGGATAATTAGCAAAGGAAACCTGTTTTCATAAGGATAAACCTTGATAGCGATATATACCATACCTCAAACCAGAGTCCATCAACGATGTAGAGAAAATGAAATAAACAGACGAGCAACAGAGCCACGTTTATTTCATTACCACTCTTCTGATATACGTCCACAAACATTGCCAGATCAATGATAACCTGAAGAGAAAAATCAACATACTTTATCACAAAGACAGAAACACGACGAGACGAGAAAACAAACATGCAAATAAACAAGTCTCAACTTACAAGGCCTATAATTCCTGGACGCATTTCGAAGAAGAACTTTATATCAAAACTGCCAATGCGAGGATTTGTTTGTCTTCCCATGAAGAAATCATAAATGACATTTCCTAAAAAAACCGTGCAAATAAATTACGTTTTATCATAATGCAATCATCATCACATTACATTGGCAGCATTCAAAGCAAAACTCACCAGTACTTCCGAATTTGGAAAGGCCAGTTTTTTCTACGTAACTTTTGATGTAAAGTAGAACGCTCAAAATGAACGAAAATATAAGAGAGTGAGTAATGAGAGCTAAGAACTTTCCGTGGATGAACTTTGCAACAGGAATCTTGAAGTGTAGACAGGCAGCAAATAATACCAGACTGATAATCAATGCTGAAAAACCTATTGAAGGGAATTGCAAAAAGCATGAGATGATGACTTTCCTGAATTAAATGTTTTGTGGAAAAAATGAAACACTTACCATTGAGACGATATTTCAATTTTGTCCTATCTTGTAGTGGTAACCCCTCAACAACCTAGAAAAAGTAAAAAATTCTTCATTTTCTTGTTCATAAGTAGACACTTTATATGATGAAAATTTGAGAAGATATATATCTTATTCACACATACCTTCCCCAGTGGGAGAAGATTCAAGAATGCTTGAAATGCAATCCATCCATAAACCACAGCAGCTGCTTGGGGGTCAAAAAATGCTTTTGCTGATGGTAATGTTATCTTTGGATTCTTAAAAATCTCAGAAAGATGATAGCATTTCTTCTTGTTGCAGTAAAAGTATGTTGCATACACAATCATTGGCATGGTAATCATCATGAACAACACACAGATTGGACCTCCAAATGCATAACTTTGTCCTTTAGAAGGCTTTCGTTCATCCAAACCTTCACCAAGGCCTTTACGAATGCCTTCCGTATCAATTCCTTGTTTTTCCAGTTGTTTCAATGCTGATCTTGTTACTCTTGCTTCTAACTGTTGCCCGACAGCTGTTCTGGGTGGGGTCTTGGAGACTTTTGTTTTTGTTGTAACTGTGACCGTACCTTCTTCCGTTGCTGGCTTCTCATCCAAATCCTTAGCCACTGCGGACGCTTCTGATGAGACACGCTGTGGTCGTCCACGCCGCCTGGGAGACGTTGCTTTTGGAGATGTTGGTTTCTTGCGAGATGGAGACTTTGATCGTGAGCGTCGTCGTCTCCCGGGAGATGATTTTCTCTGCCTACTAGGGGATGCTGATCTATGCCTAAAGCGACCCTTGGCCTGACAGAAAAAAAGGCAGCGGTTAAATTTCATTCTAAAACACTGGTAACAATAAATATCCAGGAGGAAAAGATCCCTGATTGTTTTAATATAATACCTCTACAGACCACTTCACACAGGGTAGTGTGTATGAATCTTTTCATAAAAAGCTTGAGTTTAGGATCTTCATTGTAAATAGTACACTTGAAACTAATTACGATCTGTACGATGTGTAGCATATTTTAAGGGGAAACGTCCATATTCAGGTTCCCAAGCGAAACATCAAAATGACGTCTTGGGTGACGTTTTAGGTGGGTGGGTTGGTCAAAAATACACTGTTGTGATGTTTTCACCGTGGCAAAAATGAGTATTCAGAAGATTTTTGAGACGAGAACGCAATTTTGACGTTTTGCGTGGCACCTTGAAATATATAATATGGACGTTGCCCCTTGCGTCTTACGTACCAGACAAACATTACTTGACAAACTATGCGTATGTAAATATATGATGAAGCAAAACAATCCTCGTATGTGAAATGTTATAAAGCAATGCAACAATCTACAAATCTGATCCTTCAAAGACGTTTTTAACCACGACACTACTGACTACGAGCACAAAGCCATTGTCCAACAACACGTGAAATTTTGCTACATCAAGTACATACCAAGTGCAAAATAATCGTTCAAATAGTATATTTGATTGCATATTTTAAGGCGATCTACACCTTACCGAGAGATGTGAATAAGGAACCTCGTTTTCCTGTCCATCGGGGTATCGTAGAAGAAATATATCTTCCTCATAGTTGACTGAGAGTACAACAGCTTCGTACCACAGTTGACTGCCCGGCCATCGTGCCATTATTTCTTCACCAACTTGAAATATCACCTTCTTTACGCCCTTGTCTGACTTTTGACTCCGTGTCATTGTGGAAATGCAATTTCTGTAAATTTGTAAACTTTCTGCAAGAAATTCACAAGTACCGCCCGTGTTTATCGCTAGAAACAAGCTCGTCGAAAAACCGAAAATTTTAACGGTTAACAATCGTAAAATTTCAAAACGGCGGGAACCCCGTTGGCCGGATGTGATTGGGCAATTCTCTCACGATAAACTCCGACTTGTCACGATCGTCAGAACACGTTCCTTTTACCACGAATCCTTATTAGATCAAAGATTGGGCAAAACCAAGGCTAAACCTTTCATCTTTTGAATTATTCAAAGTCTCAAAGTGAGACTTACGATTTGCGTAGGGCAAACAGAAAGTGAACTATTACTAAACTCACAAAGAGTATAAATTAAGTACCCGATAACCCTGTAATTAACTGGTCTTCAAATCAAGAAGGTAGAACGTGGTCAGTCTAGGAGTAGGCTTGCACCGTTACTCTAAATTCTTAAAATGAAACAAGGGAAAGCTCACTGTAGAAAATCAGAGAAACCGAAAGTCTTTGTGAGTTTCCTCTCGATACATGCCTAATAATGAAATTTTCATAACACGTGTTAACTGAAGCGAGCATTTCCCTTTCTTTGTCCTGTTCAAGTTGGCCACGCGACCCCATGCTCAGGAGAACAAATACTGTACCGCATAATATAAAATGTAAATTCTGTTTTTTTTCCTTCGCTTGTTCTTGTTGACAAACCGTTCTAACTAATTTCATTTGTATGAATTACTTTCCCATGTTACTTTCCTTGAGTTGAGATGCTTCGTCCCAGAGGGTATCTCTGAATGGATGATATTGGTTCAACTAAGAAATATAGCCTTCTTAAGAACGTCCATGCTGTTATTTGCCAAGCAACTCTCAAAGACAGGCGAATAAGAGTTAATAAAACTATACTTGTGTTTTTAACACTTTTTACAGATGTTATTTTTCAAGAATACAGTAAACATTTAATACATTTATCAAGGTTATTATAGCATGCAGACGTGTACTAAAAATAATCCCTTTAAGAACGTTCTATGAGTTATATACGTCAACAGACGGATTGATAATAAAAGTCCAACATAAAACGTCTTAAAATAACTCGCAAAAACTATGAAAAATTCAGATTAGCTTAAAGTAAATGCAATAGGATCACTACCAGAGTCTATATTCTCTATTAGTTTAGTACGATTCAATTGCATGGGACAGAGGGAACAGGTTCGGGTATAAATATACCTGTATTTATGATTGGTAGAATTTCCTACTATTTCAATATTTGCAGTGTATTTCTTTGTATATGGTTTAACAATATACTCTTTCTTATTTTCGCCCTGCAAAAATAACGGAGCATGCAACTACCAGAACAAATCACACTAATTTGAAGCGAGGAAATGAAAAGAAATTTAGATAAATGTATATTCTATGGGTTAGGGATAAGTTCTCAAAGACGTATATAAAAATGAGGTCTCTCGATGAAGAATTTTTCTACACTTTTTTTTACGATCGTTAAAGATGTTGATATTGGTAAAATTCAAATTGGATTAAAATTATATAATACATTACAAAGAGAAATAAATTTATCTTGTTCTCGAGAACTCCTGGCGCATTGCTGAAATAAAACGCACAAAATAGGATCAAATTCTTCTTTCAATCTTGTCTTAGAAACGAAAGAGTTTAAATAAATGCATTTTTACCTTGAATTATATCGGCTTTTGCTGCATCCAAATCCTTTCTGAATTCCGCTAAGATTTCCTAGAAAAATAAATAAAATACGAATGTTTTATATTAGTTCAAAACGCGTCATCCTGACAGTGGTAATAATGGAAGTTTTCATGCAAGGCGGTTGTTTACCATTTTCAACTCCTGTAATTGCGACGAACCCACTCCGTCCACTTTGCTGTTGGGCAGAAGAAAAAACAGTTTCGTTACAGTTAGTCAGCTATTATTAAATGTAATATCGACGACATTCAGGCGATAGGACGCCATTGGAAACGTACTCAGAAAGATGTAAAGAAATATATAGAACAACAATCATGGCGTACCTATCTTGTTTTGATGCCGAGGACTTCACTGGAGAGTGGTTTGATGTTGGTGGAGCAGGGACGTTGCTTTTTGGCAGTTTATTTGCTAGAAAGAAAACAGTTCATTCATTTAATACAACTTACTTTTTATTCATTTCCTTGTTTAATATTTATATTCGTACAAGCACAACACAGTTGAAAAAAACAGGTGATTGAGCCCGGGGCAAATGAACCAGCCTGGGTACGAGATTGTTCCCCCTTCTCCGAAAGGTCATTCATACCTGATGGAATTCTTTCAGTTCTGGGCTCAGACCTCACTTCTGGAACTTGATTTCTAACCGGAGTTTGTTCCTCTGCACCATCCTTCGCTTTCCTTGAAATTTGGTAATACATAACATCATTGCAGTGCCTCATCATCACGATGATAACTCATCGTGTCTTAGCACAAGTGATTGTGGAATTATCAAACAGCATTAACTAAACCTTTCCTTGCTTTTGACTGTCACAAACTCTTTCAAGCAATTCCTCGCCGATTCTTAGCAATGTTGAGATTTGGATGAAAGTTTCTGACAGTCATAGACTCATACTCCTTGGCACGACTGAGAAATACATGCTCAACTTTTCGCCGATTCATTAGCAATGATACGATTCAATTCAAGATCTACTTCAACAAACCTGGCAGCAAGTTTTCTCTGCATCTCTGCCATCATATCGCCACCAAAAGATCCACTACTGCTCGACTTTGGCTCAACTTTAGGTTCAGACTAAAAAACGGGCAAACTCAAACTTTAGAATTCATTTTACTTGGAAAGCGAAGTGCGTTAATAAGATAAACTAGAGACAACGTACCGAGGCTTTCTTTAGTTTAGCAGCCGCAATCTGCGAGGCGAGGGAGCCACCTCCAGAACCGCCTCCACCACCAGCAGGTGGGGCAGGAGGTGGAGGCGGCGGTGCAGGCACACCACCCCCGCCCATAGGCGGCCCAGGAGGTGCGGCTGGGACCGACGGTCCCGGGGGAGCGGCTGGTGGCGAGGGTGCAGGTGGAGCTGGGGGTGGTTGAGGTGGACCAGGGGGGGCAGCTGGAGGTGTAGGTGCAACTGAAAGAAAGATTACAAGATTAACTTCCATGTTGAATAATATCACAATACTAATTTTAATCGCAATCATGATGGCAATCCAAAAGCAGACATAAATCCAAAACCCAATCCTATCTTCGGCTCTTAATCTTCACTCTCAACTACCCGTAAAATAATCTGATAAACGATTCCAGCTAAAAGACGACATCACTCAAAATAATGGCTTTTTGGATTTAGTAACACCTGCTCTAGCTTCCTTCTGTGTGCTGTGCTGATGAGAGAGAATTATTCAGCGCTTGATGATTTTATTTAGCCGCCGTTGATAACCAAGCTTGCGTAGGATTTTTATCTTTATTGGAGACATTGTGATTCAAAGTAAAATGTCTTTGAAAAGTAATCATATGAAATCAGAAGGAAGTCTGATAGCCACGAGACGAGATATCGCTCTTTCATCTCTTCAATCATCAAACTTTTCATACTAACCCATTTTAGTGTTTAATAACAATCAAATCAGTTCTAACGAGGATCGTCTCCTGAGCTCTATCACCGTGAAAGTGAGCAAAGCAAATGTAAACACGAGATATTGTCGCGCCCTTGTCAGAACATCCGAAGTATGTTAATAAATGACATGCAAAGAGACACACACACACACAACATTGATTGCGTTTTTCATTTTCGGAATACGAGAGGAAATGAAAATAGTTTTGGATGCATCATTGTAAACGCACTTGTACTTTTCATTTTACTTCAAGCGCTCTCACGCACGAGAACGAGTTTCATGGAGATGAAATTACCTGGAGCTACTGGAGTTATCGATACAGAAGAACTCACAGTTTTCGGTTTCTAAATAAAAAACAAGAAAATATAAAACCGGCTGGACCAAAAGATAATGAAATGTTTTTTAAAGTGGATAAAAAGCAAACAAAATAATGAAATACTGAAGGTGTTGTTGACACTTCTGGGAAACTTGTTGCACTTGTGACCGGCAATTTTTTACCTCAGCTTCGTGCGAACGTGATGGTTCCTCTGCAACGTGATTATCATTCTGTGATGGGTAACGATTTTGCCAGTTTTTAGGAGTAGTTTGAGAGACATACTGTTGCGTGTGACTCGTTCTTTGAGGTTGGCCAGCTAGGAAGATAAGTTACTCGTTCAATTAAAGTTCTTTTTCCGGGTCACTCGAGGGCACAAAATCTGGTATTTTTCCAGTATTTTTCAATCGGGTTACAAATCTGCGTTGGATCAAAGCGTCGAATTTGCCAAACAAGGTTAAATACCAGCAAGTATAAGCGCTGTAAATCACCCTGTTGCCTGGCACACGTTAGATCACAAAAACAACTTGTAGGAAAAAGAGGAAAAAGGTAGCACTTATCCCTCCCTTTCCTTCTAACACCTTTTAGTAATTCCCTGGGCTGTACCGCCCCACGCCACGCCACAAAGGCACCCTAACGATGGTCAGTTTCTCGAAGGTGTCTCTTCTAATCACTTCAGCACTTGCTTTTGTAAAGAGCTCTCAGGAAGCGCAGTGTTTATTATTTGCCTTACAAAGCCTTTTATCCAAGTTAAGATGTAATTAAAAGATCAACTCTTCCGGGTCGAAAGCTTGGCGAAGTCAATAGCAAGATTTACTTCAAATTCAATGTAAACACTCACTCCAACATAAATAGTCACTGAGAGTTACGATCTATTCCATTAAGCCTAACAGTTTATATAAGTTCTTAATTCATCGGCGATGGACTACGATCTATCAATTGAGCATGAATAATACATGATATGCATCAAGAAGAACAGGAAACTGATATATAGGATTGCGACATATGAACACCAGACAGTCCAGATCACTGCAATTCAATCAGTAAGTCAACGTTATAGAATGTAACAATGCATAAACAATGTACCAAAGCATCGCTGCAGAATAATTCAACATGATCAGCTCAAGTTTTCATCAGGGTATAGACGTAATCAAATCTTAAACTAGTTTGAAGTTAAGGACGCGTGAAAATAATGCGAAAACGAGATCATACGGACAGGTTACTGCTCAAGCCGTCGCTTGTAAATTGTAACGTAAATATTTTGATATTTTTCAACTCCACAAGTCCAATTCATTGATTAAGTTCTATGATTGTGAGACAGACGCAGCGAAATTACTATTGTCGTTGCCCCCTTAGGGTATATTGCAACTTAATAACGGACTGAATTGCATTGCGTCAGACGAAAAGTTAACCGGGCATAAAAACCACGAGCTTAATCACCCCCCAAAATACAAACATAGACAAGGCAATGTTTATAAATTGTTACTCACATGCTGCTGTGGATGTCCCGTTGCTCACCCGAGCTATGTACACAGTTGAACTCATCTCTCACAGAGACATGAGAGAAACACACGCGCGTGCGAATGAGATCAACTACGAATACCACAGATTGATATCGCACGAATATATGCGCAAATTAGGATTGCGTTGAGCTACTTTATATGTGTATCTCCAACGCTTGCCATTCGGCTATCTCAGGTTTCAGTACTGTTTATAGAACGGGTTATATACAAAATGACTATATATGGATGACAGGTGAAATGCTTAAGATAGAGGATTGCATGTTTTTGTAATTAAAGCGCGCATCAGTTGTAGCTCGCTGCGGCTAAGAACGACTGGCATTCCGGAAACGTTCGAGAAAAATGTTCTGCCTGCAGAAATGATGTCAATTAAATCAAGACTGACTAATCTAATAAACCTTGGATGTGAGTGAAAGAGAAGGGAGAGAGGAGAGGGGAAGGGGGAGAGTGGAAAGGGTGAGAGAGGAAGGAAGGGGAGTGGAGGGGAAGGGAGAGAGTGGAAAGGGTGGGAGGGGAAGGGAGAGAGTGGAAAGGGTGGGAGGGGAAGGGAGAGAGTGGAAAGGGTGGGAGGGGAAGGGAGAGAGTGGAAAGGGTGGGAGGGGAAGGGAGGGGAGCGGAGGGGAAGGGAGAGAGTGGAAAGGGTGAGAGGGGAAGGAAGGAAAGGGGGGGGAGGGGGAAGGTAGAGGAGGGAAGGGGGGTGGGAGAATTAAGGTAATGGTAATGTATCATTTTGATAGATCCTTGATATAGAAGGGAGAGGGGAAATCAATTTTGATTGCCATTAGTGATTGCATTAGGGCACAACAGTTTTCATTCATTTGAGGTTGCTGAATAATGAGGAAACAAGTATACATAGCGATGGCGTTTTTAACCCATCAAGTATCCTAAATATCTCTTTCCTTTACCTGAATTTAATGCATCTAAAGCATCATCAATAGCATCTTTAAATTGTGCTGCATCATCTTTGCTGTGAAAATTTAGACCGTACACTTGTCTCTGATCCCGCCATTGATGAAACGTTGGTGTTGCTGCATTATACTTCATGTTGCGAATGATTGCACTGTTTATTACAACCTGCAAAGATTATTATTTTGAGTCATAATTCATTGAAAATTTGTAAGCCAAAGTGCATTCACTGACTGGCAATAACAGGTAACTCAGCTTAATATCTAGTTTTACTCCAGTTTACATACTGAGCTCATCACCCCCCCCCTAGACTGTGCTTCCATATAAAAAAGTTCAATTACAAGTCACTTACTACTTGGTGATCTGTCATACATCGCCCAACTATCCTAAATGTATTATTCCCCTCATGGTGATAAACTTGGACATAGGACATTCCTCGGATGCCTTCTGCTGGTTCCCAAGCCTTCTTTTCATTATTATACAGCATAACAGATGCTCGCGACTTTACTGTTGACACCTCACTACATGGTAAAGGGTGTGTGCATCAAAATATTAACCCAGAGATGTGATCCACTTAAATGAACCTAGTCTGTAATTTGATGTCTAATCTAATGCCCCTTTGAAATGTTCAAGGTTAATGAATTAAATTGAAAAGTGTGATGTGTTGTGCAACATTCAACAATGAAAAATGAAATGAATGAAAATAAATTAGCAAAAAGTTCCAGAACAAGAGGAATGCAAAGGTAATTTGAGAGTTTGACATAATTTATAGCATTGTGCCTGCATATTCTCTAGTATTTCATAACATGCTATGTGTGATAACAGAAGAACAATTTGTTCATTTATATTCACATATCATTTCAGAACACAATTCAGAAGAATAAAAGACAAAATACAAATCATTATCGCTCAATAAAATTTGATAGTTCGTATCAATATTACCAGCATGGGGTGATACAAGTATGGGTGTTGTCAATATCAAACTGCAAAAACCCATTCAAAGATAGTTTGTAATACACCAATTTCTGAGTAGTACTTTTTCTTCTGATAGTAACATATGTAATAGAGGATTGAAATTAAAACTAGTATTCAACAGGTTATAGATATAGCTTGTTTTAAAAGAAGTCTGTAAAATATGCAAACAAACACACTAAGTGGTAGAATTACATGGTTTGAATATTCCAATGCATCCATATAGCAAAATTATCCTGTTTGATGTAATCCTCCGAGCTGTGAAATCGGTATTTGGCTGACAGATTTTGTTTATCAATATGAGAGCATGACACATGCCAAGTCAATGGGATCAGTGTATTGTTTTACAAAATATCCCAATCAAATAAAAACAGATCGAGTCTATAACGCGTGAACGCTTTCAATCTTTAGGCAATACTGCGAGAAACTAAAGTGTATTTTACATATTTTTAAACATTTAAATAGGGTTCATTGTTCGAATATCCAGAGATTGTATCTGTCAAGCAATTTCTTTATTGTTATGATATGTTAACTTTGGGTGCGACCTTTTGGAGATTAAAACAAATACAAGTTCACGAAATCCCCCAAATTTGCACAAAATAATATGCGTCAAGACAGGATTCCAAATAAAAGGATTTTTCACTTATTTTTAGCAACGTTTGACGAATATTATCCTCTAAATATGAAAATAGGACTTCAGAAAAGGCGCGTCTGTCAGATTGAAAATCCGGTGTTGTCTGCAAAAGTTAATATCTTTTCCATATAGAAAAATAAAGTTTTAGGCTGGAAATATATGAGAATGTCAGGAAAGTTATATTTTAATGAAATGATGCATTTCTATTTTTTCCCAGGAGCTATTTCTTCTGTAAGAGCTTTATAAAAGACAATTCATTAAACATATTTTGATCTATTTGTTTGGCGATTAGGCAGGCTACATTTCATTGCTTATAGCCGATTTTATGACTAGCTCTCTCTGTTATATTTCATATTAAAAAGCCAAGTAAATAAAGAAAATAAAGAAGATTATAGTTTATTTGAAAATGTGGACTGCAGAAAACAGAACAGTATGAAAGTTTATTGTCAACTTGCATTACTATAAACATGAGGAAATCGGAAGTTCATAAAATTCTGAAGGCATTCTTACAGTGATGAGACATGTAAAAAGGAACAGAGAATTGTCAAATGTATACGTGTGAATTGCTGGCATATTTGAGAAGATCCTGAAGAAATACCTCATTTTGGAGTGATTTTATTAGTTCACTTTCTTCCCGAAAGCCCGTCTCACTTCCGCAGTATGTCCAGCTTAGCTTGACGGCTGCCTGCTGTCTTGATACTCTTTCGATAAAATATTGCTTCTAGATGGATTTGACAGACTCCGTATGTGAACAGAGATTTGTCATAAGCTGTGCAAACAATATTTAACACCAAAATTCGCAGGTGAAAGCCAAAATACCACGGCAGACATTCACTTTCGCCGCTTTCGGCAACACTGCCCGGTAAATTCACCCGATCGGATGGTGCGAGTACAACCCCCGACTATATTTACCCGGGGTTTATTCCCCAGAAGCTAAAGAAGTGAAGAACTCTCGACCAGGCCAGACTTCACTGCAAAAAATCAAAGATCTGAAGCGATCTTATATAAATTTCCTTGCACCACAGTCGTCGCCTTAAACAATAGGATTTAAAATAGGATTTTGAAAAAAAATACAAGACAATACGCAATGGCCGGAACCGGAGCCATGTTTGACAATGACAGAGAAAGGATATGAATTCCTTAAAGCCTATATCATCACTAAAGTAATGATGTTAGCATTCAGCTGCGGTTACACGACAATCGTGCCCAATATCATTGAAATATATTCATACGTGTAACACTGTGATATCACTTAAGTGCCCAAAATCTCATACCGGAAAATGCTGTTTTGAAAAAGATTCTCGTAGTTGAAAATATAACATATATTTATTATTGATTTATTTTAAAAAACGTAACACTGCAGTGAAAAATATACAAGTTTCTTGATTATATTAATAAAAATATTACGAATCAACATATCTTAATGTTATTTTATCTTTAAAAATTAAAATTTTAACAGTTCAGTTTAGTCTTTCTGTCAGATTATCATCGCTTTTTCCAAACTTGGGAACAAATTTCAAGTGTTATCTGTTGACACCAAAGTTCACTTTGGAGAATCTTTATACGTTCTCACAAGTTCCCTTTACTCCAGGACACCATCGAGTAAGTCTTCCCAAACCTGTCAACATAATAAAACAATGTTAATTTTCTTATTGGCTCGTCTGCCTATAGTGGCTAGTTTCTTTCTCAAAGAGGAACCATATCACGTACAAAAATTCTCAAAGAAAAAACCCACCCATTTATGCAAACCCTCTTGCTTGGGTTATCCAGAATCTCTGGGAGTACCTCCAGCCATTAGACCAGAAAGAATTCAACTGAAAAGAGAAATAAACAAGTGAAAATTTTACAAGGAAGAGAAATACTCGACAATCAACCGGAATGATTAGGTGAATAACCATGACGTTTATTATTCGTGACGGAACTATTTAATTCCTCGTTTTGGATGGACTCCAATGTCAACAGAAAACAATAGTAAAAAATGTAAGCGATTCGTGCAGTTTGATAGATGTATGATCAATGGAAGTTTCTTGTAAGTAGGTTGCGAATGTGTATGGGTAGATTTTGTTGTACGCGTGCGAGGATTCTGTGCTTCCGAGAATGTCCATTACTCACGCTAATTTTAACACCATCCGAGAAATATTTGAACAACGTTAAGGTATAGGATCTCTGGCGACAACGGGTATCTTTGAATGAATGGATCTTCCGAGCACGACCCTTCGTTTTCGAGGTCACAATCGTTGTTGTTAGCCCACCGATATTTGCACGAGCAACTATAGAAAACTTCATACAAACGATTCAACGTACCGATTATAACATAGTGTATTCAATAATATCACAAGTGGACGTCAAACCCTTCCGAGACACCGTTCGTTACCTTAACCAACTCGAATTACGACATCGCCGAGTTTATCTCAATCCCACTGGAGTAAGATCTTCCGAGCATTCCATGAAATGGTCCTTCGACGCTTGGGACAACGCGACCGGCGTCGTTTGTACTACTCATAACGAAAACTGTACTATCGATGATGATGTATTTCAAATTCTGATATCTTGTAGATTCTGCACGAATGCGAGTAGCCTTTTTACGTGTTTATGTGATGTAGTTTCTTGTTTTAGATAGAGTATATGTAATAGGTACGTGTAGTAGTCAGAGGTGTGTGGGAAGAGTTCTTAATACTTTTTCCTACTCTCGGAGAAAGAAACATTTGACAACATAGTTTTCTCTTCTGTAACCATGAATTTTAGGAGTTTTAGATTACAATCAGACAATGAGACACAAACAAAAAGTAGGTAAGAATGACAATTCTATTTTGATGTACTAAAAACTCTTAAAAATAGATCAATTTGAATGATCTTTGCATGCGCAAGGCGAAACTTAGAAAATTGTATTCGTACACAAGTCTTAAAGCTGGTGCATTTTTGCATTGTACTGTCAGTAGCTTATGGATGTGGTGACATTATCATTTTAGTGTAAAACCAGTTACCATGATGTCATTAATCTACCACAAGCAACGCTTACCGTCTTGGTGCATAAGCATATGAACTGTGGTAGGATCTGAAAGAGAAGACAAGGTTTTGAGTAAGACGGGGAAAATATTTTTAGGAAGAATTGGGGAGGCTAGGAAGAAAATGAATCAACATCATTGGTACATTGTGAGTACAAAGTAATGACTAGACTGTGCCATACAGGTTGAGAAATTTTAAAGAAAAAACAAACAAAAGCAGTCTGATGCTTCTTCTAGCGGATCTCAAATCTGTTTCCATACCTTGGCGGAGGTGACCTGCTCCTCATACTTCGTCCACCATAGCCTCCATAAGGACTGTAGGGGCTGTACCGAGGTGGGGCAGAGTATCGACTTCCATAGTAACTATCGCTATAGTAACTGTCTCTGTAGCTACGCTCTGGCCCACGGTAACTATCTGGTCCACGATAACTATCCGGTCCTCGATAACTGTCAGGTCCACGGTAACTATCCGGCCCTCGATAACTACTTCTAGGAGGTGGACGCCTGCAGAATATATTTTGAGTGATCATGATTTTAGGCTATTGCAAAGGTAATAATGGATGAGATGGTCCAACAGTCTTCCAAAAAGATAAATAGTCTTATTACCTGTCATATCTTCTTCTTCTAGGACAATCTCTTGCCCTATTTTCCACAAAAATTATATGGTGTCATAAAAAAAGTCAACAAAACTTTCTCAGTTCTTTCTCCAAAAGAAAATAATATAAAGATGTCTAAGTTACCAATGGCCTTCTCGTCCACATTCAAAACATTCATTATCACCAGCATTAGGTTTTCCTTTGCTCTTCGCATGCTATGTAAGTAACATTTTTAACAAATCAAAATTCTACTCTTCTGCGATATATACTAGAGAAAAATCATTGATAATACAGAATATTTACCTGAACTTGAATGTGAACACCCATAAATTCAGAGTCGTCCAACTTGGCAACTGCCTTGGATGCATCTTCAGCACGTTCATAATGCTGTTAAAAGAATAAGGGGAAATCAGTCAAACTTGATACAACCACGGGTATGAGGTTGACCTTGGTACAAGATGGATAGCAGAATTAAAAAGATATAGCAAATGAGTGTGGGTGAAATGGGAAAATGAAATGTACTACAGTTCTATCAAAGAAAAATGTTAACGTGAGAGTTAACATGAATATTGGTATCACTTGCATAATAATAAAGTGATAAAGTGGTCTCCTGATAAATTTGACACAATTTATTCTTGTTTTAACTCATTCATTCAATTCCAAATATAAATATTATACAGTAAATTTAACAGGGAAACTTACCACAAATGCAAAGTTTCGCAGTACATCACATTTTTCTAACTTCCCGCATTTCTCGAACAAAGCATAGAGATCCGATCGTTTGCAATCGTCAGGTAAATTCCCGACATAAAGTTTCGTTGGAGGAGGTCCATCATGTCGGCTAGAACGAGATCTTGGTGGAGGTGAATGCGATTTCTGGCGAGGTTCATCACTCTTAGCTGGCGATTCCCTGTCTTGTTCATGCTCTTCAGTCCCGCTATCGTTATGATTGTTCTCGTCGTCCGACATTGTTTGAAATTAGTCGTATTTGCTGAACGTTTTAGAGAATATTTTCCCTCCTTTCTCTCAGCAGGCTTTCCAAACAACAAAACGTGTTCAATTCATTACCGGTCACGTGCACTCACAATCGGTAAGTGTCGATCACTATTCGGAGATAAGCGGACGGACACTCTGACACAAAGCTTTTCTTCGAAAAAAAGCATAGACGGCCCAAAATTACCGTCCGAAAAATTCTTCGGCAATTTGTCAATGTAATGTATAATATATAATTACATATATTATATTACATGTAATTATATATTATACATTACATTGACAAATTGCCGAAAAATTTTTCGGCCGGTAATTTTGGGCCGCCTATGAAAAAAGCGCTCATCAGGCCTGAGCGCTCATATACCCGACCTGCCCCTCCTTATTTTTTTTCCTTGTTATTCTACTTATAGTCACACATAGATAAAAATAGCAAAATCAGTCTGTTCCCTCGTGTTTCAATGCATCTTCATTTTCAAAGCGTGCTGTTAATTGAAAAATGTTGAAGGATATTCCGTTTCTTGCCCTAACTAATTTCTAATCCAATACATTAACCAATTCAAGCAATAATGGATTTAAAAAATTACGACTGACCCATTTTAGTTTCAAGTCAGTCCAGCACATTTTTCATGTCGATTTATTTTTTCAAGCCTGTAATTCTAGTGCAACAATACTTTATGTAACAAGATTTAAAAGTTTACTTTAACACGTATTCAAACTAGCTAAGACTCTACATTAACATTAATTTAATATGTGGGGCACCAATAACAGTTTGTTTCTTCCTTAATCGGTTAAAATTTTCTTGGTAGCAACACCAATGACTGCTCCAATTTTTCCCACAACAGCAGTTCCAGCTGCACCCAATCCTGCAGCGCCGACAGACTGAAGAGTGGCAACCACACCTCCTGCGGCAACCCCACCTCCACTAAGAGTTGCAGAAGCGGACATCAAACTTGCTGCGATTGAACCTGCAGAAATACCAGCTGCTGTGAAGCCTACTGCTCCCAGTACAACAGGAGCGACAGCAACAGCAGCAACTTCACCAACCGTTGCAGCAACTATATTCCACGGTGACCAACTAATTTGAAAAATATTACATGCACTTGAGAAAGTTGAAAAATTCATGCATGTTTGATACCAATAAAAATTTAACCTCCCTGATTATGATTATAATTGATTTCATGACTAGCTTCTTCAGTTATATTTCATATTAAAAAGCCAAGTAAATAAAGAAAATAAAGAAGATTATAGTTTATTTGAAGAATTATTGTCAACTTGCATTTAATACTATAAACATGAGGAAATCAGAAGTTCATAAAATTCTGAAGGCATTCTTACAGTGATGAGACATGTAAAAAGGAACAGAGAATTGTCAAATGTATACGTGTGAATTGCTGGCATATTTGAGAAGATCCTGAAAAAATACCTCATTTTGGAGTGATTTTATTAGTTCACTTTCTTCCCGATGCTTCTTGATGGATTTGACAGACTCCGTATGTGAACAGAGATTTGTCATAAGCTGTGCAAACAATATTTAACAAAAAAATTCGCAGGTGAAAGCCAAAATACCACGGCAGACATTCACTTTCGCTTTCGGCAACACTGCCCGGTAAATTCACCCGATCGGATGGTGCGAGTACAACCCCCGACTATATTTACCCGGGGTTTATTCCCCAGAAGCTAAGAAGTGAAGAACTCGCGCATATATACCCGATCGTCCCCCCTTATTTTGTCTTCCTTGTTATTCTACTTATAGCCACACGTGGATAAAAATATCAAAATCAGTCTGTCCTCTCGTGTTTCAATGCATCTTCATTTTCAAGGCGTGCTGTTCCATTGAAAAATGTTGAAGTATATTCCGTTTCTTATCCTAATTTCTAATCCAATCCTATCCAATAGCCAATTCAAGCAGCAATGGTAGATTTACAGTAAAAATTTCGACCATTTCAGTTTCAAGTCGGTCCACCAAATTTTTCAAGTCATTTTATTTTTTCAAGCCAGTAATTCTAGTGCAACAATACATTATATAGCAAGATTTAAAAGTTTACTATAATCACGTATTCAAACTAGCTAAGACGTCTTTTTAACCATACATTAACACTAATTTAAGACGTGGGACACCAATAATAGTTTGTTTCAACTTTCGTCCTTAATCGGTTAAAATTTCCTTGGTAGCAACACCAATGGCTGCTCCAACACTTCCCACAGCAGCTTTTCCAGCTAAACCCAATCCTGCAGCGCCAACAGACTGAAGAGTGGCAACCACACCTCCTGCGGCAACCCCACCTCCACTAAGAGTTGCAGAAGCGGACATCAAACCTGTTCCAATTGAACCAGCAGAAATACCAGCTGCTGTAAAGCCCACTGCTCCCAATACAACAGGAGCGGCAAAAACAGCAACAACTCCACCAGCCGCTGCAGCAGCTATAGTCCCCGGACTCGGTGACCATCTAATTTGAAAAATATTACATGCATTTAAGAAAGTTGAAACACACAAAAACTGTTCTTAGTTTTACTTTTGAGAATGAATAAATTCATATTTCTATTAACTGTGGTAAGAAAGAGACAGTTTCGGCAGAATCTCAAAAGTCTCCTTCGTGCACTTTTTTACCTGTTGAAATTATAGACAGAAAGACTGGAGTTTACTTACCCTTCCTCTTGGTCACCCTAAGAAAAGCCAAACTTGAATTAATAAAGAATTAAAACTATGTAGATTTTCATTAATTGTAATTATATACGTTAAAATATTTCTGATTAAACACGGAAATGCCAGCGCTTCTCAGCTGGTACGACAACGGACCACAAACACCGGCAGTTTGAGTATTCAGGCAAAATTTCAACGTAAGGCAGTTGATACAGATAATCATTTAGAACATAAAGTTGAATAACCTCAATCCCTAGATATATTGTTACCTTCTTCTCAATCTCAAGGCTCTCATAGAAAAAATCATTGACATTGTGGAGATCGGTGTGGGCGACTATGAATCATTATCAACTTCTCTTCATCTCTAACCGTTCATCTGAAATAGCGCATGCTTCCTAAACTCAAACTCCACTGAAACTTACAGTAACTCAGGCAGTGAGGGTATTCCATAGTTTCGTGTCCTAAAAACCGCTTGACTACAAGCATTTGACTAGTGGGCGATTCGACAATCATTAACGTCGTCGTTTTAAAAAAATCAACACGCGTTCCGTTAACAATGAAAGCAGTAACTCACAGCAAAAACGGTGTTTCCATTCAGTACAAGGCAAACGCAAAGAACAAGAACAAAACATTTGTTGGGCTGCATGGTTCTTCTTCGATTTTGAATTTATACTATTACGCACTACTTGTTTGTCGTTTTTTACACCCGTTTATCTGTACCGGCTGTACGTAAATATGCGCATGTCTGAAATTCCTAGTAGGGCATGGAAAACGGCTTCTAGTTCTAGGAAAGCCGCAGGAAATAGTCACTTGATATCTGTCTGATCTGTCTGAAGCCTCGACGCGATGATTGTTGAATTGTATTACTATTGTAGCCAACGCGTAACGATGTTTCAAGGAAATGTTACGTTTTTCGGTAGCGCCAGCGGTAATATTTTCCTTGTTGCTTTTGAGCAAATATCCTTGTTGAAAAAGAAAGCTAGCATAACCAGCTTTTGAACAATGCTCAAGAAAAACTCGCTCTGTGAGCGAGTGCTTGCCTTCAGGTTATAATCACATTTTATTGAATAAGATTTATGTATCATAGACATAGCAATGTTTTGACTTCTTGTATTGGTTTTAAACTGTGACCACAGGTTACGTTTGACCGGTGTTGCAATGAATAATACATCTCAATCTTAAGCTCAGTACAGCCGGTGCAGCAAGACCAATTATTTACAACTATTAACACAATTTTGCCTCTGCCGAGATCCGTGAGTTACATTTCACGTTCTAAAACTTTCCAATGTTCGAAAGGTTAAGTTTCCTAGTTAGAAATGATTGATAAATTGGGCATTAACTGATCATCCCTGTGGAAACACATGTCTCATTCAGGTGATATAAATTAAATGATATTTAGAGATTAATGTAATGTAACTAATATTTCTTTGTACATAGTGCTTGGTTGCTGATATTCTTAAATTCATTATCATCATCATCATCATGTTCGACAGGAACATGTCGGGCACCACGTTTGGGATGAACATTATTTTGAAGTTGATCTCCAGAATGACTGCCAATACCACGCTGGATATCATCTGCAAATTGACTTGCAATGCCTGAAGACTGCTCTGCTCTACCATCAGGATTACCACCAGCCTGGACCGAAGGCTGCTCTGCTCTACTACCACCAGGATTACCACCAGGCTGAATCATCTTTGAATGATTGCCATCTACTGGTTCATTGTTCTTCCCAGAATCTCTGGGTTTCTCATTATCTGCACCATCATTTCCAGGTTTTCCACCATCATCCCCAGGTTTTCCCCCATCATTCCCAGACTTTCCACCATTATTCCCAGACTTTCCACCATCATCCCCAGGTTTTCCACCATCATCCTCTGGTTTTCCATCATCATCCCCAGGTTTTCCACCATCATCCCCAGGTTTTCCACCATCATCCCCAAGTTTCACACCATCATTCCCAAGTTTCACACCAACATCCCCAGGTTTTCCACCATCATCCCCTGGTTGTTCATTGTTGCCACCATTATTTCTATTAAAAAATTTGTTTGCAAACCAACCAACTCCTGCACCAATTGTGCCACCAATACCTCCAGCTGCTGCTGCACCTGAGGCACCTACAGCACCTGTGGCACCAACAGCTTGTAATGTGGCAACAAGTGAACCTGCTGCAACACCTCCACCATTGGCAAGCGCAGCAGATGACATCATTGACGCAGCCATAGAACCAGCGGCTATACCACCAGATGTGAATCCAATAGCAGCAACTGCAAATGGTGCAGCAACAATTGCAGCCACACCAGTGCCTACTCCAATGGCAACAGGAAGAATCCAACTATTAAAATCAATATACAAGATGTGCTAGTTGGTTGTAGATGGGCATAACTGTGTATAGATACTATGGCAATACTACATAATTTATTCTATGTAAGAATTATGATTAATACCTGGATTTTCCATTGTTTTTATCATCACCATTGCCACCACCATTGCCATCGCAATTTCCATCACCATTGCCATTACCATTTCCATCGCTATTTCCATCACCATTGCCATTACCATTTCCATCACCATTTCCACCACCATTGCTACCATTGCCATCATCCTTATTGCCATTATTGCTGCAATTAATTTCATTATTTTCTGACTTATTTCCTGCAGCTTCATCGTCATCATCGGAATTTGATTTTGCATTGCTGGCCATGATAAACCTAGCTGTATTTTATAGTATTAAGGTTAATGAGTTTAACATATTGCTTTCTATTTATATAGTTGTTTACTTTGAATATTATTCGTGATAGTACACTTGATTTCGTGTTAAAAGTAGTATGTGTCAATACGCGAACAACAACGAATGCCTCTGACAAGACAATAAAAAATAGGCGCGAGGTACATTCTTTATCATGTAACTTCACAACAGATCTTACCAGTTAGACGTTTAGTACAGGAAAAAAAGGTTAAATGAGGAGGCCTTTTTGCTGTTGTAAACTTATTAAATAGAATAACTCATCCGTGTATGGCGTTGCATTTAATTATTGTATAGAGCTCAGCTGAAAAAAGGCGAGCGCGCAGGGGTGCTTGGGGTGGTTTTATATAACAAGATTTAAAAGTTTACAATAACCACATATTCAAACTAGCTAAGACATCTTCTACATTAACACTAATCTAATATGTGGGGCACCAATAACAGTTTGTTTCTTCCTTAATTGAATAAAATTTTCTTGGTAGCAACACCAATGGCTGCTCCAGCACTTCCCACAGCAGTAGTTCCAGCTGCACCCAATCCTGCAGCGCCGACAGACTGAAGAGTGGCAACCACACCTCCTGCGGCAACCCCACCTCCACTAAGAGTTGCAGAAGCGGACATCAAACTTGCTCCAATTGAACCAGCAGAAATACCAGCTGCTGTAAAGCCTGCTGCTCCCAGTATGACAGGAGCGGCAGCAACAGCAGCAACTCCACCAGCCGCTGCAGCAACTATACCCAACGGTGACCAACTAATTTGAAAAAAAATTACATGCACTTGAGAAAGTTGAAAAATTCATGCATGTTTGATACCAATAAAAATTTAACCTCCCTGATTATGATTATAATTGATTTCATGACTAGCTTCTTCAGTAATATTTCATATTAAAAAGCCAAGTAAATAAAGAAAATAAAGAAGATTATAGTTTATTTGAAGAATTATTGTCAACTTGCATTACTATAAACATGAGGAAATCGGAAGTTCATAAAATTCTGAAGGCATTCTTACAGTGATGAGACATGTAAAAAGGAACAGAGAATTGTCAAATGTATACGTGTGAATTGCTGGCATATTTGAGAAGATCCTTAAGAAATACCTCATTTGGGAGTGATTTTATTAGTTCACTTTCTTCCCGAAAGCCCGTCTCACTTCCGCAGTATGTCCAGCTTAGCTTGACGGCTGCCTGCTGTCTTAATACTCTTTCGATAAAATATTGCTTCTAGATGGAGTTGACAGGCTCCGTATGTGAACAGAGATTTGTCATAAGCTGTGCAAACAATATTTAACACCAAAATTCGCAGGTGAAAGCCAAAATACCACGGCAGACATTCACTTTCGCCGCTTTCGGCAACACTGCCCGGTAAATTCACCCGATCGGATGGTGCGAGTACAAACCCCGACTATATTTACCCGGGGTTTATTCCCCAGAAGCTAAGAAGTGAAGAACTCGCGCATATATACCCGATCGTCCCCCCTTATTTTGTCTTCCTTGTTATTCTACTTATAGCCACACGTGGATAAAGATATCAAAATCAGTCTGTCCTCTCGTGTTTCAATGCATCTTCATTTTCAAGGCGTGCTGTTCCATTGAAAAATGCTGAAGTATATTCCGTTTCTTATCCTAATTTCTAATCCAATCCTATCCAATAGCCAATTCAAGCAATGGTAGATTTACAGTAAAAATTTCGACCATCTCAGTTACAAGTCGGTCCACCAAATTTTTCGTGTCAATTTATTTTTTCAAGCCTGTTATTCTAGTGCAACAATACATTATATATAACAAGATTTAAAAGTTTACTATAACCACGTATTCAAACTAGGTAAGACGTCTTTTTAATTATACATTAACACTAATTTAAGATGTGGGACACCAATAATAGTTTCCACCACATTTTTCATGTCAATTTATTTTTTTAAGCCTGTTATTCTAGTGCAACAATACCTTATATAACAAGATTTAAAAGTTTACTATAACCACGTATTAAAACTAGCTAAGACGTCTTTTTAACCATACATTAACACTAATTTAAGATGTGGGGCACCAATAATAGTTTGTTTCAAGATTCGTCCTCATCGGTTAAATATTTCTTGGTAGCAACACCAGCAGCTGCTCCAGCACTTCCCAGAGCAGCAGTTCCAGCACTTCCCAGAGCAGCAGTTCCAGCACTTCCCAGAGCAGCCGTTTCAGCTGCACCCAATCCTACAGCACCAACAGACTGAAGAACCACACCTCCTGCGACAACCTCAGTCACAGCTGCTCCCACTCCCAGTACAACAGGAGCGGCGACAACAGCAACAACTCCACCAACCGCCACAGCTGCTATAGTCCCCAGATCCGCTGACCATCTAATTTGAAAAATATTACATGCATTTAAGAAAGTTGAAAAATTCATGCATGTTTGATACCAATAAATATTTAACCTCCCTGATTATAATTTTAATCAGATATGCTGTATTTCCAAAAATCATTCAATAAAATGTATTCAGAAAAAGTCAAAATCCAATATATGGAGATTATTATAATCAGAATAATGGGACGATATAACAGAGGCATAATATAACTTTTCCACAAAAACTTTTCTCAGTTTTCTACATTCGAACTGCAATAGCAAAATATATGCTATTTCGCACGGCTGAATAAATTTCTCGGAACCACGCAATCCAGGGTCTGGGGAATAGTATCTATGGTAGGGGGTATCTATGGTAGGAACGAGGCTGTTTCCGCGGAATCCGGAAACGCTCCTTCATGCATTTTTTCAACTTCCCGAAGTCCGGCTTAGACAGAAAGAGTATAAATTCACTTACCCTTTCTCTTCTTTCTTTTCGCACTTCTCTTCTTTCTTTTCGCCACCCTAAGAAAAGCCAAACTTGAATTAATAAAGAATTAAAACTGTACAATTGAACTAATTGTAAATTAGCTTAGTATTTCTGATTAAACTGGGGGAAATGCCAGCTCTCAGCTGGTACGACAAACACCGGTAGTTGTGTATTCAGGCAAGATTTCAACGTAAGGCAGTTGATACAGATAATTATTTAGAACATAAAACTGAATAATCTCAATTCCTAGATATACTGTTAGTCCGTTACCTCCCTCCGAAAGCTCTCATAGAAAGAGAAACTGACATTGTCGAGGTCAGCGTGGGCGACTATGAATCGTATATCTTTATCTGATTCTCTTTACTTCTCTCCATCTCTAACAGTTCATTTTGAACTAGCGCATGCTTCCTAAAACTCCACTGAAACTTACAGTAACTCAGACAGTGAGTGTCCTTCGTGTCCTAATACTGCTTCACTACAAGTAACTAGAGGGTGATTCAGCAATCATTAACGACGTCGTTTTAAAAAAATCAACATGCTCTCTGTTTACACTGATGAAAACAGTAACTCACAGCAAAAACGGTGTTTCCATTCAGTACAAGCCAAACGCAAAGAACAACAATAAAACATTTGTTTACCTCCATGTTACCAGCATCAACTATAGTCCCCAGATCCGGTGACCATCTAATTTGAAAAATATTACATGCATTTAAGAAAGTTGATAAATTCATGCATGTTTGATACCAATAAATATTTAACCTCCCTGATTATAATTTTAATCAGATATGCTGTATTTCTAAAAATCCTTCAATAAAATGTATTCAGAAAAAGTCAAAATCCAATATATGGAGATTATTATAATCAAAATAATGGGACGATATAACAGAGGCATAATATAACTTTTCCACAAAAACTTTTCTCAGTTTTCTACATTCGAACCGCAATAGCAAAATATATGCTATTTCGCACGGCTGAATAAATTTCTCGGAACCACACAATCCAGGGTCTGGGGAATAGTATCTATGGTAGGGGGTATCTATGGTAGGAACGAGGCTGTTTCCGCGGAATCCGGAAACGCTCCTTTATGCATTTTTTCAACTTCCCGAAGTCCGGCTTAGACAGAAAGAGTATAAATTCACTTACTCTTTCTCTTCTTTCTTTTCGCACTTCTCTTCTTTCTTTTTGCCATTATCTTCTTTCTTTTCGCCACCCTAAGAAAAGCCAAACTTGAATTAATAAAGAATTAAAACTGTACAATTGAACTAATTGTAAATTAGCTTAAAATATTTCTGATTAAACTGGGGCCGGGAAATGCCAGCTCTCAGCTGGTACGACAAACACCGGCAGTTGTGTATTCAGGCAAGATTTCAACGCAGTTGATACAGATAATTATTTAGAACATAAAACTGAATAATCTCAATTCCTAGATATACTGTTAGTCTGTTACCTCCCTCCGAAAGCTCTCATAGAAAGAGAAACTGACATTGTCGAGGTCAGCGTGGGCGACTATGAATCGTATATCTTTATCTGATTCTCTTTACTTCTCTGAGTTCTCTCCATCTCTAACAGTTCATCTGAACTAGCGCATGCTTCCTAAAACTCCACCGAAACTTACAGTAACTCGGACAGCGAGTGTCCTTCGTGTTCTAATACCACTTCACTACAAGTAACTAGAGGGTGATTCAGCAATCATTAACGACGTCGTTTTAAAAAAGTCAACACGCTCTCTGTTTACACTAATGAAAACAGTAACTCACAGCAAAAACAGTGTTTCCATTCAGTACAAGCCAAACGCAAAGAACAAGAGTAAAACATTTGCTTACCTCCATGTTTCTTCAACAATTTTGAATTTACTACTTGCTGTTCGTTTTTTACACCCGTTTACCTGAACTGGCTGTACGTAAATATGCGATTTCTGAAATTCCTAGTAGGGCATAAAAAACGGCTTCTAGTTCTAGGAAAGCGGCAGGAAATAGTCACTTGATATCTTTCACTTTCAGATCAGTGGTCTGAGGCATTGATGCGATTAATGCCGAATTGTATTACACTGTCACTGTTGTTGTAGCTACGTTTCCTGGTTAGAAATGATTGATAAATTGGGCATTAACTGATCATCCCTGTGGAAACACATGTCTTATTCAAGTGATATAAATTAAATGATATTTAGAGATTAATGTAATGTAACTAATATTTCTTTGTACATAGTGCTTGGTTGCTGATATTCTTAAATTCATCATCATCATCATCATCATGTTCGACAGGAACATGTCGGGCACCACGTTTGGGATGAACATTATTTTGCCGAAGCTGATCTCCAGAATGACTGCCAATGCCATGCTGGATATCATCTGCAAATTGACTTGCAATGCCTGAAGACTGCTCTGCTCTGCCATCAGGATTACTACCAGCCTGGACCAAAGGCTGCTCTGCTGTACCAACAGGATTACCACCAGGCTGGACATCCTTTGAATGACTGCCATTTACTGGTTCATTGTTCTTCCCAGAATCTCTGGGTTTCTCATTATCTGCACCATCATTTCCAGATTTTCCACCATCAATCCCAGGTTTCCCCCCATCATTCCCAGACTTCCCACCATTATTCCCAGACTTTCCACCATCATCCCCAGGTTTTCCACCATCATCCTCTGGTTTTCCACCATCATCCGCAGGTTTTCCACCATCATCCCCAGGTTTTCCACCATCATTTCCAAGTTTCACACCATCATCCCCAGGTTTTCCACCATTATCCTCTGGTTTTCCACCATCATCCCCAGGTTTTCCACCATCATCCCCAGGTTTTCCACCATCATTCCCAAGTTTCACACCATCATCCCCTGGTTTTCCACCATCATCCCCTGGTTGTTCATTGTTGCCACCATTATTTCTATTAAAAAATTTGTTTGCAAACCAACCAACTCCGGCACCAATTGTGCCACCAATACCTCCAGCTGCTGCCGCACCTGAGGCACCTACAGCACCTGTGGCACCAACAGCTTATAATGTGGCAACAAGTGAACCTGCTGCAACACCTCCACCATTGGCAAGTGCAGCAGATGACATCATTGATGCAGCCATAGAACCAGCGGCTATACCACCAGATGTGAATCCAATAGCAGCAACTGCAAATGGTGCAGCAACAATTGCAGCCACACCAGTGCCTACTCCAAAGGCAACAGGAAGAATCCAACTATTAAAATCAATATACAAGATGTGCTAGTTGGTTGTAGATGGGCATAACTATGTATAGATACTATGGCAATGCTACATAATTCATTGTATGTAAGAATTATGATTAATACCGGGATTTTCCATTGTTTTTATCATCACCATTGCCACCACCATTGCCACCACCATTGCCATCACCATTTCCATCATCATTTCCATCATCATCATCATCATCGCCATTACCAATGCCACCATCCTGATTGCCATTATTGCTGCAATTAATTTCATTATTTTCTGACTTATTTCCTGCAGCTTCATCGTCATCATCGGAATTTGATTTTGCATTGCTGGCCATGATAAACCTAGCTGTATTTTATAGTATTAAAGTTAATGAGTTTAACATATTGCTTTCTATTTATATAGTTGTTTACTTTGAATATAATTCGTGATAGTACACTTGATTTTGTGTTAAAAGTAGTATGTGTCAATACGCGAACAACAACGAATGCCTCTGACAAGACAATAAAAAATAGGCGCGAGGTACATTCTATATCATGTAACTTCACAACAGATCTTACCAGTTAGACGTTTAGTACAGGAAAAAAAGGTTAAATGAGGATGCCTTTTTGCTGTTGTAAACTTATTCAAAATAGAATAACTCATCCGTGTATGGCGTTGCATTTAATTATTGTATAGAGCTCAGTTGAAAAAAGGCGAGCGCGCAGGGGTGCTTGGGGTGGTTCTGGCTTGCGAGGTTGGGTTTTGTTCATCACTTCCGTGAAATAGAGGGAATTCTAGGAATGTATTTCTTGACCCAGGCCTCATCACGGCCACAGCGGAGTAGAAGGCCCGGTTACATAGTGAAATAGAAAAGTGTAGAAAAGTAAGAGAAAAAATAATTTTGAAAAAAAACTAAACATGGTAAGTGCGTTTTCTCTCTGGGGAGATATTTCTTTTGTTTATGAATCACGCCAGAAATACTAAACGTAACTGCAAAGGTATATCGAATACAACTACACTCGATCTGTCAATAATTTTGAACATCACGGACGGATTTTTCCAAACACTTTTCATATAAAACTAACAGTATTATTAATATTATTAAAGCATGGTTATTCATTACTTGAACTTCACCGTAATGCTTACTATTTAAAGGGTCAAAATCAGTCAGGTAGTGGAGGAGCAGGACAAGGTGATAAGAAAGAGGATAAGGTTTGTCAAAATATTCAGCTTTATAATAAAATTTAAATACAAGTTTTGTGTGACATTGGCAACAATTAAAATATTAAGTACGTTGTTTTATTTTTCCATCGTAAAGGATAAGCGTAAGAAGTATGAACCTCCAGTACCAACAAGAGTTGGTAAAAAACAGAAAAAACTTAAAGGTCCAGAGGCAGCGAATAAATTGCCCCAAGGTATGCTATTGCTACAGATACACTTGATGAAGAACACTTCATCAAATTTTCAGACAGTAAATATTTTTCTTTTCCTGACATCATTTAGTTACTCCACACAAGAATTGTCGCTTGAAGTTGTTGAAACTTGAGAGAATTAAAGATTTCTTGTTGATGGAAGATGAGTTCATTCAAAATCAGGAAAGACTGAAGCCACAAGAGGAGAAGAACGAGGTAATAAGGAATGATTAATTAATTACATCCTCCCCCCCTCTGCATTCTAGCCCTGAAAAGAAATCAGTTTTTCAAAGCTGGTTAGGAAGTGTCTTGAGTGTCAGGCTAACCTTATGTTTAATTTCAAACACACAGGAAGAAAGATCAAAAGTAGATGACCTCAGAGGAACCCCAATGTCTGTTGGAACACTTGAAGAGATTATTGATGATAATCATGCTATTGTTTCCACATCAGTTGGCTCTGAACATTATGTCAATATCTTGTCATTTGTTGATAAAGATCTTCTTGAACCTGGCTGTACAGTCCTACTTAATCATAAGGTAAAAATGAAGCCAAATATTGGAATATTTTTATTTCCATTTGAACAATAATAACTCCTCGAAATATGACATCTTCTACCTACCAGGTCCATGCAGTTATTGGAGTTCTCTCAGATGATACTGATCCTATGGTGACAGTCATGAAGCTTGAGAAGGCGCCACAAGAATCCTACGCAGATATTGGCGGACTCGACAAACAGATTATGGAAATCAAGGTTAAAACCATTCTTCAAGATGCCGTAAATTAATCCAGATCACCACATACACAGTTAGAATAAATAGAATTTCCCAAGCAATAATCTTTACATGTCTCACCATTATAGGAGTCTGTTGAGCTTCCCCTAACACACCCAGAACTTTACGAAGAAATGGGCATTCGACCACCAAAAGGAGTGATATTATATGGTCCTCCTGGCACAGGTAAAACAATGAGAACAAGCAGCTTGCATTGTGTGCATTTGTTTGATTGCAATTCCACCTAACACAGAAGTGTTTTCACTGAAAACGACTTCACTTATTAATGAAAAAGCTTCAAGTACCTTCACACAAAATCTTACCTCAAAGATAAGGCAACTAACAGAGGCTCTTACACGTTTTATTTCAAGGAAAAACGCTGTTGGCAAAAGCTGTTGCAAACCAGACATCAGCAACTTTCCTCAGGGTTGTTGGATCTGAATTAATACAAAAATACTTGGTGAGAACATACAGTATTTTCAATCACTCAGAATGTGCAACCTTACACTTACCCAAGGTATTATCATCTGCTAGGGTGATGGACCGAAACTTGTCCGGGAACTTTTTCGAGTCGCCGAAGAACACGCGCCTTCAATCGTATTTATCGACGAAATTGACGCAATTGGAACGAAACGGTGAGAGGCTGTTATCAGGTTCAAACCAAGCTCTTTGCATATGAAATAGTGACGATAATGAAACTTAGTTATGTAAACTAACCTTGTTTTATAGATACGAATCCAATTCAGGGGGGGAACGTGAAATCCAGCGAACAATGTTGGAATTACTCAACCAGTTGGATGGTTTCGACTCCAGGGGAGATGTTAAGGTATCATCACTCTTGTTCTTTGGTTTCTGTCTGGTTTCATTGATAGAGTCTTGCATGTAGGTTGTGCTTACTTACCAAATTGTTTTAAACGTGTAGGTTATAATGGCGACAAATCGAATAGAAACACTTGATCCGGCGTTAATTCGACCCGGTGAGTTGAGCTAATCTGAAGGAGTTCCTCAATAAATAGTCGAGGGCCCCCTCCTTACAATACCTCCCAACCACACCCAGACCTGTGGCAGTAGAGGACCCCTCTACCAGAATGAAATATCAAGACAGCTGTCATATAGTCTACCCTTTGTGGTCTCTGATGCATATTAACCGTTTCCTAGGGCGGATCGATCGAAAAATCGAGTTCCCGTTACCTGACGAAAAAACGAAACGACGTATTTTTAACATCCACACAAGTCGCATGACGCTCGCTGACGATGTCAATCTCTCCGAGTATATAATGGCTAAGGATGATCTCTCAGGCGCTGATATCAAAGTGAGTATATTCGGAGTACTACAGTGAAATTGCAAAGCAAATCAATCACGTAGTCACATAGAATTGCCTAAATTTGATTTCCAGTAACAGATAGTTTTGCTATGAATAAGTTCACGATGACAAATTTGGCATAGTCTTTAGACAATGTAGGAGGGAAGCAAGGCAATCATGAATTTCCTGTTGTTGCTTTTCCAGGCGATATGTACTGAAGCAGGTCTTCTTGCTCTGAGAGAGCGAAGAATGAAGGTTGCGAACGAGGATTTCCGGAAATCGAAAGAAAACGTCTTGTATCGAAAATCAGAAGGAACGCCTGAAGGACTTTATTTATAAATTTCTTTTCATCAACTTTAGTTTTGTTTTGTTAACTCAGATATCAGCGACCCACGTATGTCATATCCTCTGAGAGTTGCAGTAAAAAATAATTTCTTAAACACACTGTAAACTCATCTAAAATTAGTGCTTCTGTTTGAGACCATCCCATAAAATTAAACTTACTAGTTACTGCAACATCGTATGACTGTTGTCGAGTTAACGGTATAACTGTGGCATAACCATCTCACAATACTTGTCAATGCTCAGTCACTAGTTTTTCCATCGCCAAAGTGAAGTGACAGATGATACTAACGTAGAAGCCGTGGATGGCCTCGATTCCAGCTCGGAAAGGGCCGATACTGTCCGTGAGACACCGGATTCAGGTGCTGACGTAAGCCCATCCATAGTCACTGTTTCCCATTCTGTATCTGACGTATTATGTTCTATATTTGGACTGAGCTTACCATCAGGTTGGTCTTCATCTGACGTGCTAACATCATCATCACTTAGTGGGAATTCATGTAAGTCAAGCACACTGTGGGCTCCAAATCTAAGAATATATTGATCCATTGTCAGGGCATTGGGACACATCAAATTTTCTCTGGGGGGCAACCTTCCACCTCCTAGGGTATACACAACCTGGTCTCCGCTGGTTATATGCATCTGTACTGAAAACTCACCTCCCTATGTCAACATCCGACTGAAGACATGCATGGATGTTTTGAAGAGTTCGTTTGGGATGAAGCATCAGGCCATTCACATTCTATGAAGATAGAAATCATTCATTGCAAGGCTTAGTGTAACACAATACATTCCTTTACAAAGATCCATGTTGACCAAGTGGAGAGGAGATGGGAAACATTTCTCTTTCCACTTGCTCCCAGCTCCCCCACATGCCTATTGATATCACACTTTTTAAAATTGACAAACCTGAGAGAGACACAAGTACATCACATTCGTATTTACACGTAAAACTGCAGATTTGAATTCAGATGCACTCAAATCCCGCAGACAGAAATCACTTAAATAAACAAAAGAAAAGATCAGAAATAACAAAGTGGAATGAAACAAAATAAGGCATTTGTTGCTTGACAGTTACCTGCAACTAACATCTTTTGGTAAAGTGACATCAAGGAAAAATGCCATAAGATCCAATAACTGACAAGTATAACTTAATCCTGCCGTGAGAGAATATCCTGAACTTCTTAAACTGCTTGTTGGTACTACAAGAAAGAAAAGAGAATGGTCTCCTGTTAAGTTGAACAGACGAAAAGGTGATTGGGTCTTGTTCGTGATAACAAATGGATTATAGTTGAGATATTTACCTGATTCATTAGATGAATGTTTGTTGGATTTTACTAAAAAAGACAAGAATTAAATGGGTCAATAATAGCAGGGAAATGGCAAACGTGAAAAGAGCAGATTGATGTGGAGATCAAATCTGCATTTTGTGATAAGATGATGCACATATGAGAGGTGAATACAAGTACAGTTAGTATTTTTAACTCACACCAAATTGAGTATGTTGAATAATCTCCATCAGCAGGAAGAAACGCTTGAAGAATTTTATACTGAGTATTCACCAGGTCATCATCACTAATCCAACGTCCTTCAACATACGAGGTTCTTGTTGCTTCTGTTAAAGCTCTTTCACAGCTCTGACCACCTTCCTGCACTACATCCATGACTAAAAATATAGGTCAGTGAACTGTGATCACTCTGGATTATTCTCATTTCTAGATTAGTTCTTGAGCTATATCTCCTATGGCTCCAACACCAATGCTTTTTAACCACAGTTGAATATCTCTCCCTACAGACTGGGCTTATAAGTTATAAACAGTGAAAAATGCTAGCTACCGTCAATGTGAACAGGTGTGTCATCTGGTGGCGTGCCAAATTCTGGGAATACATGTTGTTTAGAAATTGGAAAGAGATATTTTTGAGCTTGATCAACACGAATTCTACGAATTCTTGTGACATTTTCTTGTAAGGCTGCAAGCTCTGCTTGTTTCTCGATTATCTTTGCCTGTGGAAGAGCAAATTTAAAATTATCACAAGTCACCACAATTGTGTAGCATTGGAACAAAATCTCAAAATCATTTACATTTTTAGAACTCAATTCTTTCTCTTGCAATTTTATTTTTTGTTTTAATTTCTCTAATCTTGATCGTCGTTTCTTATTTTCCTCCGTGGTTTTGCTCAGGTTTTCTCGCTCTGTGAAAATAGAATTGAAAAAAATTATAGATGAAGAGGCAATTCCACAAGCTGACAAATTATGTTGTGCTCACCTTCAACATGGTGCTCTTTTAATAAAGACAATGCTTCACGAAGGGCCAACAACTTGTTTTGACAAACCTGAATCTGACAAACCTGTGAAAACCAGTAAAATTATATGAAATTTAATTTTTGCATAGCTATAAAATCCTCCATATATAATATATATTACATACCAAATCATTGGTAGATTCCACTTTGTTAATTGATTGTAAAACTCTATACAAAAAGAAGTAAAAATCCAACTGTTAAACCAGAGCTTAAGCGCAAAACTTGGTACCTTCAGCATTAATAGGTTTGCATGACCACATCAAACAGCCAAGCTGTGTATAACCAGTTCTGAACGAGAGCTGCACTAGCATATGATAGTCATAATAAGGGTTAGTGCATGTGCTAACCTTTCACCATATTTCGCTTTTAGTTTCTTAATGGATTCCAATCTCTGTCTTTTTTCTCCATAACTATTAAAAGGAAAGGTGGTCCAATAATCTAATCTGTCATTTCTCAGAGAAGGACATGGTCATAAATGGGTGTGGAATAGTAGCTAATACTATTGGTTCAAGTCATATAATATAAATGCCAGTGCACAAATTTTGAGGTGAACTTAGACTAATCTCCAGGGTCCCTCAATAATTTTCAAAAATAGACAAGGCAGCCCCATCTGATTTTTATACTAACTTTAGACCAGGAGGGGGCAGTATAACTAGACTAGAGCAGCTTTGGTAAAAAATATGCAAATATCAAATATGGTCACACTGTCTTAAACAAAGAAACAAAGATTCTCCAAATGTCAGAGCCTTTTTTGAGGTGCAGCAAAAAATGATGACACAGCAATCTTGGATGTGACATCTGACAAGAAGTCAACATAATTCGAAGTTGGCTTATGTAAAATTACCCAAAAAGGCCAAAACATGAAAGTAGATATCTTAATCTGGCCTGTTTACATCGTCATACAATTCGCACTTTTTGCATTGTGCAAATGATAATTATTCATTACGTCAAAATCTTAGAAAACAAACGCATTACTAACCTTTCAGAGCTGGGTCTTTTACTGTTCGAGAAGAGACCCAGAACTATACACTTTGCACAGGTGAAAACATCTCTTTTGCTTGAGCACAACGGACAAAAAATATCTTGAAATACAACAGGCTCATTTTCGATTTCTTCCTCCATTTATCTTGATGTGACGTCATCGGTTGTTTACTAAAGGCCTGAATGCCCGACATGATGCCTGCTTTGGGGGTGGGAACGATTGAAGATGCCATTGTGAGTTTTTTTGACGTTCTTTCGGGAGAGTTTCGAGCTTAACAAACGAAAAACAGTTAGATATATTAGTCTTGCTGTAAATCAAATCATAAAGTTGTACGTTAACGTTCGCGACTTGACAAGCTTTATTTTTTTTCGAAACTGGACGCTTCTTGTTTGGGTTTGCTGTGTTTCCAATCCCGAAGTTAAAACGATTTTTTCCGAGCAATCGCGAGTGTGCACGAACTTTTCCTTTTATGCTTCAAATAATAGCTTAGTTGAAATTACACAAATTAGTGTTGGAAAACAATAGAATTAGACGTGTTTGATTGTAGAGAAAGTCGCCCAAATTCAATGTGGAAATCATATCAAAGACGTAAATAATATATAGGTGCGACATAGCGTATAATATTGGGAGAAACGTGCAGTATTGAAAGTCTCAAAAATGCTGGAATCTTTGAAGAAATGGGCGGAGTTGGCTGTCTACAGATATGAAGTGACCACTGCTTTGTATATGTTGGAACCTTGGGAGAAAATGTTGTTTAGTATCCTTTAAATTATATTTTATAGTTCAGGATGAACCTCTTCAAAGGATATAACCTCACTCAATAATAATGTATTCTTCCTTAAATCAAGTTTAACTAGATACTGTTGCTGTTTCAATGATTGCTATGTCAACCTACACCACATACCTTTATTTACCTCCATTCATTAGCAATGTTGCATCAGCAGTTGGCCTGGCGTGAATATGCATGTTCCTTTAACATCGATGTAAATATACAATGAACATGGATTACGGAACGCAGTCAAATAAATTTTTAACAATATATATTAAAATATTTGATCAACTTCAAAAAATATATACATATCTGTATAAATAAATTTGCTAAGATCAAGTGTTTTTTAAAGTCAATTTTCCCCAATATGAATGACATAATATAATTACAGACAATTATATATTACTTCTAATATAATATACTTCAATAATACATCTTTAGTTTATCTCCCATTCCGAGGCCAAATGCCATCAAATTACTTCTTGATGCCCAATTCTCTCCCAAACATACAGCCGGAATATCAGGATAACCATTTTTCATGTGAGTTTCATGAATGGTTTTTAACACTTCACAAGTTTGTATGCTCCATATCCTTGTCTTACCATCATGACCAGCTAAACAGAAGACAGAGTTGTTTACATGCATATGGTAAGGTCTAGCTGGGTGGTATATTGATTCAACGTCTGTTGTACGACAAGTGGTGTGTAGCTATGGTTGTGTCATGATTGGTAAAATATGAGAGGATAAAATGTCTTCTTTCTAACCTGTCACTACTAAGGAAACAATGGTACTTAATATTCTCACCTGAAGCCATAATACTCTCAGAGGAATCCATAACAAACGGAATTACTTCTACTTCGTTTACATTTCCGGGAAAATACTTGACCGGTTTTAATAAACGAACATCCCACATCTTGATCTAAATGAAATAAGCCATCGTATGAATTCAGCTAATAAAAATCATTGTCCTATGTATTAAGTGTAGTGTATCTCATATCTCATAGAAAGATGAAACTAACCATTCCATTGGTGTTGCTTGACATCAAATAGTTCTCATCCTGCATGACTTTCATCCAGGATGTAGAGGACCCTACTTTGCCACTAATATTGAAAACTTTACTTTTTTTGTCATTTTCTAAGCGGATATCCATGCACATTATGCTTCCATTACGACAGCCCAGGTATGCAACAGGACTCTAAGTTAAGTAAAAAATCAGTTAATAAAAGCCAAACTTCAGGACTAGTTATATTTATCATAAGATTTCTCACCTTTTTGCCAAATTCAATGCAGAAGACATCACTGGAAGACCTTATTTTACAAACTAATGACTTCCTTTCAGAATCAACCAACACTGCTTGCTTATTCCCAGCTGAGGGAGAAAATAATCTATCAACTGTGTTCCCAATCTTCTTGGGTCTTTTACAATTTCCTTACCAATGCCCAAAAGAGTAGAGAACTGAGGATTTCTTGACCAACTACAATTCCAAGCTGTTCCTTTTGTCAGAGGGTAGCTATTAAGTTCACCTAAACATGAAAAAGATCCCATTCATTGATGAGTTTTTGATTAAGAACTGGCGGAGCACATGATACCAATTATGCTAACTACTTACAAGACTGTAAAGACTCATCAAACTTGCAAACAACAGCACCTCCTTCCAAATCTCCAGAACCAAATACATTTAGTCTTAAAACAAAGAGTGTCAAAGAAATGCCAGAATAAAAAGGACTAGAATTTTAAATGCATGCAAGACCTAATGCCAGTCATTTCGTGGAATAAAGTGTGTATGGTAAGGTAAAGGATACAAGAAGAAATTACTCAAGCCTTTATGTGGATTCCACTCAACATGGGTCACCTATGACAGAAAAACACTATGATTCTGATGACAAAAGACCTAAAAATTTGGCATGAAAGTATTTACCGAATTAACAATTATCGTAGCGAGCAAATGGGGACTTATTAATGTCATCTTGTCATCCTTGATATCATATATGTGAATGCTAAAAAAACAGACACTGTATTAAAATTCCAAGGCAAAACAAGATAACTAAAAGTCAGGTCACGGATCAGAAAAACTTTAATCCTTGGAATGCACACATACCTGTTACAACCTATGCCAGGCAGTCTTGCAATTGTTACTAATTTACCAGAGTGTTGTGATAACTAAAAACAAATATTCCTTCAGTTACTTTATTCATAGAGAAACTACAGATCGTATTTGACAGGCTGCTTATGCTTGAAGTTGTTTTTAAAATACTCACTGCAAGACATGAAAGGGAACCTTTAAAAGCAGGACATGGATAAGTGGCACCTAAAGGGACTGATTTTCTTTCAAATATATTTCTAGCCCAGTCATCTAAGCCTCTTCTGAAACAATATTTATTTTAAAATTAGAAATTTTTGTTGAATTATCATAAAGTATGTGAAATAGAATATCACCTTTGAAGATGTACATTATTGCCAGGCAAAAAATTTGTCGTCCTTTTTTGAAAATATTCTAATCTTGAGGGTACCTAAGTAAAGTCGGAAACCATTCATCAATCCACTAGTGGTATTATCTTATAAACTTAATTTTAATTCAAAGATTTGCTATGGTGTTGATTTTAGTTGATTTCTGGTTGGCCCTAGCAGACCTTTAGAAATGACACAGCTACATACTTAATAGAAAAACTTGATTGAATGACGACTGTGCAGCCTTTTCATCCTTTTTCTTGACACATTTAATGAATTTAGTCACAATAAAAACCTTGGATCATTATGAAAACTATGTAGCCTTACCAAATCTCATTTTCCTTATTCTCAGAGTGCTATCATGCCTGCTACAACTATTTTGAACAGGTTAATGCCATAATGACTAACTTTCAAAACTGGTTTCAAACCACTGATTGGTTTGTCCGTCGCAGCTTGACATTTAGTTTCACTTTTGGTTGTAAAAGGTCTTGAAAGAACTCGTTCTTGCTTGAAGTATCTTTTTCTTACTGAGTCATAAACGAAACCTGGGATTTCTAGAAGTTGACGAAACAAACAACTTATCTTATTAACTGATAGAAATGGTATGATTAGTCGTGAATATGTCATCCTGCATTCTAACAGATTATAATTTAAAACAGCCCATAAATGGATTAGAACATGCAAGAAAATAAATCACAGAATACCACAAATTTAAAGGCTGACAGCTTCTTATATTTTTTCTCTAGACAAGGTCAAACAATTTAAAACACACCCTTGGTATTTCGTAGTGTAAATTAACAAACATCTTGGGAATTTGTATTAAGGATTGATAGAGAAGGCCAAGGACATATGTCACCCAAGGTGACACGGACACACGTGACCTTCCCTCCCTCCCCCTCCCATCCCAGTTTCACCCCCCTCCCCTCCCCCCATCCCAGGCCTTGTTCCACTTTGCCCCCGATAACTTGAAACGTTTTTCATCCAACAAAACGTTTTCACCTTTAGGTTCATTGTTCAAAGACGTGCCAGTTGTGGTAACTTGTGGGGCAGAGTGAGTTTCACTGGAATCCTTTGTAGTGCACTTCTCCGTCTTCCAAGAGTGACGTCTTCTTTGGCGTCCATTTCTTTTTCTTTCCTCACGACGCCCTCTATAATAGTTTACACTATTTTCACTCTCTTTTCTTGCACCGGAACGGTGTCTTTGGCCATCCATTAACTTAAATTCACCCAAAAAGCCAATAAAAGTTAACAATACCGTCCAGACGAGTCGCCATCTTGAAATAGGACTAAGTTCCGGTTCTCTCGGGGTAATTATGCCGGTGGGAGGCCTTTTGAGTGGGGGGGGGGTCATCATTAGTTCTCTAATCTCAGATCATCCGTGATTTGTGCGTAATTATTCATGGTCCGACTCTGACCTTGCTTGCAGAATGTGGGTCACATCGTCATATATAACTAATGGCAAAATTAGATCACTGACCAGATGTGACAACGCTTTAGAACAAGATGCATATACGAATTCTGACTAGGAGGGTATTTACCCCTCTACAATTATTTGTTGTAATTTTTATCGTATTTGACGCTAACGCCAAACCAGCGGCGTTGAACGTGAATGACGAGAATTTACTGGACAACGGGGTGAGTACGGAACTAGCGTCGTTGTATCAAAATTAGACGCGCGCGATTGTTATGGCGCGCAAAATGCTAATCACAAATGTTTAAAAAACCAATATTTTACGTGCACCATTCACTGCGTAATTGTAATGCACTTTGACCTTTTAGTTTCTCAGTAAAATGTTAGATCAACATTATCGTAAAATTAATCTACGCGCGACTATGTGTATCAGCCAGTCACGTCTCAGCCTTTTGGGCATAGAGTGAAACAAAGGCTCGAATGACTTGAATATAACATACGATTATCGTTGCAAAGGAAGACGATAAATTACAATTATCCTACAAACTGATATCACAAATGATACCACATAGTACCAATTTGAACTTTGAACTAAAAAATATTGTATGCTGTGGTATAAAGGTTTATAAATATACAGAGTGTCCTAAAAAAACATAATTTCGCGAGAAATCCATTTTCTTATTTACTTCATGACACCCACGTCGTTCTTAAAGCACCAGAAGTATTAGCTCCTTAAGAATTTTAAATAGATACACAATATTTTAATTGCTGTTTTGGGCATAAAACATGTCGAATTGGTACATATGATTCATGCTGCTGATCTACCATTAGAATATGGACCTACCAGAGTAATGCCAGGGTTTATTAATAACAAGTTGTTATAATAGTGATACAGACGTTAGGTCTGCCCCCTAGTTCCTCTCAACCGGCCTTGTCCGTCGGATCTGTGAACTGTTGTAAGCCACATGTTCCAAATCACGCAATAAATTCAAGGTCAAGAAGTTAGTTATAATGAAATAAAAGTCTTGTTGAGTGCGATTCAGAAACTAGATATCGAGATATCGAAGCGTGAGGGTTTTTATCTAATTTAATTCGATAATTTATGTATGGTGAAAGATCACAAGGGGTCTATTTTACTATAACTTACAAGAAGCTTTCTGTCTTGCGAGTGAATTCTTCACGACATACTAAGAATGTATGAGACGTATGTAATTCTTAATTTTGAGCGGTCTTTATCTCTGAGTTTGACAGAGAACACGGCATTTGATTACATTTTATAGTACAAGAGAATAAAGAGTAGTACATGAATTTGTAGACGTACCTACTTAGGATGGCGTTTGCATGATAGAGCAAATTTTCAGTCCAGTTTGCTCACTTTAGCGTATTGTATACAACGAGTGATATTTTTCATAATGGTACTTATTCTGTATATATTTTGAGCACGATTTGTTTTGAAAAACTCTGACGTTGTTTTCGCCTGATGACGCCGACCCACATTCCATTATGATCGCCTGTGGGTAGCCGATGATTCTCTGGGAATATCGTTATCAGCGGTGTTATGCTTTGCCAAGTTCGGTCGAGCTTTGTTAATAAAAATGTCAATAATGTGCATTCAATATAACCGGATAAATCCCTAGAATTAGGTCTTCTTCTATCAATACCCCGTAAACTACAGGTTCAAATCTTTAGTTCAAATACGCACCATAATGGAACATAACAAGTCAAGAGGACTGTACTTTCTCATTTTATTTACGCGGTGTTTTTAATTTTGATATATCACTTGTCAAATCCGTTATCAAGTGAAGATTATCTGTGTCTCAAAAGCTCGGTAACTGCGTTAAATAGCACGAAAATATGGCCAAACTTAAGCCATATAGCCTCGGGCTTTTTATAACAAACATGCGATTGAACGAGAGCATAAAAGACAAGATACAAATGGCTGGTAAAAATGACAAGGCTTTGATGTTATTATTTTCATCTCTTTCAGCAAACTCTGCGCGCTGCTAAATTAACGAAGCTGGGAGATGGCGTTTATAAATGCAACCATCATCATCAACCTGACAAACATTACCAGCAGACTGACGATTACCATCATCACCGAAAAAGACGCTTCACCGCCTCGCCATTTAAATTTAACACGATGGTCGTCTTATGGCATGTGACAAATTTCTCTTCGAAATTACCACAAGATGTACAGCTTAACGTGTTCACAGAAGCTTTCAACAAATGGGACGTCGTGTCAAGATTGAAATTCTCTTACACAGCGAATGCAAATGCAGCTCACATAAAAATCAAATTCTTGCAAAGTATGTAGCTAGCGGTAGCCGGCTTTTTGATAAAAACGGAGTTTGGCAAAATATCTTCGTCGTTGAAATGATTTCAAATCATTTAACTTCATCTTCAGTACCTTCTGAAATGACTTAGTAACATGCAATCATCGCAACATTCATCTGCCACTTGGCAAATAAAGAGTTTTTTCACGTCTTTTTTGTTAAAGCTCGTTTTGACGAAATTACAAAGCGTCAACGAGAAAACTTTGGGTATTTGCTTTGTTTCACAACTTCTGAAAGCATACGATAGCTTTGCAGGGGTTTGCGCAGAGATAAAAAAGGCCCGAATCGCACGGTGCTTGATCAAAACACACAAACAAGACCACAACTGAGTGAAGCACTTGCTCGCTCTATGGCCACTGCTATGCGGTAACCACAAAAAGATAATCTTTTAACACTTGTAATACATCCGATAACGGATTTTTAGCGACAGTAAGATGAAATGATAATATTGTTGTTACCTGCGAACAGCGTAACATTGTTAATGCTGCTTAGTGTCTTTTGGCGTAGAGGATATATAGCTAGTTCCCATTCGTCTTACACAAGTGTTTACTATATCAAATTATCGATTAATAATTTTCATTATAATAGATGATGGACCTGGGGGCACACTGGCACACGCTTTTGATCCACATTCAAGTAATGGTTCTCCTGGTCAAATTCACTTTGATGAGGATGAAAATTGGGTGACAACAACAACAGGCGGAGTTAATTTGAAAGCGCTGGCTTTGCATGAGATTGGCCACGCCATTGGTATTAAACACTCTGACGTCGACCCGTCTATAATGAAAGATGTTATTTCAAACGATGGCACTGAATTGTTTGATGATGATATCGCTGCAATACGTTGGATGTATGGTATGTATTGATAGGGGATCAGAGAAGCCTAGTTCTGCATGTTAACCCCCGTTAATAAGCTTGGTCATTCCACTATATCAATCAGTACTTAACTTACTGAATATTTCAATCCTAGGTAAATGTGAGGTGCGCGATCTCACAGCAGTCTTGCACGATAGATATGGGGCCTCAAGCGACACTGTCCTCGTGATAAACAAAGACAAAATCTGGCGAATCAGAGTAAATGGTGGTGAAATTGAAAACGAGGAAAACGAAAAATGGCCAAAAGACGTTAGAGACTTCTACAGGGCTACAGATCCGATGTACGACAAGGTTTTCCCACTTAGAGGTGCTATGTACATTCAAGTGAGTTGACAGACTTAACATACGGATGTTGGCCAATCAGGCCAAAACATTGAGTTCATCCTGGCAGAGGATGTGACGAGTTAGGAGGGTCGTGGGAATGCGATTTACTGCATTTTAGGCTGAATTTTCTCCTCAGGAGCTGACTATTTCAGCAAAATTCTCCGAGTCTCAAGTAGCTACAAATTCTGACCATTTCTCCTCAATTTTGGAAACTACAGGCCTCGTTCGGTCGTTCCCCGATAAAAGTTTACATGAGTTTTAATGCAGCTATTTCAATTTCATAAAATACGATCTCTTTACTCTTTCAAAGCATGATAACGACGTATACCTCTTTGGACAAAAGCATTTCATTCGCAAGAAGACGTGGAATAACGATCAAATGACAGACGGTCGTTTCTACGATTTCAAAGATCTTTTGAAATATGAAGACACATGGGATGGTTCGATTATTTCATACGTTGAAGGTCCATTATCTTATAACAAAAGCAATAATTTACACACACCTGATATGTATAAGAAATTTCTACAAAATAATGCGAAGTTTGGAGCATCATTTGAGACGGACTGTTGCTTCTGGCAACATTTCTTTTTAAATGGAATGCACTACAAGGTATAGATATATTGTATTGTATTGTACAATGCATGTGTTACTGTTTGTTCATCACGATGTATTTAACTCGCGGTTGTTTCAACTTAAGATATCGTCACACGATTTCAGTCTACTGACCAGTGAAGATATGAGTGTGAATTTCTCGGGAGCGCCGCGCGATCCTGATGCATCATGGTACGACAGTGTGAATAACGAGTGGTATTTCTTCAAAGCAGACAAATATTACAGAAAAGACAACAGTACAGGACTGTACACGGATAGAGGTCCTATCAGTCTACTGTGGTTCCCGGTTTGCGATTGATTAAGAAACGGACCTCTAAATAATTTTTAAATAGACATATATAACGACGGCTTATTGAACCTTTTGCCTTTTTTGACAAAAATGTTAATATTTAGTTTTTAACGTAAACCCAGCCATGTTCCTACATTGGTGAGATCGATAACAGATTCATGACTTGGGCAAAATGTTTAGTAAGTTGAGATTTAGGCTTATGCAGGGTATCATGATTGTCCGTGCATATATAGCGTGGTAATCTTGTGCAGTAATATTCATATGACAATTAACAATATGTTGAGTCGTGAGCGTTGGTCTCGATTCAGAGTGTATTTTAGTCAATGTCAATCAATGACAAATCAGTGTTACTGTACCCTGCTTGCTAGAGATACGAGATCTCACTCTGTATTTATAGTAAATAGGAACAAGAATGTATTTAGGGAACACACAATAACATCATCTAGCGAACAGGTACGGTATTTCTGGCGCACTGTGCATGGGTAACTCTTTTAAAGAAAAGGCAGAATATATCCCACTACTTTAAGAAGTTCATTAGCCGCAAAATTCTGACATGTATCGACGAGGCATTTTTTGCTGAAATAAGTTTTTGTGAAGATAAAGGTGTTTTGAAACAAACTTTCACGTTTTAAGATAATTTGAAAACATGGTCATGTATGCCAGGATGGATAAAAAATACAAATACATTGATGGAATACTCGACTTGTGTTTTTTCCCTTGTTAGCTGCTTAACCTTTTTAATGAAATTAGAATTATTGAAAGGTAAAAAAGTGTTAATTTAGAGGTATGACAAGGATGATGCACGGATGAATTCCTCAGCTGAATCCGGTATTCAATTCATGTAGAAAAAACCCAAAAAAAAACACTATGAGCTACTTCTAACTTCTTAATTTCAAATGAAGATATCATCCGACGTATGTATAGTAGTCACGTTCCTCTATCACCTTCACGCGTTTTTCTCTTCCTTTAAAAGTGATCTTTGTGTCAACTTCTAAAACTCAGAAAGAACGTTGTTAATTTATAATCTATATAATAGTATTCCTGAGTGTTTTCATTTAAACCGCTGCACGCTACCCATGCAAGAATGCAAATCTGTAATGAAAGATGACTAAAACTCTTTATTTAAAAAACCTTTCACGCAACTCCTTCAGTGTATCAAAATTGTCATTATATGTCCAACCATTATTATAATCATATTTAACTACACTATACAAATTGTTTTCATGCTTGCTTGCTTGTCACATTTGAACAGGTTCTACTGTTTTAACAGAGAACCACTTTCCTTAAACGGAACTGGAACTGTGTTATTTGTATTTGCATAGGAAATTCATACAGCTCACTGCTGCCAACACATGTCTCACTGTGCTAAAATGTCCTCCAATAGCAATGGGTTATTGCGGTGTTTTATTCATAACAGATTCAATGATTTTTGCTAACGAACCAACCCAGTCTGTCTGCGCCTTCCTAATCAACTGTCCGCTCAGTTTATTTTTCGTAGCCTTTCGTGTTTGACTTCCTTTGCTTGATTCTCCCGTTGAAGTCTCGCCTTTGTCTTCGCTCTCTTCAGGCGGACTCGTACTGGCTTCGGGAGCGTCGGAAGATGTCGGGACATCCTCGCCACGCCTTCGTTTCGTCGGAGGCGCTCCCGAGGTTTCATCGTGGCCCGATGCTTGTTTTTCGCTTCCACTACCATTTTTAGTGTCGCTCCTGTTTTCGGAAACTTTCGTTTCTTCCTTTCTATTTTCGTTCTTTTTTTGTGTCCCCTCCGTTCTTTTATCATCCTTCTGTTTCTCCTGTTTCATTTTCTGATGTTTTCGACAAACGTCTAAAAGACGTTTCAAACTCGGCACCAGCATCTCGCTGACGTCAGCTTTTTGTGGAGCGGTCGCGGTGAAGAGTAATGACAACACTCGAAGATCCTGAAAACAGAATGCTTTGAGCTCGACACCAGCAAAATTTGATTTACACCAGTAAAATTTGAATTAGCGAAATTGAGGGCAAACTATTATGGTACGCCTATCTTAGGTATGAAGCAAAAGCCTCAATACAGCGTCGAGAAGTAATGAAAAAATGAAAAAAAAAAGAAATAACTCTTACCGCGGTCAAACGTCGCGCAAAATCGTTAAACTCCGAATCTTTCAAATTTTCAGCCTGGTTTTGATCGGCAATTACTGACGTCACCAAGGTATTGACGAGAAAGTTCCACTGGTCGTGAGCGACTCGAGATGAAATCTGATAAAATTAAAAGAAATGCTTTTAAACCTTTGTCTCGGGGGGAGGGTGTACGGCACTTAGGGCCTTGTAGGATGTGAATGCTTTGAATATACAACAATCCTTGACTAAACACAGCGATGACTTATAAAAAACATTGATGAAATACTGTGAACTACACAAAAATGAATTACCCTGGGGAAGATACTGCAGAGGAAAGAATAAGTTGGATTCACATTGATTATCGTCCTCTCTTCGAACAAAATGTGATCCACATACTAAACAAATGAATAAATATTGAAAGTCTTATTCAGGGTGTTTATCAAATCTAGCGATAAGATAAGTCTGACCGCACACCTCAATAAACTCGTTTTGCTGGCAAAGTTCCTTCAAACATACTTTGTATTTCATCATCTAAGAAATGAGAAAAATAATAACTGCTGACGCCAACTACGATCAGAGCAAGGTCAATCCACTTAAAGTCTACGTCAGCTGGTCATCGAAGTTCATTGACTAGTTTCTACACTGTTCCTGAATGATCTAATCACATTTTAGTCGTCACGCGAGCCTCTTTAGTGATGAAGAACTGGCATTATAAGAATGAAGGTTTACAGAGCTTGGCTGCTCATTTAATACGATTAGATGGGCCGTACCTCATGAGATTTGTCGTAAATTTCAGACCATATTTTACAAAACAAAGTGAAATGAAGAGGAAGACCTTCCATCGCCATCAGACAGCCTAATGTTTATACGAAATAAAAAATAAATACAGATATAAATCCTGGGCAACAAACACAAAATATATTGGCACACGCAAGCACGTCTGCTGATCACAACAACCCGGCATTCCATCAATATTGATATAAGCTGGCTAGAGTACTCACTTAATCTGATAACCTCGTTCACTTTGTCGTGCGTCAATCCACAACGTACAAGTTTGTCCACGAACTGGTGATAAGGAAGGAAGTATTCAGCGAGCTCTTTATCATACGCTAAATCAACTCCCTACAAAACACACACAATTTAGACGCTTCCTTTTGCACGACCTTGGTAGGCCAAACGAAAAATCTCGCTGTGAAAAATAATTGTTCCCTCGTCACGATAATTCGTCCTAGGCCAGCTCACGGCACACCTCAGTCTACGATTCTAGTCCATTCAGTCTGTTCACTGGTAATACTCACCTTCTGACAATCAATATAGCTTCTGTGTAACGCCATATTAAGCTCGGGTACCGCCATTTGTCGAGATGATTTGCTGTTCATTGACGCCTTCCCGTGCCGTCGAGGAAAGAATGGCCCCAGAGGAACAAGATCGGGATTCTCCTTGCGACTTTTGTGGGACTGGTAAATAATCGGAACCAGAGAATTGACGCAGTCTTCTTGGTAGATTAAGATAATTGTGTGTAGAACTTCTAAACAAGTGAATAAAGAAAGAGAAATGTCAACTATTTTTTACGACTAACTTTAATATTTATCACAAAAGATGCCACGGCGTAGGAAGATACAATCTTCTCAGTACCTAAACAGGATTTTCGAATCTCTTTCGGGGTGTAAAAATTTAAAAGTGAAAGCAACTTTTGAGCCATGTCAATTCGCTCTGTCCATCCATTTATACTGTTCTTTACGTCTAAAAACAAAATTAACAAGCGTTTTATCACTCTCGCTCGAGAACCGCAGTGAGAATTATTAAAAAGAACTACACTAAATCTGTAAGTTGCATAAAGTCATTGTTTCTGAAGATAGCCTTGCATGGGTGAATAAAACCCTAGTTACTTTACCCACCCCTCCCCCTGTGGATAAAACTTTCCCGCCACAAACCTTGTCTGTTCAAGTGCGAACGACAGCAGTTCAAAATATTTAACATCACCGACAAAACTTCAGTTAGGTCACCAGTCACATGACAGGCTGTTGCTTCATGATACATTAGGTGCAGAGTCGTAAACGCCTTGAAGCAGAATAAAATAGAATGTTTTATTTGAAAAACACATGTTACGTACTGAAGTACAGAAGAGAAAGTTGTCTGATATTGTCCTCAACGATTCAATCGGAATAAATACTTAATGTAATACACCCCCAACAAGCCCCGTTATTTTATAACTTACATCAGCCAAGGACATCAATCCGTTGTTCAGAGCCACCGTCAATTTGTCTTCTTCCGTTTGAAGCAATATTTTTAACGCACTGCAATAAAAATATCAAAAACTAGGTTCAACGTTCTGAGGGTCATTTGTCCATATTTTGTTCGAGATCAGTGGATACATGTACATACTAAATGAGCGTGGTCCAGTGGGATCCACAATCCAATGACGTCATGTACATTTTGATAGTTCGTTCGCGGAAAGTCGCGGCCGCTGTAACTTCGGAACTCTTCGTCAAATTTTGACCATTTCCAGAAAACAAATTCATAAGATTGAACAACTCTTCAACGGCCTGCGTCAACAAGAATATCATTAATACAAAATATGTAGTTTTCTTTATAACAAACCCGAATAAATAGCCTGAATACGCAGGTTCAAATGGGGAACTTTCATGATACCTTAGGATATTGGTTGATTCTAAACGTCAGATACTCAAAAGCCCACGTCATGTTGGCGTGCTTAGCAAGTTCCCGCGTAAATTGTGCTGAGTGTTCACAAGCCAATCGCAATAGACCATAATACACTGGGAGAACATTTCTGTTGAATGCAATCACTTCAGGATCGTCGTTTGAACTAAACAAGAAAAATGTGCAAAAGGCTTCAAACAAACTCTGAAAAAGTACAAGGACACAGTTAATTAGTTGTTACACGAAGTACTCACAGGATGTAATTGAACGGTATGTTTTCAACCACATGACTGGTGTCTGTTATGAACGCTACGTTTTCTTCACAACCATTACAAACGTGATACCAATATGTCAATAGCGCCTGCATGGCCAAAACAAAAAATCTCAGTACACGAAATATAATAGTTGCCATTGATTTAAAATGATTATTAGCTACGAACCTGTTTATTTGGAAATACAGAGATATTTGGTTCTGACATAAGCGGGTGAAACAGCTTCCATATATCAGGGGAGAATGGCGTGAACTAAAAGCGAATAAAAACCATCTTAAGTTTCCATTTAGAGTTCATTCTCGCTCGTGTTTTTCCCGCCACATTCATACCATTTCCTTCTCCTTGCTTGACACAAGACAGTAGTTCAGCACAGCGAAATAACTTGTTAGTTTTGTTGTCCCATGAAGAGTTCGATCTTAAAATGCAGAAGAAGCAGTTTACAAACGAATGAAATGAAACGGGATTCATGAAGTACACGTATTTTGGTGATGATACAACAGCAAGAAGCTTACCACAATATGTCTTCAGCTTGGGCATCAGGTTCAACAGAGTAACGTAAACCTAGGAAGACAAATCTCTTTAAAAAATTTCCCCATCTCGCTTGAAAGATTCTGTAGGAGATCCTAACGATCGTCCTCTATCGTGACGCGTCTACTACTTTGATCGAAAGGTTGTTTTAATGGTAAATTTCTACTTGAAGGTTTTGGATTCTGTTCATACCTCGTGGAGCACCGATTCCGCATCCGACGAGAACTAAAATTGATGGAAACGAGAAAGATTCTGTCAGAAAGCGATAAATACAAATGTATTGGAGTGTTAAAACCTTGTACGGAATGTATACCTGAATGTCCTTTTGTGGAACGACAAATGACTTCGTTCTTAAAATAAGGATCGTTGATCGTTAGAAAACAACTACTTCAGAAACTTAATGTAGAATCCCTTACCCGAAACGAAGTATTATTGTAGGAACGTTTACCTGAATCCTGTTTTGAAAGGGTTGTTGGGTATCAGTGCAATCAGCAAATACGCAGAATCTAAAGGAAAAATCCTGGATTTCATATTTCTACCAACATAAATACAAATCTTTCACATGATGAATCTTTTTGCTTTCTCATAACGAGAATTATCTATTGGTATGCTGGTCTCAAGTGGTGAACTGGACCTGAAAGCCAGCAGTGGCGTACTCCAGTTTAGTTTATAGTTTTCTTCAGTCATCAACGTACCATTGCGAATACGAATACTGTTGTCAGCGACGAGAAACGGCTCGACCCAAGTGTCCATGTGATTCAAGACAAACTGACGGGCCTAGCGAAGAAGCAGAATTATGCATGAAGAATCTTTCAACGCGGCCTGATTTTTTGTTTTCATCCTACCATTTTATTCTTGGAGACAGCAGTTTGAAGCCATTCCAGACACACAGAAGCATTGTATTCGGCCGCCTAAAATGCAAAACGTCAATCAGAGTCTGACATTTGCATGAATTCATTGGTTCACGTTATGGAATAAAGTAGAAAAGAGTATTTCACCTCCCAAATTCTTGCCAAGATTAGTTTCGTGAAGGAAGAGGGACCCGGAGTTCCGGCACTAAGTTCAGTGAGGTTGTTGAGCAACTTAAAGAACGGCTGAGTTTGCTGAAAGAAATAAGTTATGATAGACCTCAACTACTTCATGTAAAGATCTCTGGCTAGTTTCACGTGAATTTTCAGATCTTATCAGGAGAAACGCTGAATACTAGCTGCCAACTTACCTCTGATGAAAGTCTCTTCACCGAGGACATCAGCGTTGATACGATCTAAAACACACAAGATCGCAGTTATCACTAAAAAGTATGTGACCTCACATGCGTAGAAAAAAGCTTGCCCACCTATAGCCTGGGGGCAGCTAAACAGCTAAACGAATCAAAATACTTACATTTTCAGCAAGTTCTTGGTTATGAAGGCATAATGTAAACACAAGATTTCCTGTGTGTTTAAGATTCACTGCATCCTTCACAATCTCAAAGATGAATGGATATCCCTAACAAAATATAGCACGCTATATGTAATAGTTATTCCTAGCGTGGAAATTTGTATAAAGTGCAAGTACCTGGCCACCAAAGAGAGCTTCTTTGTCACTCTCTGATAACTGGACTTCTTTTCTGCAGAAAAAAAGATCACAATGTTACGGACTGAAGCTATCATGGTCTGAAATGAATAATGTTAAACACTCACGATTGTCCTTTAGCTTCCTCAACCAAATACGCTATCACTGTCACCATCTTCTCTAGGGCGAACGGTCGGAATTTCTCTTCGGGGAAGATCGGAACAACTTCGTCGTCGTCATCATCAACGTCATCATCTTCGCCCACTTCGACCTGAGAAATAGGACGTGAAAGTTTAGACACAAAAGACCCGAAGAAGAAACGTCTTAGGTAAAGAGCAAGAGCTATTAGAGCGAGTATTATTACAGGTAAACCACGTTTCTTGAACACAAGACTGGTGTGTTTAATGAAAACATTCTAGCATCTGTCTGCGTTAACACTCACCGGATCGTTCGACTTTAGTTTGAAGAAGAAATTCACCAAAGTTGTTATAGCATTGACTGAGATCAAATATCGCCTCTGAAAGACAAATATAACATAAAATTATAGAAGAGATTAAACATGTATTGAACTAAGCAAATGACGACAACAAACCTCTTCGCTTCCCAACTGACAGAACTGATTTAGGAATGAAAATAACTCCGTCATGTTTTTCATGTGATTCTTTACGTTTGTTGTAAGCTGTGAAAGAAAGACACAGCACAGGTTGAATTCTGCATACAGCAGCTATATATGAAGACCAACTAGTTGGCGGTCCTGATAGTTTGACCGCAATAAAATGTACGTACCAACTTGAGAATGGCTTGGACAAAGTTTGTCACAGAGCACGAGGCGACGGGCTTCTGGCTGCCATTTTCACCCCTACAAAAAAAAAAGAAATGTTATCCTTGGAGAATCATCAGAATTTTTACGTTCTTCCTGGTTCACTTACTCCTTTTGCGATGAACAGTAAAGAGCTACTTGTGATGGTCGAAGGATCTGAATGACGTGAAGACACAGACGAGCAAACACCTTAACAAGAAAACATGAAATGACAGTGAGCCACTGATCTGCTGCAGTATCACTGGACGGATAAACAACAGTAATACAGCCAGTGGTACTTGGATAGTTCAGCACAGAACTGCTCTGCTTTGATCAAACTGGTTGGAGGAAGACATGAAGGGCTTTAGTATGTAGGACATTTCATCACCATGGCAACTAACCTGTCTCGTAGCCTGCACAGGACACCTAAGTAATATTTGATGTAACCACCAGCTGTCCTCCGCCATATGATCTAAAAACCATTGACAAGCATCGCGACTGTTGTCGAAGTGAACGACAAGCATGTCACTCCATCCTTTTAATCCTGGCTTTTCTTTTGAATGAATAAACGTCTCGAGCAGGAACGATGTTGCAAGCTTCACGTTTGAAAGAGAAGTCTGTGAACTCTCGGTAAATGTGGGAGCAATCTTGCTGCATAATAACCACATAAAATTGAAATAAGTCAAGTCAAATATTTGTTTATCGCGAATAAATTGAATATTGTCTTTCCAAATCCACGAGGAAAGGTCAGGATCCATTTCACCAACACTGGAGACGGTTTCAGCCGGTCGAGTTTTCTCCTCGCGTTCGTAAAATAACATATAAGCACTGTGGGTTTTCTCGAATGAAAAGTCCAGGAATTTCTCCGTCACAGCATCGTACGTTTTCGTCTAAAATGGAGAGAGGGTAAAAGATTTAGGTCAATACGAGATTGAGCATTGCTTTCGTATCACCTGTTAATTTGCAGGGGTTTTTAAATGTTTCATTCTACGAATATTTACCATCATCTCTCCCCCGAAACATTCCGATGCAATTTGTTGTGGATCAAACGGTTTAACCTCGGCATCATTGAAAAGGAACCAACGATCATTCTGTCCTGACGTCCTGTCTCGTATAAAACTGTAATAATGGCCGCCCTCAGCCGTCCCCGTGTGAACAACAACTCCGATTAAATTATAAACATAATTCAAGTCTTTTTCAGGATCTGTGGAAGGAAAATACACGAATATCAATTATTTTCTTGCATTACTTTGGGGGCGAAGAGTGCTATTCGTATATATTGTTATTTTGTGTGGCTCCAATGCCGGGGGGGAGTTGATCAGCTACCTTGCTCTTTCTTATCACCCATTAAATATTCCTCGGTGTATGGCGCCATATGCAGTTGCCTTGGAAACGAGAAATGCGTGTTTACTTTCTCCTTCATCATCGTCACCATGTTGAAAGTGTATCGCATTGTGTTGAAGCACAGAATACGTGGAAGAACCTTGAAACAAGCCCTTTTGAAAGGAAATACAAAGCAGTTTTAGTACACCAAACCTTTTCTACCACAAGCAAATAGTCATATCAAGTATAAGTTAAAAATAGCCTACCTTTTTTCGGCTCTGACTTTCTTACCGCATTGGGAACAAGTGTACATGTTATCACCTTCAAGAGTATCCTTGATTGTTACCTCATCAAGTGATTCCTAACATGAGAAAAATACAATCGCAGCAGATCTGTCAAGTTCAGTATATGATGGTAGATTTCCACTGAGATTATCTTTACAGAACTTACGTATAAATCTTTCATGTCTGCAACCGTGCACCTGACTGAGAAGAACTCCTCTTTGGTTTGACTGACATGAGAACAATCCTAGCAAAAGGAAAGAAAAGGGTTATCTGAGATCGTATCATCGTATTATTCCAGCGAAATCATCTCATATTCTTACCAATGAAACAACGTTGTTGCTTATCTCTCCACAAAACAAATCCCTGACAAGTTCTCTCTAGAAAAGAAAGAAATGGTCGAAGCCATTTTAGTTTCACCTCGATAAAACGATGATCTGGTGGTTTTGTTTCATACAAAATACAGTTCATCTGCGATTATCATTTTGCTTCTAGACGTCTTCTAATATATTTTGCTCCGCTTAACCTTGAACAGAATTTACAGGACCAAGGTTCATTTGGAAACTACATACCATATCTGGAGACATATCTTCAAGCTTCGTGATAAGATCAGTAAAAAATTCATTCATATCTTTCTGTTCACCGGTATTTAAAGGTTTCTTATCCATGATATACGTCTTACAAAACGACCTTGGATTGTACGCTTTTCGTTCACTTTCCTAAGAAAAAAAATATGCTTCTCTTCAAAATATTCCGCAGATGATGCAATTAACACATGATTCAAACACTTACCATTAAAAAACAAAACATTTTCTGCATTTCTTTTAAAGACGTGTCCAATTTCTTATTCCCAGTCGGCTACACAGGATAGAAAAAGGTTGTTTTTATCATTGTTTCCTGGTTTGTTCACGATATAACATACAGCTCTCGTGCACATTTGTTTGGTTCGTTCCTCTTCAAAAAATGTGGCTGAAACACTCCTGTAACGACATTCATACCTGTACTTTAAGAATAGATGCCCGAGCTTCAGGCATCATGTACAATTGTTGCATACAAGACGCCATGTAACAAGTGGCACCGAGATTTATCATTCCAGCGAGACCACACGAGGAGCGACAGTTATCATGAGGCCAATAATGCCAACCATACGACACATGATGACCACTTGACTGACTGAAATTCCACAAACAATTGTTTGCATTCTTTAATGACACAATTCCTAAGAGAGTTCTGTAGGATATACGAATATCGAATACGAATATACGAATATATACGGATATACGATTTTATAAATATTCATGTATTTCAAAGGTCTCGCAAAACTCTAACCTGAAGAATGATGCTTGAGAAGTAAATTTTGAAGTTCGGTGAAGTTCTTCTCTGAATCTCGACTGAGGTCCAACAGAAGATCAAAAGCAGCGAGTCGCGAAGACTGGATGAAAATGAAATATTTTAGTCTGAGTACCCACAGAAGCCTGGGCACTATATTGTTAAGGTGTTCAACTACGTTACTTACTTTAGAACGACATTTGGGAACAACATGGATATCACTGGAATTTTTAGGCAAATCAAATAGACAATGGAGGAATAAATCTTTCATAAACTCCTATAAAATATCGTAGAAAATACAGAATATTTAATCACGTTTTCTCTCAAAATAATCAGTGATTATTATTACTAGACTGTATGGATAAATACTTTACGCAATGTTTTGGTTGAGTTAAACTTGAAGAGACGTGAAAGCATAAATCATTGCACTTTATAAACAACTGAATACAACCTTAAACATTTCATACATGCATGACAAGAATTCCTTTCTTACCAAGCTCTTATCGGAATCCTTAAAAGATGGATTTTGACGCACAACAGCCGCACAGAGTTTTAACATTCCGCTGAGAGTTTCATCTTCATAAGAACTGCGACCTTTCTCCAGACTTTCATGACTACACGTTGAAGGAAAACAAATCAAAATGGCAGAATTTCAATGCAATATTAAATGATTAAAAATAATGTTGTATGATTCAGCAGCATACCTGACAATGGACTCGGCGAGATATGAGGCAAGTGAATCTAAGCTTGTCTGCAAAACCTTGAAAGATACAAATAGCAAAGTTAAAACGGAAAAGAAAAGATGAATGGAGGTAACTCAGACCGAGGCGATAAGCTTCGAAAAGACTAACTTCTTTCTCGGTTCTCTTAGAAGGTAAGGTGTCCACAAGTCTCAGTAAAAGGATGAAATATTCTCGGCAACTCGGGCCGACTGTTCTCGTTCCAGGAATTTTAACGCACTTCATTCTTCTCGCAAGAGGCAGGAAATTAAGAAGCGCTTCAAGCAACATATTCACGTTTGAGTTCTCTTTGATCAAACACAAGTTGAAGAGACCGCGACTAGCCTCGTAACGAACAGAATGCTGCATAAAACAATGAACGTGTTATAATGCATGTTGATTGATTAAAGATGTTAGAAACAAATTGTCATAATGGAGCTGGAATGAAAGACAATATGTGGATTGTGGAAGCTTGATAGTGTACTCTTTCAAGAAAACCCCGACTTACCTCAGGGGCTAAAAGCACCAAGCGCTGTAACCAGGGCTTCAGTTTTGGATGGTTGACTAAACTGTTGAAAACTGAATTATCTGTATGAGTCCATGACACCAGCAACTGCATAGCGTGATAAAGAACTGCGATGAAACGAGAGGAAACGCGCAATTAAAATAAAACATAACACAGTTCTGACTCAACGCAGACTAACGCTACACATTGAGGGATGTTTAGAGACAGTAGGGGGAAGATACCTTCAGCACGGGCTTGATTGGGTTTCACAGGATCCCGATGTGACGTCACTGTTGATTCGTATAATGTCGTCATCAGCGCTTCAAGACATCGCTTCTTGTCAATCAATTCAATGATGTTCTAAGAGATAAAAAACAACATAACGACATCAGCTCATATCATATCACTTATCCACCGATAAGTTCTGTCCTTAAATCTATCTATCGAGCTTTGTGAGAACAAATATCATTCTTCAAACCTTTGACAGGCAATCCACTTCGACAATCTCGTCTTTATCCGTACTTTTGTTTCTAATTCTGAACTCTTTATACGCAGTCGATATCCTCGAGCCTCCCGGTGATCCATAGGTGACCACGAATACCTCCTGTTCATCTGGTATAAGCTCACCAGATAGCTTGAGTGTACCGAACTTTTTGATGAGATTTAAAAGTGAGGCGAGGCACTCTTGATGAGACTGGGTCCAGGATGGGTTATCCTGCACAGAAGGTGGGGAAAGGGGTATATGAGACGTGCACATTAGAACACAAATTATAAGAGAGATGTCTGTATGAGAGAGATATGCCCGCATTAGAGGTGTCTGTATTAGAGAGATGTTCGTATTGGAGAGTTATGTTTTTCATACCTGTATTAGTAAGCACCCACTTAGGAAAATATCAAGTAGATGACCCAACCCCCCGGATTCGACGAACCGCCGACTCCAAATATGAGACTTCTCGACTTCCAATTCTTGCTTGGACTTCTTCTGCGGGACGGGGGGTGCTTTCTCCTCGGAATCATCGTCTATATCCGAGAGATCAGAGTCACTGCTGAAGTCACTTTTTTCGTTATCTTTAGTGAGGTCTTCCTCAAACGATCGTTTGGCAATAGAATGAACGATTTCTAAAGCATAGAGCAGCTTGTTTGGACAGGAGGGGTCTAACAATAAACTCCAGTTAACTTGATCAGATTCTTGAGAACCCTATTGCAAAATTAAAAAAAGCTGAACTAAGTATATTGATCACCGAGGAAACTTGTTTTTATCCTTTAGAATGAAGTTTACCTCAGAATGTCCAAAGGTTTCCAAGTTCTTTCGAATGGAGAAATTCGTGGGTAGAAACATGAGTAGGTCCCAGACCATGTGCGAGAGATGCTGGACTTTAGACAGTGTCGCTGAATCATCGTAAATAACTTGAGAATTTAAAGTTTCCTTTTCGTAATGTTCCGTGTTAATTTCTTCTGAATCTGACAGAAAAGTATAAGAATAACAGCCTCAGAACTGAGAGATTCAAATTCAATTCAATTCAATTAGAACCAACTCAATTAGAACCAATTCGATTAGAATCAATTCAATTAGAACCAATTTAATTAGAATCAATTTAATTAGAATCAATTCAATTAGAACCAATTTAATTAAAATCAATTCAATTACAATCTATTCAATGACACTCTCTCATTATTACCTAGTTTACTGAAAGACGTTAGCTTGACAATCTCCGACGTTTTTCTTTCCTTACAGATGAAATTTCGCAACAGTTGTATGAGATCAAATAACTGGGTGAAGTTTGGTTCCTCCTGCATAATAAATAACGGGATGGATTCCTGGTTTGGTGTTGGAAGCAAAGACGAACCACAGAGATTGCTGTCGTTACTACAATCACGTCTACCAGCACCCACTGACACAAACACCAACTAAAGAAAAAAATAATTGAATGAAAACTAGACAGAGGAAGACAGAGGAAGGTAGTGGAGTAGGGAGGATCAACATGGATACAACGAGTGGAGGGAATCACACAAATGACCGACTTAATCCTAACCTGAAGATCTTTAAAGCCGACTTCACCAAGAGACTTCTCATCCAGTTCAGGTGTTAATTCGTGCCCCTGTGAGATCAGTCGGAAAGGTGGAGTGAGGCCGCCTGAGAACTGCGAAAAAGAGGAGTCTGGGGACGAGAATACAGGTTGCCCAATCTTGGGTACATCTTGATCTTGCTTCATCTGGTCTCGTTTCTCTTGAATTTTCTTACACCAGCACGTGACCTCAGCACGTAACTCAGCCACCAGGTCCGTGGAGGACATCTTGAATGTTCCCTGACGAGAAACAACGAGAGATTGTTTGCTTTCTATTCTCCTGTAAGCTCGACACATCACTCATCGCGGGCTACCCCTTCCCCAACCCCGCCGCAAGTGAATCAATCCCTCTCTATGATATCGACTATCCTTCGTTTACCTTCTCCGTCAGTCCTGCAGGTTGACAGACAACTCGAATGGGGTAGATCTTCTCGTTGTTGTGAATCTTGGATTGATGTGGATGAATTCCTTCACCTTCAAGCGCGCGAAGCTTCAGGTGATACGCAAATCTAAATACAACACGTTACGTTTACCATAAACAAGGTCTGGCAGGTTTTCAACATCGATTTTCATATCAAACGTTTTTACTATTACACGTCAACAGTTCGACATACAACTTTTAAATTCTGCTTAAGCAAGCTTCAAGATCAATGCAAACCTTTGTTTGAATAGCTTCAGATGTTCCTTCAATAATGTCAGAGCTCTCTCCATCACTTGTAAACTTACTGCAGGATTCTACAATAAAACAAGTTCAGTCAAAGGTGGAAGCAGAGGAAACTGGCTAAAATAAGATAAACAACTGCCAAACCTCGTTGAATGTCGCGGAAGCATTCTTTAAACTATCCATACACTGTTGAATGAACTCTCTCTCCCGACGAAGACTTCCCTTCTCGTCTGTAAATTTTAAAATATGACAAGAAAGCATGAAAAAAAAACTGTTAAATCACAAACACAACTTTAGAAATTGATAATCGATTTACGATGACTAACCATTGATGTAAAATGAATTTAAAAATGTGATTGCAGCTTGACTGACTTCGCTGGATTGCGCAATCAAGGCAATACTCCAGAGTTGACCCATTCCAGGTATCTAAGATCAGAAATGAGCGTTAGTTGATGAATGTTAGTGGATGAATAAGGGTATATAGGTATTTCAACGTACACACCTTGCAGTTACCAGTTCTCTCTTCGTTTAGAAAGAGAGAGAATAGTTGTTGAAAGAGATTTAATCCCGTCATTGAAACAGTCTGTGGTTTCAACGCTGACATCTAAAAAAACAAAACAATCAATAGATATTCCGAGAGGCAAGGAATTATATGATATGATTGTTCGCTGTTATAAAACATTTGCGGTTCGAAGTTATTTCCATTTCTACTGCTTATTTATAAGACGTAAAATCCAACTGCATCATATACCTTGTCTTTGAAAATGTATTTAAATGTTGAGACATCCAATGCGTGGAAATCTTTATTTCTTGCCTGATTCACAAACCAATCTAACGTGTCATCAGAACATTCCTCGTCTTCAACCAAACATGACCAAAGTAAATCCACTTGATGCGAAGTTAATCCTGTGAAATATTAAATAAAAAATACAAATAACTTATAAACAACTAATACAAAAGCTAATAAACTACGCCTCTTGCGAATCAATTCCCTCACTATTTACACCTTGGTGAGAGCTTTATCAAATCTAGTCAGTTCATTTTTCCAAGATACACAATCAGTTCTATGCTTCATCCCTCGTGAACTTACTAAATTTTTGAGGCGACAGGTCAGTGGAATAAACAGATGTCAAGAATTGAAGCCTGGCTTGAACTTCGTCATAATGATTGAAAAACGAGTCACTCGTTCCACCCTCGATCTCTCGCTGCTGACAATACTGCACAAGATTTTCAAAATATAGTTTCATCATGTTGAGCTTCTTGTTCGCCCATTCCACAACGCCGTACATGCTCGTTCCTCCGTTTAATTGTTGAAAAGAACAGAAAAGTTTTGGTAGAAGCCCAAGGGACAAAACGACAGACCTGGAAATGAAAAATTGATGGTATTCTTTTATGGGATGATCTACCGGATAAGATTGACAGTTGAGGGACTGTAAGAGAAGATATATTTGAAAAAAACGTACTTATTTTGAGCTAAATTATCAAGGCATCCTTTCACAAATTGAAGACGAAGTTTCCTCTCTCCAGCATAACAAATAAGTTGACAGAGAAGCTTCTCAGCTTCTTGTAATAACCCGTCCTCGAGTTGACACTAAAAACCAAGCGAGATATTGGATCATATGATAGGAGGGAAAGCAGATAACCACAGAAAGATAAACCCAGCAACCCTATAATAAAAAACTCACCGCATTTTTATCTTGGACGATATCCCACAACAACGTCTTCCCTTCAACACAAACATCTTCCAGACGAAAGTTGACTTTCTTACTTTCCCCAGACACACACGCGACCTCCTCGATATCCTGATGTTTACAGCCCAGTTCCTCATCATCAAAATCTTCGAGGGCAGCACGATCAGAACACGTGAGCGACTCGTGACTATCACTGCTGCTACTGCCTGAGACTTCCTTCATATTTTGATCTTGACTGTAAACGATCGTGGATCCAGTGAACTCCCTCTTGACTGTATCCGAGATCTCCTCCTGCGGGTCACTGAAATTGAAGAAGATTTAATCATCGACCCCACAGCGTCCGATAGAGATTCTCAGTGTATTATTGGTATATTGCAAGCTCTAACTAGGAGAAAAACTAACAACTATCCTAAAACATCCAGTATACAAATTATCAGTATATTGTGGGTGAAATTGGGACGTCTAACTGGTCTAACTGGGAGAAGAGTCTGTGAATTCATTCACGTTGACAGAGGTACTACATTGAGTGTGAATGAAGATTACCTGCGTCCAGGCAAGGCGGTATCCAGGCTCACATCACTGATTGTGCTGGTACTGCTTGGACTGCCAATTGAACTGTTGTTTGGTTGGATAAGATTCGTGTGAAGAGACGCTGCTACTGCGGCTGCGGTATTTGCTAAAGAAAAATCCCCGATTACTTAATCCGGGATTAAGTGATCTCTTTTAACGAAACCCAACCCCTAATCTAGGGAGAGGGATAGGAGGAGGAAAGGAGAAGATCAGGAGAAAGAATGGATAGAAAGGGGAAGTAGAGGGGAAGGTAAGAACATGAGAAGGGGAGAGGAATTCACCCAATGCATACCTCCAACAACAGCAGTGGATGAAGTTGGACTGTTTCGTCTTGCCATCTCTCCTTGCGTGTGTTGATGATGATGGGATGAAAGAGCGTTATTCCAAACCATTCTAGTCAACACTAACGCCAGGCAAAGTGTTTGCTTGCTGTGAGAGGCCACAGGTAAGCTAGACACCAGGCCCAGAAGATATTGTATCAACTCCGTGTCAAGATGTTTCGCCAAAGTTGTAAGAAGATCATGAACGTAACGACTCGCGTGTTTGAGCTAGAGTCGAAAATATTTCATATTCGTTTAGAAAAACCATCAAATATCATAAACATTTCTTTTAAATATGTTCCAATACTTATAAACATCTGACTATATATAGACTGTTCTGGTGAGCGGTTCCTTTTGAAAGGATATTACAAATGATTTACACGCAAGGTCTGTTTTTAAACCAACCTGTGCAGCGGCCCAGATGCATTGAAGATGCTGGTTTGTTATTTTTGCTTCTTGCGCAAGAAAATTCAAAATCACTTGAGACTGTTTGAGCAACTGTATTAAAAATAATAAAATAATCATCGTAACGATAAAATATAATGCCGCTGGCCTGGGTAGCGTGACTAGGGTCTTGAAAGATCTCACTGAAGTGGATAAACGTCGGTTTCTACCTCAACGTGTAGGTTCGGGCCAAACAAATGATCCACGATATTTATTTCCACTAGCCACGCGGCTAACTCGGCACACATTCTACAAGAAATTCAAAAGAAAAATTTGTCAACATGGCGGATTATTTAGCAAAACAGATGTTCAGGAGCTGAACTATTTGAAATACTCTGAGTCTTGCCAAGGGCCTTCAATAAAATCACGAAGATATACGGAACAGTAAATTTGATTTTCTATCTTCACTCACTCGTCAACATCGACGGAAACCTGAGTATCGTTGTGGAAGATTTCAATAAATGCATGAACTTGATTCTGAAACAGAAAATTAAAACATTACAGTGTTATATAGCGAGATCAAACTGTCTCACTCTGGTAACAAATGCGGCTTTCTACCGTGATTTGGTTCAGTCCAGTCAGCCTCACTGTCAACGTCGATGATGTGAAATAACGAAAGGCGAGCTCCATACTGTCTCTGAATAAATAATACAAGACTCTAGTTGTTAGGCAGAAACTCAGAAACAGGCTGTCAAATTGAAAGTTTAGTAAACACAGTTGAAGTACCACAACTTGAATTTGCAGTTTTGTGAATGTATGTTTACTGGAGTGATACTGGTATAGCTACAAATGTTCGCACCTGTCAAAGATCAGACTGTATTGCGGAGGACTTTTCACTGTCGTCCACATTGTATCAGCCATTAATCTTCTTTCTGATAATCTCAGCTCTTTATCTGTCAGCTTACAAAGATATCTAAAACATTGCACAAAAATTTAGTTCTATTATTGAATGATTGAAATCTTTACCGCCTCATTGATGTGTTCTCTCCCACCTTATTACTGATCCTCTTAGAGGCATAATATGCTGTACAATGGCCTTCACATGAAACCAAACACGTAACTAAAGAAAAAACAACAACATTTAAACAACAACCTATGGTTCATGGTTATCGTGTGATAGTTTAATGGTAGGTGCATGGTAACTCAATGGTGTCAGAGCATGGTAACTCACGTGGCGAGCGATGGGAAGCTGGTATATGGATGGTGTCAATGCTGTTTCATTTCTCCTTACCTGTTGAACTATACAGATGAGGCTGTGCGCCAACGGAAGAGGGAAGTTTGTTGGGTCTGTTTCACGAAAGCATGCATGTATCAACGTGAGACCTTGATTTTCACAAAAATATACAATATAATACAAAAGAATATCTGAAATTTCTCCCTCCTAAAAAGTAAAAGAATAAGACAGACATGTGAGTTGATGATGTTCAAATTTGTCTAATCCAGTAGTTGTTGAGAGACTTACGTTTATATCACAATATTTGCTGGTCAGCTTCTTGTCCACACGAATTTGTGCCTGTAGTCGAAAAGTGGAGGTTAATAAATATCTGATGATACCAATGGTAGAATCACCGGTTCAATAAACTCACAGAAGAATACATCTTGTGAACTTTATACAACGGAAAATTGATCTGCAGCACTTTAACTATGGACATGAATATTTTCATCGCTTCATCGTCCGTCCAATTATCATCCTCGGGCTCATTGTCCTTGTCTTGGGCACCTTGCTCGTTATTCTTCGCTTGTTTATTCTTGTGATTTCGAACTCTGTGTTTGAGATACGCCAACGCCACATCGATCAAGATTTTAACAACTTCTCTCAGTTCGAGCAAGTATGGGTTCTCTTTGAAAATACATTTGCATTGGCTGTGGAAATAAAGAGAAGAATATACAACGCTTGTCTATGCTCTAAGATGATAAATGTTGTTTGTTGGTTGTAACCAGAGAATAAGAGCGTTTCAGTGAGTACTCGTAAGTTCTCACTCCAAATTAAATATGGAGCTCAGTCAGCTTGGATGAGGCTGAAATCGACGAGCTCCATACATTTACCTGGAGTGTGAAATTGCATTAAAAAATGATGGATTTTGAACTCACGAACCAAGAAAGAAAAAAAGAGAGCCTAGGGATAGTAATCTATATTTGAGACTCTGGGAACGAGGTTGACCTTCAACATTCTTGAAGAGGCACGTAATTAAACACGCTGCAAATAATGGGCAAGTTCAAGTTCAGCTGTTATATTAAAGTATTCATTAATGTTTCTGCTCGTCCCATGATGATTTAAACATTGTTAATTAATTGTTCTTCATATAAATGTTATTACGCGAAAGATACTGTCAAAGCTTTTCTTCACGAGCAAAACAAATAACCTGGCTATATGAAATAAAACAGAAGTCAAACATAATTCATATTGAAACACCGCAGTCCAGAGATGGAAGTCTAGGTCAAAAATTTAAAGAAAACATGGCAGTAGATGCACAGAAAATCATCTTAACTATCGCTGTTATCTTGGGAGGTGTAGGGAATATCGCTGTTATCATCATGATATGCCGACGACGAAGCCTGCTCAAAAACAACCACTATTATCTGATTCTTCACCTGGCAATTTGTGATTTACTCCATTTACCGTTTTTCATGTCATACGTTTATTCTCTCATCAGCGCCGCCAGCTCCTCAACGTCTTTCTTTCATTGTATAATCTGGCAACCCGCACAAACGGCAACTTTCACAGCTGGAGCAAATTTTCTTGTCTTTATTTCCATGCTTCGCTATCGCGCAATCATGCATCCGTTTAAACCTGGAACCAGCCAGAGAACCATCAGATTGGTGTCAATGTTGGTCTACCTGTGGGCCTTGATCTGCATCGTTCCATACGCCATGGTACGAAGATATGACGCTACCCATGGTCGTTGCTACACGGAATGGCCAAGGAAATCACTCAGGATTCTTTACACTGTATTCCTAACGAGTGTTCAATGTTTAATACCTTCCCTATTGCTGGCTGTCATCTACTTTAAGATATGCAGGAAACTTGTTTCCCAGAACAGAAAGCATGTTTTCAACCAGAATCATTGTCAAAACACGAGACCACCTACTTTATTCCAAAGTTTAAAACTTCGGAATACAAAAACATTCCTCGTTTGCCTCATTATCGTCATCTGTTTCATAGTTTCCGCGTGTCCACTGCAGATTATGTGGATTGTGGTTGCAGCAGGCAACTCAATCGTACCAAAAAGATACAACACTGGATTAATCGCCTTGTATGTATTTGGAACGGCGGTTGTTAACCCGTATGTGTACGGTGCATTTGATTCAAAGTTATTTTCTCTTCTGAAGCGCTGCAAACGAAGATAAGAATACCTGGGTGTTCTAACCACACGTAAGACAACCTCCGATGAAGGATCACATAATGCTAAACCCTACTTCATCACAAATAGAACTTCTTCTAAGAGTATTTGTCTTATATGCATGCCGTCCGTTCACATCAACGGGAAGAAAAGTATTTGATTCACGCTATTTGTTGCTATTTTTGATTAGTAAGAATAGCATTTTACCGCAAATACATTTAACAATTGTTTGTGTTTTTTCTGCTGTATGCTTTGAACCAACGTATCATGCAGTAATTTCTAACTGGAAATTGAAATAAACAAGAGATTTTCAAGCAAAAAGTGACGATGCATTGCACTGCTTTAACGTAACCACATTTCTCAGCTAGGGTAGTTGTTTGGTATTGGAAGAGTTGACTGTAGTGGAAATGTTGAAGTGCATCTTAATAAGGAACGCTGTAAACATTGCCACCTGCGTGTGTGATCAATGTAATAAGTTTTTCCACGATATTTACTCTGCTTACACGATTTTAATAACATATGTTAAAATGACACGAGTTATTTGTTCATGTGGTAATAAAAAAGGGAAACACTGATCAAAATTAAAGTCACAGCCCGGAGGTGGACGTCTAGACACACGACAGTCGAAATCCATGGCAGTTTATACAAAAAACGTTGTTCTCAGCATTGTTGCCTTCTCAGGAATAATTGGTAATATCGCTGTTATTATCATGATATGCCAAAGACGAAGCAAGCTCACAAACAACCACTATTATCTTATTCTTCACTTGGCAATTTGTGATTTACTCCATTTACTGTTTATTATGACAGACACTTATCCACTATTTACACCTCCATATTCCATGTCGTCAGCATCTTCTTTCTTGTGTACGACCTGGCAACCAGTACAGGCTGCATCCTTTATTGCTGGAGCAAATTTCCTGGTTTTAATTTCCGTAATTCGCTACCGTGCAGTCATGCATCCACTTCAGCCTGGTACCAGCAAGAGAAAGGTCAGATTGGCGTCAATCTTCGTCTACGTATGGGCCTTGATCTGCATCGTTCCATACATCTTAGTGCAAAGATTCAACGATCACTGCTACGAGAAATGGCCAAAGCAATCTCTAAACATTGTTTACACTGTATTCCTAACGAGTGTTCAATATTTAACACCTGCCCTAATGCTGACTGTCATCTACTTTAAGATATGCAGGAAACTTGTTTCCCAGAACAGAAAGCATGTTTTCAACCAGAATCATCGTCCAAACACGAGAACACCTACTTTATTCCAAAGTTTAAAACTTCGGAATACAAAAACATTCCTCGTTTGCCTCATCATCGTCATCTGTTTCATAGTTTCCGCGTTTCCCCTGAAGGTTATGGGGATCATTTTTGCGGCAGGTAATTCGCAAATAGTAGAAAGTCACGGCGCTGGGTTTACCACTCTTTACCTGTTTGGGATGGCAGTTAACCCGTACGTGTACGGTGCATTTGATACAAAGTTGTTTCCTTGTATCAAGCGCTGCTCAACGAAGACAAAAATGCCTTGGTGTCTCAATCGTGAAGCCTGAGAGATCACAAATCAACGTTTTAACAACTTCAGGCAAAGACACTCGAATATTTCACGCCTAGAGCAACAGTTTTAAGCAGTTCTGGGAAACTCCCAAAATTACAGGTCCTACAAGACAGATCATGAAAGATGAAGTTATATATCTACGAGCCAGTGTATATAATTTTGTATCTGGTAATCATTGCAGCATTTGCACTGTACTTTGCATGTATAAACGTACAATTAAATATATAGTCAAATATGTTTTTGTGTTAAAACATGATTTGTCTCAGACCGTCTTCCTCCTCCGTTTTAAAAGTGTCACCAAACTGTTTATAGAAAATAGGTTTGGAAGAGATATCTTTTTCAAAATTTATCCTAAATTTTAAAATTCTATTCGGACGATGCATAATTCAAAGGGGTTAAAATAATTCTGTAGGATAAGATCGCAATGGACAGTTAATGAAATGATACCGTGAAATTGCTTTTTAAATAGGACTAGAAAAATAATTTTGCATGCCCGAAATTCGTCTAAAATCTAGCTCAATGGGGAAGAATTTCGCATTTTGCTAGGGTTTTATTTCTCAAGTGCATGCCTGGAGGCTGAAGAATGAAAGACCTTAATTAACAACGCCATAAATGTGTTAATTGCAAATTGCAAATGTGCTTATTTTTCTTTGCATACATCACGTAATGATTTGATTGAAAGCAGAGACGAACCGTAAACAACTTGGATTTTCAAGAGCGTGTTCACGTCATTCCCCCGAGAGTTGACGTGTAAAAGAGCTAAAAGCTTTAGCGAGTTACACTGGAGAAACTGCTGGAAGAGAACAAGTTTAGAAAACACCTGAGATATAAGACAAATGAAGATATGCACAGATGTTCGGAACAATTATAGCAGAATATATTAACTTGACTTATACACGATAATCTATTATCTTAAACGTTTGCTTAAGACTTTTCATAATTGTGATATTTTCTTTAAACAGTTGTCGGCGACGAAAACTTAACCGGTAGATTCAACTTGTATAATTAAAAAATCAAATAAAATGAAGCGTGTTAAAATTTTACCCATTAGCTTAAACCAGCAGATGCACACGGCTTTATTTTAAGTGATTAGAGGGGCGGTTAAGATCATGCTTTCGACGCGGCAAACGCATGGAAAACAATAGATAATAAAGCGTCTTAAATGATTACGTTTTACTTTTAATGCGTTTCAGTCCTGAAACAACACGATGTTTGTTTGAGCTTAACCTCGACATAGTTCATCTTAAGCTGCTAAAGTACACCACACAGAATTTTCAAGGAACCACGACTCAAAGAGAAAATGAACGAGACGATCCTGTTCGGTTCATTGATGATAATAATTATCATCTTCGGCTCAATCGGAAATGCACTGGTTATATACTCCTTATGTAAGCAAAAGAAACTAATAAAAAGAAACAATCATTACTACCTTGTTCTACACCTCGCTGTCTACGACCTAGTTTGCCTACTGTTTGGCGGAGAATACGCCTACGAATCGCTCAGTGGTAAGAACTTCGCATTTTCCACTCTAATTTGTAAGCTGTGGTCGACAATTCACACATGTTTCTTTATCATGGACGCTGCCGTAATGGTTATCATTGCCCTCATCCGGTACCGCGCCGTTTTCCGTCCACTAGCAGCGCCTTTGAAAAGATGGCATATTAACGTGGTTCTAGGAGCAGGCTGGATGCTAGCTATTGCATGCATGGCCCCATTCTTCTGGATGTTACATTTCTCTCCAAAACCAGAATCATGCCACCCAGATTGGCCTAACAAGACCTTCGAAGTCACCTACACCGTTCTCCTAACATGCATACAATATTTTATACCAGTCATAGTACTGACTTTGGTGTATCTGAGAATCTATAAGAAAATTTCTGAAAACTTCACAGAAACGCCCAGGGAAGATAGCATTCTGGCTCCAAGCGATATGGACGAAAATACTAAAAAGGGAACATGGTTTCAAAAGTTCAGAAACGACCGAAATGGACAAATATTTCTAGTCAGTTTTGCCATAGTTATATGTTTTACAATATCTGCCTTCCCACTCCAGTTGATTGGAATAATAGCCATCAGCGGCATCCCAGTTGATAGGTATCACACCATCTCATATCTCCTGTTTGTTACTGGAGTCTGTTCACTGAACCCATTTATATACAAAGCTTTGGACAGAAAAGTGTTTTTGGTTATAAGATCATTTGTGAGCAAGACCTTCAGACATATTTCACACTCATCGAAACGAAGTGCACCAGCTGGATACACTCACACAAGAAACAGAGAGAGTTCTGTTTAAAGGGACAAACAAGACTTTGTCATAATGTCTGTACATTCGCATTAGTAGCATTGGTCCATCTAGTTATTGCATTCCCCGATAATCACCTCGCCTTTGGCGAATAATTGTTAAATACAGTGAGATCAAAAACACAAAAGAGATAAATTTAGAGAAATTATTTAGGAAGAGGATGTTGCTTCAAGATTTATTGACCTAAGCTAATCATATTATTTGCATTTGCAATTTGTTAGCTTTAGCAAAAATAATCGAGCTGTTGCAGGCATGCATATTGTTTCATGCATGTACTGGCCAGAAATATTCAAAAACATGATTATTACTGAGAGAAAATAATTGGAAGAGTTCATTTCATGCATTTTGTTAAAATACCTAATCATATAAAAAACAATCATGATGTATCGTTGTCATATATCTAAATTATATCTCTTACATTAAAATATAATCAAAATATCATTTATTGCATTGGATAGCTTAAATAAAATGACATCCATAGTTGATTCAAGGTTTAATGAAAGCAAACTCTTAAAGTGAACTAAAATGTTGGTTTTGTTCAAAGAAGACGAAAGAAACAAATACAAACACACTATCCACCTATAGCTCATTCTATTCCCCTATCACACACTACCCACCTTTAACCATTTTATAAGGATGTTTTTATAAGGAAAGCAACACGAAGGTTACATAAGTGGTTAATAAAAGAAAGTTAAGTTTTAAAATATTTGAAGTGAACGTTTTTTCTGCCTCCTACAAATTTCAGAATGCAGTTCTGTTTATTTAAAGGCTTCCAATTTTTCGAAATACCTCATAGTCTAATACGATATACGTAGTAACCTGCATATTCTTGGAAAATTATGTAGTAAAATTTCAAAAAATACAATTCCTTACCGCTGTGGCCACGTCAAAATGAAACCGATCAAATTCCCAAGATCATCTTTGTCAAATTCACTCTTTCCACTTTTATGTGCTTTATGGAAAAAAAATAACGAGTCAAAAACAGTATAAAAAACAGACGGTATTGGCCAGACAGTGAAACACGTCAAAACAAAATCTATGCATTTTCAAATATAGCCAAACTTACTTCTCTCCAAAGTTCCGAGAATCTCTCGGCAGCAATCAGGCATTTTAGAATAAACTCAAAAGAAATACCATATCTAGTTGTGTTCCTCTCTACTGACTACAAATTCCAGCGAAATCTAACGAGGTGATCACGCTAAAACGGCGTGTGAAATTACACAATCATTGAAAATATAACACTTCATTCTCCGCCATGTTTCTTCCCTGGCCGTTAGCTCGTGGGGGATTGGGGCCGGCACTTCATAATTAATTACTCTCGTAATTCTTGATTAGGGGAAATTAGAAGGTCAAAAAAAATTAGCGTTTTGTGCCATAAAAGTGCGTATATTCTGTGACAAAATGGCTAAATGGGGAGAGGGCGATCCCAGATGGATCGTTGAGGAAAGAGAAGACGCTAAAAATGTGAATAATTGGCATTGGTATGTATTTATCAAATGTTACACTTTGATACAGGTGTATGGGTACCATATGGTAAGTGGTAACCAGTGATATTGTCATCTGGTTAATCTCTATCTTATATACTGTATTAGGACTGAGAAGAATGCAACACCATGGTCAAAAGAGCGTCTCAAAGAACTATTTACAAAAATGAAAATGAAATTCGAAGGAGGTTTGGTTGAGTACTGCCTTATTGAAGTTTGTCATTTTAATAAAAAACTTGAATTGTCTTCCCATAGTGTCCTAACCTCACAAATATATTTTATGAGACATCTAGCACCAATTTTTCACCCAGAACGACAAAGTTTCATCATTACTAGTTCTTTTAAAGAGTACAACAGGTCTTTGCTTGAAGCACAAACATATATTGCCCAGTCAAAACATGATAATTTGATAGTTTTCTTTTTTTAAAGGTGAATGTGAAATAACTGAGGTCACTAAATTAGAAGGAGAGGCAACTGCAAAGTAATCATGGATGATTTGTCATATTTTTTTACACAAGCTTATTTCATTTTCATCAAAGCAATGATCTATTATTGACATTAAAATTGTATTGCAATGTTTTCTCTCATATATAGCAATCGTAAAGCCAAATTAATTTTCTTTTATGAGTGGGAACTGTCAATGGATTGGAATGGATCCTTGACTGATGGTGATGATTTTATTAAAGGAAAAATAAAAATTCCTAATCTAAGCGAAGAAAATGAACCAGATGACATCACGGTAAGCCATACATAGAGCTAGGTTGATAGTGTTACCACATCCCCAAGGGCAGAAGGCACGAATTGCTAACTTCATTTATGAAAATCGTTTTGCAGATTGAAATTAGCACAAACAAAGATACTGAAGAAACATATAAATTAAAACAGTTATTGATAAAACATGGCACCCCCATGATAAGAGATAAAGTTGCAAGATATATCAAGGAACTAAGAGAAGGTAAAGTAATTGGGAAACTAATGGTGCATTGCAATGTTTTTTTTTGTGATTCTGATGAACAGAATGTTTCTGTTTTAGAGTTCAGTCAAGGTTTGGTCTTGCCAACAAAAACAACATCTAACAAAGTTCAAACTAATGCTAATCTAGATATAAGCAAGGTAGATCTCTTGAAAAACTAAACACAATTTCATTCAATGGCTGGTAAACTCACTTGCAATACAATCTAATACAGTTACTTAACATGTGGATCTATGATGCAATATAATTTCTTTGCAAAACATATTCTATTGAATTCTTTAGGAATTTAAAAAGGCACAGATAAATGATGCCAAAGTAAAAACAAAAGGTATCCTGCAGTTTGCGGTCCAAAAATTGTGGTTTTGCTGTTATTCACATACAAATAGAGTTTTGTTGATGGTGCTCAGTATTTAAGGGTGGATTACTACTGATTACCTTTCCTCAAATAAGCATGAACAATGAACATACATTGTCATACAGTAGATAAGAAGAGCAGGACAAGTAAATTCCCTACCTGTTACTCAATAACTTTGTTTTAACTCTCAGATCATAAGCCTGTGGGTTGCAAGATTGAAACTTCAAAGTTCACATCAACTGAAGAATTTCTAACTTCTGTAAACGAGATGTACCATATATTGACTAACGAAGAGGTGATTTTCAAGATTGTGCTTACACATGTTCTCTGCTAGTACACATATTTCTAACTTATTCCTCTGTCATTGTTTCTTTTCATTTGCCTTTCAACCATAGAGAATCAGAGCATTCGCTAGATCTGATGTTAAAATTGAAGCATTCAAAGGGGGTAGTTTTGTTCTTTTTGGTGGAACTATTAATGGCAAATTTCTTGAACTGGTTAGTTTTAATATGTTCTGTAAAACATGCTGTTCAATTGATTTGTCTTAATTTAATTTAACCCTGCTTTGCAGATACTGAATAAAAAGATATCAATGCTTTGGAGATTTAATACTTGGCCACCAGGTGAGATCAACAGCTAATTCACAGCTAAGAACATCAGCTAATTCACTGTTTAAAACAGACCAGGCTTCCAGTTATTTTACCATTTCTTATTTCCTAATTTTCATCAATTGTTTTTAGAGCATTATTCAACCGTTACAATAGAGTTAAACCAAAAAGATGACAGAACAGAGCTGAGATTTTCACAAACTGGAATTCCCTCCTCAGACTTTGAGAGAACAAAAAACGGATGGAATCAATACTATTGGTCAAGCATAAAACAGACTTTTGGCATTGGCATGAAATACTTCTAAACTTCGCACCACACTTTTAAAACTTTTGTAATTTCTTTGTTGAACTAATTTTGTTATATTGTGCACAGAGTGCAGTAAATAATTATTAGAAATTTAATTGCTTGTTATTAGTTGTTTTGTTTGTGTCACTGATTGAGTCGCCCAGTCAACCTGGCTGTTAAATGCCCTATTAATGTCCTTTATTTAGTTTTAAAAAAGTGAAATTGTAGGAATTATATACATGGATTCAGGACATAAGATTACTTCCAGTAGGTAGCGTTCCAGTTCTTTTCAGGTCAATGGCTAATATCCAAATCCAATATGGCCTCCAATGCAGGAATCCAGGATTCAACGACAGAAACGGACGAAGGACGTGTAGTTAAAGCAGAAATTTATAAAGCTGAAGGAAATGAATTTTTTAAAATGGGGGAATACAAGAAGGCAATAAAAAAGTACCATTTTGCATTGATGTATTTGAAAGGAATTGGAGAGAAACACCCGATAACACAGGAACAAAAAGTATTGACAGAAGATTGGAAAAAGAGATTCGATGAAATGAAATTTAGTTGCTATAATAATTTAGCAGGTTGTGTATGAAATGCTTTCATGCTGATGAGTACAAGGATAGTGTGTTAAACATGCCATACGTCTATATTCTAGCATGTCTCGTCAAAGATAACAGATGGGAGAAGGTTATCGAATATTCAAACAAGGTATTAAAATCATATTGAAAGTTTGAAGATTACGTGTGTTTCATACATACAATTCTTTCTTTCTTCTCTTTGTTAGGCGTTAGAAGTCCATCCTGAGAATGCTAAAGCATGGTTTAGGAAGGGACAAGGTTATTACCATACGAGAAACTGGGACAAGGCTTTTGAAGCCCTAAATCAGGCGAGAAAGCTTGAACCAGATGGTTAGTGTTATGGGACTATGGCCAGTTGAATGAAGGCTAGATAGCCTATGCATTCAATAGTTACTTATTCAACCATTGTAAAGATAAAATCCATAATTCAAGATTACTAATCCAGGCTATACCACACCACAGGTGGATGGTGCTACTGTATGTATGATTAAGCTTTCACACAACCAACCCCTTGTGTATAACAAGTGTATTAACCAATATTTTTAGATGCTAATATAAAGAAATATGAGATCAAAGTAGAGCAAGAGCTGAAAAAATACAGAGAGAAAGAGAAGATAATGTATGCTGGGATGTTTGCAAAATAAGACATAGAAAGAACCTGGCAATGCTTGCTCTTGATGGAAGGACAGATTTTGGAGATGTGCAAATGTGCACTATAATATAGGAGTCCAATTACATGTGTGGAATCTGAAAGGATAACTTCAATATGGAGACTTGAAAAACAAAATGACAATAAGCTCAGTGTGAAGTTACCAGTTATGTGTATATTATGGAGTCTGGTTGCAATTGAAACATTTTTGTAAATTTTTATTTCAAAGTTGCATAATGTTTGTATAAACCTTTTCATATGAAAAAATGTTTGAAATAGAAAATATTTTGTTTAATGTCTTTAGTCAATATATAGCTACTGACGTCTAAATTTGAATAACCTCACAAGCCAGTCCTGCCAAAAACCTTTGCATTGTTTTAAATCCAGGAAATGCACATCAGCAGGTGAACCATCTTCGTAAACATAGACAAGCAGACCATGCCAAACCTGAAGCCCATTTGTCAGGTCGCTGTTAATTGCCCCGGCATAGGCTACCATTTGCAAAGGATGCTCACCACAATCTTTCAAAGTTGACTTTTTCTGTTGTGATGTCTTCCATTCAATGATACAAGGATTGCCATGGTAACACGCCAATGTGTCAAACTTGCCATGATAGCCAAGGTTTGCATGAGAAACACACTTCTCGCTTGCAATGGCATCACCCAACTCGCCAAAAACTGTCCTGGCACTTGTGAGATACCCTTGCAACTTTTCAGGTATATCATCATGTAACTGTTTCCCTATTAAACATCGATGAATAAAATGATGGAAATCTGTTCCCTTCTTTTTTATTTCATTCATTTTTTGTCTGAAACCATCCTCTCCAAGAAGTTCTTTCTGCTGCTTAGTCCAACAGGATATTGCAAAGAGTTTGCTCTTGGGAGCTGTGCTTCGCAGGATTTTGCTAACACTTGGCAGCCCTATTTCAGGCTCACTTGGTTTAAGTTGATCCAAATAGCAATCAGCATCTTCATATATACTTTCTTCACCCATGCATGACTTATTTTTAAAGTATCGCACTTGTGCTGTATCTGACAATAGTTTGGCGTTTGAGCTGTTGTAGAAAAGAAGTTTTTCCTGCCTAGCACCTCTCATCATGTTGCCAGGATACAAGCTTGAACTTTGCATTGGATTGAACGGATAATTTAGAATGTATGAATTGGATAAAATATTTTGATAGAAGTCTAAAAGATCAGCTTGCATTTTGATGGTTTTTGTATTTGCAGGGATGCCAAGTTTCTTGCACCAAGCTTGAAGCTCGCGTCTCGACATGTCTCCAATCTCACCTGGAGTGAACCACCTGCCCTCTCTACTTCCATGGTCAACCCCACCTCCTAAATTCTGAAACGACGACAGATGGCATACTAATACATTACACATGCTCTTGTAAGCATTTCTATAAATTGCAATTCTTCTAAAATTCTGCATCTTAGGAAAGCACTTTCTTTAACAGTTTAACAAATCATACGATGTTCTGCAATCATGATACTCTATATTGGAAGGATCAAAGAGAACAGTCTATTCTTTCCCCCCACGGACTCCACCACTCAGTGGACTCCACGTGGTCTAGCCCGATTTTAGGTACCACCTGCAACTCAGGCAAAGATACAAAGCGCTGGATTCGCGACGGATTCTATTCTTTGCAGTTTGTACAGTTTCGAAAATTAAAAGAAACCGAGGTTTTTGATCATATTCTAAACTAATTTCTTTGTCTGGTACGGTATACATGTTTGCGCGTAAATTGAAAGCCCTTGGTTACCACAGTCCAAACAGTTTCGATGTAAATGGTAAGAAAAATTGAAACCAAGGATGGATCAGATCATCAGGGTTTAGATTCACGTCTGGATTACGTTTAAATCCCTGATTAGGATTAGAACATACCAGAACTTACAGACATAAAAGAAATTCTGCATGATTGTGTGAAATATAATTTTGGGGTTTTTTTAGATCCAAAGCAACTCTCTACACTTATTGTATGGCTTGAAGATATAAAAATTCGACTTTATCCAATTGAGGAGCGGACTGCTATAAGAGACATGGAAAATAAAAACTGGGCGAATGTGTTCAAACAGGTTGGTTGTGAAATGAAGAATCAGTCAATGTCAATCTTGATTTACCATTGCTGATTGGATTATCTTCTGACTAATCCAATCCGTATTTAGTATTTGGTTGACCTAAAATGCCCAATAAATCCTGAGATGAAAGAGCAGATGTTGGATTGGTTGTTAGGCCATGCTGTGCGACTGGAATATTCAGATAAAGGTAACAGTAGCTAGTTGAAAGAGTTTGGTGGTTTCAGTAAAATTGCATTGAACATGAGAGTTTCGAAAGTAGTCTTTGATACCATAAGGTAGTTCTTGAAAGGACTCCATATAGTAATCAACTCCACTTTCCACAAGTGTTGAGAAGTGATCATAAAATATCCCATCTCTTCAGCTCCACAAATAAATGAAACTTGGCAAGAGTTAAAAGCAAAGAAACAACTTGAGAAGGATGCAGTGAAAGAGGCCACAGAGACGTTACGAAACCTCAGAGGTAATGATTAGAAGTAATTATATAAAATGAATGACACCATGAACCACTCTATGAATCACACCATGATCAACATGTTTTGTTTCGCAGCTGATAATCCTAATTTGAAAGCTGGCATCCTGTCATTGGCAAACTTGCTAAAAATTCCAGAACACGAAGACCCTCTGTTAAGGCTTCATGTAAGTGACAGTATAGACATTCTCTGCATCATATACCACTAACCTTTTACATACAATGTTAATTTACTAGGCTGTGAGGGCATTGATAGAAAACAAACTGACTATTGAAGCTCTAGAAAATGCTAGTTCACAGGTAATTCATCAGGAAACAAGGGTCAATAAGTACAATTTATATTAGCTGACCATATTTGCATTAATTGCATGATCTAATTTTTAATTTGTTCTTTGCTATATCAAACAATTGCTTATACTTGTGTTTAGAAAAAAACAGAAATTGACTCAAAGTTTTTGCAGAATATGAAACTTGGTTTTGACACTGGAGGTAAAACAAAAAGTTTACTCTACTTTTGCTGGCTTTTGTGTGAAAATGTCTTTGTTAGTTGTGTGAAATGTCTTTGTTTAGACTCTGCAGTGAATGAGGCAGCAAAGATTTTAAGGCTTCTTCATGTATCTGAACTTCGGGAACTGCAAACAAGTATAACCCAGGCTATTGTGGCTGCACAATCTCACACGGCTAACCCAAAAACTGACACAAAACTTGGAAAGGTTGGAGTGTAGATTGAGAGGATTTGAGGCAATGTTTCTCATGCAGTATACATACCATCAATAAAGTGTAATCCAATTACAAGGATATAAATGCAAGGTCTTTAATGAAATTATTTTACTGGTAAAACATGATTTCTTGGAGAAGGGAAACCCATTTTTATGAGTTGAAAGGTCTTGTTTCACATGGAATTATTATTATTATTATACCCACATCATCTTATAGTGTTTTTCAGTGGGGTCCTGCAGTACATATAAAGGGAATCAATGTCATTGTACAATCCAGTCATAAAAAAAATCACACAACAAAATTTTAAACTTCAGACAAACCTTTAATAAATAAATTCAATGAAACCTTTAACTAAAACGTTAATTCTTTCACAATCTAAAATTTGGTTATGTGTTTGGTAAAATATTTATTATGAACTTACAAATGCCTATAAAGTTCACAACAACATTGTGAAGCATTGCTGGGATTAGTAGACACACCTTACCTTCCTATCACACTTATCTGAGCTGTTAAATGTATATCTCTCAAAACTCTCAAAGGAAAACAGTGTAGAAAATAACATTTCTTTCCATAATGGTTTTCCCTTCTGCTATTGTCTTCACAACCAAACTTCACTTTGAAGTAAAGAGAATATATTGCATTAAAGATGAGGCTTGGTGGTGGAGACAATAGCAGAGGGGAAAACTGCAAAAACCACTTCTCGGCAAGTGCGAAGTCCGCTTTATAAAAAATTTAGCCTGTCCTGAAAACGACGTCTTTAGATTGACAGGAACAATCTTCAGAGTTAGAAAATGACCAATCAATGTAAATCTCGTTTTCTAGTGTTTTATGTATATACAAAATCGTATTTCATCTCACCTCTCTCCTATCGATAGACTGAAAAGTAAATTCTAATGTCTCGCACTTAATACCTCCATCGATATAATATAAGTAATCCAACAAGAATTGCGAGCGTTGTCATCACGTAGATGTCCCAGTCTTTGCCCAAACGCTCGTCCATGTTGACATGAAAATGCGACCAAAAGACATAGTTCTGAAGAAAGAAAATCACGGAAATTAAACATAAGAATTAGTTGTCTCGATAACGGGATGAATGGATTCGTTGTCTTTCCTCAAAGGTCCAGTAAGGACATCCATTGCTGCACTATTTTTACTGAAAAAATCGAATCTAATTTAATCTCCTTATCACTGAATTAGAGCGAAATTAAAGACCACAGGATTGTGGCATTCCATCATCCGCACAGGTTCCACTTCATCGTCTCTGCCCAATCATTTACCAGCCTCGTCTATGAAATTATCATCTATAATTACACCACACACACACGTAACAACGTGATCTTACCCTATTGACCCAATCAAAGCCGTACACCACAGCAAGTTTTGCCAAAGCCAGCGTGACAGGTGCCTGAGCATCAGGACTGGCCTCGGCAGCCATATCGTAAAATCGTTTAGCAAGGTGGACATCCTGAAAAAAACAAGCATTCCACAAGTTAAACCGAGGAATGTATAAAAGTTCTAGAAACTATGGCCTGAGGCGGGAAGACCTGGCAGTACGAGGATGATAGAAGAACCCCAACATCAATCCAGTGCAGATCAAGATCAGAAAATCTACCTGTTTCATTCCCAATCCCCTCTCGTGCATATAACCGAGGTTGAACATGGCCTGTGCGCTGCGATGTTGTTCCTGGGCCACGGTGTAGTGAAATGCGGCCGTTTCGTAGTTCACCTTCGTTCCTTGACCGTAATAATAGTAATCTCCGACCTTGATACGAGCTCCGACGTTACCTGCAATACGAAGATGTCACGAAGTTTGCCGACAAAAACACAGACCATAATTTAGTATGAACAAATTACAAAATAGCATTTTTCAAGGCTACTATTTTGCACCCTCGATTGTCGAACAGCGCTTCAAATAACTGAACTATAAATAAGACTAGACTCAATGCAAATCATTTTTAAAAACCCACTCAAACAGTTTGCTTCTACACCACACCTTGATCGGCAGCTCTGGTCCAGTAGAGCAACGCTCTTGGGTACGTGTGGTTGTCAGTCATCACGGTATTCAGGTCTAAAAGTTAAAAGGAAAAACATCAAGCATACTTGCATGATTTCTTTGTATCGACAGCAGCCAAACCGCACTAATTCATGTAGTGAGAATCAAAAGAAAAGATGCAAATATTCCATGCACTGGTGAAGCATTTTTAATTTCTCCGCTGTTAGACCCACTGTCACCATGCAAGTATGAGGTCAATACACTGGCCTTGCAAACAAGAATAAATAATCAAACCTTGATCTAGTATGAATGCGACGTTGCTCTGTGCTGTTTCATAACCTAGTTCAGCAAGATAGGCATATTTAATCAATGCTTGATTGGTGTTGCCTGATTTGTAAGCTTTATGAGCGTCCATCAACAATGATGACCATCTCCCGCGTTCCGCCACGTTCTTGAAAAGCTACAGAAGAAAAAGGTAATGTCATGTATCCAATTAATCTGATATAAAGGCTTGTGCTCATCTAGTAATGTTCGTGAACATTTTCACTGATGTGAAATAGTCCGGATGTAAATTTGTCTTTATCTTCTGTATTCAAATCAGTCATTACTGACTGCACACACGTAGCATTACGTACACATCAGCCAGCTTGACAGATTCATGACAAATACTACTCGATAAAAACCATCGCTCAGACGTATAAAGTCTTACCTCCGTTGATGTACGACATGAGCGAACAATACCAGTGCCAGAGGAATACATAAGTGCCAGAAAGTAGATTGCTTGTATGTTACCTGTATATGGTAGAAAATATTTTGCCTCATTTTTCCAGGTGAAACTCAGTGTCTGAGAGAAATATCTGCACTCACCTGACTGAGAGGCGAAGTTAAAGTATTTAATAGCTTGTTTATAGTCTCGTTTCATTCCCAAACCATCTAGAAAACACAATACTATGGTTGTCAATGGAACTTCATAAGAAACCTGAGTTTCAATGTTTCTCCCTGAGTAACTAGTAAGCACAGAAACTGACTGTGCTAGTGGCTGCCACACATGTAGTAACAACTCTATTTCTATCCCTGAGAGTACAACTCTATCTCTATTCCTGAAATATGTGTTGTTGTTCTCCGAGACAAATACGGTGCTCTCCGAGATAAATACGGCGTTCTCCGAGACATACACATTCAACTTACGATAATACATTGTTCCCAGTTGTAGTTGTCCATCCACCCAGCCTTGATCTGCGGCTAACTTGAAGTATTTAATTGCCTGGGCATAATCCTAGGAAACAAGTGATCATGCAGTTACGTGCGTGGGACTACGCATCATGCAAAATATCTGTATCTTGATTGCTAGATGGTACAAAATTATATATTTAAAACGTAATGTTACCATAGGTACGCCTTTCCCATGTAAATACATCAAACCAACTCCACTTTGGCCAACAGGATTACCCTAGAAATAAACAAACATATGCTGTGAACAATAATTATTGTAAATTACGAAACTACTAAACGACGAAACATCACAGTCTATGAAGATTTTCTGTCTCATATACGCACCAAATCAGCAGCTTTTTTAAAGTACTTCAAAGCAGTCTCATTGCTTGCTTTCACCGCGCTGTTTCCATTCAGGTACATCTGTATTGGAGAATATTTATCAACAACTTAAGAACTGCAAGTGCTTTAGTGATATGGCAAAGAGAACGGTGTGGTAGGGGTCTATATGATGTGAAAAATTGGAAAACTGAAACTTTGGTAAAATATACAATGCTTAAAACAGGAAAGGATAAAGGAAAATCACGGCAACTCTATAGTCTTCCAAGAGGAATCAAATCTCAGTCGGAGCGAAATATTGATTTAATTATTACCTTTCCTAAGAAGGCGTACGCATTGGGGTTCCCGGTGTCGGCAGCTAGTTGGAAATATCGGTAAGCCCTCTAAGAAAACAGACATCGTACCAAGGTAAGTATCAGGTGTATAGCTGAAGACATTACTCCAGCGAAATTATTCAGTTATTTCAGTTTAATAAATATTAGAAAAACATACGGCGTAGTCTTGATCCACGCCTCTACCACCCTGATAATGCAACTGACCAAGACCAACCTTTGGTGTAAAAATAAAAAAAATAATAATACAACAGCGATTAACCTAACAACTGAAGATTACCTGACACTATATCGGTGCCACACGTTTCTGATCAGACCCACCTGTGCTTGGACATCACCTTTATCAGCCAAAAATTGATAGTATTGAATTAAATCTTCATCCAACATTGCATTGTTACTATTCTACAAGATTGATAAAAAATAGCATTTATTGTTCTGTACACTGCTGGATACCAATGGATCTTAATGGATCTCGTCGTCGTATCCTCACCTGATCTACCTCATCTGACAATCGGGTTCGCTGAACGGCAGGACCACCAATAACGTGGGCATCAGCCACCACTAAAATTATCATAACAGTGACATTGTTGTATTAGAAAACTCTATTTCTAGTTTTTTAGAGAGAGTTGAGGCCGGAAAGATTATTACGCCCATATAAAATCTCAAAACTGAATATACCTTTGCTTGCCACTCTTCTGTAGTAAGTAAGGGCGGTCTCGCAGTTCTCCTGGACTGTTATACCTGAGAAATGTCTGTATCCCTGTTAATAAGAGAGTTTGTTTCAATTACAGCGCTTAGTTTGTCAAGGTTTTTCCAAAGATTGCCACCTGCATGGCAGGCACTGTGAGTTTGTTTGGAAATCAAAGGAAATGCATTCAAGACGAAATATTAGCGTTTAGTTATTATTATAATGTGATTCATTTTCATCTTACCAAAGTCATTTCAGCCATGGTTTCACCTCCCAACGCCGAGAAGGTGAGATAAACCAATGCTTTACTCTGACTTGAGTTCACTTCCATACCAGATGCGTACATAAATCCCAGCATCTAAAAGGAATATTATGAATGCGTTGGCCTTCGGATAGGAATCGCGATGCCTGGGGCAAGTGTGAACCCAATTCTGGGTATATCATTTAACCCTAGCTCTTTTCACGGTGAAAAGTATTAATGTGACGAACCTGTTGTGCTTTTGGTAATCCACAATTTGCAGCCATCGTAAATAACTCGTATGCTTTTGTGAAATTCTGAGGAACGCTGTCACCAAACTAAGAAATAAACAACTAAATTATCTAACGATCTTTGGACGGAAAAAAAAGTAAATTACGATGTGAAGAAATACCATATATTCTCTTCCTAAATACTCTTGTGACTTTGCATGATCGTGCTCGTAAGCAGCTTTCTCCAAGTTTGATAAAATGCTAGAATTTTCAGAGGGAAAAGACTGAGTGAGACTGGGAAATGCACTGAGCAATCGCTGAGGAAGAAATATACGTTGATAAAATACCTTGGATCAGCTTTAGTTTTAGAATTGTTCAGCAAACTCATAGCATCTTCGTATAATTCCTCCCCCAAGTCAACTAAAAGTAAATGTTGCTAATCTGAAAGTTGGAGTATTTTTTTGGATACAAATGAGCTTGGTATGAAAAGATTTAAAACCAGACAGAAAACTGAAAACCTGTTGCGATGCGACCACCATACCTGACTTGTCTTCTTCATTCTTCTGAGCACGAGTACCATCTTCACCACCAGAGATACTTTCCTTTGCCATATTTCCATCCTCATCCGAGGCATCCTCCTTTCCATCTGTTGTACTTCCATCGTGGCTTAAATTCTCTCCACCCATTGTGTGTCCATCTTGATCTGTGGTAGCTTCGTTCTCATCTGTCATTCCTCCATCGTGACCTAAAGTTTCGTCTTTTTCATCCAGTGTACCTTCACCATCACCCAAGATATCTTCATCTGTTAACACTCCATCTTGACCGTGAATATCTTCTTTTTTAACATTCGATTCCTCATCCTGATCTAAGCTACCTTCATCTGCTAACATTTCACCTTCACTGGTGGTGTCTTCCTTCTCATCCTCTGTGGATCTTTCATCTTCATCTTCACCTGTTGTGCTTCTGTCTAGGCTGGTATGATCATCCTTGCTCTCTCTCACACCAGGAGAATTGGAACTTTCTGGTTCATCTCTTCCTCTTTCAACATATTCAAACTCATAAAAAGAAGATGAACGAGTTTTTTTAAGAGTATCTTCAGTTGTTACGTAATGAACCTCTTCATTAGCTTCATCATTTGTCTCTTTCTTTTCCACATTTTCCTTTTCAGCTGCATCATTTTTATGTTCATTATCACCTTGTGTTTCCACTGTTTGCTTTTCGTTTTCTAAACCACCAAAATCTTGAACAATATCACCATCACTTTCATCCATCTCCTTTATGAATTCACCTTGAACAGGTAAATCCGGTTTCTTTTCTAAATGTTCATCTGCACTTTTTGCATTTTGACCACTTTCTGATTCCTGCACTTGATCTTCATCATTGGAAGAATGACCTTGCTCAATAGACACTTTCACAGTATCTATGATATTAGGCTTGGAATCTAGGTCTTCTTCAACAGGAATATTTTTATCATTTAAATGATGATGTCTGGAAATTCTTTCAATTTCCTCATATTGTATTTTTTCATTCCTATCATCCTGGCCTTCATTCTCAGAATTTGAAGGTGATTGTTGTGTCTCAGTTGGTTGAGTTTCTTGCTTAACAAGCACCTCATAGGATGCTTCAACTTTGTTCAAATTTTCCTCGCCATCTGAGTCACTCAAAATCCTCCTTTCTCCTGGAGATTCCTGCACATTCTTATCATTCTCATTATCACTGACCTTCTCTGAGAGAAAACTACTTTCTTCCTCGCTTAAACGAGATCTATCTACCTCCGGCCGATCCTTGTCCCCAGTTGTATCTATATGTACCTTGACATCATTGTTTTCATTGTGTGACATTGTTATTTCCTCATCTTGTCTTGAAATCACAGGTTCTGTGTTAACATCACCAACATCATCATATTCTATTGTTTCAATATTATCTTTATATTCAGCTCTCTTTTCCTCTGCATCCAACTGCTCAATTCCATCTTCCAACTTATTTTGTTCTTGTTTATTAACCGGCTCATTTCCACTGTCGCTTTCTGCCATATTTTTATGCTTTTGTCTGTTATTCATTTTCTCATCACTTATTTCTACTTGGTCTCCTTGAATTATATTTTCTTGAGGCTCATTGCCTTCAGGTACATTTTTCCTATCTAAACTATTTATATCATCGACCATGTCTCTATTTACATCAGAACTGTCTTGTTTGTGGGAATTATATACATTGTCATTTTCTGTTTCTGATATGCTGTCTGTCCTTGACTCCATCTCACTGCTCGTATAGTCAGTGTTAGCTGCTAAAAGAAAAAAAGCCCTCCATGTATTCTCAATTTTATTTGTGGGGGACACTTTTGCAAAATTGTAAACAAGGCCTCTGATTGGCCAAACTAAATACAAGCAACCAATCAGGGGGCTTGTGGGCAAATTTGGCTTTGGCTAGCAGAGCAATATCTGAATCAAAACTGCAACAGTGAGGGGCAATGTAGGCGATTGAGGTAAACAATGGAGCTTTCTTATAATGTCAATCAAACTTCGTGTATCATTAGATATTTCGCGCTTGACATCACTATGAGAAAGGTCTATTTGGTTCTTATTTAAGCTGTATGAACTATTTAATTCATAACTACAGTTAAATATCACAGTCTTCAATTAACGAGAGTATCCAATGAAAACACTCCCAACTTTATTAAAGTGCAGAATTTTACACCCAAAAAACCAAATAATTAATACAAACCAAACATAAAAATTCTTGTAATTTATAATTACTTATAATTTTTGTATCCATAAATACCTTTATCAGAGATGGCTAATACTGCAACAACGTAAGCGATAAGGAATGCTAAAATAGTCTTTTTCCTGATCATTTTTGAAAGAAATAAAGATATATCGGGCAGTTTACGCCAACATGCTGTTTTCAAATTTTTAATGTTTTTGTTTTAAAGTACAGCAATTTCCTCGCTCGCCACGTCAGGTGTTTTACTGTTTCCCATCAATCAAAAGTCGCTTCGGTACAGTCCGGTTTCTGGTCGTATACTTGCAAGAAATATTCGCAATTTTGTTTTATACAATTTTTACGCCAACTTATCGTGAACGCTTGTGTCACATGTGATCTTTCCTTTCAGACGTAAACCACAAAAAAATGAAAAATAAAACTCTTTTGGAAAATACATGAATTTCAGTGAAACCGACAGGTTCCGATTAACGCTGAACCGTATATACATACTGAACCGTTCTAAGGCACACATGGGAGTGCGTGATTGGTCATTTTGCTTCGAAATTTCAATCATTTACAATCCTGTAATTAATTGAATTTTAATGACGGAAATACAGAATTATCAATTCAAAACAAGAAATTAGTATAAAATGCCGAAAATTTACATCTCTTTACGCTGTGTATTTTAATGTTTCGGTGTAAAATCTGGCCGATCTTCTGTGGGTATCATAAAAGCGATAATTAAGATCGTATACAAGGCGTTCTTGTTTACAAACCAGTCATTGTTTACGAAGTTTGTTTATAGGAGATTGCTCAACCTGCGGTCACATGCTTTCCTGACATGCTTTAGGAGAGTCTTTCTTGGATGTGTACGAACAGAAAATGCCAGATATGTTTTGTCTTGTTTTGTACATTCATTGTGTTTTGACGTGACATAATGGCAACACTATGCGGTGGCGACGTGTACAGCGAATGGTGTGCGATAATTTCTGTAAACTTTTACAAAGGCAGACATACACATTTTTGTCCTCAAGGCATGGCATGTTGCTTTGTTTCCTCGCTTTCCTTTTGGGATTCGTTTCTGTCCTACAATTCGGGGAGGTTGTCTTAGAATGGAGTGTTGTAAGGTATCAGAAGACGTTGTTTCCATACGTGGATAACATTTTACACAAGTCGTTTCAAGATCGACTGTGCTTGCCATTGCCAATCGATGTTGTATATACATGGGTGAATGGAACCGATCCTCGACTTTTGAAACAACTTGCAAGGCTGAAAGCTGAAATGGAAGAGCGATTAAATGATAGCATTTTAAATGAAGGCTATGAGAACGTTCAAGATAAACCTACGAATAAACAAATTTTATCTAAAGCAGAGAAGGCCCCACTTGATGGGTGCCCCTATAAGAACTGTGTTGCTCTGAACACAATTATTTTAAAAGTGCATTCTTTAATCAAGATTGCAGACTTGAGGAAGGTTGATCCTGTATTTCAAGAGGCCTCCAGTATTTATAATGTGAGTCTGAAATCTGGTTTAAAATCAGATTCCAAAAACGCTCGTCTGACTGTAGTGAAATTTCCTAATATTGATTCTCTTAATCGTGCTGTGGATAGGTCGTACACCATTAATGGTGAGAAGGTGGTAGCGCAGAGGGCTTACCTCACAAGCCAATCCTCAGAACTATCTGTTCGAATGCGTGCGATGGCACTCATTTCTGCTAGGAAGATCTCATCCAATGATAATGGTCATGCCTTTAAAAGTTTTCTGCAAGGTTATTTCCCCATGAAGTTAAGAGCTTTGGACTACTACGGCAAAGAAAGAGTTGCTGTGCTGACGTTTAAGGACGACAAAAGCTATCAGGATGCGTTAAGATTAAAGAAGGGTGACCTAAAGTACCAGGGGATCTCACTGGTGATTGAACCAGTGTTAATGGTGTGGGAACCATTTTCCAACATTGATCTTGAAAACTACGACAATCATTTCTCTGCAAGTCGGTTTGCAGACAACCAGGAATTGCGTTACTCTTTGAGGTCCATTGAAAAATTTGCTCCCTGGGTAAGACAAATTTTCATTGTCACAAATGGTCAAATCCCAAACTGGTTAAATCTTGATAATCCACGAATTAAAATCATAACCCATGCTGAGATATTTACAAATCAGAGTCATCTTCCAACATTCAGTTCCCCTGCAATTGAGTCACATCTTCATAAAATTCCAGGATTATCAAAAAAGTTCATCTACTTGAATGATGATGTTATGTTTGGTGCGGAGGTGTGGCCGGATGATTTTTACACACATTCAAAAGGCCAGAAGGTCTTTCTTTCCTGGCCTGTTCCCAATTGTAATGAAGGCTGTCCTGCAACATGGATTAATGATAAATATTGTGACAAAGCTTGTAATGTTTCAGGGTGCGATTGGGATGGAGGAGACTGTCTCAATGCCAAGACAACATCTGTGAACAACTGGAAAAGTGTGCTGTCAAATTTAAAAAAATCAAAGCCTCGTGATTTTTGCAATTCTGGTTGTGCTGATTCTTGGATAGGTGATAGATATTGCGATGGTGCTTGCAATTACCTGGCATGCGGGTATGATGGTGGGGACTGTGGCGTTAAACATTTTCCCGACTTGCACTCTGAAACCTTACATGAAAATAGCAAACTATTCAACTTGCCTAGTGGACTCAAAGCCATGTTTTTTAATTTGTCTGAAGTTTATGGAGAGGGGAAAATTACCGAAGGAGAACAGGATGGATCAAGCATTTTACGTTCGGTGACAATCGCTCAAAAGTTTAAGGTAATGGTAATGACATTTTACCCAAATGAGACTCTCACAACTGTAAGCATTCGTGTTGCTGGGTTTAAGAAAAAGAATGACACAAGGATGATTGAGGTGAAATTTAACATGACTATTGAGACAGTAGGAAAAGTGAAGAAAGTTGCCACCAATGCTCTTCCCACTCATCCAAATATTTCCAATTCAAACATCCAGACAACCATGTACCCTATAAGAATCTACAATACAAGTGGTAATTATTGGAATGCAACAAACAATACATTCCTTCGGCTATCATGGCCGACATTAGCTGCAAGTGAATACTGTGTTCCAGAAATCCCTTCAAAGCTACATGTTGCAGAAGAAGTTAGAAAGAAATTTGCAGACCTTGACGAAGAATTAAAGATTGGTGATATTACACAGAAAGGCTACAACAGGAAGAAAGCAAGCTTGATAAAAGAGAAGTTTGGAATAACTTGTGATTTTTATCCAACAACTGTTCAAGCTGAAATGATGTACATGAAGTCAATGACCAAAACTATGGAACAAAAGAACACAACATCTTACCCAACATACATCAAGAAGGTGAAATATTAAGATAATAATTTTCTCCATTCTTTCATTCCCTATTTACAATTCATGTTACTTCATTTTCCAATGACTCCTTATCATCCCCTTCACTCCTCCGCCTCCTACTATCATATTCCCTCTCCACTATTCATCTGTCTCCCAACCTTATTCAATTTCACCTTCCTTTTATTCTCTCCCCTCCTATTCTATTCCTTTCCTACACCCTTCACACATTTCCGCACCTAATAAAGATACCAAATTCTCTCCGTTTATTTAGGCTGTGGATACACGGCGAGACCGCTTCTCCACCCGTCATCTCAATGAATACGACGAGACGAATGTGGAAAACACAGGATTTCTACCTTGGGAAAGACAGCAAGTATTTCAACGTATTCGAGAGCGCAAGGAGAGGGAGGTTCTCGAGGAAAGTTACAAAACAACCAGGTTCCACCAACGTCATCTACTGGACGCCTTCTCAGGCTCTTTGCTGCACGTTAATCGCATTTATAATCGTGCGTTTGGTTACAAAGCAAGAAAGGTTCCGTCGCATATGCCTCATATGGTAGACGTGGACATTATGAACGAACTTCAGGCGAAGTTTCCTAAAGAGTTTGACGTGACTTCCTCGCACAAGTTGCGAAGCAAAGATGACATGCAGTTTGCTTTATCGTATTTCTATTTTGTTATCGACCAAACGAAAGCGTTTGATGTTTCCCTGTTGTTTCAAGAAGTCGACGCAGATAAATCCGGTAGGTTTTTTAGAGTAAGGTTCAAAAGAAGTTTAAATAGGACACCAGGGCTAGGGGTTTTTAGAGAGGCACTTAATCGAAGGTCGATTTCGAAGCCCTTTGAAGTGAGGTCAATTTACAGAACGAGCAATTAGTGTTTTGACTGTTGGGGATAAGACTGTCTTGATCTTAACACACTTTGCTTTCTTTAGGGACACTTTCTGATCGTGAGCTACGAACGTTGGTAACAAAGTTCAACGACGTTCCTCTGAAAGCCGGCACGCTAAACAAAGTGATTGAACAGCTAAGGAATTGCTCGCGCGTATTTGAGAACTCCACGAACACCGTCCGACCCCATTCCGATCGTCAACACGGCTACGACTTGCCTCCGATCACCCAGACCTTGCTCCAACACTGCGAACCGATTATGAAACAAATGAATAAGTCGACCAAGTCGACGAAACAAGAGAGCAAATTCAAACACGAAATTGTCGGCGAGGAGGACATTGCTTTCAAAATGATTAAAAATAACGCTACTCACGTCCTCAAACAACTTGACGGGATTAGGAAGAACAGAAAGAAGTTTATCTGCCTTAATGATAACATCGACCACGAAAGGAAGAACGCATCAGTTGTTAAAGGTATTTTGGTTGATTTTTACGAATCTTTATTTCCTGTGCCATCGCAGTTCGAGCTGCCGGATCATTTGCGAAATCAGTTTTTGTACATGGCTGATCTTCGCAAGTGGAAAAATGAGAAGAAACGAATAGATCTTGTCTCAGACACCATTCTGATGTCGATGATGATAATAATAATGATTTACGTTTGTTGGAGTCCAATTGTATTTGTGATACGAAAATGTGTGGGGTTTTTAAGACGACGCGTTAGAGCACCAAGAATGTCGATTGCTGCATCTACCAGGTTATTAACCGTTTGAAGAGAAGAAAATATTTTGAAATATTCACGTGAGGTTTAGGCTCTGTACTGAGAAACAGATTAGTTAAAACAACTAATTTGAAATAGCTTCTCAGATTTATCTCTTTTGATCAATTCTTTTGAGTAAAAACAACCAGGTTTTCCCAGGTTTTTAACTATAAAAATTGCTCCTATAAATAAATCTGAGGTAAGCAATTTTAAGTTAATAATAATGTTTTTACACGTGCACTGACGTGTGTGTATCTCTGTACATTGAAGGCATGCGTTTTCAGTTGGTATAAAATATAAACGAGTATTTAATAGAATTTTGAATTTAATTGCAGAGACAACTGTAGAATAATTTATTTCCAAACAGGTTAATAATATTAGGAGTATTTGTTAGCAATATTTATATTTAAAAATTAGGCTAACGTTGTCAATATAACGGCCAATAAGATAATCAGAAAATATTTTAGTGATCATTCTATTTAATAGTGCGAAATAGACGTTTGTTTGTCAATAATTATTAGTTTAATTCTTACTTGAATGTGCAATAACTAATTTCGTTTAAGTCCTCCAAGGCTAAGAATAAAATATCTATAGATAACATAATCTACTTTAAAGCTTTAAACTTTATTGGGTTTAGTTTATTGTGTTCGAAGTTTATTGTGTTCAAAGACGTCCCAAGTTAGGAAACGTTTGTTGAAGTTTTCGCTAAATTCAGAATTTGCTGTCGATGTCGTTTTTTCGTTGCCTGGAGACGATCACGCAATTTCTGATACGAAGTTTTTATATCTTTGAATATTTCGTCAGCTGGGATTGTCTCAGGGTGAACGGAGTTGTCTGCAGCGAAAACACACAATGTTTGCTCATGTGATCATCATAATTGATGTTCGTGCGCATGCGTATGGATATGCTTTTAGAAAGTGTGGTATATGAAATCTCTAAAGTTAAAATACCACTCCTTCTTATTACTTCAAGTTGGGGGTCGTCCCCTACAGCTCCAAGACCCCTGGATAAATCTATCAGCTAATGTAATTTGATAGACAAGTGTTTACCTTTTTTCACACGAGTTGAACGACGTTTCCTACAAGTGAAGTTCCATATCATTCCTAGCATAAATACGACTCCAAAACCCACGCATAGAACAAACAATGTTTTTCTGAAGGTCGCTGATTGCCCGTCAATCAAATCCTGAACGTATTCCGTCGTCTCTTCTGTCTTTACTCCCTAGAATTGAGTGGGATTGTCTGGTTAGAGTTTCAACAGTTAGAATCCACAAAAGCAATTATACTTGACAAAGAAACAAACCTTTAAAGTTGTTGTGTATTGAAGAACGAGTTCCATTGTTTTGATACGATTATTGCGAACGTAGCTTCTAAAACATCGCTGTATGCCTTCCATACCACCAGCTGTTACAATACCGTAGGAGGAAGAATAGTCCAGTACTCGAGACATGCGCAGCTCAGTGTGGTTCCAAAGTTCTTTTGTTAGTCCAGCAGCATAAATGTCGATGATAGCTGCGTCAACTTTACCCTCAATCAAAGCTTTCTGAATCTCGACAAGTGAGAAATAGGGACCTTAAAAAAGAGGTGACGGCTTAGGTCATGATTGGAGTGTTTGAACTGTTGTAAATGTAACCTGCTTGAGAAATGATTAAGATGAACCTATATACAATTCTACAGCGAACTAAAAAATCACTACTCGGTTTGATAGCTCTTGTAAATCCAACCCCAGTTCTAAATAAGATGAGGGTTTTTCAAAACTTCACCAACTGCAAGCCAGTCATAATCGTAACATGACGATACATACCACCGACTACCTTTGCATTTCGTCTAATGGCGACCATTTCTTCTGTGGAATTAATTAATGCAGCGACCTAAAAAAAATCACGTTAGTTGTTGAATAGTGGCAGCCAATGTTGTTCCACGGTAGTGTAGTCAATCTAGTACTCAAAAACTACGTTATTTCCCACTGAATGACTTCAAACGACACGTATTTTTATTTCTTGAGTTTCTTTTACCTTGGCCCCGTAAAGCATCGTTTCAGAGACAGACACGGTCGACGATAGGGCAGAGGACAAATCGCCAATCAGAATAGAATATAAACATAAACCAGTTAATATCCAGATAACGGCAAAGATCCTGCTAGCAACAGACTTTGCTGTTGTGTCGCCATAGCTATGGTAAAAAACAAAACATAACGCGTTTGATTTTAACACCATGATCTACCATCGGGAGGAAAATTCCGCAGAAAAATGAAACGTAGTAAACATAGTTACCCGACAGTAGTCATGGAGACGAATGCCCACCAGAAGCCCGTCAAAGAACCTCTGATACAAGTTCTTGGGAAAATATCCTCGTTTGAACTAGAGTCCTATCATCAAAAAACAAATCATGAATTACAATGATGCAGTATATGAATCAGGAGATAATAAACCTTAATAAGCAATAAATTAACACTAATTAATTAATTAATTAACACTCCGAGAAAACTAATTTGGTTTAACCAAAGGTTCTACATGTCAGTCTAACATCGTCCAACAATGTCGCATGATAATAGATAATGTTAGGTGAATGAGACTGTGCTTTGTTTTGTCTTAAAACGTATTAACTAATTTATCACTTAACATACCAACATCCACATAATAATACCAGCCGCAAGAGCCAACAATACATTGATCAGCAGTATCGGCCATATTCCAAACACAGAACGCAACACACCCAATGCTAAATTCTCCGCTAACTGTCTCTTAACCACCACTAGCATTCCAGGAGTTTCAATCCCGGAGACAAAACCAAAACGAGAACCATAGCTTGTCCTGTCCACGTGACCCATGATTGGGAATGCAAAGGTGGTAGTTTGGTGAAAACTCTTCAAAAGTTCCGGGTAGTTCTCTTTCTCCGATACCTCACCAAAGCCATCTTCATTGAAGTTCAACACTGTTCCCCCACACGTGACACAGCACGATGACGTCATACGTCTTACGAGTTCAGGAACGATACCGCTGAGTTTACCGTCTGCTGTCCGCATTACGTAAGGTGGAAGCATTTGAAATGTGGTTGTTGCTAACGATGGGCACTGGCATGTTTCTAAATTAAATCAGCAAAATTTGATATCAATAAAGTAAAATAATGAATTCTGTTTTTATGCATAAAAAACAATAAACCAGAAAAAAAACGATGTGTTCTGTAGTACGGATGTTAGGGGACGAGGTTGGATATTGCCCTGTTATTAAAAAACTTCAGCTCTTTCTATTAGATCTTTGGGGGGAACAAAGCTAACCTGGTATAAAGCTGGTTACCGATCAATCAATCCAGGGTAAACAAAATGAATTTAGTTCAGTGGACTACAGTTTTTTACCTCCATAGAGAGTAACCTTAGGCCCATAACCGAGGTAAGTTATTGGCGAAATCTCAATCTTATACTTCGTGTAGTATACAAGATTTGTCCACGTGTAGCGTTCGGTTTTTTCATCGACTCGCACAATCATGACGTCATCACCGGAAGTTCTTATCCCGCCGAATTCTACTCTTTGGAACGTAATGTGGTAGCCACGTGGGTGATCGAACCAAAGGGCGTCTGGGAATGGCTTCCAGAGCAACGATATTGAATCGGCGGAAGTAATAGTGGTAGCATTCCAGGGGGGTGTGTAAGGTGCCAGGTCTGGAAAATATTCACGTGGTTAGTCTTACCACACAACGCGCACTTATGTCGTGCGTTGTGAGTTGAGAAAGTTACCTAAGCCCATTGATAATGTCAGCTAATATAAATACTGTATACTTGTGAAGAAAGAACATTTGCAAGTAAGAAAGACAATATCTTACTACGAGAGCGTGTTCTTGCTGTCACTTTAGAGCAAACACCATCACCAACCACAGTATAACCACAAACACGAATATCGTATGATGTATAGATCTCTAGTCCTGTCAATATGACATCGGTCGCAACGGTTGTTTTATTCTTAGTGTTAGCAGAGGATGATGATGTTTGATAGTAGACATGGTACCCCAGTAGAATACCATTTCTACGATCTATTGGTATGCTGTCCCATTTCACAGATAACTTGTATTTGGAACCATCGTTGTTGGCATAAAGATTTCCAGGACCTACCGCAGGCACTGCGAAAAAGAAAATACAACGAAAATGTTAATAACAAGATTGTATAGTTTCTTTGCAAGTACACACATTAACCTGACATGGATTCAATGACCCTTACCCCCTTCAGGCGTCATAAAATGAAGTACTGAACTAGGCACTCCATTGTCAGTGGTATAAGCCTGCACTTGCACGCTGTAGTTTGTGTAAAACAGCAAATTATCGAGTACAATATTAGCTGAAGTCGTGTTTACGGTCACCGCATTCAAATGACCGGCCAAGGAGCGTCGAGCACGCGTGATAAAGCGGACCTCAATAGGCTCGTAGGTTACCGTATAGCCTCGGATAATGCCGCGGACTTGATCCGCAGGAACTGGGGACCATTTGAGGGATACTGTATAGGATGTTGGGATTGATGGGGTTGTGTTGTTGTTGGTTGAAATGGCGTCAATTGGTGGAAGAGTTTGATTCAATATACGGAGGTTAACTGGAGCAACACGTGGAACTGAAAAAATGAAAATATTAGTTTCCATAATGGCCTATACGCAGAAGAGTGATAGTGGTTTAATACACCTTCCTCGTAATAATGTCAGACGCAGAAAGCAGGATCAGTTTACACGACAAGTTTTATTAGCTCTTTAGTTATCGCCATACTAATAAAACTTCGCGTAACATCAGGTTTGACGGCAACGTTTGACACCATTATAAGAAAGGTCTTTTAGCTTAAATTTTAAAACGAGATAATGTAGATGTAGACAGTTACTTGAAAATGCGCTCTCTATCATATACTAGTGTAAACTAGCTGTGAAAAACCAGTGAACTCGACACGATCATTACCTTCTTCACGAGTCGACATCCTAACTGTTGGATGTCTTGGACCCAATCCTTTCCTAGTATACCCTGCAACGGTGACATCATAAAAAGTAAACGCAGTTAAGTTGGTCACCGTGAATTCCGAGTTGGATGACGTCACTGTGAAATTACGTTCCTCGTTGCTATGGTTACAGAAGATGACGTATCCCAGCGGAACGCCATGCCAAGATATGTCATCATCAATAGGGTGCCACGACACGGTTAGGGCAGTAGTGTTTGGTGCGGTAACGGTAAGGTTGAGCGGACGCCTGCTTGGAACTACATGAAGTATTCAAATACAAGAAAACTCGTATTGGCACGATGTCTTTGATTGGTGTTTAAATCAATACGAATATATCAATCTCACCTCCTTCAGGGGTCATGAAATAAAATGTTGAACTACGAACCCCATTACCAGTAGTATAAGCCAACACTTGCATACTGTAGTTTGTATGAAACAACGATTTAAACTGAAAACTTGTTGAGCTCGTGTTCTGCGTCACCAACTCCATAAGATCTGGCAGTGACGGATGACCCGGTTTAATGTAGGTGATGTCCATAGGTTTGTAAGTTGTCAAATAACCACGGATTATACCGCGTACTTTTTCGGCGGGAACTGGATCCCATTCAAGGGTTATCAAACAGAATGCTGGGAAAGGTGTGGTAGTGTTAGATGCTCTGCAGCCCGATGCACGAAGGTTGACTGGAGCGATACGAGGAACTGAAAGATGAAAACCAACGAAGTATTACTAGAATATTTCTTGCAAAGATCAACCTCGCCAGAAACAAGACATGGGTGGACAGGGTGGAGAGGAGTGAAGTCAAACAAGGGGTTTAAAAATACTAAACGGATGATGGGGATGGTACAAAAATCAATTTAGATACAATAAACATGTTTCAATACCCGATTGTCCTCGATACATGCAAAAAATCTGGTATTAACTCGGTTTTACCTTCTTCGGGCAGGCGCACCGTGAGAGTTGGATGCCTTGGACCCAATCCCTTTCTAGTATACCCCGCCACGGCGAGGTCATAAAACGTAAATGCGGTCAAATTAGTGACTGTAAATTCCAGGTTGGATAACGTCACTGTGAAATTACGTTCTTCGTTGCTATTGTTACAAAAAATGACGTATCCCAGCGGCATGCCATGCCATAAGTCCTCATTGATTGGTTTCCACGACACGGTCAGGGCACTGGTGTTTAGTACGGTGAGGGAAAGGTTGAACGGATAACTGGATGGAACTAGAAGAAGCATTTGAAGAAATTCGTATTGAATAAAAAAACAGACACTTTTGTAGTGTTGAAATTACAAATCTTTCAGAAGACTTGTGTCAGACATTTATCAACATACAATCAGAATGCCTTTTGCGGTTAGTGCCGATTACAAGATCGGAACATTCCGATTAAAAGATCGGAACATTCCGATTACAAGATCGTGACTTCGTGTTCTTGACAATCTCGATATAAGAAACTAAAACTCACCATGTTCCAGAGTTTGAAAAACGGGGCCTTGAATTGGTGAACTGTATCCAACGTTGTTTAACGCCATTAATGAAACACTGTAGTTTGTGAAATGTTTCAGAGATGTGTAGGTGACATTGGACGTGTTTGAAGGTTTTTGAATAGTGTGATTGACACCATCAACAATGTCCAGCAATGTTATAACGTAGCTTTTAGCGAGTCCATTCCAATTGTATTTGGGGAGAAGACTCCATTGGATAAACACGGAACGTAGATCCACATTCGAAACACTCACGTTAAGATCCACAATGTCCGGAACTAAAAGAAAGAAGCAAAATAATTCTAATGAACCTTGTGGACAGTCGTCCTGGTTATCACCCACCATGGTTTAAACAAACTAATTGAAAGAGTATTCTGGTAGAAAGAGTTTAGGATCCTATCTTTTTTTCGACGCAATCCTATCGCAAAAGAAAACTTACAATCGTCCAAAGTAGAAATAACAACTTCTTCACTAGGCCAACCATCCCCAACCAAACTAAAGGCAACAACTTTGAAAGAATACTCCATGCCTTTCCTTAGACCATCTAAAACCACCCAAGAGTTGTTCTCAAATTCCCGACCATAAATAACTTTCTCTGCCCATGATTCCGGAGTGTCAATTTCGCTTCGATACAGCATTTTAAAACCCACAAATACTCCTGTAGCTGTAGAGTCAGGTGACCAGTGCCAGGAAAGATTCAGCGCGGTCGAGTTTAGAGCAAATGACGACACATTGAATGGAACATGAGTTGGAACTAATTGACGAAAGAGAAATTTAATACTAATTACTATCAATTGATACTAAATTAACACTGATTAGCACTGATTAATGATTAAGCACTAATTACGGCACTAATTGAAGCTAAGTTTGTCTCTAGCGTGAATGCAGAACTGATAAGAATGCAGATACCTTTTCTTGAACTGATAGAAGTCAAAACAAGTGATGAATTTTCAATCTCAGTTCGGGATATTTCGTTTTGTAGCCATGAAGTATTCCTGACCGATTGTGCCACTTCAGCAAACAGCTTACGATCTCTCCTGCATGGGTGTAAATCGACAAAAGATACGGTAATTTTCTTTAAATAAAAGTAATCGAAGTGTCACGGGAGTTTTTAAAACCGCTACATTATATAGTTTATACATTACCTATAATAAACAAAGTCAAAGTTTGTAGCATTCTTGATGTTATAACACAGCCCAAAGGCTGCCCCAGACCCAGTCGCGTTCAGGAAAGTTGCAGAAACTGTGTAGTTTAGATCAGTCGTAACCTGGTTGCCAAAAACTGCCGCCATTTTATGTCTGCTCACAACATCTTTAATAAGCGGCAATTGAAACTCGTGGATAGTGGGAAAGATCGATATTGGAGTGAAATATTCCTCCAATTCAAAGTCTTTAAAACTGGCAGAAATCCTTTGGTTATACCACACTACCGCACCAACTTTTGACGGTTGTGGGTTGTATGCAATATTTTCGTTTAGTAGAAGACTACCGTCTTTATACGCTTTGATGTTCGTCAGATCAACATGGACAGCAAGAGTTTGCCAAATTCCCTTCTTTCCAAATCCGCCATCACAATCACCAGATGTTACTATACGGGTCACGCCTGCTTCGCAATGCCACAACTCGAAACATCTATAGACAAGCCTAAGAGTATGTAAATAGAAAATGTTCCGATGACGTTCGAACAGGTTTGTTTTATGTTGACGGGGTATTTTATACCAGCCTACAAACACCTTCGAATACCCTGGTTAGATTTAGCATATTACCTGACAAAAAAAATAACATAGTTGTTATTGTCTTCATATTTTACTAGAAATCCCATGTGACTACATTCGCTCGCATAACAGGGATCTCCAAAGTCGTGTCGAAATTTCGCTTCAATTTTGTAGCGAGGGGAGAGCACAGGTTTTTCATAAAAAGCCATACAATGCCCAGTCGGCGAGGCCGTTTGTGTTCCTCGGAGACGATACTCTCCCGCATTCTCTGTCGCTCCAGAATTACTCATGTCACAATCATGAAAAGTGAACTCGCTTGCGTCTTGATTTGTGTCCAGGTAGAAGTCCTTCACCAGGACGTCATTGGAATCATCTAAAAAAGAAAGATCATGCATGCATTTTCCTCCTGGTCCTATCTAAAAATGTTCTCTACAATTGAGGTAATGGACCTTGGAGCGCGGGGGGAGATGGCGGAGGGAGTGGATGGCGAAAGAAGATATCGAGGGAGGTGGAGAAGAGGATAGCAAGCCCATCCACTTTCTTCCGGGACAAAAAATTTGTCGGATAAAACTCTTTGTTTGGTGATAAATTGACATCAAGTTCTGGTCCTGCAACCCCTACGTTTATCCCGCACTTGCCGGAGGTAACCCCTCTTACCTTGATTTGTTTCAAAGAATCCTCCTCTGGCTGTATTTGAGCCCTCAGCTGGGAATGAACCGAAATGAACGTTGTTTAGGTTTATGCTAATCTCAACATTCTTAACATCCAACTTCAAATTGAAATGCTCGCTTTCTGGTTGAAAACCAAACGAATCGTTGCAATGAAAGACAACGTCTTCCCTCCAAGTGGCAACACCATTGCGAACATTACCAACATAAACGCATCTGTCAGTCGTTAATTTGTCCCTGTGAAAAAAAACAAAAATGGAAGCTTAAGTAAAGAAAACTGTCTCCGAAGGGAAGACCATTATACTTTGCATGGAAATTTTTCATGAATGAAACCTACCACATCTTCTTGACAGAAGCATTTTCAATGTATTTTTCAATCTATAAAATATTTTTCAATATCTGTGATATTTCATTAAGAAGCAGTTTATTGATATTTAGCTTGGAAACCGAACTACGAGCAATACAGCATACTAATATATTCCTACGGCATATTCATTCGACTGATTAACACACAAAAAAGTATTTTTGAATTTATCCTGCGATGAATCATTATTACCAGAGAGTTGAACGACGTCATTGCGGTCTCATGCTCCGGGTCTTCTAAATCCAGCAACGGTCGACTCCAAAAATCCAGTTGAAATATCCAGGAAATAGTGTTGGAAGGATTTCCTGTGAAAAATGAGATATCTAGGAATGTAACACGCGACCCTTGCCAGGACAGTCAACAGCAAACCAATACTCAATCAACAAACTTACTAGCAACAAGATGATATATCTCCATTATTTTTTCTTCTGTTAAAGTCTTATTCCAAACAGCCAGTTCATCTATGGCGAAAGTACGACCGCTATTGTATTGAAATAGCTCAGTTTCTATTATGTTTTGACTTGCAGATAGCGAATGAACAATCTCTGGACATATTTTCTCCTTTCTGGTCATGCCAGTATCTTCGATGATATAGAAGAGAAGTTTTCCTGTTCCATCAGCTTGAGTCTTCCACGTTATTGATATGAACAACCACGTCCAGTGTCGCGGGTACACGTCATATATTAAATTACATTTGTGCTTTTCGCCTCGGACATGGGCATTCAAACCTGGATTATCAGCATATGACACGAGTGATACGCCTGAACGGTCGCCTAAATTTGTAGTGAAATAATGCTCTCGGTTCCTAATATCGCCTGGTTTCACCCACAGAGAGATGCTGAAACCTGTGGGGCAGAACGAGGGGTCCTTTAAACACGAATAATGAATTGAGCCCAATTGCAGTCCAGAATGATCTTCGGGTAAGGTTAAAAGAGCAAGATTTACAGGTCCTGTCAGATGTGTTGTGGGTTTCTGGGTCATATTTGAGCGAGCACCCGTCTTATGATCCACTACATTGTCGGGATCATCAAATGACCAATAGTGAAGTGCGTCCTTGTAAATAGTTTCCAAGAATTCTGCGAAAGGACAGTACAGGTATAAGTATATTTCTCGTTGTCAAAAAATTTGTTCAGCATTCAAAAAAGTTTGCTTTACTTGGAGGGGGGACATCCACTTAAACTCAAACATCCACTTACCACTTTCACATTTTTCATCAAGAAACTCGTCATCAAAGCACAGACATTTTCCCGTCACATTATCACACTTGCTTCGACCAACACATGGTGTTGAACAACTCGGTCCAGGCACAGCCTGCGATGGCGCGAATGTACAGTTGATGTCATTTGTCAAAGACACATCCCCGATAGCGATGTCACTTTTATAACCACCGCCAATAATACCAACAAAAATGATCTGCGTAAGAGAAGGCAATGTTGTTAACCAAGCGAATCTCTGCTGTTATAAATTCGCAAGAAAACCCATCCAGGGGGGTAGGTCATGCATTCGGCCCATACAAACCCCTACCACCCCCCGAAAGTCTGTCTGTTGGGAGGGATTACTAAGAGCTTGTAAATGAGTAGTTAAATGTTGTGAAACGTTAGCCTCGACAAAACTGGGTTATCGTGAGCCTGCATGTAGACATTTATCCCTTCTCTTTCTAAAATTGTTATTACAATCGACTAAAGAACGAACACATTTCTGAATAAAAGATTATAGAATTACTCAAAATGATCAAGTGTCGACATTGTATGAAATGAACGAAATGATAATTCAGTTCTGTCAAGGATCTCGCTTCTGACTGCTTCCACTTCGATTGGCTGGATAGACTTCTTGCCCTACCGCTGCCCACCTTAAATGCCGTATCAACTTTCAAAGGAATAACCGCTTTCTTCCAGGTGTGTGGGCTCTGCTCGCCAACAGCAGTCCAAAGAAACTGTCTTTCTTTGTCCACCTCCTTTATGTAAACATCAAGACGTCCCATATCTGATCCGATCATGTGATACAAGAACTTTGAGCACGTGTACACCGGTGGCATTATCCTAGTGACCAGCTCTCCGCGGTCGCCTTTGACACGGGGGTATGAAGACTCCAGATAATGAAAGTCAGCTGTTGTGATGACGTGATGCAGAGTGGCTGTAATAAAGAGTTTGAAAATATTGAAACCAGACAAAGTTTGTGTACAAGTCGCTGAAAACGTCTCGCCACTGGCTTTCTGACTCGTTTCGTCTCAGCCTCGTTTGTACCCATAGGATGAAAAATAAACACATCACAGTGCTTTAAACAGATCAGTGGCTATGCTGAGCGAGCGCAAAGGAAGAGTAATCATTATCCTTGATCAGTGAATCTTTTTTTGATGAAAAGAAAGAAAATGAAGAAGAGAAACACCGCATAAGACAACAAGTGATTAAAACAAACAATACCTCTTGGGCAAACATAAATTTCTGCTGCCAGTCTCGCTTGATTGGCCCAGGTTAACACAGTAAAACGAACATGACGTGCGAAGAAAGGCTTTGACAGTATTTCTTTGACAACTGCGTGACCAGCTGTCCCATCATCCCTCGCAAATATCTGAAGAAAATTACAACTTAGAGTCCAACATATTTGCTGAAACAGCGAGACCAACTGGGAGAAATATGTCACGAAAAAATATCTCATAAAAAGAGGAACTTCAATAGTAAGAAAATTGTTCCCGGAGTTCTGAACAGGTTGGAATATTTGTGCGGGTTAACCGCCTTAAAAGCGGGTAGAATCTCTCAAGTCTCACCTTCCGTTGCTTTGAGTCATCGAGATAAACCATCAATTGATCGGCATCGAAACCAAAAGAAAGAAAATACGTCTTTAAGTAATTGTTGGTTGTGCCGTGCGTTGCAACACCAGTAACCAGACGAATGAATAATAAATCAACTTGAACCCAGGGCTCTAAATCTCCATTCTTTGCTCGCCAATTTCCCTGCGTGCGTGCTAAACGAGCTTCACTTGCTTTCCTACCAGTGGAAAATGACGACGCTGAGAAAGAACTGTCTGGTATCCGACCATCTTCCATACCAACCGCTTCACTGCATGCTAAATTAAACAATTGCGGTTTAAAATATAAGGGTTTCTTTTAAGGACTCTCAAGTCAGGGTAGGGTCGTAGCTCCTCGCAAGAATTATTTCCATTGGCTGAACTTTACAATTCATTTCTGTTTCAACCAATAGCATAGCTTCGTTCTTTAGAAAGCTTAGAAAAGCATTATCCAAATGGACGAAAGCTTCCGAGCACTGCGACATGTCCCAAACGAAGTATAAATGTTGATCGTGGCTGAAAGCGGGTACTTGGAAATTTTTTGACATCGGTTGCTTGATTTTAAAATAATTTGCAAAATAAGATGTTTTTGCGCTCGACCGATGATATTAGTAAATTACATTCAGCAAAGGTTGGCTTACAGAATATAAAAATGCAAATACATTGTCGTGAATCAAAGCAATCTTTATTTTTTATCAATGTTTTTTTTAACAGGGGATTTTTACTGTGGGGGAGGGTATAGGGTATACCGTTTCCGTATCCTGAACATAATCCTCACTTTATCAAAAATCTAATATATCGAATCCGCGAATAATCTCTTATCATAAATTAAAACTCTTAACCAAAGTTTAATGTGATCCTACCTTTTGAAAGTTCTAAATTCCTAGCACCGTTCCTTTTGTCACTTGTATCAACGAAAGACAAATTCGTCTTCCCAAAATAGCGAATACCCGCGGGGTCAAACGGGACAACCACTTCCACATACAGTGATGATCCGACAGGGTAGCATGACCCGCCATAACCACCGCATTTTGCATCAACAATCTGACGATAAAAATCTTCACGAATGGTCAAAATTGCAACGTGATAAGAGGGGTATAAACTTCTTGTCCATGTCAACTCTGGTTTTATCTAAAAGAGGGATGTGTTTTTAGTGACGTCGATAATTATCTGTGTAGGTTAACTTTTTGTTGCGAGTACATAGCACATACACGGAGTCAGTCAGTCAGAGGCAGGTGAGGAAACTGGAAAGCGTCAGGACACTTGCTCAGTGTACTCCATGCATTGAATGGAAACTTCTTACCCGAAGACCTGTTCCAGTGAGATCAATATTAAACATTCCACGAGGTTCACACAGAGCAACAGAGAAAGCATCATAGGCGTGTGCGTAACGGATGTCTTTACCAAACAGCGTAGATCCAAAGCTATGATCGTCCCGCACCACCTCCATATTGTTTATTTTTAGTCGAATCTAAAATAGAAACGATTTTCTTCTTTTTTCTCTTTCTCTTCTTCCTATTTTACTCCAACCCACTCCACCTTCTTTCTTAATTTAAGAAACCCCAACTCTCTTTCATTTTCACCCCCCCCCCACTTTCTAACCCCTCACCTTAATTCGCGACTGTCTCCCGCCTAGACTTCAACAAACCTGTCAATCATACTTTTCAACAAACTCTTTTCGAACCACCCCCAGCTTCATCACTTCAATTCCAGCGACCCTATCCTTCTGCTTTTTTAAAACTCTCTCTAAACTTACAACAAAACTTCCCATAACTCTCTTCATTCTTTTCAATAAGCCCACCTCACACTCCCCCTGATTTTTCTTGTGTCTTATGAACGTGTACCTATGGTACCCGTGGTATGGTAACCATGGTACCCGTGGTATGGTGACCATGGTACCCGTGGTATGGTAACCATGGTGCCCGTGGTAGTAACCATGGTACCCGTGGTATGGTAACCATGGTACCCGTGGTATGGTAACCATGGTACCCGTGGTATGGTAACCATGGTACCCGTGGTATGGTAACCATGGTGCCCGTACGTACCTTCGAAAACGTGCTATGTCCATCAGTGCCTCGCCAGTGTTCATGCGCGATAGAACCTGGCTTAATATTACACGTGTGTGAATATGCATGATCTAGATTTCTTAAAGCAAAATTCTTCCCGGAATCATGTAACACGTTAATATATTCTTTCGGCTCCGTCGTGCTCATTCCAGCGCAGAATACGCGTATTGGGATCAGTCCTGTGGCGTAGGGGTAGATAGTATAGTTTCCATCCAGGTTTATATCGCGATAATACTTGACATCAGCGCATGATCGAGGCTCTAAAATGTATACAAAACGATATGAAATTGGGGCTTCATTTACAAGTTGTATTACCTAATTGCCCAAAGGCGGCGATTGTACGAAGGCTGAATAGCGCTGTTATTTCTACATTTTACAACATTTTGAAACCAAACTTGCGTTTTCTGCATCAAATGTGGTATAACAACTGCCTAAATTAGACAAAACACTTCTCGACGTTTCGACCTGAAGGCCTTCGTCAGGACAGTTAGTATGATCATACTAGCTCTCCTGACGAAGGCCTTTATGCAGGTCGAAACGTCGAGAAGTGTTTTGTCTATTTTAGGCAGTTGTGCGTTTTGTCTATTTAGGCAGTTGTTATACCACATTTGATGCTAAGTTGTTTGAAGACGCTGCCACGCTGCTCCCTGGTTATATTCCGTTTTCTGCCTTTTAAACTTCTTCCAGCTTGAATTTCAGGATTTCATTTTGGATCAAATTTATTAAATTGCTGCATGAGTTGAACCATTTTCAAGACTTACTTTTTCTGACACAAGAAGCTAATTCCAAGTCCAGACTTCCCTTCGGGCTGCACGTTCCACAATACCCCCCGCAATTTGCAGAAATCTCCCGATTATCAGACGAGCGTTTAAAGTTGATCATATATTGAAAAGTTGGATCAAGCCACCACCAGCCGTGACCATGCCATTCCACAGTAGGTTTAACTCGTACGCTGGTGTTTTTCAAGTTGATATTAAAACGACCTCCATGGTGGCAGCTCGAAGGGGTGAAGATTCTATGAAAACACGCCTGACCAATGCCAAATTGAACTGGTTGTCCAGTAATTTCTGTATAATCGAAGTCTTGACGATCAACAGTCATACTGTTAGGGCTTATTCTTATCTGAATGAAAACATAATCGAACTTATTGAGTTATGATGTAGTTATGGAAAATTACGGCAAAACCCGCAGGTAATTGGTATGGTATGGTATGGTATGGTATGGTATGGTATGGTATGGTATGGTATGGTATGGTATGCTATGGCATGGTATGGTATCCTATGGTATGGTATGATATGGTATGGTATGTTATGGTATGGTATGGTATGCTATGGTATGGTATGGTATGGTATGGTATGGTATGGTATGGTATGGTATGGTATGGTATGGTATGGCATGGTATGGTATGCTATGCTATGGTATGGTATGCTATGGTATGGTATGGTATGCTATGGTATGGTATGGTATGGTATGGTATGCTATGGTATGGTATGGTATGCTATGGTATGGTATGGTATGGTATGCTATGGTATGCTATGATATGGTATGGGGGTATGTATGGTATGGTATGGTATGGTATGGTATGGTATGGTATGCTATGGTATGGTGTGGTATGGTATGGTATGGCATGGTATGGTATGCTATGGTATCATTGGTATGGATACCGTCGTGGGGTATGAGGTGGATATATAGGGGAACGAAAAACTTCAAACCTTATTAAACCAGGTCTTCCCAGGCTTTCCAGGATAATTATTTTGCTGACATGGCTGATCCAACCCGGCGTATATAGCATAGTTTGACGCAGGATTTAAGTCAACATATTCCTTGGGTGATGTCGTGGTGGTATTCATATCCGAGCACCAAACTTCAAGTGAATCACCGCACGCACCACGCGGGAAAATGACGTAATATCCATCCACTTCACCCGCTCCTGTGGACTTGATATCCTCGCATGATCCTGGTTTGTAATCTTCACCATCAACATCTAGAATAAGGGATGACATCAAAGTTGAAAACTCTGAAGAAAAAGGGTTTCTTTATAAAAAAAAATCATACCAAAAACACTGCGCGTGTAGGTAAATGATGGGCCAGTGTCATTCGATGGAGTTTCTGTGTACTTTCTCTTCCAATGTAGAAAACTATTGTCAGATGTCTTCAGAAACATAAACCTTTGGCTTTCATCAACTAAATAGAAATTACATTTCACTCTCGGTCAGGATCGTTTCTTGAGGGATTCTATGGGATTTCTAGGGATAGGGTAAAGCATAAAGGAGAATGAGTGATGGTTCTTGAAGGATCCTATGGGATTGCTAGTGATACAAAGCGTAAAAGATTTCACTTCAACATCTCCTGTTCTAACACTGCACCAAAAAGAAATGTCCATCACTGGACCATCAAAGAGAATATTTTCGAGTGGGATAGGAACAGATTTGAAATAAACATGCCTTCGGTGTACAAAGCTTTAATATCTGCGGGTGATAACATCCCACTCCAAATAACTAATTCAACCATTGAGAAGATGGCGCCGGCAGTGGACCCTGATTTTCCAACAAACAGTTTCTTAACTCCAAGTTCACCAGCGCTGTCTCCGAGCACAGTTTTGAAAACTCCCGAGTGTTCTTTCACGTGACCATTTTCATAGTAAGTCAAACCATGACATGCGCTCCACGTGATTGCAACGTGCGACCATGCGAGAGTTGTAATACTGGCGTTCATGTTCCATTGTTTACCCTTGACATCCATGATTATCCCCACCGTGGTGCGATCAAGTGACGTCACCTTTAGTCCATACTTGCTTTCCGGGGAAAAAATATTTAATCCAGCTGTATAAGGAACATAAAACATTTTTAAACTACAACCGAAGTTTGAAGTTTCTTTGTTTCCAAGTTTGTTCAAGCAGACCTCTAAAAATACCTGGACTATGTTGTAATTGGATCCAAAATGACATGGTGAAGCCATCTTCGCAATTTTTAACGCCAAAAATACACGAATCGTGAGGAAATGTGATCATTACGCTTTCCTGCCCAGTCTTAATATCTAAGATGTTATCACCAATAGGACCAGAGTTGACTGTAGCGCTTGCATCTCCATATTCATCAGAAAATTTCCCATCTTTCAAGTCATCGAAGTACAAGCGATGTTCCTCTGTTTAAAAAAGACAAAAAATACGAGATTTCCTCCCTAAAATTAGATTACACCATCTGCGAATCATCTGCAGTGATTTACTCTGGATTTAGAAACTACATGAAGTATTTGAATATACCTGGACATAATTTATCCGCGGTCTCGTATCGTATTTGATAATTGAAATCGTAAGCTTGCTTCGTTTCACGTGAAAACAAAAATCTAGCACGTGATCGATAGTTGGCACCACAACTCTGATTACAAGTTTTCCACTGAGTCCATGGTTCACGAGAGTTTGTGTTGCCCAGGACTAGATGAACAAACATAATAATCATGTAAATCACAAACCTATTACCCTAGTGGTTCACTGGTTGTCCAATATAGGCACTACAGTAAACGAAGTGAAAACTATCCCTAATTACTCCAGTGAAAACTATCCCTAACTATTCCAGCGAAAACTATCCTAAATATTCCATAACTATCCCTAATTATCTAACAGCGATATACTTGAAAAAATCTTGAAGAGTCTCGCAGAAAAAGATGTGTTAAAACATTGTGTGTGTGGATAAAAATAAAATATGGCTTCGTCGCATTCAGAAATCGAGTACGATTCACTGAAAAGATTAGCCCTCTGGACGTTGCAGCAAAACAAACCTTCATCCGGGCAATCTACAATTTTGATGTCATCAAGACCAATATCACAACGATAGGGAGTACCCAGATGCGCCTGGAAAGCAATCTGAAACAAAATCAATATATTTAGGGGCATTTCTAATATGAAAAAACAAGGCAGTTTTTACGAATGTTAAACAAATTTTCATTTTTTCTCACCTGAAATGGCTGGAAGGAGGTAAATGGAACTGTGGCCGTTTGCCAGTTTGGTCCGCGGTTTGAATGCTGTATCCAAATAGCCTCGCCCCATCCTAAGGCAGTCTTGACGAAAACTTTCAACAGAAACACCTGATCACCATACATGTGGTAAGAGAACTTTAGGCATTTCTTAAACACTGGTTGTTCTTCAGGACTAATATACGATGTGAAGGAATATGCAGGCGCGTCGTCACAGTGCATAAAGACGTACCAGGTTCCTAAAAATATCACACAAATATACGAACAGTTTTGTGGTAACCTGGGAGCTCTAGCATGGAGCATAGGTAACCAGGCTCGTCAGCCCTCATGCGGTTAAGACCTTTTCACAAAACAAGCTGAGAAGACAGTGGTTGGTAACGAACTTACCTTGGCTACTTGATGGCACCCCAGCTGAACTTGATTGCTGTCGTGCATAACTCTTCCCCGTTGTTATATAAAACTTTGCAAGTGGGTGACCTTCGAGGACTGTGTAACCGCATTGGTAACTATTTTCAAAATCACAGTCTACCATGGAAATACGTTCTGAAAATATGCCATAACGAGAGAATGTAATATGAATATATATATATATATATATATATATATATATATATATATATATATATATATATATATATATATATATATATATATATAAACAATGTCGTTTGTATTATAACTACACAAATAGACCACTCGCATAATAGACCAACTTATGGTCTAGGTAACAAGAAGGAAATAAATCACCACAGCTAAAAATGGCATACCGAAATTAGTATAATTAGCCGCGGGTTTTTTCTCAAGTTGACGAATATCCCGGCGCCATTTTTGGGTTACTATCAATTTTCTTAAATATGTTTAAACAATCTATGTGTACAAGGTAGTCTTACTCTTTTTAAAGCACCATGGAACATTAGACGTCTGATCATCATAACAACAGTCGTTCGCCTCGCATTGTTGCTTTGAAGGAAAACCACAGTCTGTTCTTTCCGAGGTAGACATCTCACACGTTCCTGATGGACAAAATATTCAATGGATTACATAGTACATACTACAACGTATAGGTGATAAAAAACAATAATACATAAAACGGCTCTACATATTTACCCCGAGTGAATCCTGCTTTGCCTAAAATAAAATAAAAACGGTCTATTGTAAGAACAGGATTGATCTAGTTTGCGCGGAGCATTCATATACGTTTTTATCCTGATATGGAACGCAACTTTGAAAAACTCAAGAGTACTGAGAGAGAAATGGAACTATGAGTGGAACTAAAACAGTTTTTGCTTAAGAACATTAACTGTTACAATAATTTTAGAATTTAGTAAGCATGCAATGGTTTTAAGAAAAAATTCCTTTTTCGTGCATGATTGGCTTGGAATAGCAGGATAAAATAAATATATTTTCGCAAACATCAAAACAATGAAGTATATATGTATAAGATTTGGTGGGCAAACAGGTAATCATAGATCCTATAAAGGGATAAAGTATATCGCCGAAAACGATTGCGTTAGCGCTATAAAATATTTTACCAAATATCATCTGACTAAACCAGAAATCGAATACTCCGAAACTTCATTATATGAACACTTATATAGAAGTAGGCTTTTCTGTTTATTTTTTTAAGGCAAACCATATAGACGTCATAGTACCAACAAGAAAACACTATATAAAAACTATATTCATTAAAAAATACCGTAGCATACGTAGCTTACCTTGGAATATCAATTGACAAACTGTCAAACAGAAGGCTAACCAATTTATCCACATGATAGCTCAAACTATCTCTCGGCAAATGAAAATAAATTAAGACATCGCGCAACGTAAGTGCATGCGAATTTGTTGTGACTCTGCTAAGTGTGATGATGCTGGTGGTGGTGAAATTTGTCATTAGTTATTTAAAATATATACTCGAATTCGGCGGCAAACGTCAGTTTAAATGGCACACGTGATAGGTCCCAGCAGGTCCCCGGTTAATATCAGAGCGCGCTTAAATAAAACAGTACGACATGCAGATATAGAGAACAACGGAGATTCAAAATCACGCATGAATACAACTCGTCGTAATGGAAAGGTTCTTTTATTACGTTGTCAAATATACGACCAGGTTACGGCGAGATTTTTAGCGACGTGACTAGTTTGAATAATTAATAATAGCTATTAAACAGATGCATACAATACTCACAAATACTCTGAAATAATAAACAGGTGGAATGGATAACCACATTTCGTATGTTCAAATATAAAAAAAACACTACAACACACAGGAAATCATTCAAACACTATATATATACACAATAAATCATAGGCAATATTGTATCCTCCCCAACAGCCATACACCATGCAAAGCTATTAAGTTAGCTTGTGTCGAAGGCTCACCCTGCATGACCGTACTTATTTTCTCATTGTTTGCTTGGCCGAGCTTCAAACATATTGAGTCAGAGCACTGGGCCACAGCAGGTGCATGATATCAACAGTTCGTGGTTCTAGCAATTTTGTGATTCTGCATGAGTCACATCAGACACAGAGGAACATCGCTTGTACTTCGATGACTTGAAAGATGGGAAATTTTCTGATGAATATGGAGATGCAAGCGCTACAGTCAACTCTGGTCCCATTGGTGATAACATCTTAGATATTAAGTCCGGCGAACAAACCTTGCATGTAACTGTGGTTTATGATTTTGCCTGCGTTCTTAGAACACTCGTAAAAAGGCTGTGAGTAAGCAAAGATGACTAACCTCTTTGTGATAAGCCATAGTAGCATATCACAATTACAATACACTGTCTTCGTTTCCATCTCAATTACCCCAAAACCTTTCACTTGAAAGCGATTACAACCATTTGCTCTATATGCTTATACATCCTCTCAAGCAGAAAATCTTTATCTACGTAGGGTAAATAGGTGAGTTATAACCGAAACACCGCAGTTTATTGCAGTTCTATATCCTCCTAATGTCATGCAGTCAACTTCATAGTCATTCGTCTATTCGAGTTTCGCGCGCTTTCACCTGATTGGCTGTTCACGTTTTACCACGTCCAATCATAGCATCCCATCATCTTTCATTTTTCCTAATCCTTCGTCGTCAAAACCGCTGCTTACACCACTTGTCTGCAATAAAGACTATGAACTGTCAGAGTTTCAGCACAAGATACGATACACGAGATTTTTATATAAAGAGTTCATGAAAAAAAGACTTCACCTTTTTAATATACTGAGGATTAAGCGCTAACGTGTTGTCCATAGCACGAAGTTTGTTGTCCAGAGTTTGATATGCACGGATCTAAACTCAAAATAAGTATTTTAGTTGACGTTGAATGTGAAGCCGCGTCAGATGACTACGAGAATTGTCAAGCGAGAGCTCGCGTGTGTTATCTTTTTAATGCCTTGGTTATACGTCGCATTTTGGTCGCGTCGAACAATAGATAATGAGAATTAACGATTATCAACTGACATCCCGTTAGGTTAAGAGGGAGCAATCAAATTTCAAGGCAGATATTAACCTGATCGTCGAGTCGTTTCAGCATCCGAGGATCATTATATTTCTCTGGGTTACTGTGAAATGACACCATACCATCTCGTTGATTGATTGAAGCATAAATCTCACCATCTTCGATCTGAAATAAAAGAGGTTCAGAGTTCTAGGGCGGAGTCAGCGCTCGCCTGGAGGTCTAGATTGAAGGTTTAGAGTCCCATCTAAGGTACTGAGCTCTAGAAACGAGGAAGTCGTACCCCTACCGCAGATTCACAGCTTTCATACCTGGAGCTCAGAATTCTACCTTTTGTTTAGAATCCTACTTTGAGAGTTCAACCTGGGACTCAGAGCTCTACGAATCGGGGATTCAGCCCCCTACGAGAGATTCACAGCTCAATACCGGAGATTCTCATCCCCACCGGGGATCCCATATAAAAATCTTAAAAAAATACCATTTGTAAAACATAGCGTTCGGCCTCTTCCGTATCGTTGAGACCAACACGGTTTGTCATGTCGTTTAGAGAGAGCGTTAGAAATGTCTAAAAACAACAAGAAATTGTAGTAATTCAAAATTCTTTAACTGCCAACTCACAAGACAGACATACCTTTGTAAGCCTTTTGATAGTAACCCGATATAGTGACGTCATAGCCTGCTTAACAAGGCCCATATTAGTGTCCTGGGAAAAAACACTTTTTTAGTCAAGATTTGATATTACTAAAGGACAACTTTATACGAAAATTTGATCTACGAACCGTCGTGAAATGATCGACATGCTTGGCAACAACAGCATTGACTGATGATGGATTCCGTGATGCGTATGCCTCCGCTAGTTCGTGATATGGAGAACTAAGAGGCTAGAAAGATAACATTGCCTGATTGCCATTGCAGAGAAGAAGCTTGAATCATGAGCGTCATCTTATTTTCATAAGACAAACTACATTACTTCCATAATTTTACCATTTACCTTGAGATATTTCATTACAACATGTGATGTATACTTTGGGAGACTGATAATCTAGACAGAAGGGGAAATATTCTTATAGCAGCATTGAGTAAATTACAGTGCCAGGTAGTAGGTACAGAAATCTTCATATATCATCCTGGTGATAAAATTTTACCTTTGCATGTTCCAAGAGGGAGACCAACACAAATTTTTTATAAGCTGATAGCATGATATAACTAATGTCACTTGCTGGTGTGGTGATGGCCTGAACGAAGAACAATATGTTAACACAGTCATTGGTTTAGTTTGCTCTAAGAGGTGGGGTTTGGTATAGTTGCCTTGCGGAATAGACCATTCCTATAGTGACGTCTCATGCAAAAAGCCCTATGTTTCATGAATTTTGATTGGCAAAGCTAACCAGCCAATCAAACTTTGTGAAATATATCACGCTTTCCACATTGAACATCATTTTGAGAAAGGTCTATTCCAGAGGCATTACTTGCCAACCCAATCTCAAACCCCCTAATCTCTTCCTTCCTGATACTTACCACTTCATAAAAGAACAAGGCTCTACCAAAATTCTTTAGTGCCGTATATATCATACCACCATAGTAGTAATAAAGTAAGAAATACTTTGCATCATTTTGAGGATCCTGTAATAAGTGCATCCAGTTAATGTAAAGTACATATATAGACCCATGCAATCATTAAAAATGCACGGTAACCTTTTACCTCTTTTAAAATCTCCGAAAGGTTCACTTCAAGGAAAGGCAATGCAGGTTTGAAACATTTGGCAACCAGACAAAGCTGTTTCATAAAAAGAAATGGAATGATCAGTTATTGCTAAGAAATCTTAAACTACTGTACACAGCCTGTCTTTAACTACAAATTGTTCCCTTCTGTTGCTTATATATGGTTTCTGCATTCCCCATTCCTTGCTAGTTACTTAATTGTTACTCACCTGCATGAGGTCAGCATGGATTGATGTAAGTTGCAACAAAGATGCTTGTAGTTTTGTGATAGCAGTAGCAAGAATTTTTATCCCTTTTAAAGGCTAAATGAAACACAATAAAGAAGCTTCAACCCAGGAATAATTATTGCAAAAGACATCCACACTCTATGTACAACTACTATGAATAAACGAAGACAAATGACAAAATTGATACACATAAGTTGTGACATTTCTACCTGCTTTCTTTCAACAAGTTGTGACGTTAAGTGGTGGCATAGTTGGCAAACTACATTAAAAAGCAAGGGATATGGATATGCATTCACATTTAGTGATAAAAGAGAGGAGAACTGCAGCAGAAACAAGCCGAACTTACATTGACTCTTAAGCAGTTGAATATGTTCTGATGGACACATGTTAACACACTGCTGTATTTGCATGTAAAGTAGCTCAAAGTCGCCAGGATTAGGAAATGTAACTTTCAACGATCTGCAGCAAAGACGATAAGTTACGAATAGGTGGACGATACTAGCTAGGGAAAATAAAAAACGAAATCAGAAATAAAGTTGTTAAAACCTACAGCAAAGAAATGAAAGCTAACGCATGCTGTTCAGGATCTAACGCCCCAACAACTTGGTCAATGTTCGTAGAATTTTGCAGCAATTGTTCAGTGTTCTTGTTTAGCAATTCCGATAACTGTTGGTTGTTTTTATCCGCACATAATGTTTTTATAGCACAAATAAAATCCTCCATTTTGAATGTTGGAAATCTCATACGAGAAAAGTACCTCAAGGAACCTTGAGATTTATTAACCATTTAATCACTATTAAAAAATCTTTTTGTTAAAATTTTTAATACAATCAATAAATGAACGGCTCTAATTGAAACAAAATCATGTTCAGTCACAAAAGGCAGAAATACTTTATAGACGTTTTAAAACAGAATGCGTTTTCTTGAAAAAAAATCTCACGAGGGGAGAAAATGCCGGGTATTGGTAGGGACAAAATCGTATGGCGTTTACTCGCTCGAAAGGTACAAAAATACGAAAAAAGACTTTAAAAGATTAAAAAAACAATGGTTTAAAATGTAAAATTAACAAAGATTGAGATGTACATGCAAGAGAGTGATTAAACTTAGTCGTTTCTGTACACAGGAAACGCTAAAATCAAAACTTTTCGTGATGTTACTGAAAAAATTTGCACTGCCAAAAACTGATTCACGTCTGGTTACTGTTCATAATGTGATATACAAAATTAAACTCCTTTTGATCAAGCATCCAACTAGAGATGAAAAGAGGTGCGTTTGTTTATATTCTAGATAAAAATAGTTTTGAATTGTTTTACACGTTCCGCCCAATGCTATATATGGTCTCGTTTTTGACTTTTTGTGTTGTATTTTTACCAATCTTTTTTGTGTAGTTATGAAGAATTTTACTCGAACCCCGAATGCCAAGAAGAGATTGAAGTGAGTTTTGGGAAAGATATCTCATTTTTTTTCGTTTTTTTAAAGGCCTATTAAATGTTCCTTTCTGATGCAGGCTCATTTTCACAAACTAATGTGTGCTGTTAATTCTCTCTTCTAGGAAATACTTATGTTATTGTTTACTAACGAAAATGAAGAACTACTTCCCATGAAATCAAGCAATCTAACAGTTTACCCTTGTATCCTTGTTTATCATCATAATATCACAATACTGATCCTTATTGTCCCAGTACTCCACTCAGTCCACTGTTAACAATGGAACTAGAATCCTTGATATTAAAATAGTCTGCATGACAGTAGACAGAAGGTAGCATACTAACAGTGCATTTGACACATTTTCAGTTATTGGGTAGGTGTACGTATTTAAATACTATTTATATCAGTGCAATTTACATCGGTGCTTATTGAAAAATTACATCCAGTATTTTGACTTAAATGGAAATTTTCAAGATAAAAAACCATGGAAAATGGTTCACAAAATACAGTTTTACAGAGATGACATTCTTCTCAAACCATACCCATATGAATATTATCTCTACATCGAATCAACGGCATTACCACCGGAAAAGAAACCTATGCTACATCACCCAGTCTCTCCTCACTGCAAAGATGGTCAAGATGCAATCACGGACAGTGAAGATGAAACCCTCAAAGACAGTTCTAACATTAAAAAAGTTGAACCAAAAGCCGAAATACAGCAGTCGAACGAAGCCAATGTCTTCGAACCAGCAAAAATGTGCGACCATCCTGTAAAGAGATGTGAGCTAGCTACCATCCAGTTGCAAAATCTTTTACCATAAAATTTCTTCCCACAAAAATTCCATTCTAAGGGCTAAGGCTATTTGCATGTACACGTACAACACGCGATAGCGTTTGCAAGCGTTTTCATTTATGTTTTCATCAAAAAACGGCTGCAAACACTATCAATTTAGAGCTGAATTTAATACATTGAGGATTTCAGCCCTCTTGAATACGCTCGAAAGTCGGAAGTGATGCTCAGTCGTGTGTCGGGCAAAGAATGGCGGGGAAACCCTGTCTGTTTCCTGGTTTTGTAGCTCTTGGTTTAGTGAATGTGTACTTGTTTTTTCTAGCTCACGATGAATCAGAAGGTGACGATAATCAGGTCAATATTACTCAACTGTATTTCACATTGAAATCAGATTGAAAAATTAGATTTCTTAGTTTCTCTGTATGTGAAGTAGACGTTATTATTTTTACCCACAAAGCTATTTTTGTCAACCTTATTCAACAAATTGAACTATAATAATGGCCATGAATACTAAAACGAGCAGTTCTAAATTTAGTCAACTAGACTGAACGAAGACGACGTTCCACTGGAAACAAGGAAGCGATGTAAGACTATTACACTTATACCAGCTTCGAGCGTAGCTGGTCCTGCAGGAAATAAGAGTGATGAGCCAGATGAGGTACGGAGGAAAAAGAAATCTTATCGTAAGCTTCGAAAATTAAGTCTTTTTAACACGCAGTTCCCTTTCGTTTCAATTTCAGGCAGAACCAAAGAAATTTTCAGGTAACCTTGATACGGATTGATGGTATTCCTGTTGAGGATCATCTGAGTCATCTGACGCAACTGACCACCGAAACAGCAATGATAAAATAATAAAAAACCCTTTAGTTTTAAATAAAAGTTTTCTTTCAGTCACCGAATATTTAGACGCAAACCGTCATGATGTACAAGAACAAGACCTTCGCGAACATCTGCGATTTCAAGAATTGGCAACTCCTGCTGACGATGAATCTGGTAAGTGGTGATTGATCATCGAGTGTCGCGTGACTGGGCCTCATATCTTAGATGCTTGTCTTCGTTTCATTCAAAATGTATGAAATTAAATCTTTTTAACATCCTAGCTATCTGCGACTGCCCTTACGAAGAATCTCGTAGTTTTCATAAAGTCTTGAGGTATTGATTTCCTTTTTCTGGGGTCCGTTGTATAAAACTATTTAACTACATTTTGCATAGTTATTTTAGATAGTTCGTTCGTGGTTTTGGTAAATTTTATTTAAATTGATTATTTCTAAAGTACTAGAATGGCAAATACGACCATGGTCATATTCGCCGGAAAATGGCAAATACGACCATGGTCATATTCGCCGGAAAATGGCAAATACGACCATGGTCATATTCGCCGGAAAATGGCAAATGCGACACTGCAATACAATACAATGCAAACAATTTATTTAAACACGGAGGAATATTCAGTTAAAAAATATAACTGGTTTACAAAATTGCCGTGAGAAAGTCGTTATATATATTAGTAAAATAATCATTTGTAGCTTTCTTAAATTGAGGAAAGAGGGTTAAATTACGCATTTCTTCAGGAAAGCTATTCCATAGCAAAGCCCCGCTATAGCATAAGCTACGTTTTTTAAATCCTAGTTAACTCAGAAATATACAACTCTGATTGGCTAATTCTGTCCTTAACTTCAGTTAAAAGTTAACTAGTTTTTTATACAACTGGCCCCTGAAAGATTATCACGATAAATGGCATATTTTATCCAAATGACTATTTTTTTCTTATTTTTTAGTTCTGTCAAGAAACTGATGTTTGGTTCTTGAACTATGATTTATGAGTTATTGTTGCATACTTGCATTGCTTTATTTATTATATCATAGGAAATTTGTTAGATACTTTTTAATATATTTTATATTTTGTTATGAGCAGTTTATTAATGGGTAATATCTTTGAATAATAACGATCTTTTGCGATTGCAGGAGGTTGCCTTTGTAGTAGATAATGTACAAAAATACGTTTATGTAAAAGAAGAAATTAATTCCAAGTAGATTATATTTGACTAATAAAAGTTATTTGCAGATATATTCAGTGATATATATATATATAGGGCCCTATCAAGGATATTCCTGATATGATATTTACACGCGTGATGTCCACGTGGACCACGTCCACGCAGGCGTCCACGCACGACACTACACGAATTCAAATGAAATGAGACGTCACAGGAAGTAAACAGACAATATTTGGTGCGTTACTTTGTTTCAAAACTACATGAAAAACTTCATCAAACCCTTTGTAAACCTTCAAGATTCCTGTTGAGGTAGATAATGCGCTAAAATCACTTGCCGCGGAAATGGAGAGAAGCTAAATATTTATAAAATGACTCGAAATTTGAGGCGATAACAGCGAAAATCCTGATATGTATTTGTAAATAATAAATCAATTTCAATACTACAATTACAATTTATATCGTTCGGCGGATCATATATTATAAATCAAAGTTCGATTATTGCTCCTATGCAATAGACAGATATGGCTTCATTTCCTGTCTATCTTAATGTCTATGATATGGTAGGTATATCTTTATGAATTTAAGTTATCAGTATCAAGCATCTCAAAATATTTTCAGTTTTTATTCATCATTACCTTTAATCAAGCTTCCTTGAATATATTTCATCAATATTTAAAAACATTTAATTATAGCATTGGACGAATGACTATACATCAAAACTGGGTGTTGGAGTCTACCATTCAGCAGTTGAAGTACATGGTAGAGGTATTGACACAGCTACCTGTGAAATATATGATGCATCGTGAACATAATACAATGTTTCTAAATGACAATTTCATTTTCATTTTTTTTTCAGAATTTGCATTCATTGGTCATGAGTTGACCTCCTCCGGACTGGTTGAACTTGAGCCAAAAGGTTGCTCGTTTATGGGTGAATCTTTTAAATTTAGGTAATAAGGATTGCTGTGTTCATTATTGATTACCATGGAATGCCAGAGATTATTCCCTCCCCTGAAATCACTATGGTGTATTTATTCTTCAGGGAGTCTATATATCTAGGAAAAACAGACTTAACAGATGAAGATATTACCACAATAATTCAAGATTTAGGAGTACATTTTACAGGATTATCTTATCACTTAGTTACAAGGTAATATATTTGAACACAGTATAATTATTAAACCCCAACTGTATAGTCCATATGTTATTTAATTATCAGTTAATATCTTTCTAGGAATTGCAATCATTTTTCATCAGAGTTTTCACAGGTAATTGCTAAAACTTAAAATCTCTTGACACACCAATAAAATCTAATTTTTGAAACAATTTACATTTTCCTAGTTACTATGTGGCAAAGATATCCCAGCCTGGATAAACAGAATAGCAAATGTTGGTTCTAAACTTCCCTGGTTGTATAATTGTCTTCCTAAAGATTGGTTGACTCCTGAACCAGAGGAACAAGATAATATGAACTCGTATATGTTTAATCCTGACCAACGTCGTAATAATATCAACTGTAAGTTGCTCTTGAAATCAATATTTCATAGTTTGTGTTATGTTACAAGTACATTTTCTTCCATAATTGTAGAATTTCAGTCAAAATGGTGATTTATTGTGTGTTAGTGTGGGTCAAACAGTGGTACAATGCAGAATTGATAACTCATAATTAACCTTAGTTTTTATCAGAATAAAAAAGCTTTTGAATGTATTACCTTTTGCATAAAAACCTGTAAATATGATCATTTTAAAGAAATAAAGCAGATTTCTGTATCATATTCTACTAATGAGTGGATTGAAAACTTTTATGTTTTTTCATCCTAATGATAGGGATTTGTCACCTTCTTCCTGAGGCACAGCATTTTTCTAAAATTTTGTCACTTAAGTAATCCTCCTCTTCGCTATCAGTCAACATTTTTTCTTCTTCACAAACCACATTGTTACTGATCATCTCTGGTTTTTCCTCGTCAAAATACTTATCCTGCTCATCCTGACCTAATATTTCAAGATTATCATATTCATCATTTGTGTCCACAGTTGCATAATCAAATTCCTCATCGTCACCTTCCAAGAAACGCTGCCGCATGATGTTTACAAATTCCTCTCTAAGTTTAATTTTATCTTCTTGACTTACGTCTGTCATTTCTAAACAAAGTTTACAAAAAGGATCTTAACTTTGCTGCTTCTCTTTCAGCAAGTAAAAAGACCAAGTTTGGATCAAGGCTACCTTACTTTAATATATCTATTCAGAAATTGAGGGTGAAGATGGGTTATAGAGGGTTAGTGGATGATTTTAATGAATAATTTCTATTTTGATGCAAAACATCCACTATCCCTATATATCCCATCTTGACCCTCATAATTCCTATCACCACAGCATCCTTACCTTGTCCATTTTTATCTCCACTCTGTCCCATACTATCCATAACTTGTCCCTCCTTATTCGGCCTATCTATCCTCTCACAATCCTCATCATCATCATCTTCTTCCTCCTCCTCCACGCATTCCTCCATCTCTCGTTCTTCCATCTCCTTCTCCCTCAACCAATCACGATCAATCTGTTGAAATATAAATGATGACATTTTCACTTCATCATTCATCTGTTTCTCATCCAGTTCAAGTTTTTCTTCATCTGTCAAGTACTGTCCAATGTATTGTTCATACAGGAGTGGACATCTTTGCTGCATTTCAATTTCACTGAAAGAACAGGTGAATTAAATCCCAAATCAACCATGACATGCATTTCAATGCAAACCTTATCATCATTTTACAGGCAACTAAATGAACTAATATGGTGGTGATAAATACCTAAAATAACTGCCATCCCTTTCCAATCTTTGCAAGGCTTCATATCGTCTATTTTTGACACAGACACCTGAGGCTTTTGTTTTTAAACTTCTCTCTAAAATTCTCACAGCATATTCCATTTCACTGCCAGAAGCAGCGCAGAAGCAACGAAGATCTTCGAGTGAAATCCACTTTCCAAATCGTGCGAGAAATGTACGCGGATTTTGTTCAAAAATATCTTTTAGTATTTTCATTTTTTGCTCATTAGTAAGATCCGTTTCTGAGCGTTGTTGGCTCTTTACGTTTACATCACCCTTGTTGATTATCCTGCAAAACATTTCGTTCATTTTCGTTGTCTCATTCAGCTCTGAACTGAGTGAACTCTCCTTAAAATCATCTTCACCTTCATTTTTCGCCGCCATATTGTAGCTTTTGGGAAAAACTTTATGTAAGATTCCTATTAATTAATGGGATTGGATTTGGCCATACGAGCAACTGGATTATGGTTAGGATTGGTTTAGGATTAGGATTAGATTCACCTGCAGTAACTAATATGGATGTCCTTAAATGGTAAAACCTGGGTACCTGCAGAAGTGGGACACACAAATTGCGATGACCACAATTTAGCAGGTCACGAATATTAATGAACGAAAGACGTTGTATTATTCTTGAGGTTATTCTTGATTTACTAACCGCTTTTCTAAAACTCAAAGTGCTTTCAACAAACCTGGATGCAACAGAGCTCAAGGGCAATTTATATGCGTCCTAATCCGTCAATGAGCAGTATCTATAATGTTCAACAATTTCCATATAAAAAACTGTTTACATCCTATTGCGATTTCGGGTGAAAATTGTGGTTTAAAATTGAAACCACATCATAGCAACGATTTCAATGTTTATAGTTAATGAAAGAAATAGCTCTGAATACGGTGAACTCGCCCATTAGCAGAAAACACCAGAATACGTTTAATGGCTTAGTTTAAAGAAAACGAGGAAAGAATTACTTTACTTCCGTCTCTTTTCGCGCAAAGAAAAAATGCAGCTGAAACAAACGTCTTTTCTACTACTACTGTTGGCATTCGTGCCGCTTAAGGTAAGAAATACGTTGTTTTAAATGGTTTAAATGATGTTGATTAAAAAAGAATTCTGTGACGCAGTGAAATTTCTAAACATGTATGTCCATGGGATATTCTCTCGACTTCATCGCGTCTTATCGGCGATAAAAATATTTTTTAGGCTTACGGATTTACATTCACTCTCAAGCCAGTCGGTTCTACGACAGTTACAGCGGCCCCAGGAGATATAATTACATATAATGCCCATATCATCGTGTCAGAAACCACTCCACTGTCCTTTCATGTCAGTCTGCCGTTCTCTCAAACTCCGATTCTAAATGTAGAAAAGATTGAAGTTATTGGTAAAGGGAAAAATCTTCACGCAGGCATGGAACAGTTTACTTATGCCAATAAAGATAGTAACAGTTTTGAATCTCAAAGCCAAGCCTCAATTGATTTTGGAAATGTAACTCGCAACTCAGGTTCATCAAAACCCGGAGATGACTTGGTAGTTCAAGTGCAGGCACGCATGTTGGGTAGGCTTCTAATGATGTTGACACTTGACAGTTACAACACAACACCAAAAAACAACACAGTTACACAGCTACACAAAACCAAACACAACACAGTAATACAGCACAACACAACGCCAAAAAACAACACAGTTACACAGCTACACAAAACCAAACACAACACAGTAATACAGCACAACATAACACTAAAAAACAACACAGTTACACAGCTACACAAAACAAAACACAACACAGTAATACAGCACAACATAACACTAAAAAACAACACAGTTACACAGCTACACAAAACCAAACACAACACAGTAATACAGCACAACACAACGCCAAAAAACAACACAGTTACACAACACCAAACACAACACACAACAAAGCACTGAAAACAACACAGTAACACAGTATATAGGACAACACGGCATACAAATTATAATACAGTTTTAATTTGAATATTTTGCAGAACATTCTAGTATCAAGACAGGCGCAGTATTTTGGTTGTATTTTGGTATGCACTATCTTAACGATGCAGTCTGGGTTGTTGGAAAGTCAGTAAAAGCGGAATTGCGAAGTGGACCAGCAAATGTTGGAGTGTCTCTGAAAATTCCACCCAGCCTTACACCATTGATAAAGTATTGGGCTTTTCTTTCATTGTTTTTTTATTTTACTTCATTCCAAACGAGACTGAGGATTACCATTATTTGTTTTGCCTGCATGAGAATTTAATCATCTTATGAAGTAGATCACCCAATTATCATCATAATATGGCTTTTTATCTTTTGCAGAACGTTTAAATTTAATATTGATATTTATCACTTGCCCAATTCGAAAGGATCAGCTTCCTCATTGACCATCACACTATCAACTCCATCCACGCTGACCACACCAGAAGCTAAAGCTGATGGACCATCGCCAAGTTTTCAATTATCAACAACAAACGGAATTACAATCACGGTAAAAACTTTTTTGAAATGCAAGTAAACCTGGTCATTTTCATCATTTCTTCCTTTGTCTTTTCTTTAGTTTTCAGAACCGTTTAAAGTTGGCCAAAAGGCGAGAATTATTGTCACAATGACGTATGCAGGTTCCGAGAAAGGAAAGTTTGTTTATGGTAACATTTACGGGAGTTTTCAGTACGAGACAGCTCTAGCTGGTGGTTCCTGTAGCGAGTTGCAAACAGTAGAAAAAAAAGACGAACTACAATTGCCATTCAAAATGTACTCGCAAGAAGGTACGTCATTGATGCTTTCCTCGTAACTATTATAAGAAAATACAAACTTGATGCGAGACATTCAAGGATTTACCATTTCTTAAAATAGACACCTGTGAGGAACCGCTTAACACCGGTTCAAGCGTAGAAGTGAACTCAGCATATCTACCATGCTGTTCAGCGACCTATATTTCCACAAGTGCTTCCAAGTCCGGAGCTATCTGGCTAGCTTGGAAAGATGTCACAGGCGCTCGACTAGCTGATGAGTATATTCAATATAGTTTTGATAAAAAGACTACCGTGCGAATGATTGTAACTAAAGGACATGTCCCGTGGAAAGTGTTTGTTAGGAGCTATCATGTTTCATACAGTCAAAATGGTGTTCATTGGAAGTACGTCACACACATAGGGAAGAAAAAGGTAAAAATCTTCGATCGGGAACTAAGAGTGGTCTGTGGTGTGCCTAATTAGGGCGTAATATGCCCAGATATATTGCTTCGCAAAACCGATAGAACGAAACAGAAATAAATGACAATACCATTCAGGTCTATACATTGCTGCTATTTGCCTATTTTCCCTACAGAACAACCCACAATGAACATTCAAGAGTTTCCGGCTAAACATTATATACACAGAAAATGAGCAGCATAACACGACCTATAAGGTCTTACTATTCGATCTGTTTTGATCCCTAACATCCATTATTATAGACTTTACAGTATCTTATATTTCTGTGCAGGAGTTCAAAGCAAACACAGACGGGTTGCACAAAGCGCTTGTTTTATTTCCGAAACCTTTGAACGTTTGGTTTTTACGGATTCACGTAGTGAAGCACAGTCCTCTTGGCATTGGAATGAAAGTAAAGTTATATGGTTGCGAAGATAATACTGCGACTAAGCCGTGTAAGTGTCCAGGCTATTTTACAGCCCCTCCCCGCCCTTCCTCCGAGTCAAAGTTTGTTCAAAACTTTGAGACTGGAATTTTTCGTAGATGTTGGCTCAAAGTAAGGTTCGATATCAATGGATATCTCAATAAGGCTGGCGGAGTGCTGGTCTGACTGACTGCATTGCTATTAAACGTTTTCTCTCTTTCTCAATGCCAGTAAAAACTGGATCTCCGTTCCATGATAATAAAGGCATTGCTTGTTCCCAGGAAATGCCTAAACCTGGACCAAACAGGATTCAAAAAACAAGATGCATAGATTTTAGATCCGGATTCCGGAATAATTCACATTCACTGCCCCTGACAAATCTTTAATGCGGCAAAGTATGGATCAAACTAATAAAAAATATTTGTTTTAGACGAAGTTCACCAGCGAGGATTCATTGCAGCAAGTGCTGTATTGATTTTATGCAATGTCCATCCAGATAGGTCAGTTGAATAAGTTGATTTAGTCATTTTTATCAGGTTTTTTGCATTACTTATACGACACTAGTAAAATAATTTTTGTTCCGCAATATTCTATAATAATTTAGCAAACAACTAAACGAGAATTCTAACAAAATAAACGAGTAAACTTCAGCAAATTTTCAGCAAAATCTGCTTTAATGATTTAGAATGAAAGCAAAACCAAACTGTTACATCAGCGAGGATGATGGATTAAAATGGAAACGTAAGTAAATAAAATAAAAACAATGTTTCCGCAACAGTGTTGTAGCTCACTGCGGCTCACCCGAGTTTCATCCGCCTTTCAGCAATGCATTCAAGTATCGTGAACATGATTGGACACGACTCAAGCACGGGCAAGAATTACGCCATGGGTGTGACGTCAGAGGACACGCCATTCTACATGGAAGTTTTATCGGCTCAATCTGTCCGAGTGATTACTGAAGCGGACTGGAACGCTGTGAAATCAGCATGTGTTTTACCAATAGTGATTCCCATGTATCCAGTACACGGTAATCCCTTGTACCAGCTCACTGGCACGTCAGTAACTGTTGGGACGATAACTTATGTTGGTAAGATAATTATGTACTTTGATGTATCATATAATTAAAAACACAATTATAGACTACTTATATCATATCATACTACGTTATGTACAATCCCACACCCTATCATTCCATAACTATCCAACTCTACACCTTAACATACCAAACACTATCATACTATAGCAAAAATACCGTGTCCTAATAACCTACTTTTCCTAGACTAATGCTATTCAAATTCCTTAAAATAAATTTTGTTAAATGTCTTTCTTAGCTTCACCCGAGGGATTACTCAAGATCGAGGGTGGAAACACCAAAATGATAGCGTCCTGGACCGAATACAAATAGGCTTGGAGATGAAACAAAATGGACCTTTTTTCTGTCATTCTGAAGCACTGCGCAGTCCGCATTCCACACTATATTACTTATACACTATTTAATTTTTCATTTTTTAAACATACGTTCGCTTTTCATTGTTCAAATTTAAGGCTATTTATTACACACGATATATAATCTATTAAATTAAATATTATTGTAAAATATTATACATCTTTCATTTCACGTACTAGTTAATTAACGAGAGAATAGTTGTAATTTTATTCTCAGTGAAAATTGAATGTCAAAACATGTTATTATTGTTACTTAATTATTTGCACTTAGAAATTTCGAGCATTAAAATTTCATTAACAGTAATTGGGTTGGATAATTTAATTAAAATCTGAAAGTAGTATGTTGCGCTTTCCTCGACCTCGACAATGAACGCGATTCGTCCCATTCTTATTAAGTGTTACATAAAGTACACGCGAAAAATAAACAAACATGGCGGATGATGGGAGCGAATCGCCGGAATCGGTAAGAATATTTTAGAAATTCACTGTAGGACTGAGTATTTATATGTTTTTTAAATTACCGGACCTCACAGGGAAAATGGAGCTGGGATATCCAAAAAATTCCATGTGCCAGAGAATCTCTGTTATTTGGTATTTCGTCTGGATTGGTAATAGGATCTGCAGTTTTTATTAAAACAAGTAAGGATCTCTAAACTCGCTATAAGAATCGACTTGTTTTATCTTATTCAATCTTTAAACACTTCCTTTTATAGAAATAGTACGTAAAGCCTGCGACTATGCGGTTGGGACATTCGCTGTTTTGTCTTTTACTTCATGGTAACTATATTTATATACAGTGAATATAATTTAGATTATTCAATGAATTGCTCAATGCGTTGGTGTCAAATTTTCTTTCACAACATTCTCGGCGACTCTAGGGAAATATGTTCGTACCAGCGTTATAGAAAGAGACAGAAAGTGAGGGAAGCTGTAGGAATGTTGAATGAATATGAACAAAAACGAAAGCAAGGTATGGTTGAAGGTGAACCAACCGAGGCGTAATGTTATGAAATATATTGGCTGGGGATTATGTTCTTGATGTGACATCAAACAGCGATAATTAACTGCTTTGCATAACCTGGCAGTGGAGTATGTAGAGTTGTTAATGGTTAAATGAAACAGCTGAGACGAAAACTGCAATCTAAAAGCAAGACATGTTGAAAACTGAGACATAGTTTATCCAAGAATTCAACTTTGACGACATCATGTTGTATTAGTAAATATGGAGAATAAATTCACCTTGTGATGCATATATTATTATTGTATAGTTTCCTGGAATACAATTAAAGCTATAGCAAGCAGAACAGACTTTGTTCTTTTGTTTTAAAGACAGCAATAGCAGTCAATTTACATGATTATGTCAAAATATTAACTAGTTTGGTAACATATAGTATCACTTGCTTCTTAAATGATAAAATGCAATTAGTAATCTGGAAGCATCAGAGAAACGTTGCATCAAGCATCGATGCCTATAACAATCATTGATCTTTGATTTAGCAAAGCAGTTCAAAAATGAACAATGCAATTATGAATGGCAAAAGCTACTCATTCTTGGCTTGTGCATCTTGTTGGATTTCAATTTTCTTCTCTTCAAGAGCTGGTGGTGGCTTCTTATTAGCCTCAATACTTAGAACACCATCTTTCCCAAACCTTGATATCAATGAATTCACATCCACCTCTGTAGGCAATGAAATGCGACGTCTGAACTGTCGATGTGTGAAGTGACCTTCCTCTTCCATCTTATGCTCTGCGGAAACCATAAGCTCTTTGCCTTTTACACGGACATTAACCTCTTCTGGTTTGTAGCCAGCAAGGTTGAACTTCAACGACAATTTGGTATCATCAGTTTCATCTACACCTAAGGCCGGATCTCGGGACAGCAACTTACACTTTTTCATGGCTTCAATTTGCAGCACCCCATCTTGGGAGATTCTCGACTTCACTGACAATGGGTCTGTATCTTCAGGTAGGCTATAGCTTCTATGGAATTCAGACGCATCATAACCATACTCATTTTCGGCATAATGTTTCCCTGAGACCAGTACTTTGCCATTTTCAACCTTGCAACTAACTTCCTCCGGTTTGTAATGGCTGACATCAAGTTGGGCAATCAGCAGCTTGTTGCTGTCTTGAGATCTAGATCTTTGCAGTTGCCTCTGCTGTGTGCTTGACTGGTTTCCTTGGTAACCCATGTATCGAGGATTACGGTAACGAACTGGTGGAAATGTCATGTCAAACATTTCGTCAATAGTATCAGCGAAAGAAGGAGACTCATCATAAAAACTAAAGACCAAGAATAGGTTATATAAGAGCAATCGTGTCATCAGAGAGCAGCACTATGAACATAAAATGTATTCATTAAACCTACCAATAGCTACCAACTAGTTCTAAAACTCCTATAAAGTTAGAGAGACAAACATAACTGTTGTACTTACGAATTAAAGAGCGAATCTATTGTTTCTAAAGACATTATTTTAAATACACTGTTCTTCTTTCATATAAATCCCACGTAGTTTGTTCGATCCCTGTCCATGTAAACACAAAACCAACTTGACCTTGCAAACAACCAAGCGACCTCCAGCCAGTGTTTAAAAATTTTAACATATCCTGTAGTTTTAAAGACAAAAAGGGATGCAAAAAGCTAATTTACTCACCGATAGGGGTTCTGCAATGGTATATCGAAGAACGCCATGCTGAAACGGATCAAAAGGAGCTATATTTGTCCTTGAGAACAAAGTTGAAACTTGAAAATATTTGAGATTGTTCTGACTTCACTTCTTTCCGGTTTCACATCGCCACAAACGTTATCACGCATGCGCGTCTATAATGCAACGCCAGCGATCGAAGATAAAGAAATCGAAAAATTACAGTAAATGTATTGACAAGGAAGAAAAACACTTTAAAGTTTAATGGAAGATAACATTGATATACGAATAAATATCTCATATATTGTGTATTGTGTAACAATATGTAATTAAGAATTGAAATAATAAAAATATTTTTGACATCAGCGACTGTTCGTTGTCACCCTTTTGTATACCAACTTTTATCCTCCTTTTAGTCTTAGGCCATTCCCACTCCCCCTCCAGATAAGCGCGGTGTAGATATATATTAATATTATGGATAGATCGATGTCTTATGCAAAATCGGTGTAGTTGAGTGATTTGTTGGAGATTGAAACCTTTACTCTATATTAATTTATAACCAGGGAGCAGCGTGGCAGCGTCTTCAAATAACTTAGCATCAAATGTGGTTTTACAACTGCCTAAAATAGACAAAACTGTCAAAACACTTCTCGACGTTTCGACCTGAGGGCCTTCGTCAGGAGAGTTACGTAGTATGGAGAGAGTTAGTATCATACTAACTCTCCTGGCAAAAGCCCCTTCGGTCGAGAAGTGTTTTGTCACAATAGGCAGTTGTTATACTCTATATTAATTTAGCATATTTACAATTTGACATTTAAAGCTTCACCATAGGCAGCCCAATGGCGACTCGCGTGTTCAGGCAATGTAGGCATTATATAGTATATATATATATATATATATATATATATATATATATATATATATATATATATATATATCCTATATATATACATATAGCTTCACAAACCCACAATGAACTTAAACCAACCGCCCATATTACGTTTTCACCTTTAGTTTTCACCTTTAGTTCTTCCTCGCGACAGAACTTAATCGTTGAGCTACCTTACCTAGTCCTAGTGAATTTAGCCGAAAAAGCTTGAAATTATTCTTCTAAACGTTTGGAATTATATTTCCAAACCATTGTGACACAGAGTGTTTAGAAATACAACTAAGATTGAGGATCCCGTCCTAGATGGTCCAACTAGAAAACAAAAAAAAGAGAATCACAAAGTACTAGACATTTTTTTCCTAATTCAAAACTATTGTTTTTTCTTTACCTGTTTTACAAACTGTGCGGCGTTGAAGATCTCACTGGCTCCATAAACGATCGTTTTAGGGTTTGAAGGATTACGCTTTATCAAATGACAGCAAAAAGGGAGAAATTTGTGTTAAACTTTATTTAACCAAAACATCGATGAACTGTTTGATAAAGTTGTATTTCTACCATGGCATAGTCGACCAAATTCTGATATTCAATGTAATTCCCTCCACCAACAATAAAGACGATAGCCTATTTAAAACAAAAGAGAATGGCCGTTTCGAGCTATGGTCCATTAATTCCTTAGTAGTTGTATGTACTTGCATATAATTTGTGTACCTCTTGAAACGGCGTCTTGTTTCGTGGTATGGAAGAGCTGCAATAATATTAAAAATTTCATAAAATTCGTGCAAACATGAAGTAGGAAATCTTGATAATTCTTGAACAAACCTGTCAGTGGAGCGGAGCATTTTTGGATCAAAATATTTGTAGTCATCAATATCCTAAAAAAAAGGGTTTTCAAAATTACAAAAGGACGAGATATGGTTGATACAACACAAAATAGAATACCCACTGCAGTTGACTTGACCTCCATGACAGAGTCAACGATTCTTGTAACTGGCAAGTTCTAAATGAAATGACACCATGGAAATGGACTGAGGTAAAAGATTACAAAATATATCTCAAGGTAATGGTCACGATATCTCTCGATGGGTACCTTATTTCCAACAACCAAGTTCTTCACACCCTCCATCACAAACTGAGAGCTCGTACCAATAATTTTTGAGAACATAGCGCTTGAATATAAAATTTAAAACTTGCATTTTTGGAATAAAAATATCAACTATAAAAACGCGCTTAGGGTTCACTCATCTGATAACACACTTGATGTAGCCAGAATGATGAACTTCCTTGGGTAACGACAACGTTAAGTGAATATAAAATACAATACAGAAACACACCTGTACGTATTTTGTCCACCGCCACCCGACTGAACTGGCCCGGAGGTCATTTTTGTAAAAGCCCTGGTAAAATATAAAATACACGGGAAATTGTAAACGTCTATAGATATTAATGTTTTCTCAAAAGTGCGAGTACTTACTTCCATTTCTTGATGTAATTCAAAGCATTGAGGTCAGACCCAGCGTCTTGTAATGCTGATGAGTACTGGTCAAATTCAGCCTGAATGTGAACAAAAACTTTAGCTAAGCGAGTTTTATCAAACGAGTTTTATCAAACGAGTTTTATCAAACGAGTTTTGTACACTTGGCAGCCAGAAATGGACACCTTTACGGAAGCAATTAAGTTTCATAAAAACTCATTCAATAATTGAAATGTTCGGTTTTAACTTACAGCAGACATTGTTGGTCCAGAAATATAAAATATCATAAACAGTCTTAATTTATCTTCAGGAGTACCAGCTGAAAAAAGAAAAACGCGAGCATCACTGCATGTTTACGAGATGTAAAGTGTTGAATCAAGCATGCACCGTGAATAAAGAACACAACAAACCCTCTGGATCTTGTATAAACTCTAAAACAGATTTATCCTGGAGGAAAAGGAACAAATTTTAGTATCCATTCAGTTTACCGAAGAAAATTTGTTCGTATATATGTTTAGTGTTTACCAATCTTTGATTGCTCATAATTTTCTCTTCTGATTCAAAATACGTGTCAAGATGCCGTTGCTACAGAACAAGCAAAAAACCATCCGTGACTTTGTGGAGAGCGAAGCATTACGGTGAAAATAAAGATCGTAGATATTCACCTTGATTTGATCAAGTAGAGCGGTTGCAATATTTGTATGCTGGTCGATTATTCTTTTCTTCTCCAGCAGTTCTGGTAACGAGCTTTAAAATACAAAGAAGAATAAACACACGGCATCATTGATGTACTAAGGCTGGAGTAATAATCGTCAGGCATCTCATATTCGCCCTATAATTACGTATATATTTTCATCACAAACATACGAACGATTGTCGTTCAATTTTCCCTCAAATTTAATCAAAATATACCTCACAGCAGACGTTAGTTTTGAAGTATGGTCGCTCATCAAATCGCTAATGGCTCCTTCATCACTGTCGTCTAAGCCCTAAAAATATTGGTTCATGTTAGAAAACTTGTGTGTATAAGACAGACGAAAACTTGTGTATATAAGACGGACGGATAGACAAATTCTATTCAGTGATGATTACCATTATATTTTTCAATCGCTTGACTTCTCCCTCGGACTCCTTATATTCATCCAGCTCCTTCTGTATTGATTCAGCGACGTTAGGAAACGGACTAAACGAAACCATGTTAAATAATACACCAGTTCTCTCGAATACCGCATAAAAATAGCGTAAAATATTTGGTTAATTTTGAGAATAGGCATAAAGCATCATATGAAAAAGGAGCTGGTCACGTTGAAACACTAGAACAGATCGTTCGTTCAATTTCTATCTGAAAAAACGCGACGAAAACGTTTTCCATACACTGATTTAAGTTACGCACGGCTACACAACGCTGCTGTCATTTTTACCTTCCCCGATGGTTATTCCAGAAAGTATCATTTGAACCGAGGTCGTATGATTTAGTTTTCGCTGGTTTGGGTCGTGGATGGCCGTGTTCCGTGGGTCCGTTATCCGGCGAGCTTTCCTTTATCACGACACGGTTTAGATGAAGATCCTGGGGAGAGGAAAAGAAATATTTTTTTGGACTGAGAATTGATAGAGGAATACAAGAAACTAAATAGATTCTATTTAGAATACTAAAGAGATTCCTCACACTCTACCCTTAATCCTTGCTTATCTACGTTGATTCGTACAACCATCGTTCACAAAAAAGATAAACCTGTATAGGGGACAAGCAGTTCTTACCAAAACGTCATGGCACAAGGCTTGATAGGTCCAGGTGTGATGTAATGGTGTACAAAGATCAATGTTTCTATCCAATATGATTAACACAGGTCGCTGAAAACTAGAAAGTTCAAATTATTTTTTATTGTGGAAGTGTTGTATAATTTTTGGTTCAACAAGAATCTTTGAATTTTCAAAGCAATCCGAATTATTTCCGCAGAAATTTGTGGCACTGTACCTAAATTGACCGGTGCTCATATCACCAGCAAATAAGCTATTTCTAGCATCACGTAGATTCTCACGTAATTTTTTATCTAAAGCCTGGAACAAGAGAACAATATAAGTTGCATCTGAAAAATATTATTGCAAAAAATAGTTGTCTTGTAAAGAGTATTACCTCTGCTACAATCTCAGCCGCATTTCCTCTGGGACAACGGATAACAGGAACTGTGCCTGATAAAAAATATTATTTAATATTGTTGTACAAGTTAGCATGAAGTCATCTGTCTTTTAAAAGCAACTATATTGAATACACTGCATCATTCAAGTCATACCTAGAGTCACTAAGAATGAGAATAAACTGTCCACTAATGTATCACGGATATTTTCAATGTCTGTGTCTTTAGCATCAGGTCTGTTTAAAGCTAAAGAAATGAAAAAAGTGTGTTTAAGAACTCTGAGTAGTTAGTAATCAAATTGATCACTACATTTATATATATTTCCAATAATCTTCTATTTCATCAAATGCTCTCACCATAATATGATATTGAGTCTCGTTCTTGGTATCGTGTTGTGAACATATTCTCTTCCAATGATATGAAGTTCAAGTATTGATCAAAAACCTTTGACACTTGGCTGACACAATCACCTTGTAAGACCGCAGTCGCCAAATCCTCTAACTGTCGTCTCATGATTGCAGTTATGAAATTCAAGTAATACGACTCATAACATTGATTTCGACAATCCTAAGATGAGGTTAACTACTTTGTAAATTTGTAATGCTGCAAAAAAAGTCTGTTACACGCAAAACCAGTCAACCATGCATACAGTATACTGTCATCTGCTGTCCATATACCTGACATATTCTTTTAATATTTTCCTCCGTAGGAAGGACAAAATATACAGCAGGCACATCAGGAATTGCATCCCTGTCTGAATGAAGTAATCTGCAACAAAAATTGAGGAAAACTTTTATGAATGAATTTAATGCAACTAACTAGTCTAGTTGTTATGAAAGCCTTTCCATTAAAAATTATCTCATTGAAAAGGCAGGTATTTAGTGATTTATGAGCAAAATTACATTCAATTTGGTTACCACTCACAAGTGCAAGGTAACACCAAGTTCTCTCAATTCAGCCACAGTTAGCAGAGGTGATATAATGTCCTGGCCATAACGATCATAAACCAAACCAAAAAAATTATGTCAGCAAGGCCTCTCCAGCTCAGTTTGATATATATTTTTCTCAAGGGTACAAACATCAACTTATTTATATTCAATTCCAGACTTCTTGGAAGCCCTTAGAAGATATATATGTACTGCTATGATGCTATCAGCGTTATGGTAATTTATTTAAGTATACTGAACAAATATTCTTTTGTACAACATTGATCCGTACTTTCCAAACAGGCTCACTAGAGGCAGTTTTTCTTGGTACATCATTCAAATTTATCATTCGTTTCAGACACTCTATACAATAAAATTTTAGAAAAATTATTTTCAAAGTTTCTTTACTTTACACTGCAGATAAATTATATCAAAACCATCTTAGAGCAATGTAAAGAGCATATTTTAATAGCCTAAACTATCCTATATTAATGCCAAACATATGCGGGAAATCGTTAAATTTGGTGGAAGAAAAAAGTGCAAAAACTGCTGCCTACCAATTTGTTTCGTTCGAATACTGGCCGCCATCTTGCACTGTTGACTTGGCACTGAACATGCGCAGATGAGTTTCGTGCATGTTCTTTAACTTTGCCACGTCAAAGTTTCTTCTCAGAATTATATTGTAAAGCCAAATAGTAAAGCCTGCAAAACTCCTAACAAGAGATAAATTTCTGAATGCAATATTCGAAGGTTAATAATTTATTGAATCTAATATCAAAATAGTAATATTTCAGGCAAGAACAAATTGATTGAATATCCCTTTACCAGCCTCTTTACTGATTCAATATCTGAATTGAATAAAGTTTTTGATGAGTTTAAGAAAACGCCTTTTTGTGGGAGAGTACACAGATCAGTGAGAGTACATCTTTAGTGCAATCGACGGTATTGCGAAATCCTGGAAAAACGACGCTCTGACGAGTTATCACGAGTGAGATTTCTCGGATAGTTCTCGAGGAATGTTCGTAATGTTGATGTAATGCCGCTAGGACGGGTGGGCGCTGCAAGCGAAACTTTGCAAAATGGAGAAGATTCGAAAACTGTATTTTCTTTGATGGCTGCGTCTGTAAAATCAAACGCATCTCATGATGTCAAGAATCGATTTGCTACGAAAGAAGGGGTGTATACGTTGATGAACTTGTCCGAATATTGTAGACCAAATAGGCTTCCCTACACTGTACAGCATCCATTTCCCGTAAGAATCTCGTTTGTCACTTTGAAGGAGAAAGACTGCAGTTCAGACAGAATTGCTTTTAATGTTGGCAAAGAATTGTATGTCTACGTCTACAAGGGTGTCAAAAAGGTTGGTTTAAGCCGTAGGAAATCTTTTACTTCAGTCAGAGTGTAGTTATTAGCTAGATCACAAATGAAATATGAGCTTTTCTAGTACTGACAATGTAGAAGTTTGGAAAGAATTTTGGTTGTTCTGCTTAATTGTTTTAATACATGAGCGAATTTTCCGCCTTTGCTAATGTATTAGCACTGAGATTTTGACTGACTGAACAGAAAGGGATTATAAAAGTCAAATAAAAAGTTATTATTTCTGGTTAAAGGCATCTGGCTTTTCCTAACCCAATGTTTATTTGATAAATAATTATCAATCTTTGAAGATAGTGTTCCAACAGTAAATACCAGAAGAACGTACGGTACAAATCCTGATATATTTTTTCTGTTAGCCAAGATCACATATAAATAAATTTCCCATCTTCAAGAAGAAGTTTATTTTTTGAAAGTAATACTTATGGGTCCTGGTATAAGAGTAAATTCAAAGCAAATATTTTTTCCTTTTAAAACATAATTGTAAAAAATGACAAAAACTTACATTCGTTAATTTTTTCTAACTTCTATACATTGGTTTAATATTGACCTATTGGACAATATGTCCTTCTTTGTGCAGTTTTATTACGATGATGTCTGTGTTAAAGTTTGCTAACATCTGAGATATTGGCTTGAAATATTTCCCAACAACTTTAATTGGTTTATTAACTGTTTGCGATATATCACTTTATCTTATTTCCTGTGAAAGGTAGCACTGTAATTGGGAATCACATCTACATCAGTGTGGACAGACGTCAGCAAAAAAGAAAGTGTTTTTGAATGAGCAAACAGAGAAAACAGATGGCTCATTCAATGTGTTGTTTGTGTAAATACACAAATTTAGTTAATAATCATTTCATGAATAATCTGCTGTTTTCCATTCAAGAGGCACAGTAGATGAATTTTGTGTACTGATGAGCATGATATCAAGCCATAACTGTTATTTTTCTTTTACAAAACAGGCTGCAGATTTAAACAAACCTCTTGACAAGCGAGGCTACAAAGGAACGTTTCCAACATGTCATGACTTCAACCTGCCAACAAGGAGTATTCAATTTCTTGAACTAATCATTGGGTTCTCTGCTGGACAGATTCAACTTATTGATCCAATTGGACATGATTTGAATAAACTTTATAATGAAGAGGTAAGGAAGACAAGATCTTGGCAAGGCTTAGAGTGCCCTAATGCATGCTTTTCGAATGCCTCAATTGACAATGATTTTTCTTGATTACCCAGTATATTATCCAGTTAATCATTCACTTATTAAGCTCTGGTATATCTTAGTGTGACTGAAAGTATTTACACATGTTCAATGTTTCATGCAAAGGCCTTTCTTTTGAGTACCATCATAGGACATTCAAGCAAGCAGTTCTTCTTATTTTAGCGACAAGTGGACAAGGCGTCTGTGAAATGTATAAAATGGATCCCAGGATCTGAGAACTTATTCTTGGCAGCATATGATAGTGGCAATATGTATGTGTATAATAAGGAGAACCCTTCTCTGCCAGATGCACCAACATTCTCTTTGCTAAAACAAGGACCAGGTTTTCAAATCTTTGGAAACAAAACAAAGACTCTTGGGAATCCTGTGTGCAAGTGGACAATTGGCAAAGGAAGTATTAATGAGTTTGCTTTCTCACCTGACTGTAAACATTTGGCGGTTGTTAGCCAAGATGGCTACTTGCGAATCTTTGATTTTGATGGTCAGTCATTAAATGGGATAATGCGTAGCTATTTTGGTGGGCTACTCTGCGTATGTTGGAGTCCTGATGGAAAGTATGTTGTTACTGGTGGAGAGGACGATTTGATTACAGTGTTCTCGTTTTATGAGAACCGAGTTATTGCAAGGGGAGTCGGGCATCAGTCTTGGGTAGGTATGGTACGTTTTGACCCTTACCTAACGAGCGTTAGTGGTGGGGGAACCATGGACGACAGTGATGATGAAGGGACAGAACGGGACATCCGTAATTCCACGTACAGCGAGAGACATAGTACTGTTGATATGGATAGACCTAATGCGTCATACAGGTTTGGTTCAGTAGGTCAAGATACTATGCTATTACTATGGGACCTGACAGAGGATGTCTTGAAACCAATAAAGCCTAGAACTCGTAGTTTACGGGCGCAATCTTGTCACACGGGGAACAACGTCCCCAATGGTCCTTCCAAAGAAGTGAACCATGTCAGAAACTATATAACGACGCACAATTTAAGTTCGTCTGTTGAACAGTTATTAGATCTTGATGATAAATCATTTGGGTCAGTTATTTGCCCTGTGTTTGATGATGTTCCACAGTTGGAACCACTGGTAGCGAAGAAGATCTCAATGGAAAGACTGTGTGGGCTGGAGTTCCGAGAAGACTGTTTAATAGTTGCTTGTCAGGAGGGGTATATCAGTACATGGGCAAGACCAGGCAAAGGGGTGAGTATCAATGCAAGCATCTATAAAAATGCTGACTCCTTAATTGCTACTGGGCAGTCACTTCCCCTTTAAGTTCAGCCTGCTATACAACATCTTCCTCAATTGAGAAACTCCAGTGTGCTTGACTGTCCAAATGATGCCTGGCTTTTCTTGCTATAAAACTAAAAAAAATAGATAACCTCGCTATGACTGCATAACCAATGTGTTACAATTTACAAACTAACCTATTGTTCTGATAATACTGTTTGTCTAATCTGTTTTGTTCCTATTGTGAAAGGGAAACTTTACAACATCTTTACACCACTGGTAACCTGAGGCAGTTGGACCTGAGCATGATTATAATATATTAAAACATTCTTTCTTTTTTTCAGGCAAGTCCTGGAACAGTGGTCTAGCACTAATATTTGTGATTGCATAGATAACAAATGAATTTTGACAATTTCATAAATGTACTTGTTGTATAATAAATCATAGTTAGTAAAATCAACTCAAAGATGGCCGCCATAGAGTTCTTGGCTTAACTTATAACAATTGTCAGAATAACTACCAAAGCGTCCTGTTATTTCAAGATGGAGTCGGTTTTCTTTAGTGAACTGCAGGATCTTTTATCGCATGCAACTAGTGGACATGAATTAGGTAGCAAGTGGATGGAAAAACTCGCTGTAAAATCACCATGAGCGTGAAGCCGGATAAATACCTAGAAAGACGGGCTTTACATGATTTGTATGAGGCTCTCCGTCTCGCATGCTTATAGGCCTGGTCCTCGAGGTTCTATTTCATTTAAAGCCCTACTTTCGAGGCGTTTATCCGTCCTACAATTATTATTACATTTACAGCAATGTCTTATTAGAACAGTGTTAGCATATCACATCACAGGATATGTGTAATAAACGTTCAAGTGTTATAAAATTAGCATGCAGTAAAAACCCACATAATACTTACGTACAATTTTGGTATGTAATGACTGAATGCCCCAAAAGCCCACAACCGTTTTTTAGCCCCGAAAAGTTTAGCTTCTTATATATGCGGGGTTTAACTGTAGATATCTGTTGTTTTATGGCGAAGGCTAAGCTGGTGAAATTACATTTGACCGCCGTATTCATTTGTATAAGAAAACTGTAATTAAACTAGTACGGATGTAAACTATAAAACATTTTAGGCAAAAAACATGATTTTTAGATGACGTTTAATATAAACACGCGTGAAATCTTGAAATATTTTGCGTCGAAATGTGGCAGATTTACATGTAATAAAAACAAAAGCGGGAGTCTCCTGAGGAAATTTGAAAGTGAAATATATGCGCGCAACTCGGATATTCCTGTTTTTCTACACTCCATTTTAAGCTTATAAAATTACTGGCCTCTCTAATTGCAAACTTTTCAAACTTCCATTTTCGGTAATGAGCGCGCATGGAAGTGACGTCATTTGAGTGCGGAGGAGCCTGGGCCATAGTAAACGGGGCGGTGGAAAACGGAAGCCCGGTTTGCTGCCATCTTGCCCTCAGAGTGAGTTTAAACTCCGCAAAACAAAGCTAAATTTTCTCTTTACAATGGATTCAAAAGGGCACAAAATTGTTGTATGTGATAATGGAACTGGGGTATGTATCCTGAGCAGGTTTTACGGCGTATTTTAGGCGATAACAGCCTGAATATTTGGTTGTACATTTTAGTTCGTGAAATGTGGATTTGCAGGATCCAACTTTCCAGAACACATATTCCCATCGATGGTTGGACGACCTATTATCCGTTCGACTGCAAAAGTCGGTGACATAGAAGTGAAGGTATTGTTGTTTTTATTCTCGGTCCAATTTATCCACTTCCCACTCTTGTTAGGCTGAAATTAAACGAATAATTGCATAACTTCTGCCTTGGGTTAATATATCTACACTTCCTGTTCATTGGCAGGATTTGATGGTCGGGGACGAAGCTAGTCAACTTAGACATATGTTAGAATGTAATTATCCTATGGATAACGGCATTGTACGCAGCTGGGATGATATGAAACACGTTTGGGATTACACATTTGGGCCCACAAAATTAAACCTTGATACCAAGAACTGCAAGGTATTGTATTGAAGTGTTTCACTATTGTCTGCTTTGTACTATCGGCAGTTAATCCCAAAGCTATTCTTGTTTATACTCATGCATGTTTATCTACAGGTTTTACTGACTGAACCACCTATGAATCCAATGAAAAATCGAGAAAAAATGATTGAGGTTTGTTTAAGCTAAATATAATAAACAAAAATGCAAAATTCAGACTGAGTTTGTTTACATTTTTTTTAATATCCAAGAAATATTTCATTTCCTTGTTCCTTTCAAAAGGTTATGTTTGAGAACTATGAGATGGCTGGTGTTTACATTGCTATACAAGCCGTCTTGACATTATATGCGCAAGGTATGGTATTGTGTTCATTTCAAAAAACAACTTAAATTGTAACAAAATGTTACACCAGACATGAATAATGTTTCTAGTCCCTACTTCTTAAACTTACTTCTAAAAGGACAAAAAAGGATGCACAGGTCAAGTACATTGTAACAATATGTACACTTAAGGAAGCTAGCTGTTGTGTTGTCTCAGACAGAGCTTCCACTTTTTATATGTAATAATTCCTTGCCAATCCTCATTACATCATCAATACTTTCTCCATGGAGGCAAGTGAACCCTTGTATAACAGGGTCAGCTAGTTATGTATCTGATGGTTTTGTTTATACCAGGCTTGTTGACCGGAGTGGTTATTGATTCTGGAGATGGTGTCACCCATATCTGTCCAGTTTACGAAGGTTTCGCTTTACCACATTTGACACGAAGACTTGACATAGCTGGACGAGATATCACCAAGTATTTAATCAAAGTAAGCTTTGGATAGAAAGCTCTGGTTTTAGAAGTTGGCCCAGATGTTAAAGTTTATATAATATTATATCAGGAAGCATATATAACCACACCACATTTTTGTGAAAAAGTATCCTTGAATTGTGAATATCTGTTTTGTAGCTTCTATTGCTAAGAGGATATGCATTCAACCACACAGCTGACTTTGAGACTGTTCGTATGATGAAGGAGAAGTTATGTTATGTTGGGTATGCTGCTGATACTGTCTGGTGTTACTAAACACAGAAAAATAGATCCAATACTTACATATCAATGTCTCCTATAATTTAGCTACAATATTGAACAGGAGCAGAGGCTTGCAACAGAAACAACAGTGCTTGTTGAACAATACACGGTAAATGTTAAGAATAAGATATTTCTGGACTCCACAAGGTAACCAAAGTGCGGTTTCTTACATGCTAATGATGCTATTACCACTTTCTCTTCAGCTACCAGATGGTCGTGTTGTGAAAGTGAGTGGTGAAAGATTTGAGGCACCAGAAGCTCTATTCCAACCTCATCTCATCAATGTGGAAGGTGTTGGAATGGCGGAGTTGTTATTTAACACAATCCAAGCGGCCGATATTGACACCAGGATGGAATTCTACAAGCACATTGTTCTGTCAGGTGGTTCAACCATGTATCCTGGATTACCAAGTCGATTGGAAAGAGAGATTAAGCAACTGTACTTGGAGAGAGTATTGAAAGGAGATGGATCCAAGTTAGCTGTAAGTATACTCTTGGATAAACCTTCATAAGAAATGGCTCAAGGATTTGAAGGCTGCCCTAAGTGCTGCATGTTAATGATTCTATCAGATGCAAATAGCAAACTATCAAAGCCTCCGGGATTGCATGAAGTGGCTTTCCTAGTGGAAAGTAAATCTTTAGACCTGTAGCCATACACAAGCTAGAAGAGCCTCAGCCTCAGAAGATGAAGGTTTATACTTTATAATAATAAGTCAATAGAGTGAAATGGGTAAGAAAAATGAATTCAACTTCCTCACGCATTTCATGTAGAAATTCAAGATCCGTATTGAAGATCCACCTCGTAGAAAGCATATGGTCTTCCTTGGTGGTGCTGTGTTGGCAGACATCATGAAAGACAAAGATAACTTCTGGATAACTAAACAAGAATACCAAGAAAAGGGGACGAAATGTCTCGAAAAACTTGGAGTCAGTGTCTAAAATTATAATAAACACAGGACAGTAACGTCAATATTGTAAAATGGAAAAGCTATTTTTCTCGGGTTTAATTTACCTGAATTTTTTTCTACTCATCATGATTTAGGCAAATATGCAAGTACTAACCAGACACAAATTCGTATTTGAGATAAATCAAGTCACAATAATTTACTAAAGAGGATCATTTAACTAAATGCAGAACGGTTTTTCTGCATTTATCGTGCATGGAATGAATGAACTAAGCGTTGATTTCGATGTATTTAAACGAAGTGAAAATTTCATATTTAGATTCTGCAGGTTGAAAATACAATTCCTTTGTGCATATGTGATGTCATGGTCACAAAAAATTTAAATTGGAGCGAATTCCAGTTGTTAAAAGCACAGCTATTTTTTGGGCTTCAGATTTTGAACAATAAGTTTCTCAATGTATGTATATTTGCAGTTTTGAGGCTTGAGAAAAAAGCACTTCGACTTTGGTATAGATTTAAGTTGGCAGCGTTGAAGCAACTGTTGAAGGTGTTCCCAGCCTTTTGAATTGTAGTTGACGAACACTGTAATGTTATCACATTTAATACGCCTCATTATCTAAACTTTTCCTTGCGGTTGTTCATGATAATCTAATATGTAAATTGAATTTTATAAAAAAATTTGAATAAATTTCTTGTTTTGTTTTGATGTATGTTGCCTTTTGAGATCAGTAGATAGTTACTCAGTACTCACCCTATTGCTCAGAGATTTGGGGATTACTGACCACTGTTACTACGAAAGGTGACGTCACTGTTTGGACCCAGTCTCACATTGACGCATAAGCGTAGATGCTAGGACTGACATAGCGTTGATTATATTTACGCCCTTCTAACTACCAAGCCAGCCAGGTTTATGAAAACTGTCACGATAGATAGTGGTCACAGCTTCCAAATCCTTGAGTATTTCACAGCCATTTGTGCTCCTCACTTAAACACAAAACTGCCTACCAAATCCTTATTTACAGCCCACCCATAAACCACAGCAGGTCAACAAAACTGTGTGGTATTCTTGTCAACAAATATTCGTGCGTGAGTCTTCAACCTGGCAACAATAAAAATGGTAAAGTCTTTGTTGAAACGCCGGAAAAAACAAACGACAAGAAAGAAAAAATTGCATATTGCCTCGAGGCAAGAAAAGACTCGCCCAATGCCGTGGGAAGGAAAATATTTCACACGACGCACTCGGGATCCACAATTCATTACATGAAAACACCCCCCTGCTGTTGTCACCAATCTCACGAGATCATTCACAGGCATTAAGAACAGAACTCATTTTAACAGAAACCGCAGGCAGAAACATCTTGTTTCACAGACGAATGTCTGCATATGTTTGCATATCTTTCAATAAACCTCGTGAGATATAAACCCCCAATTTGCAAAAAGAGATTGCTGTTGTCACCTGCGGGATGAGAGTAGCGAAACATCTGATAGTAAATCCTGCAGAGTGACAGAATGTAGCCTAAATCTTCACCCATGTTGTATGCATGAATGTTCAGACGGCTCTTGGACTTTAAGGAAGCCTAGATTCTGTTGTGACGTCAAGAACGGTATGTGCTTATAATATCGAACTGTCAGAACTCGATCGACTAATACGAAATCTATTTTAATAACCCTTCATATCTTTCTTTATCGTGATGTGGTCAAAATTGTTTGGGGTGTGTCAATTAATTATTATAAAACATTTTTTAAACAAAGCGGAAAAAGAAATATTTTGTATTTATAAACTTGCGCTTGTATAAAAAACGTGTAAAGATTCTTAATTTTAGACCATAGTGAACAAGGTCAGGGGGGTGTGGCGATACCGGCAACGGATATATTCATTATCAACACATCCCTTTCTCGTCGACATCGAGTGTTTCTTGGGAAATTTCCTTATTTGGAAGTAACAACAGAGCTCTTTCCAAAGCTCGCCACAATATCATCTTAAAGAGAACTTCACATCGCTTATTTCCTGCTCTGTCATTAAAGCAAGTTTCCTCAGAATTGCATGGCCGATGCCTGGAATTTCACTAGAGAAACTAGTTGCATTAAAAGGAATCATCGATAAGACACCCCTGACTAGCCAAGGTTGATGAGAGAAATGATTAATTGCAACTATGACCGCCATTCTTATGCACCCTTGAACCTTGAGCCTGTTCTATGATTCCCGTGGTAATATACAGTTACCCCTTATGCGACTATTCTGCGTCGTTTCGTCTCACACGAAATTCTTTCCCTAAACCTTCTCCAAATCTGTTGGCTCTGTTAAAGAACGACTTTCAGCCTTTCAGGTCTGATTAGAACAGAGAGCAACCAAGTCTACTTCTTGTCAGAGAGTTGATTCTTTCCACGAGAGATGATGGTTCACAAGAAAGGCGACACTTAGGATTATCGACTTAAGAGTCCATTCCTAGGATCCTTGCCTTTGATTGTGCGCAGAGAAGATATGAATCGCTCACAATCCCGGTCAATTTTTGGGTTGAAACTCGAACGAGAGAAGGCCAGAAAGATTTTTACCAACAATAACATAATCAGTTCATAAAACGCGATGCATCATAACGAACCAATCAATCATTCAAAACTACAGATGAAGGATTTGATAAATCGCCGCTTAATTCATTGTAATGAAACATGCATAACATTTCAGGCATTACGCAAGCCATGCTAATGAGGGACGCGCAAGTATTTCAAGCACGCAAAATATTCTAAATAAACGATGAAAATCATAAAATGTCTTGATTGTCCTTGAATTTCCACAAATACGACAAAACTCCAGGTGGAAACAAGAAACACATGGCAAGACTTTCGTAATAAGCGTGGAGGTCAAATTTCGTGCCATTATTCCTCAAACTCACATTCCTTTAAATTCCTGGTTCCACCAGACAGTTTTGCTGCCTTGAATTCGTTGTACCAAGACTGCACGTCCAGTCGTCCACTATCTCTTCCTTCGTTGGCGTCTATTTAAAGAGGTATATCTCATTCAAAACCGATGTAAAAATGACAAGTCAAAACGGAGCTGGGAAGAAATGGGAAAAAACGGGACAAAGCGGGGACGAGTCGATTTTCACATCTATCGCAAGATACAGCTGGAAATTTCACGATTTCAGGAACAATAGTTAGCAACAAGTTTTGCTTCGATAAAAATTTTATCAAAGGCAGAACAAATTGGTGGGAAATATGCATGCAAGCTAGACGTATCAAGAATTCAAGATAGATATTTAAGTAACGTTTGAGCGGATCTTAATATAGATTCTATCTGGATTAATAAACGTAAAAAGCGAGAGATTGAAGCAGAAATAGAAACACAGTTTTCTACATGCAATAAAAAGCAAATTATCGTACATTTAAAAAAAAATAGTCCCCTTTTATGGCTTGGATTTTACTGTATTATATTGTGAGCAATGTGCTTGAATCTTTAATCTAAAAGTAGACAATGCTAAGGTTACATTGATGGTCTAAAATAGCATCATTACGCAGCATTTCTGTCAAATAATGAAGAGTTTTGCAGTTAACACTTAATACACTCAATTTTGCAGAATAGCTCCTAAAAGAAGTATCAATTCTTCAAACTTTTGTCGGGACTTACTGCGCGCTACGAATTAAGGTAAGTGGGAACGTCTCCTATATACTGACACGTACAACGACGGACTTTGAGTTTCAGGGAATTTTCTTGCAAAACATTTCCGGAAGTCAATCCCCACAGTGAATCAAAGTTGGTGGTATGCATGCATTGGGAACAGATAGAAGCACAACATAGCTATAAAAATCTTCGACACAGGGTACCTGGCACAACTCAGACGATACTCCTCGATGATATAGCAATTTAGAATAGGCACGTGACGAAATAATTATACTGCATGAACTAAACTAACATACAAACAAGCTTTACTTCATCTAGTCTCTAAACCACACATTCAAAGTGCGTCATACTGGTGTAAGTACTACATCTATACCGTCACTGCATAGTATTCTGTACAGGAAGAGCCAGACACGACAAATTCTACGCTCTGATCTCAGATGAAATCCACTAAAGAGCTTCTCCCTAAACCTGAATCATGCAGTGTAGAAAGCATGACATGCAGGCTGGGTGCACTTAAGTCGACAAACGTGGATTTTGATAAGAATGGAACGCGCGTCGTGAACGACACATATACTTTGAAAGATATACTGCCTCTTGTGTTCTTGACCTCTGACAAGTGGAGTAACAGCGAATGAGTTAAAAAAACCTACATCAAATCTAATCTTGCTGGATGATTTTATCACCAAAATTTTAAAACTGCTTTCCCTAGAGGTCCGGAAATGAAGAAATTATCGTTGGTTTTTGGTGACGATTAAGTATTATAACACAAACAGCCAGGTATATATGTATATATGTATAAACAAATTTCGTGAAAAACAATGGGTATAAGTGAGCACATAGAAATTGATAGAAACATGTTAAATTGCTGGCGTTCTCTGCATGACTGTCTCGTAAATTACTTGCAATTATGGATGAAAACGATTAAGACCCTCAATATGGGTGTTGAAACATGGTCAAATTGCACCCCTTCTTTTGCAAAGACCAGAGAAACTTCTTCTCTTCGTGAATTAGTTACATATCAAGGAGATTGTTTACAGTCCGGCTCTAAAAACGATTGCATGACATCGTATGCAAATTTTCTCCCACTGTGAGGAACGCATGCAACATCGGGAAGTGTAACACATTCCCAGAAACGATACCGGGCTTATATACGATAACATGAGTGAAGCACACAGCACAGCCACACAATCAAGCTTTGTAAGTGTCGACTCCATACAATATAGAAGCTGTATAATATCAGACGCGAATTAGTCACGCACATGTTACAAGCTTAAGTGATCGTTAAATCGATATCTGCCCATGCTGGTCACGAGGAGCTTTTGTTTACTGCTTAAAAAGGCGTCTTCTTTCGATATTATATAGATATATTTTAAAAAGCTAATAGCAGTTTCTGGCGGCAATATGTCTGCCGTGATATATTAAGCTCAACAGGCAGCTCAATATCAAAAGAATCTTTGGTAATTTACGATCGCAATCGATTTGATCTCTTTTCTGAAAAGGAAATTGGCTTTCAAAGAATGGTTATTCAGACGTTTTAAAAGAATAAAATGTAGTTACTATCGGTTAAATCGTATAATTATGGTAAAGGACTTTACTAGAAGCCAACGGTATTGCATGAAGACCCTTATCTTCACTGGTTGTTGCATGCTATAACTATCTATACCCAATTTTTAGTTTTGACATTTGTTGACGTTTGGGTAGATACAACTCAGTACTGTTCAAAATGGGCAGTCAGTATAAAATTATAGCATGTCAAATTTAAAGAGTAATTTAAAGTATAACACATATATACACGCCCAATTACACAGATATTTCGCTGTAAATAGAAAAGAGAAATTGTTTTATCGCCATGCCATTTTAAAGTAAAAAGGAACTCGTCGACAATTAACGTTGAACACCTTCTAGCTAGTGCATCTGAGATGAAGGAAGTCCTTTTAAGTACACCTTATGGACATATTGGATCACTTATAATTGTGAAATTGTCTGCGGCTATTAGAAATAGAAAGCTCATGGCTGGCCTAATTACCAGCATCATTCTGAGTCAAATTGCTCCGGCCACTCAGATGCATGGCCACATCGTGACCAGGCCATGTACTTTGTACTTTCTGTTATATCAATTATAAATCACGGCACATTTAGCGTCACAAGAATCATTACATTTAACTAAGAATGATTTTATTACTCTCGTTTTATCATAAAAGGCTAATAGTTGCGCGTTGTTCCGGGCACTCTATGACATATGCCATCATTTACCTTTCGTGAATGGCGGTAATTCACTGTTATCACTATAGAAAATCAATCAAAAGTAGTTTTGTTATATTTCTCACATAACTCACATATCCAAATGAATTTTAAAAAGGTCCTATGGGAAAAAGCAAAGGTACATTAGCCCCCTGAATCGAGGAGTCGTTTAGAGAAATTTTACCGGAAGCCAAAAAGTATAATTTTAGTTTGCATTTTTATATGGTATAGATTGGATTGAGTTGATTGTTATAGTTGGGTCACGCTAACTGCTGAACTAGAAATTTCAATTTAATACTTAGCAAGCTGCAAGGTTTATTTCTTTCACTAAACTGAGTCTGAACACCTCCTTATATTTGATATGGAAACCTGAATTGCACTCCACATGTATAAACAGAGTCACAAGGCCATTACTTTATGAAAGTGAGACTCTTACATGCAGGTGAAGCGACATGTGATTGTTGAAAATAAAAGTGCGCAACTTGTTTCTTTCTAGCTTATGTTCATTATTTATCATGTAACTAATCCGTTAGTATATATACTTGGTGCTAATATATAGTTGACTAATTGGTTAGTTTTAAATCTCAGATGGCGTGTCGGTATATATATAGTCTGCAGTAGCTATCTAGTTTCAAACAATTCCTTAATTCACATTTTTGTTCAACAGGGACAAAGACGGAAAACTGATAAAATCTGTATGTCAAACCAGACAGCATTACGAAGCCTGTTCATAGCAGAATATAAATCCTCAAATTAAATGGTTTGTTTTACTTAATGTATTAAAACTGATTACATATACCAGTACGCCTATAACCAACAGATTATTTTAAACATTCATGATCGTAAAGAAACCTAGAATTTGGCAAAAACAGCACAATTATAAACGGTTGAATAATACGCCGGTATTTGAAATAATACAGCGACAATATGAAATGCGTTTGCAGCCACCCAGCCAGCTAGCCATTGAGCATGTACAGCTGTCAGCTTATATGTCATTTTTGGAGAAAAAATTCGAGCTGGTCAGATATAATTAGTCTCCCTTGCAACTTAACTTGTCCCTCAACTATAATAAGAAATAACTGAGAATTTATAAACCTAACATTCTGCCAAATTAGAGAGCATTCCTGAATAAAATCAAATTACTTGAATTATCAAAATATTTGAGTTGAGTTAATCAATAAGGTTGTTTTAACGAACTGTATTGCGAAATAAAACTATTATAAAACTCATCCATTCGCAATAAATATCGTATGTTGTGTTTTTGGGATTGTTTCAAAACAATATTGCTGACCTTACGTTGAGTGTGCCTACACTTCCGTGTTATGAAGGACCGCAACAACCTGTTACCAAAACAGACTCGACCTATTCTAGATGAACAAAAAGAAAAAATCTTAATTTTACAGAAATTGCTCCAATTATCTACGAGAATGATTCAGTTCCTCATAATTTCCCAAATACCATAAAACCAAAATTACTTGGCACGATATCAAATAAAGTCTAAATTGTCGTATATCAAGGTCTGGTATTACGTCCAGAACGAGATACCCAAGTGTATAGCTTCTAACAAATCGAAGGAAACGTTTTAGCTGGTTGTTACGGTGAACACTTATAGATTTGAGGCAAGAACACTAATATCTAAACTCAACTTCCTCCCAGCAATTGACCACTGAGGTCTATTTTTAGGAAAAGCCCATCGAGATTATGCAAGCGTACAAAGTGGCACAGACAATATGATTGGAATGTAACGGAACGCGGCTAAATGGATTCGGCAGTTACTAAGTATAGAGCGCTGCTTTTAAACATAGAAAATATCGAGTAACTGACCAGTTTGTGCTATTAACGAGCGTGGGTAGACCGTCATCGGTTTATCTCAGAGAGGACGCGCGTACGGATTGCTGGCTTGATGATATAGTTAATATAATCCATTCTGTATTGAGTGCAAATCAGTTGAGCAAGACAGGAGAACGAGACAAGATTGTACAAAATATTAAGAGACGATTCTTATTGGATCTGTAACCGATTACAGTATAAGCTTAACATAAGTCATTTGAACTATTATTGTTTCAAATAGTAGTCTCGTTCATTGTTGGTCTGTTATGATGTTCACGGGAGACAATGTACCCAGAGATGGACGGAGATTCGCGTCCCCTGAGATGCACAATTCCTCCCAAATGTACAAAACTGAAACCCCGAAGCTCCGCGGGTCATCTTTATCCAAGGATGTGCGACGTACGAGGCATAGAGAGAGCACAATTGTGTCGCCAAAATGCGCTCGTTGTAAGAACCACGGGGTGATATGTCCACTGAAAGGACACAAAGGCCTGTGTAAGTGGAAAGATTGTTCGTGCAAGAATTGCTCGTTGATTCTAGAACGGCAACGAATAATGGCAGCCGAACAGAGCGTACTCAAGGAAATGGCTGGCCTAAAACGAGAAGGTGCGGCGACTCTGGAATCATTGCCATCGATTTCTCATGGTAAGTTGAAAAAACCCCAGAAGTCTATAATAGCATACTAGGAAGTATATAGATGAGGTATACATCCTATAATAGAGTTGACAGCGGTAGTAGTTAACATAAATTCTCTACGCTGCAGATTAGAAATGCAGTACATTACGAGTGTCGTCTTACAAAGCCAACGGTTGGCAGCAATTTTAACCAACGACGTTAGAGCACGGAATGAGCGCGGTGTCGTAAAATCTTGCAAACGAAAAGCAAGGATATTTAAAGAAGAAACTATCACGGTCATGCTCGGTACTCGAGACACAATAAGTTAAGTGGTTTCTGTCTGGTTAAACTGCATGGATATATTGAAAGTCAAGCAATAATACAGAATCCATTCGGTCAGCCATTTGTGTACGAAATTTAGGATAAATTTACCTGAAACGAATGACCCCGAGAGGAGAGGAAAGACCCTCGATCAGGTTAACAATGGCGTAGGTTTATCGCGCTAGAGTTCGTCCTTGTTGTATTGATCTTGCACCAACCCACGGGAGATTATAAAACTGACGCGATAGCATTACCTTTCTGACACACGTTTAGGGTGCAAGTTCAGACCAACAAACCACCGTAAATATATATTTATATATATATAATTATCGACTTCACAAAATTGCTGACATCTTTATAAAATATGGTCCGTATATTATGGAAGAACTCGCTTGCAAAACAACACACTGAACTTTGCAATCATTTCAAATTGTTATTGCCCGTGCCAGCTAAAGGCAGATAAGATAATTCATATTCGTCTTTCTTTGACTATAAACTCTGCTGGTCTCCTCCTAAGGAGAAACAAGAAGCAAATCATTTAAAATATTCCACTGAATTAAAGCAATTATGGGCTCAGTTTTTTGGTTTTACAAATTTCAGCACCGTCCATGCAGCGAAGGCCTTTGGATCATATTCTCAATTCTGTGTTTCGCTGTCTATAATTTTCGACATAAAAAGCACTCATTGTTGATGATATAAAATTAAAAAAACTTTCAAAACACGTAACGGTCATTTATAGCCAGAATCGGGAAAAATTTCTTTCACAACGGGCGTAATAGCGTAATAATATCCACAAGTTATTGAATAAACTAAGAACTTTGGGAAAACAAAAAGTTTATAAGCTTTTCTTTATCTAAAAATTAGTTTTTGGTTTAGTCAGTTTAATGAACCCAATTCGTAGTTCACAACGTGGTATAGTTGTCTATGTATATAATTGTATGCAGGAATCTGCAGGAACCGTAGTGGGGTATAAACAAAATCCGCTACATAAAAGGTGTGGCAGTTTCAATATATAACTTCAAAACACGAGTCACGCAATCAGCGTGAGAATATGTCGTTTCATTAGTAACTTAAAAAAATTCCGACAATATTGCGTCAAAGACCGTGTTTTAGTGCTCAGATATACAGCATTTCTCTAGTTTCCTGATACTTTGTGTTATATTAACACAGCGTATAATGACTGTAACTTTCTTACCGAGTTTTCACGCATCGTTCGTGCGTAGAATCCTGCCGGCCTCGTTCTCATGCACTATAGATTAACGTGTTTTGAGAAAGAAAAGGGTCAAGGAGACTAAGACGAGGAGAGGGAGGTTCTATAGCAGAAAACACGGGAAGAAAACCGTAACACGCGCATGTCTTGGAAACGAGGCTGCACGGTGGCTCATAAACATTAAGGTTTCTAAACTGTTTCCTAAATTCCGTGACCAACACACGTTAAATGATTAAGAATGCATTAAGACTATAGAGTGGTTAACTGCAAGTGTTTAATTGATTTACGTCTTCAGGGCATGCAGCATTGTCTCAGCAATATCAAATGCACAAGTGAAAATTATAGTTTGCACGAAATCTCGCGAATCCTTGCATACAAATCTCTCCACGCGCACAGTTGCTCAAGATAACCAGAATTATTGAAGGAAAATCATTGTGAGAACCATGGTTTCACTGAAGTTAAGCTTTTCAAAATTTTGGAATGCGTGACCCTGAAAGAGGTCTTTATTATGCTTATATGATAATAGTTTTAATGACTTATTTTTTCCTTTGCGACCGTCAATTTATTTTAGGATAAACAATTCTTTGAGTATCTAGAGCTCCAGACTCTTCCATCTTAAAGCGACTGACATATTGCCCGATTTACTTAAAGCAACAGTGTTTCCTGTTTATGACCTTCACCTTCATACGAATGTCTGTGGTTCATGAACTGTATCAGTTTGGATTTTATTATTAAAATTCCTGTAATTAAAGGGCATATGTGTCTATAACGTTTGAAAATATCTGTCAATTTTCTTTTACTGAAAAACTTGACTGTAAATGGTAGTGGAAAATTCGCTCATTTGAAGGACAACGGTGAATGCTGTGCCTATACAGTATCGCTTTCAAATATCGCCACCTTTTCATTTTATCATCAAAGATCATTCCACATTGGATGCACCGTTAAGTTCAACAACTGTTTCTAAATCTGCAAGAATCATCCTTTAGGCTGCTCTGTGGTGTCAAATATAATGCACATTTAAGGCATCGACACCAACCAGTCATCCTTACTGAGCTATTTAGAATATGATATAACATGGGGAACCCTCTAATTTAAAGGCAAAAACATAATACCTTAGACCGAGAGAAACACAAGCCTGTCAACTTTGCACTAACATAGTTAAGGTCAATGACACTTTACCCAGGTTGAAGTGCATATCGGAACTATACAAGAACACGGTTACAGAACAATGCTGTATTATAAAGGTTATGAGGCACTTCATGACTTCTTAAAAGTTTTTAAAATTCATCATTTTGTGTGGACTTGAAATGTTTTTTCCTCTTAGTTTATTAAGTTATCTAGCCATATCTCATGGTCTTGTGAAATTGAATGGTGTTAGTTTTTCGGCAATTTCCCATCAGTGAAAGTGTGAACTTCCATACGACCTTGCCAGAACCTCGCCTAAATTTTTGTGGTATCGACAATATATATTTTCATGAATTGATTAAAACTAGTTGGTTTTTATATGATATCAGTTATGCAAAGAAACTTCCAGTGATTAAAAAAGCCTTGCAGCGAATCCATGCGTGATTAATTTCGTTTTGTTTATAATGTTCATATTTTTATTTTACTATTAATATATATAGACAAGATGACCAATGTACATATTATATTACTTATATCGTATTAGTCATGGACGAGGATTGCTTTGAAGCCTTCGGTAGTGCATGTTCGAGTTATTTTTATAATTGTCATTCCCGACTGCTGCGCGTATAGACATGAAAGAAAACTAAACATTCAGACCAACTTCCGATAACATCAAGTATTCACTGCTAGTCCATTATTCAGGATTGTTATCGAGTTCAAGAATATATTTATCAGTCAACTGGCTTATGCAAGGCTTATATATTCCAAGGTAAACAGCCATGTTACTGAAACTACCAACTGAACAACAAAACAATTTAATTTAATCAAAATTCTTCTCATGTTTTCAAAGAACAACCCTTTGAAAAAAAGGTAATCAAGTAGAATTATAGTCAAGTGCAAAAATTATTGGTATTCACATTGTATATATTCGATTAACTATATCCAGAATAGCCACTCATGGAGTAGACAATTACCGATAAAAATATTTTCTAGGTATGGAAATAGATTAACCGTGATGTGGTTTGGGCTTTGAAGTGCGAAGTATATATTTTGATAATATCGCCAATGTACATTCATTTATCTTGATTGTGCGTAAGATACTAAAGCGGTTGTAAGATGAACAGACAGTATAAATAAAGGAGGGAAATAATCACAATAGATTTATATAACTGGGTGAAGTTCAGCGGATACTCAGTGGTAAAAACCATACAGTTTTGTTCGTGTCGTTTCCAGTAGGAAACAATTGTGTTCCTAACGATCAAAATGTTCCCAGTGACATTGACGGATGGCTGGCAAAAAATGTGTCCAAAGGTTTGAAAGGAAAATGGTACTTGAATCACTGACGCAATGAATCTCAAATTGAAGTGTTTACTTCTTAAAAGATTTACTAACGAGTTCTAAGTAACTGCATGCTTTATCATAACAAAGACATTTTCACGAAAGATTCTTTATGAAACGTTACAACAAAACGAGAATGAATGAATTATTTTCTAAATATTTCGTGCGTAAGACATTTGCTTTTAATATAGGTTTCTTTAAATAAAGCAACTGTCTGTTACATAGATTGCTATAGTTTTGAAAAGATAAGAAAGACTCTGTACTAAAGACTGGCTAACTGAAAGACTGGAAACGAATGTAACACAGGTTTAGATTCCAGTCTCTTTTTATTTCATATGACATCGTCAGCAAGGCAATTCCTAATCAAATATCGCTCTTCTGTTAGTAAACAGATTTTCTTGTCAGAACAGGCTAATAATGCATCGTGATTTTACATTGATAATTTGATAGACAAAAACAAAAACATTTTGTAAAACTTATCTGAGTCAAAATCAAGTGACTGGCCTTAAACAATGCTATTGTGAAACGAAGTATAGACGATGAACACATTTATGCATTGAAAGCATGGTTTTCACACTAGACATTCCACGGCACAGAAGCAATTCGTTACCACCCATGGTTTATTGTTAAATTGGTTATATCAAACACTAGACGACATGTAATGCAGCAACTATAGTTTACACAAGCATTAAATGAGTCTTGAATATTTTTGTTTAAATATCGTATGAAAGCAATTGAGTGAATATCGTCATTAGTGCCCATGTCTTTTGGCAACTTCAAGTGATTTTTTTACCAGCTTCATACTATAGTCAGTTAGATGTGGGCTGATATTTCTACCGAGCCAAAAATGTCCACAACTCCTTTTAAGGTTTCCTGCGATTGGTTACATTAGTGCTCGTATATTGTGATTGTTATCTTGGTTAGATATTTCATTGACATTGTAATGAAGACGAGCCATTGGCGAGTATATGAGTCTGAAGTGTCGAGTATAGTGTTGCTGTATGGGACACAAAATAATGTAACACTAAAACGTCTT